CCTGTCGAGTCGAATCCCCTCCTCGAACTCCGACGATCCTCCCATTCTCGACGTTTGTTAGCTCAAACGGCGACCCTTTCGTCCGATCTGTCCCGCGGTGCCCTCCTGATCCCCGGACCCCGACGATTCCCTCCTGGTCCAGCTCCTACCGGCTAGACGAGCGAACAGTAGGGACAACCTCTCGGAAATCAGTCGAATGATACGGAAACCTTGCGTTTGCCGTGTTTGATTGATTTTTGGGCTTGTTGATTTGGGTGAGTGCAGAAATTTTTTTTTTGGTTGCATGCTTGTCCAGGCCGGAATGTCGAAATCCCCCGAGATCGAAGTTCAGACGAAAGGATCTGTATGGCAGTGCAGGTGGAAGAACCACAATAGGACACTTTTGGCTTGTGAATGAAGAGGAAAGGAATCAGGGGTCAGGCAATTCGGATCAATATGTTGAAACGATGTCCTATATGTCCAACCCAGGTCACCTGGAATATCAGGATACTCCGATCACCTCCATATCAATCCGGTTGAAATGTGTGTCAGGAGTGGAACCTCGACATTTGTGCAAAAGGAGACAATCTGAGAAGCTGGTAGGCCTTGAGGGGACAAGGCAATAATGGGTGTCAGGGGGAATTATATGGCGATGGCAGGTAGTGCGGAATGCACTTCCCCAGGGTTTCCTTAAAATCACTGGGGCTGCCAGGCTTGATATTCTCCCTGACGGGCCCTATTCTTGAACCTGTTCAAGGTCCAGCGAGGGGGTCATGAAAATATCCTATCCTGGGGTTGGACACATTCCGGCGGACAACTAACAACACCTTGGCAACACATACTTGCTGTCGTTTCTATCGTTTTTATTATTGATCGTCAGTTGAACAAGCCACTAACGTAATTGAATCTAGGACCGGTTTCTTTTCTCTGACTTTGAGTGACTTATCCGTTTGGATGATTCTCTGAAAGCCGTTGAACAACCCTTTCCTTCCTACTAACCCTTTTGATTTTTCACAATCGACCTGGAGGTTCATCCTGAACACGTTAACTCGTGAAGTGTACGTTGAAATCCTTGTTGCACGTTCTCTCCCCTCCCCTGACGATCAACTCCCCCCTACATAGGGTTGTCCCACATTCCGCAAGACAGGACCAGGGGTGAAGACGTTGACTCGTGCTTCATCTCTCGGACTGGTATCCCACAGAATCTTAATTCATCGGATCATTCCTGCGGGCTAGCCTAGATGCCAGACTCGCCGTCGCGGTAAGGGTTGCATTGTACCCTCTACCCGAAGGCCTTTATCTGGGTCAGTATACTCCGAAGGAGTTACGTACCCTTATATCTGGCGATTCTCAAATGTGCTCGCTTCCCTTTCTCTTTGTTCCACTTCATTCATTCTCTACCTCGTCTACTTAATTCTAATTCCTAATCACCTCGTCGTCGGTGTCATTCGCTAATTCTTAATTCCGCCCAACAGCTTTCAATCCTTGAAGACTTCCTCCCGGTATCCCGGCTTGTCTTCTTCTCAGCATCCACAGACTATTGTCTCGAAGCTGGTCCACTCTTTAATCTTTCCAACTACCATTCAGTCATTCATTTGAACTCCCACGTCTAATCAGACGACTGTCATTCTCTTAATCTCCGTCGTTTCCTGAAATCGCCGACATTTCAGGTTCCTTCACTCGGTATTCAGCAAAGCTAATCAAGTCTCGCCTCGTACTTTTTTCACTCCGGTTCCCCACTACTTTTCACCATGGATTACATGCGCCCCCGGTCCAGCTATCAGCCTTGTGATACGTTCTTCATCGAAGATGACTACCGTTTGCGTGCCGAGAAGCAGGCCAAACAGGAGCACGACAAGCTCGTTGCTCGTGAGCGGCAATATGCTATCGCGGATCAGCTGTCCAGACTCGCCAGCGATGAGCTTCGGGATGATGTCCTGAGCCACATGCTGGAAATGGATGTGAGTAGTCGTATGTGATTGGTTGACTATCTGTTGCTGACATGACATGAACTAGGGCCAAACGCTTCCGGACGTTGAATCAATTGATATCCAGACCGAGATCCAGTGGTTTATGCGACCGTACCTCCTGGACTTCCTGATTGAGGCCCACACTGCATTCCAACTGCTGCCGTCGACACTGTTCCTGGCCATCAACCTCTTGGATCGTTACTGCTCCAAGCGTGTGGTCTACAAGCGTCACTACCAGCTCGTTGGTTGTGCAGCCCTCCTCATCGCCGCGAAGTACAACGACAAGAAGGATCGGGTTCCAACCGTCAAGGAGCTGAAGTCGATGTGCTGCTCTCTGTATGATGACGATATGTTCATCCAGATGGAGTGGCACGTCCTGCAGACCCTTGGCTGGACCATTGGACACCCGACTGTGGACAGCTTCCTCCAGATCGCTGTCCTGGATGAGCCCTACGACCCAGAGGTGGAGCACATGGCACTCTACATCTTAGAGATTGCCCTGTTCCACCGTGACTTCGTGTCCAAGCCGTCGGCGGAGCTCGCCCGGGCTGCCCTGGCACTGTCGCGCTGCATTCTCAACCGACCTCAGCCTCGTCACACTCACTGGGCCTCCCAGTATGATTCGACGACTCTTGTCGGTCTGTCCCAGCAGCTCCACCAGCCTTCTGCTGTCGTTGCCCGGAAGTACGCCTCTGCCCACTGTTCGCGTGTTTCTAAGGTTTTGGAGCAGTTCCTCAACCGCCAGGCTTCTTTGGCCAACTATGCCCGTTGCACTCCTCCGGTCGAGACTCCTGTGGAGTCCAAGCCATACAATGGAGAAATCGGTCTTGCCACCCCTCAGAAGTCCCAGCAGTTGACCGTGCCCCACGGCTACCTTACCCCACCCATTACACCGGAGAATGTGGCATTCGCACAAACGCAAATGGCCACTCATCCAGCTGTGAACACCTGCTCGCCGTCACCTGCGCCCTCGTCTGAGATGCAATACATGCCTACCGACGCTTACCAGCAACAGGAGGCAATGTACATCACTCAGCAGCAGCAACTGCAGCAGTTTCCTCCACAGCCTCAGATGGTGGTTGACCCAGTCTATGCTGGTATGATGTAAACGGCGACAGAAGAAGCAGCCTCCCAAAAGTGTTTTTGGCGTCTTGCACATAATTCTTCGGTGCGCCCTTTAATTTCATCTTGACCGCATAGATTATTTGAAGGAGCATCTGCTTCACGTCGGTCCGACTCGGCAAGAAAACCCTAATCCTCGCTATCGACCGCATCTCTCGACCCAACCTCATATCATTCTCCACTTCAGCTTTGCATTCGGCTTCGGTCTCAAGGACCAGAGCCGAGATCAGCCTCTTTTTCTTCTTGTTCCAAAAATTGCATACCCTTCCTTTTCCTTGTTCCCATATTTTGGGTCATCATCTGCATTTTTGATCTTATTCCACATAGCATTGCACGAGCGAGCCTTTCTGTTTACCATATCGCATTTGTCATTTCCCCCATTTCGCTTCTCATGTCAAGGACAATCCTCGACAATATTGTTCCTGCTGCGCGCCTTGGCGCTGCGCCTTTGCATCCAACCCACGACGATCTTTCCGCAGCACGGCTGCTACACAAACCCCTTGTCAACATTTACCCCCTCAGAAAAAAAGCCTTTAATGTGTCTAGCCTTTCGCCTTGGGGTTCGCAACTCCGTGGGTGAACTATTGCAACGCTCGTTGCTATAGATCACAGGCCACAAAAAAAGCAAAAAAGAGAGAGAAAATCTGCAAAAAGAAGAATTCGGTCTCTGGGGACCTAAGGCTTCCGAGACCTAAGATTGAAACCATCCCCCCTTTGCCCCCTTTGTGTACCTAGTTTTAACGGGCCCTTGTTCCTCTTTACATGTATGAGAGCGCATGGTGCCTTGTCTCGATTCTGTGTGGATTCGAGACTACCACATCCCCATGAATGATATCCAATTCAGTGGAAATTTTTTATTCTAAATCTTTCATGTAAATTTGGTCTTAGCCCTACACCTGAAGCCTTTTAGCTGTCTCTTGATTTCTTGAACCAGGTTCATATTAGTTACCTGGTCGGTATGCCTTGTCTCCGCATTCCCTCGGAGGGGATTTGGAAGTCAACGAATGGCAGTACCTGGCAATGGATTACCCCTTTGGTCCCATCACATCCTTGGTTGGTACCCAACCCGTACATACATATAAACCTAGAACTCCAGAGATGTACTCGCTTACTACAACTTTGATAAAAACTTGTCAGGTGGTCCCAAGACCAAGTCAATTGCAAATGCATGATTTTGTCACCTCCGCAGAAAAACAAACCTCCCCAAGTATATATATATACGCACCGTTGTTTTGAGTCAATGGGACAAAGTTTTTTTTTTTTCTTGTTTTTGGGACCAATATTTTAACCTGACAAGATAATCTATGCCATTCTCCTAGGATCTGTGAAATGCTCGGTTGACAGTCTTCAACGTTGACAAGCCTGGAATAGTCGAGAGAGTCCTCGGAACTGAATCGTCCGCCCGTCCACGACCGAGTCCTGTCGTATTTTAGTAAGCTTGAAATAATGATCATGCAATCAATGGCCATGAATATTTATCAAGAAAAATGGACATAAAACTTGAATTTTCCATCCCAGAAAAATTTAAGAATCGTCGTAACAATTTGTCCATAAGCGAGTACAAGAAAGCTGGCGGTGCCGCGGAACTGACTTCTCTGCCCCATCGCATTATGTCGAGCCCCCACTATCTCAACTCTTGGTCTCATTCTGGAGTGTGCCTACCCAGGTCCAATTCTTGCGACCAAGCGCACGCTGGAGCCTAAGCATCTACATAGTGGGCAAAAATGTTTTTGATTCGTTGCCCGTAGCCGTTTCATGAGGTCGCCCCGCATGACCGACCCAATAGTTCCTTCAGAGGCTGCTCCACTTAGGAAAAAAATGGTGGCGCCCCTGGAAGATCCTTAAAGACCCTTAAAGACCCTTATAATAGAGTAGATCCGAAATTCTCCTTGAGCCAAACGCGACCTCGGAATGTTCCAGTGATTGAAAATGTACACTCCCAGAAGCACCACTGAATGGGCCTTTGGCGGAGTAATGGGGAGCCAAATGTTAATAATCCTCGTTCTCGAAACGTGCGTATCACTCAGCTCCCAAGTGTACGGTCAATCTAATAAAATCTAGTTATATCCTTGTGCATTGGCAACTGTGGATGCGCCCAGAAGCCATTCAAATCACCCCTTCATATATTGTTCCTCTGGAGGCTGCACTTACATGGTTCGCTAGCGTCTATGAACTCTTGCTTTCTTTTGATGCTATGCGTCACAAAAATAACATTCTACTGTTTGCCATCTGCATCAGTAATGTGCTTGCCGTGGCGTTCGCGGCCATGCAATATCCAGCGATGAAAGGCTTTTGCGAGACCATGCCTGAGCAACGGACAATGTATGACCAACCGCTGGTGGATATCAGTCGAAACATTTGGCCGCAAATCCGAGGCCCTCAACTTGCCGCCCCCATCTTCTTTGGACTTTGCACTGTTGCAATCTGGGGGCTTGCATACAAACTACATAATCAATATGCCTGGTCAATCTACCGAAGTGTGCAGGGTGACTCACATACAAGAGCTCGACATCTCGCCTATGAAGTTAGTACATGATCGAGACTTTTACCTACACCCGCTGACTGAAAACAGGTTTATGTTGTCCTTGTCAAGCTAGATGCTTTCTTCATTATCTGTTTCGTACTGCAGTATGGCTTGATCGATGTTCACTTCGCTGAGCCAGAGTTCGGCTTGACCATGTCAATAATACCAACCCTCACATTGATTATGGTCTTTGGGGTATACTTTGTCCGCAAGGAGCACAAGCCACTCATGCTGTTTGTTATTGTGAGTCAATCCTCTAGTACTTTATTTCCGACATCAAAATGTGTATTCAGTGATTAACAGAAACAGATCTGCCATTTGGCTATGATCGCATACCTACTGTCCCGAGTTATTGTACTCTTTGGCCACAGTTTCCTTGCGCGAACACCTACCAAAAACATCATGCTCCTTTTCGCATTTGCATCATTGATCCTGACGATTTTGTCTCTCATATGTGGTATCCGGTGCGTTCTGAACTTTGGGTACGGATTGAAACCGATTCTGGCCGGCAAAGCCCATTCAATTCGCGCATCTTATGATTTCCACACGATCTCTGGACACACTCCTGTGCCGGAGTCTCTGAGAGATCGGCGACTGTCTCTTGATTAGTTAGACTGCTACATCCCCACGAATGATATCCAATTCAGTGGACATTTTTTATCTTCACTTTTTGCTTTCTGTAAATGTCTTGATTAAAACCCTTACTGTAGTGTTCCAAGGCTGTTAATTCTCACATCCCCTTGTAGATCGGTTTGAAGTTACAATCCATGGACAGACAACAGTAGCACTTGATTACCCCTTTGATCCCTCCCATCCTTCAACCCCAGCATAAACTTGATTTGTACTCGCTCGCTACAGAGTCTTTACGGATCAGGAGGCGGTATCCTTCAGGACAAGGTGACTGCAAAATTCGTAAGTGACCATGTCACCCCCACCTTGATAAGATATATGATCATCCCAGGGACACATACACCCACCAACAATTTTCGGGACTTCGGGCGAAGTCAAACTTTCAAAATTTTAGAACAATCATAAAGTCTTTAACAGACAATCAATAGATCTACTGATTAAATCGAATATCAAATCTTGGAACTGAATTTCATCGAACAAGGTGCTAAGATCGGACCCCGGGACCACAGGAGTTACGACCGTTTTGTCCATGAGTACATGTGCGAAGAAGGTAAAACTACGTTTTGACTGCCTTTTCAACCTCATAGTATGGACCCAGATGCTACACTAAACAAGTCCCTAGTCTCATCTTGGAGCTCGACTGCACAGGAGGATCGACTCGGACCTTGGTAGACGAACCCGAGGTGAGAGACTACTACAGATTGAGATAGTGCAGCATTCAGCCTCATACATTTGGGCAGAGAGGCCACAATGCGAGGATGGTCGCAGAATCCAGCAGGTCGGTAATATGATCTTCCCTCGTATGCAGGAGGGACTGGCATGCCAATCGAGTAGACCCAGAAAGCTGACTAGCCTCACTGAGACTCGGACGGACATTTAAGTCGGGAATACGAATGAAAGTTGGAAGAATCCCAGAACAAACGAGCAAGAAGAAATCAGTGGTGGATACAGTAGCTTGCAGAAACGCTCTGCGTTTTAACATCTTTACATTCACACTTCTCTTTCAATTGCTAGTGCCAAGATAGATCTAACCGTATACAGTTAGCTCTTTTTCCTATACTGGGCTCTGTATATTACATAGTATTGTCACAAACCGTCACGTGCACCTCAGGCTTACTGTGACTTCGATGTTATTCCCCGTGAAGCATGAAAAAAAACCAACAAAACACAATGTACTAAGGTTCAATATCAGCGGGAGATGATGGAGACATGTTCTCCGTGATCGCTGCTTTGATCGACTGCTTGATGTCTTGGAGAGCGCGCTGAGACGCCAGTCGATCAGGATGCTGTTCATCAAGCGTTTTCCCTTCCACCGCGACCACATGCTCAAGTAGCTCCACGGCCTGCTTGATCTGCCCGTTGAATTCATATACCAGTGCGAGTTCGTGCTGAGACGCTAGTCGAGAGGGATATTCTTCGTCAAGTGTTCTCTCCTGCACCGCGACCACATGCTTAAGTAGCTCCACGGCCTGCTTAATCTACCCGTTGGATCGATATGCCCCTGCGAGATGGTGCTGAGACCCTAGTCGATCAGGATGCTCCTCATCAAGTGTTCTCTCTCGCACCATAACCACATGCTCGAGTAGCTCCACGGCCTGCTTGATCTGCCTGTTGGATTGATATGCCCATGCGAGATCGTGCTGAGATGCTAGTCGATCAGGATGTTCTTCGTCAAGCGTTCTCCCTCGCACCGCGACCACGTGCTGAAGTAGCTTCACGGCCTGCTTGATCTGCCCGTTGGATTGATATGCTCGTGCGAGTTCGTGCTGAGACGCTAGTCGATTAGGGTGTTCTTCATTAAGCGTTCTCCCTTTTACGGCGACCACGTGCTCAAGTAGCTCCACGGCCTGCTTGATCTGCCCCTTGTATCGATATGCCCATGCGAGAGTGTGCTGAGACCCTAGTCGATCAGGATTTTCCTCATCAAGTGTTGTCTCTCGCACCGCGACCACAAGCTTAAGTAGTTCCACGGCCTGCTTGATCTGCCCGTTGGAATGATATGCCTGTGCAAGAGTGTGCTGAGACGCTAGTCGAGAGGGATGTTCCTCATTAAGCGTTCTCCCTCGCACCGCGACCACGTGCTGAAGTAGCTCCACGGCCTGATTGATTTGCCCGTTAGATTTATATGCTCGTGCGAGTACGTGCTGTGACGCTAGTCGAGAGGGATGTTTTTCGTCAAGCGTTCTCTCCTGCACCGCGACCACATGCTCGAGTAGCTCCACGCCCTGCTTGATCTGCCCGTTGGAAAGATATGCTCGTGCGAGTTCGTGCTGAGACCCTAGTCGATCAGGATGTTCCTCATCAAGTGTTGTCTCTCGCACCGCGACCACATGCTTAAGTAGCTCCACGGCCTGCTTGATCTGCCCGTTGGATCGATATGCCCATGCGAGATTATGCTGAGATGCTAATCGACTGGGATGCTCTTCACTGAGCGTTCTCCCTGCCACCGCGACCACATGCTTAAGTAGCCTCATAGCCTGCTTGATCTGCCCGTTGGATCGATATGCCCCTGCGAGATGGTGCTGAGATGCTAGTCGATCAGGATGTTCCTCATCAAGTATTGTCTCTCGCACCATAACCACATGCTCGAGTAGCTCCACGGCCTGCTTGATCTGCCTGTTGGATTGATATGCCCATGCGAGATCGTGCTGAGATGCTAGTCGATCAGGATGTTCTTCGTCAAGCGTTCCCTCTCGCACCGCGACCACGTGCTCAAGTAGCTCCACAGCCTGCTTGATCTGCCAGTTGAATATATATGCCCTTGCGAGTTCGTGCTGAGATGCTAGTCGATTAGGATTTTCATCATCATAGTGACTTTCGTTCCATGCACACACGTCTTTAAAAAGAATGACAGCTTCTTTTGCTCGGCCATCCGCTAGAATGCATTTCCCAACTTTGGAAAGTAAGGCATACCTTTCACTCATATCTTGACTTTCCTTTCTTTTAAGGATTTCAAGGGCGTGTGGCATGTACATCCTCCATGCGTCACGATTAGTGTATTCATTAGATGGAAAATGCTTGCTCATATATTGCGTTGCGGTTGTGATAATCTCTTGTGTCTTCCGTGCCTCTGTTATCCAAACGCGGGTTGATAGCTGTACCAGGCTATGTATGTCAAACATATTCTTATTGTCCCTCCGGGTGAGGAATCCATAGCTACACAGCGTACCGATAGCAAACTCCATCTCCTCTTCCGAATCGAGGGTAGGGAGAATAGATTGGGGGATTGCTTTTGGCTCAAGGTACGACATGAATGCCAACAAATCAGCAGCAGAGGGATCAGAGCCCTTGATTTGGTTGTATGAGATAAGCCATGTGGTGGTCACCGCGTTTGGCATTTTGGGATAGCGCGTGCTATCGCGGAACTCCTTGCTCGCTAGACGCATCCGGTCTTTCTCGGTATTATGCATAAGCTGGAGGTACCGAGTCGTCGTTCCATCATTTCGACAAATATAGTAAGCTGCCTGTGCAATCGCTAGTGGTAGGAAGTTCAGCTCTTCCAATAATTGCATAGTAGAATTCTGGTCACAAAGCGAGTCCTCTCCTACAATCTTGGTTAGGAAAGCAATCCCTTCCTCTGCTGTCATCTTTTGGAGCTCAATGATATTCCTTCCTGCGAACGATAGCGCTACTTCGCGGGAGCGAGTAGTGAGCAAAGTGACGCCTTTCTTGCTAGCAGGGAAATTCTGATAAAGCTCATCGAAGGTTAAGTCCACGTCATCGGCATTATCGACAATGAAAAGCCACTTTCCGGCTTTATCAGAGCTTAGCTGCCGGCGTACTAATTCCATCGCACTTTCACCGTCTGGATCCTGATGGATTTGCAGTTCTTTCGCGATTTGCGAACAAGCCTGCTCAAAACTCTCGAGACTAAGAGCAGGAGCCCAGAAAACGGAGCAGTCTGGTATATGCTCTTTCACCCAGCGGGCAAGCTGAAGAGCAATTTGTGTTTTGCCAATGCCACCTAGTCCGAATAGAGCTAATTTTTCGGTATTCGCTTGTAGAAATAGCTTCTGTTTAAGCTCATCTAGCGTGGACTCACGGCCAGTAAAGTGACGATTTTCCAAGGATGGGATAATATAGTGGGCCTGAGAATGATCACCTGAAAGGAATAAGTAAGTCTGATATCCTAGTTTGGCTTTTCAGTCGACTTACAAGGCCTAGGTTTTGTCTCTTTCGTTTCTTCAACGGGCAGATAGTAGTGGTTGGTGACCGAGCCGTGGTTCACACCCATCTGGAACCCCGAATTTGAACACTCAAATGATACTGCGGATGCCATACTAGCCACGGGGATTGGTTCCAATTCTTCAATGGGCATGTGGAAAGATAATTGTTTTGCATAAGCTGCTGCTGCCGCTGCCACGAAGGCAAGGGTGACTTGGCAGAAATACAAATATATCACTTGGCTTCGAAGACGTTTCGAAGGCTGCAAATCCGGCCATCCAACATAATCGGGGACGGGGTGGGGTAGCGAGGAATGAGTGTGACCGCCGAGACGCCTTACCATCAGCTGAAGGCATCGGGGTGAAAGGGCGCACGGCCCAAGCGCCTGCCCGCATCGGCGAACGAGGTACCTCAACGAATCATTGTGCATTCAAAGATGTCAAACTGCAGTAGCTACCGCGTGCTATTGGCGACTGAGTTGTGATTACGCAGTGGTTGGACCAATGAGCAGCCTGTGAGGGCCCCGGATTATCAGACTTGCCGTCTCCGACAATGTGATAAGGCAGACACCGGCATCTCACGTGAATCCAAACAGCCTCATCATTGTGATAGTGAGGTGCCTTGGGACTGCCAAATACCCACAGATGAGCACAATTATTTCCAAAAGACCGTGTACTGAATTTGTGGGCTGCATTAGTGATATCAATGGGTTTCAGGTTACTCTCAATCATATCCCAAATCAGCTACCACTTCGATGGGATAAGTTTGGAGCCATCTTTGGTACTATAACCAGTGGATGTTGAGGAGAGGAAAGACGCCGAATAGGATGAACAGCACAAATCGCCAGGTCTCAGCTGTGCTGTCAGCATCTCGTTCACTACCGGACTATTCAAAAGAATCTAGCCAGGGAAGTTTTTGAGTCTAATTGACTACAGTTGACGTGGTCCTGGCAATTAGATGTGGGAGACAAAGAGAGTGTAAAGCGCAAGGCGATTTTGCAAGCTACTGTAACATTAAAGTCACGATCCTAAGGGAACGTTGAGAGCACTGTTGCACTAGATAAGATCGAAGAACATCACTGACGAGAAACTGTCATCGTTCGCAAGACCAACGACACGAACGAGGAGAGTTTCTCCTGAATTATGTCCTTTCTCATTTATCTATGTAGTAAAGGAGGACCAGACCTCAAGGGGACTAGCAGAAGAGCCAAACAGTGGCGATAGCTGCCATTCAGACTTCGAGAGTCCAAGCTTCTCGGCATTGGCACCATACTGATCGCCGAGGGTAGCTCTTAAGAGCATTTTGGAATCATCCGCCTGTGAACCATCTTATAAATGTGGTAACAATTTGATCGGAACCACTTAGGGTATCGGAGTAACAATCCTGGACATTGTAAGTGAGACTTACATCCAAAAGGTCAGATGTACGATGCGTACGTTTGGTTTAGTTTTTCCTTCGACAGGGTCGGGCACAGATGCATTAATTGCCACTCTTAGGGGAGGTTTAAGCAAGTATGTCAGTATGTCACGAGTCCCAAGCCAATACTAATAATGAATGTTAGGTCCAAAAGGCTACGCTGATGTCAGTCCACGCCATTGCCCCACTGGACTGCCCACGCATATGGCATATGCAGAGTGACCAAGAATTGTCTTACTACCTGGATTTGATTCAACGACATCTATCAATACAAATTACCCAGCTCTACACGAGCGGATATTAATTCGTTTCGAACCCAAAGGTTCAACCCATGAGTGAGTCACTTAGTCTACCAGAACCCGTCAGCATCTATTTGCCGATGAAGGAACGGCATAACCCTCGACAGTAAAGACGTTCTAGGAATCTCATTGGTATGTGCTATCTTTTAGTGCAAAAAATTATGAGAATTGATGGATGAGATTGGAGATCTCGGAGCAATTCTCCAATGATGAGCCTTCCAAGCCTCTACGACCCACACCGCCGGCTATCGCTACAGCCATGATCTGACTCACCAACAGGTAGAGGTCAAGCTAGCTCCCTTTTTGGGGATAAATAGCATTATTGATTGGCCCTTCGCAGACCTCATTGATGAGTTCTCTGCATTCTGGTAGTTTGATAAATTTGAATCCATCAAATACAGGTAAGATTGTCTCAGACAAAACATTGATTCTAGTTAATTGATTCCATCTACTTAGACCATTTGACCCAACATGTCGTCACTTCCAACGCAGCCTCGAAGCTGGTCTAAAGAAGATTTCACCATCTCCACCGATAAAAAGTACCTGTCAATTCCATCAATCAACAAGGCATTTGGGGAAGATTTCATGTACTGGGTCAACCCAGTCCCAGAACCAGTTTTGCTGGAAATAATCAACAACTCCTTCTGTCTTGGACTCTACAGAGTCATCCAAGGCGCAAACAGCAAAGCTGGAAGCCAGCCTTTGGAGGCCTTGGAGGCGGAAGATGTTGAACAGATCGGGTTTGCACGACTGGTCACTGACAGCGTTACTTTCGCGTATCTCACAGACGTATATGTTTTACCTGAGTATCAGGGCCGTGGGCTTGGTGGATGGCTCCTTGACTGTGTGAATGAACTACTGGATCCACTGCCCTACTTGCGGTGGTCTATGCTTCGGACTTCGGCGCTGAAAAGCCAACAGTCCTATGAAAAAAGGTTGGGTATGAATGTTCTCCATTCTGGTGATATTAAGGATGGTCCAGTGATGATGGGCAAGAAAGGAAGAGCAGGGAGAGCTTGATCATTGCAACAACAACTACCTAAGGGGGTTTCAACATTTTGAAAGACACCATAAAGAGTGGCCTCGCCTCGCACTGGATAGAAATGATCTTTAGAACAATGGTGATCTTGACTTAATATTGCGTGGTTTAGATTTGAGATCTATCCATGGCAATATGTTAAAAATCCATCACCTATGTCTGGCATTGATGTCTGGTATGATTGTTTGATTACCTCCGGTCCTTCCTATATCAATTGAAGGGGAGTTTTGTGTTGAATACCAAGGGTTTGTATAACAGACAGTCGTATCTGAGACCTTTGAACCTTGGAACTAGGTATGCTTCAAGCTTCCACCAAAGAGACTTCAAATTCTTATCTCTGGGCATAAACTTAATCAGTAACAATCTCATAACCAAAAAAAGTTCTTCGATACCAAGCATGTTCGACGGCCATTCAATGATCCAACTATCCGGAAAGTGTTGATCGGACGACAGCTAGTACTCCCAAGATGATCCGTACTCATACACAGAAATCGACGGAGAAAGACGTCAACGGCTCCCAGTGACTGATCATTTGCGAGGGCACCAAGAGTACTACTTGAAGTCAGGATAGATTTATTCCTATAGGAACTTGTACAGATAATTAGGTCTATAATTTGAAAGAGAATGAAATGCCTGAGATTGGTCTATAGTACACTTTTGTTTCAAGTTCAGGTCTCGCTTCAATAATCAAACACGCATACCTAAATGAGGTAAAATGCTATGGCAAATGTTATCGCTTCGTTAACTCCGAAGCCTCAAAAGATACCTGTATCGCCCAAACTACCTAGGAAGTCACCCGCCTGTCCTGGATTGTACATTTCGAAATCATCCTCTTCTTCTTCCTCGCTCTGTGTGGTGACTGAAATCAACCCAGCATGAAACATGTAGCCCACCAGAGCGGCGGTACCAGCCACAACAGCCGCGATAGACACGTACATATCCTTCTTACTAGCATCAGCAAACATAGACAAAGCATTGCGTTCGATCGGATTCAGCTCCGAGTCTTCTGACTCGGCTTCTTGCTTCAGACGGTTATTCATACGGATATCCCGTAAGAAAGGTGTGGAATCCGCCAACGTAGCGAGGAGCGTACTACCGACAGCAGCGACGGAAAGACGGCCCGGTGCACGCCAGGGCAACGAAGAAGGAGGAGCCGACAGTGGCGCGAACGCATGCGCCACTTCAGCTGGGGCTTGACCGAAACAGCGAAGGCGCATACGCTCCGTGTACGCCGACAGCAGCGGGGCCTTGGCGCGCATAGACTCATGGAGCCAGGGCTGGCTGAGATTGGGGATGTGCGATAGGGAAAGATAGCCGAGCGCAATGCAGTCCAGACTAGCTGGCGAGTCGGTTTCATTGGCTGCGAGCAAGTAGGACTTCTGGCCCAGCATAGCTTCTAACGGCTCGAAGAACTCTCCTGTCAGGGCATCGATACGGAAGTGGTTCTGCTGGGCTGTTCGGCCTAGAAGACCCGACACGGTTTCACGTGGCGACTGGATGAAGTTTTTCGGGATTTGTCCGGTGGCTACTGCAGCCGACTGCTTTCGTTGCCGTTCTTCCTCCATGGCCTGCAGGTCCAAGGACGAAAGACCCAGGTGCTCGGTGCGGGCCTTGGCGGCGCTGTGCAGTTTCGGTGGGAGGATCCATTGGTTTGGCCATTGGAGGAGGGCACCATAGGCAGGCGATGTGTTGCCGTTGTAATTTTGACTGCTCACGTACAGGGAGAGATCGATAAGAGCTTGGCCGCGGGATTCGATGAAAGAGGAGAATCTAATTACCGGCATGTTAGTTGGTTGGTTGCACGTTTATCTGATGCACGCTTATCAACGGCGACATACGCTGTGTTATCGGCCTGATCTGACTCGTTCAAGTCCTGATCCAGATCCCATTCCCCGTTCGAGTACTTCCTCAGGTAGTCGACGATGTTGCGGAACCGGCTCACCCAGACTGATCCATTCTGAAGAGCGGGCAGCTCACCTGAAGATCAACGGTCAGCTTCTTTCGCCTTGTTGCGCCCGCGTCGAGTTCCGGGGCCGAGCATCACGTCACTTACCCGTAGGGGAGACGGAGGGATCGCTGCTTGCGACGAGCTCCCACGAGTCCTTGGGGAGAGTTAGAGAGCAATATGCGATAGCAGCCAAGCATTGCGCCTCGATTGAGGGCAAGTCAAAGGCAGGGCCCCACACATGCAGTTGCAGCTTCATTGTTGGGTTGCTTGGATAGTAGAGAAGGGCGGCGCGGGCGAACTGAGCCCGCGAATCACGTGTGTTTACGGCATGAAGTGCATGATCTACGTACCTTCGATTCGTAGATAATCTCCGGTTAGGTTTGTCAATATTCTACAATCCAAAGTTGATTATATTGATTTGATCTATTAATGTATTTATACTTTGTGGTCGACATGCTGACTCTTAGTTATTAATTGCAAAAGAAGTAAGCTTCATATTGTCCAGTTGTCGATCCTCATCCGAGGTCTGTCCACAACATTGAAGCCCGGAGTCACAGAACCTAAAAATACATAAAGACTTAAACCTAATTTCTAGATCATGTGCTATGGTCCATAAATGGTAAAACGAGGGTTTCGTCGTCGACAATCTCGTATTTAACCTGAGACATCCAACCCTCCGGTATTGGAAGTCGGTTTCTGTTTCATCCATAAGCTGAGCTCCCTAAACGGGGCCCCATCTCCGACCCAACCAGCCATACAGCCGCGATAAACGGTCATGACCTCACGACACACGTGGCTGCGCAAGAGCCCCTTCTTCAGCTCGAGCACTGACCAGAACCTCAGGAGAAAAGAGGAGTAAGACAGCCTCAAGAGAAAACAACCAAAAAGAAAGTTAAAAAGCAAAAACTCAAAGCCTGTTTCCCTGCGGGGCTCCACCTGGAAATAACATCAGGAACGCCTGAGATCGCAAGGCAACACACCCAAATCCTGTTCAAGGTGATGACGCCGAGACAATGTAGTTCGACCAACGGCTTTCACGGATGCTCGCACGCCCTAGGAACCTTCTTATTTAGTAATGGCCCGGGGCCTCACAGCCCCGCTGACACAGAGACTAGGCAACAAGACACAAAAGCAAAGCCTCGCTGATCTGATCTGATCTGACCTGACCTGACCTGACCTGAACCCGAATCAGAGGGAACATGGGAACCTGGGTTAACAGTGGAGAGAGGGGCAGGAAATCCGAGCCCTCCAATTGAAACCCATACCAATGACTTGGCTATGGGTCTCAGCCAAGACCCAAAATGACCAGCGAATCCTGCGCTCAGGCTCCGGTATCTCAGGCCGAAGAGGATGAATCATGAATGATGATTACGTCCCCACCCCAGGGGCCGTTGGTTACCGGATATATTGGATGCGTTGTCCTGCACGTGGATGGAAGCGGAGACTGAAGCGTCATAGCACCTGTCGCAGACAACGCCATGCATTCACGCGATTCTGCTATTCTAATCATTGATTAGAAGTGAGAATTACTTTGGCGTTTTGCGTTTTTAGGTACTTTTGCCTCTATTGTTTCATTGTATCGATTGCGCCACGAGGATCGGGGCGGGATAAGGTGGGATGTAGATCGGACCACCTCGATCGTGATTGACTGGATATTATTATTTACAGAGTTAACGAGTAAGATGTTTCTAGTGACTCGGACTGCTATTTCTCCGTGGCATAGCCTTGATACAGTAGACCGTTAAGGCATCCACTTTACGTCAGACCGTTTGGAAAATGGGCCGTTGCTTCCCTTCGCCTGAACATGACAGGAGCCCTATAGAAAAAACAGCGGCGTGGCGGGAGGACTAGTGAAACGGGCGGGGGTAAACTACCTGTTTCATAGTGCAGCTACTGCAGTCAACCAGGGAAGCCCTGGGGAGATAATGCACGACATTCTCGAAAAGATAAATTGCTCTGGGGTATATTAAGTCTATGATACATGCCGGTGATTCAGAATCGGCCCAATGCGGCTAAAGAACGAGATGAAAAAGAAAAAAAAAAAAAGAAAGAAAAAAAAACCAGATTACAAAGATTGAGTCAAATCGCGATGGCCAATCATGGCATGCAAAACAAGAAAAGAAAATGAAAGAAGAATGCGGAGCTTCAAATGACGCAAAAGTGATTGCAATGCAATCTCGTTTCCAAGAAACATCTGGAGACGATTCGTTAGCGCATCTGCAGGGAGATGCATTCTCCGCACCTGCGCGTCGCCATCAAAATCTCGCGAAATTGAACCCCGCACGGGAGATAAGTCGCGAAACTTGAAACGAGGCAAGTAAAATAGAAAATAAAAATAAAAGTGGCTATGAATGCGAGTGTGGGAACTCTAGCGCCGGCGCTGAGTCCCAGATTGAAGGAGGAAAAGCAATATAGGACCCGAAGCTCGTATTGGAGCTAGCTTTGATCCTCTGGGCGCGGGTCGCTGCGCTTTTGCTTTGCAGGAGTGGAGCGCAGGGAGAGAAAAGGACGTCGGAGCGCCCTTTGTCGTGTCGATACGTGGTATCGAGTCGGGGGGTGTGATTAAGGTAGTATTCCGAGAACAAAGAATCGTCAAGCCGAAACCAGGAAGTCGAGGTCATTCATTTCCATGGCGGAGAGAGGCCTCCCAAGTCGTGGGCGGAAGTTCGGATGAACTGGCGCCAGAGTCATCACGGTCATTGGGTTGGATTTATTTCGGCAGTGGAGGGAGAGGGCCCTTGGGTGGAGGACCGGGGCAGGGAGGGAACTGAGAGCCACCGATGGAAGGCATGTTGTGTATTGGTAGTTGGGAGGAGAGTAGTGTGGTAGCAAGGAACCTGAAAAGGATAACTTGGTGTAGAGCTTGGTGTGGTGTGGTTGAAAAGTGTTGAAGTGTGATTTATTGAAGGAGAAAAAAAAACGCGGAACGAGTGCTCTTATAGCAGATCTCAAACAGTATTACAGTAGGACTAATTTACTAGTGCACTAACCCTTTCCTACGAGCATCCCTGCCATGAACAGGAGGCTGAGTATCCACCTGATCTGACGTAGGAATTAATTGCGATTGACTTGGCCGATGAATAATGCAGCCCCAACTGGAAATCCAATGGAAATTCTCTAGTTTTTCTAGAAGCAGCTCCCCCACTCGGGACTCCCGTGTGGCGTTGCCTGTCGTTGGTGAACCACTAGTGGATTAGGGTATAGGGGGTGGGTTTGGGAAAAAAAAAAAAAAAAAAAAAAAAAAAAATTGAGACACGTCCTGATCCCAATTTCCGTATTTCTTCACTCTCATTTCCAAAATCAAGATTTCAGCGTTTACTTTGATTGCATTCAACACCTTGCCCTTTGCTGTATACTACGTGGTTTCACGGTGTTGCTACCCAGCAAATAATGATGCGCATGAAACCACGCGAGGTGACAACTGGTAATGGGCAATCTCCCGTGGCTCCACCAAGTCTCCATCAGGACTGAGGCGGTGAGCGGAGGAACGGAGACGACATTAGTTTTAATTTGATTTTTTGGCGAAATTATCGAATTTTCGTGTGCAACCCCATATCATATTACGGGACCCATTGTCGAAAGTCAAAGAAAATGGGCCCAAGCGGTCAACCAAACCACCGGGTTAGATCGAGAGTCAGAGGGAAAACAGGTCAGGGTCCATGGATACACGTGTGGACTTGTCGATCGTAAGATAAAGAAAGCAGCCCGTATTACTGCTCGTGGCGCAGGGGCTGAGTCGCTGATATGACACGTCAAAGATAACGAGGTGTAGGTTAGCTTTCTTATTACCTTATTCTGTTTATAGCCAATACTTAGAAGATAGTACGTTATGCCTACTTCGTATAAAGTACAATCTAATACAAAACAAGGGTTAACAGTCTCCCATCGGGACCCATTGTGGCCCATGGTTCTTACCCGTAGCGCCCAGCAAATAGAGTGCAGGTGATTATTGGATTACACTTGTGAGCAAAATTCTCCCCTTTAGCGACGAGGTTATTTTAGAAAGAGCCCTAAGTGGTCCCAAATTTGAGTCGTGCACGGAGAACATAGCCGAAGAATCTCCGCTAATCAGCTGTGGCTAGTGTGGAAGACGTAAGAATCATCTGCAGGATCCTAGCGTATATTGCATATCATCATTTTATTTTATGATGTACAGATACTTTGGGTAGGACAAAGCGCAAAGTACAGGATGTACCCCGTACAGACACGGGTGATCGTCTGCAGAGTTGTATCGAATCACAAAATTAGGCAGTTCATCAGACGCAACCCGGTTGATCACGTACATCAACTGGGGACACCTGGGAGATCGGTGTTTCAAGATGATGGGATCGACCTGCAAGAGTGTGGCGTGGTTCCATTGCGTGCTTAGTACATAGCCGATTGCAGTTCACCATAATGGATTACGAATCTCCAAATTGGAGACGTCCAAAAAGTCTCCGGTACCCACGGAAGGTTAGGATCTCCGCGCTCCCGAAATCCTATTTGTCTGGGAAAACATAGTACGAGTTATCGGGTGTCAATCTCACTGACAGATAGAAGAATCCTGCAAACCACATGACCACAGCCCTAAATGGTTATCAGGAACGGGATTTGAAACGGAACCGTGATCCTTGAACCTTGGAGAGTGGCCACACGGGTACCTGGCATAAGTTCGCGGCTTAAGCGGTTCCCACATCCCCAAAGCGAAAACACAAGTGGAGAAAGAGGGTGGCGACAGGGGACAGAAAACGGGAAAGTAGCAAGAGTAAAAAAACTGGACACGCTAACGAGTTCCAAACTTCAATAACGAGTCGAATCGGGTATGGTCAGGTACGCGAGTCTCCACTATCGATGGGGGTATCCATCCGTCGTTCCGCACCGTTGGAAACAGGTGTGGACCTCGGGGAAAAGGAGTGCGTGCGATTGGAAGTCGGAGTTTTTTCTCCTTTTCTTTCAAGATGAGAGCGGGTTGAGTTCTTTGATTCCCAAGATTTCCAAGGTTGGGGAGATCATCTTCGTGAATTGCCGTTTTGGTTCGGTATCGGGAACCGCACGTGGCGATACCCACGAGATCCACGATTTGACCACATAACTTGGGGAGATACGTATTCGGTCTGATCGCGAGACATTCGTCACTGCAATTCCATTTCTATCCGACTGGTCAGGGGCATGTTCTCGTAGATGGTCAATCTGCCGTGTACTGTACATTGCACAGACACCCCGACATGCCGTAGTCACGGGAGGAAAGTGGAGGCCACGGGTGGTTTCAAATCGAGCTCCACTAGATACTGTTTCCTGCCTACTTCACCTTCTGGAAAAAGAGCCGAGGTGACCACATGCTATATGCTCGGAGCCGCGAAGAGGTGGAACTAAAATACCCGCGGGAAAAAAACTGGGAAACGAAATCCAATGTCTTGATACTGTAGTCGAAAATCGCCAACCAAACCAAGACATGCAAACCATTTTAGCTCAGGAGCCGGGGGTGTGATGTCTTATGATTCGTATGTGCCTAGATCAGCCACAACTGTAGCCGAAGACAAAATCCCTCGCGACAATTGTGATCTGGACGATTCTAGAATCCTAGCCATGCACATCGCCCAGGGAATGACATATCCGCCACTTGCGTAACAGAATTTCCCACTGACTCACTGAGAGTCACCCCGGTAAGCTGACTGCATCCCCTGGGCACACTACAGCGGCTCGTTTGTTGATGGCCAGGGCATTGGCCGTAAAAATGACGCGTGATATACAACATATAGACCAATGATAACAAGCCTCGTCTCAGAAGAGAGGTCTTTGCGCACATAGAGCGGCATTTTCGGTAGGGCTGCAACTCTGCAATTTAGTTAGGTATGACAGGAGGCCCTACGGCGATCACGCCACCACCGCAGGTGTCCGTGTAATGCGGAGAAAGCTTGGTCATGAAAGACTCCCCCTCTACCGTGTTTCAGACGAGGGGCCTGAAACTAAGACACTTCAATCCTCACCGGCACCTTGTGCTTGTGTCGATATCCATTGCTCCATCAATGGCTGCTTAGGCTCCGAGGTTGCAACATTCGATCTTGCTTGGTCCCCCTTGCGCGAAATTATCAGACACAGCACCCACCCCGAGATGTTGAAGCTTTCGTAGTGTGTGTTGAATCCCAGCTTTTTCTCATCCGTATTTGCAGTTACCAGCAGGTCCGAAGCCTCTCTCTTTCTCTTCCGCGATGGAGGATCGTTGTCTGCACTGCCATCATCGGTCGCTTCGGGAATATCTCGCAAGTTGAACTCGGGATCGCTATCGCTGTCGACGACTTCTGGGTTTGCAGGATCTGCAGCTTCGAATATCGCTTTAGAGTCTCCATCTTCTGTTTTTCCTGCCGAATCGAAAGTTTTATGTCGCGTCAAGAGAGAATGGCGGGTGCGTGATTCGCGAAGGAAGATGCCGACTTCGAAGTCATCTGTATACCGTGACTTAGCTCAAACTCATGCTCACAGGGTAACTGGAACGGTAACTGGATCGAGATACCTTCGGCGATGACATCCTTGGTGACCTTGCTCTTCTTTCGAAGAAACCGTCGTTCATTCTCCTCCCGCAACTTCGGCAACACCAGCGGTCGGATCGCGTCGAACACTCGTGGGAGAACCGGGTATTGAGGGTTGAGAAGCCAGCGACTATCGGACGGGTTGTCTAGATATATGCGACATTCCAGCACAGAGTATTTGCTGATGCGCAGGTAGCGGCGGATGGGAGCCATGGTGACGTAGAACTAGGGATCATGAAGCTCGGGCGGCGCAGGTGAGCTCATGGATGCCAAGCTTCGCCCCAGATGCTCTGATTGGCGACCGGGGACAAACGTCCATCATCCCTGACATTAACTCCTCAGCTTACATCTCAACTTGTCGTTTAAAAGTCTGAGACCTGACATCCTTCATAAACTTGGCCATGCCTTCCACTTGCATTGCGAGAAATGGTCCATCTCTAATATACTGTAGTGCTCTGATTACGTGATGGCCAACTACCGCGAACGGAAAGGGACCGTCCCCAAGGTCCTCACCCGCCGCTCCGAAGAAGTCTAAGTACCGGGTACTTCTGGTCACACCGTAAACTACATTCCACGCTAAGTACCTAGTACCTCATACACCACTGCAACAACGGCTTTCCAACCCCCAAGGTCCCCATGGATCCCACTGCACTCCCCCGCTAGGTACCGGGCTATGATTTTTTTTTTGTCTTCGCTAAATTTTGATCATTCCTTATTATCTGCTTGTCTTTCATAGCGTTTGCCTTGGTCCAATCAATCTCTCGTTATTCATCGAGACGATCTGTGGGAGTTCAGCCACCAAGGTACTCACCACCTCCGGAGACGAATTCGGAAAACGCAGGACTCGAATTCGTCAAGGACTTCCAATTGAACACAACAACGTTGCCAAGAGGGTTAAGTTGTTTCTACTCGTGGTTTCGTGCTTTGAGTTATCTGCATTCGCTGCATTAGCCTTCAATTCTCGGCAGGCCAACCTGGTTGTTTTCCGCGCTAGTCATTGGGTCTCGTCTCTAGTTGAGGACCTTGGGGGTTACAGCCAGTGCAACTAGCAGCACACAAATTTTTCAACCCCTCCACGTCAATTCGACCTGCCCGCTTTTCTCACAAGGTGCTCACTCGTCCTTGGATTTGATTGAACCTTGTCGGCAAATCCTTTGATCTCATTGATCCTCGCAGGATCTACTTCTTAAGATCTATCGTCAAGATCTTATCCGGGATCCACATTCCCGGCGATTCGAAGAGCCTCGACCAGAGATCCCTGCCGTCTGATCATTATGGACATGGAAGCTTACAACGCCGTTCTCAAGCGGGATTCCTGCTCCAGTGGGAATGACTACGATGGTCGCATGGGCCTGCGAATCTCTTCTATTTTTGTCATTTTGATCGGATCTACCTTTGGTGCCCTCTTTCCTGTCGTTGCTAAGAGATTCAGCAAGCACGGCGGTGCCCCCGCATGGGCCTTCTTCATCGCCAAATACTTCGGATCCGGTGTTATCATCGCGACTGCTTTCATTCATCTCCTGGCCCCGGCCGAGGAGGCTCTGACCAATGACTGTCTCACTGGCGTCATCACGGAATACAGCTGGGTCGAGGGAATTGTGCTTATGACGATTGTGGTCCTTTTCTTCGTGGAATTGATGGTGATGCGATTTGCTCGCTTCGGTACCGGTCATCTGCACGATGAAGAGGGACACTCCCACGTCCAGATCGAGGCAGTTGTTCCAATCGCTCAGGAGGTGAATGAGACCAAACACTATGTTCCAGGAGAAGATCACTTGGGTCACACCCGTGAGCACCACGATGCCGACGATTCCGAGAAGGAGAAGCAGGCGATCGAGGACTACACCGCTCAGCTTACATCGATCTTCATCCTGGAGTTTGGTATTATCTTCCACTCTGTGTTCATTGGCCTTACGCTTGCTGTGACCGGAGCCGAGTTTATCACTTTGTACATTGTCCTCATCTTCCACCAAACCTTCGAGGGCCTGGGTCTTGGCGCCCGTCTTGCCCAGGTCCCCTGGCCCGAATCCAAGCGCCTCACGCCCTACTTCCTTGGTATGGGCTTCGGAATTTCAACTCCCATCGCCATCGCTATTGGCCTCGGTGTTCGCCAGAGCTACCCGCCAGATTCGGCTAAGACGCTGATTGTCACCGGCGTGTTTGACTCCATCTCTGCTGGTATCCTAATCTATACCGCTTTGGTCGAGCTATTGGCGCACGAGTTCATGTTCAGCCCAGCTATGCGCCAGGCCCCCATCCGCGATGTGCTCCTCGCCTTCCTACTGCTGTGCTTGGGAGCTGCCTTGATGGCACTCCTGGGTAAATGGGCCTAATCTTTGATTTGCACATTTACTATATCTTTAACGACCTGCAAATGACTTTCAGCCAAAAAAGAAGACAAGTGTGTTTATGGACATACTTCTGGGTGTATCCCATGAACATGCATATGATACCCATTCGTTCATACTTCGGCGTTTACTATCTTATTGAAGGCTCCCTCATTTTGTATTTCGAACAATTTGTGCCGCGAGATTTATCAAAAGTCAATCTATCCATATTTGCTCTAAAACATCCTTATAAATAGCTCACGCGACAGTACGATTTTTATTTGCGAGGCAGGATCAAAGGATAAGACCTGCATCACTCCAACCCCGCATTCCGCCAATCATTGCCCAAGCAGGACCAACGTGGTTGACACTGGAATGTAGATCAGTCCCAAACCGGTCACTTCTTGATCTTCCTGGTCTGCGCCATCCGCAAAAGGTTGCCTATCGCCGAAGCTTGGCGGATGGTTTAGAGTTGTACCACCTTGATTCGGCGATCAGAGAATCCCCGCTCAGGATTTAGCTCGACAAGGATCACACGTCTGCTAATCCGGTCTTCTCCCCCTCTTTCGTTTCTTCCTTCTTTCACTATGGATATCCCTGCCAACGGCAAAATGGTGACTGGATTGTCAGTGGATGTGATTCCCGGACGTGGGTCCAAATCTGATGCTACTAAAACCGAGGTTCAAGACAGTTTTGAACACGATGCCGAGCCCTCACGCGAGGTCTCGAGAAAGCGTCAAAGCCTGTCCGATATCTTTACAATTGTGGGTGGGCCGTGGATCTCACTTCATGCTCGCACTGAGGACTTGATCACTGACGAATGTCCATGTTCTATGAGTAGTTCGCAAGCGGTTTTGCGCTGATCAGCGATGGATACCAAAACAACCTCATGTGAGTCTGATCTCAAGTGAGAACTGTACCAGTCTACTAATCCTTCGCTCACAGGACCATGACCAATGTTCTCCTCAAAAAGGAATACCCCAAAGAGTACACATCAACCGTGAGCACTCGTGTGTCTAATGCACTGCTAGTCGGTGAGGTTATCGGTCAGGTTGTCATAGGGTGAGTATCTTCTACGAAAGCTCTTGGGAGAGGTCTTGTTGACTTGAGCCAGTCTGACTTGCGACTATCTCGGTCGAAAGACCGCTATCATTTTTACAACACTAATGATTGTCATCGGTGGAATTCTTGCAACTGCATCTCATGGAGTTACCATTGACGGCATGTTCTGGATGATGACAGTGGCGCGTGGTGTGGTGGGTTTCGGTATAATAACCCCCATACCTGGAACACTCAATTCAATGCTGACCTAGATTAGGTGCTGGCGGCGAGTACCCTGCATCGTCAACTTCCGCCTCGGAGTCTGCCAATGACTTGACACCCAAGCATCGTGGTCCAGCTTTCATCATGGTGACCAACTTCCCGTTATCTTTCGGTGGGCCATTTGCGGTATCAATTTTCCTGATTGTACTGATGACCTGTGGGCAGTCCCACTATAGCACCGTGTGGAGGGTATGCTTTGGGATCGGATGTATCTGGCCACTGTCCATCTTCTACTTCCGAATTCGTATGCTGAACTCGGCACTATATCGTCGTGGTGCTATCAAAAAGCATGTACCTTACATGCTCGTTCTCCGGTACTACTGGAGATCGCTCATCGGGACCTGCGGTGCTTGGTTCCTCTACGGTGAGATCTACTACCCACCGTGAAGTGTAAAACTAATTCGTACAGACTTTGTCACTTTCCCGAACGGTGTTTTCTCAGGCACAATCATTTCATCCGTTGTTAAGGACGGCACAATCCGCTCGACAGCCGAATGGCAACTTCTACTCGGAGCAATCGCCCTCCCAGGTGTTTTCCTCGGCGCTCTCCTCTGCGACCGCGTCGGACGCAAGAACATCATGATGATCGGCTTCAGCGGGTACCTAGTCTTCGGGCTGATAATTGGCTGTGCATACCATCAAATCACCAAGATCATCCCGCTTTTCATCATCTTTTACGGACTAATGCAGAGTTCTGGCAACTTTGGTCCAGGAAATATGCTCGGTCTGCTTTCATCCGAGTCATACGCCACAGGTGTACGAGGAACGTGCTATGGTTTTTCAGCTGCGGTCGGAAAAGCCGGTGCTGCTGTTGGAACGCAGGCATTCCAACCTATTCAGGCTCGACTGGGCAAAAACTGGACGTTCATAATTGCGGCTATCTGTGGCGTTGTGGGTGTCCTAGTGACTTATTTCTTTGTACCCGATCTTTCCGGTGAAGATCTGCGAATCCGCGATGAGAAATTTCGAGCTTATCTTGTTTCTAAGGGGTGGGATGGTGCCATGGGTGAAGACGATCTTCAGGCCGCTGCGGATCAGGGGATTCCCCCGGTGATTGCCCAAGAGAGCGCGCCCGTGAAGGAGGGTTAATCGTTACGACGATGGCCTCCAAGTTAAGGTCTAATGGCAATTAAAAGACTAAACTTGCTCTTCTTAAATAGGAGATCAATAACGTAGAAAAAGATATTTACGACGTACAGCATTACATCTTAATTTCTTAAATCTCCCGTGTCCCACCCAACCTGATAGACCCACACCTCCGCACCTCCAACTCCGCCCACGTTTCCTCTCCAATTCCCCTTTCCTCAATTCCTCTCAACACACCCTCCAAACCACACAATCCACCATGCGTCTCACAACCATCCTCCTCTCCCTCGCCTCCCTGGCCGTCGCCGCTGAGCTCGGCATCGAAACAACCCACTCGGTCGAATGCACCCGCAAGACCCAGAAAGGAGACAACGTCTCCATGCACTACCGCGGAACACTGGCGGCAGATGGCTCCAAGTTCGACGCAAGCTATGATCGCGGTGTGCCGCTGAACTTCAAGCTTGGAAGTGGTCGTGTTATCAAGGGGTGAGTTTGGGAACAATTGAACCTGCCCAGACCTAGCCTGAACCCATGGGTTGTCAATTGAGGCAATCTTCACTGTCACTGTTTCGTACCTTTACTAATTTTCTTAATAGATGGGACCAAGGTCTCCTTGATATGTGTATCGGCGAGAAGCGCACCCTTACTATTCCCCCCGAGCTTGCTTACGGCGACCGTGGCGTTGGTCCTATCCCCGGTGGATCGACTTTGATCTTCGAGACCGAGTTGGTTGCTATTGATGGTGTCAAGAAGGATGAGCTGTAAATGTTGAATGAAATGTTTATATGGTTGCCTTGGGGGCTTTATGATGATTTGATCCTGAATGGAAACGAATCCATGGATCCTTGACCATTTTACGTCGAGACATGATTCTATTGTTTTTTCCGAGCATATACCTGATGGCTTGGCTTACGAATGAATTGATATTCCGAAGAACTTGAAAGTTGGTATACATATCACCTATGATCAAAATTCCCCACAGCCACGCCGTAATACCATGAGCACCACACTCAGGTCAAAATCGAGGGAAGTCAAGGCTTCCCCAAAACCAAACCCTCGGGATCAAGAACACCCCTTAATCCCTCCATCGACGTATGATCCCTTGCACCACCCATCCGATGAAACCAGCTAACAACCTTGCCCCCATCCCCGCCAGGAGCGGACTCGAAAAGGAACTCTCCGCCATTTTGACCCGTTTTACCACCCTTGAACATAAGCCCCGTACCCGCATGCTTAACCCAATTGAAAAACGACTCCGCAACAACACAAGCCATGTTCTTACGGAAATACGCCGGACGAGGCCCCATAGCCTTAGAAACAACCAACTCGAGCTCCGTGTACAGCTTCATGCTGGGATCGGTATAGATGGGGAATGGACAATTTGTTTGTCTGACGTATGAATCTATTAGACCAGGATCTCCGAGGCCGACGATGACAATTGAGGTTGGTGTTGGGAGGGTTTGGAGGCTTGTAGGAGATATTTTCGAAAGGGCGGTAATGAATTCCCGGCAGCTCTAGTAACCTTACGTTAGCTTGAAGCTATAAGGCTTTCATGATTGGCGAGAAAACATTGCAGGAGAATGAAATCAGATATAAACATACCCCACAGAAAAAGTGGCGGATGAAGACGACCAGAACACGCTCGGAGTCGGGTCCGTCATAGATACTTTTGAATGAATGCTGTTCTCCCTTGCGATCTAAGACTGTGTACTCGCGGATCTTGTTGAGTGTCTCTGCGGATGGTGGTGTATCAATTGCTATGTCCTTGACATCGTCCGTCGTTTTCATGGCCATCGAGTGGGTCAATTTGTCTGTTTGTGTGCGCGATGTGAACTTTTCACTCATCCTGATGAGATGCAAAGCCTGTGCAATTGGAATGGATTAGGAGAAGTCGAGAAAATGTTGACTGACGTGTGCGAGCTGAAAACGCGTGGGCCATGATCTGCAGATCGTCACTATCATCGACAGATTTGAACATTTTGCTAAATTAGTATGCAATAACGGTCGGTGTACTGTTGGTAAAGTCTTCAATCGTTGGCATCAATCTTCTAAATAGGGTTTTTAAGGAGTAAGGGACTAAAAGCAATTTGAGAGTACGGCATTGTTCGTGCTTAAGCTTTAAATCTATACGTATCACAATGTACGATGGTGGCTGGATCCACTATTGAATACCCGAGCATTGACTAAAAATTCATTATTGTTTTTCGCGGCAGCGTGATCGAGTTGACAATAGATTTGATTTCTCTGACACCAGTGTTTGATAAGTACTACTATCAAATTCTGCGGTATACCCGAATTCCCTGCAAAACAGCCGCGAGAATCGTCGAGAATTCAATACTATACGAGCGAATTTCGCTGCATGTATCTGCATCAATAAATTGACGACAGGCGGGTCTGTATAGAACAAGCATCGCAATAACCAATAACATAGCCCTGCGTTAGTTTAGTAGTGTAGGCAAAGAGCTTAGGAGGTTACGTACCCAAAGACAGTCGATGGGGATAAGTCTAGATTATCCTCAGCTCTAGGGCTAGGGCGATTATCCATTTCCGAAAGAATTTCGGATCCTGCATGGGCATCGATAAGAGGGGATGATTTTGAGTCCATGTTGATATATAATATTTGGTGATGAATGTGGAGTATGAGAGGTGGAAATCGAAGGATTGTTTGCATAGGATTGAATGGAGTCTGGACCAATGGTGAAGAGCCAAGACGAGAGCCAAGACGGATATCGAGGAAACTTAAACTGTCCTTACGGAAGATATAATGATTGGTATGAGAGACAAGCTAAGTGATAGCAAAGCCTCCCTTTACCTACGTATGCAGCTTATCCTAATCCAAACGGAGCTCTACGCTCTATGCCGTTGTTTGCCTAGTTACTCGACTAGCTTGAAAAAGTCCTCCTTCCCATATTGCCGGGGCTTGAAAGTGGAATTCGGTAGATTAATCAAACATTTCTTTGTCCGAGCAACTTACTAGTACGTACAAGGCATACACTCCGTGGTTACATAGCCTTCGGTTAATAGAGCTAACGAGCAAGCTATCGAGAATCAGACAAGGTCGGCAGGAGTAGGACCCACCCTAAAAGCTCGGATCCGAGCTGGTCTTCATTATGGAGTTTGGGTTTATTTTTAGTTTCATTGTTATTTGGATAACAATTCATCCCAATTCAAGGTTTCATTATTGGTCGCGTATGTGACAAGGTAATCGATTCTATTGTACAGTAGCCATGATCCGAAATTAACAAGGGTATTTCAACTGTAGAATATGTGCAAAATGTTCAAAAGACCGGGAAATGAAATGCACATGTACAAGCCCGAGTCTAGTCGCAATGTTGATGTGCAAAATATACTGAGCCCCAGCGCCAGTTTATAATGTTCTATACCTTTCATCGGGCAGCTTTTGTGCGTGGATGACGAGCCAGCGTATGCTTCAGCCTTGGTTTCTCGGTGCAACCCGGCCAGTCTTGCCCAAGTCACCAGTCTTCAAGAATGGACCAACTCAATCCATCGCATCCAAAGCATTCTCAGCCAAGGCATCGTTCTCCGAAACCAAAATTCCAATCAAACACTCACTCAAGATTCCATCCCAATTCACCCAAGGATGAACCTCCTGAAACAACTTCGCCGAGTCCTTCCCTGCTCCTCTCAAAAGTTCACCCTTGCCACCAGGGTGGTACGGAACATAGGGACTAATATTGTACACCTTGCCCAGATACGAAGTCCAAGCATCGCGACCCTTCCGCCCATTCTGCATTTTCAGCATGGAAGGCGTGACACGCAGATAACCGGGTGGGACATCCTTGCCCCGGAGCTGGTTGTTCGGTTTCGCGGCGAGTGCGGCCCAGTCCAGCGGTGAGAATCCTGGCTCAAGGACAACTTTCTTGGAGGATTTCTTTAGCGATACTGGTGTAGGCGCTAGAGTACTGCTGCTTAGACCGGTGCTTGTCGGAGCGAGTCGCGCTGATGCCGCTGAAGAGAGTGGTGTGCGGGGGGAGGTGCTCATGCGCGGTGGCGCGAGGCCTCCGGGAGTTCGATTTGGTTGGGGGGTTTGACGGGGACGTAGGCCTGGTGGCGGAGGGGGAGGCATCAGGGATGAGGTATTGGGCAAAGGCTTCAAGGAAGGCGGAGCCAGAGACGATTCTTTGGATTCTCTTTCATTGCGACCGAGTGGCGCTACCGGTGTTGATCCATTCATGCTAGGTTGTGCGGGTGGCTCGATCGCGCGAACGGATTCCTCGAGGTTCAAGGAAGGCACAGCCAGTACCGGTGTAGGAGGCACTGGTGTTAAAGCCTTGGGAGTTGTTTGCGGGCTTTCTGTTATTTCAAAGGATGGAGGGGCCGCGGGGCGGTCGTTCGGTTCAGGTTCAGGTTCGGATGAAGGAGACGGAGTGTCGGGTTCGGAATCCGGAGAGTTGAGAGTAGAATTCCAGGTTCGAGGAGGATAACGATAAAGAATGTATGCAGTGGTTGCGATCAGTGTGACCACGCCTACCCAGCCCATACCGGACTGACTTGTAGATGTGTGAAGGTTCAAGGGTTTAGATGATTCTGATCATCTTCTCCCCGATTCGCCGACGGAGGTGGTCTGTGCGCCAAGATGATCTATGAGCACATGCTTAAACCTGCCTGTTGGCGTGAGATGATTTTGAGACTGAATGTCAAGTTTTAATGGCAATTAGTAATTGGGTAAAATTTCCATGAGATAGACACTATGCGTTAGGCAACTGAGCAATAAAAGAGTGGGATAGAATGAATATCTCATGATCTCCATCGGAGCAGAATTGAGAGACAACCTCAACATTGGGACCGAAGCCAGCGATTCGTTCATATCAAAACAAAGGATAGGTATGATCTTGTAGAAATGTACATATTAATATAATGTGTACTAATGGGAGGCGTTCATGATGTCAGTCCGCCATCACTGGAGGCAAAGAAATTGCCGAAGCTCAGTTCACAGACGTGTTTTATCCTAGGATAGTATGGTCCTTGCACACAAGGCCGTGAGGGATAAAGTGCTCTGGAAAATAGTCATGGCCACGCCCGACGAAGTGGTGCTCTTTGACCTCGGAGCAGGTCAAGTACAGCCCCAAAACCTCAACAGCTGATCGTCCAACTGATTACTTGGTGAGGCAGGCCAAAGGATCAAGGAATAACCAGGAAGATCGATGCACGGTCATCCTGCCGGAGCAGTTCCCCGCCGAAACGAAGGACAGGCTAGTCTTCCTTGCAATATACGATGGGCAGTAAGGAATCTCAGGGGCCACTCATCACCTTCCTCATTTTGACTGGTTATATAGTGGGTCTGCATGGGTGGCAGAGCACGCCAGCAAGAAGTTACACCATCTCTTGGCTAAGCGACCCGAATTGAAGAAAGGGGACTACGGCGCAGCCCTCAAGGCTGCAGTGGCAGACGAGGACGCTCTGTTGCTGGAGGCATTCAAGCATGATTCAGCCGAGCCTGCGACCTCCGGATCGACTGCAGCAGTATGTCTGGTGAACCTCACACAAGGTGAATTAATCGTCTCCAACCTAGGCGATTCGCATGTTATCCTGGCGGAGAGAGATCCCAAAACAGAGCGTCCCTATCATATCGTACGGGCCCGGGCTACTGCAAATACCATAGGTGGAAAATAACAAAGACTAGCGCCGACTCACGGAAGAGCACAAGCCCGAAGAGCCCAGAGAACGACGACGTATCGAAGAAGCCGGGGGCGAAGTCGCTATGCGTAGTGGCATTGCCCGGCTCGGTAAGTATACATTTACCCGCGCTCGGGGAGACGATAATGACCGGAGATAGGGTCTCTTAATATGTCGCGGGCTCTAGGCGATTTGCAGTACAAGAACCCTGTCAAAGAGAGACAGGACTCAAATCCCTGGCCCGGGGTCCGGCGCGGTTCGTCGTCATCGGCAGGGGATCTCCTGTCCAACGACCCATTTACGTCGCGACGAACGCTGCAGGCGGACCGACGCTATCTGCTAGTGATCGTATCGGATGGAGTCAGTGATAGCACCGAGGATGCAGCCCTGATTCAACACGTGATGAATTTAGCAATGCGGGGAAGGCGGGCCAGTGAGGTCGCACAAGAGGTTGCCACTAAATATACTCGTCATGAGAGGAGTGATAATGCCTCGTGTGTCGTGGCCATGTTAGATGGGCAGAGATCGTAGAAGGGTTCGGAGATGGTTCCCTGTATAATTAAGGAAAAGCAAAAGACCCAATGTGATAACCTTTCTTTTTGAGCTGGAACGGGGTCCACACTGGGGCGCCAATTGTGTTATGCATGTAGTGGACCACTAATGGCGCGGAACGCAGGATCCTGCTTATCCGGAAGAAGAAGGTGGTTTCGATTTTGTGCAAATCGTGTGTTCTATGTCGTTCGTCCTTCTTATTTAATCCTAGAGTCGAACAGGGTTTAAACTATGGTGCGACAAGCAGATTTTTCTCTTTCACATGGAACAACTCCAAATATTCCAAATCAATGTAAAAAATCGGTGACTCCACTCCGATAGCGCACCAATCTACGACCCGGGCGGTTTGCCGTTAAGGGAATCTGCTGTTCGCTCAGTGGCGTTTTCTCGTGTCGCATTCGTATACTACCCTACCTCGTCTATGCACGATCCTAGAGTTTAATTTATCCATTCTTATTCTCAAGGCCTTCCATGAATCATGGAACATATTCTTAACTGTTACAAATTGGCAGCTGGCAAACTGGCAAACTCCTAAAATCTGGATAATCGTTCTCCCTGTGACTAAAAGATCCGCCTGACAAGGTTATCTCCATGATGACGACAAGTACCAATTAAGCAGGCGGATAGTTCCAAAGTCGCTTCGCTCCGTCGGAGTGGACCGCTGCTCCTTCGCCGCCACCAACCATCGCCTGCATAGCGTCTGTGCCCTTCAACGTGTACTGAACGAACCCCAGAGGCTCCAAGGGGCCATCGACGGCACAATCTGCGAATTCCCCGGCAATCCTGATTAGGCAGGCGATGAAATCGGTTCAGGTGGAGATCGATAAGTCAAGCAATGAGGAAGATTCGGCACTAACCACCTTCCCTAACGGTCAATCCTGAAGAGAATCTCGCCATCTGAGCCTGGACCTCCGGTTCCAAGTAAAAAAGCCCTTTCCCGCCCGCTTTCTTGTTTTCATACTTCGGACACCATTTTCGACTTCTCCTTTCCAATGAGTTCAACAAAGACTCATACTCACTCAAAATCAGCCAGCATGACGTGGAGTAACTTCCATGTTGGCAGAGACTGCGGTCATGTCAAGTGGTCTCGAAACATCACACCCAAATTAACAGTCTCATCCGGCCAGACTGTCACGTTTGATGCTATTGATAGTAGCAACGGCCAACTGACACAAAGCTCGGATGCTTCCGCCATTGGCACATTGGATCTCGGCATCGCCAACCCCGTTTTCGGCCCGATCTATGTGCAAGATGCGCAGCCTGGCGATGTCCTCAAAGTCGAGGTGCTCAACCTCGAAGTCGCCGACTGGGGTTGGTCAGCCATTATCCCCGGCTTCGGTCTTCTGGCCGATGAATACCCAGAGCCCGAAATCAACATCTGGTCTCTCGACCGCGAGAAGGGTTATGCACAGCTCAAGGACGTGCGGATTCCTCTCCGGCCCTTCCTCGGCTGCATGGGGCTGGCCCCCGGTAGCGAAGAAGAGCTCTCAACTGTCCCCCCCACCAACCACGGCGGCAACATGGACTGCCGTGAACTCGGCGTAGGCTCGACTGTCTACCTACCAGTCCAGACTACCGGTGCCCTCTTCAGCTGTGGTGACGGGCACGCTGCGCAAGGTATGGGTGAGGTCTGCGGTACTGCCATCGAAACTCCCATTCGAGCTACTTTTCGTTTTGAGGTCTGCAAGAACCAGCCTTGGGTGACCGCGCCCCAATACCAGACTCCGCCGCAGTCTCAAATACCCAACCCACTTCCGGATCTTGGAACCTATGGCGCTCTCGGAGTATCGTCGGATTTGTTCCAGGCCGCAAAGAGCGCCACACAGAACCTCATTCAGTGGTTGGTCTCCACTAAGGGTCTGACCCGGAGCGAAGCCTACATTCTGGCAAGTGTTGCCGGTGACTTGCAAATTGCGGAAATTGTCAACGTGCCCAACTATGAGGTATCGATGAGTGTTCCATTGGGCATTTTCAACTAATTGGGAATAATTTGGGGGAAGTTTTGAAGGTCGCGATGTGATACCCAGTGCTTGGATGACCTGTTTTTTATGTAAATATCATCATGCTTGAGCCTTTTAATGTCGTGTCATATGAAGCGGAGTGACGGCCTACTAATAATGCATCTAAAGAATTCATGAATATAATCTGAATGTTGACAATCTAAAGTATGAGCTAGTAATGGTTTCTGAGACACAATCAGCCAATTGCGACCGGGAGAAATCAATGATGTGAGAATGTATTGTTTACCCCTTTCATTAGACAGTTATTTTCATAGAAATGCAAATCGTTATGTGTAATGGAACTCTGCATACTCGTCACATGACAGCGCGTGTTGTCGCGTACTCGGGAACCAACCAAAGCGGCTCCTCTCCATATTCCAGCTAGAGGTCATGGATCATGGACCCCATCCTCGATGGTCTGAATCCTGCCCAGCGACAGGCAGTAACATCTCCTGATCCAATTTTACAAGTTCTCGCCCCTCCAGGCTCCGGCAAAACAAAGACCTTGACAGCACGCGTCGCGTATCTTCTCTCTCATCATGGATATTTGCCTCAAGATGTTATATGTTGCACGTTTACCATCAAAGCGAGTCGGGAGATGCGCGAGCGTCTCTCGAAGCTGGTTGGAGAGCGCGTGCAGTCGCGTCTGATTTTGGGTACCTTTCACTCTATCTGTCGGCGGTACCTAGTCAAGTATGGATATTTGATTGGTCTGAGGAAGGGGTTTGGCATTGCGGATTCGGATGACAGTCGAGGTATTCTTCGAGTATGTCAAGTTTATTCTCTTCAATTTGCTGTCACATTGCTCATGTTGTCATAGCGTATCATCAAACGGCTGAAGTCCTCCATGGAGGTTAAAGCTGCGCAAAGTCGAATCTCCCGTCACAAGGCTCATGGACTTGGACCAGATGACCTGGTCGAGCGGGTCAAAGCCGAGGAGCTGGAGCTGGTGGATATCTACCGCCAGTATGAATCGGGACTTGCAGCATCAAACCTCTTGGATTACGATGATCTGCTGGTGAGATGTGTGCAGCTTCTCAGAGAACACCCTGATTGCGTGTCAAATGTGCAAGTGGTGCTTGTGGATGAGTTCCAGGATACGAACATCATTCAATATGACCTGATGAACCTTTTTGCGTCGAGGAATCGGCGCATCACAATCGTCGGAGACCCCGACCAGAGCATCTACGGGTTTCGGTCTGCGGAGATTCAGAATCTGAAACGAATGCAGAACAGATATTCGAACACCTCGATTGTACTTTTGGAATCCAATTATCGTTCCTCGGCCTCGATCTTGAAATCTGCTCAGGAAGTCATTGAACAAGATACTGCGCGTCCGGATAAGAAACTACAACCGACCCATTCACACGGAACTATGCCTGTACTAAGAAAGCTTCCTCATGCCAGTGCGGAAGCGCACTGGATGGTTCTTGAAATCAAAAGATGTATGGCTATGACGGGCGGTGTTCTGCGCATGTCCGATTTTGCGGTGCTGCTGAGATCTGCCTCACTATCGACTCGGATCGAGACAGCATTTGGGCGAGCAGGTATCCCGTATAAAATGGTCGGCGGTCGCAAATTCTTTGATCGGACAGAGGTCAAGACCTTGATCAACTATATGAGGATTGTAGGTCATCCCGACGGCACCGACGCTCTGCTTGGTATTATTAATGTTCCACCACGAAGAATTGGAGACGAGACGATCAAGCAATTGACCAATGGTGCGGAAAAAGCCAATATTCCCCTTTGGACTTTCATCAAGGACGTTATTCAAGGCCGCCGATCGACCGAGAAGAAGCTGCAAAAGGCCGCAGAGCTGGGACTCTGTTCGCTAATGAAGCTGATCGATGCGTCGAAGCAGAAGCTACAAGAATGTGAAGATGCATCGGCACCTCGCGTGCTCCTCGAGTTTATCACGGAAAGCCTTTCGTTCCAGGAATATCTTGTTAGGACCTATCCCCTGGATGAAGACGGTCGCTGGGCGAACGTCAAAGAGTTGATGGGTCAAGCCAATGAAGCTGCATTCTCCACCGACGACCCGGGTCAAGAGGAAGACCTGCCCGAAATAGAGGGAATAGAACAACAGAAAGTGCATGCTGGCGAAGAGGCATTGTCTCGTTTCTTGGCTAATGTTGCTCTTGCGACTGAGGCGACTACAAAGGATGAAGGGGAGCAGGTGACGGAGAAGGTCACTATTTCCACCATTCATGCAGCCAAAGGGCTGGAATGGCCAGTTATCTTCATTCCCGCCGTATACAATGGAAGCATCCCGCATTCTCGAGCAGAAGTCATCGACGAAGAGAGGCGTCTACTTTACGTCGCGATGACCAGAGCTCAAGCCCTGCTATACATGAGTCTACCACTCAGACAGGCTCGAATGGGTGAAGGCGAGGATTCATCTACCACCTTAACATCGTTTCTACCCCCCAAATTGATCAAGAATCGGTTCCGTCCGATGGGACCTCAGTTGCTGGAAAATGTTGTGTACGCCATTGCTGATATTCTGCGACGACCACGACCCGCTGTGGAAGACATGTACAAAGAATTGGGCTCTCTTCCGTCAACACTGGATGATCAATGGACCGCTGAGGGCGAAGAGAGGAATAAGGGCGGCGATTCCGAATGGAAGACATCCCTGGGACCTGATCTGGGAGAACCCAACCCTAAGAGACGCCGTTCGGACATGAATCAGCCGACTACCACCACATACATGTCAGCAGGTGGGCAAGGCATGGGTAGCTCGTCCAATTTCATGGTCTCTACCACGCTCAGCTCCGGATTCTCGTCTGCTCGTGACTATATCACGGCCAACCCGGAAGCTATCCAGGCAACAACGGAAACCAGCAAGGCTGCTCCAGAAACTGCCTCAGCCAGTCAGGCGAAGAAGAATACTACACGCAAAGACGGACTCAGCCAAGCCAGCATCTCCAACTTTTTCGGCGGGCCAGGATCCTCCCCGAAGAAAGCGTCCGCCCCAACCAAGCCGACCCAACCAGCCCGACCAACCCAGCTGACATCACAAACTCCGCGGCCAGGCTCCCATACTGTTCCGCCTACGCTCTCCTCCCACCGTCTCCAACCACGACCGCTGCAGCCTACGCGACCAGCCTTGGAAACCGCGGAGCCTAACAAATACACGTGGCTGGCGGCTCCGTCCAGACCTACGGTGAAACCTGCCCGGATGCTGACCCAGCCTCCGAATGGAAACAACACGGTGGACACAGGGACCAGGGCGGAAGAGGTGAAACAGGAGAGCTCCACCCGCGGTGTGCAATCCGTGACATTTCATACGACTACAATGACCACTGTTCAACAAGCCCAAGCTTCGGGGCGACGGACATTAGGGATCCGGCGGAGTATGAATGGATGGGAGGAGCGGATGAAGCGGGACGGCGGGGGCCAAGTACGTGGAGGCAAAGCAGACTAGAACGTTTAACATATTCTATTTATTTTCGACCTCTCCATTAGCTGTGTGAGGACCCAACCCACGTCTGGCCAACTCAGCGCGGAATCGAGTGGAGAAAAGCGATAATTGACTCGTTGCCCAAGCAAATCAGGGATCAAGGAAATCCGGTCTGGGGAGTGACGCACGTACATGCTGGGTATAGAGACAATCATGAGCTATGCGGTGAATCCATTCTCATGACCCCATTCACCAGGTTGATCATCCGGCTCCCCATATTTCTATTGGATCAGAGTCGCGCTATCTAGAGGTATCCGCAATGATCAACTGTACCTGAATAATTCGGGGGGGATTCTGGACCGAAGTGGAGCGGGAAGTCGGTGAGGCCCCTGGATCATTGACATCACCTAACACAGTATGTACGTGTAATCCCTTCGAGCGGTGAGGCTGAGGAATTCCATACACACGAATACCCTCAATACGGGACTAGGATGCGTTGAGTTAGTTTGGATAACAAAGACCCTATTTCTGGAGGAATGGCTGACTCATCATTATTGGCTCCACCGGGCCGAGTGCGTGGTCATTGGCTGCCCTGCTTTCGGCTTGAAATCACAACCAATCATGGGCAAACATTGGTACTAGATGGTTACCAGGCACGGAATACGTCAAGGGGGTGATCCATTCCCGACTCTAAGAGCTCCCTGGCGACGATATCGTAGATCAGATGCGCGCTCAATTGGGAATGGCCTGGGGTATACAAAAGGGCCGGTCTGCTCCATTCTTGCTTCATACTAATCAACCAACAACCACCACCACCAACTTATTCAACATTTGCTTTTTTTTATTACTTTACTTCTATCGTTTATATACTGCCTCTTGGACTCGTTTGCTCGTTGTTCAACTAGACGGCATCAGCCCATACTCACGCTATACTATACACTTAATCCACCCTCCTACCTTTACCACTTTATTACCTTGGTCTCTACCATGCCACACAAAGTCACCAACGACTCCAATTCCACTTTAGCCAGCACTGGCAGTGGTGACCAAGTTATTGCTACAGAAGTCCGAGGTATGTCGATCCCTTTAGCACCCTTGTCAGATCTCCAGAGGCTAATGCGCATCCAGTAACCGCCAATCCTGTCCGCAAACCTCCAGTCGTCGTGCACAACAAAGGTGGTCAAATCTATGACGAAACACGTCCTTCGGATTGGGATAAACAACGCTGGAAATAGTCCGGCTGCAGGCATGCAATTCCCCCAGCAAGCCGGTCCGGTTGGGGCGGGAAGGGAGCTAGACTGGGTCTCTCCTTTTCCCCAACTTTTTTACTTTACCGCGCGGCTTCCCCGGCTGAATCTGGACCTGGATCTGTGAACGTGACCAAGAGCAAACGAAAGTGAGGCGGGATCGACCAAGGGAACAGATCGCGTATTTTCGGGATACGCGAGATACTATGGTCTCACCATTGGTTTTCGTCCCCTTTTTGGTTTGGTCATTCCAGTTCCAGTTCCGAAGGGATGGGCCTTCGTTACCGCTTGATCTTCGCCCCTGACCCGATTTGGCGAGTCTAGCCCTTTCACGTCTTCATTTTCAGCTTCGGATCCAATTGCTCAAGCTTCATGGGGCGGAAATATTTGCTTTTTTTTAATCCATTGCCCCGGGTTTTCTCCTTCGAGAGAGCTTGGGCGTGGACTGGGGAAGGGGGATCCACTGATCCCCTGCTTTCTGCGCCCTTGTATCATTATGCGGAGTTTGGTGTTTGGGTTTTTTATTTTTACTTTTTTGCTTTTTTGACGCCTGGAACTTGTTCGGCGTGTTACACTCCCTTGCACACCCTCTGCGGGATTTTGGAGTTGAGAACCTTTGCCCAGGCTCTTTCTCCTCCTGCCCGTGGTCTTTCCTATACGCCTCTTACTCTCCTCTCCTCTCCTCTTCTCTCCGACTTTTATCCTTACCCTCTTCTCTTCCCCCTCATGTCATTTTCCGGGGTCGACCACCGAGAGCTTGACACGTGTCATATTACTGTACACCCCTCCCTAGCAGCCTTGCTGCATATACGTCCTCGCTGAGGCCTTCTGACCTGTCTTTTTTTCTGTTTTGTTATGCATAGCGTGGATGGGATTGGGCAATGAGCGATTTCGATTCGAATTGAATTCTGGATCTTTGTTTTTATTACTGACTGGTTTAACTATCAATTTGTCTGACTGATTGACTACTGAATTGAATCTTATTACCACGGCTTGACGTCGGGTTTGATCTCTCACTTCTTTCTTTGTTTACCGTAGACTCCACGTGATTTCTTGATAATTGGATCCACCGCTCGATGATCATTGAGTCAAATGGGGCACATGACGCGATTCGACCCGTTCTGGGCGTGGTACAGTGGACTTGGAAATCCGTCAGACCTAAATTCCAGCTCTCAAGCTTGAATCGGAAACACGCTAGTTCCTGGGACGGTGCTCACACTTTCCAGACCGCTTACTATGGCGCTTGGGAAGACAGTACTCCGTACAGAGTCACTCTGCTTCTCAGACCGCTTTCGAAGAATATGTACATAACTTATGATGTTTAATTAACAGCCTCCTACCCGATGCATAGTGTCACCTTTTACTTCCGGTCCCACTTCCAAGGTTGCCCGTCCCCTTATTCTGCAGCCCATCCTTCAGGTCCGAAGACAGTAGTGACTTCATCCTTGGGTACCTACACCTAAGTCCCGGACAACCACGCAGCCTGACTAACCTGCGGTATGACTATGGCGATGCTGCACGCCCAAGTGATGATGCAATCAACCAGATCCTTGAGAAGAGTCTCCTACATCAATACCCAAAGCGAGGATCACCTCTTACCCCGAATTCCCATAGATTAAGATCTCTTGTCAGTGAAACCCACCTTTCCTCGGTGGTAACACCGACTTGAACAAGACTACCTCGATCGCTTGCGAGGAGAAGCAATGAAAAGAGTTGTACGACATCCTTCTCGTCAAAGGCAGATCAACTTGGAGAACTTCTGAAGAGAACTGTGATTCCCAGCCGAAAGTCATACCTAAGCAGCTCCTACTTGCAGGTCAGTCGAGTAGCTGTGAGGCTATTAGAAGACTCCTCGTTTTCAAATCGGCCTGGTGTCTGGGGCAATCTGCAGCCCAACCATGGGGAAGAAAACGGTTTCCCTCTCGTTTCCAAAAAACACACTTCTTAGCTCTAAAGAGAGAGCCCAGACGACTCTTTTATCGCTATCTTAGATATTCTAGGCGAGCACAACGAATTGCTTCCTAAGTACATGACTCTGACCTCAATTAATGGGGCATACGCTCTCTACTGAACAGCACATTCTTCAACCCCGATATCGAGTGTAATCTCGTCAGTGCCTGGCTTAATGCGGCTTTTACTGTCCTTGAGTCGATACGCCAAAGGGAGAGTTCTTTGGCTACATTCCTAGCAAACCGTAAACATCAACACGGCATTCTGTGGCTAGATGCAATCCTCGCAGGTCTAGCAAGCTCCGTATTGCGTGATGTAGGACAAGGGATGGCAGCTCTAAATCTTCATGTTTCTGCCTGAGCTGGAATATCACAATCATTCATGACCTCAAAATGGATAACAGTCATGGTGAATTGACAAGTCGCACTGAAAAATGTCGACTGCTTTTAATTACAGCCTACGAAGGACTGAGCGCTCGACCTCTCATCTGGCTTAAGCTCTTCGGATTTACACAACTAAACGATACGGAGCTCTCAGTCCGTGATGCTCGATGTGCCTCTCATTGCATTGAATACGAGTATTGGGAATGATTTACAAACAAAGGTCCGATTCGATCTTCTGAAGCAGGTAATGATCAGCCTCCTCTCCAAGGATTAGCTTCACCTACTAATATAACCGTGCCCAGGCTTGAGGATTATGACTGTGGTTTCAATTCACAGTGCCTTTCTGAAGTGTACACGCGTGGGATATTTGGATGGAGATTAACAGGGTACCTCGTAGCGAAAATCCAATATACCAACATTCTTGGTTTAACCTGGATATGGAATGCACTGATGACGAAGTAGAGCGCGACAATACGGTATCACATCCGGAAATACGATGGAGATGGAGCCTTAAGAAATGCACATTGAAAGTCGGCTTGAAGGCACTGAGTGGCTCTTGAATCAACTCCGCCCGCCAGGTAAATGTGCTCGAGACTGTCTATGTACATCGTATCGAAGTAAATCCATGGTATACAGTATAACGGATTCCAAAACCTATCATATTCCTTTTCCAAGTCCTTACTTCGAAGAAACGACCACCCCCTTCGCATCTACCTTGATATCACCCAGCATATAACCCTCCTCCTTAGCAACCGGCCATCCAGTCAATATAGTCTCCTTAACTTTCTCGCTCCTTGGGATAAACCTAAGCTTACTCTGCTTCGGCAACGTATTGGTGCCCGCAACATAAGCGGCATCAGACACATCGACATGACCAATCTTGCCACCCTCCATAGGCGGAAGAATCTCAAATGCCCATATGATACTCGCGATCGTAATAAAGAGACTGTTCTCCGCCAAATGCATCCCAGGACAAATACGACGCCCTGCACCGAAATCAAAGTGGATTTGCTGTTCAGGGTCAGGACTGGCGGCGTAAGCACCTGCTTTCAAGGGGTAGTCCAGGTATCGGTCTGGGATGAAGTCTTCTGGATTCTCCCAGCGCTTAGGGTCAAGATGGAGGGCGTAATTGTTGATATTTACTACTGTCCCGGCGGGTATGAAGTAGTCTTTGTAGATAATGTCGGCGGTTGTGTAGTGGGGGATTCCGATACTAAGGAATTAGTATTGTAGTTACGGGTAGACGAAGGTAAAGACTGGGGGAGATGCAATTCTTACTTGTTTACCGGTCGAATGCGTAAAATCTCTTTCACACAAGCCCGAACATAGGGCAGATTCTCCTCATCTTTAAACGACGGGAATCGGCTTTCGCCTACAACCTTCTGGATCTCGGCGTAGGCTTTTGCTTGAGCTTCCGGGTATGCAACAAAATATTTCACACAGGAGTTCAAGGCTGAGGATGTTGTTTCCGAACCTGCCTCAATCATTGCTGGTACTATATTAGTTTTTTTCTCGAGTATCATGTCCATGGAAAACATACTACCGGCCAGAAAACTCGCTTGCAAGTCACTGATCTCATTCCTCTCATAATCCCATTCGAGGAAGCTTTTAACAAAACATTCCGGAGCCTCATCCTGCTCGATGCTCCTCTGGAGTTCAGAGAAATACTTCATCCATATCGAAGCCTGTCGCTGGAAGGATCGCTCAGCTGGTTTCCGCCACCACTGCATCCAGCCGGGGATCTTGGATAGAGGCGGGAAAGTTTCTGCAAGATATTTCCCTGGCTCTGCGGCTTGACTAAAGTCTTGCATTACTCCGTAGATTTCGCGAATATCTTCGCAGTCCTGAAATTGTTAGGTAAGTCTTTTAGTGGTTCGTATGGGCTGTCTTACCCATTGAGGAATTCGTCGTCCGTATGTTGATGTCATTACCACTTAATGAAGAGTAAGCATATGGGTATGTTGTACTTAAAAAGGGACGAACCAGATGTTGTATATCGACGAATATGCATATAAAAGTTTTCTTGATTTTCATTGTCAGTACAGATATCCCAAAGAAGCTGCTTCGCCTCAAACTCCTGCGATGGCATAAATGTATTGGATGACTTGGGCGTTAGAAGTTGGTGAGCGATTGCCCGTAGTTTCCGCCATTTCGGTGTATATGGCATCAACAAGATTCTTTGTATGTCTTCAATTAGTGTAGGTCCTCTAGGGGCATACATCAAGTTCAATCACGCACCGCATGCCACCTGAGATCAGGTCCGATAGGATGGGACTTGGAGCACGAGAGGAGGTGTGTTGAGATTGTTTGTTGAAGATTTCCTTCATGGCTTCTGGACTGTTCACAAAAACCCAATTTTCCCAGCCGAGTCGGATTTGGAATAGCTCTCCATGTTGTTGGGCCCATTTGCGCCACTCCCGCTGGGGGTATTTGCTTAAATCCTTGTACTTTCCGGCCACGGGGACATTACGAAGCCCGGCTGGTGCCCTTTTTGAGGTGAAGTAGGTTGATGTCAGGTAAGCCACAGCAGCTAACACAGCAGCGAGTGTTAAAAATGCCATGTTGTTCATTCGTAGATTTTGTGGAGATGAGGAGATGCTGGGGTCACGTACTTTCGAATGTTTGCTCATCGCCCCCACGTGAGTGACCTGCACAACACCGATATCCCCGCTCGCTGTTACACTTGTTAAAAGCTCGGAGTAATTAAGTGATATACTCTACTCTGCTGAAGACGGAATTAAGCGATTCATTTGCTTCCTCTAAGTATTTAGCCGAACCCAATGAGAGCAAGTCAGTTTCCAGACCCTCAAAAAGCATTGATCACTGTCGAGTAGCGTGCACCTTTGGAGCCTCAGCCTGAGTCAATCGCGATGGAAGGCAGAGAAATGCAATAACACTAGATGAAATACATATTCCAGCTATATGAAGTTAACACCGAACAAACATCGGTAGCAGGGGATACTTACCAACGACACAATTCATCACATAGTATCCGAATTTCTCATTGAGTATCCCACCCATAAGAGGGCCAATACACGTCCCCAACGTCCAAGCAACACCGACAATGGCAACAGCGCGTGACTTCCCACCATTGGGACCAAAGGCCCCAGGATACTTCTTCTGGAGCTCACTCACAGCCACTTCTCGAGTCAGCCAACCGCCATGAATCCGAACATCAAAATGGTGCCTAGCTTACCTGTAGCTTCAATCATGCCCGATCCATTCATAAAAGTAGTCTGAAATCCAAGCAAAATCATCGCCCACACATATATAGTAGGTCCCCAGTCCCCAACGCTAAACGGACACTGCGCACTACCGGGAACACCCAAAAGCCAGACCAACGGAGCCAAGGTAGCAAATCCAAAGGCAGTCGGTATTCTCGTTCCATAGCGATCTTTCAACCAACCCACAAAAGGAGACATCAAGAGACGGGGGGCCTGGAGACAGGCAAACATAATACCAGACTGCATACCACCCCAGCCGAATACGTCACGGACATGCAGGGGAATGGTAGCGTTGAATGTGCCAATCAAAAGACCGAACACGATGCTAAGGTATACACCTGCAACGAAGTTAACCTTGCTGAAGATACACCGGTAGAAATTTGGCCTCTTGGATGCATCGTAGCTCTCGGTGTCAGGATTATGAGTGGACAGGAGAGGAGACCTTTCAGAAACCGAGTCTCGCTCCGTAGTTAAGTCATCAGTGGTAACTTGAAGTGATATCAGAACAGAGTTAGAGCCACCTTTTTGCATGGGACGTACCTGTTGTCAGCCGCTTCTTCTCAACCATCAATAAACGAAAAGCCATATCTATACCCAGAAGCACAAAAGCACTTATCCATGCTATCCAGTACCCTTCCAATTGAAAGAGGATGCCAGACAACAACCCACATAATACTACTAGCAACGGTTTGCACAGTTCGACTGATAAACAGCACAGGCACTGATACATGCTAATCAGTCGCTGAAAATAGCATTATTCCCAACATTGGATATTGAAGGTTCAAACATACAAGAAGACCCAGCAGCTGTCGCAAATGTACTAGCCGAGATTATCCCCAAAGCTGAAAGTAACCAGCCCCGAGTCGAAGTAGATTTATCTGCAAAATGGGCAAGCGGAATCCGAATCATGACGTTCACAGCGGCATTCTCGGCTAAAAGCCAGGAGATTGTCCTCTGAGTGTGAGATGGATTTAAGCCTATCCGACCTTCTAGCATGTATGGAAGGATAGGAACAATGAAGTTAGCCAGAAACGTGTCTATTGATGGTTAGCTTAAGATCTATGTTTGGTAATCTATGTTTGGTAAGGATATAGGCGATACCGGTGAAGAGCGCGGTTATCATTGCTGTGACGGTGAACCATGTCGAGGAGCGCCAAGATTGGTCTTCTAGTGGTATACTCATGGTGAAGAAGCGCGATAGACCTTGGGCTTGGGGTAAAATTCGTCTTTGGACATGAGTCTTGAATTGAATTATTTCGTGTTGCGGGTAAAAGTGATAATGGCAATTCCGCATATTCACCCCTTGCGTCCTGACAACCAATAGTGACACTCGGAGTGGGAAATCGCATTGAATTCTGGCTTATAGTACATGAAAATTCCACATAGGAACTTTATTTTGTCAGCTTGATTTCTCTTCAAGGCTGATACTGTTCGGACTCTATAGTCTGCTTTCTGTGTCTGTTGTTAACCCCCACATGATTCTTCTACTTACAGACATTGCATCAAGTGTACTAGTATTGGGGCAAAATATGCCTGAGATGAGGGTTTTTTTGGTCTGTGTTTGCCATTTTGATTCAACTCTGTTTATGTCAACAATCCTGGAGTCATTGAGCCGACCTCAAGATATTATAATCCCCCACCAAGCAGATATGTAGCATTATATATTTTCCTCTCCACCCCTAACATTCCAAGTACTATTCCTCTCCTTCGAGAACTCCGGTTCAGAAACCCAATGAACACCAGGTCCCTGTCCATAGCTCTCCTCCATCTCAATTCCCCATCTCAGCCCTCCATCCTCATCAACAAACCAGCCCAATCTTGTGCTCAACCCTTCATAGTCACCCACCAACAGCTTCCCTGACTCAACCTCCCGCACCACCTGTAGGAAATTTGCGCTGCCGGATATGAGTACTAGGACATCACCTAGACACTCGACGTTCCGGACTAGGCTACCGAAGTACCGTCTGTGAAGTATTGCGACAACAATGGTCGTAAGAATCAGCCAGCCCATTATACTGATACTGAGCCAGACGGCGACGGCATTCATCTGGAGGAGCTCGACGCGTTGGGATATTTGCGCCGAGACTGTCCGATTTGTATGGGAGATGGGATTGACATCTTGGTACTTGGAGACTGTTCTATCAGATAGATAATAAGCAGCCCAGTCAATAACGGGGCCGATATCACTTGGTAGGCTTGCGTTGATCTTTTGGTAGGCCCATCCGCCTGTTTCCATGGAGATGTTGTTGCTGACAAAATGCTGGAAGAAGGTCGTGTATGTTTTCTCGGCTAGTTGGGTGAATGTCTCTGGATCCAGGAGTGCTGTTGGATCCTTTCCGGCCATCGTGTACATGGCGTACGTCATGAAGTCCATGTTTAGACCGTTCATCTCGTCGCGGATGTTGTAGGTGTTGTCGTCTAGATCTTCGATCGTGTAGCCTAGGGAATGGGCGGCGCCACCGATATGGAGAGTGTCGGCGGATGTTAGAAGTGCAGCCATAAAAAGACGGCCGTAGCTAGGTTTGGTATATGACTGTTAGTTTATTTGGCTAAGAGATGGAGGATCCTATCGGGGTAACTAACCTCAGCGTCACGTTGTAGTATGTCGTTGACTCGCGCATTTTCGTGTAAGAGCTGTTGTGAGGAAGGAAGCTGTCAGACCAAGGCTCCGATACAGCCTCAGGTGTACTGAGGATATCAAAAGCCTGAATCTCGCCGTTGGTAGGGTTCACTGTGATTTTTGCGTTGGCTGTTTCAACAATGGGCTCACAATTGAACAAGGACATCGACGGTGGCTCAGAGAATAACAAGTAAGGCTCAGTAACCGATAATTCTACTTCGTCGTCATTGACTTTGATTCCTGTTGTTGCTTCGCCATGAAACCATTTGGCTGTGAAGTTTCTTTGCCAAAGTCGAGGACTCCAAGTCCTGATATCATCATTTGGGGACCAGTACCCAACTCCAACTTCGCCTAAGCGAGAATCGGCACTCCCATTGCCACAACAGATAATCTCAGATGGATTGGCAAAAACAGTCGTACATCCTGGACACTCAGTCCAGTTTTGAGAAGCCGACAATGGAGTGATAACACTAGGATACTGTCGGGAGTCAAAGGTATTGCCTAGTTGATATCCTCCCTCAAGTCCCGTGGGGATCGTGGACTTGTTATAAATGGTGTGATTTGACAAGTCGACCATGGTGAGCCAATTTGAAACGTTCGCGAGGATCTGCAACGATGGTTGACTGCACTGAATACGGCCTCGAATGGCAGGTGTTTCAAAGGTGACGTTGGTGACAGGGATGGAGCTCGTGTCATCTGCTGTGCTGGCACCAAGGGTAGACAGGGATTTTGAAGAGGTGATGTTGCTTAAATCCAAAGGAACAAAACTCCAACCATCTTTACTCCAAGCAGGCTGTGAGCCATTTAGAGCTAGCTGGATGGTAGCCGTATACATCCAATAAGAAGAAATGTTCTGGTAGAGCTCTTCGAGAACGACAGCCGTATAGCTATCCGAGCTTTTTCCAAGGAAAGCTTGCTGCGTTTCAAAAACAAAAGGTATGTCACGAACTTCGAGCTGCCGCTCAAGGGTGACGGGCTGAAGGACATTGCCGGCTCCACGATCAAAAAGAGCGGACATGGAAGTGGTATCTAGAGAATGCCCATGAGTACTATAGTTAAATTGGAAGGCATGATCTCAACTTACACACAGGAGAGAGGGTCGAGCCCAATGTGACTAGGAAAAGCATCCAATGCTTGTTAAAAATCGCTTTGCCAGCTGCCCAAAACCAGTATGAAGTCTGATAAGAGAGATCAACTCCCTTTTTGTAAGGTGGATTTTTATCGGACATCGACAGAAACGGTTGGAGGCGACGGAAATTATCATCAATAGCACCCCACCACAAACCAAGAAGCGTTGCTATCACGGTTGGAATCATGGAAAATGGCGCGACAGAAGAGACATCACTACCAAACATAGATAGCTGAATCTCATAGACAAAGGCTTTGCCATAGAGCCTGTAGCTCTCTGCGTAATGATAGAGAACAGCAACACCAGTGATAACAAGTGCAAATAGCGTCACTAGTATGATGAGTGCCGGAAGACGAAGGATCAATGGAGTTCCGTTCCTAGACTGAGGTGATTCATGCTCTCTCGCAGTATCGGGGCTGCTTTTGGACAAACCAGACGAGTCCGTATAGAACAACTCCCCATCGAGTCTCTTCTGCAGCTCATTTGATGACGGCTGTCGGAGACATTGAAATCCAGATCTTGTCCTTGGATTCTGAGCAATCAGATATGCAACACCAACTACCGTCGCAGGGTCTTTTTGCAGATTCAATGGCCTCTTTCGAAGCCGAGAAAGCCACCAGACTGTACCGACAAGCAAGAAAGAGATGGCAAACAGAATGCCCAGAGCAATCGCAGCCCCAGATTGGACAACAACGCGAGTTTGGACTGAGTTGACCTGACCTTGCATGGACACCTTGCGAGAAGCGCCGTTCTGGGTCAAGGCTGACTGTAGCACCTCGCCAAAGAAGCGTTGCCTCGCTTTCCCAGCAGAGGTTATCATGTTCGGATCTCTGACCAGCTCAGTCATGTTGTAATTATAAAGAGCGCCTAGCAGGATACCGGCACCTCCTAACAGTGCCGTCTCAGACCATATAATGGAGATCATGTAGGTTGGCCACTCCACATTGAGGACTTGATCTCTAAATTGCGTGGTATTGAAAAGCGTGTCCGGGATGGTGACCTTATTTCGCTCATAGTCACTCTCATTAAAGGATATCTCCGGCTCATCTCCATCGAGCGCAACTGTCGCCGTAATGTTGGCCATGTAGTATTTCGTGTCACATAGATGAGCCGAGTAGATGCCTTTGGATGAGGTCCACGGCTCAGTGACAACGATGATCTCTTGGTCAGCACACTCTGTCGTATGGTTGACTCTGGTGGACTTCTGATCCACAGTCAAGACGTCCTCTGGATAAAAGAACGTTGAAGTGTTCGACCAACTGCCTCCTCCAATAAGGAACATCCTCTCTGCCACTTCTAGACCGTATTTGCAACCACTAGGGCTCGACCAAGTTGCCGAAATGGCATCCTGTGCAGCTTCGCCTTTCTTGAATGAGATGGAGCTGTTGGCCTGTGCCTCTACAGTCATTTCCGTACAGCTCAGTTCGGACCTGAACATTGTTGTCTGGCCTTCCCACGTCTGCGAAGAACTTGTAGGTAAAGAATTGATGGAATCGTCTTGCAAGTCGGCAGGCCAGAAAGGCAGTATAGTATAATTGTCCGTAATCCACGGGGATGTCGACACATTCTGAAGAAGGTTGGCAATCGTCCGGAAGTGGGTCGCGCGATCGGCATTGATGGGTAGAGGCGAATCACTCAAGGGTGCAAGTTGCAAAAAGTCCTTCGTTTGGGGTACAACTAAGTCTTCGGAATATAGGTAGGCTGAAGAAAGAGGTGATATTGCCAGAAAGCCAAAAATATTGATGAAGGACGCGCAGATCAAGATCCAGCTTCGTCTGCCGTTCTTCTTTTTGGCAAATCCGTCATATAGAGCGGTCCACCAGGGACCTGGGGTATGGAGAATACTGTTGGATGCTTTTGCCCCCTCTGGTCGGGCTAGTCGAGCAAAGGGCTCTGTTCGCTTCACGTCATCGAACAACATGGCTGTGAGTTGGATATAGATCACAACAATCATGGTCGGGCTATATCTCCAGCCAAATAATAAGGCGGCGGATCCATCGTCTGACCCCAAGCCATAGTTATTTGCGGATCTCCACCAAAGCAGAAATGTGATAAGACAGAGGGCAAGAGTGACGCAACTCAGAATTCCCAAGAACCAATAACGAAATGTATAAGGAATCCAGCTCCCAGTGTGATACTTTTCCGCTTCATGGTCGTCGCTATCTTCCGGTTGAACATTAGTTCTTCCTGCGCTGGTCAAACTTGAAACCTCGCTCTCATTGCTTCTGCTTATTGAACCAGACCGGCTAGATGGGACTCGAGATGTAAAATGAGAGCTAGAATTGCTGCCGAGGATATCACGATCAGATGTGTTATATTGACGTGTTGTCATAGTCGAAAAGCAGCACTATGCGTGCCTGCCCAGCTCACAATTATGGCATATAAAATAAGAAAATTATTACCAAAAGCCAAGTATGATTCCAGCATGTGCCATGCTTATAATAACGCCTCTCACGGGATTATCTCCCGCGGGGCTTCTTCCTAGGCGAGGGTTGAGGGTCCAGATGCAGGGAAACAGGGTTTTGAAACAGAGGCTATTCTCTCTTCGAGATAGTTGGAGAGGGGTGCATCATGAACGCCAATAGATTTTCCTCATTAAACGCACCTCGAGGACGAAGAGGAGACGCGGGATGGACCGTATGCAGTGTGCCACCTTGCATATTGGCCCCCGCAGGATCATTTGCCAGCGGTTGCATGCATCCCTTCCAACCTACTCAGACGTCTGAAATGGAAATGTAACCATAATTTCCGCAGATATTTGCAATGACAAAAGGAGCTTGGAAATACCCTTACTAGTTTGATTGTGTAGAAATCATGGTTGTTCAGTTTCTATCTCGCAGAGGCGCACCAGCGGGTCCATCGTCTCAGCGAATGACGAACCACTCAGTTAGCGCCGGGTATACAGAACACCTGAATTCCACAGCAAAGTTATCCACAATTATGCAGCTAGAGAAAGTCCAGCGTTTTGAATAACCGCTGGGAGGCTATAACCCTGTCATTTTGCCAGTCTAGTCAGTCTAGGCTCGTTTCTTCGCCGCACTAGATGTGATGGGACGTTGGTTCTTGCATGTACGCTAATAGTAACAGCCCCGCTACATGTATTATAAGAAGAGGCGCTTTTCTTTGTTCAACAATATGTACTTGCATTCATCTCAATGGTCTGATTTTCTTCAGTCTTTTCTTCAGCTTTTCTTCTCTTTCATTGATCCACGTTGCAATGGTCATTGTTGGTAAGACACCATGGCTTATGGAGCGGTCATGGCTTGTTTCAACGAGTGCCACGGTTCTTGTGGTACAGATCCGTGCACATTTTAAGGTTGACTAACACAGCGATCAAACAAAAGCCTCCAAGGCATTGATGTATTGCCGTTAACATGGTAAATCTTGGTCGTCTTGGGGGTCGGCCCGTCAGGTAAGTCATCCTGAACCACAGGGCTATCATGTCTGACCTATTAGGACAGCTACGAAGATGACCGGTCTTAAATGGCACCACAGCACGGCGATTAAAATTGTCTGCCAAAATATCTAATGTCCAAGGACTGAAGAGAAAAAGAATACCAAGACCTGAGACTGGAGAAAAAAAAAATAACCTTCGATATGAACTAACCCAGGTGGTATATGTACAGAGAATCATAAAGATGAACGCAGGTCATACAAGATGTATGCAGGTCCTTGGGAAAAAGGAGGTATCCGGAAGAGCGGCCAGGGCCGAACGTACGGATAGAACATCAGTAAGCCACCGCCGGCTTGGAAACATTTGCGCAAGAAGGGTAAGAGAAATCAAGAACAGCACGCTGACATCGAAAGGAGACATGTCGCGCCTTCGCTTAGGCGTAGTCAAGATTGACGACCAGACGGACAGCCTCAGCGTTGATGTTACCACCAATGCCGTTGATAGTAGTCTCAGCAGAGGTGTAGGCGTTGCTGACAGAGCCCATGCCCTTGGTAATGGAAGAACACTGGCTCTTGTCGTGGGTGCAGATCTGCATACCCTGAATGGTCTTGCCGGCGTTCTGGGCCTGAATGCAGGAAACATCCCAGCTGCTGAAGTTGGGAGCCTTGCGCATGGTGAACTCACCCCAGGTGGCGGCGTAGGAGCCGTAGTCTGACAGGGGGCACTCGTCACCCTGGTAGGCAGCCCATCCACCAGTGGACTCATCGTCGATGACGACGTAGGCGATCTCGTTGGGAGCCAGGGTGAAGGACAGGGCCTTGTTGGGGCTGAAGAAACCGGTCATCTCGTTGGTGGGACCCATCTTGTTCCAGAAGATGACGGTCCAGTCATCGGTGTTGCTTCCCTCGAAGCGAAGGACGTTACGGTACCTGCTGGCGTCGGACTCGGAGACACGCTGGATGTTGCTACCCCAGGGAATACCGGTGTTGCCGGACCACTCGATGCCGAGGGCCTCAGCGATGTAGTTGGGGGCACCGAATCCGTCGGTGGAGAAGTCGCCGTCCGAAGGGTAAGAGGTCCAGTCACCACCGCTGGAGGCAACGGGGGTAGCACTGACGCTGGACTCAACAGCAGGGCTGGACGAGGTGGTGGTAGGCTGGACCGTGGTGGTCGGGGGAACATAGATAGAGGTGGAGGAAGTCGAGAACGAGGTGGAAGTGGAAGTGGAAGAGGCAATCTCGCCAGCCCACTCGTTGATCCAAGACTCGAGAACACCGTCAATGGTGGCATAGACCACATCACCAACAGCACGAGCCTTCAACTCCTCAACCATCTGAGCGGCAGGAGTGACGTCCGGCGCCGGGACCGCTTCGACATCCTTAACAACGTCTGCCAGTTGTGCGTGAGCATGGCGACGCTCATGGCCGTGGAGGCGAGCGACGGCCGAGCCCGCGGACAGGGCCGTCAACAAAAGAAGAGAATCCTTGAACTGCATTTCGAAATGAAAGTGTTTAAAGAGTGACTGAGCGAGAAAACGCTCGAAAACAGTTCAAAAAAGAATGTGTGGGTTAACGGTGGCCCTTGAGTATGGAGAAGGAGAGAAGGGAAGGAGCGAGGGCTGATATTTAGTCGGGGCACACAACCTGGATCAGGGGCGTGTTGCCGTTGATTGGCTTCACTACTTGTGGTTCCTGAGCGCCATTCACCCACTGATCAGGTTTTATTGGATGAATCCACTGTGGATCTCTAGGCCGAGACCCCTGACCTGGCTGCAGACCCTGTACTGGGTACCTTATCCCATTACTGGTTCTGTGGGCGGAGCCTAAGTACATTGTACCTGACCCGTCCCTGGAGCCTGGCCTTGTTTACTCGTAATTTCTTTGACTCGATAGCGGAAAGTATACCATTCACTGTTCTTTACTAACAAGACTTCAATGGAACAAATGTCAAAAACGTGTGGGATCGGAATGTGTGTACCTGGAATGTTTCCTCAGACCCTTAATTAAAAACCCTTAAACCCTTGACCCTTGACCCTGAACCCTTTCGCTCCTAAGCAGCCACATCGCCAGGTTCCCCACAACATTGCAGTCCAGACCAATCATGCCATCCCCAAGCCCTGTCTTACGTGTCTCCGCGCACATCCCCTCGGAGGTTTGGAACACGGGTCCATGCAGGGTACCTGATCTGTGATGTCAACAAATCCGAACTCTACACGACATGTCCAACTCAATTCTACGCGCCCAACGAACAACGCATCTATCGTGAACCAGTCACTTCGAAATCGACGGTGTATCGGGCGCACTGGCCTAGGCCACAACGATCGACCAACGGGGGGCGATAGCGTCAGGGCTCCATCCCCTAGCCTGACAACTGGGTCCCCTAGGAAGGGGTCGTGCGAATGATACCAAGTCCTGTACACCGATATGTGCAGTAAGGCCCTAGAACTTGTCAAGGATCTGAGAATCACTAGAATTTTCCGGCTCCACTGCGCCCTCCACTTCCGACTCCATTGCGCAGGCGAAAAATTATTCGACTACAATCCAGACTGGCTGGGCGTCTTGGCTAGTGTGCCGTTTCGGAGTTCAATAGTAAACTTTATTTTTGGGCATAATGGCGTTCCAATATATTAACATGAATTAATCATAACTGTGTCGATCAGGGAATACCTATTTCTGGGGATGCAGAAACGGTCGGCTGGCGACTGCATTTCGAAATTCGGGCTCGTTGCTTCGAGGATCCCCAGTGACACAATTGTTTGTGCGATTGACCGCAATTTCCCAGGACAAAGCTTTGGCAAATTAAACATGTGCAGCCAGGGGTCACCGCGGCGAATCCGTGGTTGGGTAAGCGATCGGCGATTTGTTCCACTGGTGCTGACTTCTGAAACGGATGAGCTAATCACTGTCACTTGGACAAAGCGTCTACATCGTGTTTGTTTATTTTTATCATCTTCAAATCCAGGTGGCTGAATGATTTTCTTGAATAATCATCAATTGGTGGAGATGTTACTATTTCCAGATGCGTCATAGCGCTTTACTGCCTCCAACAAAGAGATGAGCAAAATATTGACTAGGCAACAGAGTCAATCTACACAGCCATGGACAATCTTTACCAACTAGATCAGATCACGGCAAGTCTACACCGCCGTCAAACGCAGCTCCGCCCGCCTCCGCATCCAACTTCACACTCTCATCAAGGCCACACACTCTAAAGAGCATCTGAGGCGTCAACTCCTTATCCAAACCAGGCAACCCATCCCTCTTCAACTTCTCCAATCCCTCCCGCATAGCCATGAGCGCAGGCCCAATAGTCGCAAAAGGAAAGATGATAATCTTAAATCCAAGCTCCTTCGCCTCAGATGCCGAGATCGAAGGCGTGGAGCCATGCTCAACCATATTAAGCACCAAAGGCCAAGGCGCAAGATCTTTTACCGCCTGCGCAGCCATCTCCCGAGATGAAACCCCCTCAAGGAATCCCACGTCCGCACCAGCATCGCGCGCGGCTCGGAGTCTTGCCAGACTCTCCTCGTATCCATGTCCCTGCAACGCGTCAGTGCGCGCAATGACCACGATATCACTCCCGATTCGCTGGCGTGCTTGCACAGCAGCCCGAATCCGGGTTGCGTAGGTCGCTGTGTCGACTAGCAGTTTTCCGGAGAGGTGGCCACAACGCTTTGTTTGGACTTGGTCTTCGATATGGAAGGCTGCGACGCCAGATCGGGCGTATTGCTCTGTTGTGCGTGATACCATGATTGGGCCGCCGTAGCCTGTGTCGGCGTCGGCGATTAAGGGTGTGGAGGGGGAGAGGTTTGCTAGCATTTCGGCGTTGTTTCGCATGTCGTTGAGGGTGCAAATGCCCAGGTCTGCTTGTCCGTGGACGGAAGCTGCGGTTCCTGCTCCGGTCTAGTGATCATTAGCTTTGCTCTGCTAATTGTTGACAGTAATACTAACCATGTACAGCGCATCAAATCCGGCTGCGAGTGCCATGCGTGCTGACATGCCATCATACACACCTGGAGCCACAACGAAGCCATTGGGATCCGCGAGGACCCGTCGTAGATTGGTAGCTCCTTGATTAATCGTCATGACGTCTCGATAGACTGGGTTAGATTGATTCAAAAGGAATACCGCACACTTAATTATGCAGTTGATTTATAAAAGACAAGAGAAGAGAAATCCCGGAAGTCCCGCTTTCAGTTATCACTTTTTATACCTACTCGCGGTCTGGAAATCCACGTGTACCCCTCTAAGCTTTTTTCTTCACCCCCACCCCCAACTGCTGTTCGATGATGCGCTCTCCACCGAGCCGGGCCCGATACCGGGATTATGTCATATAACTCGGCGTTTTAGCGTACTCGCCGAACCAATGCCGAGTATGTAGACCTGGAATTAAGTACGGCTTTTTGTGCCGAGTCTAAAACAGATTATTCATCATGATCAAGGTGGATTAATTGTGTCGGCGTCCTATGTACAGTGGCAACCATTATCGCCACAACATCAACAAGCTCTTTCGATCCCTATCACATGGTGGGTTAATTCCGTGCATGGATAATTATGTAAGATCACGTTTTAAGCTTGTATCCTGGCTCGGAACGAGTAAACGCCAGAGTAATGAATCTACATACATATGCTCTTACAGCTTTTAAAGTAATTATAAATGAACTTGGTGACGCTGGCCCCAAAGAGAGTGGACTCCAGACCCGAGTAGAGTCCTGAGATACCCCCTCGCTCCATGATCCATCGGATCGCATCGAGATTGGTGGAGTGGCGCGTGCTTGGACTCGACCTGCGCTCTTGTGGACAAGGTGATGAGGGGGTATCTGGTAAGTAAATTTAGCGCCGGCCCATGGGAGAAGAACGTGGGATAGCCTACCAGACGCACCGCGAGATGTCCATCACGTTCTCGGATGACAGAATGAGGCCCACGGCCAGGATGAGCAACGAAATGAAGTCTTGTCACTTAGATAGACTGGCAATAGAAGACATTCTAGCTGTAGCTTCCGTAGACGTGGCATGGGTCGCTCCCTCTAGTGGTGTTTCAATCTGCGGTTCAGCAGCCTTGAAGGGTGAAGCTTCCCATTCTTTCCAAGTGGATATCGATGACAAAGTGGATGGGTGGTCAGGGCCTAATCGCTGGCAGCGACATTCAGCACACTTAGCCATCATTTGCAAGGCAGCTTCGTCTTCGCCTAAGGATTTCAAGGTGATTGCCAGATTATTCATGCTGTTCAGAGTGTCTGGATGCTCGGGCCCAAGTGCCTTAGAGCATAGCTTAAGCTCTTCGGCCTGAAGCTCTTCGGCCTCCTTCCATCGCCCCTGTTTCCGGTAGGTTGATGCCAGATTAGCCATGCTGGTCAGAGTGTCTGGATGCTCTGGCCCAAGCACCTGCTCACGAGCCTTCATCACCTGTACCCCTAGCTCTTCGGCTTCCCTCCATCGCCCCTGGTCCTGGTAGGTTGATGCCAGATTAGCCATGCTGTTTAGAGTGTCTGGATGCTCTGGCCCAAGCACCTGCTCACGAGCCTTCATCACCTGTACCCCTAGCTCTTCGGCTTCCCTCCATCGCCCCTGGTCCTGGTAGGTTGATGCCAGATTAGCCATGCTGTTTAGAGTGTCTGGATGCTCGGGCCCAAGTGTCTTAGAGCTTAGCTTAAGCCCTTTGACCTGAAGCTCTTCGGCCTCCTTCCATCGCCCCTGTTTCCGGTAGGTTGATGCCAGATTAGCCATGCTGTTTAGAGTGTCTGGATGCTCGGGCCCAAGCACCTGCTTGCGAGTCTTAAACACGTGCACTTCAAGCTCTTCGGCTTCCTTCCATCGTCCCTGATTCCAGTAGGTTGATGCCAGATTATTCATGCTCCTCAGAGTGTCTGGATGCTCTAGCCCAAGCACCTGCTTGCGAGTCTTAAACACGTGCACTTCAAGCTCTTCGGCTTCCCTCCAGCGCCCCTGTTTCCAATAGGTTGATGCCAGATTAGCCATGCTGGTTAGAGTGTTTGGATGCTCGGGCCCAAGTGCCTCAGAGCATAGCTTACGCCCTTTGACCTGAAGCTCTTCTGCTTCCTTCCATCGCCCCTGGTGCTCGTAAGTTAATGCTAGATTAGCCATGCTGGTCAGAGTGTGTGGATGCTCTAGCCCAAACAACTGCTTACAAGTCTCCATCACCTGTAGCTGGAGCTCCTCAGCTTTCTTCCATTCCCCTCCTAAATTATACACCAAGCCAAGCGTATTTAAACTACTCATTGATTTCTCATTCTTCGGTCCAAATAGATCCTTCCTTGCTCTTAAGGCGTATTTTGCCATCCTTTTACCATCGACGAAGTTTCCTTTCGTCAATGCAAATGATGCTGCTTTTTGAAGTAGTGATGCCCTTTCTTCCATTGAGGCTTTTCCAAGATGTTGTCGCATCAGTGTACGCTGCACATGGGGAAACAGCAATTGACACTCCTTCCAATTCTCAAAATCGCCTTCGGGAAAATTATTATTGAGCCTTCGGGTGAAGATTTCGTTCCAGTGCTCTAAAATGCCTTGAGCTTGAAGCCATTCCTGCATTCCTAGCTGGACCAATCGGTGCATCTCAAAGTTCGCTTGGTCTGAAGTAATAGATATCAACGAATAGTCTTTGAGCAAAAGTATATCGTTCTCAAACTTGTCGATCTCGCTGGATAAGCTTTCATCATCCTCTGTGTCACTTATATTGCTTCTGTGATCCGTTTCCTTTACGATTTTGCCTTCTCGTAGAAGACTCTCAGGGATCCCTTGTCTATCAAAGAAGCTCATTAGAGATAAGAGATCTGCCGCTGATGGCCTTCTTTCCCGAATATCCTCAAATGATATCTGCCAGGTTAGAAGGATAGCATTCTTGGCTTCTGGGTCTCTGCGAAGCTGGCCCTCTTCATGATCGAGAAGCTTGATTTTCTGGCGATCACTCTGCTGAAACCTTTTCAAATATTGTGTGACTGTCTCACGTGGTGCTCTTTGCTTAATGAAGCCCGCCGCTTGCACGATCGCGAGCGGCATAAGATCAAGAGCAGTGACTAGCTGAACAACTGCAGACCGATCATACTGTGCATCGATCTTCTTTTCAAAAAGCGAGATTGCGTCGGGTTCGTTCATCGGTTTAATAGGAAGTATATCATAGTCTTCCACGGTTCTCAAAGCTACCTGTCTGCTTCGGCTTGTCATCAAAACACAGCCCATTGAGTTCTGACACAAATACGACCAGATCGATCGTTCAGGTATACCACCATGATCATTGACCATGCTAGACCGTGTTGAAGGCATCGCATGTAGAAACTTATCGTCGTCGAGATTATCCAGAACGAGAACCCACTTGCCAACATTTGCATTATTGAGCCAATTGTGAAGTAGCTTGAAAATATTTGCCTTAGGATCTTGCCGACCTCGTATCTTGACTCGGTCGGCAATCTCCCGGCAACTCTGTTCAAAGCGAGTTGCGTTGCTCGCATGGATCCAGAACACCCACGTGTCGGGCGATCGATCTCGAACTCGATAGCAATATTCTATCGCAAGTTGCGATTTCCTTATATAGAATTAGTAACAAGTGCGTAATGTCTGTCCCTTACAAACTCACCCCGCACCGCCTAGGCCGACAAGTGCTATCCGAGCACCTTGCGTAGAGGCCTTGGCTTGTATTTGATCGAGTAGTGTTCCACGATCAACAAAATCTGGGTCACGACGGAACGGGACGGTCGAGAGAGGGAGTGGTGGAGTCTCAGGTCGTTCTGGATCAAGAAGCGGGTATCAGTCCTGGCTGTGAGGAGGCCTATCCATGGATGCCCTGTGAAACTTACCTGGGGGTGGATGGATCGCTCCATAATTATTTCCTACCTGAATCCCTGAGTTCGTGCCATCGAATGAGATGGAAGTCATGGTAAGTACAGCCCTGGTTCACGATATATTTTGATGTCTTTTTGAAGTGTTTTGAAGAGCAAATGTATTAAGTTTCAGATGATAGACCATTCATCCTTAGCCTCACTATCATGTGACCTGGGCGCTTAGATTGATGAGGTGTTTCTTTACTGCAGCAGAAATTGGAACGCACATACAGCTGACCTAGACAGCCGAGCTATGGGCGAGTCTTTGGTCAATCTCTTTGCGTCGTGGAAGACGACATCGAGCCTTCTACTTCCAAGGTTCCAGCCTGGAAGGCCCAGAGTAATAGCTGGGAGAAATGGTTTTTGGAACATGATTACGACCTCTAGCTTAAGCAGCGAGATCGTAACCTATACCACGGCCTCAGCACACTGACTAATAGAATTTCGTCCTCATCAGCCTCAAAGTAGGTTTCTGGGAATGCTAAAGCCCGCAGAACAGGAATCACTCCGTTTTATACACGGCCTTGTACGTGGACGACGGTGCTCTCGCGTTCAATAATGTCAAGGTGCAATCAAATTCGCTCGAAAGAGACGAATTATTTCAAGGTCGACGAAGCTCGAGATTCTTTGATTAACCCACTCTGGATGATCACAATCAAACTCCAACATGAGCAATATGCCATAATAAAAGGTTTCTGACTCCTCGGAGGACTGCTTAACATTGGATTTCCATAATGCATCTGGTGTTGCACCTGGCTGCATCTGCAAATAGAAGAGCCTGAAATGTGCAGAATCATATGGTTTCGAATATCAGGCTGCCTGGTATCCCTTTATCGTCTTTATTGATGCACTCCCAAAATTTATCATAGGTCATATAGAAGACGATTGAGCATGAGACAACTTGAAATGTTATGGCGCGGATTGTCGGCATAATTTTGATGATGTAAGCTAGCTAGATTAGTAAGCCAGCACATAAGGTGTGCGCACAGAGATAGGAGAACAACCAGACAGACACATATTGAATCGAACACCCATAGGACCTTGATTGACCGCCCTGATTACGTGTTCCGACAGTTATGAGCCCGGAATTACTCTGATTACACTAGAATTGGTGAAATTGAGGCTATTCAGACGCATCTGGAAGATATCTGAACCGCCTACCCCTGAGCCGGATAGTGCAACTACCCGAACGTACCTCTGAAGCACACGTTAGGATCCGGACGGCATCGGATCAAGACATCATGGAATCGATTGGATCTGTCTCATCATGGAGAGGAGAGAAGTTAAAGGGGCCTGCCTAGTGGCACTCGTGGTATATGGCCATGAGACGCCTTGGAATGAGCCTACAAGTATGGGATATATGTAATCCGGAGCTGAGCAGGAGCACGGTGGTTCAACCGAAGGAACCCCCGAATATGCCCGCACAACCTACTCTGGATATCCCCGACGAGATCACGGCCGGAGCGCTGAAGTCTCTGAAGGAAGAGTTTAGGGAGAACCAGTCGATCTAGAGAGATGAAATGGACATCTACAAGATCCGATTAGCTACGTTCGAGAAACAAGAGAAGGGTCTGTGGACGATCGACTAAGCGATCACGGCATCCATAGAGCCAAAGCTTAACCGCGTTCTCGACCGTCTAGACACACCATACGAACGTATGCGTTTCCTTGCGAATAGGTTCTCGAGAACTAATGCGTATGGCGTCAAGGTGTTCCTAAGATGGAGAGAAGACGCAATAAAAGGACCGAAGAAGGGGGAAGACGTTCTGAAGTAGCTAGACAAGTGGGAATCCCTACGTGAAGAAGTCGTTAGCTTAAACTATGAGAATGCATCATTCCACCCACTATTATTCATGAAAGCGGTTAAAGAGGTTCTGCCGTCATGGTGGGAGAACCGGTTCCAATAGATCGTGATCAACAAGGAGACTATAGGTATGAATTCGATACTAGAGTCCTTCCACGTAACATACGCGGAGACCCCATGGAAGGCGTCCACACCAGCAGGAAACAACAAGCCTACGTTCGCAACGTCAAAGTGGCAAGGACATCAAGAAGCGAAGCCAGCAAAGTCCATAACCGAGTTCTCAGAACGTACGGACTGCCCATGTGGAGGCCCTCACCGCGCAACCTAGTACTAGGTATTTAACGAGGCGAAGCGTCCGGAAGGATGGTAAGCGGGTCGTAAGCGACAAGAAGCCATCGAAAAGGCGTTCAAAAAGGAGCCAGAGTGGAAGATCTAGATAGAAGAACAATTTAGTAAGACGTCTAAGAAGGAGATGGCAAATCATGCCTCTCAGATCGCGTTCGTAACCGCACTATCGACGGTTAAAGAGCACCACTATACGTAATGGATCCTGGATTCGGGCGCGAGCGTGCATGTGTGTAATAACTAGTCTATGTTCACGGAGTATCGTGAGAGCATATCTTCGCTCTAAACCGGAGAGAGCTAGACGCCAGCGGTCGGAACCAGAACGGTAGTGATGGAAGGTGTTAACCCAGTCACAAAGAAGGCCTATACAGTGACGCTAACTGATTGTCTTTATACGCCCTCTTTCCACTATAATCTAGTGTCGCTCGGACGACTAGAGCAGAAAGGGGCGTGGTGGGATATGCGGAAAGGGCATATAATGCATAATGGAGAGTCAGTACTTAGGATCTACTAGGAACGAGACGTCTACGTCTTCTCATAGCCAGATATAATAGATCTAGAGACCGTATAATATGCGCATGCCATACGAAGATCCGTATAACCATAGGTGTCAACTGCAACGGCAAAGACATGGCATAGACGTCTCGGACACGTCTATTAAGGAGCAATCTAGCAGCTACCGGAGCTCGTCAATAGAGTTAAGATCAAAGATAGGGAAGAGCAACTGGTCGGATCAGATAGCTAGCTATGCGAGGTATATAGCTTGGTGAATGCCCCCGGCAGATATCTCGGAGACCTATCGGACGACACTATGGACGTTACGGTCAAGTCTATTTCGATCTAATCTAGATGACGATGGGATACAATCAGCACTACTGGATCACGCACTTCTATATAGAAGGCATACGATTCCATTAGAGCATAACACACGTTAATAAGAATAGGTATCAAGATGCTATTAAAAGCTTTATAGCGTTTGCGATCAAGTGGCTACAATTACCAATTAAGGTATGGCACTCGGATAATAAGAAGACCGTGGACGACCAGATCCGTAAGGTTCTAGACGAGATGGGGTTCATCTATACCTTCACGGTCCCATATTCCCCGGAGATGAACGGTCCAGGTGAACGTTCTGGAGGAGTGCTCACGCTTCGAGCTCGAGCGCTTATTAAAGAAGGCAAGTTGCCGGACAAGCTCTAGCCCGAAGCCATCGCGACAGCGGTGTATCTACTGAATCGTACGCCAACGAGGTTGGAAAGTGGGAACTAGATAGTTCCGTGGGAAGAGGCTCGACAGTTCGTCGATAAATCAGAGCTGCCGAAGACGTCATTGGCGAATGTGCGTCTGTATAGATCTCTTGTATATTGTTGGAATCCGACCATTCCACGACTGGATAAGATACGATCCCGTGTAGAGATTGGGTATCTAGTCGGATACGTGGCATCAAATATCTGGAAGATCTGGATGCCACACCGTGGGTAGGTGCGTATAGTGAGAGATGCCGTCTTTGACGAGTCTCGACGTTTTTCGGCCGAAAACCAGCCAGATGAGGTCGTACGTATGCCGCTCCCGCAGAACGTGCATCTAGAGATCATAGAGGTAAGATACGAAGGTGAATCTATTCTATAGGGGCTTAATGAGCAAGTAGAGAGTGTAGATTCAGGAAGAGATGCTCTAGAACTATCTCCAACGGCAGGGGGTGCAGATGACGCGCAGGACCCGGCCAAGGATATGCTAGATATGCCACCACCTACCGTTGAAGATAGTCCTGAGTAGGATAGGATATAGGACTTAAATGATTTAAATAGTAAGGAAATAGATCCGAATAGACATATTAAACCGTCTCGGACGCCACCAAGATCTCCTAGCAACAACTCTGCCGCAGATCAGGGGGTGGGTGGGGTTATGAATAAGGAAAACGAAGGGTATAGAGGGGATCTAACGCTAGAGACTCCTATATTAATGCGAGAGACGAGCGAGCTCGCACGGTCAGACCCAGACGAAGACGAAGACGAGGTCGAGGACGTGGATGGAGCGGCTCTGGATATCGGGAATATCGTAAATGGACCGAGGATGCGCAGATAGCGACGAGATGAGGATTTCGCCTACCGCACGACGACGTTAGTAGATGATGATACTACATCCATGACCCTCCAAGCCTTTACAACAGGTCTATACGCCCCGAAGCCCTCGCACTGACAACACCGAGATGATCTTCCACCACCGCCAGAACGTTACAAAGACGTCTAGAAGCATCCGTTAAGTGACGGATTCAGCAAGGCCATGAGGGTGGAACTAGACGGGTTACAAGCGAAGGAAACGTACCAGGAAGTTAAGATACCGAAGGATCGAGGGACACAAGTGCTACCGCTCATATAGGTGTACGCGTACAAATTCGATCAGGACGGGTTTCTCATCAAGTGTAAAGCACGGATATGTGTGCGTAGAGACTTACAATCTATTTCGGCCGAAGAAAAACGGGCGGCAACGCTCGCTACTCGGACAGCGAGGACGCTTTTCGCCCTATATGCGGCGTACGACTTAGATCTCCGTCAGCGAGATGCGGTTACCGCGTTTCTGAACAGCAAGCTCCGTACAGAAGTGTATACCTTGATGCCGGAAGGCTTCAAGACCCAAGGGAGATGCTGGTTGTTACTTAGGGCCTTATACGGACTGAGAATTGCACCAAGACTCTAGCAGCAGGACGCTACGAGGGTTTTGAAAGGTCTCGGTTTAGAGCAGGTCGCGGAGGATCCGTGCGTGTTCGTCGGAGAAGGGATCATTATATTCTTCTATGTTAATGACATCCTTATAGCGAGTCATCATATAGCAAGAGAACGAGCACGTCAGCTCGAGCAAGAGCTCAAGAAATATTAGGAGCTCACAGATCAAGGTGATGCTGAATGGTTCCTCGGGATCAGAATCTTACGGAACCGTGTAGAACGGAAACTCTAGCTAGTTCAAGACAGCTACTTTACGAGCGTTACAGAGCGGTACAACCTCACCAGACGAGCATGTGTATAGACACTAGGGGCCGTGGAGAAGCTTAACCCATTCAAGGGGCAAGCGAGTCCGTAGAGCATATATGATTACCAGCAGAAGGTAGGATCAGTCCAGTATGGCACTACAATCACCCGTCCGGATGCAGCGAAGAAGGCTTCGACCCTCGCCCGGTTCCTTCAGAACCCAGGGCCCAAGCATCACGCCGCGATCGAACGCCTTATATGTTACCTTTACACGACGAGATACTGGGGGATCCAGTATAGGCCGGTCGAAGACGACCGGGACGTGGTTAGGATATCAAGCGACGCTTCATACGCGGACAACGGGGATCGAACGAGCTCTACTAGATACATATATCAGATATTTAGAGGCCCAGTCGACTAGAAGGCGACGAGGCAGAGAACAGTCACCACATCCACTACCGAGGCCGAGTTATTAGGTCTCTCAGACGCTAGCAAAGCGTTACAGTGGTGGGATAGACTATTCAGAAGGATCGGGTTCGAATACCCAGATAAACTCACGATCGAATGCGACAACACCCGTACGGTTGACCTGATTAACGCGGAAGACACGCCATTTAACACTAAGCTTCGACATGTGGATATACACGGTCACTGGCTAAGACAAGAGGTCAGGGAAGGTCGAGTTCGGATCCGATGGGTTCCGACCGGACAAATGGTCGCAGACGGACTCACCAAGGTGCTGCCGAGGCAAAAGCATGAGATATTCGTCAAACTGTTAGGCCTGGTGGACGTTGAGCATTTGATTATGGAATGAGATGGAGGGAATGATAAGTCAGCATGGCCTAATTAGGCAATGGAGGCTGATTGGGAAGATTGCAGAATTGAAGGAATTGGCTGATTATGGGTCCAGCTTAATCAATTGCAGGGTGCTTAAGCTGAGGGGGTGTGTCGGCATAATTTTGATGATGTAAGCTAGCTAGATTAGTAAGCCAGCACATAAGGTGTGCGCACAGAGATAGGAGAACAACCAGACAGACACATATTGAATCGAACACCCATAGGACCTTGATTGACCGCCCTGATTACGTGTTCCGACACGGATCCATGATCACATGACCTTGACCAGAGTGGAGCATCAATTTCAATCTAAATGCCCCACATCATTGTCGAGAGAATACATGTCAGTGAGGTCACTAAGGTGCAATCTGAACTCTTTCTAACAAGTGAGATAAGATCAATTATTGTGTGCCCATGTTTTACTCATCATCGGGGATTTTGACTGGTGTTCTATTTAACAATGTATGGATAGAAAACTACAAGCACAGCGAAACGAATGTTTCAATTGGAGCGAAAGTTATCAGAAAGACAAATCAGAACCAGATAAAATATTACTCAGACATAACCAAAGCCCAGAATTGCCAGAAAAATTTCACATCGAATCTGGTGGCAATTGCATTGATATAGACTATAGCTCCAAGGTGGCAAAGCTAGAGGAAATAGGAATAGGGAACGCCATGGATCTGGAATCCTTAGTCATCGGCTTCTCAAACCTTGAAACTTCGATCTCTCAACATTCAATCTCGAATTCACCTTTGATCCTGAAATGCGCCCGTCAGACTAGTCCTATCCCCTCCCTCGACAACCCCTCCATTTCCGATGGCTCGCCCCTCCGTCGTCCAAGAGTATGCCGCGCCCTCAACAACCCTAAGCCTCGACCACAAAGTCGCCCACGAGCGCCAGCTCTACAATGTCCCACGTCCGCAGGGCTACCGCGTATCATGGCATGCCAATCCAGCCGTGGAGCCACACCATTTCGGCCAGTCACACCCCATGAAACCATGGCGGCTCACTTTGACCAAGCAATTGGTAATGGCATACGGGATGCACCACGCGATGGACCTGTACCTTTCGCGCGCAGCGACATATGAAGAAATGGCCGAATTCCACGAAAGCGATTACCTTGATTTCCTCAAACAAGTCATGCCGGGCGATATCGACAAACCGGAGCAAAGCGATAACGTCATCCGCTTCAATTTCGGTGATGATTGTCCCATCTTCAACGGGCTGTACAATTACTGTTCCCTGTACGCAGGCGGAACTGTCGACGCAGCCCGGAAACTCTGCAACGATCAATCGGAGATAGCGATTAACTGGTCTGGAGGTCTGCACCACGCGAAGAAATCCGAAGCTAGCGGGTTCTGTTACGTGAACGATATCGTCCTCGGCGTCCTCCAACTCCTCCGTCATCATCCCCGCGTCATGTACATCGATATCGACGTCCACCACGGCGACGGCGTCGAACAAGCATTCTGGTCCACAGACCGTGTGCTCACAGTCTCATTCCACAAATACGATAAAGATAACTTCTTCCCTGGTACCGGTGCACTCGAAGATACGGGCCCAAATCACCCCCTAAACCCTGGCGCACATCACTCCATCAACGTCCCGCTAAACGATGGCATCGACGACGAAAGTTACATCTCGCTGTACCACGAGGTAATCGGTGCCTGTGTTCGCAATTACCAACCCGGCGCTATCGTTCTGCAATGCGGAGCCGACAGTCTTGGCTGCGACCGGCTTGGCTGTTTCAATCTTAACGTTCGCGCGCACGGTGCCTGTGTCGCGTTCACAAAGACATTCGGATTACCACTCCTCGTCGTTGGTGGTGGTGGGTACACACCACGAAATGTCTCCCGGGCGTGGGCGCATGAAACATCCATCCTGATAGAAGCGGATCAAATAATCGATACGACGATCCCTGAATCCGTGACGTTCCGGAATCACTTTGGTCCTGATTACTCTCTCTTCCCGCCTCTGTCTGAGATGCGTAAACTCGAGAATAAGAATACGCGGGCGTATCTTAGTGATCTGGTTGAATCTGTTCATGAGCAGCTGCGCTATATCAAGGGTGCGCCCAGTGTGCAGATGAGTTTCATTCCTCCTGATATCCTTGGTTTACGGGAGGATACGGAGAAGGAGATTGAAGAGCAAACTGCTTTGATGGAGGAGGAGTATGAGGAGCGAATGGGTGGTTCGGCTGCTGCGTCAAGTATCAGTCCTGCTGCTTCTGGTTCTGCCGGTGCTATTCCGCGTGGAAATAGGCGGAGGGACCTTGAGCGGGGAGCTGGGTACAGAGGCGAGTTATATTCATGATGCGGTATCATGGTGTTTGATTACTGGTTTCCATGGTGTTTGGGACATGGAGTTTTGAGCGTAGTCTGTCTCAGTTGAGAGTTATGCTGGAGTTAGATGTCTTGTTTTTTATCGTGATATCCCGAGGAATTGTACAGTAAGACAAAGAAAACAAATAAATTCATGAAAAATCAGGAAATTCCCACCGTCCAACGCGCTGTATAGAACCACCCTTATTAATCTATCGTTTGAATTTGAGACTTGACCTTTGTCCTAAGCTCCATTCAACATCCATTCACTCTCACCTCCATTCGGATTTTCAGGATTTTTCTTCGCTATTACGACACGATGCAACAGGTTCACATTACGACGTACCTCACGCCACCTTATCCAGGCAATTGAATATAATCGAGGGTAATGAAGATTCATTTGTTATTTCGGCGCTTTGGTACTTTTGTTTTGTCTTTTGGGAAAATCCAGCATAAAATCGGGTATCCAGCAATGGTGCGGCGTCATGACCGGGAAACGCTTGTGTTGAACATGGAATATAAGGAGGGAACAGCATGCCGTCTTCGGTCGGAGGAATGGTGCTGGGTAATCTGGCAGTTTGCCCAGGTCGTCTATCGGTCCCTCAAGTGAGGGCTAGGGTTGAAAGGCGTGTCGAGCGATCTGAAGGGAGAAGGAGTGCAGACTGCTCTGAATTCAGAGATTTTATGGCTCATTGGTTCTCCTCTGCATCTACGAACTTCTCCACCTCAGATGTTGTAGTATCTTTCCGTTCTACGACCTCAGGTCTGGTTGGTTCGGCTTCGGACCCTATTGTTGGTGGCAATATTAGCTGTGATATCCTTGGGAGTCGGCTGCGCTGGGATGCGTCGCACCGTATGGTGGAATCTGATATTGAGATGACTGTTTCTGACCTTGGACGATAGGCGCGATGGCTAGGATTTGTTTCTTGGCAAGTTCTGGGTCGTGGGAGTCGCTATTTCAAGTCAGTTACGGAACGATGATTTGACATCATAAAACTTACACCTCGGCGTTAATGATCCAATCAAGGTCCTCGTCTCCCTCTTCCGGGCCACCGGGACCACCCTGGACAGCACGAAACAGGCGAGGTTTCCAATCAACGCCCTCATCGGCGCGCTTGGCAGCTTCTTCACGTTGACGGTCTTCGATCTTGGTCTTCTCGTCTGTGGCGGCTTCGTGATTCCGGGCGATGATGGCCTTCACGGTGTCATGCCATAAACGTTGTGATTCGCGCTCGCCCTGTTCTTCGATTGGACGAGCAATGGGTTTCGAGTGCTTTGCGTGGCCTGCGTCAAACAAAACATCCTTCTTGTGGCTCTGTGATATTGTCAGTAACTGATTGATCCAGGACATACGGCGCAGAACGAACATGGACATCCTTGATCACCATTTCGCCATTCCACATGCCAGACAGCTCATATAACACATCGCCAGTCTTTTCGTTCTTGATGGTTCCTCCAATAGCATTATAAGTACCCGAGAAATACCCCTTCGTCTTGAACTCAATATCGGCCACCAAGCCGGTTTCAGGGCATCGCACGTAACTGTGATCTCCAAGCTCATACTTCATCTTACCGAAAAGGATACCACGAGCATACATATTCGGTTGCGTCAAGATACTGCATGGATCCATTAGTACTCAACATGCAAAAGATCCAACTCTAAACATACTATTTTTCGCCCTTCTCCTTGTTCTCGCCGCGATTCAACAGTCGCAACGTCGCAATACCTTCCATCAGGCTAGCTGCGGAGTTGCCGAGGAATTTACTGCGCGGCTTGAGAGTCCCGTCGATCCGAATATGGTGCTCGGGCGCCATAAAGAAGTAGCTCGACTTAGGCGGGTGGTGCGAGGTCTGCTCGGCAATATAGTATCCACGTGTGCCATCAGGATAGTCCCAGTAGCAAGTAAAGGTTTCGCCAAGAATGGGGTTCAACGGCTTCTTCACTCCTCTGTATGATTGACGTCAGACTGCGATCGGGAAAACCAAACGGTGCGGGCAACGTACGGAGGCTTAATGTGCCATCCACTCAAGTAAAACTTGACCACAGAGACAAATCGCTCGACTGGATCGTCAATAGTGCTCATGGGGAGGAGGGTATCGGGGTGGGCCATGAAGCTAGAGACGTCAGCATCTGCAGGGCGAAGCGCCAAGGGTCCAAAGCTGGGGAAATTTCATACTTGGTGATCCGCTCTAGCATCGACCGGGGCTCTAAAATGAATGTGGGCAGCACGACCCGACTCAAGTCGGCGCCCGGTCGGAGCTGGGAAATGATGTGTGACAGGACTGGATCTTGTCAGTGGGCATTCTGGCGGAGGATTCGGAGACATTACCATTTCCCTGGTCGGCCTCGACGATCTCTTCATCGCCGCTAACTGCAGATTCATCCACCGATGATTTACCTGGGAGTGTTTCAGACATGGTTGTTGGGGCAGGGTAGTGGAAAGTTCATACTGGCTAAGGAAGAACGGCGGAGGTGCGGGACCGGCATGACTGCGTTCGGAATGACAGAAAGAGTAGGATGTTGTGAGCAACTCTAGATCACTGGGCGACCAGCATTTAAGGAACTGAACCACTGGAAATCGAAGAGAAAGACCTGTAGAATGACCGAGTTTGGTTGCGACTAAAGACCTAGTGGAGAGAAAAAAGAGGGAAAAAGTTTTTAGTAGAATAAGGTAAAAACGGGCTTAGACTTGAATCGGGCAGTGACGTCGAAAGGCCTCACTATATAGCCATCCTATCTACGACCTCGGGAAACTCCTGGGGATTCTTGGAGTAAAGGCCGAAAATTAACTCCTCTACCTATTGTACCTGGTAAATCCCTTCCAAACCCTGAGCTTCGCCTTGTCCCAAGGCATTCTATTGATCCATCATGAGGGGCACGTCTTGGCGGAGTGGGGATCAGCTTCGGCACTCAAAGGCCAAGTCAAACGATATGCCTGCAGGTTTTCCTGCACAGTCCATAGATCCACCTTACTCTCCGATCGTACCGGGACCCATGCAATCATACCCGTTCAATTAGCGGCACGTCTCCACGGGTGATCTCCCTCACAAATGCTGGATTCGGTTGATGAAGCATGACGTGGAAATGTTCGACCGCGTGGACTGATTTGAGAGACTTCCAGTTTTTGAACCAGACGACCTGCTCAGCCGCCACCCGAGAATGAAAGGTACGCTGCACATAATGATCGATCGCCTCGCGTGCCTCTGGAGTGAGTTCCCCGGATACTGGGTCATCTGGAAGCTCGAACTTGGTCCATACTACCAGGTGGATTATATCAGTGTCAATGCCATAAGGCCAGTCGTTACGTAGGATCCGAATGTCGTCTGTAGGGAAGAACCTGCATGTCAGCCACACACTTGCAACTAGAACAAACACAGCAAAAGCATACCATCGAATTCAAACATGCCTCCCTTGGGCTTCATCTCCTCCGTGTCTCCGTCGCCCCATTTTAATCTCTCCTTGACCACGAATCGCATCACCGATCCATACTGGGCTTTGATGTGGGCGGTGTACTCCAAATACTTGCGTAGGTCACTGGGCACGCGTTGAAACCGATCAATCCGGTTCGTTCCTGCGGACCAGAAAGCCGCCAGTCAGCTAAACAAAATGGCCCCAAATATGCACACTAAGAGTAGCAGCTCCACTTAACTGATTATGTCTTGTACTGAATCCCAGTTTTGCCGCTTGTAGTGGGTATCAGACATTGAAAGACACTGTATGTTCTTGGGCGATTGGTTCTGTAGAAACTTTGGGCACTCAGTGGTCCACTGTGATTGAGGCACGTTCATTAGCCAATAAGGCAGATTTTCGTGGTTGAGGCCATGATCGAGGAGAAACTGAGCAGGCGAGTCCGCGTCAGCGTCGGTTAGTTTATCGTCGAGCGCAGTGACCGTTGCGGCAGGCGTCGAAGGCTCAGAGTGAGGCATCATGAATGAAGAAGGGCAAACACGTCCTTGAGCTATATTGACGTAGTAGAGGGAGTTCTTGAGGCGACGTCACCGTGCAGTAGCGTTGAGAAAAGAGTTGGAGAAAGAAGGGGTCCTCGAAAAAACGTCTTTATACCAAAAGTAGTTGGTCTTGTCGATCACCGGGGTTAACTATCCCGCCGAATCCACAAGAGGTCGTTGATTGGATTGGAAACCAATAAACCGTTACGGAAGTTCTATTTGGAAGGGCCGTAGAACCGATTAGAATTCTAAACAAACATCTATGCGACCGCCAGCTTCTTGAGGACCGCGTCATCCGCGTGGATCACGGAAACCCCCGCGATAAGAAGCTCCTCCTTAACTTGCTCCCAACCAGCAGGAACAACGCACTTTGTTCCCTCTTCAATCAGCCAACTTCTAAACCCAGCCTTGACGGCGTCAATAGCTGTGCATTTCACACAATAGTCCCCTGCCAACCCGACGACAAAGACATCCGTCACCCCCTTGGCCTGGAGCTCGGAGGTGATATCCACCGTAACCGAGTGCATCGTCACAGTCGGATCGATGTTGCCAAACGCATCAGCAAAGGCAGAGTACATCTCGACCTGCGAGTGTCTGCCTTTCATCACCACTAGATCAAAGAGACTGGCGTCAATCTCGGGAATGAGGTCTGCGCCGGGGGTATCCTCCACGCAGTGAACAGGCCAAAGCTGCTGGGGCTTTGTTTCCGGTTCTTGACCAGGAGGTGGGTGGGGATTCGTCATTTCCACAAATGATTCAAACGGTCGGTTATTGGGAGGCGGATGGTTGCTGGCGAAAGAGATGTGGTCTGGTGGGTGGTAGTCTTGGGTTGCGATACGGGACACCAGCCCAGGTTGCGCGAGGAGGGAGTTGATCAGAGGAGCGATGGACCGGCCATCTTGTACAGCGAGAGAGCCATTCTGTAGACGCGCATCGCAACTTGCGCATCAGCACTAAGCGTCGAGCTGTTAGTTGAGCTGTTGTTCACTCACGGGTGGGCAGAAATCTTCCTGCATATCAACTACAATCAAAGCAGGCACAAAAGGCCCTTCCTCAACTTCCTCAAGTTCCGAGGCCATTCTCTATGAATTGAAGGGAGTGACCTGGTTCAAGTGGTTAGTTTCAAGATTGTAGCTTAGCTCGGTGGGAGGAAGTGGGGAGCTGGTGGCTGAGTCAGCACGATGGTAAAAACGCGAAAATCACCAGCGGACGCAATCTTGCTTTCCTTCTCTCTCCTTCAAGGGCTACGGCCCCAACGATTTCAACGTAATACTCCAGAACTGGATAATGAAAGATTCTTGCAAGGTCAGTGAATAGTTCTGTTTACTCAATTGCCTTTTTACATGATGAGTTTTTATTTATTGGAGCTGTCTGAGCTTTTGCTATGCGGACAAACTCTTTATACGCATTTTATCTGAACCACCCTTTTATCTACTTGATCCTCGATCTCACGAAGATTTCTCTTGCTAACGCCAAGAATAGTCAAATACAGGAAACAGTAAACTCAACATCAAGCCACCTTGATCAAATTGATCAAAAATTTTTTATTTCTATTTGCCCTATCATCCAACTTAGTCTCTCCATACCTATACCTTAGGTATAAATAATCTCCACCATGGCATATGATCCTCGCCGTGTAAACACGGGAAGCACGACTCCCCAAACTCCTCCACCTCCCCCTCCACCACCACCCGAGTCCTCCACTCCCGAGATGGACTCCCAAGAGGGTACAGACAACTGGAAACTTAAATTCTGCACCGTCTGCGCCTCAAACAACAACCGGTCTATGGAAGCTCACCTCCGTCTCTCTGCCGCACCCACTGCCTTCCCAGTCATATCCTTCGGAACCGGTTCCCTCGTCCGTCTCCCCGGTCCCTCTATCACTCAGCCAAATGTCTACGGCTTCAACACAACGTCTTACAACCAGATGTACGAGGAGCTGCAATCTAAGGATGAGCGCCTTTACCGCAATAATGGTATCCTGAACATGCTGGACCGCAACCGAAATCTCAAATGGGGTCCCGAGCGCTTCCAGGACTGGGTTCCTGGCGCGCCACGCGTGGATCACGCCGCGAAGGGGGACAAGGGCGCATCGGGTACGGAGGGAGGTGTCGTCGATGTCATCATTACTTGTGAAGAGCGCTGCTGGGATGCGGTGGTTGATGACCTAATGAGTAAAGGATCGACGCTGAATCGGCCTGTTCATGTCTTCAATGTCGATATCAAGGATAACCACGAAGAAGCATTACTGGGAGGAAAGGCGATCCTGGATCTGGCGAACCGACTCAATACAGCTGCTGTTGCGCAACGCGCTCAGCATGGAACTGAGGGGTGGGATAATGGCACTGGTACGGCGAGAATGAGCTTTGATGAGAAGGTCCCTGAAATTCTGGCGGAGTGGCAGGAGTTGAATCCTAATTTGCCGGCGTTGTGGACACTGGCTTGGCTGTAGCCTCGATTTTGATGTCTGATACCCCCATTCATGTGGCGTTTGTCACTAGTCATAATACGAATACGCTTGCTTATTGTTAGAGTATATTGTAATTGATAATGCATTCTTGAGGTTAAAAAAGGGGTATCATCGCGTATCCTATACCAACGCCGGTGCTGCTACGAGCAGCCAAAAGATCACGCAGCAAGAAGCAAATATTCTGGAGAGTATGGCTCATGAAATCACGGTTCATCTTTGATCTCGCTCTTCATCCGCTCGGTCTTCATATCCTCGCTCTTGATCTCTTCATCCTTGACCTTTTCGTCCTTAATCCTCTCAGTCTTGATCTTCTCGATTTTGATCTTCTCACTCTTGATCTTCTCAGTCTTGATCTTCGTATCCTTGGACAGCAAAACATCCCGTCGTTCCGAGTACCACCGATCAAGACACGCTCTCCGTTCAGCCTGCGTCATATTTTCAACAACAAGCGCAAATTCAGTCGCATCAGCATATCCCAAATGCCGTGCCATACTACAAAACTGCCGACGTTTGACACCTTCCGGCGGATGATACTTGAAACGAAAAGGCGAAAGATTCGGCTTACGTGGACGGGGTGTTCTTTGGTCAACTTCTTCAAATGGCGAAATATCATCATCTGGCTGCATTTGTGATGATGGTATCTCGAAGACTTGGAAATCGGCATCTGGATCATTATTGACCTGCTCAGCCTGACGACTGAGTTTCTCCTCGACACGAGAGGAACCAATCACTTCATTGTTGAGATGAGTATATTCCACTCCGGCACTGGAGAGAATCGCTTGGACTGGGTCGTGTTTGTGTGGGGTAGTAGTTCGAGGTTTCTGGTCATTTTCCTCACCGCGGATCATAGCGGCATATTGGCTCATAGTTTCGTCTTCGGACTTGATAGGTCTGTCACCGGTAGCTTCCTCGTCTTCCTCGACGTGGAAATCCATGACTTGGACACCGGCTCGACTTTCAGCGACGTTAGTCTTGTTCACGATGTCACGTAATACAACGTTGTCGAATTGGTATGAAAACAAGTTTTGCATGCCGAAAATCTCGCCCTTTTGATCTTTCTGGTCTTGGACTCCCTTGAAGTATCGTCTCTCGGAGCTCGCATTGTACCCAATTTCGGCCTGTTGCTGCTTGTAGATTTGCCGGGCGTAGACGATCTCCTCGATGGTGCCAGCAGAAACAAGCCGAAAGACCTCGACATCGCGGACTTGTCCGATGCGGTAGGCCCGGTCTTGAGCTTGAAGATCGTAGGAAGGATTCCAGTTAGGATCCACAACGACTACTTTGTTGGCGGATGTGATGTTCAGGCCGATACCACCAGCTTTGGTAGAGATCAGGAAGACGAATTGTTTAGGATCAGAGTTGAACTCGTCCACCGCTAGAGCTCGGTCTTCATACTTCATGGAGCCATCCAAGTAGCTCACGTTGTAGCTGGTATGATTGAAGAGCATCTGTAGCATTTTCAAAAGGCGCACACTGTGCGAAAAGACCAAGACTTTGTCTCCGTTCGAATGCCACCACTTAAGCAGTTTGCGAAGGACTTTCCATTTCCCGCAGAATTCGGGGTTTGCGTAATTCATGATTGAGTCCCGAGAACGATAGAGATCTTCCCATTGGTCGGGGAGCGCGATCTGTAGCATCTCCTTCTCCTTCTCTTGTCTCTCCTTTGGATCATTTCCTTGGGGAATGAGAAGGGCCAGGTGGTTGCTTAGCTTTTGCAATACTGCAATCGCAGGGAAGACGTAAGCTTGCCAGGTTTTATCTGTACCATCCACAAATTTATGACAGCACCAGCCTGCTTTTCTTCCTTGTCCGCAGTCGCATAGGTCAGTGGAATTCTTGATCGACTGGACAATATCACTATCCAAAATGTTTTCGTAAGCTTCTGCTTGTGACCAAGTCAGAGGGCAAAAGACTACTCGATCACTTTTCTTCGGCAATTGATCTGCAATCAAGGATTTCATGCGTCGGAGGAAGAACTGAGGTAGCAAGTTCTCGACGAGCTTCCTGGCTGTTCTTCGAGCCTTGCTCAGTTCGTTCACGGTTGCACTATGGGACTGTCCGATCTTCAAGGGTTCTGCAATTTGTGCTTTCCATGTTGTCACTGGACCAAGGACGCCAGGATTAGTCCAATTCAGCAGAGTCCACAGCTCTTCATATCGATTTTGGATTGCTGTGCCCGTGAGACCAATACGACATAGAGCGTTGATTTCATTCATGGCTTTAGTCGTTTCTGACTTTCGTTCCTTGATCTTATGACATTCGTCGGCGATCACACAATCCCATTCAATGAGATTCACCAGTCCCTTGTTATTCACATAGGTGGTGTAAGTGGTGATCATAATTTCGGCCATGCCCGATTTCACGGTTTCAAGAGGGATATCCTTGCTGGCACCATGATAGACTTCAGTTTGCCACCATCCCCATCTATTTAGCTCCGCAACCCAATTTGAGATCAGAGTTCCAGGACATACGATCAAGGTGCGTGGGTACCATGGCTTATCAGCAGATCTACGCATCTTGCGCATTCGTTTCCTATCGCGTTCATCACCAGTCTTCCCGTAGGCTGCCGTCAGGAATGCAATCACCTGAATAGTTTTCCCAAGGCCCATATCGTCCCCGAGAATCCCACCTTTTTGGTAGATAAATTTCTCGTGCATGAAAGCCACTCCCTCAACTTGATATTGGCGTAGCCATTGCGCAATCGGTGCGGGAATCAAGCCAAGAGAGTAGGGTAATGTAATGTCCTTGTATTCGCGGACAGGGGTTCTTCCCGGAAAGGACGGTTTTTCTTGCAGATGTTCGAGGCGTTCATCATCTGAAAATTCCACGTCCTCGTAAGATGGTGGTAGCTTTAATCCATACTCCTCGAGGTGCTCTTGCCTTCGGTCAAATTTAAGACGGCGCTGCTTGATGTAGCCCGGGAGCGTATATTCCATCAAGTCGTCATCGGATGATACTTCATCATACTCCTTTAGAGGACGCTTTGGTTTCGATATTGCTTTCTCGGGCTTAGCAAGACCAACGATCATATCATCAGCCGGCTTTTCCCTCTTTGGAATCTTGGGAATTTTTGCTTTGCGGTTTGCAGCTGCAATTTGCTTGCGCTTGACAGACTTGCGGTCCTTAAACTTCTTGTATGCCGCTTCGCCATCATTGAACCCATCATCGCTGTCACTGTCAGATTGAACTTTGATCGGAGTATTGACTGTGATACGCGAAGGAGTATCCAGAATATCTGATTTAAGAGGTGGGGATTGTTCTGATTTCAAGTTGGCAGAATTTCGAGCTTCTAGAATGTAAGCTGCACGTCGCGCGTTTGGGGATGTACGTACATACTTGGGACGGTTGAGGTGGGGGTTGCTTTCACATATCGCGTCACTTCCAGATCATCATCGTCCGAGTCAATAATAATGACCTCGGAGTCATTCTTACGTTTCTCCATTTCGGCAGCATAATCGAAGTGGTGGCAGCATAATCGAAGTGGTGCGAGAATAATGGTGTAGAAGCGTGTTTAGGCAGAGGCGGGAAGGCGGAGAAGAAAGGTGGGCGATGTCATTCCCGATTGGCGAAATGAAAAAAAAGCTCTCCGATCATCAACTTCTCCCAACACGAGCTCTGCGCTCTACACTTTCGATATCACCCAATTGGGCTTGACTTGAAGCTCTAATACTGTACGCGATTCTATCCAGCTTTTAGTAGCTACCTCCGCCTTCTGTCTAACCTGGATTCACTGACCTCTCCCGTCACGCAGGTTACTAGACCAACCTACTATTGAATACTCTGCCGCCATAGTGGAAGACTTATTCCCTTTGAGATAAGAAAGAAGTCACAAAAATGCCTCTCGATACCTCTACAACATACCCTCTGACCCGGCTGCGCCTGGACGGTCGCCGATGGAACGAACTGCGCCTGCTCCAGGCCCAGATCTCGACCAACCCCGCCAGCTCCGGTTCATCATACCTGTCCATGGGTAACACTTCGATCATGTGCTCTGTTCACGGCCCTGCAGAGGGTCGCCGTGGTGATGCGGCAGGAAGTTCTGGTGCCGTCGTCGAGGTAGACGTCAATGTTGCCGGATTTGCTGGCGTGGATCGCAGGCGGAGAGGTGGAGGAAGCGACAAGTAAGCTCCGGGTCTTTTTTCTTGGTACATGGCAGCAGCCAGGCAGATTCTAACTCGTATATTTGTAGGACATCCTCGCGCATTGCGGTCATCCTCCGTTCTACCTTCCAATCGCATTTACACGCCTACCTCTACCCACACAGTACCATTAGCATCCATGTCTCCGTTCTCTCCTCCGATGGGTCCGTGCTCGCCGCCGCAATCAATGCTTGCACTTTGGCCTTGGTTGATGCTGGTATTCCTATGCCTGGTCTGCTCTGTGGCTGCACGGCTGGTATGAGCGGAAGTGCCTCGACACCGAAGGATCCCCGACACGATGAACTGGACCCTCTTCTGGATCTTTCTCTGCCTGAGGAACAAGAGTTGCCTTTGATGACCATCGGAACTACCACTGTTGTGCCTGGGGGCGAGAATAACATGGACGACGACGACGAAGAGACTTCTGTGGCTTTGATGATCATGGACTCTAAACTACATAGTACATACACTGAGACCATGTTAGCCGTGGGTATCGATGGGTGTAACCAGATTCGCGAGTTGCTGGAAGGAGTCATTAAAGGATCGAACCGGGGATGAAACGATACGATACCCTGATATTTTGCATGGACGGCGTCTAGGAAACGGAGAAATGAAATTAATGTTTCTGAACTTTGAAATTTACCTACATTGGCTTTTGCACAGCTGGAATATCTGCTCAATTGCACTCAATCATACGAACCAGCTAAACCTACCAAACTCTATACTAAACGTGGAATATGCTCATACATTACCCAATTGAGACGTGTGACACTTCCACGGGCTCTTTACATCCACAGGTCCTTTCGTCTTTTGTATCATTTCTTATTCTCCTACCTCATCGCACGTCGCACGTTGCATTTATCTTCCATTCTCACCGTTCAGAGACTGGCAGCAGTTGACGTACAGGCTTGATATTCTACTCCATTCTGCAAGATCTGTCCAAGATAAAATCACTATGGACTCTATGCCCACCGGCGGCCTCGGAGCCATGCCTACTGGCAGTATTCCCGGCATGCAGAACATGACCACTATGAGCACTATGGGGGATATGGACCTCACCTGCAAGATCTCCGTTAGTCTACCGCCGTGCTCTGCTCTGATAATGTTGAACTTTGACTGACATATACTGTTTAGATGCTTTGGAACTGGTATACTATTGATTCCTGTACGCCGCTCATTGCTTAATCACCCTAAGATTATACTAAACAGATATCATTTACTAGGCTTCCTCTCCCGTTCCTGGCACATCCGCTCCAAAGGTGCCTTTGCCGGTGCTTGCATCGGTGCCATCCTTCTAGTGATAGCCCTGGAGGCCCTCCGCCGTGCTGGCAGAGACTATGAGTCCTTCATTCTGCGCCGAGCTCGCCTGCGCCACATGTACCTCTCTGGCCCGTCTTCCGGCGCCCCAGCCGGTCAGGGCGTCAAGGCAAAATTCCAGAAGATCATCTCAGGTGCACAGGGTAACTCAACTGCCCACTACAACGACGGTCCATCGGGTGATGATCTTATCACGCCTGTCAAGAACAGCTCTTTGCGTCCCAAGACCTCGCACGAGAACAACGGACTGAGCCAAAAAGATTCTATTCCGGGTGTCGACAAAACCTCTCACAATATCGGTCGTGCCAATTTTGGGCCCTACCGCCCTTCGCCCATGGAACAACTGATTCGAGCTTTGTTGCACATGCTGCAATTTGCCGTCGCGTACTTCGTGATGCTGCTTGCTATGTACTACAACGGATACATTATCATTTGTATCTTTATTGGTGCATTCCTTGGGTCTCTAGTCTTTTCTTGGGAGCCTGTGTCGCTCAGCAGGGAGTGAGTCTGTTCCTGTCAATACAATCCAGTAACACCTTGAAAGCTGACACATCTTCCTTACAGAAGCGATGCAACTACCGTCACCAAGTGCTGTGGTTAGTCCTTAGTCTATTTATGAATAAGACCCGGTCTCTTTGAGAGCCCCGGGTATGAGAATATGTGAATGGGGAACTTCGGTCTGGGAACCAATGGATGAGAGCTCCGAGTGTTGGAATTTACGGAGTGCAACATTATGCACCATGAATATCCTGTATTAGGTACACATCAGTCTTATCTTCTTAGCTCTCAAAATATCCGGCCAATTACACATCTCGCCATCCAAGCCACTCTCCTCCCTCTTAACCCATATCGTCTCAATAATCTGCCTAGCAACAGAAGCATTAACAAGCCCAGTCATTGCAAAACAAGACTCAAACCACGCAGAAAAGAACATCTGTGTCTCCGAATGCACAGCCTCACAAGCAGCAATAAATGCCGGCCAAATAAGCGTTGCCATATTCTCACCTCCTACCCCAGCCTCATCCACCTTCACCCGTTCAAGAAAATCCCGCACAGCCTCCACCTCCCGTTGAAGCAACGAAGGATCCAAATCGTTAATTCTCCGATGAAAGAATATCAACAACGCAGTATACATCGCCCTCGCCCGTGGCTTGCCTTCAACCTGACTTTCATCCTGCCAATGAGTACGACCATTACAAGAGATCAAAAGAGCCCGAATAGCTTTTTCTAGCGCCTTGCCTCTGGTCCAGAAATCCCTAAGACTCAACATGCCCTCTTCGCTTTGATGTAATGAAATGTCCCGCTCATTCGCTAGCCGAATCACTTGCGAGAGGAGCATGAGAAAACTCTCGGCGATACCGTATATCTTCGGGAATAGCGTTAAGCTCCAGCGGCCCGGTATAGCTAAATGAAGATCGCGTTGTGCGACAGCAGGATCCTTCTCCATGGCCATGATGTTGTCTGAGAAGACGATGTTGGGGTAGATCCGGAAATCGGTGTAGGGCATCGTTTCATCGGAGAGGCTGGCGTTCGCTAGGCTTGCTGTCAGGCTATCGTTGACACTGGTCGTTTCTGCCATGATGCGCATATAGGCGTAGCAGTGATGTAGGGCTCTGCGCTTGGGCGAGAGGGTGGGCGTCTTGAACCCATTTATGGATATAAACTTCTCGGCTTGAATCAGGCAGGATATACGCTGTTCGGAATCTCCCTTGATCATCTGCTCGAGTGAAGAAATTAGTTGCTTAGATCCGTAAAGCTCGGGAATTGTAGTGTTGCCACATACATATGCGGTTGAGAGACTCAGTATCACCATCAATATCTCCTTGTACTTGCTGGTCTTTTCGGTCGAAAGACAAATCTCTTCCATGCATCGTAGGAAGTAGTGCTGAGCCCGCTTTAGGTATGTATTTCCAGTTGCTGTCCAGCTTTCAATTGATGTGGTTGAATGGTTTCCCATATGAAAGGCGCTAGTACTTAACAGAGCATTTAATAATGCAAGTCTTGCATATGAGACACTTCCATTTGCACTGAGATCAGTCAGTGCGCTGATAGCGCAAGGCATGATGAGATTCAACCATGGCGCTTCTTGGCCAAAGCCGAGAGGTGAGATCAAGGGAACAATCTTGTCCCTGTAATGTGAAAGAATCGACCAAGCTTCGATGTGGTTACTGAAGAAATTCAAGGGTGCTTCGATATTGGGTGATATGTCTGAGCCCAATTCAACGTCCTCTGCATTTGATGTGATGAGACTCCAAGGGGCCAAAGTATTAATCTGTTCATCTTCCGGAATATCAAGAATGCTCTCAATGAGCTCAAAGTCCAGTTCTTCTTGATGAACTGTTGGATCTAACCCTAGCGTCCAGTCGTCTAGTAGCAGTGGGATTTCGTCATCGCTGGGAACTGCTTCTTCCGAAGTGGGGGTCTGCGCGAGCCTGGAGATACCAAATGGTCCCCTGAAGAACGAAAAATGTACGTTTTCATTTGTCATGCACTCATATCTTTCTATATCCAGCAAGGCTTGGGTATGGTCACGTCCCGGTAAGGAATTGACGACTTCATTGCTCATGTACTGGCGCTCGGCCTCTGTACAGGTATTAGAAAGGAGTCAGGCCCTGGAAATAGATGGTAGACATACCTGTGAAGATTGCTCGACGATGCTTTGCTGCATTATTGGCATTTAATCTGCGAATATCTTGCTTGTTATCATTGACAAAAGTTAATTGATGCTGGCGTCTGGCACGCGTATCTGTCTCCGGGGCCAAGACTAGGTAGTTTTGGGACAAATCTCGGGGCTGCATAACATCTAGGATGAAGAGGAGTTGTTCAATAGTGTCATTCATCAAATTATCATATGATAGCTAAAGCAAATCTCGAAAAGAAAAGACTAAGGGGAATGGTGCTTCACTAGCCCCTCAATTGATATTATTGATATCGTTTGTCAGAAAAGGCATGCGATTCCGAGCAATGCGGGGTCCACCACTAGATAGTAGGCATGCTTACGAGCAAGCCCAAACACAAGGATTGGGTTGTAGCGGTATTGAAGGGAGGTTTGAACAATAAAACAAACAAATTGAAGTTCCTAATGATCTTTCTGCAAAATAATTATTCAACATGCAAGTAGGAACATATCGGAGTTACTTACCTTTTTGACCGAATTGTCGCCCCAGCTGTTATGGTCACCTGCACCGAAGTATATGGATAATGTTTCTCTGGGAAATGCAAAACGGTGCGAACGACGTCGATGATTATGCCAATGGAATCAATGGTCAAGGCACCAATGGACATATCAATGGTGCCACCGGTTCTAACAATGTCACTCTCCGCCACGCTAACGATCTGAAAATTCAATCTTTTCCCGCAGCTCCCTCACCCTACCCTTCTGTCTTTCAACTCACACTAAGCTCTCCGAGATGACCCATCACACAAGGAGCCTGGCTCCAGTTTACCAGTCCGACTTATTCCTCTTGGTAATTCCATTGGTGATATCGTGACCTATGCTTCGCGCTAATTGTGCCCAAGGAGCGATGGCAAGAAGATTCACCCCTCTCTATAGAGGCCCAGCGCCAGCATCTTTTCCGAATATGTTCATCTGGGGATACGCGGTCGTGAGGTGCGCTCTGGTCGTTCTATTAGTACCCGCATGCCAAGGCTTACCAATTCTCTTAGCCCTACAAGCTCCAAAAAGAACAGACCGGAGTCTCCTATGTGGGTACGCTCCCAGCCCAAAGCCAAGAGTTACTTGAGCGCGTGCGTCAGCCAAATGTTGGGCGCGCAAACCTAGGTGATATTTACTGGCTACGTACATGCTATGGACGGGATTCAGAGCCCGCTTGAGATACCATCTATGAAGGTATGAGCCGTCTGCTGGAAGATCGTTTTATTTGCAATGATGAATCTCTATATAACTTTGGTCCTAACTGGGAAAGGATTTTCCTCATCAAGCCAGAGCTTCTAGAAACTGATTGGACCGCGGAGGAATTCGAAAAGGCTACCCAATTGGCTCTCGAACAAATCGAGCTTGAAGCTGATAGCCCTCGGAGAGCGGAAGACAGTGGTGACTTAATCGACGATGATCTGGACGGAGATAGATTATTTTCCTACCACGCACAGATATCTTTGAGTTGAATCCACGTGGTGGATGCAACAACTCTTGCTTCCGAGGGTACCGACGCAGGTAAAGTTCTGATTGTGTTTTTTGATGAATTTGGTCGAACAGTTCGCTATGCCCGGGAAGACCCATCTGAGTCAGTAGATATGACGGCTTTGAGTAATGCTTATCTGAATGACCATGCCTGCTGGGCTAATTCAGATATTGGAAAACTCTATCGAAGGGGTCAACCATTGGGGCCACCCAAAGCAGCTCATTAAAAAAATTCCAATATAGAGATTGGCTTTGTCAAATCAAAGCAGGTCACCAGGAAAAGTAGACAAACCAGATGAATGATTTAAATTCGCCAAGGGCAAAAAGGGCGGCGCTAGCCCTGGAGGTTCAAGTTCCTTCTTGAACGTTTAATCTACATATAAACGTTCCAACTTGATAAGTCGGCACTTACACCCGACAATTAGAACCAAAAGTAAACAATATTGTAGGAATTAGTAGAGAAAGGCAGTAATAGAGTGACTTCAAAGAGTATATCTAGAGGCAGAATCGCCTCGATCAAGGATCCGATTTAAACTCATTACACGTGAAAACACATTATTTGAGCCGACCCAAGGATGGCCATCCAATGTCTGGTTGGTGCTGGGTTCTAATATGGCGCTAGAGATTATCTTGTTGCCGCATTGACTTTTTCTTTCCGTTCACAGAATGCTCACAGTTAGAAAAAGGACAATGGACCATGATCTTCCCAGCCGGCATTTGATCCCTATGTACCGTTTCCATGTGCCGCGTGAGTTCTTTCTGCCTTGGAAAATCCTTGGTGCAGGCGGCGATGGAACACTTGAAGGGACGTGTATGTGTTTTAATGTGCTTGCTATTAAGTAAGTGGATTAGTGTTGGGAGCATGATAGTGCACTTTAAAGACAAAAAAAAGACATACTTGAGCGGTCCGGGGCTTGGAAATTCTCTTGGGCAGTGCGGAAACTGTAGCGAAGAGACGTTGGCTGCCGTGGAAGATGAGATATACCGGGTAGATCTTGACGAGGCCAAAAGCACGTCTGAAACGATGTCCGCTTCTCCTACTTGCTCATTTTGAGAATAATCTTCTGATTGTTGCAAAGTACTTTGCTGCTGATGTTGCTCTTCATCATTGGTCGTATCGAAGGACTGGGGGGGTATGAACTCGGGAAGTGGACCATTGCTTCCGACGGATAGCCACTCTGGCAGGGCAAGCCCAGCATTGAAAAACTGTAGCTTTAGTTGATGAACAAAGCTGGAACCCCGGTCGGTGACTTGTGTTGGTGCTTCTGGTATGTGTCTCCGCGGCGGAAAAAAGTGGAACAAGTAGTTTCACCGTTTTAACCCCAGTATAGAGACCGACCACTGATTGGATATTATAGACAAGAGAGCTTAGAAGCCAGCCTCTCGCCTAGAGCAACACAGAGAAGAAAAATCTCTCAATGAACGAATGAAGGAGACAATAAGGACGCAAATTCAAAAGCAAGAAAAAGGAGCGGCAGTGGCAGCGAGTGAAGTAACGAGTGAGGATGACAGGCCCGCTGCCCCTGGGGAAGAGAAGAAAAACGGCATTAGGAGTGAAATCACCAGGCTTTTATACTTTTGAGTGTTACGCTCGATTTGACCAGCTAGGATCGAGTATGTGACTCCAGTCACTACCCCGAGATGCTATCAGCCACCAGTGGGACCGTGCGAGGGGGGCCTCAAAATGCAGTGTCCTGATTGGAGAAGGTAATCCATGTCGCACATCAACCAAGCTATCGAGCAGAAATTCCGTCTTTCGATCTGGAGATCATGTGTGGGGGAGATATGAATGGGGCATCGACAGGGCCGATCAGAAGGGGGCCTCAAAATGAAGAACTGTAATTGATCAACTGGCTCGCGCAAAACCACCTCAATTGAAAACTTTCCAAATGAAAAGGCTAGAACATGCACATGGTTGTCATTCTATGTCAAACTTTCAGCAAAGCTAATTGGGTCAATTAAAGGTCGGCATCGGACTCGATGAAACTGACATGAAGAGCATATAAAGTCAATGGAAATCCGCGAGCAGAAAAGAAATCACGACCATTGAAAGACCAAATTCACCAAGCTGAGAAGTTACTCTCTAACTATGTCTTCCATTTTCTGTTGCTCTTCCCCATCTCCTTATCGGCCGGCCCATCTTGCTCACGAGGCCAAGTTTAGCCCATTCATTGCTTGGGCTAAAAGGTCCGAATCATCTCCCTCTGCTGCTTCAGCTTCTTTTTTCCAGGATCCGGATAGGCTGCCCTCTTACGCGGTTCAATTTGTCCGACAAATCAATTTTGGTGCTCTCGAGGCCAAAAGATATTTCATCCCTAACCCCGAAGAAAGTAGTGGGGGTGATTTTGTGGAGATTACCGAGCAAGACTTGATTGCTGGAAACTTTCAAAAGCTCAATTCGTATGTTCAATGGATATCCGATGTCTAGTTACAGGGAATTATAGCAAGCTCATGGGACATAGGTACAAGAACTTCAAGTGCACGACGCATGACAAGTTCTTTGAAATCAATCTATATCAAAAGGACCCGGTTAATCGGCACCATTGGCGATTGAATATCGCTCGGCCAGCTAGTGATATTGATCTTTGAGAATGAAAATGTGTAATTCAACAGCTGGTAGCTCCCAGTTATTTGTGACTCATGGTTTTACTTGCGTGGCATGGTCTGTTTGATAGATGGCTCGGCAGTAGTCGCAGAATGTTTATAAATCCAAGTCTATCATACATCAAAGCATGCAAGTATCTTATTTTCGGCTGTAACGTCTCTATCTAACAGATTATTGATTCAGATGCGAGCTTATGAAGTAATATGTAGTCTGAGTGATTACATGCTAGTTTGGCTTTCTTCAAAAGCTTGCTTTGTGGTGGCCTGCACGCCGAAAGCAGTCTTGGCCCAGCTCTAGTACAGTACGTATCGTACGCGGAGCATACATCCTTTGCCTGGCCCACTTCAAAGGTACACTGTACTCTAAAGGGGTTAGGCAATCTGACCATGTAATTTGCTTGGGAATATTGAGATATCGTTCCATAGCTCTGTCAATTCTCGTTGCTACCCATCCATTCAAAAGCTGGCAAAACTTGGACAAGTCTGAGTCTAGTTCATCACCTGCAAAACAATGATCTTTACTGATTGAATCATGGGCAGCAGAGGTTTCGTGGAATATAGCTCTCGATTCTCACGCTTAATAGGACAGCATGACATACTCGAGAGCCGAGAATGAGGAAAGTAGCACTGCCCTTGAGGTGAATTCTCAGACCAGGGATATAGCTTGAATCAATCTTGAGTGTTCAGGGCGGAAGCAGATTTCGCTAGTGACTACACCACCCGCATGTTGCCAAGATTAGAGAGAGAGAGAGAGAGAGAGAGAGAGAGAGAGAGATGCATTATACTCGAATGTTAGCCTTTCTAGGGTCTTCCCGAGTCGGAGACGGCCGTAACGGCAGCTATCTAGTGTTTTCATAACGTTTACATGCCCATTCAGCCCAATCCGTCTCTTAATTGCCCTCATGTCCGACCAGTTGCCCATTACCCTCGTTTTTGACCAGTTGCCTATCTTTGACTGCCCGCTAGTGTTGCCAAGATTAAGTTATGCTCTCTGTCTACGGAGTCGTATCTGTTGAACTCAGGGTCCATGGATGCTGCAATAATCGCAAACTGCATTGATCAGCTTCTTTGTTCTCATGCAAGATGACCTGAACAGGGATTAGTCCTAATCTTGGGTAGTGCATCTTCCCACCTTCCTGATATTTGCGGTGAAATGAGCCCTGAGGCAGGAGTATTAAGCACCAGTGATTATCCTTACCTCCTCCTAGCACCCTTACTGGATCGCTGAAATGCAGAGCCGAAACGAGCCTGTATGCGCTTCTTCGTAATAAAGGAGTCGCCTATGAAATTAAATTAAACAGGCCTTGGAGTCCGAGTCTTAGACCAGAAAATGCACCCACGCCACCACTAGATAATTGCTACGTCTGAAAGGTTCTTTAATTTTTTTTTTTCTAAGACATGAAACGTTTCACAGGGCGCACCCAGCTTAGTTCTAGCCATGGCTGCTCTCTTATCTACTTTAGCGATCTGGATTGGGGCAGTTAATTCTACGCATTAAAAGGGTCTATAGCGTAATATTCCATTTAGGCGAGATCAAGTAACTACTAAAGCGAGAAAATTAGGCCGATCTGTGATGTACAAACAGCCTCCACGATCATCTTCAATCTCCTAGTACAACACTTTCGCAAATTAGTGTCACATTCACATGGTCTTCCTCTTTGTCTACCTCCAGTTCCAAGAGACGCTAGTCGATATAAGGGTGGCTATCGGTATCTTGATTCATGTTCCAAGGTTAAAATTTTTCGAATATGATATATTGCGCAGGAAAGCATGGCCATCTCGCGATGAACGTTCCAAATCGATACAAACATCTCAGGCAAAAGGGCCACTGTGGATTTCGCGCACTTTGCTTGGCAAGCATCCTTGTCGCATCACCCCGCGTCCAAGAGTTAATAACTTTACTTTGCATCCTTAGAATGTTGGGAATCCTCTCACAGCTTCTAAAAAAAGCCATACTCGTTTCACAATACAAGGATTGCTGCTTTGGTCCCGCTTTAACCTGTACACGTACTCTTCGTGCAGGAATAGCCTTTAGCCACCAAGGTTTCTAATTAGCGAGGATTATGGGTGAGTGAAAGAAGGACCTATGTGATGAGTGATTTTTTTGGAGTCACTGTGAGCTTGGTAGACCTAGCTGTGCGGAGTGTATGAAGCACATATGATAAGTAATATCGATTCCATCACGCTTTGACCTATCGAACCGCATAGGCTGCCATTTGTCTCTACTATGAAAATATTGCTCTGCTTTCCAATTTTCTCTCTGATCGAACCAGCACAAATCCTCAGTTTATTACATACTTCCAGAAACTTGTTCATCTCATTCAGAATTTTCGTGGTATGTGACACTTCGACATGTCTCCAGAATTTCAAGCCTCCAATGTGCTTTGCGCTGAGTCGATTGTACTCAATTATCTGCTTCATGAAGTCCCAGAACCACCAAGTCAAAAGCGGACAAGTCAACTCACGTCATCCGACCAAAATTACATATTGCCATTCTCGAAGGAGCGCGACTTGGTGGAGATACTTGCCTTCCTATCCAAAAGGAGGGATGGCCCAGATCATATCCCTGCAATTTGCGTGGAACAAGATCGAACAGGAAATAATTTAAAGGTTCTCTTGGCAGTCAACAAATGCACCTGGAATGACGGTGATGGCACACTTCAGCTCATCAAAGGAAACTTCGAAGGCGTTTTTGACGCTCTTCATAAGGCAAATTACAGTCGTACGTATGCTTTTTTTTCTCGGCTTTCATGCATTTGTATTAATCTCAAATAGGACATGGTAGCTCCGCGGAAATTAAGGCTGAAGTTCTCAAATCAATCGTTGTAATGTGCTCCTCTAGGATACTTTGTCGGTTACGTCTAGCTCCGAGCAAAAGACATGGAACCAGATCGTCAATCAAAGAGCTATTGCAGAGAGCAATAGAGGGGGTCCGGCTCATTAACCCTCACAAGTTCCGAAATTCCACCTTGGTGGTCTCCTCAACTCAGTTTATATCAGTGTCCAAAGAAGTGATACGATTGGTTAATAACTGGCTCAATCACCAGGTTGAATCTCGCCTGGCTGAGATTTTAGGGGCAATTCGAAGTTTGAACGAGGTACCGAGTCTATCTGATCTATTGCACCTCATTCCGACCGGTAAATCTGGGATAGTCCAGGATTCATGCTTTGCAAGCAGCCTCATCAACATCATTAGTAAAGTGGCCAGAAATCATGAGGCAGCTGAAGTGTTATACCGTATCGCCAAAAAATACCCTGTGGTACGAAATATGAAGCCTCAGCTAGCCACTCTCCCCCCAGAGGCATACGACAGGCTGAACGACCCCAGCTACCTTCCAGAATTCCACAAAATCCCACAACGCCTAGGTCTCATAAATGGCCATCGATATGATGTCACCAAAATATCTCGATACATGAAATTTCCTAAGAACTCGTCTTGTAGTAAGGAATTTTCGGAAGAAACACAGAGAACCATGAAAGAGTCAAAGATCCACTCTGAGATCCAGCTAATTGCCTATTGTGAATCTAAATCAACGCCTGAATTGTTTCCTCGAGTCATTGCATCAAGCAAGGACGCATGCTTCCTTTGCAATGCTTTTATCGCGACGCATGGAAAAATGCACACATCACGAACCCATGGACGACTATACCCCGGCTGGAGGCTACCCAATCTCTTGCATATGAGAGGACTGCAGAAAGAATTCAATCAATGGCTTCTTAACCAGGCTCGAAAAACAATAGATGCGAGGGTTGCAGGCCATGGAGAGATCAATCCCCAACCCCCTTTGGAAAGCACTCTTTTGGTGCCACTTTCTGTTTCATCGACAACAAAAAGTGAATCACCTTCAGATCCCATTTCACATAACCTACAGCTCTCGGTTGCTGAAGAATGCATGACAAAACAACTTGCATCATCGACAGACTCAACAGACTCCCCAGCTTTGAGCCATAAATTAGCCCTGCAAGAAGTAATTCCGTGTAAACCAAGCATCCAAAACCCAGCAATCTTTGTCTGCGGCCGACTTGAAGTTCATTTCGATATGGAAACTGCCTCAGCCTCGAATCGAACGACAAGCACGCTCATGTACAGTATTGAGAGGATCAGGACTGAGGAAAAGGACATCTTACCAGATGGATCTCTTGTAGTAGATGTGCTGGGGTTAACCAAGGAAACCCAGTTTGAATTGCCGATTGATCATACCATTTACATGTCTTGCCAAGATGTCATCTTGAGGCTTACTACAGGCCTTGAAAATACTGTGGTTGATGATAGGGTGCAATGAGAGTACTGTTCAATTCTAATGGGTAACAGACACTCGCTATAATCCGACTTCTTTATGTTTCAATGTCTATACATTTGAACTGATTAGATTATTACTTCACAGGATTAGCAAGTTTTAGCACCTGAATTAGAGTGTAGGTAGTGACAGTTTCTGAAAACATTGTCATGACCATAATTGATGTATTTTGACAATCCCTCCTAGGTCTTCATGAAATTGTCGGAGTTTGGAGCAATGTCAGATCTCACGACTGCGTTTGTGATGCCTCGCTATTTCAGAGTCGTGCCGAACTAAGCACCCAACTCAGCACTAGTATAGTGTCCCGATGATCTCCAGCAGGCAGTTGAGTAAATTGCTGGCCCTGAGAGTGCACGAAGCTAATCAGTGTGGGGGCACTCCAGGCGATGTTGCGTCGGTCTCTTGCTGTGGCCAGAGTAACCATGGCAAAATTGTTGCCATTTTGTTTAATATATCTCCTTAAGATCGTGTAGACAGATAAATTCGATGGTAGTCATGCTGGCAATTGTGGTGCTGGTATCAACTGCTATTACGGCGAAGACCTCCAAGTAATTCCAGGTACAGGCTGTCAGGAATACTGGACATGGAAAATACAGTGATGCAAATTGACTTTTTCATAGTTGCTGAATGGGTAGAGGTTATTCATAGCTTGAAATAACATTGTCAGATAATATAGATGGATAGAATTATGGGAAAGATAGAGATCAGGATTGACTTTACAGATTTCCCATTGCGGACAGCCACGTGGTGCCCCACATACAGGTACAGGAACAGGCACAGTTACAGGTAAACAAAGAATTTTTGGGTCTCCTGTACTAGGAAGTATGCATGACTAGCTTGGTACACTGTCTAGATTACATCGCGCGAAAAGGACCACCATACAAAAAGACTCGCCAGTTGCACTGCACGACTGTCCGGCCCAGGAGACTAACGCTCAAAAGAGACAAGACCGCCTAAACCAGATCATGAAGATCCGATGATTTAGAGCTCACCGCAGCCAACGATGGTAGGCTTGACAGCGGAGCGGACGGAGCCGGAGGAGGAGCCGAGGGCCTCAATCTCCTTGACGACGTTCATGGAGGAAGCGTCAGCGACCTCGCCGAAGACGACGTGCTTGCCATCGAGCCACGAGGTGACAACGGTGGTAATGAAGAACTGGGAGCCGTTGCTATAGAGAAGAAAAGGCGAACACGTTAGAAACATTTCTTAAAGCGGGGTCGGCGGATCTGAGCGCAGCAGCGAGGCTGACGTCGCAAAGTGACTTACGTGTTGGGGCCAGCGTTGGCCATGGAGAGAAGACCGGGCTTGTTGTGCTTCTTCTGGAAGTTCTCATCGGCGAACTTCTCACCGTAGATGGAACGACCACCAGTACCCTATTGCGGATAAAAAAAAATTAGACGAAGTTCAATGGATATAAGGAAACAAATTTCCCCGACACAGCAATTGGAAAGGGAAGCGGGAGCAACTAACGTTGTGGCGGGTGAAGTCACCACCCTGGAGCATGAACTGGGGGATGACACGGTGGAAGCCGGAGTTCAGGTAGCCCTGGCCCTCGGGAAGCTTGCAAAGCTCACGGAAGTTCTTGGTGGTCTTGGGGACAACATCGTCGAAGAGGTTGAAGGTGATACGACCAGTCTTGGCTGAATAGGTAGTCAGTATTGAGTTTCAATTAAACAGTAAACCCCATGGTGACCAATTGTTCCTTAAAAATTAAGGACATGGCATTCAATGGAATGAGAAAGATGGAGGGGCAGATTTTGGTTCTGCCCCTCCAAGAGATCTTTCATCTCAAGATGGAAAAATTGACTTACGGGCACTGGAGCCGACAGGGGCGTACTGAACGTCGAAGAAAACCTGAGACATGATTGAGGATGTGGATGAGAAAGACCGGGTGGAAGGATGGAAAGAGCAATTCAGAGAAGAGAAGAGGGAGGGTGGGGTTGACTTGAGGCGGCAAAACATAGTGAGGGGCAGAAACGGGACGGAATAAATTAGATGCCGAACTACAAGTAGGTTAGCTGCTGCGGGACACATGAAAGACCATTTCCGCATTTCCATGATTGGTGACTCAGGTATGCCATTCAAGGACCCAGGTGTTCATGGCACTCAATTGGTTTCCCCAATCGAAGGCATGAGGTTGGGGCATGTAGTGGATTATAGGCACAATTGATCTCAATATCCACACGAGCAGAGTTGATACTTACAGGTTTTAGAAATACAAGATGATGAAGAAGATGAAGAGTAGAAGCTATAGGGGAAAATCGCAGCTTGGAGGTAAAAAAGCCGCCGGGGTTCGATGCTTATATAATCCCGGGAAGTTCCTTCCGGGGAAGCTAGACTGTTTACATATGTCATGCCTGAGGCTGAAACTTTATTTTCTCGAAGCAAATTTGCAACCAAGTCGTATCAGCGCTGAACTACTTGAATGCTACAGATTGACATTAAAGATGAATATCAGGGTTGAAAAATTCCGTGTTCTGATTCGTGCAAAAGTGCAAGACCGGCGTCTCTATCCCGGAGCCATCATACTCAAAAAGTAATAATCGAATAAGAAATCAGGACAAAAGTAGGAAAGAAAGAGAAAAAAGAAGACCTCAGATCATAGAAATACAAATATATCCAATTCAAAAAAGTAGAAAATGGAACAAAAAACCATGAATGCCACGCGTACCAGGACATCATTTCGACATTGTCGGCAGTTTGCCACAGATGAGTCGCTCAAAAGCCAGAGAAAAGGTGAAAGGTGAAAGGTGAAAGGTTGAAATATAGGGATAAAAAAAAGTAAGCAGGTCAAGCCCTGCAGACACATGTGTCAAGAAAAGAAATCAATCAATCAAGTCAATCATCACCGGAAGTCATCGTCATCTGCGTGCATCAGGGATTCCAGGCGCTGTACGAGCTCCTTTGTTTGGCGAGCAAGTTCAAAAGCGATAGGAGGGAGCAGATTGGTTACCTCACGCAATTGCTCGGGGGTAGTGGCGTGGTGGCCTTCGGCAGCCGTAGACATAAGCCTGCCGCGACATTCGTCAAGGGCTTGAACGGCTGGTTCAGATTGTTCACGTAGAGCTACGTCTCCGCTGCGATCGTGAATCAGGTGTTCGGTTGCGGAGACTACGTTATTGACAACGTTTCCGATGGCGGAGACGTGGGTCTCGACGTTGCTTAGTTCCTGCTCGGACCGGATGCTGGCGACTAGAGCCTGGATTGATTGGACCATGCCGTCGGTTTGGTCTTCGACGTAGAGTTTGAGCTCCTGGAGTTCGTGGTCTTCTTGCGGGGCTCCGTAGTAGCCATTTGTGTAACCGTTCTGCATGGCAGGGTGGTCTTGGTCCGGTGGGCTGATAGCACTGTATTCGGAGTGGTTGCTGTAGCGCTGTTGACTAGCAGTTGTGCTGAAGTAGTCTGGGTACTTCTCCTGAGAAAGATCCAGGTCGGCAAGCTCTTCAAGTTCCTCTGCTGGTGAAGCCTGGATTTTGACCACCCGAACCAACTCTATGACAGCAGTGCAAAGATGCGAGGCGGCGGCATCGAGGAGGGAAACGGGGGAGAGACCCCTGGAGCCAGTGAAGTTACGAGCAGCGGTGATCATATTGTTCGCAGTGGCAGATACTCTGGTCTTGGTCTTCAGGCGTAGAGTAGCAGAGCCATCAACTGGGGGAGGTGCTTGGTCCACATCCTGAATCATGTGCCGAACAGCGACGATAACGGCCTTAACATGGTGGGACACCTCCTGGGCATCCTCAAAGCGTGCAACACGAAGGAGCTCGTCAATCGACATCTGGAATTTGGTGATATGAAAATCCTTCACCACACCATCAGCCTGCACCAGCTCATGCTCTTTAGCAACAGCGCTGGCATCGGCTCGAATATCTGAGAGGCCACCAGATGAGGTACGGAGATGACCCTGCTGTGCTTTCGCCTTCGCATAGCGATTTTTCCACTCATTGACTTCATTTTGCAGTCTCTGGACATCGTTGGACAATCGCTCTTCTTGTTCCCAGTTGGAATGACTCTGTGCTGTAAGGGTCTTCATCTCCATTAGGAACTCAGATGCCTCACGCCGCACCTCAGTAGTAAGCTCTTGCTGCTGTTGTAGCTCACTCTGGAGGCTCTGGTGCTTGATTTCCAAATCGGCATATCGAGCCACCAAGTCCGAATCTCCAGACTCCCGAACAACATTATCAAGCTGGTGACGAAGGTCCCGTTCCAAGTTATCATGATCTGCTCGAACTCGATCAAGCTCTTGCTGGAGCGAGTAGTTAAGTTCCTCAGCCTGCGACACCTTGCTCTCCAAATCCTGGCGGAGGTCGTCCCATTCCTGTCGCTCACTATGGCTGACCGCTGATTGATCGGAATCTTGTGACCTGGACAGCTCCTCATCCTTGCAGCGGACCATTTCCTCGAGTTTTTCCACTTTCGCTTGCAATTCCGATATCTGAGCTTGACTATCCATCAACAGTTTTCTTTCTCCTTCACCCAGAGTTGTAGTTGTCCCCCGTCTGCTCAAGACCGCATCCAAAGCGAATGCATCACTCCGAGCATCATCATCATCTTCCGGGCCCATATCATCGCTATCCTCAACCATCGTACTCTTATTCGGGACCATAGTATTACTCTGGAAAGACCGAGGGAAAGGACCATCCCCATTTATTCCAGGCGGCGGACCTCCAAGCGAGCCCTGCCGCGGCGGGAATGGGCTAGGCGGACCCCCAGAGGGATAACCCCTTGGGGGCCCACGAGACTGCGAGCGACGCGGGTCCGGCGGCAAACCAGGTGAAGGACGACGACCAGTGAAGGCCGGGAAACGGCGCTCCAGCTCACAGAAGACATCGGTCGCTAGATCACGAAATCGCTGGTGCACAAGCGACGCAAGCCTCTGCCGAGCATGGTTCCGTTTCTCATGGAAGTTGGACCGCGGAGGAAGGAAGGTAGGCGCGTCAGGACGGGGTGCACGGCCGGGCGGAGGCGAGGCTTGTTGACGACGAATCAGTTCGTCGTAAACATCTGTACTCAGTTCGTGGAACTGGGTTGGCGATAGTCGTAGAAGCTTATCGCGGGCTTTTTTGGATCGGCCGTTGACTCGGTCTTCGCGGTAGGTTGCACTTAAGAATCGTTTAAACGTCACGTAGTGCTGGTGTAGTATTTCCTCCATCTGTCTACGTCGCCGGCCGCCATCGCGCGGATCATCACCCAGCGTTCCGACGCTGGATCTCGCACCAACAGAGCTGGGCGGAGATGGGTTTGCGCTGCCCGGCAGCGGGAGACCGGTGCTGTTCGGGCTCAGGGGAGCGCTAGGGACGCCGGAGGTTGGGGGTGTGGCTAGATTGCCTCGAGAGGAGAATGTAGGCGAAAAGGGCGGGTCCGACTTCTGGTATTGGTTGATGCCGGACCAGTCGCTGCCATCCACGGAGACAGGCGACATGGCTCCCGAATGGCCATTCATATCAGGGTCGCAAGGGAATGTCGACCCTCCCAACAGTTTTGATCGATTTAGATAAGGCTTGACTCGCAAGCTGGGGAATATGGGGATGAGTTGGCGAAGTCAGACACATCCACGTCGTCAACCACACAGGACCCAGTTTTATCTCCTCCACTGATCTGGAAGTCTGAAACAAAGGGAGGCGCCGAAGGGGGAGGACTCGAGCCACCAGGTTGGAGTCAATGAAAAGAAAGTCGAAAGCCCGAGTCCAAAGGAGTGTAGGACTTTTGGAAGGGGAAATAAAATTATGAAAGGGGAGTTTGGTCAAATTGGTGTTTGGTTGACTCCGGAGTTCCCTTACGGGGGGACCCGCTGGTCCTTACAGTGTGGGAAGCCAAGGGCAGAGTAATAATTCAGGAACTAACATGCAAGCCAAGCCCCAATCATTATTTCTTAACCACCTCTCTCTATATCTGATCTATGTTTCCTTTTAATCTTCTCTACATGTTCTTCAGTCATAGAGTTTTCTAATCCACGAACCAGCTCGTGCTAAAAGCCGGTTGTCTAAATGACATGTCAGAAAAGAGGGAAAAAACTTCGTACTAAAATAGTACAAATTTACAGTATTAATACAGAATCCAGGCACACAAGCCACAAGGGGCTGATATTACATCCGGGGGGGCCGCGCCTCGTTGTGGCCCATTCCTGCAGAAACATGGACTCTAAACAAGCATTTTAGAAACGACTGGAACGGAATCTATGGCACAAAAATACAGGATCTGAAAGTGATATCAAATGCCAACCGTCGAGTATTGGCATGGCTACAGTATATGCATTAGGGGGCGAATAGTCTGAATTAAGGGGGAGAAGCCCTAGCAGACGTTCAGGAGTTCAACAATCTAGACTCTTTTAGCCCCAGACCTAAGATGATACAATACGAATACGAAGTACTGTAACATACTGATCTAATCAGTTGGTATAGTTAGTTACTTGATTCCACTAAACCTAATAAAGTCATACACAACCGAAAAAAAAAAAAAAAAAAAAGTTGAACTGAAGAAAAAGCTGGCTTTATGAGTCTTGCGACCAGCATGTCTATCCAAATGGAAAGGACTAAATACAAATTGTAGAACAGGACATAGGTCGTATCCGCTGGCAGCGGTTGCTTTTTGGTTTGGCCACAGAAGACTCGGTAACCGAGCAGCTGATTTGCCAGCAGAGAACCATCACTGGTGTTACCCAGCTGTTTATTTTTCTCTCCGTCGTATTGGAGCCAAACTAATAGCTCTTTGGTATGGCGGAGGAATAAGATGCAGAATCAGATGTGCCAGCTCGAGGTGGTGGGCTCGCCGCAAGTCCGCATCAGAGGGATGGTATCGAAGGTGAAATTGAGAGGAAATATATGAGAATCATTTCCGCGGGCCAGGGGAGAACTGGGCGCGTCGTTGCTTATTTGGAGGTCATAGAGAGACCGCGGGCAGCTCCCACGGCGGCCGACACGGGAGTCGACGACCGAGTTGGGGCCGCACTGCGGTTATGGGCCATGTGGGCCCTGACAAGGTGTCCAGCGGCGAGCGCAGAGCACAGACTGAGCTCACCGGCGAGAACGGAGGCGGCGATGATGCGAGACAGCTGGCGGGCGTTCTCACCGGGGTTGGTGGGGTGAGCTCCACGAACGCCAAGCAGGTCGAGCATGGCACCCTGGGCTTCAAGGATAGTACCACCACCGATGGTACCCACCTCAATACAAGGCATCGAAACAGCGATCTGGAGGTCACCGTTGTTGCTAAGAAGTTTTCATTAGTATCGCTGTGCAGGAAAATATCCAACTCGTAGGGCACTTACTTCTTCATGGTCGTAATACAACTGCTGCTCTCAACAACCTGAGCAGGATCTTGGCCAGTAGCCAGGAAAATGGCAGCGACAATGTTGGAGGCGTGGGCGTTGAAACCACCCAGAGAACCAGCCATAGCACTTCCAATCAGGTTCTTGCTGACGTTCAGCTCGACTAGAGCATTGACATCGCTCTTCAGAACGCTCTTGACAACATCTCCAGGGATGATAGCCTCAGCCACAACCGACTTACCACGGCCATCGGTCCAGTTGATAGCGGCAGCCTTCTTATCGGTACAAAAGTTACCAGACAGGGAGATAATGGACATGTCATCGAAGCCGCACTCCTTGGACATAACATCGAGAGCCTTCTCACAGCCCTTGGAAATCATGTTCATACCCATAGCGTCACCAGTGGTGGTCTTGAAACGGATGTAGAGGTAGGTACCGGCAAGAGCAGTCTTCAGGGTCTGAAGACGAGCGAAACGACTGGTCGAGTTGAAAGCCGAAAAGATGATGCTACGGCCTTCTTCCGAGTCGATCCAAACCTTAGCGGCGGCAGCCCGAGCCAAGGTCGGGAAGCTCACGCAAGGACCACGAGTCATACCATCACCGGTCAACACAGTCACGGCACCTCCACCAGCGTTGATGGCCTTGGAACCACGGCTGGTAGAGGCGACCAACACACCTTCGGTAGTGGCCATGGGGATGAAGTAGTTCTGGCCATCAATCTTGATCGGGCCAGCAACACCAAGAGGAAGAGGCAGGTAACCAATAACGTTTTCACAGCAGGCACCGTGGACCAGACCATAGTTGTAATCTTTGTACGGAAGCTTGGAGTGCTCCAGAGAACCCGTAATCTGGGAGGTAGCGGGGGTGCGAGAGACAACAGCGCGGCGAATCTTGACGGCACGAGTGAAAGCATCCACGCGGCTCATCAAGTTCTCATCCTCCATGCTCTTCTCCAAGGCATATCCTGGGAGCTTGCCACGCAGGGATAGGTCGATCAATTCGTTGTCGGTGAGATGGGGAGCACGCTTCTCCTTCAACATCAATTCACATTCCGATGCAGTGCGGGTAGACTCCTGCTCATTAGGCTCAAACTTGGGGTAGACCTTGGGAGCGGCGGGCTGGGGAGCGGGAGCCGGCTCGGGCTCCTTGATGCTCCAGCGGGCAGCATTGAACAGGTATCCATTGAGAATGATGCTCAGAGTCAAAGCAGCAATAATCCACTTGCTAATGAATGGGTCCTCCACGCTCTTAAGCAGGCTCTCGAGAACCTTGCCACCAACGGTGTCAAGGAACTGCTCGCTGTACTCAATATCGAAAGCGCCGGTCTCCTCGCCCGCATAGTGGACAGAGGGGTACTCCAGCTTGTACTTGATGGGCGAAAGAATTGTCACCATAGTCTCCTGTCTCTGGCTCTTGGCAGTAACGTAAACAGCATCCAGACCGTTCTCAGCGACCTTGAAGGGGTCGATGGGAGTAGGGGCCATAAAGTTCGACAGACGAGAGATCAGGGCGCCGTTACCAGTGTTGCGGAAAGGAATGGCGGACAGATTCACCACATTGATTAGGATCAGACCACCAACCATGAGAATCTTGAACCGACGAACATTGCTCGACTTGATCTTACGACCAAAGATGCTGGTATCCGCATCAGTGCCGGTCGAGCCCACGTTGGGCCAATCGTTGCTGGATGCAACGCTCTCAGCGACGCTGTGAGTGATGCCATCTTCCTCCAAGGCCTTGCGCAGAGCGACATGGCGCCGAATGCGGGTGATCTCAAGCTTGATGCAGAGAATAGTGGTGTAGAAGGTGAAGAGCAGCACACAGTCAAAGAACAGAATCCAAGCGGCCAGGAAGCAGAATTGCTGGAGGCCACCCTGCACGCCAGACGCGGCACCCAGAGCCAAGAGACCAATCTCAATGCAGTAGTGCTGGATAATCTCGAAACCTTGCAATTTGATGGCAGTAGCAATCGAGTCCTGGATGGAACCAGGAGTGCTAGAAGACAATGGCCGAGGAGCGGCACCCGGACCTGGGCGACGGCTATCCACCGAGGCCTTGAGAACGGCGCGGGTGAACATGATCGGCTTCTCAAAACCAATGGTCACGACCAGGAAGGGAAGGCCCTCGGAGAGCAAAAGGAGGTTGATTGGCACACCGAGTTTGGTGGTCACCAAAAGACCAAAGAGGAAGGCAAAGGATCCAGAGATGAGCACAGTAGCACCGAGCCAAAAGTTGGAGCCTAGACGTCTCATGGAGAAGAAGAGCGACAAAAAGCTCAGGTGCATCGAGATGTATCCGAGGGTCATGATCACGATGTCAATGGTCTCCGCATGCTTAATGAGATCCACAAAAGAGGTCCATGCATCAGAGAGCCACAGCATGAAGGCGGTGCGGGAACCCGCAGCACCACGAGCGGCTTTCATGATCCATTTCTTGGGCTCAGCTTCCGCACCATTGGCAGACGGGTCCTCAATCTCCTGAACGGACTTCAGGAGGTCCTCAACTTGGTCAAAAGGAACGGTGTAGGCGAGAGCCGAGTCGTGGGAAAATGCCGTGAAGAGGTTGGGGGTGTAAGGGACCGGGTAGGCAGAGACATTGGCGGGGACCGGGACATTGACGGCGGACGGAGCAGATTCGGAGGTAGAATCAGGGAAAATGAAGGTCGACAGGGCCAAGTGGTTCACAGCGGGCTCGTTGATATCCTGTATCTTCATTAATTCACTGCTCCGCTGTTTCGGAGCGAGAAGAAAAAGCTTACCTCCGAGTTCACCCAGGTGTCCTCCGCTTGCCACTTCCACGAGGTTGACTCACCCAATCGCAAACTCCGACTGCCCTGGAGCAGAGCATCAATGTCCACCTGACCAGCAACATTCCGAGAGTTCTTGGTATCCAAAAGACTGCCTTCCAGGAGCCCCACGTAGGTGGTACTGGCAAGCAGCGCAATTACCACAATGGTGTGGATGGGGTGTACGCAGGCGCGACTCGAGATGGCTTGCAGCCCAGAGGTGATCTGGCGACGAATCCAACTGGGCTCCGCATCCTGAGTCTCCTCAGTGGAGCGCAATCGCTTCGAAATCAACGAGGTAGCCATGATGACTGTACTTTGGGAGGCGGTGTGGACGTCTGTTGAAGGCGTTGAGGGTGTTTATGAGGGTCCGGAGGGACCAATGCTTTTGTAAATTACCGCAATATGGAATATTTCGGCCAAATCCGCAGACAATTCGCGAGAGATCTCAAAAATCGTATATCTCCTGCCCCATGTGGCACCCAAGGCGGTGTTCTTGCACTGTAGTTCCCACGAGAACTTTACTTTTTTTTTCTGATTAGCGACAGCACAACAGGTAAGGGGGATTGAGGCATACCGAACAAGAAAAGGAAAAGGGGGGAGAACACAGCGGCCCTCTCGATCAGGAGTCGCGGTATACGGAGAAAGAAGCACGGGACCCCCTGAAGGCTGCAAAATAATTGAGATCCTGGGTCCACGCCGATGGAATTAAGTATCCCCGGTGACGGGAGGTCGCCAAGCCACGACGGCGCAGTGGAGTATCCAAGGTTTGACAGCCAACAAAATGAATTGAACCAATTTTCAATTCTCAAGTGGATCAGAAACGAGGGAAAGATTACAGAGGGAAAAAAAAAAAGATGGTGTTCCAGATGGATGTTCGGGGCGAGTAGGGGAACAAAGGAGAACAATCAATAATATTAAGAGATGGGGCAAGCACGATCGAACACTGGTTAACTAGTGCAACTTTTAGGCTAGATTTGACTTTGCTAGCTGTAAAAGCTTCCAGTATCCTTGAACTCCATATGTTCTTTCAGATTCGATTATATCATTCTATATGCAGTGTTACTATGTGGCAATGATTTATCTCCAGATGAGATCACGTCCTGTCCTATGAGATGAACCGCACTGGCGATCCAAACCACACCGAACAGGGTGGGTTACACGCCCAGGATGCAAGCTATTAGAGCAAAACTACGTGCACAGATCACCTGAACGTCATGTAGAAGACGCTATGCAGAATATTTGCAGAATTCCAATATTGTGGGTTTTCTGCCAGCTCCCGACTCCCCGACTCCCCAACTCCCCAACTTCTCGAGTCAATCTGGATGGTTCCACTCCTACACTATTGCTGAAGGATTCTTCCTTGGATCCGAAGATGCTCCGTACGTGTTGTTTCGTTATTCGATCCACGTCAGCTTCCTCGCCGTCCGACAGAATGCTTACCAGTGACACTGCGATTCTTGCCATTCCGATAATCGCCGGTCTGCAAGTTTGGCGACCCTGTTTCCAGCCGAGCAAGTGGAATCCACTCGGTGGAGCTTACGGAGCACCCAAATTCAATCAGATAACCCAAGTCAAATCATGAGTCTCTCTCACCCGGCAAGTCCGTGATCTCTCTCCACTCGTCCACAATGGGCTCCGTAACCGAGCTCGCCAAGCATGAGAAAACTCAAGATAAGATGGCAAGTCCGAGGAAGCCACCGAGAGTTGTTTTCTCGGAGGAATCGGCCTAGGACGAAGCTCCACTGAGGGTCGCATGGTGACAAACGGGATGAGAGGAGAAAGAAAAAGAGAGCTGATGCCGATCTCCTGTAGACGTGTTAGTGGGGACTATAGCAGATTTTTCTCAGCTCTACAGAGTACACAAATTGAAGCGGTGTCGTCGAGTGGAGATACGTAACAAGAGAAAAGGAAAACATAAGTACGGAGTGTGTATGGAGATTGGAGTAAGCTTCGTCAAGGAGGAGGTTGGGCCGAAACACGTGCAGAGGGCAGATGTCGCTGAAGATTATTGCGGCTACGATTTCGACCCATAAAAACGTCAAGATCCTGTATGTTGCAGATCGCAGTTAGCCTCAATCTTGGTGCAGGGATACCCCCCCCATGTACAAAGGCAAGGGCGCTTAGCGCCCTTGGCCAATGGAGCTCAAGCCTCAATTGGTCTTGTTGCACCCTAGACTCTTGCAACTTCTCTAAGCGCCAGGAGTAGGAAGTCTCAGACACAAGAATATCTCCGCAGGATCTGAGGCAGATCCCGTCGCGTCTCCAATCATCTCGCCCAACCATTCGCTCGTAGCCCAACGCTTCAATATCTCTTGGCGCTGAGCTCTAAATGCTCCGACAGATTTAGATTGTTTCAACTGACGTCTGCAAAGAATGTTTGTTTGGGGTTGCTCCAATTACGCGCAGCAGTGGGCTTTTGCAGTCCGGACCTTTCTATATTTGCAACTGGTTTTCCCTGGTTCGAAATGCCTGATATTCCTTTGTGACCAGTAAGGCCAGTCTGTTGTGGACTGTTGCCTTGTTCGAAAACCCTTGAAACAACCTCAAAGCCGTAAATCTTCTTTGTGGGTGTCAGTATGGTTTAGAGTGAATGATACTGTTTACACTCTTCCATGATCGTTTTCTTCACTTTCTTGCTGCAGATAAAAGCAAACCACCGGCCTTTTATCCCAGTAAATACATTTCTTTACACTCTTTGCCATTTGTTTCCTACACCTTACTCGACACTGCACCGCTGGCCGGTATCTGCATGAGTCTGCAGACTGAACCTGACATCTTTACACCTTTCAAGAAACATTACGACTTTCGACATGGTCTCCCGAGCCCTCACGGCACTCTCCCTCGTTGTATGCGCCAACGCCCATTCCTGGGTAGAGGAGATCAGAGTGATTGCAGAAAATGGAACCTTCACCGGGGCAGCAGGATACGCCCGGGGAAATTACCTTCGTACTGCTGCAGGATTCAGCGATCTAACAATGACCTACCTGATCCCTCCGAATAGTCAAGCCAACGTGACAGTCGTCTACGACAGCACAAAACTGTGCAAAGACACCCAACAAAACCAAACACAAACATCCGGGAGCCCTAGACTAAAAGCCAATGCTGGCGATGCAATCGCTCTCCGCTACCAAGAGAACGGTCATGTCACCCTGCCCTGGAACCAACCAGGCAAACCTCCAAATCGCGGCACGGTGTATGTGTACGGAACCACAGAGCCCAAAGTCGGCGAAACACTAAACGACGTTCACGGTGTATGGAATTGGAACGGCACAGGCGGCGACGGACGAGGAACACTTCTATCTTTGCAGAATTTCGACGATGGCCGCTGCTACCAGATCAATAGCGGCAATATCTCGGAGCACCGGCAGGCGAAATATCCGCACGAGGCTAATCAGCTCATGGGTGCTGATCTGTGGTGTCAACAAGATGTACAGTTGCCGACTACGGCACCCACGGGGAAACTGTATACCCTTTACTGGGTATGGGACTGGCCCACTCGTCCAAGTGCTACCGATGGATACCCGGATGGGAAGAAAGAGCTGTACACTACCTGTATCGATATCGATATTGTGGGTCAGGCTTCGAGTAAGGTGCAGGAGACGGATGACTACACTGAGGGACAGAGTCTTGATAGTGCCTCAATAGCGTCGGAGTTTGATGATTTGATGAATGAGGATGCTGTGCAGCTGTCTGGTACTGCTGCTGTGTCTTCTTCTTCCACGATGCAGGCTGAGACTACTAGTTCCTCGGACCCTGCCTCGACGATGCAGGCCACAACTGAGTCTGCGGGGGCTACTGTGACCGTTACTGTCGGTGCCGTGACTGCCTGGCGGACGGTCACTGAGGTGCAAGTGCAGACGGTGACAGTTGATAGTTGCCAAGCGACGGAGATGGCCGGTTAAGGTTTTGTGGATCTATTTCCTTAGATTCCCATAGAGTATATGAATAAGAATGAGCGCTCAAGCCCTGGAGGCATATGAGTTGAATGAAGACATTTGATTGGGGTTTTTTATTCCCTTTTTGCTTTTTCCCTTTGTATTATAATAACCATCGACCCTGAGAGGCTAAACGGACCTTTGTGATCCGATCCGATAAGATCCAAGGGAGCCAATCAACATTCAGAGATGTTGAAGACAACGAGATCATCGCAAATCGTAGATCGGCTTTTGAACTCAGCTGCATTATAGGCAATTGGAAGAATTACATTGACCTGAAAAAAGAGTACCATTGGAAGAGAGAGAGATCTGACAGAAGCTTCCTAATGCATCAGTTTCCTAATTGGGATTAAACCCTCGATCTGAAACACGCTAGCACGTGATCGATGACCTAAGCCCCTCGAAGCTTCAATTCACACATGCGAAACCGAGAAAGATCGATTCTTTGCGTGCATTTCTGACCTGCATCTGGTTGTTGAAGTGTGTTGGGCTATCCCTGCTGCAGCCGCCGACCGAACATCCCCGCACCTGTGCTGATCATTGACCCTCAAGGGGGCTTTAAGATTAAAAAAGGTATGCTCCATCTCCGATCGCATTGCATATGGACAGGGTGAAACGAGAATGGAGATGAAAGAAATCAAATCCAATCCTGGCTTTACTGGTTCCTGGCTAAACTTGCAAAGATCCTTCTTGTTATTCGGCGACATAAGCGCTGTGTCCGGGTTCCATTGATATCTGACACACTTGCAGGTTCGGCTATATTTAGCATTTGCCCTCGACCAACTGCGGGACAACAGTCTGGAACAACCACTGTTTTGACTCCTTCCCCTCAAGCATTTTCTCTTGCGATCCCTTTGACTCCAATCACCGTGGGGTCCCCTCTCGTGACTCGGCTCTCTCCCCGCCTTGAGTCTTTTCCCCTTCCTTCGATCTCGGATACCCACTCGGGGGTCCTCGTGTGTCCGCAATCCGGTGGTGGTTGAGAGACATCAGTGTCCAGGTGGTGGAAGTGGTGTGTGCATTATAGTGTATACGGTGTCTTTCCCTCGCCTATACAACTGCGCTATTTTGGGCGGGAAATACCAGTGGGATTATTGTCGGCGCGCCACCCAATCGCAATGCCAATTTAGGATTCATGCGACGCGGCTAAATGAACCCTCCCCATATCCCTTGTTGACCTCTCTCGAATCGTGAACTTCCATCGTCCACTCAATCCTTTTGGGGACATCCCTGCTTGTGCAAGATGGCCTCCACGAACTCTCCGAATACACTCTCCGCAGACAACCTCGCGGGCCTGCCCCCCATCCTGACAGATGCCACTGTCAAGCCGTCGCCCAGCGCCAAAGACCGGTTATCCACATACTCGAATGTCTCTTTCGCGTCCCAACATCGCTCGCGGCCGGGCTCCCACGTGTTCCCGATCTTCCATTCCAGTTTGCCGTATGCTCTTGTCCGAGACTTTGCCTACCCGTCCATCCATCCACTGCACTATGGCCCGCCTCCCTTGGCCTCCGGGGGTTCCACACCAGCTAGCGAGTACCGTCGTTTGTCAGATCTGCCGGGCTCGTGGGATACCGCGCGGGGCCCCTGGGCTTCTGGCCCATGGAGCAACGAGACCAGCCAAAACCCTGGCCCGGGCCCGGTTCAGGGCCATCAACAATTGCCAGCCATGTCATTCGGAGACGGTCCCCCGTACAGTGAAGATGAAGATTTGCATAGTCCAGTGGTGACAACGGCGCGCCAGCGGAAAAGGTCCACTGGTACCGATTTTAATGGTATGGATGAACACATGGCCGAGGCTGCAGATCGCGGCATGTTCATTAGCACAAACCCTGATGGTAGTGAGACATATTACGTCAATGGTGATGATGCAATGGAGGATGGACCAGGTGGAGAATATGTCACATACCCGATCAACGAAGGGCGGTATTCTCATTACGATACCCAGCATGGCCATGCACCCGACGCCGGATTCGAGTCGAACGATAACGGAGACCGGTACGCGAATGATTATCAATTCGCCGTTGGCTGTCCGGACGAAGAAATGCACGGAAAGGCCGTTGCTCTCTTTGATTTCGCCCGCGAACACGAGAATGAGCTGCCCCTCACTGAGGGCCAGGTGATCTACGTTTCCTACCGACATGGCCATGGCTGGTTAGTTGCCGAGGACCCAAAGACTGGAGAGAACGGTCTTGTCCCCGAGGAATTTGTGAGGCTTCTTCGCGATATTGAAGGGGGCTTGACCTCGTTGAACGGGGAGCCTACCTTAGACTCGATAGAAAGCCCCTCGGTCGACATGAGCGAGGATGATCGCACTTCGACACCTACGCAAAGTGATCCAAAAGACGCAAATGGCGACACCACGATGAGTCACTCCGAAGGCATGAACGAGTCCAGTCAGGCCACTGGTGGTCCTGGTGCCCGCGCCAGTATGATTTCAAAGACCTGAAATAACCGCCAAATCAGAGGCGGCTTCATTGAACAGGGCACCATGAGTTGAATTCTGCATGGCTCCCATTACATGAGAGCCATGTCGCGGCAAGTCTCCTGGCGTAAAGCCTGCAAGGCTCCCTCTCCCAGGTAGAGTTCATAAACTCCAACAAACCACATTCATGGATTTGAATTCCGTGGCTATTGTACCAAACAGGAGAGACGAGAACTTGCTCCAGACTCAACACATCTGGACACTTCGGACCTAGGTCCTACAACATCCTCAAAACACTCCACATCTCTCTTCACGCCCCCGAAACTCCGACTGATGAATGATTCCCCCACTACCCTACTACACTGATTTCTCTTCTCACGATTCCCGTTTACGCCTTGTACAACCAACCCAGGTTTGGTTTGCAAAAGCTACCTACGAGTGCTACATTGAAAATAAATCCCTTTTCTCTTAGCTTCTCGTCCCCCTCGCAAATTTCTGATTCTGCATACATTTTCCCTCCGTTTCATTCTCTATCCCTATTTAAACCCTTCGCACTTGTATCTAGCTTCCTTCAGCGCAGGCGTTGTCCTAGCATCTATTAGCATTAGCATAATGCCTATTCAACCCTAGACCGTCTATTCCACATAGTAGATTAAGCGAGTATTTGATACTCAGGTATTGAAAACTTGAAATTGCAATTCTGCTTTGATATTTGCAATCATTATGAGACAGTTTTGAAACTCCAAAGAACGAGGGCACGTTCTCTTCTATCGAGAACAGCATTCGTGGATATATAACATTGAAAATGGCAGCACATCTTACTCGGGAAATAAACACAACCCACCACCCGGGTAGGGTTGGATTTTTTCAGGCCAAAAAGGAGAAGAAAAAGGAGAATTTTTTCAAAATAGCTTTGCTAAGCGATAGAAAACCCCAGCACGAGCCACATACAAAAAAAGCAGAGGCGTCTTTCAAATTGAACAAGATGAAGCATAAATGAGTCTGGAATTATGAAATGCCGGATCTGTGTATTCGGTAACTGAAACAACATCAATAAGCCTGGGCCATCGTCAAATCAACCGAGCAGGTCATCGAAGGCCGAGCCGCCCTGTTTAGGCTGAGATGGAGCAGGCGATGAAGACGTAGCGTTTGCGCCCCAGATACCAGCGCTGGCTTTCTCTTTAGCCATACTGGCGAGGTTGGGGCCCTTGTTTGCGTTTGCGTTGGACTTGCTGATACCTGCGCTGGCGCTGGCAGTGGACCAGAGGGAACCGAAGGCGTCTCCGGATGGCTTGGCGGCTGGCTTGCTTGCGGGGGCCTTGTTGGAAGAGATGGAAGACGTGGCGGTATGCGAGAAGGGTTGCGAGGGTTGGTTTGTTGAAACGGAGGTGAAGTAGTTGGGGGTTGCAGCTTGGAAACCCGTGGGTTTGGGGAGCTGTTGCTGCTGCATTGAAGCGGACTGCGAAACAGGAGAGGTGAGCGCGCTGTGAGTCGGGGTGGGGGTTGCCGAGGTGAAGCCTACAATGCCATTGATGTTGGCACCCTGGGACGCTGACACTGGTTGGGGCGCTACGAATTGGGTGCTGGAGGTTGTGCTCGCGGAGACGGGAGCTGGGATGGAGAAGTTCGAAGCAGCTGGTGCTGGGGCTGGAGTTGCGGACTGGAAATCATCGAATTCGTCATCGTCGGCGGTGTTGTCCAGCATATTCAAGGCACTTCCGGCAGGCTGCTTGCCAGCAGCAGTTGAGGAAGTGGTTGTCACGGGCTCATCGTCACCGAAATCGAACAGGTCTGCCACGGGTGCGGGGGCTGGCTCTGGCTTCTTCGGTGGTGCCCGCTTGGTGCTAGTAGTAGCAGAAGTTTCACGTCGCTGGGGGCTGGCATCCCCCTCGTCATACTCGTCGTATTCATCGAATCGGTTGGCCTTGTTCCCGGTGTCTTGGAAATCACTAGTAGCGCCGCCAAAGCCACCACCATCGCCGTAAACACCCCCGCTGTATCCACCATAACCCATGGAATCGCTTCCAAAACCACCATAGCGGCCAGAGCTTCCAGAAGACATCCCGCCGACATTCATGCCACCTTCGAATCCACTGAACTTGTTACGGTTGGACCGGGCCTTTTTGCGCTCCGTGCGAATCTGGTCCACGTCGCCCAGCAATTTCACTAGTTCTGAAGACCGGTTGCGCACATTGATACCCTGGTCCTTACCATTCATATCAATATAGTGGAATTGCCGAAGCATCCGCAGAAGGGACATGTGAGATCTTGCGTCATCCACCACTCGCTCCGATCCATTCTTGATCAAAAATTCAAGAAGCTGGAGACCCTGTGCATGATAAAGAACCGAGATCAGTCGTTGACATCGGTATCGCATGAGTAACACCAGCGTACCTTGTAGATCTGTCGCCACTCCTCCGCCGCCTTATCGGTGAACCGCTTGTAGATCATGGGCATAATTTCATTGAGCAATTGGCTATAATCATTGTGAGCCTCCATTCGACCAAAGCATTAGAAGCCGCAACACTTACTAGCTATTAGTGGCATTGGCAATCTCCTGCATCAACGTGGTCGAAGCACCCCATGGTTCATTGTTTGTGGCTTCCCGGACCTAGGTCTCGTAAGTAACTTGTCACATTCGCATCGTATAAAGGATCGCATAGTTCGGATAGTCGTAGGCTTCAGGAGGTATTTGCGCGGAGGTATCAGGATACGAACCTTGGCTTCTATTTCAGTATAGTTCATTACGGCTGTGACGAAGCGGTCAGCTCAAGGGTTCCCGGGATTGCGAAACATAGCCGAATCGCTTTCAATCGCAACACTGTCGGACTCGACGGAATCAACGCACCATTTTGCACCTTGCGAACACCTGCTTTAAGGTCATACAAAGTCAGGTTGCTGACCTGATCTTTCAGGCTGGAGAAGTCCATGGCGAGGGGCTGTAGCTGTATCAAGTCGGGATTGGAATGGGATAAAGGGAGGACAAAGATATAGCGCGGCTAGATGAGCCGGAAAATTGAGCCAGAGAAGAACAAGCGATCCAAGCCCGCTGGGATTGATTGTGAGCGAGGGTGTGTTGGTTAGAGGGGAGCGGACCGGTTTCCAGCTGGCCGATTACACGCGCCACGCAGTCACGTGGCAGCCCCTGACCCCAGCAACGGATGTATAGGTGGGCCAACTCTGTTCTAGACTGAAACAAGAGATGAGATAAGATTGCACAATTATGATTTTAACTGTGTGGCCTTTATATTTGAGTGCGTCCATGTCTTGGGATTTCTGAGATTATCAGGATAACAAAACATCAGACTATATATCCACATCCCGAATTAAAGCTCCGAGACATATCTGGGGTACAGAAACCATGGACAACCATGTCCCGAGATGGATTGCGAAACATCAATCTTGGAAGTTGAGAATATTATTATTATGGAAGAAAAGTCTTTCCCTGGAGGATCGTTCATATACAAATCATCGAGTAGAAGCAATAATATAATACAATTAATATGGAAATCAGATCGCCGTGTCCAATTCGCCAAACCCGCAAAGCATTGAAAGCGCATGTGCATAAGAGATTTATGAGATCCAAGAATATTGTCGATCTCAGTTTCACCAAGTTACATTGAGCGCGCCATGTCATGCGCCAAGTCTCGCCTCTCTCCTTGTTCTTCCTGCAAACGCAATTCAGTAGTCACTTGAATAGAGAACTTGTCATGTTGCTGGGTACTATTTCCCGGACCAACGGTAGCAAAGCTCTTACCACCGCCACCATGCAGGATTGGCCTTTCACTTTCTTCAGAAGAGGATCTCTTTTGAGTGAGTCCCGGCATGGTACTCAATTCCAAGCTCTTGCGATTGCCACTGCGCTCGGCAAAGCTGACACCGCCTGATCTGTTGCCTCGCGAAGCGAACTTATTATACCCTTCAGTGCTGTATACGTTCTTGGTTCCGGCGTAGCTGGAGAATCCAAGCCAGCCCACACCACGGAATAGCGGTTTGATACCTGGGAGCGAGACGACGATTGCGGCGACGAACGATTCGCGATCAGCCCAGCGGAGGGCAAGGGGGAGGTTGCTAATATCGCCAAGGGAGTAGTAGCAGCGGAGGACGGTACAGATCATGATGAAGACACCGGATGTGAACATTAAAGCGAGAATGATTTTGCGCTGGAAGGCGACTTGGAGTTTGCCAAGCATGAGAATGGGGATGACCATGATCATGACATCGGACCTAGGTTTGAGTCAGCTTGATACATTCAAAGAGACAGTGAGTAAACTCACATGACGTTCAGTACAGCTACGACCACATAAAGTGGTGGGCGGAGAGTACAGTTGTCTAGATATCTTGTCAGTCTTAGGTTGTCATTCAGAGTGGGATGTCTTACCTCCTGCATAAGGTTTGATTTGCCAATTATGAGTGATAGGTGTGCAGACGCAGATATGCGTCAGTATACAGGCTAGCCAGCTGACTATACAGAAGCCCACTGCCGCTAGCACTAGCTTCTGAGTGCGAGTTCCTTGCCTGTAAAGAGACAAATTAGAGAAAAGAATCGGTCAATAGAATAGCCTGACTAACGTAAGCTTCCAGTAAAGGCAAAGTAAAACTCCCTTCAACGACCAAAGATAGCTAATATACCAGATCCAGTTCATAAAGGCCAGCTTCGAGCCCAAGATCATCTTTGGCATCTGTCTGTCCGGAACTTCCAAAGCAGTAACTGCAGTGAGGCCAATATTATTGCCATACATCTCTGTTTGATTTAGCATAGACAAAATAAACGACAGCCAAAGAATGCCTCACCTAGAAGGTAAATATTAACTGTCTGCAAAGTCCAGAAAATCTGTAACATGATTAGCAATGTTCAAGTCTCTGAATGGGGCCAAACGAACTATGCCTGCAACGGCAAAAGCATCATCTAACCGCAAGCCGCTGAGCCCTCCGAAATTGAGCCGAGCAATCATTCGCAAGAGCAAAAAGCTCATACCAATGGCATACTCGACAAAAGTCTCGACGTTCAAACTGTTCGTCATCATTCAGGAATTGACACAGCTTTCAAACCATTGAAAACACCCTCGACAAAGATGGAGGGAAAGGGTATTCAAGATCGAGAAAGGATCAAATTCGAGGGAGATTTGCTACATACTTAGAGAATGGGTGTGCCGCCCCCGGGGTTTGGAATTACATTTGATTTACCAAGCAAGACAAGAAAAGGAGACATTTTCGCCTAGTAATATTGCACCATCTACCCGGGACAATTGCCCAGTGGAGTCTCGTCAGAGCCGAATGGTTGGCTTCTCCGCTGATCCTCTTAAAATAAAGTGACAAAGTTCGGTCAGGATTTTGTCTAGAATCTGTCGGCTTCTGTCAAGTCTACTTTTCAGTCTCGTGCATATCTACATCACGTAGCGTGTCTTCGACGATCGTCCAGTGCGTTCTGTAAGAACGGCTGGGGAGCGCTAGCTCACGATGCTCGATTCTCGATTCTCGGCTGTCCATGCTCCGTACTCCATAAGGACAATGCTTTTTGCATGAGTGGGGATTGAGGATGAATTCTCTTTGAATCGACCTTGCCCTGTGCAGATGCAACTATGCTATACGGTGTATACCGCATAGAGTTCAACAAAAGTACCCTCTCGCCACAAAATTGGAGTCCGACACCTAGGGATTTGCCAAAGAAGTGGCAATAAGCATATCATTCATTCCAGTCTCGGGATATTGTCTCCTTGATTCGTGAATACGTTCCTGAATCTCCACCCAAACGCACCGGAAATCGACACCAGCAGGCCGGGACCCAAATCACTAAGACGCTGGGCGTTCAGCCACCAAGCCTAGTTCAAGCCCCATTTTTAACTCAAATAGTACTAATTTTCTTTTTATGACAACTCTCAGTCATGAAACCTCGGTTATTTTCCGTTATACCTTTTAAGCCGGGCGTTTTGCCGTGGTGGGTGCCTTGAGTGTCAACTGCAGGATCAAAGGTGGAGACTTGTAGGTTATCATTGCCTAATATAGTAGGAGTGGGAAACAGTCATCACATTAGGACGAAGCTAAACCCACACTTAATGAAGGTGATTATTCATAGGATCAGGGAGCGCAAAAGGGTCATGGATTCATTCAGAGTGCAACGTACATCGCGGGGTACATCTTCATAAGTATTGTCCATCATGACCATCAAAGTTGCTTTAATTACCGGTGGTGGTAAGTAGATGAGTTGGTTACCATGAGCATATTTCAATTCGGTGCTGATAATTCCCCCGAATAGCCAGTGGCATGGGCCTGGCCGTTGCCCGGAAACTGTCCGCTCGCGAAGACTGGGTTGTGAACATCCTCGATATCAGTGAAAACGCCGGAACAAAAGTTGCTCAAGAGCTACCCCGAGTTACCTTCCATAAGGCCAATGTGACCAAATATGGAGAGCTGTGTGACGCCTTCCAAAAGTCTTTCTTAGACGGTGGTAACAGACTCGACTTTGTTTTTGCCAACGCCGGAGTGATTGAACGTACGAACTTCTACGCCCCGCAACCCACTGAATCGGTGGCACCACCGCCTGAGCCCGACCTCTTGCCGATCGATGCAGATTTGAAGGGAGTGGTTCTCACCACTTGGCTGGCACAACACTATTTCCGTCTGTCACCTCACAAAGGGCGTGACGCAAATATAGTGATGACCGCCAGCTGTGGTGGGCTTTACCCCTCCTTCTACTCACCCCTATACTCAGCAGCTAAGTGTACGCTCATGAATCAGACTACATTTAAATCACCAGACTGACATTTAATAGTTGGAGTGGTTGGATTCATGCGCTCGATAGCGGCCAACTTTCGTGCCAATGGAATGCGCGTCAATGCCATCTGCCCTGGCATTGTACGCACTAATCTTGTCGACGAGAAAGGATGGGATAGTTTCCCCCCGAACCGTTTCGTTAAGATAGAGACTATCGCCCAGACCGTTCTTCATCTAGTAGATGGTGGTAGCCCCGCAGGCCAAGGATTAACCGACACAGTTGGTAAATCGCTCGCTGCATCCAAGCTATATGGACTCGCAGTGGAAATCTCAGACACAGGTCTCTACTTCCGAGACCAGCATGATTTCTGTGACGAAGGAATGCGCGAGGTCATGGGAGCTACCGAGCTTGACAACCAAGTCGACGGTGTTCTAAATGAGTAAAGGATAGACATGAATCAAATTAGAAATTCTTCACATTAATACCAAGCTTTCATAGACAAGGATTCGAGGTAGGATACCTACGCTATAAACAATAGCGCAATGTCCAGAATCCTGCAAATCACATGGTCAACATAACCGTTTGAACCACGTGAAAGGGAAAATGTCGGCAATTCAATTGAGTTTCAACAGTATTCCCATAGTATTCCCGAAGGATCAAGCAATGAATGAATACTGGTCCATCAGACTTCTCCTTCTCCACTCAGCGGGTCATTCGTGATGTTTGGGTTGGACGGACGGACCGAACCCGAACCGAATTCTGGCCGACGCTATGTCCCGCCCACGGCCCAGCGGTTCTCATCCCAGCTTTCCCCGTTATACACACGTATGCAGGTGGCGTACACCGCTAGGGATTCGCAACTGTAATTTTACCAGGTTGTGGATCACGCTAACGCCACTGAATGCTAATCTTTCTATACGGGTTCAAAATTAAACTCTACAGAGGTCATCAGACCACGATTGTTTCACTCCACCCGGCACTCGGAAGGAGATATGATATGAGTGTACCGAGTAGGGAGAGGACGTGCCATTGCTCGTGACGGCTCGGATTCTCACCACTAGAGTCCGGAGACACATGTGCTTCAGGCCCCACAGGCAATCTCAAATACTTTCTCCACTCATGGGGTAGCAGGTTTAATTTTGATGAGAGTTTTAGCAGATTCAAAATCTATTTTATAAGAATATGGTGCCTTATGAAGCTGGATCAGCAATTTGATCTGCTGGATTAGTCGAGGACGCGAGGCATTGAGATGACCAGCCCAGAGCAAAAATTGCCAGCATTCCAGGTCCATGTCTAAGGGATTGCTCCAGGAAGTCCTGACTTCTCACCGTGCATCATCTCAAACAAAGGCTCCCATACCGTGACAGCCCGCTCCGTTATCCGGCCATTACCGGGCTCGGGGATTTGATAGTATATCAATTTCTCGGCCGAGCCCTCAAGCAACTGCCCCGCCATACCAGTCGTATCATCCAAGAAAACGTCATAGGCTTTCAAGATTGTCTCCATGGGAGTAATACTACACAATAGTGTTAGATCTCCCATCACCCAAAAAGCAATATTAACTCACCACTCAGGCGAAACAGCCTCAATCATCTCAGGTGGAACAATAGACGTCTTCACAATACCCGGCATAACAACATTAAGCAGAATATTCTCCTTCTGCTTCAACAACGGAGCAATACCCCTCACAAACTGATTAACAGCCGCCTTCGTCCCACAATAAACAGGATAAGACTCATGAGGAAACACCGCCCCAATGCTACCGGTTATAATCACCCGGCCCCCAGGCACAGGATTATACCGCATAAAATGCGTAGCTAGCTGCGTGCAATAAACAACACCCTTGTAGTTGATATCAACAATGGAAGAATCCGGTGCTGGGGGAATATCGTCAACAGACTTGTTTCTCGAGTCATAGATATAGACGGAAGATTTGTCGACGATTCCCGCGTTCACGCAGACGGCATCAATGCGACCCCAGAGTTTAAAGACTTTTTGGAATACTGCGGCTGAATCTTCGTATTTTGACACGTCTGCGGAGAAGAACTCTGCATTTGCAGTGTTCAGGTCCGATAGAAGTTGCGTTCCGGCCGATTGGCGTCGGCCTGTGCAGGCTACTTTCCAGCCTTTGGTACAGAGGCGTTTGGCTAGCTCGGATCCGATGCCTGACTAGACCGATCGATGGTCAGTGAGTAGTGCATTTCGAATATTGGTTTTTGGCTTTTTTGTAGCTCTTTACTAACAGTGGCTCCGATAACGATGGCGACGCGATCCTCTGATGAGGCCATTCTGTGAGATTTGCAATTCGATATGGATTGGAGAATAAAGATAGAAATCGTTGTTCTTTAGAGATACCCGAATTATGAGGGGTAAATGTCAGGTTGTCATAAAACCGTGATTGTGGAGCTATACTCTTAGCCTCGGACTAATCCTACTGTAGAAGAACGCGGGATTTGAATCCTTTGCCAATCATTGCTTCGGGATGTTGATTAACCAATAATGATGTTCCAAGCTTATAGTATCCACAATGGGACTACTGTAAGTGACTAGGCGCAGGATAGTGGAGCCATTGGTGCTGTTTAGGGTAGAAAAGGCAAAAAACATGAATCAGAGCTTACATCCTTTGCGTGACCAATCTTGTCAGGGGTTAGCCGGCAAATACAATAGGCTTTGGATCAGCAAATATTGCATTAGTCAATTAGCTAGGCTGACTAGCAGCTAGAACTTTTTGTGTAGATAAAATTCAATCCTCTTCTCTTCACGAGTCACGACTGTTGAACAGCCCGCTCATCATGAATGAGGATAACGAGAAAGATACCAGTAGCCCCATGGCTGTCTCTGGGCCAAGCTCTGCACCTTCTGACTATGAAGAGGCTGAGCCTCCGGTCGTTGCTTTCAAGACATGGATTGTTGCTTTGGTAATTTGCCGCGCCTGTCACACTACGTCGCAATTCTCTTAATGATTGAATCTCTGTAGATCCTATCCTGCGGCTATGGTCTCTCTTTCTGGCCCGTCCCCGTCGTGTCCGCCATCGGTTCTTCGGTTTCAGCAGACCTGGGAGATGCCAATGGGTACATCTGGTTTGTTCCGGTTTGTCGCATGCAATTGAACTACCTAGACAACGGCTGATTTGCTTAGGCTTGGACAATCTCGATTACATGTTCCTTCCTACTCTTGTATGCGCTCCGGCTTTGGTGGATTTCAAGCGCATGAAATACTGATACTACGCAGTGGACCGAATACCGATCTTTTGGGCCGACGCTGGTTCCTTGTGATGGGCAACCTGGTATGTATTTCAACCATCTTTGCAACCATGCGAAATCACTAATGTTCACAGGTCACCTTTGCAGGTCACATCATTATTGCCTCCGCCAAAAACACCAACCAGATTATTGCAGGACTGGCTGTGTCTGGATTTGGTGGAGCAAACTGTCAGGTAAAACTCTATTATCCACAAGCAGTTGATGGGATCCTGACTCCATACAGATGGCTGCATTCGCACTTCCAGAGCTGCTGCCCAACAAATGGCGTCACATCGGTGTTGTTTTCGCTGACATGACTGTGTACATCGCAGTCATCGTCGCACCAGTGACAGCCCGCTTCGGCTATGAGATGAACACCTGGCAATGGAACTTCTGGGGAGTAGCTATCTTCCAGGGCCTTTCCTTCGTCGGACTTTTGTTGCTCTACCACCCTCCCAAGCACCCGTACGTGAATATCTGAGACCACGACAAAGACTACAACTAATCATCCACAGGCTCGGTATCTCCTACAAGGAAGCATTCAAGTCCATGGACTACCTGGGTGGGTTCCTTTTCGTAGGCGGTATCGTCCCCTTCCTCATGGGCATCGTCTGGGCCAGCGTCTACTCCTCCACAGACCCACACGTTGTGGCAACACTAGTCGTCGGAGCAGTCGTTCTTGTCCTCTTCGCTCTCTGGGAAACATACGGTAACCTCAAGTACCCCTTGACACCCACAGCAATTTTCACCAGCTCCTATGGCCGTGACTTCACTGCCCCAGTCATCGCGCTGGGGGTCATCAACATGTTCTACTACTCCTCCAGCATCCTGTGGCCCCAGATGATCACTGTTTTCTACACTAACGGCGGCGCGGACTGGAAATACGCTGTTGTTCTTTCTCTGCCGCAGGGCCTGGGTATTCTTTTCGGTGCCCTGCTACTCACGTTCTTGGGTAGCTACATTCGTCACTGGCAGTGGCAGTTAACCATCTCTGTATTCGTGATGGTGTTTTTCGGCTCTTTGCTCGGCCTGGTCTCGCCGCATAACAAGGGCATGATGATTGCATTCTTGTTTCTATCTCAGGTCGGCTTTGGATGGGCAATTTACCTGAGTATTGCTATAACCCAGATGGGTGTTGAGCAGCAGAACCTTGGTGTTAGTGGTGGTATCTCTGGATGTATTCGATTTGCGGCTGGTGCAGGTATGTTTTTATTCTTTCGGCTGTTCTACGTGGTGCTAATGTCTTTAAGTTGCTACGACGATTTACGAAACTGTTTTCAGCAAGAGCTTGACCAAGTACATGGAAAAATACATCCCAGCTGCTGTGACTGCTGCTGGTTTATCTGAATCCAAGGTTGAAGGACTGATGTCTGTTGTATCGGGTGGTGCTTCGGCTTTGACTTCGTACAGTCCGGCTGTTGCTTCTGCCGCCGAGGCCGCTCTCAATGACGCCTACTGCAAAGCTATCTTGTGAGCCTTTTTGGTGGTAAACCCCGATGATAAACAGTCACTGATCTGGAATTTAGTGTAGTGGCAATGGTGTCCATGGCTTTTGGCATTGTTGGCCTTATTGCCTGCCTATGCTGCAAAGATGTCGATTCAAAGATGACTAATAAGGTAGGCAGGACTTGCTTAATTAATCCTCTATTTTACGGATGCTGACTCCTATCAGATTGAGGTATACCTTGAGAACACAAGTCTGGCCGAGAGAAACACTTTCCACTGAGCTAAGGTGGAGGTTCGCTCCCAGTCCACGAAACTGGGAGGATCAGTGTCAAAGATTTCATAGACAGATGAGGCTTGAAAGTGACGGATTCAATGGAATGCACATGCAGGAATGGCTATAAAGTTGTTAATAGTTAGCAGGCAGGACCCTTGCCATTATATAATGAGATTTTAATTGGTGAATGTATTTAGAGAGAGCAATTATTGGATGATCCTTATATTGTGTACATGTTCATTCGGGTACTAATGTAAGAAGCTTGACGCTATCGCTATTGAGAAAAAAAAATCGATACAAAAAATCCCCAGGTATCTGAAACAAATAAAAATAGGGGAAAAGTCAAAGAATATGCCCAAGAATATGCCCAAACCCATTCATCCCTCATCAAATCCGTAATCATGAGAAGCTCATTCATTGTAGAACTTCTTCATGATCAGATGCAAGAAAAGGTTCACATTAACTCTCATCTGCCCGTCAAAGAAGTCCATGAATTGTGTGTTGTTGAATTGAGCCTGTAATAGGTCGTCGAGTGGGACCTGGGCATTGGCACCAGGGACCATCATGTTTCCACTACTGCCGTCAATGGTGAAAACGCCCACTTCGTTACTAGAAATCGTCAAGTCCACCCGGTCGAATTGCCGATCAGAGTAACCCTTCCAGGCAACCAGCACACCACGATCCGCCAGATTACGAGCAGAGTACTTGTAGGATCCGAACTTGAAAACCTTGCCGGATTTCTGAAGTTCTCGTTGGTGGTCCCACTGCTTGGTAAATGGCATCAAGAATCGCTTCTTTCCCTTCTTGTTCTGAAGCGTGATCATGGCCTGCTCGATGTAATCGTTGTAGGTTTTAAGTTGCCCCTCCAGGTAGGAGGCTTGGTCGCTAAGACGGTCGGATGTCAGACGTGCACCTTCCAATTCGCGCTCCCGCTGAATTCTTCGACGATGCTTTGTGCGGATGTCGATGGCGATGGCGTTCAAGAGATCCTGGTAGTGGTTGTGACGACTAATCTTGCCAGCTTGCTCGAGACGAAGGATGTTCTCCAGGGCGGTGCCCTTCAGCTCCGAGTAGGTCATCGAACCGATATCGATCAAAGTGCTAGCCTCAGAGTAGGCACCACGGCGTGGATTGCCTGTATTCAATTCTTCCCGCACCAAAGTATCCCAGCGCTCTTCATCTTCTTCACTGGGTGTCTTGAGCATGATGTCCATTAAGTTTGTGCCACTTTGCACCCGAATGATGTAAAGAATGCATCGCTTCGTCTCCATAAACAGTGTCTTGATAGCCGCTTCTGGATCTATTGTTGCATGTTAGCCTAGTTCTATCCAACATCCTCTTGATAGAGCCCTTACCTTCGACCTGAGCCAGCTTGGGATTGAGTGTCAGGTTGATCTCGGTGGAGCTAACACTCATCAATTCATTTTCATTGCTCTTCACATTGCCCAGATCCCGGACAAGCTGCTTGAGGAAGTCGTCAGGGTGTGAACACATGAAGTCAATCTGTGACGCGACAAGTTGGTGGATAGAGAAAATGTCAGACATTTTAATGTACAAAGTCGGTTTAGCTTTGGCGTAAAGATCATTAAATTCATCAATGTCGAAGTAGGCTTCCGCATCCTGGACGGAAATCACTGCTTGGGGTTAGCTCGGTGAAAAAGAAAAGCGAAAGGATGTAAACTCACTCTGTCCCCAAATGCGTCCTAGACGTTGTATTGACTCGCCAATGTAGGTATTCAATGGTTGAAGGTAAACATTTTCAGCTGCTCCGAAGAGTCTACCAGAAGCGACCTGCGCTACTACCTTTGCAATTTCCCCAAGATTTCGCTTTTGCTCTTGAGTTAAACCACGGTCCACCACGCCATACTTCTCTGGCTCCAGCACAGCCGGCTGGAAATAACTCTTCCACGCCCAGTGGCCAACTGTCTGGAGAACAAATCCGGGATCTTCATTGGGGAAACGAGCAAGCAGATTCTCATACATTTGCTTGGTCAGGTACCGGATACCAAATGGCATGCGGTACAGGAAATCTTCAAGGGCAGTAAAGAACTGATCGGCAACATCACGCAGATCTTGCAGATTTTGTATGAAAGTTTCCCGGGTCTCTGGATCTCTGATCGCTTCCTCCCGAGGGAGATCTGCTGGTCGTCGACTGCGTTGGCCCGTGCGAAGCTCCTCATTGTTGATCGAGGAGCGATAAATTTGGATCGGGTCGCTCTCAAGATCGAGTTCACGATTGTCGATGACGGACTCCTTCACCACCGGGCCCAGAACATCACGCATGAACTTCCGGTCCCGAGGTGACTTGGCATAGGAGCCGAACAGTTTGTTCCAGAAAGAGTGGCAGCGCAGGAATTCAGACAGTGTCGTGAAACCTTCGATATCCTCTTTGACCGAGCGTGCGAGAAGTTTAACAAGGTAGTACTCTTCTCGCCTCTTCTGTGAATACCCAAAGAGACCCATCATAAGATGTCTGATTCTTTCATATTCCTTGTCTGAAGTGTTGATCTCGCGAAGTCGTCGGAACAGTCGTGCCAGGTATTGTGATTGGGTCTGCAGAAGGAAGAAAAAGACCTGGTACTGGTCCAGCTTTCTTCTGGAAGTTTTGTTCAAGGCCTTCAGATCATAGGGATCTTTGGAAGAGATATCGGTGTTGGACAGCAAGTTGCCAATATGACCACCAAAGTGCTTCTGGTGCTTGACGACTTCGTCAAGAGTGATTTTGTTTTTGACTAGTAGAGCAATCTTGATGTCCAGCTGGCTGATGTACTGCTCGGCCATCTCATTTTGCCGGACTTGTTGAACAACGGCCTTTCGTAGTCGCTCAAACTCGATTTCCTCGTCGAAGTCAAAATCGCTATCATTAAGAAGGTGGACGAAACCCTTGACTGTCCCAACAGGTGGATTCTTTCCACTTGTTAAGCTCTTGTAGGCCCGACCTTGAATGCGACCGCGGATCACACTTTGAGCCTTAATGACCCTCTCCATATTCATGTTATAATGACGGCGTCTTTCCTCAAAGCGGTTTCGAACGATGGTACCACGAATGCGGGCTTGCAGGTCGGTAATGATATCTTCCTCGTCCTCCAGGTCAGCAAGCATCTCGCCGACCTGAAGCCGAACAACCATGGCCCGAGCCAGAGCTTGAAGATCAACAACTTCTTCTTCGTTGTTCTCCAGTTTATTGAGAATGTCACCAACTCTGATGCGCTCCAAAGCTGCGCGAGAAAGTGCTTGAAGCTCCACGATAGCAGGCTCGTGTTCTTCTAACGCTTTTCGCACATCATTTCGGTGCTTACGCTGGATTAAGCCTCTCACCATTGATTGCACATCAAGCACGGTACTCTCGGAATTCATGAGCTCCTCGTGTTGCAATTGCAAGAATTCTCGCAGAGCCTTGGCTCTCAGTATTCCCTGCAGAACAGTGACTGACGAAGTATGTTGCGCTAGATCACGACGAAGAACTTCATTGCCCCTTCTAACTGCGGCACCGCGTATCAAGGCTTGGAATTGAGTGCACTCACTCCCGGTGTTCGACAGAGCTTCAAGGATTTCCAAGTGGCCTTTTCTCGAGGCAAGTGCTCTAGCACCTGCTTGCAGTGCGATGACAGTTGCGCTCTCATTTTCGAGTGAAGCCTTGACTTGGGCCATATGCTGGCGAGCAAGGGTGCCACGAATCACAGCCTGGAGCGACTTGACTGGACTGCTAGATTCCTCAATCTGCTGTGACTGCACGTTCATCTGCCTCCGTTGCAAAGAGCCACGGATAGCAGCCTGAAGCGCGGTAACATCATTTGCCGCTGATCGAGTGTCTTCGTGTTGATCGGCAACAATCTTGCGCTGAAGAGCACCCCGGATTGCGGCTTGCAGGGCAGTCACGTTGTTCTCGGCAGAACGAGTTTCGTCATATTGGTCGGTAACGATCTTGCGCTGAAGAGCCCCTCTAATCGCTGATTGGAGGGCAGTAACATCGTTCTCTGCATACCGAGTGTCCTCGTATTGGTCAGTGACAACCTTTCTTTGGAGAGCGCCCCTAATTGCTGCTTGGAAACTCTTTATTCCAGACTCCTCTTTCTGCACACGAGTCTGTAATAAGTTGGTCTGGGCTCGCGACTTAGAGGCCCGGATAAGACTCTGAAGCTCAAGAATATCACATTCTTGGGCTTTGCGAGACTGGACGTCACCTTGTTGACGGTGGCGAACGATGAATCCACGACTAGCTGCTTGAAGTTGAACCGCAAACTGACGCATCTCAAGTCGGTACTGGCTAATTTGGCGAGCCCAGTCACCACGAATATGTGATTGCAGTTCAATGAGTAAGGGCTCAAAATCCCAAAGATCGTTCATGGTATTGCCAAGTTTTAAACGCATCATGGCTCCCCGGATCTGTGACTGGAAGTCAACAATCGCAGCTTCGTTTTCATGTAGCTCGCGGTCAATCCGCTCTTCCTCCGATTCAACAGGTTCGGGCTCTGGTTCTGGTTCCGCCCCGAAGTTCGCGGCCATGCCTGCAAAGCTCGGCATGCTAACACCCGCTTTATCGAGACCCTTTTGAGTCTTTTCAAGCTCGTGATGTTCAAATTCAAGCTGACCAACCAGGTTGCCCATGCGGAAGTCCAGCATGCCATTCTTGAAAAGCAGCCAAGAAAGAGCATGGATACAGTGAATGACTTTCGGAAGATTCTTCTTTTCGTAGAGGTCGATGAGCTCGAATCGAAAAAGCTCGGGCAATTCAATGTCGTCGAGGAAGCGGAAAAACAAGGCAATGTTGTCTGAATGGCGATACTGTAACTTTGGGTTTCGGAAAATGCGCAAAGTTCGGTCAGGGTACATGGCTTGTACCACCTCCGCGAGAGTCACACCATCTCTCAATGCTTCCTCCAGCTGAACAATCGGCGGAATTTCCTTTTTCATAACCTCTTCAATCCACTCTTTTGCCTCACCAATATGACACAGGTACTCGTACGCTTGTAGGAATTGCCGCTGTTGATCCATCCAGTTCCCTGCTGCCCATGAGGACGCTTTGGGTTTTTCTGGTGATATCGCGCCATTCCTCCCAGCCACTGAGTCTGCTCGCTTTAATCGTCGCCGGCCTTGCAGACCAACTACCGACGCTGTTGCGGACGCAAGTTGGAATTCCTCGCCTTCTCCAGATTGAGCAAACTTGGACAGCGTTCTGAGATGGCGTGTGGATGATTTCTGGAAAGTTTCGAGTTCCGGGGTAGAGAGAGTTGTCGTAAGTGGAGCTGGGCGTGGGCTTCCAGGTAGGGCCTTTTGAGGCGATGAAGGGCGCGATGATCCCGGAGTTGGGGTGGGTGACCAGTGGCGCGGCGACCCCCCTGTGGGGGTGTTTGAGGCTCAAAGGCAGGCGCTTTATACCGGGGCGATTCGTTTTCCTTGAAGTGGACGTGATGTAACTCTGGAGTACTCGGTCGCATGTCTTTCAAATATTGTTTCTCATCGATGGTGTGGCTGCGGGCATGTCGATAGGCGCCAGCTTTGGGGGGCGTTGAATTGATGTTAGGCGCCTGTTGCAAGGGTCGTAGAGAACGGCGAATGTTTTCATAAGTGCTGCTAGCACTTGCCGAGAGATTTCCGTTTGTTGAGTCCATTGCGACTGCGCCTGCCTCACTCTTTCCTCGGTGGTGACCTAGGTTACTCTGTATGGACGCATTGGAAGACACCGTGCTTGTCCGGCTTGGGGCAAATGAACTCGATGCGACCGAGTATGCGGATGAATTGGTGGACGCGGTTGACCCGTGTCGTAGCGGGCTCGATGACTCCACGGGGAGGTCCGTTTGGGCTCGCTTCAGCGATGGGAATTGAGTGGACATCACTAATGACGCTGCGACAGGAATGCAAACACCGAAGAAAGATTCCTGTGCTCGATAGACCGCATCCCTGCTTCGGCAACAGAAGCGGGGTGTGGTGGCTGAGTCCGAGATTGGAGCAATTCAAATGTTGTTTGGGTTGAAACGGGCGCTCGGAATGTGAGATGAACGCGAATTCGCAACGGCGCAGGTTACTTCGAGCGATACACCTCCGAGGTTGGTTGATGCAAGAAAATGTGACGAGCAGAAGTTGTTGAAAGTTTCGGCTCCAGGGACCGATGATGGAACTCTTGTTGACAGTGGGGTGAGAGGAACAGGGCAGGAGCGAACCGGCATTCTCCAATTCCCATTTGGGACCCGTCCAAAACAAATCTCCCGATCTGGACTAGCGCGATCAGCTGATGGCGGTCGATCCCTCAGCCATAGATCACGTGTTGTAAACGCCCTTCCGCACTGGTTTCGTATCATCAGAGTTCAAATTTTATGTGATACTCTTCTTGTACTATTTAAGATTCTTCTTTTCTTCTTCCGTATGCCACTGTCAGTGACAAACATGTTATAAAGGGTGGAATAATCACAATATTGGCAAAAGGGACTTTAGATCTATGCGGGTTCGACTGTGGGCCGTAGTCCCGTGCGACCATCTCAATTACAGTATCGTGTTCCCATCGACAAGAGCAATCCACCCAAGCTCCATTAGTGAGAAATCAAATTGGACACAAGGCACTGAGGTTCCGGGCAACGTTTACAGGCATGATTTCTACCTAATGCGCGGTATTTATCTCTCTCTCTCTCTTTCTTTCTTTCTTTCTTTCTTTCTTTCCTTCCACAGCCTCGCCATATTTGCTGGTCCCTCCGACTTGTGCTGTGCAGATATATATCTATACATTCACACCATGTTTCAGGATATATATCACTATTCTACTGTCCGTGGCCAATACACTGTAATAGTCGTTGGATCGATTCAGTGACGTCAAAACAGCACTCATGTGACTTATATTCCTGTCGAAAGGTAGTTAATAGGCCACCAAACACTGATGTGGTTCTTATAAACAAGTCTTGGCAGCGTAGCCCTCTCAACATCGAGAATTCACAACCTTGAAGTTTTAAAGCTTAAAGGATGGGAGGATACCTAGGTATGTGTGAGGAGCACATCAGGAATATATATCCAGACACACCTTAGTAAAGCAGAACTCGTTTAAAGGGCGGGGGAATGTAGGAGAAGAGTGGCTCACAAGTCTTCGAAACAATGAGGCTCTCTGCCTATGAGTTATAAGCTAAGGCTATGCACCTGACAGAGTAATCGGAGTTTCTTTCATATCCATCTCTTAGAATGAGATGTCGAAAAATTTGACATTTCTCGCTCTAAGAGATGGTGTATCCAAGGAGCCGTCCTGGCGCAAGCTGCGAATTTCCACAGGTACATTACCAAAATAGCATTAGTCTCTGGATCTTGAGTTTAAAATGAAATTCGAACATAAATTTGGATGCAATGTTGGAGTTGAGATATTACAGAAGTTGGAACGGTATCCAAGAATTTCCAACAGTAAAATGGATGAGTAGGAAAGCTTTCTGAAAGGAGAGTCAGACCAGTATTTTCATATTTTCTGTATTCGGAAAAAAAAAATTTGGTCTTTTCTTGCAAGTCTGGTTGCTGATAATTTAACCTGTAGTCAGTGGTATGGAAGAAGCCTCTTCTGGCTTGCTATCCAATAATAGCTTAATATCAGAGCTTTTGTTCGAGAACGACGAAAAGAAAGAGCACGGTGAGCTTGATTTTGCAATTGCAATCAAATCAGATTTGTAGTCAATTCTCAAAGGAAGCAAAATCACATATGGTAATAGCAAATTTTGCACATGATATCTGTCTAAATGGCAATTCTTCGATAATCTCGGGAGTAAATGTAATTGAGAATGCGCCATGGCCTGGATTATTCACGTCCCAGCCAGCAATATGGTTGGTTGAATGCTGGGTCCAACACTCAGGCTCACCACGGGTCTTGGGCGAGGGAGCCAAATATACAGCCATAGGAAAAAAATTTTAAGATGTCTTTTTTTGATCAAATACCAAAACTCATAGATAAGCGGTGACAGATGTTTCTTAATCTCAGTTACAGGTCAATAAATCAATGATCGGCGTTCAAGGTGAGATTGCAAGTATGTAAAGCGGATAAGCAAATCTGGCGCGGGGAAAGGCAGAAATTAACATCCGTTAAGGCTGTTCACCATTTTTCCACCCCACCCCATCCTCAAATTCAGTATGGCAGCACTCGATACTCAACCCCGTTACATCTACAAGATTGTTCCCTCCGCTGCACCAGTCAGCGAGCCCCTTCCTGAGCGCTTGCCGGTCAGCCAACTCGACCAAGATTCGGGATTTGTCCATCTTTCGATGGCGACTCAAGTTGCCAACACCCTCAAATTTTTCTTCAAAGATGAGCCGCTGGTGTACATTCTACGTATCGATTACAGACGTGTGATGCAAGATGTCCGCTGGGAATCTCCCGACGGCAAAGTGTGCGGTCCACGGCCCGGAGAAGGCTTGTTCCCCGTGAGTTTCATATCAGAATAGCCGTGAAGGCCATTACTAAATCATTAAAAGCACCTCTATAATGGCTTAAAACTGGGCAAGGACGAAGTCGAGAGTATTGCCGTGTGGCAAAATGAGGACGGGTGGGACAAAGCCATTAACGGGGCTGAGGCATGGCTCGTGTAGTAGCTGTCCCTCAGCACGATTCAATTGCTCTCCCTCTCTTTGTCTCTTTACCTTGTGCTAGATGTAAAATAGCAGTCTTGATAAAGAAATAGGACTCCCACGGAAGATGCCGTTTGATATAGACAGCGTTGGCTACTTTCCTAGTACATTATCTGTCTGTGTGTAAACAAGCGACCAGCAAAACTTCCTAGTAGTCACAATCTCTTTGAACAAATCTAGACAAGCAATTTGAGGACGCAATTTCGAATTTGACTCTCAATGGATGTGATTCCGATCTTCCACATTCACGGCCATTGTACTGACATACGTAGTGTTATTATATTAAGCTCTGTCGGGTGCGCCGGGCCGCAGATTGCTGCAAGGGCTGCAGATATCTTACGTGGTACGTATAACCATCTAGTCGATCCCCCACAGGAGCTGAGCAACCGAAGGCATGGAATTGGAAACAAACTATTTGTCAATTTCAAATAATCCACACTTCTAATTTTTAGGACCAGCGATCTAGTGCATCTTGAGCCCGTACAATGACGTGCTGAAGGTTTGAGCAGAACGAAAGAGCGCCTATATCACGATATGTCCGTCCATAAACCAAAGCACTATAAACTGAATTGACCATCAAACCAATTTAGTACAGTCACCTCTTACCAATAGTATCCTTATTAAATGCGACCCCGCTGATAACATTTCTAAGCAACGGTCATCTCACCGCCCGTCAGAATCTCGTTTAAGAGCCAATCACAGCACGTGACAGTGCAAAGAAAAAAAAAAGATACTGCGCTAAACCCCGATAGGGAAGGCGCCTCCGGGCGTGGCCGTGCACGGAAAAAAGAAAAGGAAGCTTCTTCGCTCGAACTTTTTTTCTTCTTCTTTCTTTTCTTTGGGAAAGCTGGACTCTCTCCATCAACAGAAGGTTTCTTATCTGTTGATTTTATACCCCTCAATTCTTGGTCCCATCTCAATCTTTGGTTCCAGATATACCTTCTTTTTTTAAAATAATCATGCCTATCACCATCAAGGAGGCTGCCCCCGGTGCCGCCATGAAGGCTGAGATCGAGGACTACACCACTGCCCTCGAGGTGGTGAAGACCTATGCCACTCGTGATGGTCTGGATGTGGACACCCTCCTGGACTCCGACAAGCACGGAGCCCTGACTTACAACGATTTCCTCGTTCTGCCCGGTTACATTGGTGAGTCTGATCATGGCGGGGTTCTGATCTGAGATGAAAATTTTTTCTAACCATATCGGATAACAGGCTTCGCCGCTTCTGAGGTGTCTCTGGACACTCCTGTTACCAAGCGTATTTCGCTGAAGGCCCCTCTGGTGTCCTCCCCCATGGACACTGTCACTGAGCACAACATGGCCATCCACATGGCCCTGCTCGGTGGTCTCGGTGTTATTCACAACAACTGTGCCCCCAAGGACCAGGCCGAGATGGTCCGCAAGGTCAAGAGATACGAGAACGGTTTCATCCTGGACCCCGTCGTCCTCTCTCCTACCGCCACCGTTGGCGAGGCCAAGGACCTCAAGGCCAAGTGGGGATTCGGTGGTTTCCCTGTCACTGGTAAGTCTTGCTTCGCATGTTCTACCCTTACCCAGCCCATTCCCATTTGCATGATGAACAAACCTTTCATTTATAACTTTCGTTCCACTGGGAGCGGCGAGAGCTGCATTGTAGAGAAACGTTTTACCTGATCATTCCTATACCACTTATCTCATTGAGTCATACAAGTTGTCTTGCATCGACGCTAACATCAATTGTTTGACAGAGAACGGAACCCTCCGCTCCAAGCTTGTTGGTATGGTCACCTCTCGTGACATTCAATTCCACAAGAACCTTTCCGACCCTGTCACCGCCATCATGGCCACTGACCTGGTCACTGCTCCCGCCGGTACTACCCTGGCTGAGGCCAACGAGGTTCTTCGTCAGTCCAAGAAGGGCAAGCTGCCCATCGTTGATGCTGACGGCAACATTGTTTCCCTGCTGTCTCGCTCGGACTTGATGAAGAACCTGCACTACCCTCTTGCTTCTAAGCTCCCCGACTCCAAGCAGCTCATTTGTGCTGCCGCCATTGGTACCCGTGAGGAGGATAAGGAGCGCCTCAAGCTTCTCGCTGAGGCGGGTCTCGACATTGTTGTCCTGGACTCCAGCCAGGGTAACAGCATGTACATGATCAACATGCTCAAGTTCGTCAAAGAGACTTTCCCTGAGATTGATGTTATTGCTGGTAACGTTGTTACTCGCGAGCAGGCTGCTGCCCTGATCGCTGCTGGTGCCGATGGCCTGAGAATTGGCATGGGCAGTGGCAGTGCTTGCATCACCCAGGAGGTTATGGCCGTCGGCCGTCCCCAGGCTGCCGCTGTCCGCAGCGTCGCCTCTTTTGCCGCTCGCTTCGGTGTCCCCTGTATCGCTGACGGTGGTGTCCAGAATGTTGGTCACATCGTCAAGGGTCTGGCCATGGGTGCCAGCACTGTCATGATGGGTGGTCTTCTTGCTGGTACCACCGAGTCCCCTGGCGAGTACTTCGTCAGCAATGAGGGCCAGCTCGTCAAGGCCTACCGTGGTATGGGCAGTATCGCCGCCATGGAGGACAAGAAGGCTGGTGGTGACAAGAAGGATACCCAGGCCAGCAACGCTGGTACTGGTCGTTACTTCTCTGAGAAGGATCACGTCCTGGTCGCTCAGGGTGTCGCCGGTTCCGTCCTGGACCGCGGCTCTATCACCAAGTTCATCCCCTACCTCATCGCCGGTGTCCAGCACTCTCTGCAGGACATTGGTGTCCCCAGCCTCGATGCCCTCCACGATGGTGTCAACGCCGGTGTTGTGCGCTTTGAAATGAGAAGTGCCAGCGCTCAGGTCGAGGGCAACGTCCACGGTCTCCACAGCTACGACAAGAAGCTTTACTCGTAAGCTCCAAGCTTCTTTGAAACGTTGAAAAATACTTTCCTACTGTGAATGTGAATATGACTGGGATGTCCACATGATGATACGTGGACTTGAATAAAAAAATGGAGGAAATGATGAGATCGGAGTTATTATTATCTAAGCAATCGCTTTTGATTTAATGAGAATACGTATATTTTTCAGGACAACATTTACTTGTGTAGAGATCTGTAGACTGGTCGTGCTCTCAAGCATGAAGGCGTAGCACATGGCGAGCTAGCCGGATGAGGATAAGCACGCGGGGTACAGCGATTAGCCTAGGCTCTCGGGTCATTTGCCTTTAGCTCTATGTACACTTCCAAGGTTCTCGGCACCATCTTTGGCAATGTCGTACTTTATCTCCGGACATTCCAGCAATCGATTGCTTGCCTCTAGATTTATATCTTCAATTGCCCTTTCGAAACGTATAGCATTACATTCATCAGTCTCGCGCCCCTTGGCTTTACTGCTGAGTAACCAACGGATCTCGACCAGGACCTACGCGACTTCAAACTCAGCGCCTATATCTCAAACACAAGAAATGCCACGCTCAAAATCCGATGGTGGATCGAAGAAGAAGGTGGCCATTCCCCGGCCCAGTTCTAGGTATGCAGCCTTGTCCAGCCATGCATATGTCTCCATAGCATCAAAGAATGTCATGAATTCGGCTAACGATTGTCCAGCGTAATTCTCGTTTCTCCAAAGAATGAGATCCTTCTTTTGCATCGCGTCCAGACATCTTCATCGTTCGCATCTGCCCACGTCTTCCCTGGTGGAAATCTGTCGACGCAGGACGGACCATGTCCGCCAGCTGATGACTTTGCTGTGCATGATGACGCACCTCATTACCGAAATGCGGCTATCAGGGAGCTCTTTGAGGAAAGTGGAATCCTTCTGGCTAAAGATGGGAGCACTGGGAAGATGGTGGTGCTCAATGAGACTACCAGAGAGCAAGGCCGACGCCTGATTCACCAGAACAAAGTCACTTTTGAAAAGTGGCTGAAGCAACAACATCCGACGGCTGAGCCGGATATCGGTTGGTACTATTCCATTCAATATTCTATCAAATCCCTCGGCTAATTTGGAAAGGTAAATTGATTCCGTTCACTCGGTGGGTGACGCCTACAAATGTCCCCAAACGATACACTACTCAGATGTATATCTATTTCATGCCATTGCCCGTCAACATAGAGAAAGGGTTACTTGACGAGTTACCAGCAGAAGGGGAGCGAGAAGAAATTCAAGTTCCAACTAGTGATGGGGGCATCGAGGTTACTGAGGCGCAATTTCTTCCAGCTTCTGAATGGCTCCGTCGAGCTCAGGCTGCGGAAATCATTCTTTTCCCTCCTCAGTTCCTTCTCTTGCACCTAGTCTCTGGTTTCCTAGACCAGGAGCCCCGGTCGGGTGCTTCAATGGAAGAATTGGAGAAACGTCGAGCAGCGCTCGTCGAATTTGTTTACTCGGGGTCACCGGCTTGGACAGACAAGTGCATTTCGCCCAGAATGCTTAAAATGACTGAAGACGGGCGGTCAGTTCTGGCACTGGATAATGCCGGGCCTGAGTTGAAAGGATCTGGTCGAACAGGCGAGCCAGATCGGGTTGTGGTGTTGAAGTTTAAGAAGGGAAGTGCAAGAGAAGTGGCTGTAGCATGGAAGAAGGATGTATTAGAGGAGGGGAGAAAAGGAGAAAGCAATCTTTAAATTAAGATAATAAATATCACGGCATCATCTAAAGAATCGTGCATGGAGAATCCGGCGTTGCTGCCAAGGATGATATTGCCACGGCAGAATTCACGGGAAATGACTAATACCACGACCCGCCGAATCCAACCACGCCAGCCCTCGACAAACAGTCACATGACCCACACAAACCATTTTGGTCTTCAATTTTATGAGCCACCCAAGTTCCATCCACCTCCAACCTCACCGTCGCCCGTCAAACCCCCTACACACAACCCGCCAAAATGGAGAACGAGAAGGGAGAGATCGTCGATCTGTATGTCGTCCCTCGAATCGCTTCCCAAAAATCCCCCCGGTACCCTGAAGTCTGGTTGTCGGCAATCGCAAATCCCACCACCACGAGGAATTTCCATTCCATTGGCCATGGAAAGTGGAACGCAAAAACTCAGCAACACTGAACACCATGCGCTGCGAACGCAATAGCCAGATGACAGGGTCCCGCGGACTGGATTTGAGGAGATTCAATTTGAAATTTGAGTCTTGCAGCCAGGTACTAATATCGCCAACAGCTACGTGCCCCGCAAGTGCAGCGCCACCAACCGCATCATCAAGGCCAACGACCACGCCTCCGTCCAGATCTCCGTCGGCAAGGTTGACGAGAACGGTCGCTACACTGGCGAGAACAACACCTACGCTCTGTGCGGTTTCATCCGTGCCCGTGGTGAGAGTGATGACTCCTTCAACCGCCTCGCTCAGCGTGACGGATACCTGAAGAACGTCTGGTCTGCCTCCAGCCAGCGGTAAATCGCTTCGCGGATGTTGACGGGTTGATATGATGGTTCGTGGATCTTTCCAATTTTTGAATTGTTGATCACCAACTAACATGTCACAGACGAACTGCGGCTAGATGGTCCAGGTTCGGGGATTGGTGATGGAAAAAAAAATCAGGGAGTTGGGGTAAGGCTACGGCTACCTCTCCTTCGGCCTGGAAGTTTCTTTTTTTTTAGTCCCATGGAGAAACCCTGTTTTCCTACTGTCCTATCTATCGAAATGAATGGAATCGACGACTTTAATGGGTCAGGTTTTTTCTCTCAAGACCATTGTTCATTTACCCGTTTCCCGTCTAGGAGGACTCGAGGACTTCAACCTTGCATTCTTGCGTTTCCAGCAAAGCAAAAACAAAAATGCCTAAAATCATATTCTTAAACATTTGGACCCCTTCCCCTAGCCCCTACGCTTTTTCTTTTCTCTCTCCTCTCTCCTCTTGCTGGTTTACCAGTCGGCGTATCAAGGCCTCCTCACCCTTGTAGACTAGGAAATCGGATCGTTCACTCGGTCTGTGTTCCCGATGTCTGCTCCCATGAGTGAGGGGGTAGAAATAATACTTCTCTCGCCGTATATTATCATCCCCGCCTACTGAAGAGCCACTTTTGCTGAGATTCATGCACTGGGGCACAGATACGGGTGGGACATCTATAGAAATCATGGTTCGAGATAGTAATAGTACTGTAGTTCCGAGTTTAGAGGTACTTAGTTCATCTCAATTGGGTTGCTTAATCTTGGACCTACTGCTGCTGCTACGACATCTCGAAACTAGGTAAGAACGTTTGAAGAAGTTTTGATAGCTCAAATCATATATAATCTTTTTGCTTCATTGCTCCTCATCATTGACATGCAATATGTCTTCCACGTGAACTCATAATATCAAATCAAGCCGCCTTGGTTCGGAAACCAAGGAGCCTGCACCAGCAAGGCTCAAAACAAAGGGTCTTATCTATGGACATTCATCTCCAAAATTGCAGAATGAGAAATTTTTTAACATCTTTACTCCTTCTCCAGACGAACAGCCGGGTTGGACTCGATGAAGCCAAGGTCAACCTTGTGGCCCAAGAGCTCACGAATGTTGCTGACACCGTACCTAGATATATATTAGTAATGCGAAATCGAGGTATACAGGGCAATAGTTCAACTCACTTGATCATAGTCGGTCTCTCCAGACTCAAACCCCAACCGTAGACCTGCATGTTCTTGGGAATACCCATAGACTCCAGCATCTCAGGTCGGAACATACCACTGTTACCGATCTCAACCCACTTACCCAGACCCTCGTGATAGCCGAAGATCTCCATACTAGGCTCAGTGTAGGGGTTGTAAGCAGGCTTGAAACGCAACTGATGGATACCCATCTTCGCAAAGAAGACCTCCATGAAACCAATCAGACCACCAAGAGTCAGACCGAAATCAGCAATGACACCCTCGATCTGGTGGAACTCTGCCAGATGGGTAGCGTCGACAGCCTCGTTACGGAAGACACGGTCAATACTGAAGAGGCGGGCCGGCCGCGGGTCAGCCGCGAGCTTGTGCAGCATGTACGCCGAGATAGAGGTGGTGTGGGTACGGAGAACGAGACGCAGGGACTCATCCGCGTTCCACGGGTAACGGTAACCGATGGAGCCAAACTTGCCCTTCTCGTGGACGTCGTGGACGTTGTCCCAGTATTTCTGGTAGTCGAGGGGCTTTGCGGCCTTGGGGAGGTGAGGGTCGTTGGGGGGATCCTCGCGTGGGGGATCGGCTGTCAGCGGGTCGGCGATGTAGAAGGTATCTTGGAGGTCGCGGGCAGGGTGTTGCTGGGGCACGAAGAGGGCGTCGAAGTTCCAGAAGCCAGTCTCGACGAAGCGGTTTGTAGGCATTTCGGTGAAACCCATCTCGAAGAAGATGTTGCGGAACTCGGAGCGGACCTTGTTCAGGGGGTGCAGGGCTCCAGAGGGGGTGTGGGCACCCTTTGCGTTGAAGTTGTATGGCTTCAGCTGGACGGTCTTCCAGGAACCGTTGGCGATCATTTCGGGGGTGAGATCGGTCTCCTCCTTGACGAACTCCTTGGCATACTTGGGACCCTTGGAGAACTTGTAGTGGATGTCCTTGGACAGGGTGACGAGCTTCCTTCGCTTCAGGTCGGCAAGGGCCTTGGAGTCGTCGAGAGTCTGTGTGCGCTGCACGGCGAGAAGCTGCTCGCGGGTCTCGTCGACGATGGACTCCTGGGTAGCCCGCAGCTTATCGTTGTCCTTCTTGATCCAGCCACGCTTGAAGCAATTGCCCTGGCCAACCTTGGCATTGTCTTTCCCCACAATGCCTGGCAGGTCACTAATCTTAAGACCATCCAGAGCGGCGACGACAGCGGCGAAGACCTTGGCCTCATGACTGCCATTGTTGGCAATCTCCTCACCCTCGGAAGTGAGCACAACGACGTCCTTCTCCAGAGTCTCATACTCGATCATCTGTCGCGAGCCCAGGCGGTCCAGCGCACTTTTGATATTCAATGAGGGGATGGAGGGGTAGGCTTCGTTGGAAAGGAGGGGCGCATCGGACTTGGACAAGGAGTCCAGAATCTGGGCGGTCATATCGGACGCCATGGCTGCAGATGTATCCTGCAGAGGATTTGGCGGAAGCTGTGCAGGTGGTGGGGTAATCAGTCTTGCGGTGTTCGGCCAAAATTAACGATGACTCTTTTCCCAGTATATCCGGCGGGGCAGAGCGACCACCTTGAGAAAAATCAATCCAAGAGACAACTACAATATTCATGTATTATGATATTCACATCTATTGCAATAACAGCTCGCGTAGCTCAGTTGGTAGAGCGCGGCACTAGTAATGCCGAGGTCTTCAGTTCAAATCTGGACGTGAGCAGTTTCTTTTTGCTTTTTCAATTCTTTTTTGCGTCTTGTTTGTTGCTTTTTGTTTGCACCGATTTTTTTCAATTTCGATTGCGTAAATTTGCCTTGTTTGCATTGAGGAAAAAATTTCTCTCGCTTAGCGCTAGCGCGCCCGCCGCAGATATAAAAGGAATCTGTCGCCCCGTGGATTTTCTTTTCTTCAAGCGACTCTACGTTAGTGATCCCTCACCTATAGGATTCAACCCTGGAACAAAACGCTAACAACCTCACAGTTCAAAGAATCACTTTAGAGTAGACGTCCTCTTCTAAGCTCTTTAAAAGAGCCACAGAATCTCCACCCTTGCTGATGACTTCTATGTCCTCGATGCCCTAAAGTGAAGCCTTTTACTTCCGCCTCGACGTGTCACGCGTGCTGCTTGCAGTGTCTGCGTTTCATGTCCAGGGAGTGGTGATGATCTTGACCTGGTTTGGTGTCTGACTTCGGTCGGCTGGGCCTGGTGGGTGTCGAGGAGGTCTGAAAGGTTTCTCTCCCTTCGATTTCTTATGCGGATCTTGTTGTGGTTTGATATGGATGATTCTGTGCGTGGAGTTCACACCCCATCAAGGGAACCGGCAGTGCCGGGCGCTTGGAGGGGACCACCATCAGTCATTAAAACTTTAAATAAACATTTTCAAAGCCCATATTATAATTTCCTTTTAAATAAATAGATCCTTTGAATTTTGCTAGTTTCGTCGGTCCAGGTCACGTTTTCCGAGTCCCAATATTGGCGCTGAAGACACCATCTTAATCGATCAAGTCGCATTTTTGCGTTTAAACCGGCCTTACGCGTCGGCCTCGTCTTCCGAAAACCCGCACGTCGTGAAGCTCGCCAGACTGTAGTACTAGAGATCGATATATTAAGTGCGGAGCATAGCTCACTAGCGATAGTCGCGAACGTTTTCTCGCGTCCATATCGGTCTGGGCGTGCTTTTGATAAGGCAAGATGAATCACCTTTATTAATTAAGCATCGATTCAGAATCAATCGTAGAGTATACCTCTTGTGTTTGCTTCTCTGGACGACCAGAACGAACAGCATCAGTGACATGGGCCTCGGTGATTATAGAAGGTTGACTTTGAGGGTCAAAACCACGTTCAAGAGCCCGTTTCCAGATCGACGAGATCGTCCGGATCGAGATATTAGTCCGTTCTGATATCTCACTTGTCGTCATGCCAATTGCTCTCATCGTAACAATCGCGCTGCGCATGGCAAGGTCGTATCTAGGCATATTAGACGAGTATGCTAGTAGGCCATGGTGTGGTGTGGTGTGGTGTGGTGTGGTGTGGTGGTGATGGTAACGGTGATGGGGAGGGGTAAACGGGGTTGTAGACGTGTATAACGCTACACGACGCTCGTATAATACAGAAAAAGCAAATATGGCTACCTCTTTTGAAATGTACCTCCGTAGATGATGCCTAGACAACCCAGGTAATGGTCTTTCTTCAGCTCCATTGTCATGGCTGGGAAAATTCAAAGCTAAGCTTATAGTAGCTTCGAGTTCAATTATACCCCAGGATTGTTATCCTTTAGTTCCCAGAGACTAGTGCAATAACTCAATTTATATAAGATGCTGCTTTATAACACTGGCAGAGTTCAAGTAGCGATGATATGTAGCTATGAAGAAACAAACAATGTTTGATAAAACACTGTAATTTACTGTGGATGGAAAGTCGACTAATCGTTCAACCCCCATGTCGATTTACAGAACCCAAATGGTTGGGCCGCTATCTTCCAGAACCGCTCTGAATTACATTTCCATCTCCATCCTCCCCAGATTCCCCACCAGCCCAGTGATTAAGGTTGGCGCCATCGCAATCCATTTTCCCTTGACCTAAATCAAATCAATACATCACCTTTGAACCCACCTGTGAATCAGTATGAACTCGTCGACACATACTATAGATCCGGACGGTGAAGTGATCATAATATTGCTCAATGCAAACAGTCCTTTTGCACAACTGGATGAAGTTCCAGTTACCATTCAAGACTCTGGCATTGTTCCGTCGGAATGTGATAACGCTCAAAGTCCGGAAGTGACCGAGGTTTCGAACCCCTCTTCCGATCAGTCAAAGCTGACTGCCAAGCAAAAGAAGGCGCTGAAAAAGAATAAAAAAAAGTCTGGTATGATTTTGACCGCTCTGGAGTGCACATCATCAAAGCTTGCTGCTGAAAAAATTGTTGCCGAAGCATACCCTGCCGAGCCATACCCTGCCGAAGCATACCCAGAGGAGGCACCACTTGACGAAACATATTCTGCCGAGGAACCATACCCAGAGGAAAGACCTGCTGTTGAAGCAACTGTTCCCGAAGCATACCCCGTCAAAGATCCCGCGCCTGTTGAGGCTGAACCCGAAGGGCATTCCGCTGAACTACCGGGGGAAACTTGCTTCCGTATTCAGGTCTCTGCAAAGCATTTGATGTTTGCCTCGCCGGTCTTCAAAAAGATACTGACCGGTGGTTGGAAAGAAAGCATTACTTTTTTTCAAAAGGGCTCAGTTGAGATCACAGCAGAGACCTGGGATATTGAAGCACTTGTCATTGTACTTCGCGCTATCCATGGTCAACACCACCTCATACCCCAAAAACTAACCCTGGAGATGCTTGCCAAAGTTGCTGTGATAGCAGACTATTATGAATGCAAGAATGCTTTGTACCTCTTGACAGATATGTGGATCAAGAACATGGAAGAGACGCTTTCTCCTGCGGGTTCTCGGGATTTGATTCTATGGCTATGGATTGCCTGGTTCTTTCAACTGCCTACCCAGTTCGAATCGTCAACTTCCATAGCCATGTCACAAAGCGCCGATTGCATTGATACTTTGGGACTTCCGATTCCAGACAGCGTCATAGGTGAGGGTAAACGAGTTCTTCTAGGTACTTGAAAGCTAATGGATTTTCAGGCTCAATGAATGAATGTAGAGAGGAGGCTATCAACAGCTTGATTGTCCTTCTACATGAAACACGCGATGCCTTTTTGAACAGCACTCGGGGATGTAATTTTGAATGTCGCTCAATCATGTTTGGGGCTCTTACTATACAGATGCAGTCAAGCAAACTGCTTCTGCCAAAGTCTGAGACTCCTTTTCCGGGCTTGACTTACAACTGTCTTGTGCAGAAGATATCAACGTTCACATCGCCAAAATGGTCTAGCTTTTATCGTTACAACTATCAGCACAACTGCTCTGAACACTACTGCTCTGACGCCTCCTTCAAATCGATATTCGAGGAATTGAAGGGTTCTCTTGAGGGTTTGAAACTGGAGAGATTCACTAGTTCATGATTTGGGGTCTTTGAGGTGCATTTTGAATGGCTATTTCACAAACCTCCATCTCGCATACATTCATTGACCTGAAATTTATGTGTGTAGGATTATACATACACACATACCCTTAATCAAGCCATAGTTTTGCTTTTGCTTCTAGTGGTAGGATTTTTGATGGAAGAAAGCGAAAATTCTCGTATTTGATATCGTCGCTAGAATGCAAAAGTGTCATTTCATTCATATGGAAATTGAGTCCACGTGAAGCCCGTTCCTCGAATGAATGATCGCTATGAACGTTTAGTATTTGGGTACATGGATGACTCCGAGTTGCTGATCTGCTTATACCCCGTATAAAGGTCGGGGATATCAAGATTCAACGAACACAATTCCCTAGAAGAATCCGCCCTGATGTGGCTCTCTTTTGAATATAGATTCCATCTAGTCTATCGAGTTTAGATGGTAACAAGAAGACAATTAAATATGGGATTTTCCTATTTTACATTAGATTATACATGTTATTGCTCCAATGTTTCAAGGTTTTCTCTAAGCAAGCGTATAAAGTTGGCTTCAAAAATTATCATACAATAAAGGTAGAATATGTCACACATCTAATGATTACCATGATGCATACCATGATGCATAACAGGGCAAGCAGCATCATCTGTAGCCTGCACGGTCACGAAAACTGTCTCGGTCACCAATCTCTTTTCAGTCACCGTGAAAGCAGCCACCGTTCCTGTAACGGCAGCTTGCGTAGCCACAGCATTCGCAGTAGTCTCAGGTTGTGTGCTCGCAGCCTGCTCCGAAACGATATCCGCACTCGCAGCTTGAGTACTAACAGTGTGCGCACTCACAAGTGGAGTAGACGTAATAACCACAGCCGAAGTAGAGGAAGCAAGGACCGACGCAGACGGATACCTCGTAACAGCAGGTAAAGTCCAAGAAGCACCAGGACAAACACTCACACCCGAAGCCAACACACCCGGGAAAGCCAAATCAGGAAACGGCCTCGGACCAGGCATGGTATAATTCACAATGCAGTCGCTGTACATATTAAACAAAATCCCAGGCTCGTACCCCGTATACAACCCAGGAATCTTAACATTCGGAGCAGGCAAAACAGTACTCTCACTCTCAACCTCAATCTGCGCACAATTGAAATAAAACTCGGCATCACCATATGACCCAGCACCATGAACAGCAATATGTTCAATACGAACCAGATACTGTCCCGCCGGCACTTCAGGCAAGGTAAAAGTGAAGTTTCCAATACCCGTTACGCCCCAGGTAATACCCCCAGAACCAAAGCTAGTAGGACCCAGCTCGTAGACCTTGAACCAGTCGCCGGAGCCATCATAGTCTTTCACATCGCCTGGTGCTTTTGAGAGGTAGACTTGCATGGGACCTGGGTGTTGGATTGTAGCGCCGAAATCGAGACCGAAGCCGATTGTGTCGCCGGCTTTGACTTTGTAGGTGCTTGTTCGGTTGGCGTATTGCTCGGAACCGGTGTTGCAGCGCATGAGATCTTGGGTGTAGGAGTTTTTGACGGGCATGTAGCCTTGTGTGTCTTCGCGGACATATTCGTAGTAGCCGGTGAAGTTTCCGTTTGCGATGAAGTAGGGGAAGAAGTAGTGGGCTGAGGCTTGGGAGAGGAGGGTTAGGAACGCGGATGCGCCTAACATGAAGCTCTTCATAATGAGTGAAAGAGTAGAAATGAATGTATAAATGAGGGAAATTAGAAAAAATGCCACCAGGGCTTGGAAAGAAGGATCAATAGGATGGTAGATTCATTGGACTGATGGATAGGTTTATGTGGAATGGGATTTTAAGAGCTGTGCGGCTTTTAATTTAGGACAATTGCCGTTAATGCTGGAACCTGTACACATCACTTCGGCTGTCACTACGTCTATATGGAGCGGTAGATGAAACAAAATCTATAGAGTACTGTTCGGTTCGTGTGCCCAGCCCTATAGCCGGGCTTGGCGGTTTCAAGTGAATTACTTGAAACAGCCCCTTAAGGGTCTCCGGCATAAAAGTGCACACAAAAACATATTACGAGTCATAGGACTGACCAGCAGCCTGATGATCGCATCCACAAATCAGCAAATGAAACCCCGTGGAGACAAACCCCTTAGTATCAAAGTTTTGTCCCGCTCGGCAGTTGACGGGACCACCAAGAGCTCTGCCGAACGGGTCTATCATAAATAATGGTAGCCTAGATTCTGACGCATAAACCGTGTCGATCAAGCAATGAGCTCGTGACGATAGGGGTTGCTCTTCCCATAATCTTCTCAATGTTTTCGACCCTGCAAGTGAAAAAAGCATGAGGCTTTAGGTGCCAAGCGTTGCATATAGCCGAGAAAGTCTTGCATTTTAGCTTCAGACAGTTGACTGCCTGACAGTATATTCCACTTATAACCTTAGAAGATAGAGAAAAAAAAGTAGGAAAAGATAATCAGCACCTGGGCGCTCTGTCTCATGCAGGTGGGCTCAACCAGAAAGGAAGAAGCAACTAAATACAGTAATACAAAGATAAAAAGGACAAGAAATAAAGGCACCGAGGCCAGTCGTCAAGCGAGAGAATAGATGGCAAATATGACGACAATAAATCCAGGAGGGTGGAAATGAAGCACCCCCTCTCCTACAAACTCCTCCCCCAGTCATCCACTTGACTGTGCCGAATAGACCTAAGCCCACTTAAAAATAACAATGCGCCAGACACCAGAGGAAAGGATAACGAATGCGGTAGATGATAGATGTGAGAGGGGGATGATGACGTTGAAGAGCAGGTGGGTATGAGCGAGTAGAACGGGGACAAAAGGGTTGAGGTTCTTTTCCCAATGGAAAACAAAGAAACACTCCAAGACTCATATAGACAGGGTATCAAAGGTCACATCGAAACCATCTGACGAGATCTCCATAGGAAATAAATGTTCATGATATGCAAATGGATCAGGTACTGTTCGATCGCAGCAGGGACTGTATCAACGAGAATAGGTTAGCCAATCTATTCTGTCACAGTGCAAAATTTTACACAACATACATGCTCAACGTACCCGATCATCGATCATCTCTACATCATTGTCCTCGACAGGGCCGGGACTGACAGCACTCCCCCGGGCGATGGGACCGGAGGTGGTGACTGCCCGAGTTTCGGGGCCAGGTCGGGGAGGTGTTGGCAACGGTTGCATCTTTTGAGAACGCTGTTGTTGTTGCTGCTGATTCTGGTTGTCGGGAACGGAGGAGTGGATAGGGTGCATTTCTCCACTGCTAGAGATCCGAGACTCTTTGCTTTTCTCTAGTAATGAGCCACCAAGTGTAGCACACTTGAGAATGGTCTGCATCATCTGGTTCTGCTTGAGTGGCTTGGACAAGTACTCGTCCATCTGAGCCTGAATACACTTCTCACGGTCGCCTAACATGGCGTGGGCCGTGAGTGCAATGATCGGAGTCCGCTGGAGGCCACTCTCACGCTCGTATTCACGAATCTTGCCAGTGGCTTCGAAACCACCCATGACTGGCATTTGCACATCCATAAGAATAACGTCATAGCGACGCTTCTTGACAGCCTCGACGGCCTCCAAACCATTGCCAACAACAAAGACATTGTGGTTGTGTTTCTGGAGTATCTTCACTGCCAGTTGCTGATTCACGTCATTATCTTCAGCAAGGAGAATATCGAAGGACCGGGAGTTGTCAGTGGTGATAGGCGTTGATCGACCTTCCAATGCTGGAAGCATACCATTGCCGAGATCAATCGGCTGGCATGGCGTTGTCATATACGAACTGATACCGAGATCTAGAGCGGATTTCAAGCTGACACAGACCAATGGACAAACCAGCACGATCGGGATATACTTGAACTCATCAAATGTTCGCAGAATACGAGCCGTATCCACAGAGTCAACGATGATAACGTCATATGCGTGACCAGATTCCTTTCCAGACGGATCTTGAATCTCCGGTGGTGGAACATGCTCTTCGTTGCGAACCACTAATGGCTCCAACTCGATTTGTTTGAGCATTTTCATAACATTAGAAGCTTGGGTGCCGTTTTGGCCCTTGTCGATGAACAGAACACGGTGGTTCCGGTATGGTAGAAGTTGCGAGGCAATGACATTGATAGATTGGTCAGCGAGCTTGACCACACAAGTGAAATGGAAGGTACTGCCGTGTCCGTATTCGGACGTGACCCAAACATCACCACCCATCAGGTTGACAAGACGCTTGGAAATAGATAGACCAAGACCGGTACCACCGAAACGACGGGTGGTCGAGCCATCGGCTTGCTGGAAGGTATCGAAGATCAGGTCTAACTTGTCTTCCTCGATACCGATACCTGTGTCAGACACGGAGAACTCGAAGGCATACTCGTTTGTCGTACACTGCTCCCGGTCAGATTTTCGGATGGTGAGTTTGACTTCTCCATGCTCGGTAAACTTTATAGCGTTGCCAACCAAGTTCAGGATAATCTGGCGTAGACGGAATGGATCACCGATCACATAATCCGGCACAGTATTGTCCACTTGGTAGGTCAGGCTCAGGAACTTTTCGTTTGCCTTGACAGCCAAGGTCTTCAAGGCGTTGAAGACAGTGCCCCGCACAGTAAACGGAATGCTTTCAATCACCATCCGGTTCGCTTCAATCTTGGAAATATCGAGTATATCATCAATGATGGTGAGTAAGCTGTTGGCCAGGTTGTGCACCACATTCAACATCTCACGGGTATAGGGTTTCAGGTCGTCGGTGTCGAGTGTCAACTGGGTCATTCCAATGATACCGTTCATTGGGGTTCGAATCTCGTGGGACATGTTTGCCAAGAACTCGGATTTCGTGCGATTGGCAAGTTCGGCAGCCTCCCTGGCAGCAGTATTTCGCTGAATACTGTCTCGCAGGTTGGACACCATTTTATTGATCTTGCGCTTGAGCTCGTCCATCTCACCAGAGGCGTTGACGGTAATAAGCTTGGTGAAATCACCGTCGGTCGCGGCATCCGTGATCTCGCCAAATGCACGCACTTGAGATGTGAGGTTCTCGGCCATGGTGTTGACATCCTCGGTGATTTCCTTCCATGTTCCGGCAATCCCTTCGACGTTGGCTTGTCCACCCATCTTACCATCAACACCGACATCGCGAGCGACCTTCTTCAGTTCTGTGGCGAACTTGGCCAGTCGACCCACCATGTGGTTGATAGTGACCTTCAGGGTGAGAATCTCTCCCTGTGCGTGCACCTCAATCTTCTTGCTCAGGTCACCCTTAGCGATAGCTTGTGTGACGTCTGAAATACTTCGCACTTGTGATGTCAAATTTTGGGCCATGGTGTTGACATTGTCGGTTAGGTCTTTCCATTTTCCTTCCACGTTGTCTACCTTGGCTTGACCACCAAGGGTTCCGTCGGTACCGACCTCACGGGCGACCTTGCTGACCTCGAAGGCAAACGTGTTCAGACGATCCACCATGCCGTTGATGGTGCTCTTCAGATCGAGTATCTCACCTTGCACGTTGGCTGTGACCTTCTTGGTCAAGTCGCCCTTAGCGACGGCCGTGGTGACATCGGCAATCTCTCGAACCTGAGTGGTCAGGTTGTTGGCCATGCGGTTCACATTTTCTGTAAGGTCCTTCCATGTGCCTTCGACGTCATTCACCGTAGCCTGGCCTCCCAGTACACCATCTGTACCGACCTCCTTAGCGATTTTCGTGACCTCCTGAGCAAATTGTCGCAGCTGGTCCACCATGGAATTGATAATGTCCTTGAGTTCGGCTATTTCTCCTCGGCAGTTGGCTTGCACCTTCTGCGTCAGGTCACCCTTGGCGACAGCCTTGGTGACGGTCGCGATATCACGCACCTGCGTGGTCAGATTATTGGCCATGGCGTTGACATTGACTGTAAGTTCGTTCCACATTCCCTGTACACCTTCAATCTGGGCTTGACCTCCCAGCACACCTTCTGTACCGACATCACGCGCCACCCGCGTCACCTCTGTTGCAAATGTCCGAAGTTGGTCTACCATGGTGTTGATCGTTTGTTGCAGTTCCAGAATTTCACCCTGAGCACGGCTCTCAATCTTCTGAGAAAGATCACCGTGGGCGACAGCTGTTGTCACAGTCGCGATTTCTCGCACCTGATCCGTCAGATTTTTGGCCATAATGTTCACGTTTTCAGTGAGTTCTTTCCAGATTCCATGAACGCCGGTAATTTGAGCCTGTCCACCTAGTATTCCCTCAGTGCCGACCTCACGGGCGACACGAGACACTTCGCTACCGAATACCTGCAGTTGGTCCATCATTGTATTGATCGTACGTTTAAATGTGGCGATTTCGGGGTCCATTTCCAAGGGGTGAATCTGCACCTTCATCGAGAGGTCACCGTTCGCGACCTGGGTGATAATACCGCCGATTTCTCGTAAGGCTTTCTGGAAAGCCTCGTTGGCCTGTTGGTGTTTGCGTAACTCGCGTTCCAGAAGGACGACGTCCTCGTTCTCGACCTTGGTGAGGGCACGGCGGGTATGTTCCTCCTGCTTCTGCAACTCATCTCGGACTTGGGCGATAATGTCCTTCTGGAAGCTAATTTCCTCGGCCTGTTTCTGGACGTGGTTGCGTAGAATGCTGATGTCCTCCTCTCGAACCACACGGGTCCGTCCGTTCTCATCCTCATCGTCAGTTTCGTCGTCGTCAAGGTCACCGGGAGGTTGCTCCTCCGGGCCCGAGGGGGTCCGTTGTCGCCGATCGGGTTGATTCAGTTTTTGCTGCTGTGTGAGGCAAGAAGAGTCAGAACCTTGACCGGACGACAAGCGATCGAGCCCAAAGGTCCACAAAAAATCAGGGTCCTTCTCGTTGGATCCGAGAGCAGACGATGTGGCCGGCTGGGGGTCGTCGGGGAATTTGTGATGACTGACAGCTTGGAATTCCAGGTGATGCACGCGACGCACCAAGGCCTCCAACTCTGTTTCGAAGGCGGCCTTTGCAGCGGTGGGTTCTCCAGGCAGTTTGGACCCTTTCGCGCCGTTTGTAGGAGGGAATTCGAAATTGAAAGGGGGCGATGATGAGCCGGCGGTAGGCTCATCTCTCGCCAAAGACTGCAGCACGGCAGTCGCGGCCGCGAGAGTCTCGTCCGCACCAGCCATTGTGCCCTGGGTCCGGATCAGCGGTTGAACACAGGAAATAATCACGACAACCGCTTGGGTCCGGGTATGGGGAGCAGGGCTAGAAAGGAAAATCCCAAGCGAAGGAAAAATTTTCCAAAAGAACCGATGCATGGGGGATGGCCATGTCGTACAGCCCCATTGGGGAAAAAAAAGGGAGTTCGGAGCATTGAGTCGACAACGCGGCGAATAGACGACTTACGGGGACGAGTGACACACAAGTTCCAAAAATTTCGGTTAAGACGACATGAGGTGATTTCAACAAAAGCTCGGAGACCGAGAATACAAAAGAACCCGAGTCGTTCGGGGGATGAAAGGGAACCTTTGGAGTCGAAGTCGGGAAGGAGAGGGGGAAACGGGTAAGGGGCGTTATGTAAGCAGTGATTCTTTTTTCTTTCCTTTTTTTTGCGGGGATGAGGTTTAGATGGAAGGAATACAAGGGTTATACGGATGTTGGATCTAGCAGGAATGATAAATAGATAGAAAGGGAGAAAGACGAAAGGTTGGGAAAGAAATGAGGCTTTCGAAAGCGAAGCAGCCAAAGGCGTTGAGGGGGCAGATTTCGAAAGGGGCTATGTTCAAGCTACTAAACGCATAGAAAATACTCGCAGAGTGGATTGTTCCCTGGGGCCCAATTTTCCCATTCTTTCTCGCTACGCACACACTTAAAAATGGTTCACTAGTTCACTAGCTCAGCTCATATCCTCTAACGAGCTCCACGCACGGATCCCAGGAGATATAGGGTATGGGATCAGAAGGCTGGTTTCATCTTAATCCGCCCCGACTGGAGAAAATTAAAGCGGGTTATCGAAGGAACTCGGGCTAAAAAGCGTGATGATCGCCGTCCAGGGCTGGTCGATCCCATACTTTTTCTCCAGTTTGGCGGGATTCCTTCGTTTGAGTTCTCAATAGTCTATTTCTTGGAACCCCCCACCCAATCCTCAAACTTCCGCAAGGCCAAAAGGCCAGCAACGGAAGGAAAAAGGAGGAAAGACCCGGTGATTGACTTGGCCGCCAATCATCGGGGGTTCGGGGATGTGTGGATGGATCCAGTCCGAACCTTAAGTCTCGTCCACTCAGAAAAGTGGACTCAACCCTTTTCTGTTTGTCTCGGGAATTTAGCCTGTGGTCTCTGTTTCGCTTGAGAAATAACGACGCTCATTACCATTGGTCATGGGCCCCGGTGGAAATTGCCCTCCGTTTTTAACGTTCAACGGTGCCTGATCACTGTAAGGTATTGCCGTGTGACAGGGTCCGGACTTCCGACATGCCTGTTCACCGCATTCTTCGGAATCGTCCCTTTCGAACGCAAAACCCTCCTCATTTATTCAACTGAGGGGTATACACTGCATGTGGCAAAACGACACATGTCTTGAAGTATGATGGCCTAAGCACTGGGCACCGACCTCGACCTATCGATAAGCCATTACGCATTTTAGGGTCATCCAGCATGACACGGATAAGTAGATGTACTCAACGCGCGGTAATCTCATGTGGTCGGGGCCCTGAAACGGTCTCGTCAAGATAAGCTGCATAATGGACACGCTATCACCCAGGTCACCGGGTCATAAGATCAGCATTCCGCTATTAACTAGGCGGGGTAAAGTGCGGGTTCAGTCAAGGATTGTATCAGACACCTGCTGGTATGTATCTGATACGCCTAGAACTTCAGGTCTAAGTACATGGGATAATTATACTTCCATACAGAAATCTGTCTAACTGAATATCTCTGAAATGTTCCAGCAAATTATATCATTACATCAAAATCCAGCCAAAAAATCTCTCATGTAGATCAGACCAAACAAGAACAGCGCGAAATACCTCCCCATTTCAAAATCTCAATCTAATCTTCAGCGGCATCTAATCTTCGATAGCAACGCGACTTCCTTGCCATTAAACCCTATTCCTCAGATGGAATCGGAATCCAGTCGATTCAGTCGTAGTTGCACTCGTCAGAATCCTCGTCACGTTAAGAGTACTCGTCGCATTCGTGAGAATACTGCTCGTGTTAGCGAACGGCGCCGTTATATTCATCACCCCTATCAACTGCCGTCGCACTATACCGGGTGGAATCGGGGCTCGCGGAGTGATTGTGCTGCCTGTTCTGGCTCCAGTACCGGGGGCTCCGGCCCCGGGCCCAGTTGGTAACGTCTGGAGGGTATTGCCGGTGGGTGCGCTGGCCGGTGGCGCGGTCCTGCTACCGATCAAGGGCTTCGAGCTTTGGATCAGGTGGGTGGAGGGTTCCAGGAATGTTGAGCTGGGCCTTTCAAGGCTAGCAGATGAAGTGGCCAAGTGGCTGGAGGAGGGTGGTTCAGAGCTGCCGGGGCGAATGCTCGGAGCACTACTGGATCTCTGTCCAGTTGCAGAAGCAGATCCCCCGCCTGCAGATGTGCTGGGACAGCTACTAACCGTCACCGTCGTAGTAGAGACAGGACATTTAGCACACAGCGCGCTTGCCAGGGGACAAATATCCGTACTCGAGGCTGCAGACGCAGCAGCAGGAGAAGTGGAAGATCCCAAAACAGGAGGCCTTTTCACTCCACCGGCAGGCGGCGAGGCGCGACAAGAGCTCGATACCTTAGTAGTGACTACCGTAACCGCGGCGTCACGTCCTTCTAACTCGGCCAGGTCACGAGCGGCAATCTCATGTGCGCCAATGGCGACGCTACCCAAGAACACCCAAGAGACAGCCAATAAGGCCAAGCAGCTCTTCGCATACATTTGAGGCAAAATGCGTTGATAGATAGGATGTATTCAGAAGCCGATGCCAAAAGGAACTGTCAACTTCTCTTAACCACGGCTTTGAGATCTTGCCGAAGACCGATTGGATGGCAAGAGAAGCACGTAGGTCCACGAAAGATACTTAATAAAAAGTATCCCGATGGGGAGCGGAAAAGAGTAAGAGAACAGCCGCCAACTGCTAAACAGACGCAGGTCGAATTGCTGTGTCCACCCTTGAACCTTGGGTAGTAAAGAGAATGTTGAATTTGAGCTTGTATGGCAAGCAATAACAAGCGATTTCTTGAATATTCCAAGCGAACAAGATAAAGGAAAAAAACAGATTGTACGTGCAAGACGGCGTAATATGTAGCGCACTGAAAACTCTTCGAAATGATGAGCGCTCGATGTCATCGAGATTCCATTTCGGGACTCGGAACCTTCACTACTTTGAAAAGACTTCTCAGGTTTGGATTTGACCGGCCCTATATCTCTGTGGTTCCGTGGATGCCCGTAGGATTCTGGCCCCCCTATTGGAAATCCTCGGAAGCTTGATATGGTGGAGCTAGGTCTCATCATCGTGACTATTCCCTGTGAGGAAATATTTTTCTGTCGGAGAAAATACGCGAGGGGTTTTTTGGTTTGATCCGATTTGATCTCGGTGATAACCGCCTTTGATCTGGTTGTGGTCTTGGTTTAGTAGGTATACTGTGGACTTTCTAGATAGAACCTTCGGAGTCCTCATCCGGTACTAGGAATACCTGGGCTTTGTGTAGATCAGCAAGTCTTTGCCAGCACTGTCAGATGGAGTAGATGAGAATTTAAGACATGATTGTATAACAGTATCATGGCTATGTTAAGTCAATATTCACATGTAATATGCAAAAGGCTCATTATCTATTCGGTATAGCATAGTAAAGCGACCATTAAGCGACCATTAAGTGACCATTAATTAAAGCCAAACGCTTGGCGCTCAATCTTTCGTTGTCGTCAAAATAAGAGAAGAAATTTTTGTTGTCGAAAACTTTTATATCTAGTCATCAACTCATGCTGAGATCACGAGGTGGAGGATGTGCTGGAGTCTAATAAATCGCCAGTGGCTTACGCCATCCGACTTGTATAACCTTGACAGCCGTACAGCAGATCAATCCTGCAGCATAGCAAACGGTAGTAAATGCAATAACACCCCAGTATTCTCCGTTGCAACGAGCCAGGATTTCACCAGCGATGGGCATACCAGTCAAAGTACTAATGGTAAGGTATGTCAGTTCGAAGCGTACATTACGTCACAAAAAGGATAAAGGACTCACCCAAAACTTACGATGGTGTAAGCGGTAGCATAATATCGGCCATAGTTCTCAGTCTTACAGAGCTGTCCGACACAGACAGGCGTCAAGCTGATGTTGCTACCACTGGCGAATCCGAAGAGTAATGCATAGATCACAAGTAGAGCCAGACTATCTCCAGCAGGAAGCCATAGGCATGCATTGCAGAGTAAGCAAAGAGCCACGGTAGCGATTAAAGTATTGAAACGACCCAGGAAATCCGCAAAGAACCCGGGCAGCCACCGTCCAAAGAAGGAGCCCACGTTCAAAATGGCAAGGATCTGGTATGAGAATTTGCTCGAGAATCCCTCGGCAAGTGCGTAGGACGAGATATAGCTGATAGGAATGAAAAGACCCCATTCGATAAAGAAAACACTTGCAGTAGTCAATGCAAATCGAGAATCGCTAAAGATGCGGAAGTCGGGTAGAATGTTCTCCCTGGAGAAAGGCTTTTGTGGGAGTCGTGATTTGATCAGGAGGTTTGCTACAGACAAAGCAACCAGACAGATCAAAGCAACAACACGAGTTGCCCAGCCCCATCCAATTTTAGGGAATAGAGCCTCGAGAATAAGTGGAAACACGATACCTCCAATGGAGCCACCGGTAGCCGCAATACCGGTCGCAACACCGCGCTTCTCGTAGAAGAAATGGCCAACAGCCGAGATGGCCGGAGTGAAAATGAGAGACGCCCCAACACCACCGAGGACACCGATGACCAACATGAAATGCCAGTATTTAGTGCAAAAGCCGAGGAGAATGATAAAGGCCATCTCACAAATCGAGCCTGCGAGGACAAGAGCTCGTGGGCCCCGGGCATCAAACATAGGACCAATCTGGACACCACAGAAGAACGTCAGAAAAGCGAACATACCGAAGATCCAACCAACGTCGCCGGAGCTGTAGTCTTTCAGTTGGTGGTCCTCGATATAGGCTTGGAAAGTACCAATGGTGTTGATCAGTCCTAACGATCCAAATAGGCCGAGGAAGCTGCCTAACACAACAAGCCATGCCTCTTTTCCACCCTCGGGATAAACATTCCCCTCTGCGTCTGTCGTTACCCGGCTCATTGGGTCCCTACGAACAGATCGTTGAGAGGGTGCGACTGTGGACGCTGTACGATGGAACTGATCGTTCTGGTCATGCTCAGGCTGGTCGGTTGATTCCGAATAGACCTGCTTCTCAGCATCTGCTACATGAGTCGCAGATTTCACTTCCCCATCCATAGCATTCGGCACCTCATCAGCAGCTGTGCTCACGACATCCTGGGATTGCGAAATGAGGCCGGGTTCATGGTCAACAGCGACATTAGATGTGCTGGTAGGCCCGGCCTCGGTGGACATTCTACTTGCAAAATGTGCCGGTGATGTTTCCCGATCCTTTTTTCAGGCGCTAGTGGGTAGAGTTTTGGTTTGTGACCTTCAATGTTGACCTGCGTTCGGGAATCTGAACAAGGAAGGAGCTGGGGGTCCTCAAAAGGTCGGAAGAGGGGGTGCTATTAGCAATCAAAAAGCCGGAGTCATGAAAGCCAAGAAGTCTTGAAAGTGTGTTCATGGTGCCTATGCGATGTCATTGGTTCTGAGACGTTCGGGAGGGTCTTCTAGACCCCTTTCAGAACGTTAAAAAAATTTCCTATGCAGTCGGCGATTGGTGGGCGGGTGTGTCCAGGTGGGTCGCCCACCATGTGGTCGCCGCGGAATAAGTACTTGCTTCTTTTGCTCTATTCAAGTGCTGTAGATGAGGCCCCGTAATTGTCGCCATATGTTAACATAGCATGCTGAAATGAATTTTGGCTCTCTCCAAGATTTTCTGATTCCACGTGCAGGGTACAATGCAGGTGCTGCAGGTATTCTGCAGATTACAACACATCGGAGAAAAGGTTCCGCGTAACAACTCCGCTTCCGGCCACATGTTCAGGCATTGTTGGACATGGCGTTTCAATTCATCATCGTAGGAAATTGAATCTGGTTTCCAATCGTTCGGGACCTGGCCCTTCTTATGGGTCCGGGGTTTGCTCAGGTGGGACCAAGATTCGAGTCAGAATTACATTGCGGAGGTCATAGCAGAGAACCTTGTTTTTGCAAATATATATATCTATCACCAAAGAAATATTGATTGGATTTTCCGAGGTCGCCGAGTAATCTTTGAAAGTGAACATTTGAGTTTCCTGAACATCACTAGAATCTGGGTATTCTCATACAAACCCGTAATATCTAAGAGTATGTTAGAATGTATAGCCCACTGATCAATAGACGGGTAGCTTAGCAACCTTTATTTGTTGACCGCATTCGAAGATTTGGACAGTAGACTTATTGAAAGTTGCTCATGAAGCCTAAATTTAAAGATTCTTTCATCAAATGGGCTTGTGGTTTAGTGGTATAATACTCCCTTAGCATGGGAGTGGTCCGGGGTTCGATTCCCCGCGAGTCCATCTTTTTTTTTTTTTTTTTTTTTTTTGTTTTTGTTCAGTCGGATCCGGTCAGCCATCTTTTCGAGGCCACACTCAGCCTCAAGTGTTTTTTTCCTCCTTTACAATCCGCTGCAAATGAGGGATTCACCGAGAGTGCATTGCTTCCAATAACCTTGGAATGAAGCAATCCGCTGCATCCAGCCACTTTGGGCACCAAGCCAATGGTAGATGGCGCACCTCATGAGAAAAGGAGGAAGAAGAGCGTTCTACTGATCAACCATAGATATCAGCTCAGAATTAGATACACCCAGCTGCCTTCAGCTTTCCTCTAATCGCTCATCTCAGGTTGAGACATCACATCGCCCATTGGTAAGTGATGGTGGTTGTCCTAGCCTGCCCAGGTGGGCCGTGTTCAATCCATAAGACCTCCAGGGGAAATTGACCATCACTACAAAGTACAAAACCCATTGAACCCATCTTTTATTAAAAGCAAGCTTTCTTTCAATATATGTGCAACCATGCAATCTTATCGTCACGTCCGCATCTTCCGGCCTGCGTTGATCAATCGATCAATAAGCCGCACGCGATAACAATATGCAAGCCCTTATCTCGCAATCACAGCCACAACAATTACCTCACGGCTCAAGCCGCTCGCACTGGAGATAAGACAAAGCTTAGACTCCGACCGTTAAATCATATCACTTTTTGGACCTGTTCGTGTCACCCAAGGTTCAGGTACCATCGTTACATCTGCATCTACTTGGCTCTCTGCTATCCCCCACGTTTCAGACCCGGCGGATCGTGATTGCAAGGGGCTTCGATAACACAGCACATCACCATCAGCATCCACAATTCACTATCTACAGAGACCTCGCTTACGTTGATAGTTATGCCGTCTCTGAAAAACAAGCTGGGAATTTCCTCACGCCACCGCCACTCACAACCTACCCGAGCGGGGTATGGAGCTTCTAGCACAGAAGAGCTGTTAGCTGATGTCAGTGCACGAGGGGAAAAAGATAACCCAAACCAATTGAAGAGCGCTGTACAGTAGTATTTCCTGTTCTACAGGTCTCATCGTCGGACGTATGAAAACCAAAATTGCCGGAATCCCGTCGCAGTCCCGAGAAGCCCTAATTTATGCACGCCTTCGAGTAGCCGTTGATGACGAAATCAATTCAAAATGAAAGTAAGTTGAAAAAGGCATCTGGTCATTTATTCATTCAAAGTATAGCAGAAGAGTTTTATTTGATCCAGTTTGTTGAGTAAAGATAATCGTAGAATCCAATGAACAAAGAAACGCTCATCACGGTGAAGCCGGGAGATCTGCAGGAGTGTTTTCCTCTCCCGGAGAGGCGGGGGACTTTGTGGAGACAGTATAGGCAAGCGTAAATAGTATCAGTGGACCAGGCTGCCCGTCCCGGGTAATTAGATCTCTGGGCTGCCCCCAACTATTTAACTCGGGATTCTCGCTCCCTGATCCTGATTTCCAGCAGCTTTCATACCCTTGCTAGCTCTCAGCCATGCAGATCAAACCGCTTCTGACATCGGCTCTTGTAGCCTTGTCATTAGGCGCTGATACCGTTGCCGCGTCTAAACATGGCCGCTTCGCCCAGTTGTCTCGTGCCCCTATGGAGAAGGCTAAAAGGGCTGTCCAGGCAACCATGGACCATGTGGTTCGAACAACTACCAAATTCCGCTTTCTGACCAGCAAGTCTAAGCGTGAGTATTAATGTGAAGTGGATCGTCTGTTCGTGAGGTTGACCCTTCTTAGCATACAAGGTTGATAGTTTGCCTGAAGTTAACTTTGACATTGGTGAGATGTACTCGGGCTTGGTACCAATTGAAAAAGACGACCCTTCGCGCGCACTGTTCTGGATCTTCCAACCTACTATCGGTGCACCTGTTGACGAGATCACAATCTGGCTTAATGGCGGTCCTGGCTGCAGTTCCATGGAAGGCTTTTTGCAGGAGAATGGTCGTTTTGTCTGGCCGCCCGGTACCTATGCTCCTGTCGAGAATGAGTACTCCTGGGTGAACCTGACCAACATGCTGTGGTGAGTATTCGGATTGGAAAAAAAACTAAAACCAGAGGAAAGCGTTGATATTGATTTCCATTCAGGGTTGATCAGCCAGTCGGCACTGGATTCTCCACCGGCACACCGACAGCTAAAACCGAGGAAGAAATTGCCCAAGACTTTGTCAAGTTCTTCAAGAACTGGCAAGAGATTTTTGGAATCAAGAACTTCAAGATCTACGTCACCGGCGAGAGTTATGCTGGTCGCTACGTGCCGTACATTTCAGCCGCTATCCTAGATGAGCAAAACAAAGAGCACTTCGACCTGCACGGTGCCTTGGCCTATGATCCCTGCATTGGTCAATTCGACTGGGTTCAGCAGGAAGCTCCGGCCGTGCCTCTCGTTCAAGCCAACGCAAACCTATTCGGCTTCAACGACACTTTCATGGCTGAGCTCGATAGACTACAGAAGAAGTGTGGATACGAGGAGTTCATCGACAAGTACCTGACCTTCCCCCCACCTGGACATCAACCACCCAAGTATTTCAACTACACCGCCGATGCCGAGTGCGATCTCTTCGACCTGATCTATGAAGAAGCCTTCGCTACCAATCCATGCTTTGATCTATACGAGATCCCAACCATGTGTCCCCTCCTTTGGGACGTGCTAGCATTCCCCGGTTCCCTCGGATACCTCCCCGAAGGAGCAGAGGTATACTTCGACCGTGCAGACGTCAAGAAAGCCCTACACGCCCCGAACATTACCTGGTCCGAATGCTCCGACGAATCCGTATTCGTCGGCGGCAATGGCGGCCCCGAGCAAGAAGGTGATCTCTCTGCGAACCCGATCGAGAAAGTCTTGCCCCAGGTCATCGAGGCGACAAACCGCGTGCTTATCGCCAACGGTGACTTCGACATGGTTATCATCACAAACGGAACCCTTCTTTCTATCCAGAACATGACTTGGAACGGTCACATTGGATTCCAGAAGAAGCCTGAGACCCCCGTCAACATTAAATTAACGGATCTGCAGTACGCGAGTGTCTTTGCTGAGAATGGCATGACTGGTCTTGATGGTGCTCAGGGTATTATGGGTATTCAACACCATGAGCGTGGGTTGATGTGGGTTGAGACTTATCAGTCTGGTCATATGGAGCCCCAGTACCAGCCTCGCTCGTCTTATCGTCACCTTCAGTGGCTACTTGGCCATACCGAGGAGATCTAGACATGAGTATGTTCAGGTCAAAATGTGGAATGTAAATGTGGATATAGAGAGAATTATGTGGATTAGGAATCTCTAGAATTCTCCTATATAGTAGCAAAGCTGTCAATATGAATATAATGAAACCTTACAGCATATCCGAATTTGATATCCATTCATTATTCATGGAAACTGTTTCTGGAACCCGAGAACGTAAGGCAGGAAGCCTTTGCTTCAAACTGAGCGAGTACTGAATTCACCGCATGCATCCATAATAATTCCATTTGTTGAGAATATGTCCAGTTGCTGATCATAGTGAATCATACAGATAATTATACCACCAAACAAAACAAGGCCAACCAATAAAATATGATGAACGCGTGAACATAGTAAATTGACGAAATATTTAGTTAAACTCGGTTTTCCATTCTAACAGCATTTTAGAATTGACCTTAGTGCTAGGATGAGCAGGGCCTAGAATTCGGCGCTGTTTGTTCACGCAAACTCTAAGCATATTTACTGCTTCAGCATGGCGGTTGGTATGTTTCAAGGTGATGGCCAAGTAAGACATGCTCATCAGCGTGTCAGGATGGTCCACACCGAGCTTTGTCTTCCTGACCTCCATTACCTGCGCCTGGAGCTCCTCGGCCTCCTCCCACCGGCCTTGATCTGCATACGTCGACGCTAGGTTGTTTATGCTCACCAGCGTGTTAGGATGGTCCGCGCCGAGCTTTGTCCTCATGACCTCCATCACCTGCACCTGGAGCTCCTCGGCCTCCTTCCACCGGCCTTGCCTTGCATATGTCAACGCTAGGTTGTTTATGCTCGTTAGCGTGCCAGGATGGTCCACACCGAGCTTCATTTTCCTGGTCTCCATCACCTGCACCTGGAGCTCCTCGGCCTCCTTCCACCGGCCTTGCCTTGCATACGTCAACGCTAGGTTGTTTGTGCTCATCAGCGTGTCAGGATGATCTACGCCGAGCTTTGTCTTCCTGACCTCCGTTACCTGCGCCTGGAGCTCCTCGGCCTCCTTCCACCGGCCTTGATCTGCATACGTCCACGCTAGGTTGTTTATGCTCGTTAGCGTGTCAGGATGGTCCGCGCCGAGCTTTGTCCTCATGACCTCCGTCACCTGCAACTGGAGCTCCTCGGCCTCCTTCCATCGGCCTTGATCTGCATACGTCCACGCTAGGTTGTTTATGCTCGTTAGCATGTCAGGATGGTCCACACCGAGCTTCATTTTCCTGGTCTCCATCACCTGCACCTGGAGCTCCTCGGCCTCCTTCCACCGGCTTTGCCTTGCATATATCGACGCTAGGTTGTTTATGCTCATTAGCGTGTCAAGATGGTCCGCGCCGAGATTTATCTTCCTGACCTCCACCACCTGCGCCTGGAGCTCTTCGGCCTCCTTCCACCGGCCTTGCTCTCCATATGTCAACGCTAGGTTGTTTATGCTCGTTAGCGTTTTAAAATGGTCAGCCCCGAGCTTCGTCTTCCTTATCTCCATCACCCGTATCTGGAGATCCTCGGCCTCCTTGAACTGGCCCTCGAGCCAATAAGCCTTTCCTAACTGAGTAGTGCTTGCGAGGGTCTCCTTGTCTTCTTCGCCAAAATCTTTCAATCTTTGTTTTCTCGACCTTGTCGCTAATTCTATTGACTCCGCGTAATTCCCGGCCTCTTGCATATACCATGCCGCTCTATAGAGTAGCGAAGCCCATTGCCTTAGACAGTCATTGGACTCTGGCTGCTGTGACACCGCCAATGTAACATGAGGCAACAGTGACCGACATTCCTTCCAATCTTCATAATTTCCGGTTGGAAACTCGTGATTCAAATTGTTAATGAACCTTTCTTTCCAATGCTCGAGTTGGCCACGAGTTTTTAACCATGTGCGAACAGTTAATTGAACGAGTCGATGCATTGTGAGCACTTTGTTGGACTCTCCAATTGCAATTAGTGAGTAGTCGCTTAGCATTATAACATCGTCTTCAAATCTCTGCTCTGCATTAGATCAAGAGGACATATCACTAGGGTCTTTCTTAGAACTGACCTCATCTTCATCTTCATCTTCATCTTCATCTTCATCTTCATCTCCATCTTCATCTTCATCCTCATCTTCATCACTAGAATTTTCATCACTAGAATTTTCATCACTAGAATCTTCATCACTAGAACTATCTCTAGCCATTTCTGAGTCTGAACTGTCATCGATTTCTTGCGTTTGTTGAATTCGGAGAACACTCTTTTGAATGCCCTGTCGGTCGAAAAAGCTCATAAGAGATAGAAGATCCGCTGCGGAAGGGTTTACATCTTGAATATAGTCAAAGGATATTTGCCATGTAAGCAGAATGGAGTTTTTTGCATCCCAGTCTCGAGAAAGAAGACCTGCTTCATAATCAAGCAGCCGCATGGCAGCACGATCGCTTTTCTGAAGTTTTTCCAGGTACTGTGATACCGAGTAATGTGGTCGATGCGTAATATAGCTAGCAGCCTGTATGATGGCGAGTGGCATCAATTCAAGCGCTTCAACTAGACGCTCCATAGAATCACGCCCAGCAGGTATGCCGAGCTTCTTCTGAAGTAGATCTAATGCTTCGGGTTTCTCCATTGGTTGCACTTCGATGAGATTTCTGTGACCGGCGATTTCTAACCCTACTCTTTTATTACGACTGGTGACAATAATGAAGCCATTCGAGCTTTGGAGGAGGGGTCTTAGTGGTGGCTGCGTTGAGCTGTTATCATTGCCCTGGCTGGTTATCTGATAACTCGGACCCTCTGGATTAGTCGATGAAGGCTTGCGGAGGAGCCTGTCATCATCGACATTATCAAGGATCAGAATCCACTTTCCGATTTCCTCATCTTGTAGCCAATTTCCGAAAAGTTGGAATATATCAACGTTGCGTTCCTGGTGTCCGGGAATATTGACTCGACTCGCAAGGTCACGTAGGCTTTTCTCGCATCGGGCCGCATTGCTTGCATGAATCCAGAAGACCCACGTCTCTGGTGACTGCCGTCGCACCTGGTGGGCGTACTCTATAGCAAGTTGAGTTTTCCTGCCCAGAAGTCAGCCTTAAACCAGTTGCCATATGCCGTCACGTGCTGACCACGGGTGACGGTTAACTACTGTGTAGCACTGACCCGACGCCTCCGAGACCAACGAGTACTATCTTGCACCCCGGAATCGAAGCTCTCTCCCGAATCTGGTCAAGGATCTGATCTCGACTGACAAAATCGGGGTCAGGCGGGAACGGTACAGTTGATAGTGGGGTTGGGCGGGGCTTCAGTTGTTCTGGGGGCGATTAGTCAGTCTGACCTGAGTCTATCTATTGAGAACTCACCCGTTCGAAGATTGATCACCCCATGATTGATTCCCACTTGAGTACCTGAGCTTGTATTGCCATTGCCAAAATTTATAGAAGTCATATTGGACATAAGACGCACCTGTTTTGGGTGGTTTTAGACCGAAGAAAGATGGAAGAACCCAATTATGTACAAGTACCCATCCTCAGCCTCACAATCAGGTGACTTCTGCGCTAAATATGTATATCTCATTGGCTGAACACGCTCATAGAGGTAAGGCCATGGCCTATATATGTCGTTCTAGCCGGAGTATGAAAGAATGTGGGACAAGGCTAGACTTTGGAAGAAGATTCTTCCAGCTATCCAAGCACCACACAATGTTGAACCATGCTGATCGTTTCCGTCAAACTAGCTCACATCAAGGATTCCACAAGGCTCAGAAGTATCTGTTTCCTCATGAACAAGCTGGGAAGCCGTGTTTGTCATGGTCTCCAACATTGATTCATACAATAATTTAGCAATGACAATAGTCATCGGAATCCATTGCAATGTTTGCATTGTTTGCAATGACCAAATGTTCACGCCAGGGAGCGGTTTTTACATTGGCTTCTTTGCAATTACCGAAGATGAAACAGAGAATAAATTCATTGGACACTGGCCTCCCTATTTGAGGTCAAGCTTAGCATGGAGTAGCTATCAACTTACCAATATTCGAATTCCAAAGCCGAAGCAATCTTGGTTGGGGCATGGAAGACTTGGTCTCATGGAAATAGAGAATCCCTCATACATACATGCCCTGATTAACAATATCATACCACATTAGCAGGAAGTCGTAGCAGGAAGTCGTCATACCCACGCCGGAAGAAGGATGCATCCCGAGAAAAGATCTTGACTCCGTCTTGAGTGTAGTATAGCTTAGTCTCATATGACAAGGCATCTATAATCAATTATAATCAAGAAAAAAGAAAAGATTCCATCGAGAAGTTTTCACTATGAGGCTCACGAGAATAGATAGGTGTAAACAACCTTACAAAAGAGGTGGCTAGCGAGAGAAGGAAGAAAACAGAAAAATAGTTAAAATTTCTCTTCTATACTCCTTTGATGCCTTGAGTATCTAATGGAACAACCCATTAGACTTTATTCTTCGACTCTGTACTACTCCTTCTAGAACTAGACCCCGAGAAAAAGATGATTGCAATCTACCTCAAATAAAGTACCTGCCGCAAAGCGAAGATATTCCCATTTAGCCCTCAGTAAAAGTGGAAAACACATCCCGCTGCGCAACAGCAAACTCGCTCTCAATGGTCTGTCGGATGACCTCACTTCTGACCACCGGATGACACCCATACGGCTTTGCGCAATACAAGAACCCATGCTGATACCCCGCCACTGGGTCGCTATCATTTGGCTCACCTGCATCTCCCGGCTGGAACTCGAACGCCCACAGAAGCTTTGCGATCGCTAGTAACATGTTTCGCTCAGCCAAGTGGATCCCGGGGCAAATACGTCGACTAACACCGTAACCGTAGTGATCACGGTTCTCCCATTTGGCCGGGACGTACTCTGGGGCTAGGGAGGTGTGGTTGGCGAATCTTTCGGGAATGAAGGCGGCAGGGTCATGTTCTTGTTTGGGATCCATGTGCAGACCCCAGGTGTTGATGACGACTATGGTGCCCTTGGGGAGGAACTTCCCATCTATCCAGTCGTCTAAATATGGTCAGTAACCAAATGCCCAAGTAAACAAGACAGAGACTGGCGATTTGATGGTAAAGCACGAGGACATACCTTCGCCTAGTGCATGAGGAAAGCACAAAGGTAGAATCGGACGCCAGCGATGACCTTCCTTAACGATCATGTTGATATAAGGCAATTGTGCCAGATCATTCCAAACCGGCGATCGACCATGCCCAACAATAGCATCGATCTCCGCATGAGCCTTGCGTTGGACATCCGGGTTCTGAATCAGCGCCTGCACAATTGCCAACGTCAAGCTTGAAGTAGTATCGGATCCACCTTCCATCAAAACTCCCCCAATAAATGCCAACTGATGCCGCGGAAGCTCATTACGATGTTGCGCCGAGATAACCCGATCCATGAAGGTACCGAGATCCTCACCAGATTCGCGACGTTTCTCCACCTTGAGGAGAATATCTTCGTACAATGTTTCCATCTGGACACCAATCGCGCGTGCTCGGCTCACATAGTTGCCGAAGAAACGCTCGGGTATGTTCTTTAACCAAGGGAAGATGTCGACCGGAGGCGTGGCGCCGGTTTCCATGATCTCGGACCATTCTTCCATGAGTTTGTAGAGTCGATTCATATTGTTGCCTTGGCGATCGGCGGTGCGAATCCCAAAGACTAAAAATATATATTTTAGTATAACTGACCAGAGAGCAATTAGCAGTGGCAAGGTGGACAGACCAATCGAATTTGTAATACTGTTGCTATACCGCTTTGGATGAGCCATATGGTGACCCGGATCAAGCATATAGTCCCTCACCAACTGAATTGCTTCTGCATTGACAACAGGCAAATGCATACTATCCACCATCGACTCCATCAAATGCTGATGCACCAATCGACGGAAAGTACGCCATTGCGGTCCATAGTGCATCACCAGCAGATGATCACCTTTGGTGATGAGTTCATGCGAGACATAAGAATGTGGCCGGTGACTGTAGATTGCGCTCTTGCTGTCAATGACTTCTTTCACAATTCGTCTATCGGTGACCACAGCAATGTTGCTATTGCCCACTTTGAGCATGTATAGGCCGCCATATTTGCGGGCCCATTCAGTGAGTCTGTTGATCAGCATTAAGGCCTAATGTGGGGTGTTTGAGACACATACTGAATGTGCGTGTAAGACTTCGGTATTAGGTGAGCATTGCCAATAAATGGGAGAGTTGGTGGGCCTAGCGATGTTTTGTTAGACTTCGGTGGGGGAAATGCAGGAAGAAATGAGCTCACCCAGGGGCATATTAGAGGTGCGATGTCCATAGGTTAAGGCTGCTCGAATGAAGAGGATGAGTAGGGCGGCAGCCCCAGCCAAGACCCACACAATAGCCTGCATTTGTCGTTCGTTATGTACGTGGAAACTGTTCACATCGTAGATTAAAGCTTATAAGTAAGGAAGATGGTGCAAATAAAGACAAGAATGGGAGAAAACAAAAGCAAATACACTTCGAACCCAACCCCGCCATCCCGCATGTTCATGTCCAGAAATGGAAGTGTATTACCAAGAAATGCAGGGATCTCGATGGAGCATCGGAGATCTGCATGTCTGCACCTAAACAGTGATGAGGAGAGATGACTAGCAGCCTTTTGCGGGCTTACCGAATCGGGCAGCCAAAGCCTAAATTAATGTCGACTGGAGAAAAGGAGTATAATCCCTGCTTTACTCGAAAGAGTTATGTTACAATGGTCTATATGGGACGGAAGCAATTGAGAATACGAGGATAAGACCAGTACCTATTCAGACGTAGCTTAAGTGATCTAACACATTATTCATCCCCGGTATACTTGATGAAGAGCCAAGACACTACATACGAGCCCCGAATGCATCACGGTTCACTGTCCTCTGCTTCAGACGGGGAAAGAGTTCCAACGCATTCTCCTTCAGATCATTAGTCGTAAGTCCATCAGGCAAATTTTCATCAATGAAGGTGGTGAATTGGATAATAGCCTGCGTGGGCGCATTGGGAAAGTCACTCCCAAAGAGGATATGACCAGGTTGAGCAAACTCCATCAACGCCGTCATGACAACCTCATTCGCCGAGATAGCCGTATCAAAGTAGAATTCCCGCGCCCGACGGAGAAGCTCCTCTCGGCTAACTCCGATATTCCGGTCCTCTGGCATACAGGGAAGCATGGTGGCCGCACGATGAATGAGGAAGGGCAGTGAACCCCCGGCGTGAGACAGAATGACCTTGCAACCCGGATTCTCTTGGAGTCGGCCGGTGGTAATCAGGTCCATGGCAGTACGTCCAGTCTCATGCGGATAGTCAAACATCGGCAGAGGGAGGTCATTGTTGATGAGGTCTTTGTTCTCGGGAGAAGTTGGGTGGATGAAGACCACTGCCTTGCGACTGCTGAGTTCGGCCCAGATGGACTTGAAAGCCTCGTGACCGAGATAGTTGTTTCCTTCCCCGTAGCGAGTGAAGAGTGTGACGCCGTCTGCCCTCAGAACGTCTAGTGCGTACCGAATCTCTTGGAGGGCGAGGTCGGTGTCAAAAAGCGAAGGCACCGAAGCGAAGAAGCCGTAACGGGTGGGGGCGCCATCACAAAGCGCTGCAGCGGCTTTGTTGCACTCTCGGGCAAGGTCAGCTGCGGCCGTGGGGCTCTTCAGGATGACTGGGCCAGGAGCAGTGACAGACAGGATCGTGGTGTAAACGTCCATGATATGGTTGATGTCCTGGTCGAGGTCGAGAGACCAGGAAGGAATATACCAGCCCGAGGGGTCTCCACCTGCCTCATGGAGAGCTGCTCATATCATCGTTATTACATTGAATTCCTCTTTGAAACAGAGAAAATACTTACCAGCCCGCAGGATGGGGGGATAAAAGTGGTGGTGAACATCGATCTTCATATTGTTGGAATTCATTTTGAACTTGTACGAGCAGAAAGAAGAGGGATCAAGGGAAGCACAACACGCATGAAAGACTGGGGGAGAGGGAGAAATGACCAAGGAATAAGAGTAGCTGCGAAAATGAAGCTCAAGTAGTCAGGACGGAAAGGTACTAGTCCTGAGGTGGACGTCAACAGTAATCTTCCTAAGGTTGCTCTGAATGCTTGCAGGTTTGCTCTGAATGCTTGAAGATAACGAAGTTCAGATGGCAATGCATAATACTTTATAAAATTTTGGTATCTGCTACGTAGGCACGTGCCAGGATTGAAGCTATTCGGAGTTTTGGATTATTCGCCTAGCTAAGTGTATGAAAGGTGGACTCCGATTCTCCATAAAGCCCCAGTCGATTTCTTACTCTATCTCACTCATTTATCGTAAACGCTAACCCCACTTCAGCTGCCAAGACCTCATGCAGAAGTATTCCGCACCAAGAACACCACGAGCCCGTCAGCACTAGTCAAAGCAAGCGAATCGCTCCTGCGCTTCCCGAAATTCCCTCTCGATCGTCTCTCTCTTCTCGGGGTCCCGCAATCGGATCCCGCAGCCATACTCCTTCGGGCAATGCAAAAATCCCTGACTGGTGCCTGACTCCGGATCAATGTCACTATAGCTACCCACTGGCTGCGTAAATTCAAACGCCCACAAAAGCTTGGCAACACCAATGAAAAGGTTGCGTTCCGCCAAATGGATCCCAGGGCAGATGCGCCGGCCCGCTCCGTATCCATAATGATCGCGCTTGTCCCACTCCCCCGTGGCAGTGTAGGCTGGAGCCAAGGATGGAAAGCTTTCGAATCGGGACGGTTCGAATTTCTCCGGATCAGGGTAAATGTTGGGGTCGTGGTGAATTCCCCAAACGTTTAGTACGATGGTCGCGCCTTTGGGTATGAACATGCCGTTGATATAATCGTCCTGAGCCACCGCGTGCGAGACACCCAGAGGACTAACTGGGCGCCAGCGATGCGCTTCTTTGATGATGCAGTTGATGTACGGCATATTCGCGAAATCTGACCAAGCAGGCGATCGTTCCGATCCAACCACGCGATCAATCTCCGCGTGGGCCCTAGTTCAATTTTAGGTTAGTCAACTTAACCAAGACGACAAAATGGGGTATCTTGGAAATCGCAAATACCTTGCTTGAACGGCAGGAAACTTTGTCATGGCTTGGATAATAGTCAGGATCAAAGATGAAGAGGTATCAGATCCGCCTTCCATCAAGACACCACCCAAGAAGCGCAGCTGGCTCTCCGAGAGAGGCGTCTTCTCCATGCGATCCAACACCCGATCCATGAACGAATCCCGATTAATGCCTCGGGCACGACGATCCCTGACCTGGTCCACAACCGCCAAATACAGCGACTGCATCAAGTTTTCCACCTCGATGGCTCGATTCCTCCAATTACCTGTCATCCACTGCGGAAGCTTTCGCAACAACCAAAAGTCATCGACTGGAGGGGTGGCCCCAAGTTCCTGCACTAACGACCATTTCTCCATCAGAAAGAAAAGTTTCTCCATATAATCATCATGCACAGTTTTCGAACGAATGCCGAAAACCAACGAGTTAGTAATGCTGTTACTGTACCGTTTGGGGTGGAGCATGTGGTCTTCCGGCTTGGTGAGAAAGTCATAAAGCATCTGGTTAGCTTCGGCTTCCTGAACTTTCCAGTGTTCTTTTTCACAGTTGGGCTCCATGAAATACTGATGAATTATTTTGCGCAGCATCCGCCAGGTGTCTCCATACTGCATCACTAACAAATGATCTGAGTGAGTGATGAGATGGGAAACTAGGGATTTAGGCCGGTGGGAGTAGAGGTTGCTTCTCTTGTCAAGGAGCTCCTTGAGAACCTTTCGGTCACTGATGACGATGGTAGTATTCTTGAAACGTTTAAGTGCGAAAATGCCACCGTATTCCTCTGCCCACTTCATGAATCTGTTTTGTAAGTCACTAGCACAGAATGTGGAGGGAGAAACGAGCATACTGAAAATGTGCATCCGTCTTAGGAATTTGCAACTCATTTCCAAAAAGAGGGACCGTAGGTGGGCCTGGATTGTTAGCATTTGTGCATATCTTGAAAATAGTTTGAAATGGAACGTGTTTGTTTACCAGGCGGCAGTAAAGCGGATTTACGGCCAGATTGCAAAAAAACACGGAGTAGCGACGAGATACATCCAATGGCTGCAATTAGAGCAGCAAAACAGAGGAAAGGGGACTGTGTAAAGTCCATGTTGACTGCGAGTCTGATCTGTGGCAGCCTTCACAAAAAAGGGAGCTGTTGAATATAAGAAATATAAGAAGGATGCTATTCCAAGCCACCCTGAGATTCACTTAGTAATATCAATCCAGAAGGAGATTCGGAGTGTATCATCTTGACTTGAATCAAACTTAGATATACAGAGTTCGACCAAATGGGGCAATGGCCAGAGACCCTGAAGCTGTACTGGAGTACGAAAGGAGATGCCAACAATACTGAAATAGTCTGTTCTAGCTCTCGAGCTTTAATTGGCATGTGGCATAGATGAGAGCGGTTAAAAATGATTATGAGGTCTTCCACTAGGAGTAAGTATTATCTATACCCAATATTGAGCCCTTATCTCAAAGATAGCGGACTTGACTAGAGCAAGAAGAATGATTGAACTACGGTATACCAATTAAAACATTTTGAATTTATATCTTCAAATTTCTAGTTAAGAGAGACAATAGATGACGCCTGCAAAGAAAGAAAGATGAGAAAAGAGAAGGGAAGATGGAAGAAAATGGCAAACAAAAATAACGAGAACACGTCTAGATGCCATCACAGAGGTGACACAGTTAGGTCTGGGTTAGATTAGTATGAGGTATGAAGCTGGAACAGTGCTTAGTACATGAAATCAGGCTAGAGGAAGAAAAGAAGAAAAGAAGAAAAGAAGAAAAGAAGAAAAGAAGAAAAGAAAACCCCCACTATTCTCCCTACGTACACTAGATTCTCCTATCAAAACTTGTTGTTCGACTTAATGGTTACTGCATAAACACTTGAAACAGGCTAGTCAGGAACCAAGATTCAGAACCTCAAAAAATTGAATGGAAGCGAGAAAAACATTCATTGGCACAAAGTCTACTGCAGTAATCATATAAAGTTCAAAACGAATAGAGAAGACGTAGAGAACACAGATACCATCTCTTAATGAATTCCAAGTGGAACGCGTTTCTTGAGCATGGCTCCAATCTCCCAGTCAGCACCAGTCGCCTCCCCAGTGACCCCATTAGAGCCGTTGGTACCGTAAGCACCGTTGGTGTACCCATTAGTATGACCGTTGGTGTGACCGTCGGTAAAACCGTTGGTGTGACCATTAGGGTGACCATTGGTGCCTTGGCCATTGATGCCCTGAGCATGGCCATTGGTGCCATTTAAGTGACCATTGATACCATTGGTGCCATTTTGCACATTCTCCACATAAACACCAGCATTATACTTTGGCGTCGGCAACTCCAGCGGCTTAGGCGACATATCCTGGACCCACGGTTCAAACTCGGCATTCTCCGGAGTAGAAGAGGCCTCCAAGGCGACCTGCTTGGGCCAAGTCTTCTCCGCTGCGAATGCGTCGTGCACTAGATGACGCTGGAAGGCTGAGCCCTTCATCTTGGCGACGGCAAAGTCCCAATCGGTCGTGTACTCTTTGAAGAAGGGCTTGTAACCGAGAAAGCCGCCTATCCAGCGACCGACGACAACGCAGGTCCAGTAGCCGACTTGACGGCGGAAAGGAACCCAGGCAGGGGCAGGAGTGTATGCATCTCCGCCGTCTTGGATCTATTACGTGATGTCAGTTTGGAAGTTAAAAACGGGTGCATGAAAGGAGACTCACAGCAAGGAATTGAATCCAATCCAGCCCGCCATCATGCAATAAAGCATCGTGCCAGTATCCGTACCAATTCTCAAAGAAGATACGGTCCAGCTGATAATCCATTCCAGAGTCTGAGGCACTCAGGTAGACAGTCATGCTCTCCTCAGAATCAGGGTGAATGAAGAAATTGTGGATACTGCCAGCTTTAACGGACACTTCGCCGTCTTCAGCTGTGACTCTTTTCACCTCTCCATCGACATTGATGCCCATGACCCCAGACTCCACGCGGAAGTACTCGGTTTGGAACTGATGGAAGTGGGGCGGTGGACCTTTGGGTCGGTCAGGGCCGTTAATCAGTTGGCGCAAATTCTCCGGGATGGCGCCTTCCACGTTGTGCCGGTAGGTTTGGCGAAAAAGAAAACATCTTCCTGGTGGGGGCTCGAGGAATTCAGTGGTCAGAAGACCTCCGAACCTGTTTTAGTTAGAACTGAGCGCCAAGGAATATGAATGAATTCGGTTAATACGTACTTGACGATCTTAGTTTGACCGGCGGAGTTGTGGTAGGGGACGAACGGCATCCTTGCTTTCTGTATGTTAAGATAGCTATGAGCAGAACAACCTTAAAATGCTTCTGAGGCAGGATTCTGGAAACTTATTTATTAGACGAGACTTCGATAACTTCAAAGTTTCTTCTGGAAATTGTCTTGTGTCTTTTGGTCAATCTGTAGGGATCGGAGAATCTCCTTTGGGACATTGCACAACTCCGCTTAGGGCTTACTTGCATGCACGCCATGCGGCTTAGCCGCATTTCCGGTCTGTGCAGGCAGTTTAGGTAAGATTAACGTTCGAAGTGTCTCTCTGGTCTATTCTACTTTTCCGAATTCGGCTTTCCCCAATTCGTCGTCGCAGACTTTCTATCTCCATCATCTCCATCGAGCTTGACTCATCGATGGAGATAGTCCAGGGGGTCTGTCTCGATGGAGTTTGAAGTTGTTTGAGGTAAGATGAATTAGATGAAGCGATTCACAAGTCCAGAACCTCCAAGGCTGTCGTGAGGCATATATAATTCAGTCTTCATCCCCTCTGTCCCTGAGAGAGCAACGCAAAGGAGTCAAAGCAGACATTAGCATCGAATTCTCACCAACTCTATTCCAACTTCAGGTCTTAGGTTTTGCATCGTCAATTCATCGAAATGCCTCACTTCCCATCTAACTCTTCCCACTCCGCGTCCACCGGGACCCCAGAGGCTGAGTACTCTGGCATGAGCACTCCCGTCACCGAGTTCAGTCAATTTGTACGCCTTCCCATCCATATTTGAAGAAAGAATGAGTCAATCAACAACACTAACACTACTTAGAACTTCACCAAGAAGGTTGCTGTGGTCGGAATGGCCTGCCGCGTCGCTGGCGGTAACAATAACCCCGAAGAACTCTGGCAATCTCTCCTGGAGAAGCAGGATGCCTCCGGAGAGATCCCCAAAATGCGCTGGGAGCCATACCTGCGCCGTGATCCTCGCAACGCCAAGATCCTCAAGGAGACCACCTCGCGTGGATACTTCCTCGACCACCTCGAGGACTTTGACGCCCAGTTTTTCGGCATCTCACCTAAGGAGGCTGAGCAGATGGACCCTCAGCAGCGTCTGTCTCTTGAAGTCACCTGGGAGGCATTGGAGAACTCTGGTATCGCAGCCAAATCACTCTCGGGTAGTGATACTGCTGTCTTCTGGGGAGTGAACTCCGATGATTACTCCAAGTTGGTCTTGGAGGATCTGCCTAACGTTGAGGCCTGGATGGGTATTGGTACGGCCTACTGTGGTGTTCCCAACCGCATCTCGTACCATCTCAATCTGATGGGTCCTAGCACTGCTGTTGATGCCGCTTGTGCATCCTCTCTGGTTGCTGTCCACCATGGTGTTCAGTCTATCGTGCTCGGTGAATCCAAGGTTGCCATCGTCGGTGGAGTAAATGCCCTCTGCGGACCAGGCCTGACTCGAGTGCTTGATAAGGCTGGTGCGGTCTCACCGGAAGGTCGATGCTGCTCGTTCGACAATGATGTCAAGGGATATGGTCGTGGTGAAGGTGCCGCCGCCATTGTGCTCAAGGATTTGTCGACTGCTATCCAGGATGGTGATCATATTATGGCAGTGATCAAAGGAACTGCCGTGGGACAAGATGGTAAGACCAACGGTATCATGGCTCCCAACGCCAAAGCTCAGCAGCTGGTCGCACGCAACGCTCTCAAGGTCGCCAACATTGATCCTCTCACCGTTGGATATGTTGAGGCCCATGCTACCTCGACCCCTCTGGGTGATCCTACCGAAGTTTCGGCTATGGCGGCTGTTTATGGCGCTGATCGCGAGTCCAATGCCCCGTGCTTCATCGGATCTATCAAGCCTAATATCGGCCATTTGGAAGCCGGTGCCGGCGCCATGGGCTTTATCAAGGCTGTGATGGCTGTTGAAAAGGGCGTTCTTGCTCCCCAGGCGAATCTTACGACGCTGACCAAGAAGATTGACTGGAAGCGCGCCGGCCTCAAAGTCGTCCAGGAAGAGACAAACTGGCCCTCCACGAACGAGCTCCGCCGTGCTGCTATCTGCTCCTACGGGTACGGAGGATCGGTTTCACACGCTATTATCGAGCAATTCATTATCCCAGAGAGCCCTCATCTGGAAACAGTTGCCTCCTCATCAAGCCCTACTTTGCTGCTGCTTTCCGGTCCTCAGGAGAAGCGTCTCTCCATTCAGGCTCTCGCTCTGGAAGAGTGGCTTCAGTCAGAGGGCTCTCAGCAAGACTTGAAGCGCGTGGCCTCGACCCTGGCAGTTCGACGCGATCACCATGACTACCGTGTCGGTCTCGTCGTCGACAGCCAAGAAGATGCTATCAAAGCTCTTACACAGCTGGCCGAGGGTGCTCAGCACGCCAATGCCTGGACCTCACAGAACCGCGTCTTTGGGTCTGATGTCAACAAGGATGTTGTCTGGGTATTTTCTGGGCATGGAGCCCAATGGGCCGGTATGGGTCAGGAGCTACTGCAGAACCCCGTATTTCTCGAGGCCATTGAGCCTTTGGATGCTATTATCCAAGCGGAGGTCAAGCTCTCCCCCATCGCACTCCTACGAAGCGGCGAGTTCGAGGCCTCCGATCACGTCCAGATCCTGACATACATCATGCAAATCGGTATCGCTGCCGTTCTAAACAGCCACGGCGTCTACCCTCAGGCTATAATCGGTCACTCTGTCGGTGAGATTGCTGCTACTGTAGTAGCTGGAGCTCTTACTCCCGAGGAGGGTGCGGTTCTCATTGCCCGCCGTTCGGTTCTGTATCGGCAAGTTATGGGCCAGGGCGGAATGATTCTTGTTAGCAAGCCCTATGCAGAGATGGCTGAAGAGCTTGCCAATGACAAGGATCTCGTCGTTGCTATTGACTCCTCCCCTTCGTCCTGTGTCGTGGCTGGACCGACCTCAGCTGTCGCTCGAAAGGCTGCCGAGCTGAAAGAGCGCTCCATCCAGACCTTCACCGTCCGCACTGACATTGCCTTCCACAGCCCCGAGCTAAATCCGCTGGTGGCTCCCTTATTGAAAGCTCTCGAGGGTAGTCTCGAGCCCAAGAAGGCGACCAACGCGAAGCTCTATTCTACCTCTCTCCGTGATCCTCGTGGAAAGGACCTTCGAGACGCTACCTACTGGGTAAACAACATGGTCAACCCCGTCCACCTCACGACCGCCGTACAGGCCGCATTGTCAGATTCTTACCGCATCTTCTTGGAGGTATCTTCGCACCCGCTAGTCTCTCACTCAATCAACGAGACCATCATGGCAGATGGTATTGAGGACTTCAGTATGATCTCAACTCTGGTACGCAAGAAGCCTTGTGAGAAAAACATCCTCCATGCTATCTCTCAGCTGCATAGCCGTGGTGCCACGGTGGACTTCAAGTCAACTTTCTCTGGCCCCTGGGCCGTGGGAGTCCCCAACACCCGCTGGCTGCACAAGCCAACCTGGCGTCAGGTTGAGGCTCGTGGCGCTGGATCCGCACAACAAACTCACGATGTCGGAAAACACACTCTTCTTGGTCAGCGCATTGCCATTGCAGGAACTGATACCGTGGTTTACACTACCCGCCTTGACAATGACAGCAAGCCCTTCCCCGGTAGCCACCCTCTTCACGGAACCGAGATTATCCCTGCAGCTGGCTTGGTCAACACCTTTGTTAAGGGCACGGGGGCCAACGTCTTGAACAATGTTGTCCTGTACGTTCCTGTCGCCATTAACGCCCCTCGATCAGTGCAGATCGTTGCCCAGCGCGAGGAAGTGAAGATAATGTCTCGGCTGATCTCAGAGAGCCCGAGTGACTCAGATGACTCCTCTTGGGTCACTCACACTGTCGCTCGATGGGAGTCCACGGCCACAACCCCAGATTGCCGCATCAATATTCAGGCCACCAAAGCCCGTATTGGAACGCGTCTGCGAGATGACTTCTCCATCGACTACCTTGACAAGGTCGGAGTATCAGCCATGGGATTCCCTTGGGCCATCACGGAGCACTACGGCACCACAAAAGAGATGCTAGCACGCGTCGATGTTGCTCCAGATGTGGCTACAGGCACTGAGCTGCCGTGGGATGCTTCCTCCTGGGCCCCAATCTTGGACGCAGCCACATCAGTTGGCTCGACCATTTTCTTCGACCAGCCGCGTCTGCGCATGCCAGCCCAGATCGAACGAGTGGACATCTTCACCAAGGCCAACCCGCCCAAGATCGGATGGTTGTATGTTCAGGAAGCCTCCGACTCTGCCCTCGCATCCCATGTGAGCGTTTGTGACGAGGAGGGTAACGTGGTAGCAAAGTTCACCTCGATGTGCTTTGCCGAGATCGAAGGTACTCCTGGAGTCAGCGGTAGCATGGAGAGCCTCGTCCACCAGATGGCCTGGCCTCCAGCCGTCCCAGCAGAGGAGCCTCTGCCAATTGATCACATTGTGCTGATTTCCGAGGATGAAGAGCTCGGCGAGAAGTATGCGGCAACAATCCCAAAATTCACACAAGTTATCCGCTTCTCCAAGGCCAGTTACCTTGCCGCTCAATGGGATTGTCTGGCTCTCGACCAGAAGCAAACAGCCATTGCTTACCTTCCTGGTCAGGTCGAATCTCTGCAGGATGTTCCGAAGGCAACAGAGGACTTCACATGGCAGCTTCTTGAGATCACCAAGTTCGTTATAAACAACGCCTTGCCTATTAAAGTCTTTGCCATCACGTCCAGCATCGCCGATGGAGCAAGTCCAACAGCCCTGGCACAAGCACCACTTGTGGGTCTCAGTCGAGTCATTGCAAGTGAGCATGGCGATCAATTCGGCGGCCTCATCGACACCGAAGCCCCGATCTTCCCTCTGTCGACAATGCGCTATATCCAAGGTGCCGATATCATTCGCATTAGCGACGGCATGCCCCGCACAATGCGCTTCCGTCCTATGCCCCGTCACCTCCTCCTCCCAGCAGACAAGAAATCCACTTCTCCAGCCCTCCTGCCCCGCCCCGATGGCACATACCTCATCACCGGTGGACTGGGAGCTCTAGGCCTTGAAATGGCAGACTTCCTAGTGAGCAAAGGCGCTCAGCGCGTGATCCTCATCTCCCGCCGTGCACTCCCTCCACGCCGGACCTGGTCCACCATTAATTCAGACAGCCCCCTCGCCCCAGCCATTGCCAAGATCCAATCCCTCGAGGCTCGCGGCGCGTCCATCCACGTCCTCGCCTTGGACATCAGCGTTCCAACCGCAGAAAAGCGTCTTACAGAAGCACTCGACCAGCTCGCACTCCCACCAGTCCGCGGTATCGTCCACGCAGCAGGTGTCCTCGACAACGAACTGGTAACCCAAACAACCCAAGGGGCTTTCTCACGCGTCCTAGCACCAAAGGTTACAGGTGGACTTGTCTTGAACGAAGTGTTCCCAGCAGGAACAACCGACTTCTTCGTGCTATTCTCATCATGCGGCCAGCTAGTCGGTTTCACAGGCCAAAGCTCCTACGGCGCTGGCAACGCTTTCCTCGATACCCTAGCCACACACAGACGCCAGAACGGTGACCGCCACGCCGTCGCAATCCAGTGGACTTCGTGGCGTGGACTTGGTATGGGCGCCAGTACTGACTTTATCAATGCCGAGCTGGAGAGTAAGGGTATTACCGATGTCTCGGCTGACGAGGCCTTCGGTGCATGGATGCATCTCGCCAAATATGATATAGACCATGCAGTCGTGCTTCGCAGTCTTGTCTTTGATGCTGATGAGCCACTGCCGAGTCCCGTGCTGGCTGACATCGCTCCGCGCCGTGTACCCACCCAGTCCTCGGCTGAGGGTAACGGTTCGGAAATTGCCTCCGGCAGCGAGAAGATGCCCCCTGCTGGCCCGGCTCGAAAGGCATACCTTCATGAAGCGATTCGCTCTTGTGTTGCTGTTGTGCTTCACCTGGCTGCTGATGAGGTTGATTCTAAGGCTGCTTTGGCTGACCTTGGTGTTGACTCTGTTATGACTGTTACTTTGCGGAGACAGTTGCAGCAGTCGCTTAAGGTTAAGGTGCCACCTACTTTGACTTGGAGCCATCCGACTGTTAGCCACTTGGTGACTTGGTTCTCCGAGAAATTGGAATAGGAGGTGGTTATCGTGAATGAGGCTATCACGCCCTCCACGATCTTCCCTACGCCTTCCTTTATTACGCAGAATGATCAGGTTGATAAGATTGCGTTTGCCTTAATATTTGCTTCTTTGGGGATAGTTTTGTTTTTGCTTATATTTGTGCCTGTGTCCCTGATTATATCCGAGTTCTTTGTTGTTGTATTCTTGTGTTCTTGTTTACGCCCGAGTGATTGGGGCCATCTATACCTGTCGACCAATTTGGCTGAACTTGTTCTTTTGTCACCAGATAGATGCGTAATAGATTGAAAACCTCATTTTGATTGAATATTCGAATTCCAACTAGTAAAACTCTTAAATTGACCTTTAGACGGAGTTGTAAAGTTTCAAACTACATAAGTTTAATCAAAAACTGAAATGCGAGAAAACAATATCGACACTGACCACCAACCAAACAAAACTCGTGGACCATTACAGGTTGAGGCAAACAAACATGTAAGGGTCCTTATGCTAATATCATGAACGACATTGTATCATCAAAGCCTTCAAACACGAATTCAGAATACAGGGAACCACGTCACAATAGGCGCTGAAAGATAAACTTTGATATGAAAAGAAAGATATCGTTATTGAGATCCATATTGCTCCCAGGAGTCTAATGGCATGCCATTTGACATCCATTGGGCACCGTTGCCCATCGATAGGTCCATGTTAATATTGAAAGATGAGTCTATTAGCTCCAACGGTGGGGTGATATGGGTAGGATTGAAAAAATCATTTACCATGATCATGTCCTTATTAGGGGTGAGCAAACCAGAAAATGGATCAGTCTGCTGTGGAGCAGAACCAGCTAGCCCCTGTGCGATAATGGGCAGGTTAGTGCTGATACCAGTAGAAGATGGAATTGATGATGGAGGTGGCATCTCTGTATCTGATGCACTCTGGCTTGGAGGAGTGAGCTGGGACCACCCCCGCGGGGTTGAACTGGATCGGAACTGCTCCCAGGCAAGCTGGATAGTGTTTGTGACCGAAGTTGTCAAAGACTGGGCAAGTGTGTCCAGATTTCGAAAAGCCGTTGGCATGACTTTCTTCGCACCTGGTGTAGGGGGACAGACTCGGTTTGCTAGTATAAATGATAGCATGCAGATGGCGGCATCCCATTGGTACTGGAAGGCTGGTGCCCAGCCACGCAGTAGATCTGTCTCTGACAGAGCTTGGCTTAGGATATTTGTTACCATGACTGCGTGATTGAGAGAAGTAATGCCGTGGCCATCGGTGAGTGGCGTGAGGGACGCGCCGCGAGGAGGAAAGCGAAGAAAAGGGCGGAAATTAGTGATTTGCATATGATGGTAGATGAGTTCCAACAGAAGTCGCTGACGCTGCAGCCAGAGTGGGCTGGGAGCGTTCAGATTCAGTGGTGTGCGGTCTGTTGAGAATGATTCACCGGACCCTTTACGTTCAATTTTGAGAGACCGAGGCACAGTCTGTACCCAGTCGTACATTGGACGGGCCATGCTGTTCATAGATCTTGCGATCAGCTCCAAGGTTAGTGGGTCCTCATGAATATCTTGGATATCCTTTGTCTGCAACACCTCAGCACAGTGCGCACCAAATGCAGCGTGTGCGGCGCGAGCTGCAGCCGTCAAACGGATATATTCAACATGGAATGTCAGCCAGCTGACATCTTCTTCGGGCGGTGACACTAAAACTGTGGCCGATGGTTGGACCGCGTCTCCGGTGTCTGTGGGCATTGCACAGCCAACCTCATTGGGGTTGATCAACGGCGGGCGGCCGAGAGCCATCGAAATTTGGCTGTCCAGCTGGTATAAAGTCCACCAAATCCGAGAATGCAACTCTTGCGTTCCCTGTGGCACAGAACCTACAGGCCGAATATGCAGGCGCAGCATCTGAGCCATTCTGATAGCCATCCCAAGTAGCGCATGGGCGGTGTCCAGATGTGCGATGTTGTACATGTAGATTATGCAGTAGATATGGCTCTGCAGTGAAATGACTGAAGGATACTCCAATGTCTCCATCAGCGCTCGCTGACTCCGGCGGTAGAACTTGTGCGCGGCAAGAGTGAAGTGACTAGCCTGCGAATCAGTCTCGCCGGTCTCCATATCATCGTCGTCAACCATAAAGCTGCTGCCATAATGCATGCAGACGGCCAACAAGCTGTCCACGAGGGCAGATGGCCGGCGCGGCGCTTGGCCGTTGGTTGCAGTCCAAAGAGAATCATAATACTCTCGGAATTCTTGCTCTACCACAATTGGATACATGAAGTGATACGCCTGCCACAGGAGAACCAAGAAATGCTCTTCTTGCTCCCGAGACAGGTCCTCGACCTCTTCCAGCCCGAGACGAAGACTCGGTCGCTCTATATCACCCGACAGTTGTTCCTGCGAAACTGTGGAAGAGTGACGATTTATCTGCGAGATGCGGACCGGAAGGGGAGATTTAAGGTGTAGCTGGTTAGATGATTCCGACATGTACCGGTTGAGGCGTATCACCAGATACGGCGAGGATTGAGGTCCATAGTGGATGACGCGACCGGTCCGAGACTCTGGATTGTGGTAGCCATCCCATGTCTTGCGATGTGACTCGGGGAGTTCGGCAGGGGTGGCGGTACCAGAGGAGTTGGAGATAAGGGGTTTGGGAGATTGCGCGGAGGGAGATTTGCCGTCTGTCGTGTGCCTTCTCGATTCGTCCGTTACTTGATCCAATTGTTCCTGGACGTCCTTGAGCCGATTTCGCAATCGTTGAATTTCCCTGACCCAAACATTGTTAGTTTTCTCCCGCTGATACTGATACGGGGGAAAAGAGACAAAAGCGGCTGCGGCACAGGTGCAGCCGTGGAAAGGTGTTCGTCATACCGATTCGCGGCCGGAAGTGAATGAGCTTCAAATTGTTTGGTATTGCTGCAGTGTCTGCCATGATTCCGGCAATTTTGACATGGCTGTTTATCGTCACACTTGATGCGATTCAGCCGACACCAGTCGCAGGCTCGCCCGACCTGACTACGCTTGGCACGGGGTGTGGCAGCGGGCTGCTCCGAGGGGCGATCAGTGGAGTTGAGATTGGCGGAAAAGGTGGAGAACATGACCAAGACCGTGCGAGTGTCACCGAAGAAAGAAATGTCCAGGCAGAGACTCTTTTCCCACCAAAAAGAGTGCAGATGAGTCGAGCACGAGAGAGGGGGAAAGAGGAAAAAGAAGACGAGGCTGAAGAACAGAACAAAGAGAACAATAACGTGATATGAACGTGACAAAGCCGATTTGTGTTTCCTATTTAAATCTTAGGTTGTTTTCGCTTATTTCTTTTAATAATTAAATTCTTCTCTTCATATATCGGGATCTATTGGGATTCCTTGGCAGGGTTTGATACAGAACGATCGGTGAAGCCAAGCGATGGCCTGCATGAGCAATTAAATTGGTGGTTCTTATGTGCCACGTTTCTGGCTTTAGATTGCCCAACACGAAGGATTGTCAGAGATGCTGCCGATCTTCAACGTTCTGCGTGATCACAGCAATATTTGCGACCGGGGAAGCAATCCACGATCCGCGCTCCCGTTACACGTGAATGGAGCGATTGTCGCCCCGGCGTCCGAAGTCAAGATTCTCGGCGTGATACTCGATCAGGTGTTACGATCCAAGTCACACATCGGCAAGGCTGCGAACAAAGGAATGAAAGCCGTCCTGGCGCTGAGACGGCTGCGCGATCCAAGATCTGCAAGCAGCAAGGACGATGCTTCTTCTCAATGCTCTTTTTCATGTGATGCTCCAATTGAGTTGAGACTTGATCCATTTGAGCCGTTTGAGACATGGAGTCCCCACAAACACATGTTCATACACAAGACTTTTGAATTGTGCACGATGTATGTCAGACCAAAGCCGCCCGTAGTGGAGCAGAACGACCCGGAAGGGTAATCGCATCCCATTCCCGAAAGCACTCCGTTGAAGGCGTAGATCCCTGCTGAAGGATCTCACTCGCAGAGAAGATAAGCCCTCATTTTCCAGTCAATCCGCATGTCGATGTCCAAGTAGGTGTGTCCAGATTAAGCAAGGCCGCCCAGTTATGAGTAAAACCAGGCCACCTGGACCCGGATCCAGATTGTCCTGCAGAGCAAGGGTTCATGACCTGAGATCTGGGGCAGTATATAATGAATTGATCCTTGTTGAGCGCATGGCCAGCTGGTCGCGTTGAGCTTGATTGTCGGGAGATGCGAGACCTCGGCTGCCCGACAAACGCCACAGTCTGCATCGCTATCAGGGTCGACTATATTGGACAAGACCGTCCGTCTTGTGCAACTGGGGCCGGCAGTGCGTTACATTGCATATGCGAGCGAATCAACGGTCTGCCTAGTCTTAGCGACACTGCGTTAGTTAGTGGAGCCTAGTTGCTAGCGTAGACTTTCAGCCTCACAAGGGTTTGATGTCTCAAAATCATACCTTTGAACTTTGTCAACTTTGAAGGAAAATTTCTCTACTTCAATACCATACCATTATGACGTGGAAGTTGTGGACTTGGAACGATTATCGTCAGTGGAATGTCTATTAATTTTCTTTGGCGGGAACTGCAGGCCCGCGGGTAGATCTGTAGATCTTTGAATTACACACAACGCCAATGTGACATAAAAATAAACCCAATATGACAGACAAATATAAATGAATCCAATTTGAGTTCGAAAAGAGAAAGAAAAAAGAAAAAGAGAAAAGAAAAAGAAGAAAAAAGAAGAAGCTGACCTGGGAGTTTCCAAAAACAACCCCAGGAAAACCAACCGAAACCCCGGAGCGAGTCTCACCCCATCCCGTTTCAGCGACGGCGTACCCGAGTCAAGTATGTAATGACCAGTACCATTGTGAAATTGAACGCAATAAATCCAATAAAGACACCGACATTCCGACCGCGGTTGCTGTAGCTATAGTTGTATTGCGTGTACTAAAGATAAGTTGAAGTCAGCGGATAATGTTACTAGAAAAAAAAGTCCAAGATACTCACGTAGGCTTGACCGTTCTTGTATGGACAGTACTCGCAGTTGGTAGTACTGTTGGGGTTGACCAGGAACCCTGTAGCATTCTGAAGGAAGGATGCCGCATACTGGTAACAGGTCGTGGCACTGGGTGACTGGAAAACGGACACCTCCGTATCTGCACAATGGAGGGGCAGATCATGCAGAACATCCACCACAACGCCTTCGTTCATGTAAAAGAGGGGTGAAACTTTGTAATACCAACTCCAACCTGCTGGCGTCACCGGCTCCGGAGATAAGGTGCCGGCGAATGTATTGCAAAACATGAAAAAGAAGCCATTGGCCGAAAGAGCGGCTTCGACAGTAGGCATCAACGAGGCGCACAGCTGAGCCAAACTAGTGGCGAACACGGAGAAAAGCTGATACATCAAGAAACTGTATCCTGCATGATTGGAGTCTCGGAAGTAACCCACGGGGAAGTACCACAGTAGCCAATATACAAGTGAGGTGACGAAAGCATACGGAAGCTCGACAAGAATAGCCGAGAAACTAAATGCCATCCAGTGGTAGGTTTGACTTTCTCGCTCCCGGTGCTCGAAGATGTTTCGCAATGTCACAAACCGTGGTTGCACCTGCAGGCCTAGTGGCGGGCCGACAATCAGGGACATGAATGATGAGAACACACGATTGTATGCACCTCGCTGCGTCAAAGGCGAGTTGAGATACGTCATTCCATTGAGCAATGCGTTAGCGGCGTTCAGCCATAGCTTGGCACGAGCATATTCTGGCGCCCGCCAGTAATAAAGCCACGTACGTTTGAGCAATACGCGCAGTTGGTAATGGAATGGGGCAGCGTAAAGCGACCTCGAAGAGTGTACCTCACCAGCGACCAAGCTATCAGTATCAGAAGATGCATGCATATCTGGGCCGCCTAATTTGTCGGCACGGCTCTGTTTCCAGATTTCTACCCAGTCTGTCTGGACGTCTTGACGGCTGCCAGCGCCAATTACCTCCAGAAGGTATTCCGCAGGATTCTCTCCCTCGCGATATGGGCGAGCATGTGGGGCAAAATGAGCGACAGCCTGGCAACAATCCACTCCCAATGGGCCGTCATACACTACTTTTCCACCTCGGGTTAATAGATAGAGTTCGTCGAAAGTCGAAATCAGGTCAGCAGCAGGCTGGTGAATTGTGCAGATGATTGCTTGTCCAGAGTCTGCGAGACGTCGTAGCAGTCGAACAATGGAGTAAGCTGATTGTCCATCGAGGCCAGAAGTAGGTTCGTCCAAGAAGAGAATGTCCGGCTTCGGAGCCATCTCTACACCAATGCTGACCTTCTTGCGCTGTTCCAGGTTGAGCCCAGCTCCAGGGGTCCCGATCAAGGCATCTGCGATCGATTCCATGTCCAGCGAACGGATCACTTCTTCAACATAGGCATCCTTCTCTTCAAGTGAGACATCCTGGGATCGGCGTAATCGAGCGGTCATCTGCAATGCCTCTCGTACACTTTGAGTAGGAAGATGAATATCTTGCTGTTGTACATACCCCATGTGTCGGTTGAAGGACTTGGGTAAAAGTTGTCCATTAAGCTCCAGTTTACCTGTCAACGTTCCCTTTGATCGACCTGCTAGGGCATTCAGCAAAGTAGTCTTACCAGCGCCAGACACACCCATTAGCGCTTTCATCTGACCGCTGTAGACGGAACCGTGCAAATTAGACAAAAGGCGCTTCTCGCCATCTTTGGTCTTGACGTCGAAGTTGAGCTCTTTCCAGGTCAGGCTGCGGGACTGGTATTCGATGGTGACACTTGGACCGCGGACAGCATCTTCACTCTGCATCGGAGGAGCATCGAGATCCACAGATCCGCTCTCTTGATCGGACGACTTTGAACCTGGGAGTGCAGAATGTTTGTTTGGGTTCAAGCCACGGTAGAAGGTGGTTGCAAGGCGACCTGCTGGTTGCTTCAAGCGTTCCATGCCAATACTGTGCATTATCGTCAGCAAATCTGATCATATAAGATGGGCGAGAATTGAAAACGATTTTTCGAACTCACGCTGAAGCAAAGGCAAAGGAAATGAAGATTGCAGCGTTTATTCCAACGTTCCGCCAAAGATTGGCTCTTTCAAACCCATATTGCACCTCGATATACGACATTCCGGACAAGAGTCGCTGGCCAGGCTGAGAACCTACCACAGCGCATACTTGGTTGGCAAGGTTGGTGTATCCAGGGCCTGATGGAACCAAATCCGATGTGCTGCACTCGTACATCAGATCGGCGAACTCGTTGATCATGACAGATTCGAAACCGTAGTGCAGCGGCTGTTCTTTGTGGTGAGCTAGATGTTATTTCGGAAAGCAGGAAATATGTATCACTTACATTCAGATATCTTAACCAGCCCAACCACGCCTGCATCTGGGGTACTGGCACGTAAAGGCCCGTATACAGGACGTACATGTTGAAGAAGATTCCGACGGGGAGCACGGCACGGTGCATGTTTGATGAGAACACGGCCACCGAGCGAAAGAACATGGACAAGGCCAGATGTTCGATATACACCACGACAAACCAGATGAAGAAATTTGTGGCATTCTGCTGAAATCCGGTGAGGAAATACAGAGGAAGATTCCAGAAAACAACGAAGATCTTCCAGACGATATCCACGGAGATCAATCCGAAGCCATAAGCCATAGGTCGGTATAGACGGTACCGTTTATGCTTGAGAATGAGTGGCCGCTGCGCAAAAGTGCTGCGGAACTCTGCCATAGCCTGCAAAGCTGGAACAAGGACCGAGTAAAAGAGAGCGGATGCGAAGATGAACAAAGAGCCGGTGTCCCGCTTTTGGTTCCGGAACAACGTTCCCAGGATCAAGCTCTGAACGACAATACACAGAGCTTCTACAAGCAAGGTGCTGTAGTTGTGCTGGATGATGCGCACCTGGCGCGTCATGCAATAGGCAATCTGCTGATATAGTGGTAGAGCATATTGGTCGGACTTGGTCAGACGAACAACATTAGGAAGAGAGTTAGCCCTCTTCACGGCAGATTGGAGCTTCTCGAAGTGAGCACTGCGCCGGAATTCACTATGGAACTCGTCGGGTGTGCGAGGTGTGCGATCTCGGTAACATTCATGTACACGGCGGACTTCAGGATCGGCAGACATGGAGTTCAAAAAGTCGGTGGTGGTGGTTCCGGATGAACACTCAAAACCGAGACTGAGGAAGTACTCTTTGGCTTCTTGAATATTGCCATAGAATATTTGGCGTCCTGCATTGATGACAACAACTTTGTCAAAGTATGGGACAATCGCATCACTGCCTTGGTAGACGCTCATGGCAGTCACACATTGAGACTGTTGCGTCCACTCCCGCATCATCTCCATGAATTCGAGCGCCGTGGACGCGTCCAAGCCATTGGTGGGGTTGTCCAAGCAAATCAACCTACCTTCTAATCAGCATGTTTGTTTGCGAGTGCTATCAAAGTGGAGACTTACCGTGCGCATGTCGCCAGTGCCTCGGCCAATGAGACACGTCGTCTTTCTCCTCCACTGACTCCTCGGATATAGGCATCGCCGACTTTAGTGTCCAAAACCTTCGTCAGTCCGACCAATTGGGCTAGATACCTGACTCGCTGTTCGATCTCTGAAGATGATGGCTTAGGCCCACATCGAGCCCTGACTGCAAATCGCAGAGTCTCGAAAACAGTCAAAGTTGGGAAATGGTCATCCGACTCGCCTGTGTCAAGTCAGTCGTGGGGGCCCTTGATATGCAAAGTGGGGAAATTAATGAAAACTTACCACAGAAAACAACATCCTGAGGATGTTCGTCGATGACGGAATTCATGGGTTGCCCCCCGAAAGTCAAGTTGCCTGACACTCCCTTGTACTCATCCCACATACCAGCAAGGGTCTTCAAGAAGGTGGTACAGCCACTTCCAGGTTTTCCAATCACCAAAACCATCTCCCCTGGGTGAATGGCGGCAGAGAAATTTCGCAAAATGGGTCGGGATGACGGACGATGCACCCTGCTTGTAATGGGCTCAATCAGACCAAAGCCCGACTTTGCCTCTGTCACGATACTAGGGGCCGGAAGGGCCTTCTCGCCTGTCAGTATTCCAATCACCTACCCTTAAGACTTGGATAACTTACGCCTGTGCCGCTGCCTTCAACGGTCACATTGTCCATCACAATTCTTGCAGACTGAGGGTCATATTGTTCGCCATTGCCGAGAGCCAAGAAATGTTTCACGGTCAGTGCAATGGGCTCAACGCCATTTTCCTTGTCTGTGATTGACCCCAGGTCAACATGCGTCACTGTGCCATCAGAGTCTTGAACAATATCTGTCTCTTCAAACTTCTCCATCGTGCAGTGGATATTGAATAAACTCTGACCAATGCAGGAAAAGGCCAAGAGAACTCTGGTGAGGGAGGGTTCATGAAGAGAGCCATGAGACTTATATGCCCCTTGAGAAATTCCATGACTGCTATTAGGGAAAAGAGGTTTTCAGTCTCCGTGAAAGAGCAGGTCTGTGATGGGAATGATAGATTCTATCCCAATTGGAAAGTAGGACTTCCTAAGGGAGTTTCGGAGATGGCACCCGCTTTGGGTTGCACGTAAACGCGCTCTTTCAATGTTGATTACCAAGACGCTGCTCAGCGCTCAAACCCCTTTTGGCCGTAAGGGGAAGACCTGATTTAGCCGCTGCCTCTGGAGTTCCATCGATCTGCTCCGTCGATCTCCCTGGGGATCCTCCGCGTCGCTATGGGATCACGTGACTGCTACGCCGAGCGTTGCCTAGTTGTATGTTTGTATGTATCGGGTTAGTCCAATATGGCAATCTTACAGTACCACCGTAATAAATCTCACTAGACCATTCATGTATTGAACCAAGAGATATATAGTGACTGGAATCTCACCTATTTTCTCTTAGGACCCCGCATTGATATTTTTTCCCATTTTTTCTTTCATATCGGCATATTATCTCACGACAATGCCTCTCGAAACCGGTCTCCAAGGAACTCATGTTCTTATCACGGGTGGCACTCGTGGTATGGGACAGGCAATGGTGCGACAATTCCTCCAGGAAGGTGCCAACGTCTCATACTGCGCCCGCACTGTTACCAATACCGAATATGATGATGTTCATCAATCTCTTTCTGCGGATAATTCCGCTCGAGCATTCGGCACTGCCTTTGACGTTTCCTCCAAGGAAGCGATCGTGAACTGGGTCAACAGCTCTGCTGAGCGTGTTGGACGCATCGATATTGTCATTGCAAACGGTTAGTAAACTGCCCGTATCACCACTTAAAGAGAAGGAAACAAAACAAGAAGAGCCTTGATCGACTGAAATACATATTTAGCATCTCCCATGCACATGGGAGGTGAAACCGAATACTGGGATAGCAGCTTCGCCATTGACGTGATGGGCTTTGTCGAGCTTGTCAAGGCCGCACAGCCTTATCTTGAGAATTCTCCCCAAGCTTCTATCATCGTGCAGAGCTCCTTTATGGGCCGCGAATTCTTCCGAGGTCCGCCAGCTGCATACGGGCCTTGCAAGGCTGCTCAACTGCAGCACGTGCAGGAGCTTTCTCACTACCTGGGTCCAAAGGGCATTCGGGTCAATGCAATCTCACCTGGTCCAATTCTCTGCGAGGGCGGGTCCTGGGAACAAGGCTTGAAGGAGAATCCCGAATGGGTGGAGGCGCAGCGAGTGAAGATTCCATTGAAGCGCCTGGGAGGACCGCAGGAGGTCTCAAATGTGGCTGTCTTTTTGGCTAGTCCTTTAGCTAGCTTTGTTACTGGAACAAATGTACTGGTGGATGGTGGCATCCATGTGGGCACGCAATTTTAGTTATGCCGTGGTATATAGTGTCTTTACATCTTCAAAGCACAATTTAATAAGCTAGTTTCCGAGCAATTATTATCTTCAGAAGATAGAATGGATGCTGAGGACTTTAAACCTTGCAATAACAATGGGTTAAACTAAAGCGAGATGGCATGAGGGGAAGAGGAGTGGAGTAATGTGAATCTTCTCGGCTAATAACGCCACTGTATCTGCCCCCGCTCGACACTAGATCGGATCTTATCTATCTGCTCAATCACGATGGATTTGATCTTCCAGGGCTACTCGATATTGTAAACAGGCCTTGTACGTGGTCCACTTTCATATATAATTAATCCTCTCAGAGACTTCTGATCTTAATGATTGAAGCTCATTCCTTCGGCGTGAACTGATTAACAAAAATACACGTTAGTTGTCAGCAACGCAGCGACCACCTCATGTAAGGCTACTATTCCCTTTTGGCTTGAAAATCGCTTACTCCGAGCGGAGCCCCCACTTACACCCTCATTTAGCACAAAGACAGTTATGGATCTTCTGTATTCCTTCAACTCATACAGCTCCTTCTGGTATAATTCCGTAGTTCCAAGCTCGTTTACGAATTCCACGTTGGAGTTGGAAAATGGCTTTGCCGAGCTCACCGTATATATTCCATTGGGTCATGCTCGATCTTATGGAGAATAAACCAGTCTGCCAAGGTGACAAGTCTGTGATTTTTGTTGACTTTCAACATTACAAATCATTACAATGTTGGCCAAATTGACCTTCTTGGTCATGCTAGCCGGTGCCACTTCTGCTAGCCAAAATATAACATCCCAATGTCGATGTATGCCCAACGACTCTTGCTGGCCGTCCATGAGCGAATGGTCCCAATTCAATGCTACCGTTAGCGGGAGACTGATCAAAACAGTCCCTTTAGCTGCACCTTGCCATTATCCCACTTACAATAGCACTGAATGTCAATATCTTCAGGACCAGTGGACACAACCCGCTTTGCAGTGAGTCCACGCCGAGTTTTATCCATTAAATCTCTATGGGTAAACTAAGTTTTATCAGTGATGCGTCCTCATCTTCTATTATGGCTGCCTCCGTGGCAAACGAGAGTTGCGATCCATTCACTGCTACATCGAGTCTGTGTAAACTTGGAAATATGGTGTCGTATGCTGTCAATGTTTCTTCTCCAGCAGAAATCGCTCAAACGATGGCCTATGCAGCCGACAAGAACCTTCGCCTGGTTATCCGCAATACCGGACACGAGTAAGATTCAACAAAATTCCCTATCTCAAATATTATTTGGAAATCTTACTAACAATATCAAGTTATTTGGGAAAGTCGACTGGCGCAGGAGGTCTCTCTATCTGGACCCATCATATGAAAGAAATCACGGTGAAACTTAACTACTCTTCTTCACATTACACCGGCCCGGCCGTCACCATCGGAGCTGGCGTCCTGGGCGAAGAGGTCTATGCCGCGCTGCACAAGCATAGTCTGGTGATGGTCGGCGGTGAATGTGCCACCGTCGGTCCGGCTGGCGGATACACGCAGGGTGGTGGTCACTCTGCCCTCAGTTCGCGATATGGTCTCGCCGCCGATCAAACTTTAGAATGGGAGGTAGTCGATGGCCAAGGCCGACTTTTGCGTACCTCCCCCACCGAGAACTCTGACCTCTACTGGGCGCTCAGCGGTGGCGGCGGTGGAACCTATGGCGTCGTCACATCCATGACTGCTAAGGTGTACCCTGACTTTCCCGTAGCGGGCGTGGTGCTCGAATTCTACTCTGACCCCGATAATCTCGATCCATTCTACGATGCGGTGGAATACTATCATTCCATTGTTCCAGACTTCACAGCTGAAGGTGGCATGGCTATTGCTCGCGTCGAGAACACGTCTTTCCTGTTGACGCCGCTGACTCTCCCCAATACCACTGTCGCCAGAGCACTGGAGTTGATCACTCCGTTCACCGATAAGCTGAATCAGCTTAATATCAGTTATGCGATGAACCTCACCCATAACCCATCGTATTTGGACCATTACAATGCCCTGGTCGAACCCAATCCCACCCAATTGGTAGAAAATGGTCAATACGGCGGTAAATTGATTCCTATGTCGGTGATCGAGAAGTCAAATTCTGCCCTCACTGCTGCGCTGAGGAATGTCACTCAGGACGGAGTGGTATTCACCAGTATTGCACTGAATGTTTCTTCAGCCGTGACAGGGGCAACCAATAACGCAGTCCTGCCATCATGGAGAACAGCAGCGATGGATGTCATTCTGGCAACGTATGTATCCCAGCAAACTTCAATTCCCTGTTTCATTGCGTGAACTGTGCACTGACTATATTTCATTGTAGATCTTGGCCAGAAAAAGCAAATCTCGGAAAAATGAAACAATTGGCTGATGATATGACCGACAAGTGGATGCCAATGTTGAAGTCTCTGAACAGTGACCCTGGCTGTTATATGAATGAGGTATCTATCAAGACTAATCTTCTAGTCAGGAAAATTGGTTACTAACAATGTTTTCTAGGCGGATCCGCAAACTGGAAATTGGAAAGAAGCTTTCTACGGGTCTAACTATGATCGTCTTCTTGAGATCAAGAATAAACATGATCCCCATGGTTATTTCTATGCGCATACGGCTGTCGGTAGCGATAAGTGGGTTCAGGAGACGGATGGCCGGTTATGTCGGGCTACTTCATCTTGAAACAAAACAGTTGGATGACATGACTTGTGAGGCTGGTAGATAGTCATGTCTGATACAGCTCAATAACATTCCGAGGTTCTTACTCGAATGTTACCAAGTTGTGTACTCATACGGTTCGACTTTGGAAACACACGAGTTACCATTTCCAAGTTGATACCGCTTTCCCCCACATAACGAATCAAATTGGTGAGATGGACATATGGTCTTTCGATAATCTATCAACTTGATCAACGCAGCTACAGAGCTCATAAACTCAATATTAAACCTTCGAAGTGATCCAACTTGAAATCTAAATATATCAACAGGTTTGCTCCGTATAATCTTACACCGAAAGCTTGTCCACACCCAAAGGCAAAAAACTCTTAAGAGAATCAACAATGCTCCCTTTCAAAGGCCTGAAAGGAACGCCCAAAATCTCCCTCGCACGGGTATTGCCAAAGCCATACACATCCGCAGGACACTGTCCAGGGATCAAAGCATCACCAGTGGGCAAGCGATCCTTGTACTGGGGAAACTCTTCACCGATAATATTTGAGATCTCTGCATTGGAGAAGTGGCTCGAAACAGCAAAGAATCGCTTGCCACCTGCTGCTTCCTTCTCAACAGCAAGCACATGCGCGAGGGCTAGATCACGCACATCAACGAAGACATAGTTTCCGGTCGGCGGGCAACGATTCTTAGCTGCGCCAGAGAGGAGGGCACGGATGCGCTGGTTAGACGTGTTCAGTGCATCTAGGGAGGTAAGATTATGGACAATTGGACCGAGCACGAGAGGGGGGTTGATGACAGCGAGAGTGGAATTTGGCTTTTCCTTCTCGACGAAGTCCCATGCTGCTCGTTCCTGCGGGGAGCGGGTTAGCCAGGGTCCCCTGTTTCAAGCAAGGGGATTTGGAAGCTTACAGCAAATGTCTTACTAGCTCGGTATGCGTTCGCAGGGCTTTCATTTACCTGCTCTTCTGTTATGGGACTCCAGTCTGCCTCGGTATAGACTTTGCCTGCGGACGGAGCGTAGACATCGTTGATAGCGGCGAATGAGGATGTCACCACTACGCGTTTCACGAGATGCGCATATTTTTGAACGGACTTGAGAACTCCAGTTGTGCCTATGATTGCAGGTCCCAAAAGTTCCTGAGCATCCTGTGCATGGAAGTGATATGGACTAGCGGAGTGGATGACAGCCTCAATTGGAGGGTCAGAGACCACCGCTTTGTCAAAGGCTGGCTCTCTTCTCAGTATTTGAATTGACTGTGAAGGATTAAGGCATACCATTTGGCTGGGCAATGTTCTCAACAATGGCAAACGACAACCGCTCTTGAGGGATTTCCGGGTAGGCTTGCTGGATGGCATTCACCTTAGTCTGAGAACGAACTGTGGTGACAACGGAGTGGCCCCGGGCTAGGAGCATCTCCAAGGCATGGGAGGCAATAAAACCGCTTCCACCTGATTAATTGATTAGACAGATTGACCTCTTTATTCGGCTTATAGAGTTCTTACCAGTCAGAAGTACACGAGTCATGGTTGGTAGTCAAGGTATTTGATGTGGGAAAAAAGAACATGGTACGGAAGATGGGATGCAAGCAGGAAAACTTTTCTAATTTGTAGCTACCCATGCCAGTGGCGTGGTCAGTTCTTTGCCTGAATACTTCGTCATTGGAGCTTGGAGCTAAGTAATGCTTCCCAAAACGGACGTATAGTATGGTGGAGCTAAGCTTCCCCGAAGACATTGTCAAGATCTGCACAACATCGTTGATATTATTACACCCCCTCGTTGCCAATCGCAGCTTTTACAATTCGTGATGGCTGAGATTAAAGCAGCTATCGAGGTGGAGCGAGGGCAATCACTAGCCTCGTGGAGGGAATAATTGCACATGTCTGCCAATTGGTACCGTCTATTTAGCATCGTTACATCTGGTTTTATCATCCAATAGTGCGCACAAAGTAACATTAAGCAAGTCAGTAGTTACTGCGCTAAAATAAAGCGAACCAGTTGTTCATGCCCAAAAGTCAATGTCCCGAATCAGTACTGATACATGATGGGATGCGTACACGAATCCAAAGAAGCCCTATTCACTGATGTGACCATTTGTCGATGGAGGACTGTTATCGTCATCATCTTGATTAAGATGCTGATGACTGTTGTTCAGAACGTTGTTGAGTGTGGGAGGAGGATGGTCATGGTCGTTCTCATCGCTAGGATCGGGCGCAAACCCGGTCAGCCATTGGAATGCGTCGTATGTCCGCGTGTCATCCAAGCGCTGTTCCAAAAGTTGATCAACTCGCTGTTCCAAAGGTTGATCCAATCGTTGAACCAATCGTTGTTCCAACCCTTCCAATCGTTCCAACCGTTGGTCCAATCGTTGATCCAATCCATCCAAGTGCCTTTCGATTCCAGATAAAAGCGTTTCGTTCATAACATTCCTCAAGGATACATCAAGTGGTGTCTCAACGGTCTGTACAGAGCGATTTTCGACAGGTGTAGATTGTACGGTTGCATCATTGCTTGCAAAAGAATTCCAGTCCATTCTAGATTCATACAGTCAGTTTACCAGATGATGTCCTCATTCCAATGGGATCTATCATACGTGTAGATAGACAGAATCATGATTGCGACCGCAAAAAGCTTCACCCATCCGATCCATCCAATGATCGGTGCGAGGGGCGGTTCCCAAATTGGTAGCGTGTCAAGAAAAACAAGGAACATAAAGGCGAAAACCAGGCCAGTGAGAAAGCCAAGGAGCCAACCCAGAACAATACCGCAGAAGCGCATTGTGATAGAGCGTGAAGGGGATCAGACAGAATACTGTGATGTTGATTACAATCGGCAGGTTTACGATCCCAAGCACTACAGGGGATTATTGTCGATATCTAGGCAGTTACTGTTGGTTTGGTTGCTCATTTTTATAGAAGGTGCGAATTGTGTTAGTGCGCGCCACGAGAACACAAGGAATCATGAGGCTTCTGCCGAGAGGGATTTCTTTGCTTTTCGAGCGCTTAAATTGATCGGAATCCTAATTTTGGAGGTCCTCTACCTAGCCACTAGGACGCGTTGTTGAGCAGAAATCTTTCTTATCGGCGAAACTGAATCATTTGACGAGTATTGGTGTATCCACTTCGTAATTTCATTGACTTATGTTATTGTATTTTATTCAATGTTTCTTATAAATCATATAGAAATGGTATGCATTCTGTTGTTTAGGAAGGGAAGGGAATTAATACTACTTTCCTCTACAGAAGAGACGTACCAAGGAAGCAAGCGACATCAAGCTTTAACTCATTCATAGAGCTAGAGATCCCAATCGCCTATAGCAAAGTGATTCGCATAGCTATTTCAGGCATCTATCTAACTTCTTAAGATCAAAAAGCCAGTCTAGACGGCCTAGTCGCTTAAGAAGAGCCTCAGAAAGCTAAACAGTCCGGTAATTAACATATTTACACACATAGCACGTGAGTAGATAACATCAGTTAGTATGGTAGACAAAATGGCCATCATAAGCCCCATGACCGTAATCCTCGTACTGAGCCACCATTTCCATTTTCTCACAAGGCAAAGCTCGTCATATTCATATCCCCAAAACGATGCAGATACTAAGCGAATACAAAGAGGGCAGTCAAGATGGCGACCGGGGCGACATCCGGTATTCAGCTGTTTTATATCCTCTAAAGTGAAGTCAAACCCTCGAACTTTAGAACAGCATCCGCATTCACGAGTACAATGGCCAAGTCCTAGTGTTCGTTCGGAATTTGCATATGCGCTCCGGTTCTCACAGCATTGACATTCACGGCCACAGCAACCCCCACTTTCTGCACAATGTCGGCGGAGCGTATCAGTTAGATACCATCTTGGGTCTGATCGACACGCAGAAAGCCCTCGTAGAGTAGGCCCCTTTAATTGATCCCTAAATACCAGCCAGTTGCGTCGCAGAGTCCAATAATTCTTTCTCACAACTGTCAACAGTTGTTGCAATTCTCGCAGCCTTTGCGTCTCAACTGGCAGCGGTAAAGAATCTCTTGCAAGCAACTCTTGGACTTTTTTAAGTAAACATTCCTCACGCTGAGTTATGCGTCGAAGTTTACGATCGTGCTCAAGAATACTTGACATTGATTTTGTTGCTGGACATCCGTCAAAATCGCCGCTCATGGACAACATCCATGATCTAAAGTCTTGGACTAGCTCGGTATTACCGTAACACAATAACAGATTCTCTATCAGTAGGTGTATGTTTCTCATGCTCCACATTGTGCCCAAGAAGTGCATGTATGTAGCTTGTTAAAACCTGGATGATCTGACTTCCGAAAATTTGGAAGAAAAGAAACTGCAAGTCTCAGCTAAGTCGAAAATTCAAAAGGAACAGTGGATATGATACATATGAGTATCGTCATAATACCTCATGACTTGTTGGCATCCGCCCCGTGTAGAGCGACGGAACCTCACCATTGAGGTCGGTCATATTTGGCCTTGTGGATGCCTGACCGTTGCCTGACTTAGCCTGGTGGACCACAGCCTGCTTTCTACTCTACATCCGACTCCTGCCAGCATCTTCTAGCTCACACACCTCCTCTTTCTTTGATGACATTTATGCTGGTTGTGTTGGTTTTTCCCGTGATCTTTCGGTGATCAAAGGTTTGTCGATTCTGCAATACGCAACGACTTCGCCACCCATCTATGCTAGTCAATTCTGGCTAGTCGTTTTGTCGTCTTCTAGGTCTGTCTCCAGCTCCATCTCGTCGTGGCAAAACTGCCCGAGAAGACCTATTTGCTCAGGCATTAATTTTATGACGTAGCGAGTCGCACGCGGGCGAGACAAAAGGGCCCCGTAATCCATCGAATTCGAACTTGTTATCGGTACAATTTTGATGATGTAAGCTAGCTAGATTAGTAAGCGAGCACATATGGTGCGCGCACAGAGATAGCAGAATGAACAGACAGACAAAGATTCGACGGGATATCTATTGGTCCAAGTTCCACCGCCCTGCGGGGCAAGCAAACAGGCGCGGCCCCACCCGGGCCCACTCCATGGAGTTTCGGAGCCGCCCAAAGGAGTTCAGACTACAACGGTCTTCGGTGTTTACTGGTCATCACTTGGAAATATTTTCTTCATTCGTGGGTCTATATCCACTCTAGCTTAATGCATCTCCTATACCATCACATTCCAGTATTATTCCCAATGTAGGCACTCAAAGCCACACACTTCCTCCATATGGATCAGCCGTATACTCCTTTTCCCCACCATCCCAAAAGGTACTCGCAGTCCCAAAAGTGTCCTCCATATACTGGAAATACGTAATCTTCCCCGCATCATTGACCTCCGCACGAGCCGACCACGGCGCCGTAATCGTCTTCTGCATCGTATTGGAGGTAATCTCAAACTGCCCCCAGGCGGTAACATTGCCGCCATCGGCAAAGATGACATCGATCGAGAATGGGCCCCGAGTCCACCACAGTCCGACACGTGTGAAGGTGTCCAGGAACGCCTGCGGCCCCACCCGGTAGCGGGTTCTGGCCCAGGGCATGATCTGATGCAGGTTCGGGTTGTCGATAGTCAGCGAGACGTAAGTTGCGTCAAGGGCGACGCAGTCCTTGATGAGATCTGGATCTGGGTCCGGCTGGGTCTCAAGGATTTGGCGAAAGACATTGAGTGGTGTGCGAGTTAGATTGGCGGGCCAGATTACTGTAGGACTGGTGTAGCGCTTATCGAGATCATCGTTGGCGGTAGTGGTTTCAGATGATGGGTATGGCGCGGCTGTAGCCAGGGGAGACCAGGCTAAGATAAAGCTTGACATCAGGAGGTAGAGCCGCAGGGGACCCATAGATGCGAACATATTGTTCCGAGGTTCTGCCTGAAGCGGAAAGTCTCTGCACACTGGGCTTGTAGACAAGGTTGTGTTGCTTGTTCTTTTCTTTGTCAGTCTACATCGTTGCTTTATATACTTTTGGTCACGGTGACCACCGGGTCTGAGTGAGGGGATCTATTGACACTATCCGCGAGCCCCCCAATTGATTCTGGTATAGTGAGCAATCTACTGCTCGAACATGTCGAATTGACATCCGGAGTACATCGATGGAGTTACGGACTTCCAGAAAAGGTGCAAAATGAGCTTACTCCGAGTATTTGGGGGCGGAGAGGAAAACGCCCGACGAATACGAAGGATCATGAATGTTTTTTATTTGCTAGATACACCCCGCTCATTCTCCATGAATTCCACAGCTCGCATCGTGGTACGAAAACAAAATAGTGCGCACAAAGAACTCAGGCTAATAAACATGGTGACACCGGCCGAGGGACGTCACAATTTTTATTCGCCAATGAGTTGACCCCTTGGATCTAGATTGACTAATCCTCAGCATTGCTGCTTCATCAGCCAGGGCAGAGAAATGTTAATATGTATAGATGCACTATTTCAATAAACCAGGCAGTCCCCTGGGACTATTGTGAAAGCGAGGAATGAATGAAGACCTCAACCACGTGATCTCCGGCTGTAGATAGCCTGCACCTTTCTGCTTTCTCATTCTCTGCATTTTATCTTTTAACATTATATTATCAATGTGTCTTTGACAGCCACTCTATCCCTGGTCTAGGGCAACGCGAAGAAGAACATTAGACGCCACTATGTCCTCGCCTACCAAATGAACTCACCCATTACGAGCATTTTGGAATAATCATCGTAAACATCATAAGGCTACAATACCGCGCATATAGTACTACGATTACCATTTCGATGAACTTTTTGTAAGTGAAGAAAAAAATCATTTTGTAATATACATTCAACCCTATGTCAAAGCGGTGTACCACTCATTTCTCATTTACACATGGACAACGTGGAATTCAGCAAAGATAGGACCAATTTGAGAAGGGGTATATAGTATTATTGCCGCAACGGGGTTAGACAAACCAACCAGAACGTAAATATAGATAAGAATTGAACAGTCCGGACAGAGGTCCAGACTAGGTTTAAGAAAAAAGGAAAAGAAAGAAAGAAAGAGAGTGTCAGTGCAAAGGCAGAACCAAGGATTCTTGTCCTCAAACCACCACCACTTTCCAAGCAAGCTTAGAAAGCCATTTACAGCTGCAGAGCAGCGACGGCAAGAGCACCGAGGATGACGGCAGCGCCAGAGAAAGTGGCACGACCAGCAGCGTTGTAGGCCGGGGTGCTGGAGGGGGCAGGGGTGCTCCAAGGGCCGGTGGACGAGACACCGGCGGAGGCAGTGGGGATCACACGGCGCATGGTGGAGCTGCCGTGAGGGCCGTGGGGACCGGGGCCAGTGGGGTAGCCGGAGCCAGCGGGATAGCCAGAGCTACCAGCGTTGCCGGGGCAGATAGTTGTGGTCTCGGCGATGGTAGAGGTGACAGCAGTTCCGGAGGGAGAAGAACCAGCCGGGGCGGTACCAGAGGGGCCGGAGCCGGGGACAACGGGACCTGAGGGAGCAGAGGAGGCGGGGGAGGAAGGAGCAGGAGTAGGAGCGGTCCAGACATCGGTGGTGGAGGGGGCAGAGCCGCCGACGGTGCTGGTGGTGGTCTCGGAGCCGGAGCCGGCGGGGGAGGTGGGAGTGGAAGAACCAGCGGGAGTGGTAGCGGTTTGGCTGTTGCAGTCGGCCTCGCCGAGGACGGCAAGGCAGAGGTTGATAGGGATGTCGATCAAGCTGCCAGAGCCACCGGAGGAGGATTGGTTGCACTCGACCTCACCGAGGACAGCAAGGCAGATGTTGATAGGAACGCTGATCAGCGAGCCGCTGCCGGTGGAAGAAGAGGCTTGATCACACTTGGCGGATCCAAGGGCAGCGACGCAGGTGTCGATGGGGACGCTGATCAAGCCACCGGAGGAGGACTTTTGCTTGCACTCAACATCTCCGAGGATGGCAGCGCAGAGACCAACAGGCACGTTGATGAGCGAGCCGCTACCGCTACCGCTACCACTGCCACTGCCGGAAGAAGAGATCTGGTCACACTTGGCAGAGCCAAGAGCAGCGACACACGCATCAACAGGCACGCTGATCAGACCGCCGGAAGAGGTCTTTTGCTTGCACTCAGCATCTCCGAGGATGGCGGCGCAAAGATCAACGGGGACGTTAATGAGCGAGCCGCTACCGCTGCCGCTACCACTGCCGCCGCTGGAAGAAGAGACCTGGTCACACTTGGCAGAGCCAAGAGCAGCGATGCAGGCATTAATGGGCACGCTGATCAGACCGCCGGAAGAGCTCTTTTGCTTGCACTCAACATCTCCGAGGATAGCAGCGCAGAGGTTGATTGGAACGTTGATAAGCGAGCCGCTACCGCTGGAGGAGGTAGCCTGGTCACACTTGGCGGATCCAAGAGCAGCGACACAGGCATTCACAGGCACACTGATCAAACCATCAGTGGAAGTAGTGGACTTGCACTCAGCCTCTCCCAGGATAGCAGCACAAAGGCTGACTGGGACGCTGATGAGCGAGCTGCTGCGAGCAGTGAGCTGGTTGCATTTGGCAGATCCCAGTGCAGCGATGCAAGCATTAATAGGCACACTGATCAAACCATCAGCGAAAGCAGCGCTGTTGCACTTGGCCTCTCCCAGAATAGCAGCACAAAGATTGGCGGGGACAGCGATCAAGTTCTCATGAGCTTGAACACCCTATAAAACAGAGAACTAAAGTCAGTTATCGATAGATCGGCAGTTTCCGAACAGGGTGTCACTCACAACTGAGGCAGCCGCAAGAGCGACGAGGGGGGCGAAAATAGATTGCTTCATCTTGTCAGAATCGACGTCAAGATACGTGAATTAAAATTAAGTGAATGAGTGTGGCGTGATAGAGAACGAATGGACGCTGAAATCAGCAAGAATGAGTGACAGGGCTAAACTAGCTAACGAAAGAATGAAACAACTTGCGATCGACGAGAGGGAAATCCGACATAGATGTAGGCCCAAGGACATATCCACTTCCAAGAGTTCCAAGACTCGTAATTCCATAAAAAGATGACTGGATGTAGATCAGCAGGCACAGAAACGCCATGCAGTTGCATGGGTACACAACAGCTCGTAGGATAAGGCTCGAGACCAGTCTTTTTCACCCCGGCGGCATTCTGATTGGTGTACCTCGGTTAGCACATTTGACAGGTTGCACGGCGCTACCTTGACTAGATCGTTCATAATCAAACCTAATGTGCATGTCTCCGCTTTTCTATGCACTAGTCATACTAGCGCGTATTTTGATTGACCCGCCCAGTCCGAGCCAAGGTCGACATGCATGGCTACTGATTTTTGAGCACGAGATATTACTCAGGGGGTTATCACAGAGACTTTTCTCTTTCAACGTGGAGACGATAAGCGAAATTGAACGATGATCACCCCTAATCAGGTTGGTGGTGATCATCGCCTTTGTTATTGAACGGAGCTGATAACGGGGTTTGGTACCGTAGCCCCACATTAAACCCTGAACCCAAAAGCTAACTGGCTAGGTTCGCTATGCCCTGCGCGTTGCCGTCAACACCCCTTTCTGCGCTCGTGCAGCTTAAAATTAATTGGCCTAGAAGTCAATGAGATACATCAGACGGACCAACGCTCGATGATCCGGCGAGAGCCGAGGGTTGCCTTGTCTTTGTGAATAATCTTTGAGTTTCGGAATGCGTTATGCGGCGTCAGTAAGTTCAGTATTTGGGCTGGTCATTGATTTCTTCCCCGACCAGAGTTCATAGCTTTACCAACTATTGCTTTTCCAAGCTTTGGTTCTGGGTAAATTCCTTCTTCCCGCCTTCTGGCGCCTCTGTGATTTGGAACCGAGAGGTTCTATTGTTGCCCAATCTATAACTAGCACTATTTTTAGCCTTGTGGAACGATAATCAAGAATTGTGGGAGTCCAAGAGCACCGTGTCATAACGTAGTTTATTGATCAGATTGGATTTATACTTCCAACATCCGAGGCTGAGCGCCACGAGGCTTGGCTTCCGAGGTCGTTTACCCCTGCGGTGTAACAATACGTTCGCAGAAAGACACGAGACAGATCCCCTGCATACCCCTTCGGTCCTGTGTAAAATTGTCTCGTGAAAGAAAGACCGAACACCTCGTATGTGATATGCCAAGGTCAAAGTGGAGAAGAAGAAAGGGGTGACTGCGTGACTGCGGAGTTCGGGCGGCATTTGCAGAGATGGAGCTCCACGCGGATGATTCAGCGCGAGGCACGTGCATCGCCATGTTTACATCGCATGGCTACAGCAAACTTCTGCTCAGACAAAATTTCAACTTCACTCGTCACTGACTCACTGCATCTCCTTCTTTCTTCTTTCGTCTCCTTGAGTGGGAGATTATTTTCCCGGCAGCACGTGAGGGCTGGTGCATATCGGAGCAGTTTAAAAATATCCTCAATCTCCCACCTGCATGAACTGAAGTGCTAGTGGTTTTCTGCAGACGCTGCGAGCCGAAAGTTCATGTCCTCCGACCGGAGACTTATAATCGAGATCTGACCACGCGAAAGGATGAGACATCTCGGAGGTTTTACGTGGCCGCTGAAGCCACGAAGCAAGGGATCATCATTAGCGCCCAAAATTGTGCACTTTGTCGTGACTCGTCACATGTTTTGTTCCTCGGGAGACTTTACGTTGACATCATTTCACAGTGTACTTCCTGGTTTTCTGGCTCTGGTGCTTTCGCCTGGTCTCATTTTTCAGAGAAACCCAGATAATAGAATAAGGACACTATACCTTTTCAAGCCAACTGAACTATGTTATTAATAGAAGCCATTCAAGCTGAACAAGTAAAGTAGCAGAAACTGCCGCGCTGGTGACACCACGAGCCTTTGTCTCTTTGCCATTTTGACTATAAATTAAACCAGCATAATGGGGTTTTGCAACTTACAAGCGTTCTGTGTAAATGGACAGAATCCGGGGACGGGTTAACCATCTCGAAAGAAGCATGTATGGTTCTTTCCCACCTACAGAGGTCAGTGAAAGTCTCATGCTGCTGGCCACAATTGGGTTGTCTTCTCTGACAAAGGCGAATTCCAAATTTTAGTCATTGATGGCATGTGACAAGTGTTAGGACAGTCAAAAGTAAGCCGAAGTCCAATGAGGGACTTTGATACATTCGAGCACAACAATTTCTTGCTTTCTATTACTCTCCATCATTGCCTCATTCCTGCCTTCCTGCCTTTCTTCCTTCCTTTCATCCCATTTTCGGCTTCGAAGGTATCAAGTCGAGATTTCCATGCACTTTGGAAAAACCAAAGACGTGTTCTTACTATGGCCCTGGTTCCTTTCCCCCTTTCATCCATCCGCCATTCGCTCAAAATGCAGCAATAGAAAATTGTATTGAAGAATGACCCTGGAGAGTAGCCAAGGTCGCCGAAATATTAGTTCTAAACCAAGATCCATATGGTTCTGTTTATTCAACAACATGCCAAGGCTTGGTAAACTTCTCGGATCTCATAATAGCGCCAATGAGCTAACTGCTAATTTTACTTTGAGATATCATTGAGAAAAGAGAGAGCTAAAGGTCAAAAACTCGGTTTTCCATAGCAATCTCGCTGAAAGAGCCACCCTCATGTACAGCCGATCCAGCTAACTCATAATTCCATCGCAATGTCAAAATGAGCGAAATGGGAATCGCGCCAGTATTCAGTCATAGGAAACCGTCGCTCGCTACCCCGAGACCTATGGCTTCTTTACGATTGGCTAGAATGAGCCGAACCAACATGGTGCTCTACCATTTATCGCACAACCTATACCCCCAATCTGATGCCGCATTTCCAAGGATATTCGACCCTATCAAATCGTACACAAAGTCGGCCTTCAACAAGGAATTCGAATTTTGCCTTGAAGATGGCCACATGCCTGAAGGGGCAAAGGCCTACTGGGATGCGCTTTGGGCCAAGTCTCAGCCACGCCTCATTGATGATGCCACCCAGTTTGATGGCGCATCAATAGACAATGCCCGATCGCATTTTGAAGCCTGGACTTCTGAGCAGAAGATGCAAGATAGGTTTCCCAGCTACAGGATGTTTATTTTGGTTGATGAGGAAAGCCTTCAGACGCTACTAACTACACCCATCCCGGAGGGCTTGGGGTGGAATAAGGAGCGATGGAAACACTACGTGAAGCTCGTCGAGGCATGGCAGGAGTCTGATTCACCGTACATGGGGTGGATGAAGTATTCTTTAGAAGGAATCTGGAGCTTGTGGGCGAATATGGAAGACGGATGTTATATGCGGAGTAGTTTTATGATGGTTCATGACTACCGAGATGTGTACTGAATCTTGGTGCCGGAACATCTTTCAAGGCACAATACGTGAGAAGCTCATGCTGATTCCCAAATAGGAAGCCCTATATGCTGTCAAAATTTCAAGAAGACATCGAAAAGATACACTTTCGCCTCTAATGTTGTCCAAAGTGACAATTGTACATTCAAATATCTGCGCAGGGCTGAAACGGCATATATTAATGAGTATACTCGGAACATCACAAGCTGCTCAATTGAGCATCCAGCCCCCAAGATCCCTTTTAAAGAGCAAGAATAAAACCGAGACCAAGGGCGCCAGCTGCCCTAGCCGTACGCAGTACACTGTCCGTAGAGCTTAAACTCACAGCACCATTGGAAGATGAAGTGGCAGTGCTTGTAGCAGCACTAGTCGTGGCTGTAGCGGTAGCTGTGGCGAAGGAGCTTGAAGAGGTCGACAGATCTTGGCTCGCTGTGATCTCATAAGCTTCAATGGCGGCGTCCCTGGTGGATTCAAATCGCTTCACACTCTCAGGAAGATTGTTGTACCAAGCCGGCATGGTTCCTTCGACCATCGCCTTGTTGACTGAAATAAAAAAGGCCTCATCATATCGGAATGATGAGGCCCACGCAGTTGGCTCAGCACTGTCAATAGCTTCAATGACCCACGTTGGGTAAGTCAATAGAGACTCTAGAGCAGAATCAACTGTGGTTTGATCTGATGTAGCAGCGAGGGCCGTGGCGACCAAAAGGAAGAACGAAAATGCATTGAGATGCATGATTGATGTGTCTGCGATGAGGTTCCGAGAGACAGTCGTAGTGGAGTATCATGAACTACAATGAAAATAGTGAAATGGAGGCTTGAGGAGAATCGATAGGTGAAATTTATGAGCGTGAGAAAATTTATGCAAGATTGTTGCCTAAAGACTCACTACTACGGCGTACACTAGCAGCCTACTAGAAAAGTTTTCAGCAATCAATGCAGGCTATTGTAAGCCCGGAGGACGCTAAGCTTTCAGTGTTCTTAAGCGAGGCGGATCAAGCGGCAATAAGAGTGGATACTTAGTATCTTAAACCAGTGAAAGTGAATGCCCTTGCACTAGCCTGTCGGATTAGTGGGCACTGGTCTGACCATTCGGATTTTTTCACCCAAACCGAGAAATTATGTCCGTCATAAATATAAAGCTTGTCATGGATCTGCATCACCTATCGTCAGCGTAAAGTCTGATGCGACAAGAAACAACCCTGCCATAATTGTTCCAGAGCAAACACGGACTGCGTGTTTCCTCCGACAAGCTCTCGCCAGGTATCAATAGATGAGGAACTGGTAGCCAAGTTGAAACAGTGGGAATCCAAATTTGAGTCTCTATCTTCTTTCCTCGGCCAGAACGGGGCTCCTTTATTGCCCTTGTCTTCTGAGAAAAATGATCGCCCGCCAGAGCCATACACCTCCCCTCCAGAACATCCGCCTAATCTCCCTGAGTCCAGCCGCATTGTAATTACTATGATCTAATTTCTGAGCGCAGTTTAGAGATGAGCATTTTCGACGCAAGCCCACCACAAAATCTCAATGATAGCGACTTGACTCCAGAAATGATTGACTACCCCCCTGAAACTGACTTGATGACGGAAATTAGCTTCACTATAGCTCGAGTCTGTTTATCGCGTCTTTGGGGAATCATGGTGGACACTCGGCGCCCAACATCTACAGGGGGCGATAGCTTTGCTTCCATGACCATGATGGAGAAGGAGACATGGATCACACAGGAACAGCATACCCTCGAGCGACGCTTCATTCATCCAATCTCAACGTCAGACCCTCTTCATTGGGTAAGCTCATTGCCCTAATCTTGAAAACCTATACTTAAAAAACTAACACAAAATACAGGTTACTGCAACTCTGATCCGATGCTCAATTAACAATTTCTTATCTAGTCTTTTCCTCCTTATAGTAGAGGTGCTTATTATAATTAATACTATGGTTTAAGCCTAAAGAGGGAGGATTATTAGCTTGAATATTAGATGATTAGTCTAGTATACTTCTATAGCGTGGAAACAAATTATAATCAATCATTAGTCGAATGATAAAATCTTCCTAAGTATTTACTTAATGTATTAATTTTCTTATAACCTCCTCTTGATTTGCACATTTATCCCGCTTTGCATCGTGAACCAACGATTCTTGAATGAATATGCAGGTCCGTCTGTTGCTAACAGCAGATCAAAATTCAGCAACAGAGTAGGAATGAGCTTTACAGTTTCCATCATGCTAATCCATCGACCGCTACACGTATGGGCACCATGACCAAAAGCAAAGAAGCAACGGTTCATTACCTTTAGCTGAGCCTCGGCAGTTTCAGATGCGAGCCAACGCTCCGGAAAAAACTTATCCGGGTTTATATAGACAACCGGGTCTCGATGCAGGACCCACGGATTGATTCCTACTTCCACACCTGCAGGGATGTGATAGCCACACAGATCCACGCCTCCAACTGGAACGCGCCGGGCCAGCATCATCCCAACAGACGGGTGGAGTCTGATCGCCTCTTTAATCACTGCATTAAGGTATGGCAGCGCATTTGCCGTAGTGAACTGAATTGGTAGTGTGAGTTGGTCCCGGATTTCTTTGCACAGCTTGTCGTACACATCTTGGTTTTTCAGGAGAAGCAGGATAACGGACTGCATGGCAATGGCAGTTGTATCACTACCAGCCGTGATATTCCCCACGGCGTGTGTCATCACATCACGGTCGTTGATTATACTAGGATCTTTCCGTTGATTCGCGAGCAGGCGCTGAAGGAAAGTCATGGGGCCATCTTTGGCAGGTTTATCGCGGGCAAGTGCGATTTCTTCTTTCGCCAGTCGTGTCACATCAGCAGCTCCATTTTCAGAACCTATAACGAGATTCAAAACCCACGGCACTTTCAATAAGAAAGAATGGCTCCACGCAATTTGACCAAACTGCTCCCGTTGCGAATTAGTAACTGGCAGTTCCTATCATTTAGATCACGATGTGACAATTTGACTCACAATCGCCATATAATCGGTAAATATCTCCAAGATGCGATGTATGCCCAGAGTATCACCTTGACCAAGATAATCAAAATCCTTGCCGAATGTCAAGGCGAAAACCGCGTCCATCGTGTAGTTTTTCAGCAGCCTGGCCATGTCGACCGACTCGCCTCGGTCTGCATATCCTTGAAGAATTGTGACGAGTCGATCGTTTACTGGTTCGAGCCATGGCTCCATGTTGACAAGGCCGTGCAGAGCGTAAGCATTTGCTGCATTACGCTTCATATACGTGTGCATTTTCATGTCGACAAGAATGAATGGATCAGGAATGACTCCTTCCTCATCGTATGCCTCCGACAACGAATAGAAGGAAGATTTGACAAATTTGGTTCCGATTCCGTAGATAACATTGATCGCACTCGGATCTGAAATCGAGATCTGCTGCGGGGCAGTCCGAACAATCTTGCCATATCTTCTATGGAGCACAATGTCGTCCTCATGACTGAATCCGCGAGTAACTGAAACAATCCGCGGAATTACTGAAAATGAACGCATTAAAGGGCCGGGCACATGCCATAGACTGTTGGACGAGTAATTTCGAACAATCCAGAAGAGGAAAATCGAGGAAATTAGAATAGGCCACCATTGCCTGAGCAGCACAAACGCCTCGGCGGCGAGTGATTGGCTTGCCATCTTGAACAGTCGAATAGTGCTTCAATTATAGAAGATATATTTGAACTTCTATTAATCTGATCCCGGATGTTGATATAACCCTGGTTTAATACAAGCAATTTTGAATAACCCCTCGTCGGATAATCTTATCATTGGCGCGTCGCAGCCATATCGCCTGCGGGGGTTATTAAGCCGCGAGGTAAGCCGATCTGATCAGTACAAATCACTCTACATCGAAAATCTCAACCAACTGCCCATTTCAAATCATGACATCAATGCCAACCGGTCTTCGTATTATTATCGTGGGCGCCGGCTTCTGCGGCCTGACCGCTGCAATCGAATGCAAGAAACGCGGAATGCACCCGATCCTTATCGAAGCATATGCGGGTCCCAGCTCGCACGGAGATCTCCTTGACTTTGTGACCAATGGCGGCCTCGTATTCGAGTCCTGGGACAATGGCAAGGTTGCGCAGTTGTTAAATGATTCAGGTGTCAACAATGCGAAGACGCTTGACTATTTCAACGCAGAGAATGTGCTTCTGCGACAAGATCCGTGGCCACAGAGTAAATACTCAAAGGGGGTCTTTGCAGGTCACCGTGGATGCATGCACAAAATTATCTACGACTATGCAGTTGAGATTGGCGTTGAGCTGCGATTTGGAACACGTGTGGCTCAGTACCTGGACCATGCGACGGAACGCGGCGTTGTTGTTGACACTGGAGAAAGGATCATGGGTGATGTCGTTCTTGCTTGCGATGGGCCCAAGTCACTGGCTCGCTCGCAACTGTTGGAGCTTCCCGAGAGCAAAGTCAATAGCGGCTATGCCATTTTCAGGGCCTTCTTCACGGTTACAGATGAGATGCGTGACGATCCACTGATGAAAGAGATAATCGATCCGACCGAAGACAAAACACGATTTTGGGTAGGCAGGGATCTGCATGGATTTATCTATACATGGAACAAGGGAAGGTGCGTATCTTGCTTGTAGTGCATCTTGTCACGCGTGCTAAAAGCCGGTTTTTCAGGGATTGCGCGTGGGTCCTCACTCACCGGGACGACACTGATATCGCCGAGTCGTGGTCATTCCCGGCAAAAAGAGAAGATGTTCTGCCTTATCTTGACCGTGCCGGTTTCCCTGAAACTTGGCGACGGGTTGTGGAATTCACACCGAACGATCGCCTGCTTGATTACAAGCTAGTTTGGAGGGACCCTTTGAAGACATGGTTATCCCCTTCAAAGCGTTGCGCTGTGATGGGCGATGCTGCCCACTGTCATCTTCCAACTTCTGCGCAAGGCGCTTGTCAAGCGGTTGAAGATGCTGCGGCGGTAGCAGTGTGCTTGGAAAAAGCCCAGGGAGATGTCGAGCTGGCCCTGCAGGTATTTGAACGAATCCGCTATAATCGCTCGCATGTGATCCACCAGGCTTCTATATCTACCCGGGACATTTACCATCAGAACGATTGGACCTTGGAGTTTGTTAAAGCTCATCCGGATTCGCTCATCATGCCTTTCTATCCTTGGGTAGTGGACTACAATGTCTTTGAGACAATCGAGGCAAACTTCGCTCGTCTGGCTGCAGATGTTAGAAGCGGAAAGAAAGGAAGTATTGAACAGCTTGCGCTACCTGCTGGGGGAACCTATGATGCCATGAAAATTGTGAATTCCAAAATGCCGGACGAGCTTCGCCTGCCTGTAGGGTTAAATGCACTGAAAGCCGCAGCATGAGGACTAGTCACAGATAAATCGAAGATGAGAATGAAGCCATGTTTATCAAGTATAACTCAACATGAATCTACAAAAATCAACTCTAGTAAGGTGCAGTAGTTGGTAATCAGGTACCGACTCAAGTGTTATTCGCCTACATTGAACCCGCAATCAGTGACACAAATAAAACATTGAAACTCAATTACTGTAAATCTGTATCAGAATCGAGTTAGAAACGTAGTGATATTGACTAGCATGCGAAAAATCATTTTGATCACAATTTCAGTTGCATATTAGCCACATAGAGTACGCAGCAATTTTTCATTCCCCAGGAAGGGAAAGCTTTGGAAGGTGAATCTTACGATTAACCAGCGTCTTATTGTCTAAAAGAAACTATTTCATCTTCCAAATGAGTCAGTCTTCTAATTCTTGACTTCTCAGATAATTTTCGCTACCGAACTTGACCTGGCGAGCCAGTCGTCCCCTCACTTGGCGAAAGTACTTCCCCTCAAGTCCTATATCGGATTAATCCCTCATTGGTCCCAAAATATAATTCAACGAAATGATAGAAACTCTTTAAGCCACAACCCTAGTTGTCAACGATTGTGATCTAAGCTCGAAAAAATGCCATTCACCTGGTTGTCCGCAGCAGTCTTCCATCGCATCCCGCAGTTAGATGAAGCTCCCAAAGAGATTCAGATTCATTTCGGTATTGGACTATCCTTCAAGCATCCATAACTCCAGAGCTTACATTAAATTCCAGATGACGCCTTTGGGACAGAAAACAGGTCTTTTCAAAGCCCCCTCACAGGCTCGGTATTTTTCCTTGACCACAGCGAGAACCCACAACCTGCGCCTAAATATGACTACGACGAGACTGGTGTCGTTATTAAAGGTACGAGATGGACCTGTTTCTTTCTTTCGTAAGGTGAGATTCTCAAGGTTCTCACATAGCTAGGTACACTGGTAATGACGGATGAGATGGGCAAAGAAGCTACTTTGACCAAAGGAGATATATTTTTAGTTCATCGTGGAAGCACTATGACTTTTAGTACTCCAAAATATGCATTGGCATTCAAAGCAGCGGCAAGACGGAGCAACTCTAGCAAATTTTGAAGATACAACCTTGAAATGTGTCTAGACCGGTTAGCGGAAATTATCCCGCTACCTCTTAAGCCCATCATCGCGTCCTCGGGATGTGGAAAACTGAAAAAGCTACCTTCAAGCATATTAATCCTGTCTATGATTGTATCACTCAAGATCTTAATTTCAAGCTTTATTTCCGTATTCCCATTCCAGGGTTGTTCTCTGATCAGGGAGTATGGAAAATCTGACTCCAGTGCTGCATTCCGTCCAGGTCAATATCGTCAAGATCTATTTCCGGCCCCGGAGATAAACCTTCCGCGAGCAGTAGATCCAACGACAGCATATCGGTCGTAAAAACTGAAGGTAGGGGCTCCGCAGAAGGTCGGTTTTCATAGAGCTCTAAATAGGTCGAGGGTGGCAATATATCATTATTTCCATCGGCTTCCATGTCCCCGTGGGTGACAAAACCTTGCTGACGACCAGGAGGTGAGGTTTCGGTGTTATTACTAGTAATTTGCGGGTTGACAGTATTCAATTCGATATCAATCTCTTCTTCGAGCATGGATTGATAATATTGTAACGGAAACGAGGGTCTGGTGTCGTTAGATGCGTCCTTTGTTATTGAATCGCCGGTCTTTGGCTCTTTCGACGCAGAACTGTCACTTTCTTGCGTGGTAGATGATAATGATAGTTGGAGACTCATTGGAAGGTAAGGTGGCTCAGGGACATGCCCTGCATATAAATCATCCGTCGCCCCAAAATCATGGGAAGCTTCATGCAGTACCTCCAGTGCTTGTAGCTGTTGTAGACTGTCAAAAAAATATGCCTTGTGGAGTATCAATCTTGTATTCGGAAAGTTTAATGCATACCCATGCACTCACTGGCTTGTAAAACTGCTTTGTAATTGCGAGGATAGCCAGGTAGACATCTAGTATCTGTTGTAAAAGGCCGTTTTCTGTTGCAATGCCCGAGCGTAGGAAAATGATGGTCACAATCGCGCTCTGAAAACAAGCGTATGCCAATATGGGAGGCTACATATCAGTTAGATTTTGAGACCGCCTGATAGTAAAGATGAATGAGCATACAAACAAGAAAACCTCGTTCTTGAGAATTTGGGCACAAATTCGAGCTATTGCGGATAGGCTGCTTGAGCAGATATTTATATGTTCCTTCCAGAAAGAGCCCGAGAAGGAAGGTGACCCTGAAGACCCGTTTTCAGAGGACTTTCTAGTTGTTTCTGGTATCCACATTGATACATGATTGAAGACCGAACGATGCAAAGCGACAACTGTGCAGTGCCAACTAGTGGCACAGAAAAGGGCAGCGGCGGTCTCACCAGATGGGAAGCGAGTATTATTCAAGGAATTGGGATCCAAAGCAAGTCTTTCTGGATGTTGTAATCGAAAGGCTTCAAGTTCTCTCCAAATGGATGAAAATCTCGATTTTGAGTTCCATGGTGGTAAAGGAATGTTCGCGCAATCATCATTCGAGAGCTGCTGGGAGCGAGCAAGAAGGCCTAAAAGCCAAATGGATTGATCATTAAATGATCGCCGGTCTTTTTTGATGGGTATCTGCGTCAAACATTTGTCGATGAGGCTAGGGTTTCCCAGCGCGTGAAGATGTTGGTGTATAACAAGGAACTGCTCTGCATCTATTAGGGCTTCTAGGTACTCAGGTTGGAGATCTTGAATCATGCGCATCGAGGCCCCAATACTCTGCGCGGCAGCTATCACGCCCCAAGGCGATCATTAGCTGAAGCCGCAATGCCTTGTCCGATGAAAGTAGATACTTACCATTGTCAACACAAGCCTGCACACCACGGGCATGAGCAGCATCATAGAGGGTCAAAATACATAGAGCTTGGATTCTTGAGAGAGGTTGGCTTTCAAGGTGGGTATAGATTCTCCGGCGAGCTTCCAAAGCAAATAATCGAGCCCAATCAGTCCTTTCATTATGTTTTGAAAGGATAGGGTGACATGAAAAATGAACAGCTGAGGCACAGATTGCCAAGCAGAGAAAGTCAGGACATTGCTTTCTGCGCACAGACTGATAAAAGCCACGGGACTGTAGAATGCGACACTGCTGCGTATGAACATGAGACCAGAATAAGTCGATCAGGTGACACATAATATTTAACATGATTGTTTTGTTTAACTCTCTAGCCCATTCCATTAGCGAGGTGTGTACAACTCATCATTGCGTGGCACTTACTCTGATCCGAGGTGATGAAATATCTCCACGTCAATAATTTCAGCAAGGTCATCTCGGCACGATTCCCAAGTTGGCATTTGAGTTGAATCGATTCTCAGAGGAAGATTAGCACCAGGCGATTCTTGATCACTAGATACATTCATTTCTCCCCCAGGGAGAATATCGCTATGTTCAACGGGAAGCAAATTTCCCCTGGTGGGGGCTCCAGGTATCTCCTTGGTGTCACTCAGTGACTTTGGGCGAGGCCCACGACGTTGCCGATTTGTGCGAAACTCACATGTTAGGCCCAACCTCCGACATACTGTACATGGTGCCGTGCCGCTACATTTTCCCTAGGAATTTGTTCAGAAATTAGAAATAAAAGTTCATCATTTCCTGAGGACTTACCTTCCTATTTCTGCACGTCTCACAAGCTATGGTGTTTTTTCTCCTTTGCATTTTCTTCGACTTTCGTTCTTCTAGTAGCTGCTGCAATCGTTATTGAGTGTCGCGTTATGGGACGGCGACTAGCAGCTGCCACGGAATACTGCGTGAGAACGAACGAAGAAGAAGAAGAAGAAGAAGAAGAAGAAGAAGAAGAAGAAAGAAACCTGAAAGTCATCCAAAATATTGGAGACAGATGGGCAAGGGAGGATAAGAGAGAGAGGGAGAGTGAAAAAGAGAAAGAGAGAGAGGCTATCTAGCAGGCCTGGGAGCCTAAGGCCGGAATTCCCGATACTTATCTTTTCCCCGCATTGCGGAATGAAACCGACAAAGCGTTCATAATAGTGCATGAATTCCATGAATTCTTATCTTTCCTGGAGCTAAGAACAGGGGGGAGCTTAGGCTATTCCCATATCTTCAATCACTTGAGTCTCTTGATCCGAATATCTATAATAAATCCCCCGATTTCTCATGATGTCCAGTCACATACCCCATGCATCAAGATCGAGGGTGGCTTTCAAATTGCCGAAAGTGAGACAGGCCAACGAAGATGGAGGCTGCTGGACATGCAAGGAAAATGGCGACCAGTGCGATTTTGGAATTCCAGGTAGACAGTGCCCAGGTACCGATTCTATGCAGGAGCCGGGCTACACGCTTACCATATTACAGTCTGCCGATCATGCCGAAATCGAAATCGACCCTGTGCTGGCTATAGCATGCGGCTGAAGTGGCCGTCGGTAGACTACTGCAAGAATGTCGTTATGGCTCACAATCCTCGAATATCCGACCATGAATTTTCCCAGTTAGGAGTGCCCTCTACACAAGCATACTTCCTGCAACATTTTGCCAGTAAGTAGATTTCGCAGCCTCCATGGAGCTTCACTGATTTTTGAAAACATAGAAAACATCTCGCGTATTGCCTTGGCCATGGACTACGATGGCAACGGATACCGGAGACTTCTCAAAGCTGCCATAAATGATGAGCTTTTGCTCCAAAGTATCCTTGCCGTCACTATATCGCATCACTCGAGATGGCAACAACAATCATCTTTAGATGAAAGTCGCGTCCATCATCACCAAGCACTTATCCAGCTGCGAAATAGGTTGCAGGATCCGGTCATGGCCTGCAGCGAAAATACACTGGCAGCAATGATGTTTCTAATATCTTATGAGGTTTTCAACGGATCAAATAGGTGGAGGCGTCATCATGCGGGCGTCATGGCTTGGATACAAACATTCGGGCATACAACAGTTGTTGATTCTTTCCTAAAGACATGGTTCAGTATGATCAATACACAATCGGCACTCAATGCTGGTGTGGCAATTTTGCCACAAGTGGAGGCATGGTTGAGCAGACCATCATCTATCACACAACGAACGCCAGCCATTGACTCATTCTTTGGATGTTCTACTGATCTTCCAAATCTCATGGTGAGTATGTCTTTTCTTGGTGAAGAATATGTGGCTGAAAAGGGCCATTTCAGTTGAAAGCCGCTCGCTTATACAGCACCATGCGCAGCACCGAGCGAACCGATGCGCCATTACCAGAACGCCTTTGGCTTCAATTGGAGCAGCTACAAGCCGAACTTGCAGCAATAAAGATTGATTTAAATGACACTCCTCCATTTTCCTTGGCATGTGACAACACCGATCCAAGGCTATCACCAATTCAATATCTCACGAATCAGGAAATAGCCACACGAGCAACGGCAGTAGCTGAAATATTTCGACATGCCACATTAGTCTACACCATTCGAACTATGCACGCCCCAGCAGCTATTCAGCACCCTGAGATTCTAAAGTCAGTTGAGATCGTCGTTCAACTCTTGCCACAAGTGCCCGACGTGGTTGGTCCAGGTTCAAATTTGGGCTGGGCATTCGTGGTAATTGGCGCCGAGCTCGACGCGATCGAGCAGCGAGAGTATTTCAGGGGTCGTTTGCATAGTCTGCGCTCTTTGGCAATACAGAATGTCGCATCTGGTGAACTTATTCTAGAAGAAGTCTGGCGGAATAGAGATGCGGCGCGGCTTGAGGAAGCCAAGTATCGACGATGGCAAGAGGTTATGCAAGACTTGGAGGTGGAACAAATTCTGATCTAGGTCTTCATACCCAATTATCTTTGTTGCATGGATATTTATCGAGATTGTAATTTCTACTTGTCAGGCTCTAGCCTGTCAGCGATTAATCCGTCACCCCTCCCACTGTTATTCCGGGGTATCGATGGTCACATACAAGTCATTATTATGGTAGAACAAAATCCTCTCTAAATTCAGCTCAGCGAAATTGTTGTAATATTACTCTTATCCGAGTACATCGTTCTCACAACACCTTTTGGAATCCCTACCTTCAATCCTCAGCCACCATGACCACCAAAGAAGGCCACGTTTGGACCGCTCAGAATGGTCTCCGCTCTGGTTTTCCATGCTTAGGTGCTATAAATCCAGTCCAACTTCAAGCCCCTCGGTCCAATGAAATTGTCGATACAATTGTTATTGGGTCTGGATATGCAGGTCTTGTTGCCGCAAGAGATCTAACTATTCAAGGTCAGCATTTGCCAATTGAATTCTTTTCCAACTTCGCTCACACTTTTAGAGCAGGCAAATCTACGTTCCTTGTCGAAGCACGCGATCGCATCGGTGGACGAACCTGGAACGGAGTTGTGGATGGTTTCAATTACGAGATGGGCGGAACATGGATCCATTGGCAGATGCCGCACATATACCGCGAGATCTCTCTGTATGGAATGCATGACGAACTCATTGTCACTCAGGGAGAAGGAGGGACTCATGATTATTTCACTCTCAAAGGTGCGGACAAAGAGATCAACATGTCTCACGAGGAAGAGGTACCTAAATTTCGCTTTTTCGCTTTTGTTTTGGAGATTCATCACTGACCTAAACGCAGTTGACAATGTTCGGCAAAGTATGGGGGCTTTTCTGCAATGTGGATGGCGTACGAGCCACCGCTGCAATGCCCTACCCATTTGACTCCATGTATAACCGTGAAGTCATGGAGCAGGTCGATCGTCTTTCATGCAAAGATCGACTTGATGCTATTCGTGGTCAGCTGACAGAAGATGAGGCAGTCATGCTAGAAGCCATTCTTCACCAGATGGGTGGTGGACCACTGGATAAAATGGGTCTCCTTGATGCTGTGCGATGGTGGGCGCTTGGAGGTTGGGCAGGAACTGGTATCAATGACATTGGTCTGCGCTATCGTCTGCGCAATGGACAAAGCTCACTGGCGAAACGTATCTTTGACCATGCGCTTGGCACCGGGAAGCTCTCTTACGTATTTTCGTCACCCATTGCTCATATCTCGCAGGATATGAAAGGAGTCGTCTCGGTAACAAGCCGCGCAGGAACTACATGGAAAGCAAGACATGTCATCTGCACAATTCCTCTCAATGTTCTGGGAGACATCAGCTTCTCTCCTCAATTGTCGATAAGAAAACAGCAGGCATTTAGGGAAGGATCCACAAATCACTGTAACAAAGTCCACTTTGATGTGGCTGGAGAAGGCATGGTAGCGTGGACAAACATGACTTGGCCTGGCAAGGGAGTCATATGTGCCATAGCGGATAATTGTACCCCAGCCGGAGACACCCATTTGGTTGCTTTTGGACCAGCTCCAACTCTCGTGAACGGAATTCAGCTGAAGGACGGGATTGAGGGAGTGACTCGTGCCTTGGAACACGTTTTGCCAGAAGGACAGGTCATCAAACGTGTGGTATGTATGCCTCTTCTCTTCGCCTGCACTGTCTTGCTGATTTATCAGGTCTACCATGATTGGAACCAGGATGAGTTTGCTAAGGGAACATGGTGCTACCTACCTCCAAACTTTGCTACTCGCTACCTGGATGATCTTCGGCGCCCGCACGGGAATGTCTTCTTTGCTAACGCGGACTGGTCAGACGGATGGCGTGGATGGATTGACGGTGCTGTTGAGCAAGGCACACAGGTCGCGCTACGTGTTGTTCAGGCGCAGAGCGAAATGCTGAAACAAAGGAACAGTCACTTATAGAGAAATATCTCGGCCTCTCAACAAGATAGCAAATAAGACTCGTCATTTATCCTTATCTTTATATTATAAATCCTTGAGGCATGATCATTCTCGCTCGGAGCATCCAAAGCACCAGAGGTATCACTAGATTCTCATTTCCAATTTTTCTAGTGTTGGTTTGGCCCAATATCGCACCGTTGGTACCAATAAGAAGTTAATCCGGAGAGTCCAAGTACTTAATCACCATCCAAGTCAGTCACATATCGCATACGACCAGTTTTTTTTGCTGCTCATCAGAATGGTTCTAAAATACACCGATTCGAAGCTATGCACCAAGAATTTTGAATTTCACAATTGGCCTGGTCCAGGTGAAGAAGCCGCCGACCTATTCTCCCTCTCCCACGCAGTGATCGTGCCCGCAAACTCTCGTCGGGTGATCATTGGAGGTCAGGTCGGGATTCAAGATAATGGCTCTGTCCCATCCAGCATTACTGAAGAGATTGATACCGCATTTAACCATGTTGAGCGGGCCCTCAGGGCTGCTGGTCTCGGAGATGATGCTTGGGAATACGTGTACAAGGTGAGAATAAATCATGAACAGATTATTTCTCTAAGACTTACGCAAATAATTTTAGATCAATACCTTTGAAATTCCTGCTCAAGGGCTACATGAAGCGATCAGCTTGGCAGTTGGCAAATATTTAAAGAGCAATCGTCCTGCGTGGACAGGAGTACAAGTTGCGGGGCTCATTATGATTCAATTACACCTGGAAATTGAAGTGGAGGCATTTCTTCCTTGATTAGATTCTTCACGTCTTCCAATAAATCCACTACATAGCGGAATTTCTGCCTTGATGGTGAATCTTTCTATCCAATTACTTATAAGCGGCCCGGGTTATCTCGCCGCGCTCCGTAGGTTGCGATAAGAGCCTAATTCCTTGATCAATTTGTACGGTTATCATATCACCGGAAAATCTGTGGAAGGCTTATCATAAGTGATAAGTGGTCTCTTTCGCTCAAAGCTTGATACATGATCAGAGACGGCAGGCTGGATTATTTTCTGATTCGCTCGGACTTTTTGCCTAGCTTCGGCCTCACTAGTGCCATAAGCCCCAGATAATGTGCGGAGAATCAAAATAGACTTCCTGCTTGGGGGGCTGATATAGCCTCGATGTGAAGCTGTGAGAGAGAACCGGAATTTATCGTAACAATGAGCGGAATTGACGACTTCAAAGTCGAAGCTGTTCAAACCAGCCACGAACTTAGACGCGCTGCGCTGGGACATGAGCAGTCTATGAAGCGCCGCTTCAATGTCTGGTCTTTAATTTTCTTGGCATTTTGTACCAGTGTCACTTGGGAGGTTATTTGCGCTACCATGACTCAATCGCTCCTAACCGGCGGGAGCTCCAGTATGGTCTGGGGGTTTGCCGCATCCGCAATTGGAGCTTTGGCCATTGCTCTGTCTCTCAGTGAGTACGCCAGCATTTTACCCACTGCCGGGGGCCAGTATCACTATGTTGCAGCACTATCACCACCAAAGTATGCTAGAGCACTGTCCTGGCTCGCCGGCTGGGCTACTATTTGGAGCTGGGTTCTGTCAGCACTCTCGGGTATCTTTTCAAATGCTATGCAGATTCAGGCCTACGTGATTCTTTTTACGCCCGGATATGTGTACCAACGGTGGCATACTAGCTTGGTCGTCATTGCCATCGCCACATGGGCCACGGCACTCAGCATCGTTGGAATCAAATGGCTACCTCGAATTATGTACTTGGGTATCGTACTGCACATCGCTGGATACATCGCCACAATAGTTTATTTACTTGCTTCGGTGTATCCGAAGAATTCGGCTTCTTTTGTGTTTGGTGATCTGACCAATCTGAGCGGCTGGAAGAGTGATGGAGTGAGTGTGGTCTATTCAATATATCGCCTGCGCTATATTAACTTCATTCATACAGGTTGCTTGGTCAGTGGGACTTATGAGCTCTGCGATAGGCTTCGTCAACTGGGATTCCTCGACGCACATGGCCGAAGAAATGCAAAACGCAGCGAGAGATTTGCCTCGGACTCGTAAGTGCTTTGATCTTTCGAAATGCTTGTGACATAGGCTAACATGATTTATACAGTATACGGATGTGTAGCCCTCTCGGGCTTACTGACTTTTCCATGGGTCATCGCCCTGATGTTCTGCATGACAGATGTCCAGTCCATAGTCGAAGGCCCCGTTGGAACAATCTCCCCACTAGTCCAGCTGATCTATAATGTGTCCGGTGGCGACCAAGCCACTACTATCGGGATGACATCGTTTTTCTTGATCCTGTCCCTGAGTGTGTCAGGACCTGGTGTCATGAGTGCAACCTCTCGCATTGTCTGGTCCTTTGCGTGTGAGGGAGGCATGCCCTCTCCTTTCACACGCATTCATTCGCGCTGGGAGGTCCCAGTGAACGCACTTTTGCTGGTATGGTTCGTTGTTTCAGCTCTTTCGCTCATCTATATCGGGAATTCCACCGCTTTCTATGGAATTAGCTCTGGCGTGACCATTGTTATGATTTTTTCCTATTGCCTGCCGATCGTTCTGAATCTTGGCTGGGGAATCGATGGCAATAAATTGAAGCGAGGACCGTTTACTCTCGGTCGCTGGGCGCGGGCGATCAACATCTTTGCATTCTGCTGGTGTCTGTATCTGATCGTCTTCATGACCTTCCCCACCGTAATGCCAGTTTCAGGCTCAACAATGAATTATGGAGTGGTTCTCTTCGGTGTTTGCGTTTTAATTATTCCAGTTGTTACCTGGTTTTCTTATGGCCGCAGGTCATACCTTGGTGTCTTGGGGGAACATATCATCGCTATTGAAGGCTTTGGAGGGGAAGCTCTGCAGCCTGAAGATAAGGCAATGAGTGGAAAGGATTGATCTTGCCGACTTGTGACCGTGTTGATAAATATCCATCCATCTCCCGCTCCCAATAATGCGACAATATCCGATCACAAATCTGTAAGATCTATCAAAGTACTTTTACTTTCTCGACATCTGCCAGGGTGTTTTTACCGGACTCGTTTGGATACACCTCATGGACTCCAGAAGAGATTGGAAAATCTGGCGAGCTTCAGGCATTGGGTTTCCTAGGTACTCGGGGGATTGTAGAACCTATATAGGTCTGGTGTCCTTCGAATCTCTCTTAGAAGCGGCCTTGAACTTTTTAGAAGAAAAGTTCCGCCCACCCTTCAATTTTCCAACCTCGGCGAGCTTTGACTCAGCAGACTTGGTTGAGGGGAGTCTTAGTGACAAATGTGACGTTTTAGAGCACTCGAGATCATAGAGGTCATCATTTCTAGCCGCATTTCCAAAGAGCGAATACACTCTTCAACCAACTCATTATCTTCTTTCCGACCACCGTCCCTATTTTTAATCTTAATATTAGCGAATGCGATCCTTTTGGGTTGGATTTGATTTTTGTTAGGCCTATTATCGATCGGTTTTCCTTTAAGGTTTGCCTAAATGATTCGGTCACTACCTTCCTTAAAGAGTGCTCCCGCACTAAATCTAGCATCTTGTCAGTTTCTCCTTTCCTTTCTGAATTGATTCTGTTTTAAAGTGAAATAAATTCGTGGTGGTGCTTGTCTTCTGTAACTTAAGCGCATCTTGTTTAGCTTTACTCTTCGGTTTGAGTTTTACGAAGTTCTTAGGCCTTGCCTATTCTTTCTTCTATTTTTTCATTACTTTTAAGTTCTTATTTCTACACATCTATAAGCTCTTATGGCCCTAATATATCTCGCGTTCTACTCGTTTAGGTAGCGAGGTCAAGTAGTAACTTTCTTACAGGAGTCGCTATAAAAATAGACTGATTGTTATTCAGGATCGTATTCAAGATATAGTACGCAAAAGTCTTTCTATTTATATATCCTATAACACGGTTCCGAGAGTGCTCGTCAATGCCTTCCAATAAATAGTATAAGTTCTAGTAGACTATGAAGTAGATTTGTTTCCTATACTAATATTCGCTACCGCGCCCTTTCGATATTTATAGAGAATGTTTTTGTCTAAGAATCCTACTAGAATACGAGCACCTCCCTTCTACTTGGAAGCCTATCTATATAGAAGGCCGCATAGTATCATATAAGCTGGTCTTATTCTATGTCGTATAATATTATAGCCTAATTAGGAAATTGGGGCCTGATATTAAGATATGGAGAAAGTCGTCCCTAGGATAGACTAACCAGGTCCTAGAAAGCACCTATGGGGCTCGCTAAAGTAGGATTTACCCTCTTAGCAGAAAAATTCGATTTACGATGCTCCTTGGTTCCTCTTCCCTTTATTAAGCCGATATCGCACTCTTATCTGGAGAGTTTTAGAACTAGGACGCCCGGGTGCCCTTACCATGAAAAGCTCGATATCTTTCTATTTAAGAGAATCGGGGCTCTTGACGTATCCTGTGGCTTCCATCAAGGCCCCTAGTCGAGTGGGAATGTAGACCATCATTTTCCGGAGTGTATTTAGTTGGAAAATCATCCGTATATTCGGAAACGGAACCGGGCATCACAATAGTAGATAGTATGTCGAGTACAACATATCGTCAATATTAAACGAAGACTGATCCCCCTTAGTTAAATCGAGCTTAGACTCATCGGCTAGTGAGTCTACGAGCTTTGGGAATATTAGGTAGGTTCCGACACTTAAAAGTTAGGAAGTCTTATACCCTTGGCGCGCCCTTAAACTCGAAGGAGGCTCCTTTTTTTTTCCCCGCATGAAAAACATAGTAAAGCTCTTTGAGACCGTTTGGAATGAGGGTTTGCGTTCGAAATTGTGCTCATTGATGTATTTTCTAAGGAAGCCTTCGATCAGGCGTAAGCTGAATCTATCGTCTAACCAGTAACGATGGTCTACAGGTCGAAGTTCCCCTGTCCATCTACTCTGTATTAGTTTGGTTCGATCGGTTTGTAAGAGAAATCCATCATACTTTTTGAAGCAATTGCCGATACATTAAATCTTGTCCGTCATTGGGGGCTTGTATATCTTGGGGGGTGGGCCCTCTTCCCGTAATCCATCGAGAAACTCGTTCTAGTCACGTTTGCGCTCCTTCGGCTTACGGCTCGGGGTCAGTTTGAAGGGATGAATTTATAAGGAATGATTCCACGCCCGAGAATCCTGCGTTATTTATAACCGCTGACCTATTGTGGTGGTGTGTCCCAGTAGTTAATCACATACTGAAATAGTCCACCTAATCGGGTAAAGCGTCTATGCTGAGCGCGGTGCCAATTATATAAGTCTGGCTACCGTCAGTGTGCCTAGGTGGAAGGGCCATGATTCTCCCGGCGAATGCCACGATTCTTCTCCAACAGCGCCAAGCAGAACTGTGGTTTTTCCGCCATCACTCCCGGGTTACCACATATTGTTCAGCCCTTAATGGAGATGAGATTCATCACTCTAAGTCTTACTTTAGTAAGCAGCCTCTAAGACATCTACGAAGATACATGCCTCAACCCTTGAGTATTTGTGAGTGAGATCACTGACTCTCATCGCCCTATCCCCATTTCCAGAGTCTCGTGACTCCTTCTACGCCTCTCAGCTCAACCAAACAGTGCATCTACCAGTTTTATCGTTGACTTCTAGGGCTCTATCTCTCAATAGCACTTGATGATTAGTGAACGATGTTCCTGGTTTTTATTGCGAGGTACATCGATATTCGGCACATAGTCTCATCCAAATTCTGCAAGATGTATTCCCTAGAGAATATTCCGGCCCGCCGAGCCGTTATATCGCCGAGCCAGTAAGCACAACGAAATCCAGATCTGAAATTGAGACCAATTTCTGTTTATAGCATCGAATCTACCAGTAAAAGAGGTTACAGAGCTAGGCATTTATTAGCGGTTATGCCAAGGCTTGGCGTGAGGCAAGCCAAAATGCATTGGAATTCGCATGCTATGTAGTTGTTTTGGCGACGCAAAATTCGCCTAAAGGCTTGGCTAAGGGAATCTGATGGTCGGAAATAACGGGAAATGACCCAAGGCCCGTATAATAGAAAACGATAGAAACACGGCCTAGCTCAGGTTTCAGGCCACGGCGCAGGCTGACAGCCATCTTAGTCTATGTTTTGTAAGACGCTAAATAACGCTAAAGTGTGCGCTGCAGTTAAGGAAATGAGGGAGGTGGCTGTAGCCGAGCTACGCACTGCCGCTAGTCTAACGTCTGAATACTTTTGCTCGTATCCATGCAGCCAGTCTGACCTTGTCATAAATCAAGTGGAGCTCGTATCGTGAAAGTGTACTCTGCAATGCCACTTGCGTAGAAGCTAACGCCAAAACAGAATGTGGAGCCTAAAAGTCCAGCTTTTTCGCATAGGCTTGGTTTATGTTTATTAATCTGACTCCTTGGCCATAATCAACTAGCTACTGGAGCACCTCCTTCAGGAAAAATTGCTGATGTAAGAGCATAGTCGCCACATGGGTGGTTACTTAATTTCTTTTTGGAGATTCAAAGCTGTTGATTGAATTTGGACGCCTGCGAGTGAAATTTCCTACACACAGAAATTAGGGATAGTACGGCTTATCCCATACAGGTGGGTAGAATTTAATGAAGAGAATAATTCCTCAATGGCTCTCTTAGTACTACACTATCTCGAGGCAATTGCAAATTCTCCAACACATTTCTCCTTCTCTGAAGATCAAGCCGTCTCAAGTAACTTGGGCGATCATGCAGCTTCTCGACATCGTGGCTTGCTCTATCTCTTTTGTAGCTCTAGTGCCAGATGCCGCTTAGGCCGCTCCAATGTTTGCCGATACTCCAAATTTTTGGGTGAACTTGTCTCTCGTAGATCCCCCGAAGAAACCACGGCTTTCACTCTATTCGAATGTCAGATTGCCAAAGCATCCCACCCCCCAAAATGGATATTCCTGAGGGGAAATCGATGTCAGGGTACTTTTCGGTTATTTAAAATGCCCCACTACTAAAACACACTGGCCCCAACAACGAAGGCTCGGAATAGATCCCGGCCTGGGCCGAGCTGAAACCCGACGCCATAAGAAAGGGGTTGTTAGCTTTGATTCGGTTTTGCGCTGTCACGTCCTGTCTCGGTTAGAAAACACATTATCAGAGCTGACCCAAATATTTAGAGAATTTCCCGTGAAAATGAAAATCTGGAGAAAAAATTCCAATCTCAACATGACAGATGATTATGAAGCTAGTTTGTATTTGTCTAGCTAAGCTAATTATATGACGGGCGGCGATCCCGTGACGATAATAAGTAAATGGGCAACGCACCCCGCACACAAGAGAATGGCAGCAATTTTTATCTGGCCGGTGTGTGATAATTCTTCGAGGTTTATTTTAGTTCCAGTCAAATAGAATGTTCAAAGGCGATCTCAATTCAAGAAAATGATGGAATTCTATGCGCAAGTTGATTGCTACTTGTCTTGGTAATGCTGTCATAAGCTAGTCAGGCGATTGGAGACGAGTTGTAAGCCGGACCCACCCGTCGATATACTGCAGATACTCTGACACTACCCTTGTCAAAACCCTGTAATAGTTCGCCATTTGTGACAAGTGCGTTTGGCGACATATTCGCCATGTGTTTTTTCCTGCGGCCAAGACAAGGGCGGGAACTATACTGTAATCATTACATGATGAGAGGTAAGCAAATTCATACATTGGCAAATAAATTGGTCATGATTGTTTTCCTATGACTTCGGGACTTCGGGAAAGCTCGAGGGCATAGGCAGCGAGGTATAAATAAGAGGTGAATTCCCAGCTTCGAGAACTTTCTCATCAGCAATCACAGTCACCTTTCCTCCATCATCTTCAATTCTATTCTTTGAAAACAAAGTTTGCAATATGCATTTCACTAAAGCCATCCAGGCCGCCTTTGTGCTGGCAGTCTCCCTTCCTGTGAACGCATGGAACAGACTTGACAAAGACAACGCTGTAAGTTTTCACAGATTGAGACATATTTCGATTGTTAGTAGAGAATAGACAGAAACTCATTCATTCCAGGCTCTTCTTGTCATTGATCACGAGGTTGGTCTGTCTATGCTCGTGCGTGACTACAGCACCAATGACTTCCGTAACAACATCCTCGCCCATGCCGCTCTCGGAAATGTCTTCAACCTGCCCACTGTCCTGACTACCTCTTCTGACTCCGGTCCCAACGGATTGATGCTCAAGGAGATCATGGATATGCACCCTAACGCGACCCTAGTCCGTCGCCAAGGCGAGGTCAATGCCTGGGACAACAAGGACTTCCGTGCTGCTGTCAAGGCCCTCGGAAAGAAGCAGTTGATCATTGGTGGAATTGTGACTGAAGTCTGTCAGTATTTCCTCTTTTATCTGTTTCCTAACTTCGCCTTTGGATATGAGCTAATATTAACCCTAGGCACCTCATTCCTGGCCCTTTCTCTCATCGATGAGGGATACGAGGTCTACGCCAACACTGATGCGAGTGGAACCTTTGACACTCGTCTTGCTGCAGATGCCAACCGCCGGATGGAGAAGGCCGGTGTCACTCTCATGGGTCTCTTCGCCATCGCTTGCGACCTCATGCGTGACTGGAGACACACCCCTGGCCTGACCGAGCTGCTTCCCTTCCTCGACAAGTGAGTCAGCCAGTTGTGAAAATTCTGGAAGAAAAGAATTATTGACTTTATCATTTCCTAGGTATCAATTCGCCTACGGCCTGGTTGCCCGTCACCATGCTGGTTCCATCGTGAATGGCACCCTTGCTGCCATCGAGGAGACATTGATCTAATAATGGATCCTGAAAGGACTGTTATGAGGCTGATAGATTACCTTAAAGGGGACGGGTGTATGAGGAAGTAAGACGTATGGATCGGGAGGGGCTTCATTGCCAGGTCTTTAAAAAGCCCATCTTCAACTCTCGAGTGTTTCAAGGTTGGGTGGTCGACATTAGTCAGAACATCCCTTAGCCCAGATAACTAGACAATGGACATACTTTGGCAGAAAAACCTGGTTTTCCAAATTCCTGGTGGTTATATTCCATGCCTAGTACCTAGTGAAGTGGGGCACGCGTCGTTGGTGCTGGTAGTGTCTGTCTGCGAACCAGACACCACTGGGGCAGATTCTTGGGTAGTGGAAGACAAGAGAGGAGAACCTAGGGGTGGCTTGAGAAGGAAAGATGGTCTGAGTTGCTATCTCTGCACAACTAGGCTTATATCCATCATATATGCTTAGTCACCATACACTAGACATCGCCAAAACCCATAAAGCCCAAAGCCCAACCCAACCCAACCCACAAATGGGTTGGGTTTTGGGCCCGATGCTCGGCCCATTCATGGGCCTTGGGCTTTGCCTTGGGCCCAAGTAGGCTTCGGCAAATGGGTACCCATCTTAAAATTTTAATACTCATCCCATCCCATAATAGGCCTGGTCCCATATGGGTACCCATATGGGTACCCATAAACCCATTTTTGCCTGGCTGCCTGACTTTTGCCTGATTCTGGCCTGATTTGACATATCTTTTGCCAAGCTTTTCTGTTTAATTACGTCTAATCCCGTCTGTATATATATAGAAGACACCTTTTTTCTATACTTTCACCATATAAATAGTAATTATATGTAATCTAGCTTAATATAAGCTTATTATACTATATTACCCTAATTAAGCTTATATTTAGGGTAGTAAGACCTTATATTAAATGGTAATTTTAGAAGCGGTTAATATACTCCATAGATGGGGGGGATATATATATAAATCATATCACTTCACCACCTCATAAACCAGGTGCTCACCATAACCACTCTTTATATATAATTTAAATAGAGAACTAGCTAAATAATAAGCTTATATGCTTATATATAAGCTCATAGACTAAATTTCATAGTATAGGTTATAGTAATATAGAAGAATAGATTAGACAAAATAGTGTTCCTGAAGCTACGGCAGCCTAGATAGGTCACTATAGCAGTGACTAAAGATCTACTGTATTCCATTATTTATTTTGGTATTCTGTCAAAATCTCATCATAATTCGCTAAAACAATAACGGTCTCGGTCAAAAATGGAGCACCTAATCAATTTTTAGAACAGGTCCTCGATCTCCAGTCTCTATGCCCTTGACTATGAGAACGGGAGTGGGTATATACTGCAATACCTTCAGCTCCGATGTTCAGCCAATCATAGTACTAAAAGAACCATTTCAATCATTAGTCTTATGATATTATGAAATACACACGCCGGATTAAACGCCTCCAGCATGTGGAAAAATAGCCATAGCTTGCTGTTTGCCACTAAATCCATTTAACCATATCGTTGCTTTCAAACCCATCGATGAGGCCGTGTGCCATCGTCTCCTGCGTTTTTTCAAATCGGACGCAGACTTGGCTCAGGTTCAAGCACATATTCGAACTCAGTATGTCCCAAATCTTTACATGTCAGATTTGGAGACCGGGAAAGCGCGAAGTGGAGAGCCAATGACTTTCATCAAACGCCAGTGTTATTGTCATCGGAGAATGGAATCTGTCCCATTGAAAAATGCATTTTATTCGTCTTTCCCACGGAAAGTCATTTGAAACCTGCTAAAAGGAGCATATATCAGCCTTTCAATGGTCAAAATCGGGGCTGTTTAGAGCTCCGTAGTCTGAATTTGTCATGGATGGGGATAGTCTTGCATCTGTGCTATACGATTCAGGATGAGCTGCCTCTTCATGAATTTCGGCATGTACAATGTCATTGATTTTGTCTGATACCAGGCCGCACCCATATTCGTTTATTCATCAGAATGTTAATTCAACTTCCTTGAATGAAATGTTCAAACTCGACTAAAAAAATCCTTTGTTTACACTTTGAAGGAAAGTTGGCTTGGACTTGGGCATAGGAATTGACAATCATAAGTTAGCTATCTGAGCCAGCTGTAATCCCAGCTTCTGGGCTTGTAAATGTGCGGGTATTTTGGTCTAGATAGTATCATATATCCATTAATATGCATAGTAATCTGTTGATAAGATGTGAAGATGGCACTTGAGAGAAGGTTTGCGTACGTAGTCACCGTATCGTTCATCCTCAATTCAGGCTCTTAATGCTCCATTCTTCACAGCTTTGAACAGATTAGTGATCTTATAGTCATCGTTTGGCACCGCAATATCATGAACATCATGGGCTGCAGCAACTCCAGCATACTGAGCCGTCCACTTTAAAATATCATATAGCCTTGGAAGCCAAAATTCCGTTCAGAAGCTTGCTATTCTGGAGGAAATAGGAGTGCTTAGGGAGCTGTAGCTACACAACACGCAAAAAATGCTGGCAACAAGGGCATCCAGGTTAAAAGCCCAGTAGTCATATAGTGCACATTTAGTCAAGCCTTGGAAATGGTAAGGCTGATCAAGACTATTATTCAGCGAGCCGAGTCAGTGCGGCTTCGGGCGTGAGAGCAAACTTCTCGTTATCTTGTAAATCAAACCTATGGGCTGGGTTGCTAAGTGCGTATGTAGCATCAAATAAATGCATAATTCTGCATTTGAGCTACGTGCATCTCTACGTTGGCATCTAACCGTAAGGCTGGACGGCTGGGTGGATAGTTACTATTTTTTTTGTATTGCATGACAACGCAGATCAATTGATGTTGGTATAGCATTCATCACGAACTTCTCTCATCAATGCGTCCCTCGGCTTCCCCAAGTCGCAAAAACAGGATAAAGCCCGGCAGCGGGGAGTGTGGAGAAAAAGAGAACTCTCAGCAATCGTCCAATCCTATCAATGCCTGGGCATTACTAGTTCCCCACATACAATTTTAGTGCCAAGCCTATCATTCCAAAAGGAGGTAATATAATGCGACTCATCGCGCATTATTTCTCTCCTTCCTAAGGGGGAAAATTTCGAGGTGTACGCCGATGGAAAGATACAAATGCGCATATTGATCAAAATAGAGCTCGGCCAACTGATTGGATTAATACTTAAAGCCCAGGCCCGAGCCACGCCAAGAAGCAAGGATGTGTTTATTCGCCTCATGGAAGCTAATGCACGAGTGAAAATTTTCGAGTCCGGCTCGAATCCTTCGGCTTGAATTTTTATAAATTGATTTCCTGTACCACTGGACACGCGAGCAGTATCCTGTATGGCCATTTGCGCAAGGGGACGGGCTCTGCCGAAGGCCGGACGTATTGCCGAGGATAACCATTATCGCCCCTAGCATTATCATTACGTGAATCGGTGTGAGTTACGGTCACATCGAAGAAGTCGTGACAAGAGAGGTGTGTGGCGGCGCCTCCCAACGCCGCATGGTCAGGGCGCGGTGCGACGGTATTGTATTGTAAGCAGGGATTTTGATTTGTTGAGTTAGTAGCGCGTCCATGGGTCCAATGAGGGCGCCTGAATGCGGAAGGGATACGCCCATGCCAAGACTTAAGACTTGGACGCAGTGCAAGATTTTTTGCACAAACTTTTGCCTTTAATTAGTGGTAGAGTAGGCGAACCGCCAGTAAAACATAGAATTGAACCTGGAGGTCACAAGTCACAAGGTTATGTGATCATTGTGTATAAGCAGATCGTTCAGGGTCGAAAGTATGGAAAAAGGAGAGTCAAAAGTCTTTACCACACGGAGATGACGTCTGTTCGGCACGTGGAAATGGTAGACTTTTCTGTTTCAGGCAAAGTTATCCCGCCAACCTTGGAAAGTTATCGTGCTTCGGCCGGAGTAGCAGGACACGGCAACCGGCGTTCAGTACCGAGTTGAATATGATAAGATCTCGGGGATTCTACAGATAGTGACACGACACATTATCAATGTATTTACGTTCAGGCAATTATGCGTAAGACTATCGTGCTGGACTTTTGCGTAATACTTCACTAGATGAATGCGGTCCGATTCGAGGCTGAATGGCTTTCATCCCGAATGGCTTAATGCGGCCCGGATCCAGCAGCCACTCCGCGCCACAAGATTTGATCGTCCGGTCAAACCTTGCCTAGTGCGGGAGCCTCTCACGTTGTACATTTCAGTCTAACCTTGTCCTCTCTTTTACTTTATCGAATCTTGCAAGGCAATCTTGATCTCTACAAGAAAAACCGCGTATGCTCCCCCTTGATCTGCGCGCAACCCCAGCTAGAGTCTGGGGGCCGGGGAAGCGTATGGTAATTTTACGTAATGTTGATACCGGGTGGGGGCGGCCGAAGCCGAAGTCTGGCAGACTTTGCCTCTTTCAGACAAGACTGGACCCTCCCGTACGCCCTGGCCAATACTGCGTCGTCGCATTCTGTACCGGCCATGTCGTAATTTTCCAGAAAAAAAAAATGAAGGAGAAAAGAAGGATATTGTTCAGAAATACAATGGTGGTAGGACTCTATATAGTCTCATCAATCCCACCGTTTTCGTTCTTCTTTTCTTTTGTTTTCCTCCACCTCCACCTTCCCTTCTCCACTTCCCCAAAGGGTCGACATAGCTATCAGCTATCGAACCCTTCCTTCCAGGTCTATATTGCCTGATCTTTGCATTTACAAAGTCTTAAGAAAGAAAAGATTTGGTTCAATCAACGAATCAGAGCACACACATTCCTACCTTTTATACCCCTTGCTCTAGCAAGCGACAACTACGACCCCCCACTTTCGAATTGCAACGTATTACGACCACATACGATCAAAGTTCACGACTGCAGCATCTCCAGCCCATCCCCGTGCAAAATACCCTTCGATTGCAGCCACAGCCCTTTTGCGCACTATCCTTTGCACCATCTTGTAGTCTTGCCCGACGATCCAGATAGCGACAAATCCCAACCCCGTTGCGACTACCGGAACCCATACTAGGAACCCCAAGCGACTTCACCCATTACCGTCAATATGGGATTTGAAAAGTTTAACCCGTTCAAGAAGGATCGTCAGAACTTCCCTGGAGTTGTGATTCCCTTATCCGAAGCCCCAGCTTACCCCAATGGAGCCCCACCTCCTGAAAAGGAGGAAAAAGTCGATGATTCCGTTGCCAGCAAGTCTTTGGAACGAGCTTCGTCTTCGGAGAATGGTTCCGCTGGGTCTTTGCCGGATACTAGCTACCTGACTATTGAGCTTCTCCGTGCAGAGATCGATGCGGAGACCTCGACTTCGGGTCACGACTCTTTGTATGATCGTATGTGCTCCATTTCTGTCCCAGATATTGCAGTTTCTCAACGCCACTTTATCATTATGGGGGTTCCTTTCCCTCCGCAATCTTCTAATCTAATACGATGGCTTTTAGGCAAAGCAAAGGTCATCAACCGGGCTCTTCAGGATATTGGCATGGGCCGATATCAGTGGAAATTGTTCTTCCTTTGTGGATTCGGATGGTTGGCAGATAAGTAAGCTATGGCCCTTCCCTTTCGTGTCAGATATGGTCAACTAACATATTTTTAGCCTCTGGCTCCAGGTAAGAGCATTGAAGCAATATGGAAGCATATGGATTTGAGAACTAATCCTTAAATTATAGGGAGTTGCCTTGACATTGACACCAATTGCGTATGAGTTTGGCATCGACACATCATGGGTTCGTTTCAGCACCTGCGCCCTGTTCCTAGGTCTATGCATCGGCGCTTCATTCTGGGGTGTCATCTCCGACATCGTCGGCCGCCGTCTAGCATTCAACACCACCCTCTTCCTAGCCGCTGCATTCGGTCTAGCAGCAGGTGGAGGTCCAAATTGGATCGGCACCTCCGCCTTATACGCCTGTCTCGGTCTCGGCGTTGGCGGAAACCTGCCTGTGGACGGCGCCCTATTCCTAGAGTTCTTACCCTGCGTCTCTGGAAACATGTTGACAATGCTGAGTGTCTGGTGGCCAATCGGCCAGCTTATCTCCAGTTTGCTCGCTTGGGCTTTCATCCCGACTTACAGCTGCGCTAGCGCAGAGGGATGTACAAAGGAAAAGAATATGGGCTGGCGCTATCTCGTCCTCACCCTCGGTGCTATCACCATGTGCATGTGGATTGCCCGTTTCTTTTTCTTCCACCTGTACGAGTCGCCTAAGTTCTTGCTTTCGCGTGGTCGTCAGGAGGAGGCTGTTGCGTCTGTTCATGGAATCGCTTATGAGAATAAGGCGAAGACATGGTTGACCAATGAGATCCTTAATGAGATTGGTGGAATCGCTGAGACGAAGGAAGAGGAGAAACTTGCTGTTGGAGAGATCGTCAAGCGGTTTTTCTCTAAGTTCTCTATGGAGCGCATTGCGCCTCTATTCTCGAACAAGCGTCTGGGATTCACTACCGCTCTCCTCTGGTTCTGTTGGACTACCATCGGTATGGGATACCCGCTTTTCAACGCCTTCTTGCCTCAATACCTCTCCCAGACTGGTGGTGAAACGAATTCCTCTTACATTACCTACCGCAACTACGCTATTACCTCTATCGTTGGTGTGCCGGGTTCCCTCCTGGCCTGCTACACCGTCGAGATTAAGTATGTTGGTCGGAAGGGCACCATGGCTATCGCCACTGTCATCACTGGTGTCTTACTATTCTGTTTCACTGTCTCGTCTACCTCGAATGTCCAGCTCGTCTGTACTTGTCTCGAGGCTTTCTTCCAGAATATCATGTACGGTGTTTTGTACGCCTACACACCGGAGGTGTTCCCTGCTCCAAACCGCGGTACTGGCTCCGGTATCTCCAGCTGTTTGAACCGTATCGCTGGTCTTTGTGCGCCATTGGTTGCCATCTTTGCTAGCAGCTCAAATGCGAATGCTCCGATCTATGCTTCGGGTGGTTTGATGCTTGCTGCTTTTGTGGCTATGGTCCTTCTCCCTATTGAGACTCGGGGTAGACAAACTCTATAAGCAGTGTTGGTGCCAGCATACAGAGTTTGAAAAGAAAAAACAGCATGCTTGATTATTTGACTATATATTAAATGGTTCGCGTGGAGTGAGGTCGCTCCTTCATGAATATATGTAAAAGATACCATTGTGATTTTCATACTAAAGCATTTCAATACACTGGAGCCTTTCATTCAATATTTCGGTCTGACGAGGTATGATGGATGAAACAGAGCCCGGATTTTATTAGTACCATTTCAGACATCGATACCCCTTTTCAGGGTTCCTGGTGGTTTCTTGATATTTGTGTACTAGATATAATTCAAAAGCGTCCACTAGTCACTCTCCTTGGTATCCTTCTTCCCATCAGAGCTCAGCGAACTTTGTCCTGTAGCAAAGATGTCGACCAAGCCGTTGTCATAATCATCTTGGCTTGAGTCGTGAGTTGCCGCGTTGATCAAGTTCTCATTTAGGGTCGGACTCGTTCGAGTTATTGCAGGCGAGCGTCAAGTAAATCTCGTGTCTGTTTTGCGAGATTGCTAGGCGGCTATAGTGGCTAGTTAGCACAGACAATTTTGAAAGGTGTTCATCTGACATACTCGGGGAAAGAATAATCTCGGTTCTTGTCTTTGCCACACAGGATCCATGCCACCATTTCTGCGCCTTCCTGTCACATGTCCTGAGGAACTCGATGATATCGCTTGATCGCCTCTACCTCCTTTGCAAAGGGTTCTTCCTTACAGAAGACCCTCAAGTAGTCATCGACATGTGTGGCCATATCGACTTGACCAAAGAACACATACAATTGGGTTTCAGCGAGCAGCCCACCTAAAGCGAATATCCGGATTGAGGCTTAGCGTGAAAGCATTCAAGAGGCTAAGCATAGAATGGTTCAAATCCTCTGCATCGGCTCTGACGATGCTGGTCCGTGCCTTCTGTTGCGTCACCTAAGGCTCTGCATGGAATCGGCGCGACTCGCAAGATGCATCCCTAAGGAGATAAGGAGATTAAAAGGAACGGCGAGGTGTGTGTGAGTGGGACCGTGATAAATTCCGATTTGGCTTCTTGCAAGTCGTATTGAAATCCGACCTCCATGAACGGTATTATCATTGAGTACTTCCACCGGCTTCACGTACGTCTTGTCACCGCGTTTTCGCGTGAACAAAATGCGTGCTGTGTCAAAATCCAATTTGCCATCAGAGTTGCACATCCAGAATTTTCTGGGAACTTGATTCGAAAGAAGGTGGTAGTCAAAGAGTTGGCATCTTGGTCGGAATACCATCAACATGCACAGTGGTGGTAACCTGAAGAAGGTGAAGACTTGGGCGTCCAATAAAGCTTCTGTAGCTCATCAGAACCCCCTAATTCGTGAGGTATCAGAAGGATGAAGATATAGTGAGAAGAAAAGGAAAAGATAGCGGGGTAATGATAGAGATCGTTCTCACCTAGCCTGTCGAGATGGAAAGCTTCAACACTGATCAAGGTTACCCCAATCCGGAGTTCCTGACTGTAAAAGCCTCCTCTCTTTTTGATCTTCTTTCTTCTTCGATTCTCCTATCCTCAAAGGGAATTTCTGCTTCAGCCCTTGCTTTTTGCTACTATCCAAATGGCTCGAGAGGCTCAAGTTGGTTTGAAAAGCGATGAGCTAGCAAAGGATTGCTCCGGGCTGACTGTTCTGGATTGTGGCCTGAATATTACATCTGCGTGGGAGTATCGAACACATCAACTACGACGGCAACGAGCACAAAATCCACATCCACGGTAGTGGGCAGTACTATGTTTGCATTGGAGAATAATGTTACCTGACAAATGGCTTGAACCTCATTGGAAACAAATGTGCAATCGTGAATAATCACATAATTCTAGCGGGTGCAGGCCAGATTCCATCTATCCTTTGGTTTGTAGGATCCTTGTACTGAGCAATCTGATGAAGCGTTGCAAAATCAGATGGTTTTCGGTAGGGTTTGCGTCTCTGCTCTTCCGGCAGATCTCTTTGTGTGAGGCGGGCGAAAAGCAACGGCACAATGTGCTTGATATCTACCTTAAGAGGTCCCAACTCTTTACTAATAGCGTTTTCTGGTTCCCATAGCCAAATGAATGGTCTCTCCACGCTATGCGACCGCAGCGACTCTTCGTCAACATATAGAAAGCAGTCCATGCGCAGACCTTTTGGGAGTTCTCCGTTTCCTCTTTTAGAGACGAAGGTGTTCTCCATATCTGCGACATCTTCCTCTATCCAATGAAGGGTGAATTTGGGAAGATCTTCTTTTCTAATTGGTGGGAGATGACAGTTCAAGCCATGGCGAGTAGCGGTTTCAATTTGCTCTTTGAATAGTGGCCATTGGCTTCCGATGGCATTCGGGACAAAGAAAACAAATCCAAAGACTGTATTTGCGGGGTCACTGATCACGTATTCTTGCCATGGTATTTTCATCGCGTATGAAATGTTCCTCCAATCGTCAGAATTGTGGGATTCTCTTGCTGCATAGTAATCGGCTCTGACTGGTTCCGTAATCGCCTGAGCATTGGCTCGGGCAGTTTTCATATCTTCACTCCAAGCAGCGTTGTATGCATTTCTCCATAGTTCGCGGTCGGCCTTACCTAGGCGTGCTGAGAAATTTAGTTCATGTGCAGTCTGCGAAACAGCGGGCCCTGTCAACAGTATTTTTGCTTCCTGGTATCGAACCTTGTCTTTTTGGTCGATACATTTTCTGGCCAATTCCGAGAACGTCATTCCGCAGGCATCTCGACATAGCTGGTCTTCTTCAGGGCCTGTCGGGCGGCGGGTGATAACTCTTCGTTCTTCATCAGTCAGGGATGTTGGTTCATTAATAGCCCGGTTGTAAAGCTCCCGAGTGGAATCGTCCAGCGTAATGGGAGTTTTGGGAAGATCAGGCCAAATCTCCTGAGCACGTTTTGCTATTGATGCCATAATGACAGCCAGCGGGGAAACCACGGGCGCGAGGGCTATGAAAATAAATTGCCTTCTGTTAAGACAGGCCCGGAATGTTAGATGAATCAAGTAGAGGAGTCGTTCTTAATAGGGCCTTCTTTAGGTGAAGAACTTAGTATGTCGGAGGTCGGAAATTAGACTTCGGGACCAAGGATATGTGGAAGAGTAGAATGTTCTGAGTCCAAATGTTGCTTCTACCTAAGCACTTGAGGGGAAGGACGCTGCATCCTATAGGATGCCCTGGGACCCCTGGAGTTACACCATATCATTAGTCATATAGCACTGATGCGGGGACCCAATGATACCTGACTGTTGTCCAGGGCAAAGGGTGACGAGACATAGCGGCCCCCTGAGCGCCCTGATTCAATCAGTGAGTATTAAATAAATGTATTGATCTGCTCACTGAACATCACCTGGTACTTATCTGAGCAGTTTAGTCTACTTACTGATCCTGATCTAAGCGCCTTGATTTGCTCACTGAGACTGAGCCGGGCCTAGGATGAGCGGCCTAAGCAATCTACATCAATCAAATACAACATGCTAGCTCTATCACATGTAGCCCTCCTCTATAGATTGCCCCCATCTTCCCGTCATAAATTGACCACCCAATCAACATTACCATCGTATGATACACACTTCTAGCCTGTAGGTCTTTTCAAGTCCCAGTCTCAATGCCTTGCACTCCCATGGAAATTGCCCAAATCCCCGCCAAGATAAAATTTGTGTAACTAGTCGATTAGGATGGATATTTAGGGGTTGTCCTTTCACCCCGCCGGTCTTTCTCCCATCAGATATGCAAGGGGCTTCTCAAATGATAATGTGGATAATATGTCCCCAAGGAAAAATCTTCTGTCTTTTTCCATTGAACAGCCTTATTCCCCATTAGCTAGAGAAGACACCATGACGGCCAAGTCCATTGAGTGGGCCGTCAATGAGTTTACTTGAGGTTGTGAACTCCGATGGTACTGGAAAAATCTTGATGTCTTTCATTTTTTCTTTCTGGTAGTGTATCCGTTTGTGTGTTGCTTTCTCGTGCCCCACGTTGCGATGAAACGAAATACACTGCTGATAACGGTTATCCTTCATATTACGGGAGGATTCAGTATCACTGCCGGTGAGTGTTGAGGAGAGAATTCTTAAAGCTAACCAAAGCTCGTGTACTGACTCTTCTTTAGGCTACCATCGCTTATGGTCCCATAGGTCCTATCGCGCGCACCCTGTCCTCCGGTATTTCCTCGCAGCTCTAGGAGCGGCACAGTGTCAATGGTCCATTATGTGGTGGGTGCAACACCACCGTGCCCACCACCGTTATACAGACACAGACCAGGATCCTTACGACGCCCGTTGGGGATTTTGGTTTTCACATATCGGCTGGTTGCTTGCGTTGAATACAACAAAATGGGGCAAGGTCGATGTTTCAGACCTGAAAAGGGACCCGGTGGTCATCTGGCAGCAGCGTTACTACGTAATCCTCGCGATTCTAGGTTGCGATGTACTTCCGACTGCAATCGCGTATTTAGGCTGGGATGACTGGAAGGCCGGTTTCTTATAGGGCGCCGTCTTTCGGATTGCATTTTACCACCATTCCACGTTTCTCGTGAACTCGATCTCGCATATGCCATAGGCGGGTAGCCAGCCGTACTCCCATCGATGGACTGCAACGATTGTGCCACTTGTCGCTTTGCTGGCCAATGGAGAAGGTAGTCACAACTTCCATCACGCATTTCCAAGAGATTATCGAAATGGAATGGACTGGTACGAGTTAGATTGGACTGGGAACTTTATTTGGTTATGCGTGAAGCTCGGTCTTGCCTGGGATCCGATAACGGTGGGCCCGGAAGAAATCACGAAAGCACGCATTCGTTGCAGTAGACAGACATGAAATTAGCTGGACTGCATATGATAGGCTATAATTAAGACGTGGATAAACCAAGTTACTGTTTCATCGATGCGGGTGCGTATCGTTGACAGTGGAGACTTCATATGCTCTTTGGCCTAATCCAAGGACACGGCAGAAGGACCCACGCAATTAAAAGACGGGTGTTAAAATCATAATGGAACTTGTATTAAACTATATAACTGTGTAACAAAAGAGAAACAGTATCACCAAGCAACGCTTCACTACAGAGCAATGAAAAAAGAAGAGCGCTAATTTCTGCCGAATAGGCGAGAGAGGATTGTGCGCCTATGGTGTCCGCCAGGCTTGGACACTCGCTTGGAATTATCTCAGGGACTCGACAAAATTTGGACCTCAATGCTTTCAGTGGGCGCTTTAGTGAGCTGGGAAGATGAAGATGTGGAATCAGCCTTTCCACGCCATTCGTTCAAAGTAGACTTGGAGGACATGGTGTGCGGATGATCAGGGCCTATTTTTTGCTCGCACAGTCGAGCGCATTCGGCCATCAGTAAGAGAGCGGCCTTTTCTTGATGTGTTGACCAAAGGGTATAAGCTAGGTTGTTCATACTATCTAGCGTGTTTGGATGGTCGGCGCCGAGCTTCGTCTTGCGAGTCTCCATGACCTGCACCTCGAGCTGCTCCGCTTCTTTCCATCGGCCCTGGTACTTATACGTCGACGCCAGATTGGCCATACTCGTCAACGTGTCTGGATGGTCGGCGCCGAACTTCGTCTTGCGAGTCTCCATGACCTGCACCTCAAGCTGCTCCGCTTCTCCCCACCGGCCCTGATGGCTATACGTGAGCGCCAGATTGCCCATACTTGTTAGTGTGTCTGGATGGTCGGCGCCGAGCTTCGTCTTGCGAGTCTCCATGACCTGTACATCGACCTGCTCCGCTTCTTTCCATCGGCCCTGGTACTTATACGTCGACGCCAGATTGGCCATACTCGTCAACGTGTCTGGATGGTCGGCGCCGAACTTCGTCTTGCGGGTCTCCATGACCTGCACCTCAAGCTGCTCCGCTTCTTCCCACCGGCCCTGATGGCTATACGTGAACGCCAGATTGCCCATACTCAATAGTGTGTATGGATGGTCAGCGCCGAAATTCGTCTTGCGAGTCTCCATGACCTGCACCTCAAGCTGCTCCGCTTCTTCCCACCGGCCCTGATGGCTATACGTGAGCGCCAGATTGTTCATACTCGTTAGTGTGTCTGGATGGTCGGCGCCGAACTTCGTCTTGCGGGTCTCCATGACCTGCACCTCAAGCTGCTCCGCTTCTTCCCACCGGCCCTGATGGCTATACGTGAGCGCCAGATTGCCCATACTTGTTAGTGTGTCTGGATGGTCGGCGTCGAACTTCGTCTTGCGGGTCTCCATGACCTGCACCTCGAGCTGCTCCGCTTCTTCCCACCGGCCCTGATGGCTATACGTGAGCGCCAGATTGTTTATACTCGTTAGTGTGTCTGGATGGTCGGCGCCGAGCTTCGTCTTGCGAGTCTCCATGACCTGTACATCGAGCTGCTCCGCTTCTTTCCAGCGGCCCTGGTCCCTATACGTCGACGCTAGCCTGTCCATACTCCTTAGCGTGTCTAGGTGGTCAGCGCCAAGCTTCGTCATGCAAGTCTCCATGACCTGCACCTCGAGCTGCTCCGCCTCTCTCCAGCCCCCTTTAAGTTGATAGGCCATTGCTAGCATTGTAGTGCTATCGAGTGTGTTTTTATCTTCTGGCCCTAGCATCTTTATTATCTACTCTCTCGATATAGATGCCATTTCGTAGAAATCAGAAATATTGCCACATTCTTGCGCATACCCCGCCCCCTTATGAAGTAATCCAGCCCATATTTGGAGAGAGTCTTGCGATTTCGGTCGATGTGACATAGCCGACTTAACATGTGGAAAGAGTGTACGGCATCTTTCCCAGTTTTCATATTCACCGGTCGGAAATTCGGCATTAAGATGATTAATGGATTTTTCCTTCCACTCTTCAGCCTGGCCGTATGTTTCTAACCACGTGCGTACTGTGAGCTGCACTAGCCGATGCATTGTGAACACCATACTATGTTCACTCGTAGCAACGAAGGAATAGTCTCTTAGAGTCATTATATCACTCTCGAATTTTTCATCCAGGTCACATTCAGACGAAGTTTCCGTGTCTACTTCACGAGAGCTATTCGTAAATTCCCCTGAGGAACCTGAAGCTTCATGATATTTTGCCGTGTCTTTAACGCGTAGAAGATCCTCAGGAATCCCCTGCCAGTCGAAAAAGCTCATAAGAGACAGTAAGTCAGCGGCAGATTGCCTTATCTGCCGGATATGGTCGAACGATATTTGCCATGTTAAAAGAATGGAGTTTTTCGCCTCCCAGTCTCGGTCCGTGTGAAGTCCCTCGTGATTTAGAAGCTTTATGGCTTGACGATCACTCTGCCGAAGCTTTTCGAGGTATTGGGATGGCGAGCAACGAGGTGAACGGTGCGCAATATAGCTAGCCGCTTGCACAATGGCTAGTGGCATGAACTCAAGTTCCTCCACAAGCGGAACCAAGTCCGCTCTTCTCTCTGCATATGAGTCTAGCTTATGCTGCATTAGATCTAACGCCTCGGCCTGATTCATTGGCTGTACTTCGATTAATTGCTTATGGCTAGCGATGTCCGATGCTACTGCTTTATTTCGGCTCGTGATAATAACAAAGCCATTCGAGACGCTGAGGAGGTACTTTAGCGGTGGCTGCATCGAGGTGCGGTTCTGGGCGTTCGCTTGGGTGTTCGCTTGGTTGTCCGTACGAGCTCCCAAGGGTTTGCGAAGGAGCTCGTCATCATCCACATTATCCAGGACAAGGATCCATTGTCCGAGATTTCCATCTTGCAACCAGTTCCCGAAGAGTTGGAATACATTGACGTTGTTGTCCTCGCGCCCGGGGATTTTGGCGCGGTCAGCCAGGTTTCGGAGGCTTTCCTCGCAGCGCGCCGCAGTGCTCGCATGAACCCAAAAAATCCAGGTGTTGGGTGATTGCTGTCGGACTCTGTGGCAGTATTCGATAACAAGCCGAGTTTTTCTGTTATAAAGTTAGCTTTTAACGGACCGGTTGTACTTGATCCCTTACCCCACACCGCCGAGACCCACGAGAACTATCCGAGACCCTGGGACTGATGATTTCTCAAGGATTTCATTGAGAATTCCATCGCGGCTGACAAAGTCTGGGTCTTGCGGGAACGGCACAGTCGACAGTGGCTCTGGGCGGGGCTCTAGTTGTTCTAGGAAAGCATGTCGTTAGTCGATCCAATGTGGTCCTGTTCTCGCTATCAGGGACTGACTAGATGTGATGTTCATCACCCCCTTGTTGACCCCCACCTGGGTACCTGAGTTCTGATTGCCAAATTTCATAGATTCAATATTTTCCATATTCAACATATACACGATTGATCGTGTTTTGGACGAAAGAGAGGACGACCTCTCATCGAGGGGTCCCATCCTCAGCCTCATTATCAGGTGATCCTGGGCGCTAAGCGTGCACGTATTTGGCACGTGTCATGTAAGCATTCAATCAATCGGCAGCTAGTAGCCTCGCTCCGTCTGTTATGCGACCGACTTGCCTGTGACTAGGGCCGAAAAATAGCATTCCAGCCTCAGAAAGGTCGTTCCAGAGCCATTCTGTGCGTGGTTGTTCCGTAGTGGTATTGAAAGTGATGGGATGGGCTGCAATTACATGAGCGCGGTTGGGAGATTAGAGACAATAAGCTTTTAGCGAGGCGACGCATGATCCAACGACCTTGACCTATCTGTCTTGTCTGGTAATTTAGATTTCATTCTGACGAACAGGGTGATCCGTGGCCTAGCCTAGTCCAGCCTAGGCTGTTCCACCATAGTCCTGGCAGTGGCAGTGGGGTGTGAGATAGTTCTGTGTAAAACATGGAAGCCAGTTTCGAATATTGCTGTATGCCGGGCATAGAAGAACTTCGAGTCTACGATTTTCCTCCATTCAAAAAAATTTCCTCGGCTCCATGGTGAACCCACCTTCCATATTCATCATCATAGTTTCAACCGTTTGAGCCTCGTGGCCTTCCAAAACCCTAAACCTTCCTCCTCTGCCCTCCTCCATGCGATGAATGTTGCTTCTGCTGTTACTCCTACTCCTCTCTGCCATCTGAGCAGTTTTTGCATCCATGTGGCTCATTTTATGCCTATGGAGCCTCAGCCAGGGTACAAATCGACTGTCGGTCTCTTTTCGACCTCCTGCTGTTGTCTTCCACCTTCAATCTCTTCGCACTATCAAAAGAGCATCATGCACCATCAAAGTGCAGTAAAAGGAGCTTCGCCTGCCAGAGAGGTAAGCGATCTATACTGTTGGAATTATTTGGTAAGATCAGACTATGTCGCAAAGCCTTGTAGTCCTCTCCTCCTATCTACAGCGAGTTGTTTTTTTATTTGCTCGACCCGCGTCCGCGGATGGACACAATCAGATTGGCTATGTCACACTGTCAACACTCTATTATGCTTCTGCACTCGCGACATCACTGGCCTCAGTCTCTTGAGTATCCCGTAGGCTATCACTATACACTTTGACGATCCATTCAACATTCACAGAGGTGGCCTAAAGAGAGCCTCTCTCCTTGGTTTCTTTGAACCTCCTTCTCTCTCTACTTTTGTGCGACATTTTGTCTTTCACTCATCTTGATCTTCCTGGAGAACCCTGTCACTGTATCTGGTCTAGCGTCTTGGGTTTATAAGCTGACACTGTGGTTATGGGTACCTCACAGATTTCTACTCACTGGCATGTTTTACACATTGGATACAGGATAGACTGAGCCGTGCTACAACGTCAGGTCCATGGATGGAGATTGAGGATAATCAGAAGCCGTGGTGATAACCAGGATGCTTATGGTTGTGCCAGTTTAATATTCAATTTGCAATTTGCATTCACTCAGCTCAAGCATCATCTAGCGTATATAGTAGGCGATAATCTTGTGAGCAATGTTGGCCATTGGCCTTATGGCATTGTAGATCCGAGCAGCTCTAACGTGAAAATGAAGAATAAAAAGCACCAACTCCAGGCCAGATAAAAGCTCCGCGAGCCGCGAAATAATCAGAGAACAGAATAGTAATCGCCGATGAAACCTGTCCCTTGCCTTTCCCAGATACCAGAACCAGAACCAGTCAATGAAGTATGTATGCTCTTCGCCAGGATATCGAATAAAAACGCATAGACAGATCAGATAAAAAGTAATAGTGGAAAAGAGAAGAATGAGTAGGGGCGAGATGAAGAGATTGGTAAAAGTGGAAATGGAATGTGGAAAGTGAAAGGTGGAAATAAGAAAAAATAGCAATCAACAAAAATGTAAAGAAGAGAAGAGAAGAGAAAAGAATGCAAATGCGGTAGATCATGCGCATCGCTCGTTAACATGAAAAACCGCTAACCAGACGCTAAAACACCAGAACATTTCGTTTTCCTTGTTCTTATGCTTAGGCCACTGGCTGATTGCGACGGCCACGTTTCTCCAATAATGTAGCACCATTCAAGCTCAGCTCAAAAGGCTGCTGTTTACGGCCAATAGCAGACTTGGCAGCCGCGGCGACCTTTGCATCGTGTTGACCGTATCCTTGTTGCGGCTGCTGTCTAGGCTGACGGTGAGCTTGACGGGCCTGAGCAGCACTGCTCTGGGCACCTAAGTTCGTGGACCGGAGCTTGGCTTCCATGCCTGCCATATCACCAGATCCTCCGGTGGATTTGGAGATCTTAGCGGGTGGTTGGCCTGAAGCGTCAGATTGTTGGCGGTAGTCAACTTCATCATCATAACCTTCGTTCAAAGAGCCGAGAGCAGACTGGAATCCAGCGGCAGGGTTGTTTCGGGCAGCCTGACCGACATTCCGGCGGCGCTTGCCTTCCTCCTCCTGTCGGTGGACGGCGTATCCAACATCGAAGACCTCACGCAGGTTGAAGGCACCGGGAGAACGGAAATCCATGCGACGTTCTGAGGCGGTGGTGGGGATGTCCATGAGTCTGGAGCTGGCAGGCTGGTAAGGGGCTTGGTCGGCGCCGACAGGGTCGAGAGGATCGCCGTTCTGGCGAACCGGACCCATAGGTGTTGCCAGAGGGGGAGCATCAGCGGCGGCGGTGGTTTCTTCGTCTGTCTGGCGGATCCACGGGTGTGCAAGGAACTCCTTAATCGTATAACGTTTCTCGGGATCGACGGTCAACAAGTGCGAGATGAGATCCTGGGCGGACTTGGAGATATCATCCCACCAGGGCGATAGGAAGGTGTATTGGCCTCTTGCCACCTTCTCCGTGAGAACCTGGATGCTCTCGTCGTAGAATGGAGGGAAACCACACAGCAGAGTATAGAGCACGCAGCCCATCGCCCACATGTCCACACTCTTCGAGTACCGCTCATCCTTGACAATTTCTGGTGCGGTGTAACCAACTGTTCCACAGGGGGTCATGGTCTGACTGTCCCAGATCACCTTGGATAGACCAAAATCGGCGATCTTGATCTTGCCAATGCCGCCCGAGCCAGTCCCGGGGATAAATTCTCCCTCATCTTCCTTTTCTTCATCACCAGGCTGCTTAGGCTTCGGGCTCTTGCTGGGAACGAATGGTGTCGGGTAAAAGAGTAAATTCTCCGGTTTGATATCACTGCAGATCACCGTTAGCGCTAGACCAAAGAAGTGGGGTAGGGGATGGACCAACCGATGAACAACTCCAGATGTCTCATGCAGGTATTCAATGGCTTCGGCTACTTGCTTAATGACGTGTCTGCTCAGATCCTCGCTGAAGTAGGTCAATCGCACGATCTGGTGGAAGAGCTCGCCTCCGGGGCAGAGCTCCAGAATGATGTAGTAGTATTGTCGGGATTCAGAGAAATCGATCAACTTGACAATATTGGGGTGGTCGAGGTTGCGCATAATCTGAACCTCCTTGAGGATATTTGCGCGCTGTGAGACAGATAAATAGTCAGTGAACGTGAACCACAAAAGAAAGCAAAAAAGCGACGATAGAACAGATAAAGAAGATGGTGATCATGATCTTGAGAAAACGATCCGCGCACCTCTGCAGCCCTTGGGACCTTTTTGACGCTTGGGTGAACATTTGACTACAGAAGATATTGGTGATGTTCCTCTAAGGGACACTGACGAGATGAAGATCTGAGGCGAAAACAGGAAAGACGAAGGAAATCAAGACCACCCGGTCACCCTACCTGATTGCTGTTCATTTCGAATTTCCGCACGACCTTGATGGCTACTTCTCCATATTCTGTTGTGGAATCCTTGGCTCGGTAGACATTGCTGAAGGCTCCATCTCCCATCTTCTCGACCAGGATCCAACGATCCAGGCCCGGGTATTTTGGCATCTTTGATCGGCTTACGTTCTCCTCCTGAACCAAGCGTTCAATTTCCACAGAGCGATCACGACGGACTTGGGATTCTGAGTTTTTCTGGGAAGCTGCAGGACCATTTCCTCTCAGGTCAGGATCTAAAGAATCGAGTGCGGGGGAGAATTGGCCTTGATGGGGTTGTTGTTCGGCGTGAACGGTGGACACGTCGGTGGTAGGCTCGGAATGGGTCACCAGACGAGCTTGTTTCCCGTGACGGATAAAGTTCTTTATGTTTTGAATGGTGGTCATGATAGGCAAAATGGGGCTGAGTAGGTAAGAGTGAGAGTCAAGAGGTAGGGGGGGGGTCGGGGCCGAGTGCGCCCGAAGAAAGTAGGAGGGGTTGGGTTTAAGATTGGAATTGGGGCAGGTTTTTTTTTCTTTCAAGAAAGCAGGGGTCGATCAAATAAGCCCCAACTATGCACACCAAAATATAAAGGGGACGTGAAAGAAAAAAAGTGAAGGATGGGGAGAAAACGAGGAGATGGAATATGAGGGCAGGATACTTAGGGGGAAAGTTGGAAAAAAAGCCTATGACGACTTGGGATCTACCAGCGATGTCATCGTCTTTAGCATCGACACAGTCAAACCAACTTCCCTTCTGCTTGGATCTAACGTCATGTCCCGCCACTGATCCACCGTTATATGAGAGGGCCTATTCCCTGTTAATCTAAATTGATTATACTAATGACTTAAGTTTGTCGTATAAGTTTGCCCTATAACAGTTGATTCTATCTGTTGATTTGTGATCATCCGTTACCCCGCGGACACCTGGGTGCCTGGGGAATGACTAACGTCACTATCGACTCACCAGTTCACAGCCTCACTCGAAATCCCTGTTCCTATGACCGCATTTCCGTCCTGGAACCAGCCTAAAGGTTGGGGATTCAATCCGGGGTCGCACAGTACAGCTCTTGTGTGTTTATACCGGGGTGAATCAAGGTTCCCAGTGGAGCTGTGAGAATCGTCATCTTCGCCACATACCCGAATGCGTTCGGCCCCATCTGCTCGAATCATTGGTGGCGTTCATCCGTACGGCCTAGTCTAATCTGAGACGTGGAATGTGGCTGCTCGCTAAGCAAACATGCAAGGAGGAGACTGAAACTGCAGAGTTGATTCAGGAACACGTCGAGTCTATTCGGCATCGATTAATGTAGGTCCTGACACGCATCGCCTACATGTAGCAATCAAGGTCGACAGAAACTCCGTACTCCGCCCGCCTATCACCTGTAGTGCTAGACTCGAGTACAGCATACACGTATCCTCAGTAGGAAGTATCCAATCAGACCCGCATCCGACCTGCCTATTTTGTTCGTTCCTCGAAGTGGAGGAGGTATTCTAGACTAAATGGGGTCTGTACCTCATTAAACTCCGCTTCCTTTGTTCCAACCCCCTTCCATCCTTACCGGTGCTCAGGCACTTTCTCCTGCATCCTTATCGTGGGACTGGATCGACTCCCTGACAGGTTGATCATCTCGCGATGCGACCCATCCCTAGACTGACGCCTTTCATCTGATCTATCTCTCGGGACATTTATTTTTCCATGGCCCCTGTTTCATCCCGGTAACACTCCTTTTATCATCGTGATCGCACTGTGGACTTTTCACTTCTCAAGTCGAGTTGGGTCGAGTCGATCTTTGCGACATGCCGGGCCTGGAGATGAGCCCGTCGGTGGATTCACCAGATCATCCGCTTTTCAGGTCCCACAAAACGCTCCCGCGGAGGGGCATCCTTCCTTCAGATACCCAACCGGTCTCGCCGGAGCAAACTGGCACAGTGGCCGCCCCGGCTCCTCCGTTGACTCCGCCCGGTGCGATTCACGATGCCATGGATGTTGAACACACACCCCGAAAACCCGACTCGCGCCCCGAGAATTCGACGGGAATGGTGACACCTCGCCGGCCGTCCAAACCTCCGACTCCTGATGTTACACCTCCCCAACCCATCTCGCTGAAGCGACCGCCGCTCAGCCAATTTATCCATCCTTCCTCTTCCTCACGGGCCGAGTCCTTTCAAACCGCTTGCGAGGAGATCTCTTCAGATGGCGACATGGAAACACCCGTTCAAGCATCCCGGAATGCGTCGCAAAGGAGTCGCCGAGTTACTTCGTTGCGACAGAATGCGCCGAATGCAGTCCGTGCGAGACTCACCTATACCAAAGACACTCACCCGTCCACCTCCCAGCCACACAGTGAGACAGAGTATGAAACAGGATTCGAATCATTTGATGGAGACTGGGCGACCAATGGATCGCCGACACCTCTGAAGGAAAAGCGACCCTCGATTCGGCAAGGAAACAGTGCATCGGGTTCCGATAAGGACACGCTGGACGTGCTCCACCTGGATGCTTCTTTAACGCGCGAAATGAACCTACGTGATCGAGTACGCAAGACCCAAGAAACCCACGAAGTTACCCCAACTGCTTCGATGGAGCGATTTCGCGAAGAGATTGGCTGGCCATCTTACGATGCCTCTTCGCAAGCAGGCGACCCGGAGTCTCATCGACTATCAGCCGTATCTTCCACGTCAACCGTGGAAGCGATGATTATCGACTCTCCCAAGCGAGCCCAACGATTGTTGCGACACACGGAAAAACGTAGCTCTCTCCGATCGATAAGTTCTCCCATCACGAGGTCCGAGCATACTTCGACTGCATCAAATCCTGACTCCCAGCGTCGCCTGGTCCACAAAGCCGCTCGCATCTCGGAGGAGAATCGTCGAAGCATCTCGTCGGATGTATCTTTCTCCACCAAAACGATTCCCAGCACGCCCCGTGCGTCAGCCGAGATCATTCCAGTAGTCGTGATACCAGAGAGACGATCGTCACTCCGCTCGGGTCCCAATAGTCAGGTTTCTTCCAAGCAGGGTTCTCAACGGTCTAACCGACGTCCACCGGTATCAGAGGGCTCGGGCTCAGTGAATGCTCGTCAGAAAAAGCGAACTATGTCTGATTCAGCTTCTGCACGGCCCCGCGATCTCGACTCGAGGGGTCGCCCCTTTGGTCAGCCGATCATCCCGCCTCGCAGCTCCTCGCTTTCTGCACCCACGAGTCGAAACAATTCCCGCGCGACATCCCTCACCTCGGAAAGCTTGCGCAGTCACACCTTGGCGATGGATTTGGAGATGCAAAAGCGTCGAGATCAGCAGCCGGTTTCACCGCCCCGTCACAACATCTTGGGTCCTAATGGTCAGGGTAATGGTCAAAGGCAGACTTCGGGTCAAAGGCAGACTCCCAAATTACCCACGTTCTTGCTGAGCGCTGAAGAGGAAGACGTGTCAACCCTGCGTCCCCCGTCCTTGCCATACACCCAGTGGTCAATTCCATCTTCCTCCCCAGGACCTGTGGAGATCCATGAGGCCACTGCGGTTAGCCTTTTTGCCCACAATAACCGATCCTTACTTTTGGTTGACCAGCGACTGCCACCAGGGCTGGAATCCCAGGCTGTCCCTGCATTCCAAGAGATCAGACGGCAAATTGACAACCCCAAGACTCCAGATAATCCCATTGACCCGACTGTGAACGTGGATTCCCCATTGAAGAACCCTCGTCCACCGCCCAAGCCTCCCATCTACAAAGCTCCCCATTCTAAACCTCTTCCTCCAATTCCTACCCAAGCGGAGGGAAATGTAGATTCTGGCGATATGGGTCGGCAAGGCTCTCTTCGTCGCCCTTGGACAGCACGGCCTCGTTCCAACTCCTTCAATACGCTAGTGCGCTCTCTGTCCATCAAATCAGCAAAGAACCGCAAAGCAGGACTGGAAATGGACAGCCGTCTCCACCCCATGTGGCGTCCACGTGCATTTTGGGAAGACATATCCGGATCCCCAAAGAAAAGAAACTCAATCGGACGTAACCTCCACAACCCCGAAGAGACCCCGTTCGTCAACAACTCCCTCGGTCTCCCGCAGTACCGAATCGTGATCGAAGGCCCACCGTCGTTATCTCGTCGCAGTCCCGAAATGCGACGCCTATTCAACGGCATGCCTTCCGCTACGCAGTACAACGCCAGCAACGCCAGCCTGGTAGATAGGGGTATGTTCCGCACCGGAACACCCTTATACCAGAATCGCTACACCGTTCTGTCCAAATGGGGAATCCGCCTTCGCTCCATGAACCTGCGTAACGTCCGGAATCGTCTTAGACGTATGCGCCAACGACGTGATGAGAGGAAACGGGTAGCTAGACGGGAGAATCTTAAACAAAGTATTGGCGCTCCTATCCATGTGGTTTCTAGTGCGACACATGGCATTACACGTTGATTAGTGCCACATGATTTTTATGACTGCAGCCCAGAAAACGATTTACGACTAAGCATGGCGTGTTTTGATTTGATTTATTGATTTTGACGATTTCTGCTTATTTTTGATGAGATGATGATATTATGACAATGACGACTCGATGACTTATGCGCCTATGGCCTCGATGTACCATAAGTTCTCTGCGTTGCGTATGTTTAGGCTGGTTTGAATACATTTGGTGTTACTTGAGCTTCCATTTAATTCGTATGATTCTGGGTATACATTTTCATCACGACCATTAAATAATGTAGTCGACTTCAATATTGCCTCCCCCTTGGTCGCTTCCCTCTACCACTGATATTCGACCGTCCCCGAATAGCCATAGATCCGTATTCCGCCTCCCTATCGTGTCTTTGTCTGCGCTGATCCGCCGTCTCAGATGGTCCGGATGCCTCGTTTGATAGATCTCCATTTCCTGAGGTATTTTTAGCCTCTCTAGCTCGTTTTAGCATCGCTTCCCAGGTTGGTGGGTCGAGGAAGGGCTGTGGAGGCATTGCGAAGGAGACTTTGAAGGGATCCGGTTTATCCTCGAGCTCTGGTGCTGTAGGCTCATCATCGCTATGCGCGTAGGGTGTGGGTTTCTTCATGCGTATCTCTGCTGCGACGGCACTGGGATTGAGGACTTTTTGAACATGATTGGTGTTCTCTTTCGCTTTATTATGATTAGGGGAGAGGAGAGGGCGTTTGTGTGGAATGAGGAGGGGTCGCGATGTCATTTTGCTCATCTTTTGTCAGAGTGAAGTTGGAGATTAGATGACGTTCGGGCGGGCCTGATCCCCGGGCCCACTCTCTACTCTAACCTCCAGTGGCTTTGATTTGATTAACTACCAAATATTGTATTGGGTGATAGCAACAGACTACAACCTATATTCCGAATAGCTGATATTAAGCTGCAACCCCTCTCCAATCTCAAAAGCCACTCAAACCCTCCGCCGCAACCGCACCTTCAGCCCAAAATTGGGAACATAGAACTCCTCAAACGACAACGACCCTGTCAAAGGCCCCGGCGTCAACCCAGGAAGAATATCAAAATGCAACACCAAATGCGCGAGCGCCAACTTCATCAGACTACTGGCCATCCACCGACCAGGACTAAATGCAGAGTCAGCCGACACATGCAGTCGGAATTAAAAGACGACAAGGGAAAACGCGTGCTCAGGGTCCCAAGAGACCGGAATGGCCCAAATGAGAAGCAGACCATGCCATCACCCAAGAAAAGAAGGGAGAGACTAACCAAGCATGCACCCCCATCCCAAAAACAAGGTAACCAGGACTCAAGTCCACAAGCTTGGTACCGGATGCACCGGCCGCAGCAGCTTTAGCAAATCGAAAGCCATCAAATACCTCCGGGTCAGTGTAGGATTTACTGGAACGCTGGATCCAGCCGCTCGGGACTCCAACGTGCGTCCCGGGTTTAAGCACGATACCTACCGGGCCCGTGGTCAGGACGTTACACATGCAAATACGAACCTTGCTGGGTTAGGATGGGAGCACTTACCATTGGAAAGTGGAACGGCTGTAACACAAACACGGTGAGCGGATACTGCAGGATAAACGCATTGTTAGCTGGCCCTGGTGGGTACGGGTGGTGACATGAACATACCGGCTGCAGGGGGATGCAGACGCTGGCACTCTTTGAGGAAACTATCTAAGAGAACCATTCTATCACAAGCCGCAACTGTGATTGCCTCTGTGATTGTGGCTTTGATTTCTTCTCGTAATGCAGGGATGTATTCTGGGCGCTGGGCAAGTTCAGCTATGGCCCCGTATAGAGCCTGGATAGACACCTTGTCAATATGCGCACGGTATGGTTCGTTAGATGGACGTACGTAGGCTGTTGTATAGATGAACGCGAATTGGAGGAGAAGCATTTCTCCAATTACTTCTGAGTAGCTCCATCGTTGGCGGAGGACTGAGCTTTCGTATAGCCAGCGGAATATCTCGACCTGGAACCGGTCAGCTGGGTTCTGCGACTTGATTTGCTAGATAAAGTGTTGGAAAGCGGTAGGATGTACCGGCTTCTCTGAACTCTCGTTCTTGGTCTGCTTCTCGTTTCTCGAATTCCGAGACATGTCAACCTTGTACTCGGCTGCCCTTGCATCGAAGTGCTTGAGCAGGGTCTTGCGTGAGGTATGCATATTCCACTTTGTGCACATGGTAGCAAGTCGACTAATGAAACCACCAATGTATCTATTTGATATTAACAGCCGTCAGCACTAGAACCCTGAACATTGCGATCTCACCTCTTCAGAAAGTCCGGAACCAGAAACTGCACGCGAGTGGTCATAATCATGCCTAGTATATGCTCCTTGACAGCCTCCAGATATTCATCATTCCGGGCAAGTCGCTCTCCAACTAACGCAAAACTCCCACTGCGGGCAACGACGGAGTATGCAAAATCGAAGCAGCCAACCGAACATTCTAGACGGTCATAAGAAACAATGCTTCCCATAACGAAAGAAAAAGAGAAAACTCACCATCGCCCACAAGCTCCAACTTCCCTACCTGCTCAACAACAGCCTCATTAATAGAAGGAATATACCTCTCCAACTGTTTATATACCGTCCCCCGAATAACCCCCGGCGTAGTCTTAGCAATAGCAGGCCAGCCCCCGCCCTTAGGAAAATAGCCAGGCATCACATGCGAGATCTGCAGTAACTGGTCGATCCACGGTTCTGGAGATGTAACAGTCCGACAGGCATTTTTCAATTCTTCAATTAATTCAGGCTTGCATAGGATTACCTGGCCGGGCCGGAACGTGCGAGGTATTTCAAACAGACTGTCTGAATAGAGGGCGTAGCCTTCTTTGATTAGACCTGGTCCATCGACTAGGAAGCGGTATTGCTGGTAGAGGATCGAGAGGGGGTTTCTTCCGGTTATGAAGGGGACGTTCGTCTGAATGGGTTAGTTGGGACTGATAGAGGAAGTTTTGGAATGAATGAGGATGAATAGTAATAGAAATGCAACTGACGTTTGCCCATCGGCGAGATGTTATCACCAGTCCGAAGGCAGTTAACAGGGTTAAGACTGCACATGCTATCAGGGATGACATGAGTGCGAGACGGAGATCCAACTGCCCAATGGGCCAATAAGCTTGTTGGAGAAACATCTATGCGCGAGAAAGACGAAATACGAATGACTTGAGACAACGATAAAGGTAACTTGGGACGATCTGGGTACGTAGAAGCAGATTTATAAAGACACGGCCGTGGAAATACTACTACCGTTTCGATGCAAGAACACACTTAACTGCTAGAGCGAGATCAATATACAGAAAAGGTACGGCTATTGCAGCCGTGACGAGAAATTTTTATAACCATTGGAGACTGGGATGTTATGTGCATACCGGGCTCCACCTTTAGCCTGAACATGACTATTACTGCTTCCCACCTAGCGGTCAATTAATTGACATCATCTACCGTATAGCCGTGGCAGGTGGAACGATTACAGCGCGTGAAGTACCTTGAATTATTGGACCAGGATAAATGCACTAGTGGAGTGGAGCGCATCTATTATTACAGATTGTTAATCCATTCCGTTATAGGAAGGCGAGATGCATCAGCGGTGGCTCATGCAGGCGAGCAAGTCGAGTAGTAGGAAGCGAACGGAAAAAAAGCTCATATATTTGCACACGGCTCCATCACACATCATAGTTAGGGTAAATGTCGTACAGGTACTCATAAGGGCCAAAGGCCAGACTAAAGACAAAGAAAAAACAAAGAATAGGCAGGAAGAAAAACTCCAGGGATCATTAGCGAACGGATCCGTGTGGTATAATTGTACAAATAGCCCATACGCCCGCAACCGAAGAAAGAAAGATTTTGGGCAAGCAAATTGGTTCTATGCAATGCCTGACGTTTCCATTCCTCCCATAGTCGAATATGAATATGGGAGGTCGACGAGACCGTCAAGAAGCCAGTTCAAAGGATCAAAGACTTCGTAGTTGGGCTCCATAAACCCGCTGGGTAGTCCTCCGACGCCGTTGTTTGGTTGGACACCGATAGCAGCTTGGGAGAGGATTGGCGCTGGGGCGAGACTGGGGTCCCCGCCGGCAAGACCGGGCGTAGATGATGAGGTGCGTGGAGGACCCACAGATGAAGCGGCTGATGAATCGGCCGCAGAGTCCGGGTTGGTCGGGTTCTTAAGGTAGGCTTCAATGTTTCTTCCTTTTGTCCGGGCATCCTCTCGCCAGCGCCATACTGAGTCGAAGAGGAGAGACATGCTCATGCGGCAGCGGACTTTTAGTCGTAAAGAGTCGTCGACATCGGAATTGCTTGTTGCTGAGCGTTGGGCTCCGAGACGCCACATCTGTGCGAGCACTTCTGCTAGACGTTCGGGGAGGTCGTTGTTGGAAGCGGATACGCCACGAATGGCCCAGATAGTGCGGTTGAACAGAGTTTTGGTATATTCCATGTCAATGTGAGCAGCGAAGAAACTTTTGCTCATCTTAAGAAGGGTACAGCCTGCTGCAACCATCATCTGGTAGATGTAGTAAGGGGTATATGAGAGGACGGGGCCGACTTCCGTCTCGAGATTCATGGCGACCTCGAGGAATGAAGTTGTAGCAACGTATAAGGAAAGCAGTCGTTCACGGTAGTCCTTTGCAGAAGGGTCATCAAAGAAAGCCGACAAATGCAGATGGAGGTTTGCAGCGCGGAGATACAGATCCGTAATGCCTGCAATACTATTAGATATGAAAAAGAAGCCTGGTTTTGCGGACTTACAATCGTTCTGTGGTTTGAACTGCTCCTCGAGCTCGTCATAATCACGCGAAAGAAACGAAAGCATCGTGTTGCGTTCTTGATCACTTGTCAAACCGACAGGGTCTCGTCGATTGGTGTAGAGAGCTCGAGTGATCCTGTCGCAGAACTTCTCGATCTCCAATCGAGACTTCATGTCACTAGACAACTTGAAGTTTGGGTCTAATGAGTCGCTCGATGACAATGTCCAGTCATAAAGTGTAGAAGGAGGCTGGCCATAACCCGTGGAAACTCTAAAGAAAGTTAGAAAAGAGGAAGCCTATACATGTGAAGGGAATCCACATACCGTTGTGCCACAATGTTGCAAACGGCCCAAGTTCGCACTTTGTCTTTCAATTCCTCTTCGATAAGTTCCACTCGGAACTTACTGAAATCCTGACTATGGGATGGGCGATGAAGACCAAGTTGCATGGCCACCTGAACCATCATTCCGCAGAGCATGAAGGTTGGGTCGGTCGAGGTGCTACTGGTGGGAAAGGGCCATGAACAGAGCAGGCAAAGCGCTTTGACGACATGGTAACTTTGCGGTATATCCGCCAAAGTACTCCACACGAGCCGGGTGACTGGCCCCGACAGAGAGTTCAGCAGACCCGAATCGCCCTGGTAGCGCCTGGCACCAACGCTGATCATCGTCCAAAAAAGCAAAGGCGAGTTGTTGTAATACTCATCGGGCGACTGCTGCCGGTCCAAAAATGGGAGGAACGGATGGTAGTATGTGAAGAACCTATTCGATTTGTAAGAATGAAGAAGCGAGCGTGAGATGTTGGGGGCCTTACAGATTGAAGAGCTCTGTCACTTTCTCCGGGACTACCATGACATCTTCGATCCGTTTGAACTGCTGGTTTCCGTTTCTCATATAGTTGGAGCCATCGTATCCGGAGCGAAGATCCAATAGCGATGCTACCGCTTCCTGCGAGCCCATATATTGGTCTGTAGATATGGCTGACGGAGTCTGGGTCTGGTAGACACCGGCCGGGCTGACCTGATTGGATTCCTGCTTCGGCGTCAACTGACCCGCCTGAATAGGCTGTTGCTGGTGCCTGACTGCGCCAGAATTAGCGCCGGCGATTTGTTTCCTCAATTCGATGATCTCTCGTTCCATCTCAGCATTGCGGCTGCGCTTCCCAACACGCTTGAAACTGGATTCGATTTTGCAATCGAGTTTCAATCGACGGCACCGAGAACAATCGCTCCAAGGGTCTTGGCTAACATCGCATCGAAGCTATGACAATATGACCGGTTAGCAAAAATGCGTTCGTCCAAAATTATTGCACGGCAGTGAGCATCGCCACCGTCACTGTCGCATTATAACAAATAGATGCTCCCCTACCTTCTGCTGTCGACATTCATTGCAAGCCCGCTTTACTGGCTGTCGCCTCTTATCATCTCGATCGTTATCCTCCGCATCGTCAATACTCCCCGGGGAGCTGTCCATTCCCGCAATGGTGACATTCCGTTTGCGACCCTGCATGCCATCGGCCGGCATAGAGAGCGGCGCATGGTTGACACCCGCCATTACGGGACTTATGACTGCTGGAGCATTATTAGCTCCCACACCTGAATCGAGAGCTTGGGCCGGTGACCCTCCGAATGCGCGTGCTCGAGAAGCCAGACTGATGACGTTTTTGCAGTCGGGATCAAATTTCCGCGGGTTGAAAATTTGGAGTGATGGCTGTTGTGCGAGCCGGACGGATGATATATTGCAGCAAACAAGTCAAATGCAGCAATGACCTTTCTTCAGGCCAAATTAGACTTGACAATCTCCGCTCAAGCCGTGTGATGCAGACTTGAAATGCGCCGGTGAATGACTCAGCGCGGGGGGTCATCAGGTGACTGCGGGAGAACAGACAATGGATGAGGTAAGCACCGCCAATTGGACAATGTGGTGTGTTTTCTGTCTTTTACAATGGTGGGCTCTATTGATTCGCATGGTTTTCAATTCACATTGTCAATTAAGAGCTTGAGTGTCATACCCATAGTGTCCTCTAGTAATCCGATGGTTACCACTGGTCGCGTGCTCCCAACGGTGATCGGCAGTCGCCGGTGTTGGGTGGGTAAATGTTTTTGACCTTAGCCTGGGCTAGTGTGTGATCAGGAAGTCTCGGCCGATTCGTTTCTGTCTGTGGTAAATTTTTCTTTGCAGATATCTCACTGACTATGTATTACCAGGGCCTCAATTATATAGAGCCTTTGAACCGGTGCCGCACAGGTTACGGTTCGTAGATTACGATGCGAGTGAACTTCCAGAAACGGGTCCACCAAAATCACCTGGAATCAATATTCAACGTTATGTCCTGATCACAAATTGTACAATATCACTAGTGCCTAGCACGAATTTATTACAGGTTCATGGTAACTGTATTCATTAAGTTATCCCTGGACTAGAAACAATATCAGATAGAAACCTACCTAGAACGTGGTGTTTGTACATTTCGTAGCCACGGACTTAAAGCAATCCGTAAATCGAGTACCAAGCAATGATACAGGGAGGAAAGGTACAACATGTGGTTTTTTGGTTATGAGCTAGTCAAGTGCAGTGCCTGGGTCATACATTCCGGCCATAGCCTTGAGAAAGGAGTGAGGCTGGAGGAGCTCACCAGGCTATGGCAGAGCCGCATTATTGCCATCACATGGAAATAGGTAGTAAGAATGGTGGAATCTCGGGGTACAGCCCATTCATTTGTTGTTGAACTCGAAGGCCCATGCTAAATTCTACCTAAGGATTACGAGGTCGGAAAGAGGAAAGCGTATCAAGTGTAAGTTCGCGGTCGGCTCTGTAGACTCAAAGCGAGCTAAGACGACCTTCCGAGGTCTACTTTACCGAGTTTCAAGGTACTTGAGAGTCCCAGAGAATGCGATGCCTCGCGCGCACTGACTTTCCCTCTACCAGCAGTGCTGAATGCATACCGAAGCAAGAGACTTGTGCACAAGAGATACTGTAAAGCGAACTTAACCTTGATATGACTTGGTCTTTTGTACAGTTATGAAGAGTCACTAGAAGAGTAGACTACGTGCTAAGCTATTGTCTAAGCTATTGTCTAAACAGACAATATAGCTACTAAAATTAGAGAGTAGGCATTGCTATGCATCTTCGGAGTATAGGGATCGAAATGAGGTCATGCCGATCGGGCGCAAGGCTTACGGGGAGTGCGCCGAGGCAGTGCTTTTGCGCTGGAGCAATGAAACGAGTTCGTTGTGCCCGTACCCCCGCTCAACCCTGTCTCTCACTTGCCTTGTTCCCTCATTTCCCCACATTTTACGAGTTCAAGGGTCCGCAGGCCGTGCCCGACTGCTGAGAACTACCTAATCAGGGATCGGCTTCGCTTCCAGAAGCTTTCCGATCCGCAAGGCTTACTTGGGCATTCCTATCAATCCATGCACGTGTCTCTTGATCAACCTACATACTTTCCCAATTAATTTGGGGCCATCTATGACCACTACATCATAAATTATAAAAGACATGAATGCCCCCGGCTCAACCTGAAACCCACTTCATCAAACTCCTACTCTCCTCCACCTTGCTCGGTCATAACAATGACTGCTTCCAAAGAAAAGACCAAAGAGGCGCTGGTCAACGGCACCGATCTCGACGATCAGGCTGACCAGCGACCTCCATCATACCACAATGAGGAGCAGCAGCTACATCTCGCGTTGCCCAAGCTATACCTTGGTGAGCCCAAGGATATTGGCAGCATTATAGCCATGAAAACTGTCACCCGCGACCAGTGCATCGCGCATCTCAAATTGCTTGCTGTTTTAGCAGATCTACGGGACTTCATCTCGAACCAGGATGGCCTTTTTGATCTCCATGACTCTCAGGCCGATAAATTCGGTGAGGAGGCAGCCCAAGCAAAAGCTCGTATTCGTGAGAAGCGCTGGGCTGTCTACGTGGCTCGTGCAGTCGACCGGTATCACAAGTGGTGGTTTGCCGCCCTGCCTAGCTCGCGACCATTCATGACGATGAAAGATCAAGAGAGCCCGGCGTATGAAGAAGTTACGAACTGTGAGATGATGATCTTGTGGGATGCGAATAATCTGCCTCCAATCGGTGAGTAGATCATCACAAACTATGACCATAAGCTAATATGGACCTAGACATTCTAATGGTCTGGCATTCTCATATGCTTAACCCAAGGAACTTCCTAGAGGATTGCATTCGCTATGGCAGGATGAGTATCTGGAGAACCGGATTTCCATTTAAAGCTGTCAATGAATGCATCGATGACGGCACCTTGGAGTATGCCCCAAGCGAGGCTAGCCAACAGAAGTTCGAGAAACAGATTAATCTCAAATGGGACAATCTGCAAGACCCCTCAACCAAGGACCTTAAATGTCCGTCCTGCAACAAGAAGACACCGGTCCCGTGGACTAAGGGTGAAATAAGTTCATCGCTCGACAATGCATTCGCAGAAAGTACTGGCTATTCCGACAAAAGCTTTTCGGTCACTTGCAAACATTGCCTCCTCACAATCGACCACGGCTTGCTCAGGGTTGCCAAGTTCCGATTTGACCTTCTCGAATTGGTGAACCACGATCTCCCTATGCCAGGAACGCTATTGAATATAAACGGAATCCCAGAAGGTTATGTAAAGGGAGGCTACATCTCTCATACGTCAATGAGGTTTCCCAGCAAATTGATGCGAGCCTGCGGGAAAGACCTAGCAGCGTACACCGACGCCAGAACAAACTGGTGCCGAAACATCGACGACCTCCGCAGTCAACTGGAGCTCAAAATCCGCGACAAGAAAGCCCTAGCAGCGGCCTATGGCCGTCATAACGTAACCGTCCGACCTGCCGAAAAAGTGCACTTCCGACGCATGATGTCCCGATACTGGGACAACTCCAGCCCATTCGCACTTGACTTAGTGGGCGCCGTCATCCGCCAAGGCACATTCGTCCTAAAGATGGAAAACATAGACTGGCTCCACTCACCAGCAATCACGGACACAGCCGACCGTCTAATCAAGAAATACGACGTATTCCTCGGCATCATGCTCTCAAACCCCAAGCAAATGGCCGTCCCAACACTCGACGTCGATCTAGCCTGGCACACGCACCAGCTCCAACCGAGTCGCTACTACAAATACACAACTAGTCGCTCAGTCGGCCCAACTCGCCGCTTCATCGACCACGACGACAAAGTAGACGAAAACAGACTTTCGGATGCGTTCCAGTGGACGAGTAAGATGTACCGCCGTCTCACTAACGGCGGTATCTACAGCGAGTGTACATGCTGGTACTGCGAAGCGACAAGAGCACCAGATCTATACGATCGCATGTTCAATATTGGTTCTTCGTCTCGTGCACGCAACACTGCAGATGCTTTGCATGATCGTGCAGACATCTCTTCCGACCCGGATAAGAACCCGCATATCTCTGCACACAATGCTGTCCGTACGGCTCATTCTGATGCGGCCGCTGCTGTTAAGGCCAATCTGCAGCGGATTCGTTTGCATCGGAATTACGAGAAGGCTGTGAGGCGGGCTGAGAAGCAGGGTCGTCCAAGATCGGATTCCAGGACTACTAGGGATGGGAGGTATGAGCCTATGTTCTATGCGCCTTATGCCTGGGGTTATCCTATGTATGTCCCGTACTATGGGCCGTATATGTGTGATCCGGGTATTAGTGCTAGTTCTTATCCGTGTAATCCGAGTTGTATGAGTACTGCGTCTGGGGCTACAGGGAATTGTTGCTCGGGAACTTGTGGTGGTGGTGTCGCAGCTGGTGCATGTGGTGGTGCGGGTACTGGGGGTTGTTCTGGGGGTGGAGCTGCTTGTGGTATGTTCCGTGTTGGCTTTTTGCTTGTGATAATGCTAATTTCCTTTCAGGCAGTGGTGGCGGCGGTGGCTGTGGAGGAGGAGGAGGAGGAGGCGGCGGTGGAGGTTGCGGTGGAGGTGGTGGTGGAGGCTGTGGAGGTAAGATCATTCTGTTCTGTCTTCGCTTTGGGAATCAAATCTGACTTGGATTTAGGTGGTGGTGGCTGATCTAATGCAACTGATGATATGAATGATTATTAGCCCCGGTGATTTTTTTTACTTGCTCTGTATGGCTTAATTGGTATTAATAGCTTGTTTTGCTTCATTTGGTACCTAGTGCGTGATACCGGATCGTTTTGGAATTTATTCATTTTTTCAAGCTTTAAGAAACTTCAACGAACTACTGAGAGGCACTTCAGACCGAATTTTAGATCAATATTTGGAAGCGTACCCGAGTAGCATTGACGATCAATAGATCTAGATAGTAGATGGTCATGCATAAATGGCGGGGAATATCTATTTGAACGAGGGTATTGTAGTCGTAGAGACAAAAATAGACAACGCTACATTACCATGCACTTATTTCTTCGTTTTCGACCTCGTTCCCGAATCGTGTGCTCGTTCCAGTCCTGGATACGCCTCCGCCACTCTTCGTTCTCTGGCGGTGGTAAGCTAGTGGGCTCCGTTGACACTCTTCGCCGGAAAGATCTTTGTCTCGCGGGTATTTGATCCTCATCTTCTGCGTCAAGATCTAACCCATTTCCGTGTGGCTGTGGAATGTGCAGAAGATTTGGAGATGACACGGCATATGAGAAATAATTCTCTCCAAGAATTGTTGCCCCCAGGGGTATTGGAAGGTCACTATGTCCTAATTCTTCTGCGGGTTGAACGGCTAAGGTTGGAAGTGGTTGCAGTGACGGGAGCTGGCTTGTGGTGGTCGGAACGACCGAGGGCACTGCGGTGCTTGGACGAGCGGCGGTAAGATGAGCCGGCAGCGGGGGCAGGGTTGAAATGGGTGGGACGTGAGGTTGCTGGTCCTGGTTCAAAGCCTCTGCGGCAGCTGAAGAGCCTCTCCTGCTTCTCGCAGAGCGAATAGTGCCGGTAAAATTCCCCAATCGCTGGATGATTACAGATTGAGGCCGTGGACGGTCTGTTGGGCTTTGGCGCGAGACGCGAGCAGTGTGTGCTCTCTGAACCGGGTTTTCGGGTGGATTTGAGATATTTGGAGTAGATAGATCGCGACGATGATGAGGTGGTATATTTGGGATGGGTGGTATTGACAGTCCCGGCATAAGGGTTTGCTGCAAGTGATCAGGCAGCGGTGAATCTGGCTCGCGTTTATAAGGTGGCGGTGGTGGGACCCAGTTATCTGCATCACTTTCATGAGGAACGTAGCGATGGTCGGGCGTACTGCGATACCGGGGATCATAACGTCCTCGCGTCGAAGCTGCGGCTGTGGCGGCGCGATGAATTGTTTCTCCAGAGCGAGGTTGCTGGTTGTCATACGGAACATCAACAACACCATTTGAGCTAACTCCATTCGGTACAGGAGGGATTGCTAGACTGATAGGCCGCTGTCGATCAAGGACCGGAATCGTTCTCGTCGATGGACGAGGGCGAAGACCAGTGGCTTCTGTGTCATTGCGGACTAATCGTGTGCGTCTTCTTTGCAATTCAACTTCTGTATCTAGGGAAGAGTCTGGCTCCAGTAGCATCGTTGGTGACGTTTCTCCAACTTCGATGTCAATCTCAATTTCCTCGCCATCAGTTGTCGATCTTTCAAAGTCCAGGAGAAGGATTCTTCCGCCGTCCACGGGCACATCTTCTTCGCCAAACAATTGGGGCCGCACACCACCAGGGGCCACAGAAACAAGACGCCGCTTTGGCTTTATAGAGGGTGCCGAATGTACCCAACGAGTTGATGTGATACCATGCATGTCAGTCACGCGGCGACCACGAATCAAGGCTTTGGATTGTTGAACTAGTTTTTCTAGTTGTACCAGGTTATCACGAGGTGTTTCAGAGCTAGAATAATGATGAACACCACCCATGCGGGTGATGATTCTCGGGTTTCCATCGGGAGCTGCATCTGTGGGAGCAACGTCCAGGCGCTTGGGCACGCCATACAGCCATACTTCAGAGTCCTGAAATCCCAAAGCTGCAAGTTCACCGGTGTCGTCAATAGTGGGAAGCATAGCAGGTAGCATCTCTCTTGATTCGTCCGCCGTAAATGGACTAGAGAAGTATACACCACCTGCTTCCACGTTGTTGACTCTGATTGCTCTGAACGCGGCCAATTGAATGTCGTATACAAGAATCCAACTATCGTCACCTTCATCATGCTCTGAAATCAAGCAAGCATGGGTAAGCCCACGGGCCATTTCAGGAAAGAGGATTTGTGTCGTCCACATCCGCATTTGAACTTCCTCTGGCGAGGCATCGGTCCCAGTTTCTGTATAAAATGGAGCAGTTATAGTCACAACGCCATCTACCGCGTAGTCCACTGACGACCCAAGTAGCATAGATCCATCTGGCGTGAATGACAGTGCATCAACGCGCAGACAGCGTGCTGCGCGACGCTCAGTTGTCAATGTCCCTTCTCCAACCGCATGGACTTCAATGCTGTCCTCGAATGATAGGGCCAATACGCTGCCTGTTGGTGAGAATGTCAAATCGCGCGGAGCATCATTTACAATGATCGATTGAACCCTTTTAGCTTGGCCATCGGAGAGCTTGTAAATGTTGACCCGGTAAGATTCTGATAGAACCGCAAGCAGCGACCCGTCATCTAAAATAGTAGCGCCGAGCGGCCGCCGGCGAGTTTGCAGCTCATGTCTGACAGAAACAGGACCTCCGGCCAGTGCCAGCACAACGATCCGAGATGAGCTGATACATAGCACCATATGCGCATTGGCAGAGAACGAGAAACGGAATACTTCGCCCTGGGGAAAGGCTGTGGAAGAGCTCATAGAGCTCGAGATCAAGCGCACCAAAGTCTTACGAGGCCGAAGAAATACGTCGAATGCATTCCGACGGACCTCTTCGATAAATTGACGTTTCAGGTCAGACAGGCTGTCCACCTCGCCCGGCGGGGCTCTTGCCCCGCATGACCAAAGGAATGATGGGCATTTAGATAAATGATGTGCATATAGTGCAGAGGACTCTGATATATGTCTCCATTGCTGATTAAGGAGCGCGAGAGATGCAAAGGTGTTGGCATCTGCGGCATAAAGAATGCTAGACAGGGAGCGTCAGCCAAGATGGGGTCCGTCTGGCCACATGGACCCTGAATCTCAAAGAGAAACACGTACTACTCGATCACAGAGCAGGGCAACCGGTCAAAGGCGCACGCTTTACTGGGGGAGGCATCCTCCATGATCACTAGCGATTGCCGACATACGGAATTGACGCACCCAAGTTGGAGTTGCCCTTAGTGGCGGTGCATCCCAACCTCCTTCACGTCGATCTTTGGATATAAATAGAGTGGGCACGTGGTGATGACTAATCAACCCCGCATTCAGTTTAGCTTCATTTTTTCTTTTTTCAAGTGTTTGGTTGGTTATCGTTTATCGCATGAACTACATTACCCCAGCATTGACCATGTGTGAGAGTTGACAATAAATTGCAATCCGAGGGCCATGAAAGTATAACAATCTCTGAGCCACGGCTGTGCTCCTCGAACCAATCGACACTCAATGCTTGTCGCATTCGGCCGGGTCATACCCCTCATTCTGTCCTACTAAGATCGGCCGACTCCGAAAAGTCCCCGGAATCGTTCTTCCCCAGATTATTTCCTTGCATCCCCCCTTCCTTGCAATACCTAGGGTTTGCGCATCATGTCGCCCGCACCCCTCCAAGTCAATCCCTCCTCCAAGTTGCCATCGCCCGGCTTCAATGCCGGCGCGCGACCCTACCGATCCCACAAAGTCCGCGCCTGTGATCTTTGTCGCAAGCGCAAGTCCCGATGCACGGTTGATATCCCCGGACAGTCATGTCTTCTGTGTCGCGTGCAGGGTGCCGATTGCCACTACCAAGAAGAAGCTTCTGCGGACACCTCAGTATTGAGCACCTCGGAGTCGAAGCCGTCGTGGCCGGGAGCTCAGCCGATCGAGCCCGCATCGGGTCACAAACGCAAGCGAAGCCCCGACAGCTCGCCTAATTCGGGCCCTCATGTTCCGACGCGCCAGTCAACTAATGGGCCAAGCCCTCAGGATACCAATTCGTCATCTGGACGTCGCGGGAGTGACTCACGACGCAAAGGATATGACGATGATCGCCACAATGAATCGGTCCTCATCGTCGGTCCAATGATAGCAGAAGACGCGCAGGTCATTGAGAAGCATATGCCCCCCGAGCGAACGAGCCTTTCCGAAGAACCCAAGAGACACCCATACAACATTTATTCGAGCGATCCTAGAAAGCCTGTGCTCTACACTACTATTTCGCGGCGGCGAAAGGGTATGCGCATGGGCGTTCCACCCGGTGAGAATCAGAAAGAGATTCTAGAACAAATTCTTGGTCCATTTAAACATGACCTTGTGAGACTGTAAGGCTTGGCGCAACTCTACAACGGTGGCCAATGAACGCTCATTGACATCTTTATTTAGATTTATCGACCGATTCAACACCGCATTCCCTATTTTCGATGGCGAATCCTTTTGGGAATCTTACATCACAGAGTCTTTGGAAGATCCCCCAGCCTCGCTTCTTTGCCAGGTCTACTCTATGTCCTTAGTATATTGGAAGCATACCCCAAAGCTAGCTTGCCACCCGAAGCCAGACGTACGATATGCAGTGAACATGACCGTTGCGGCCTTGCACGAGGAGTTTTCTGCGCCTGGACTGTCCACAATTAGTGCCGCACTGATTGATTTGACGGGCCGACCAATCTTCTCTATGACAGGAAATGCCATCAGCTGTGGTCGTATGCTTTCCCTGGCAAATTGTCTTGGTTTGAATCGAGATCCGTGCTTGTGGAAGCTCTCTGATCAGGAAAAGAATCATCGGATTCGACTCTGGTGGGGAGTAGTGATCCACGATCGCTGGGGCAGTTTCAGTCACGGTGTGCCTCCGCAGATCTCTAAGACCCAATACGACGTTCCTCTACCCACCGTCGACAGCTTAGTTCCATCGAGTATTCGCACAACAGAGCGAGTGAGAGCGGCACATTGCCACATTTCCTTATGTAAACTGACCGAGATTTTGGGCGAGCTATTACCTCTTGTCTATGGACTACAAGCGAAGCTGGCGCGGGAAACCTCCAAGAAGATCAGACAAATCCGGACAGAGTTGGATCTATGGGAAGATTCTCTTCCCGACTGGTTGAGAGCGCCAGAACATCACAACCGCGGAGAGCAGGTGTCTGCGTCAAGCAGTCTACAGCTAGCATTTTTGGCAGTCAAAATGCTCGTGAGCCGTGTTGAGTTGAATGTAAGACTTACCATTCATCTATTTCTTGTACCTACTGACATCGCTTTTAGGAGGTCAACAATGCAGAAACAGATAACCCCGAAGCTCGTCGTTACTTTCAAACCGAATGTCGACGATCAGCAGAAGAGATCGTACGATTCATCACATCCCTCCGAAAAGAGAATTTCAAGGAATTCTGGCTGCCTTGTACGTGAAAGGCCCACCCCAGACCCCATACACAGTGTACTTACAATCTCATAGATAGCGCCTTCCACCTAACATCCACCGCCACTCTCCTCGTCCGATGTGCTCTTGAAACTAATGACAGCGAGGTCTCCCGTTCTTGTCTCGCCAACGTCGAGACTCTGCGAAATGTTCTTCGTCGGGTCCGCGAAGAAGAAGACTGGGACGTAGCCGATATGTGCCTCGATCACTGCGAGCGAATTATGCATCGACTTCCTGGCACTAATTCCACGATGGATCAAACATTGACCTCCTCCATGAATGATAACGGACTGGTCAACCCAGCTGCTATCTCACTGCCAGAGACACAGACCAATAACGATATTGTCGATGATATGATGTCTATTTCTAATACTTTCGGCACGATGGACGGTTTCCCCTTTGATATGACTGGTATCTGGGATGTCTCTGTTTTCCAGGACGTCAACCTATGATAATTTCTTTGTTTCTGAGGTAGCTGCGGCTACCCTTTCATGAATTCTCTGGTTGGTCTTTGGTGTCTTTTTCAACCAGACGTGTACTTTAATTCAACACTGTATATACCCAGGGTCCAGCACGAACCCCAAACCGTGCAGAAGTTTCAGTCTCAGTTTCTTCATATTAAAGCAGACCAAATTTTAAAATGTACATTGAGAATCAACAAGTAGATCGGACACCAAACGCTATTTTACAGTCGTTCCAGAGAATCAGAACGAAACCAAACCATCTAATGACCCGCCCCTTGCCCATAAATGACAAAAAACAAACCCCGTGGACGATGAGTTGGGAGATAAATCAGGTTAAATAAGAGCAAGAACAGCTTTTCTCGCCGTATAACAGATGTGACAAATGACAGCAAATTACTGCTTGTCACCGCCAACGCCAAACATGCCAGTGAAAGAGCCCTTCATGCTTTGCATCTGCTCTTGACGAGCCTTCTCCTCCTCGGCGGCCATCTCAGCAAGCCACTTCTCGCCGTTCTCGCGGATCTCCCGGTCAATCAGCTCGTAGTTCTTCTGTCCACGCTCACGGATCTGATCCCACAGCATCTTGCCCTGGGCAAGACCCTCAGAGGGCGAGACCTCGCCGTCCATAGTGCGGGTGGACTTCAGTCCAAGAGCGGAGGCAACGCTACCCATGCTGATGGAGGGCTTCTTCTTCTTCTCCTCGGTGAGTTCCTTCTCGAAACGCTCGCGCATGGCCTTCTCGCGCTTGGCGAATTCGATAGGGATCTGGGTGCCCTCGAATGACTTCAGCACGGGACGCACATCCTCGACGCCCATACCGGCCATGTACTCCAGGAAGGGTATCAGAGCGACCAGCGTCTTGTCCTTGGGGTTACCGGTCCACTTGTCCAAGATAACGGCGTTTTCGGGTTGCAGGCGAGCGTGCTCCTCTTTCGTGTCGATGAGGATCACCTTAGACAAATCACGGTTCAGGTAGGAAAGATCCTGGTGTTTGTTAGTATGTAATCTCAGAAAAACCTTGGGATAGGCCATACCTTAATGTACTCTCCGTCCTTGTAGCGGGTAGCCTCACGGAAGAGGGGCCAGCGGATAATACGGTAGGGGTCGAGCTTGCGGAGAACCTGGTCGGCCATCATGCTGGGCACAGTGGTAAACAGAACAAGCTCATAGTACTGGTTGAGGTAACGAAGGAAGTAATCCACACCGGGACGCTTAGCCACACGCCAACCGTGCTCACGGCTCCACTCGCTGTGAACGAGCAGATCCTCCATACTGAGAACAAGTGTGTATGGCTGACGCAGGCTGGGGTCCTCGTCGGGAAGCAGCTGGGGGAAAGCCGGATCCTTGTAGTAGCTAGTCAGGTCGCCGGTGCGAGCCTTGATACGGCTCCACCAGAGACCAGGGCTCCAGCCAGAGGGTTGGTCTGCATGGGCACTCTGTTCCTCCTCGGTTTCCCAGTTGCGGCCCAGGTAACCCAGACCAGCGATACCCGCAGCCAGCATCACGGCGTACATGATGTTGGCCATGCGGGCCTTGCGGCGGTCAAGAGAGGTCTCATATCCACTCTTGGGGATATCTCCACCACGGTCTTCACTGTATTCGTCGGATTGGGTGTGATCCTCGGTGATGTTTAATGGGCCGCCTTTCTTCATGCGGCCTTCCAACTCGGCGGCCAAAGTCGATGGGATACCTTGAGTCAGGTCGGGGAGAGGCTTATTGGGGATCTGTTCAGGTTCGGGCTAAAGGAAACTGTTGTCAGATGGATATTCATGATTCTTGCATGATTGCATGACAAGTAACTCACTGTGTTTGGCTCAGCCGCGTCAGTCTCCGGCTTTGTCTTAGGCTCGGATGGCTCTGCTTCAGACGATTCCTTCGATTCCGACTCTGTGGATTTTGTGGACTCGTCCTGCATAGATTTGGGGAGCTCATAAGGTGTACCCTTGCCCTTGGCGTACCACCGGGGTTGCTGAACAGACAGGGCCGAAACCCGTGGAACGCGCGAAGCCCGGGTGGCAGAGGCGAGGACATTGGGCCTCGTTAGAGGCAAGATGGCGCGACTCAACATGGTTGGGAGATTAGTGAGAGACAGATGTACTCATGCCTCTCTAAGTATGAGTCTCGGACACCCGGATCAATTCCCGTAGAAAAGTCGGAGCGCGTGCACATCCGGCACCGCACAGAACCCAATGACGCAGTTTCCTTTTAATTCTCCGAACGATTTCCGCCTTCTTCTTTTCCTTTTCTCTCCATGAAAGTTCACCCAGTCGTTAATTTGACCAAGTAAGCTTTTTCTTACGCATGCTGGGTTGAAATAGCTGGGGAGACAAAGGAAGTTCTCTTCTGATCCCGCTTCCAAGAGCCGCAGCATAGGTTTTGCCTTTGATGTTGCAGCTCCGTATGTGTGGACACATTCCCTATTCTATTTGCCTAGATTTTTGATTCTGTGTTCTGATCACTCTGGCACTGATGACCATTATCAAGGCCGCAATTGAAAAACAAATTCGAACAATGGAAATCCTGCCAAATCCTTAGACTCGTCCCCCGCGTACTTCATAGACCTCGGATCTCATTTTCCTTTTTTCCCTGCGTCGCCACAACATGGCCTCGAAAGCCGCCAGAAAAGCCGCGAAGAAGGCCCAGGCAGCCTCTGAATTTTACCATGGCGAGGAATTTGTAGAGCCAGTGACTCTACCAACTTCATTCCGATTCTTCGATCTTCCGTCCGAAATCCGATTAAACGTCTACCATTTTGTTCTTTTTACGCCGACGAAGAAAACCGCAAAGAAGAACGCTGGCACCGTTGGCGCCTCCGCGAAAAGAGCCAAGCTTGTAGCACCGGCTACGCAGCGCATAGCTCTGTTCCTGGTCTCCAGACGGGTCCATGAGGAAGCCAGTCACTATTTCTACTCGTCGCAAATTTTCCGAGTCTTCTATATCCAAGACTTCTCGCGCCGACCGACCCTCCGAGGCATACCCCCCTGCTACCGTCCGTTGATCACCACCATTGAATTGATCCTAGGAAATAGTTGGACGGCGCCACCGAAATCATGGGCCGTGGATGATGGAATGGGATTGCATGAGATGACTCTCTTGCACACATTAAGGGTGTTTGTCGAGTGCGATCCTTCGCAGCCTGTCTTCGAGGGCTTCCGGGTTTCCAAGGAATACTACACCGAGTTCTCTGGGAGGTTGATCAAAGAGATTCTGGATCGACTGCCAGCGTTGAAATTCGTGGAATTCGATGCATACCCATCTGTCAAGAGGGATGGCTCTCTGATGACTCGCTTGATGAAAGAGGCTCTAGCAGCCAACAAGAAAATCACTTGGGGCCCTGAAAGAGGATGGACAGACGACGATGATATTGGCTATGTCCATGTTGAGGATCCGATTCCAGTTCCGGATTACCTGCCTTCATACACGCCTGGACCTGTTGATGAGTTGGAAACCAGGATTCAAGAACTGGCTCTTGAAGTGAGATCCTAATCATTCCCAAAAAATAACGTTAGACGTGCCATGATATTATGTACATTCTTGTGGCGTTGAAGATTGGTGTGATCTGGTGCAAATATATATATAGATCATTATTTAGATGCATGTCACAATATTTCGACCTTACTTTTCCCTTCGACTTAGAATATATATTCAAATGCATACATGTGCGGCATTCCATCCAAGAACTTAGGGCTTTGGAATTTCCAAGATTGCATGGCTGATCCTAGTACATAGATGTAGCAGGTGTAGCCCGTAGCGTAGGTAGGTCTGGGCATGGATTCTATCAATGTGGGCCATCAAAAGCTGCTCTTGGTATTGGTTCGCACTCCAGCGGGACTGGAACATATATATCTTATAACTCTCCCGAGGTCTGCCAAAATTAGCAACATTCCAAAAAGGCTTACAGAAATAAGTAAACTAGATACCACTTGGCAGTGAATTCATTGAGAAAAAGTGAAATTTCGTGATTAGAGCGTTTCAGTAGGATTTCAAGGCTAATGCACCTTCCAGTTTCTAAATCTACAGCTCCTCGTCAACATCCATGGAAGCATTGTTACCATCCTTCGGCGACTGTCGGGCTACCGATGCCTCCTTATCAATCATCTGTCTAGAGACAGCAACGATGTTATCTTCGATCAGTTGCTGACTCACATCCTCGATATCTATGGGCCAAGATTAGTATTTTGTGATCTGAGTGTCAAGCTCAAAAGGAACTTACGCTTCTTCGGGTCAACCTTGCCGACATATCGTGTCTTCAGCTGATCCTTGCTCAATTCGGTCTCTTCCTTCACCCGCTTCTCATAACCCTCAGCAAGGCTGACAAGCTGCTTCATCTGGTCCACATTGTGGTGGCCTTCCTCGTGGAAGTCATTCATTTGCAGGGCCTCCGTCCACACTTGCTTATGCAGATTCATCAGCATGTTCTCCTCCAACCCTGTCTTCCGGTAGTCGATCGCGATGCTGTAGTAGTGGCGGTTGAGACCGTGGATCAAAGCTTGAATAGAGGGTTTGTTCAGGTGACCCAAGTTGGATGTCGTTTGCCGGGGCTCCTGGCCCATAACAACTGTCTGAGGTTGAATGAGACGGAAGGCATCGATGACAACTTTGCCCTTTACGGACTGGATGGGGTCAACAACAACAGCAACAGCACGGGGGGTCAGCTGCTCAAATGATTGCTGGGTATTGATATCGACGGAAGAGAGCCAGCAGCCGAATCCAGGATGAGAGTGGTACCAGCCGACAACGGTTTCGGGTCTGTAGAGTAGAGAAACAAGAGTCAGTAAAGCGTTCAACTTCCATGGGTCCTGCTAGGGCCTGTAGCCTACCGTCCTGTCTGACGCAGCATCTCCATCATCTTGGTCTGGAATACAGGATCCACGGCCTCAACACTAACACCAGTACCGCTCTGGGGCATAGCAAATACATCCACCACGCGGACTGTGTATTCATCCACGAACTCTCCCAGCATCAGACCCATGACCTCCATAGGCACACCAGCACGGCCATGGCGCAACATCTTCAACAGAGCCAAGGAGGAGATGTGAACGGTTTCGGAGTTATCAATCAGGTTGGGAGTGTCCTACAATGCTTATTGTTAGCCATGTGAAGCTTCATAAGATACAGACACTGCAATCGGTGATCGGTCATCACAATGGCGACACTTGAGAAGCCACACTGGTTGACTTACACCACCTGGAGCAGCGCTGCCCATGCCCATGCCTTGGGCAGCCTGCAGCATCCGGTTGAGACGGTCCATGATTGGAGTCGAGAATCAAATAAAATGGGAAGAAGGAGGGTTGTGACTGTTAGCTTCCTAAGCTGGAAGCTCCCGATTGGGCGGAGGTGTCTCAACCTTGTAAATCGACTATATCGCGATTTGGAAGCAAGGAGATTGATCACAAGATGTGCTAAGTACCACAAAGAGTCGGGATGAAGTATTGAATGAACTTTTGGCAACAGGGAATTGGGGAGTGAATGGCTTGGCCAAGTGAAGCAGCTCGGGACCCCAACTGACGAAGGCGGTATAGAATTCTGCCAATTCTCGCTCCTTCCCACGCGGCGATCGATCCTCTCCAGTCTCTCCTCGTTTCTTGCCCGCAACATCATGAGCTTGTCTGACCTGACTTGCGACTGTGCATAAGACTTTTTGCTTGCATATTGTGGTGTCTGGTCACCGATTTCATACTTCTTAGGGTTCTGAGAGACATCTACCTCGGATTGTCTCCCCTAACCTGCATACTTCCTATATCCCAACCTCTTCTATTGATATCCTCCACCTCTCCGGAAACACCAGACAAGAGCTCCGACCTTACCACCGCTCAATATGGCGGCCGAACCCATGGCCACTACGGGCGCCAACCACAAGAAGGTCGCATACTTCTACGACTCCGATGTGGGAAATTACGCCTACGTCTCCGGCCACCCGATGAAGCCCCATCGTATTCGCATGACGCACAGCCTGGTTATGAACTATGGTCTGTACAAGAAGATGGAGATTTATGTGAGTTTTCTTGTGACGCATCTGGAGCCGTCGATCACGGGAATTGTAATTAATGCGCAAAACCATACAGCGTGCGAAACCGGCATCGAAATATGAAATGACCCAATTCCACACGGATGAGTACATCGACTTCCTTGCAAAGGTCACCCCCGACAATATGGACCAATTTTCGAAGGAGCAGAGCCGATACAACGTTGGTGATGACTGTCCAGTATTCGACGGTCTTTTCGAATTCTGTGGAATTAGCGCTGGTGGCAGTATGGAAGGTGCCGCGCGGTTGAATCGCGGTAAATGTGAGGTCGCCGTCAACTGGGCGGGTGGTCTGCACCACGCGAAGAAGAGTGAAGCCAGTGGTTTTTGTTATGTCAATGGTAGGGCGCGATCATTCCCAGGCCTGGATGTTTCCTTGGGTGCTAATGAAACCTCCAGATATTGTTCTCGGCATTCTTGAACTGCTGCGATTCAAGCAGCGTGTGCTATATGTCGATATTGATGTCCACCACGGTGATGGTGTTGAAGAGGCTTTCTATACCACTGATCGAGTGATGACGGTCTCTTTCCACAAGTACGGCGAGTACTTCCCTGGTACCGGTGAGCTCCGCGATATCGGTGTCGGCGCAGGAAAGAACTACGCTGTCAACTTCCCGCTTCGCGATGGTATCAACGATGCCTCATACCAAAGCATTTTTGAACCTGTCATCAAGAGTGTGATGGAATGGTACCGCCCAGAGGCTGTGGTGTTGCAGTGTGGCGGTGACAGTCTGTCTGGCGATCGCCTGGGATGTTTCAATTTGAGTATGCGTGGACACGCGAACTGCGTCAACTTTATTAAGAGCTTCGATCTTCCCACCTTGATTCTTGGTGGCGGTGGTTATACAATGCGCAATGTCGCACGTACCTGGGCCTTTGAGACCGGTATCCTTGTCGGCGACAATCTGGAGTCAGAGCTGCCATACAACGATTACTACGAGGTAAATTCCCTCTCGGGAAACTTGCGTTGGATTATGAACTAACAAAAACCGCAGTACTTCGCTCCTGACTATGAGCTTGATGTTCGTCCCTCCAACATGGACAACGCCAATACCAAGGACTACCTGGACAAAATCCGCATTCAAGTAATTGAAAACCTGAAGCGCACAGCTTTTGCACCCTCAGTTCAGATGACTGATGTGCCGCGTAATCCACTTGTTGATGGAATGGATGACGAGGCTGATGATGTTATGGATGACCTGGATGAAGACGAGAACAAGGACAAGCGATTCACTCAACGACGCTTCGATCAGTACGTTGAGAAGCCCGGCGAGCTACTGAGTGATAGTGAAGACGAGGATGAGAATGCCGCCAACGGTGTTCGTCGCCAGCCGGGTGCTATGCGCCGCCGAAACCAGGCCAACTATCGGAACTTGGATGACTCCGGCCTTGACAGCGGAATCGCCACCCCTGCGGAGGCTTCTTCGGTTGGGGATGGCGAGCTGGACGCTACCATGGACACAAACATGCCCGATATTCCACGTACAGAGCCCGAGGCCTTGACTGCGGCTGCCACTTCCAATGACCAAGATACCCCTGCCGATGCCGATCAAATGATTGTCGAGGGCGAGGAGAAGGGCCCTTCTGCCGCTGCTTCTCAACAGCCTTCCCCACCTTCGCATGATACGGATACAATGATGGAAGACGCTGCTCCTGCCCCGAACGAACCGTCCGAGTCTGCCCCTGATGCGCAAGAAACCAAGCCGGCGGTGTCCCCTGTTGCTGAAGATGCTTCCAAAGCACCATTATCTCCACCCCAGGCGCAGTCGCCCCCGAAAGAGCCTTCAGCGCCTACAGCAGAGCAGGGTGCCGACACCTCAACGACAAGGCCTACTCCGGCTGGAGGTTCAGAGACTCAGACACCGGCCGCGGAGTCTATTGAACAACCCTCCAAACAAGAGGGATGAACAGCTTGACAAGACAATCAATTTAGATCTGGCGCAACGGATAATGGGCAGAATGGTGTTATCGGTTTGACAGCGAACTACTAGGATCAACATGGGGGCGTCGTGTCTCTCTTCGCAATGAAATGGGCGAGATGCATTTTTCACCCTGTTAAAAGGCGAATACCCTCATGTCTCTTGGAACAAATTCATTTCATTTACAGAAAATCTTCATCGAAATCTTCAATCTAGACAGGTCCGTGAAGTTGTTCTCTACGTACTTCGGAGTATATTTAGTATGGACAACAGGAAGCTAAGAACCTGGATCGCCTGGTTTTATTGTTCCCATGAGCTTTCTGTTTTCTCTTTATTGATATTCGAAAATGCATGAGCGATTGAATATAAATCATTTCTTTTCCTTGACGCTACGATCCACTTGGGCGTCTTAATTTACCTGCTGTAGTACAAGGATGATACTTAAGAGCTTGAGAATGCGGTGCCGGCAAGAGTGACTGGGTTACTGTAGCGCTCTTGTTGTCTAAACATGCAAGGATCTTTCCCGATGCATTTGACATGGTAGAATGCATACTACTGCCATGTAAAAGCGTGCCTGATGTAGCTCCGCCGAGCCCTATCACGTGACATCCATAGTTCCTGTACATCACGTGCTAGCTCCGAACAGGCTTAGCGCTAGGGCAACCAGTTCCACCAATAGACCCGCGCCAAGAATTTCCACATTCAACGCACAAGCGAGAAACCACTGTGGACGATTCTTCGACTCGACTTGACCTTCAGTCGCCAACCCTTTTCGCCTATCCGACAACCCCCCGTGATACTCACCCATCATGTCTAAGAGAGGGTAAGTCTGACTTCCCTACTTCGGAAACACCGTCAAATCCAACCGGAACACTTTATGAACTCGACAATCGAACATGCACCTTGAAACATTCAACCATGTCGATCTTGAGAAAGAAGGAACCGGACGGACAAGACGACGAAGGCAGCAAACAGAAGAACGGAAATGCTAACGTATTCTTACAGTCGTGGCGGTGCCGCCGGCAACAAGCTGAAGATGACCCTCGGTCTGCCTGTGTACGTTTGAAGATCCCAGAATTTTCTTCCCAGCCATGTATCTCGCCCAATGAACCTCGACAACGTCCAATGCCAATCGCCAACATCGACCTATCATCTGCCACGAATCACCGGATCCTCGACATCAACGCCAATCAAAATTCGGAAAGATCGAGCAGACTTGGCGGGACGAGCGAATTGGGCGGGGTGCACGATAAGGAAAAGAATTTTCGAATGTGGAAAGGAGAATGAAAGCTAACGGACGTCTTCGTCAACAGTGGCGCCGTGATGAACTGCTGCGACAACTCCGGTGCTCGCAACCTGTACATCATTGCCGTCGCCGGTACCGGTGCTCGTCTGAACCGTCTCCCGGCTGCCGGTGTCGGTGACATGGTTATGGCCACCGTCAAGAAGGGAAAGCCTGAGCTCCGTAAGAAGGTTATGCCCGCCGTTGTCGTCCGCCAGAGCAAGCCCTGGCGCCGGGCTGACGGTATCTACCTGTACTTCGAGGACAACGCTGGTGTTGTAAGTGGACGCTTCATTCCATTCGGGATGGATATGCGGATAGGTTGGGGTGTGGCAGTTTGTTGGAGGAATCTACGATTTGCTACGCCTCATCCCATCCTGCAGAACCAAGCCCAGTCTTTGTCTATTCCACATTTACTAATACTCTCTATCACAGATCGTCAACAACAAGGGTGAGATGAAGGGTTCCGCCATCACCGGTCCCGTCGGTAAGGAGGCTGCTGAGCTGTGGCCCCGTATTGCCTCCAACGCCGGTGTTGTCATGTAAAGAGAGAGAACCGAATAAAACAACCAAAAATGAACGATACCATCCAAACCTGAACTCATTGGGACCTGGGAAACGGAGTGCATACGAGGCATATTGTGGAACAGGGGAGGTCCAGACGAATCCACCTGTGTTATTTCGAGCCGTTTTTCCTTCCCAAATTCGTGTTTTTTTTCTCTTTGAACACTGGCGACTCGGAAGTATTTTTGAAAAAAATTACAACCCTTTTTCATGATGATCCGTTGTGGAATGTCGGACTTGCATAGCAGGTGTTGTCTCGATTTCGTCTTCGACCCTTGTCGCATGGGATGCAGGCGGGTTCATGAATCTGATGACCTTTGGCTTGATGACCTTGCTCGAGCTCCCCTAGTAGTTTCGTAGAATTTGTCTATGGAGTAGATAATCATCCGAGACATGCCGCTCAACTATCCTCTCTAGGTGGAGATTCGATCCTTCATGACCTCTCGGGCCTAGAAGCGCACCTTTTATCTCATTGAGTATCCCAGCCTGTCCATCTCTGATCTCCAAAGACCTTGTGTCCCCGCAGTTAACCCCAGCCTATACTGCCAAGGCCGTAAAACCCCCCACCCTTGCATATTTCAATGACCACTGTTTCAGTAGAAGAAAGGTTATATTCTTCTATACCCTATTTCGGCACAGCTACAACAACTGAATTCCGCATCACAGCACCATACGTCTTGATCTCCACAACCTTCAAACCAGCCTTATCCAAGAGCGCATACCACTGATCAACCGTCCTCTCCATCGCGCCGTGCATAATATACATCTGCATATCCATACAAGTACTCCACCAATGCGCACCAGTATTAGGCAAAACAACATCATCAATCAAAATCTGCGAATCATCGCTCATGGCCGGCACGATATTCTTCAAGATCTCCACAGCCTTATCATCCTCCCAATCATGGATGATCATCCGAAGGTAATAGAATTTAGCACCTGAGAATCAGTATCAGTAATCAGCAAATATTCCAACCGAAAACACCAGTGAAGGGTGCTTCTTACCTTTAACAGGCTGTACTTTAAAGAAATCATGAACCACAAACTCCACCCCCTCAATCTTGGGCGCATGTTGAAACGTCTCTTCCAAATCCTGGAGAATAACTCGGCCGCCCAGATCGGGGTATCTGGAAAGTAGTCGCGAGCACTGGTGTCCGATACTACCGGCGATATCAACAAATACCTTCCGGGATGAATCTTGTTTCTGATCCGTGATTGGGATGACATCGAGCCAGCTCCCATCTTTTGGTAGACCCATAATACTCATGAGTTGCTGAAAGTATGTTAGGATCTGGGGATTCTCTTTTGCCCATGGGAAGAAATCCAGGTCTGTATTGGCAGATTTGTGCCAGGCACAATGGTCCCCAGTCGTGTTTTGATAGTTGTTTTCCTCTAGGTATTCCGGTAGGGCTTGCCAGGTTGGATTACTGATGTGAAAGCTAATCCAGGTCACGTTAGAGTCACTATACACGAAAAGGGTATTGTCGTGACTTACCCATGCAGCAGTCCACCTTGAATACGGGGATCGGATAGTCCTTTCGTGTACTTGTTACCCGTAAAACAATCTTGACTCGTTTCTGTGATCATGCGGTTTGCGGCAAAGAATCGTAATAGTCGGGATATTAGCCGAGGATCAGCGCCTTTGGGTGATAGCTCTTCTACTGAGTATGGCTCTGTGCGGCTGGTGAGGGTTGTGAAGATGTCCAGATCGTATCCGATTTTTATCATTGCCATTTGCCTGCCCTGGTTTGGGTTAGCTTGTTTACTTCATATGCATTTCTCTCGGGTGTCTCATGCGGGTGAAGGGTTTACCTGGTTGAGGAGGCGGTACATCATGTCGACAGGTGTCTCTAGGGCCTCTGCAGCTTCGTATAGACCATCCTGGAGGCGGAGTCTGTTGGACTCGTCGAGATGGGTGGAGGGGTCTGGAGGGGCGATGAGGTCGTCTGTGCTGGGTTGGGAAGGCATGTTGATTTCTGCGATAAGGTTGGGAGAGGGAGATTAAGTGATCTCTAATTATTGGAATTTATTATCTTTCATTTGATTGAGGGTCGATCTCGTTGGTCAGTCATTCGGGACTTTGCTGTTGTAACATTCCAGCCGTTTTCGGCTCCCTGTTGATCCCGTTGACTTCCCGTGTAACTTTTGAATTTTGCCATAGATACCGGATAATGTCTGCCAAAATTTAGTCTTCCTTTCCATTTTACTGCTCGTACCTTAAGATGTCCCTGATTTCAATGGCGCCAAGGGTCTCCTTTCCGCGACTCCGCGGTCTCATTAGCGTTTCCGATATAATCTTATCTCTCATTTCGCCTATCGCTAACTTAGTGTCCCATAATAAAACTGAATATATAGTATTCGGGGCTTGCAAGAAGGCCTAATGATCTAATTACATCATTCCCGAAATGGCACTAGGAAGCCCCTTCATATCCTCTAAGAAAACGTCAAACTCCTCCTTCACCTCGTCCATGTTCTCATCAATATCATCAGTCCACCGGTGGACATATATTGTCTTCATTCCAACGCTCTGGGCTCCTCGGAGATCATATGCATGAGCTGCGACTAGCACGACCTCCTCCGGCTGGAGCTTGACAAATTGCAACGCTTTCTTGTACGCCTCCGGGCTGGGTTTGTAGACCCCTAGCAACTGACTCGAAAATAGCATGTTGAAGCTCAGTCCAGAAGAACGGGTAAGATCAAGCTGCAGACGAGTTGTACCATTTGCGTGGACGAAAACTTCGAGACCCAGATCTTCCCGGACGCTCCGAATAGCCTCTGGGACTTCCGGCCAGGCAGACTGACGATGCCAGGCCGCGATCATCTGTCGCTTGTCATGAGTTTCGATGTAAGGCTTGATTTTTGGGTTCTGCTCTAGTACTCGATCAAGGACTCGGGAAAGAGTGATATCAATATCTTCGGGCTCAAGGCCTTGTTGAAAGCGCTCAGTGTTCTCGATGAAATACTGTCTCCGCCATTCCAGGGCTAGCTTGGATGCGTCGTCATTGGATATTGTGGGAGGAAACGATGCACATGCGCTGGTGTGCCAGTCGAGACATGTGCCCATAATGTCGAAGAACACTGCTTTGATAGGGGTTTTTTCGGAAGCCATGATCATAGACGGTAATCTTGCAAGATTTACAGTAGTAAAGAAACAGGTCCCGACCTTGCAAAAACCTGTCGCGGGGTTGTAGAAGATTTGGAGACGGTCATCTTGAGCTTGGTTCTGACGTAAGCGGTGATATTAAGTCCGATAACTAGGAGCACTCGCTGAGCATGATCACTGAGTCGGACCCCGTGCGCACGTCTACTCAGTGAGCCTGAGCCGGAGCGCCCTCATAAAAGCGGCGGCAGCCTAGGAAGTCCCCACCCGGCAGATATTATTCTGTCTATACAGGAGCATATAGTCATTTATCTTTATTTTATTTTTATTTTTTACTTATTTCTGGAACATGTAAGCTATCCTAGCCAACATGTTGCATCATCAGTTATTTGCTGCAATCTTTCTCGCATCAAGTTGCCCAGCGCTGGCAAAAAGTCCAAAGGAATGGCATTGCCTGCAAGTGCTGATTGACCACTCGAATCTCCAGGACATAACTCTCCATTGTATCGATCAGTAAATTGCAAAACTAAAGTAGCCACCTTAGAAAGCTCTCCGATCACCGGCAAGGCCATAGCCTTGTTTCCTAGCGTTTCGTGGAACTTGGCAAGAATCATCCCGTGTATATCAATGACAGTCATGCAAACAGCAGAGATCAACATAGCGGTTTCGCCCTTGGCGGAACAAGAGCAGATCAAAATACCAGAGAGACGATTGAGGACAGCAGTCAGGATCTGCGTTGTCATGTTAAGCAGACTTGAGTCAACAGACGACGAGTACCTAAGCTGCGAGGCAGGAATCTCCAATTCAGAGAAGAGTTCCACAATGACAAACGTGCAATCTTGATCAACTGGATGGTGCGGGTTTTCGGCGACATGGTCTTGTTGCACAGAGTGCGTATAGCGTTGATTGGAGACATCGGCGGTGTCATGCGTAGATGACCCGTTGAGTCGGGAGAGCAGCCTATCTCCCTCATCTATAAACTTGATTGGTTTAATGGTCCTTGTTTGCGTGTCTGCGTCGCCGATCTTATTGGAGGACTCTTTTGATCGATGTGGCCGTCCCACTCGCCGTGCAGGGCTGTAGAAACACGCGTATCCCAGCTTGTCACATCGCGCACATGAAGGCTTTTCTTTGGTGCATTTTATCTTGGAGACAGAACACCTATCACACGAGTCTTTGAGCTTCTGGTTTTGTGGTGTGGGTGATGCTCCAGATGAGGATGGCTGGATTTGACTGGGATCCATCTTTTGTCAGGGTCGTCGCGACATCGATTGATTGAGGGGACCGGGAGAGCCAGCGGGATGTAGGCAGTGTGACTTGAGCTTTAGGCCTCCAGCTAAATGAGAGCGAAAAAGCGGAATTGCTCGAACAAAGAAAGATGCATCTCCAAGTCAGCGCTAACGTATCAGCTAAGCGACGCGACGTTGCCCCTCGTGAGATTCCCCAGACGCCGGTCGCAAAGGAGTGACCACATAACTATGTGAGTACAGAAAGCCTGGAGGAAATAAGCCACAGGGTAAAGTTCTCGGTATTCATCCAATAGAATCGTTGAAAGAAGTCGGCGTGTAGATTGAGAGTGAAACCTGGCGCAAGTGATTAAGTGGGGCGCTTTGCAATGTTGAGCGGCTGCGTTAGCCTCGTCCACAGCTCTCAACTTCATGTCCAATTGCTTACACTACACAGGCAATGAGGAACCTGTAAATTATAATGAGCATGGATAATACCGAGCCTCTTTACGCCCAGGAAGAGGGACATGAAGCCGCTTTCTTTTCACCTTTATCACCACCCATGGACACAGACCCCTTTGATATGCACATCAACAAGGATTGGGAGTCTCTGCCGACTACATTGTCCGGAAACATTGAATATTGGGGTAATGCACTCCAATATACGGTACCTGCCGAGCCCCTGCATCCACCTGTGGGGTCTATTCCAACTGAGGATCTATCCCAAGACCCCTCATTCGAGGCCCCGGAAGTTGACCTGAATGCTGGGTTCCACTCTGGTCTATATTCCAATCCGTCCACCATAACACCACCGTTCCAAATCGGTACATCATCTGAGCCTTGGATGGACTTCTCTGTTGGATCTGAACCTGATAACCCGATGCTGGATTATTCTGCACATCCTGACTATTTCTCGGACCACAATCACAACCATAACGACCAGCATCAAGCGTTGGAGTCTCTCTATGACGCAAATATCTGTTTCGAAAACCCGCTACATACACCTTTCTTAACGCCACCACCAACAGCATCTACACCATCCTGTCTAGCTGAACATCGCACTTCATGCATTATCACAGCGACACACTATCTTCGCACACTCCACATCCGCCAAACAAGTTGTCTATTTCGCAACCAACAAGCATTCACAGACCAAGAGATAGATGAGCACGAGCCACGAATGTCTGGCTCAGTCCTGAAATGCAACAAAGAAGCCGGTATGTCAGTCTGCCGCATGCTCCAGTGTGCATGTGCTCTTCGCCCACAGAATCAGCTTCTATTAGCATCAATCTGCTCTAGACTCATAGTGTGGTATCAAGCGATGATCCGCGCTTGCTTTCCTCGCCGTATGGGCAGCGGTTCAAATGGGCGCTTGGAGGAATCGGTTCTGGCGGAAAAAGTGGTCCATGAGGCTGTTACTATTGGTGATCATATGGTCGACAATCCGGCTTTAGGGTGGAATATCCAGTCTCAGGTTATTCTGGGCGAGCTTGGGCATTTGCAGCGTCTTGTTGATACCATCTCAGTGCGGATACGACAGACTGGTGCCGATGGCTCATCTGTAGGACTTCCGGGTGTCGTACATGACCGATTAGTGACACATTTAAATAAGGAAGTACAAGCGGTTAGAAATGATTTGATCATGGCTTTAGGATAGTTATTCGAATTTGCCCGATGAATTGGGACATATTTATGATCATTAATTGATATTCTTCTTCCAGCCAGTGACTATAAATTCGTCACCTGGCATTTATCGTTTCTTCCTTCTTGCAACCACTCTGACCTTCACGAACTACTGCGGTTGCTACCAGAGCACTATAACCCATACCATAACACTTTCCGTTGCCTGACTCGAACACCCACTTGCATCTTTGACCATCCAGGACACACAGCTTATTGCACACACTGTGGACGTCACATTTACAGATAAGCTACCTCTCTGCCATCAACTGAATTCACTCCAATCTCACTACAAGCCGTCACTTCGAACTCATTACGAACCCACCATTACCGCAAGTGGTCATATAATACTGAGGTTGTCACATGGAGTCCTATTATGGACCGGGTCAACTGACCCTAGTCAGCTTAAATAGCGTTAGATATATCATAATAGGAACCCAGCCTTTCATTACTCTATCAGAGGTATTCACTCAAGCTAAAATGAATGAGCAACATCCTCAAACTGAACAGTCAACCCCAAGTTGATAGGGTATTTAGCTGGCGCTAACCAAATGCTGGACCTAAACTAAATCATCGGCTAGTATATTAAATGCTTGAGCCAATATATGTGCCTTCGCAACTGCACCAGGCGGCTTGATGGTAAGAATCTATTGCCTATTCTAGAAGAGCGGATCTGGGGCATTCTGTGAAGAATCACATAGAGGGCTTAAAGCGATGGATATGAGCCAATGGAAGATATCAAATGCCGGAGAGTGGGCCTAAATCTAGTGAACCAGTGAAGGTCTCACTTCGTTCTGATTCCGACTCGCTGGATGACTGGATTGGTTGTATTGTCTCTGGATCGAATTCTTCAGAATTGCTTTCTGAGTCGTCATCCTCATCGTCTGCATGGTTCCGTTTGTTCGAAGTGCTCGTCGAACGCAAATTTCCCTTGTGATAGAAGTAGTCAATGTCTTTCTGAAGGCGTGTAATTCGGTCGGGTAGGTATTCTATTTCCTTTTGGTCATTGAACGAATTTGTGAAATGTCCATCCGCATCGCGCTCTTTATCATCGGTGTCGTCGGATGTTTTGATAGAAGATTGGCCCGTAGTGAAGGAGGCGATCAATCCGTTGGCGTCCCACCGTTACCACAATGGGGCCTGAGCCGAGGGAATTGATCAAATTCCATGCGATAAACGCAACCACCCCTCCATCCGGGTTTTTCGAGCCACTTCAGTTCCCGCTCGTCAAGAACTCGATGTTCTTTTCCATGTCCTTGATCTTCCGTTTCAAGTCAAAAGCTTGGTTCATATCCGAATAGCTCTCCGCTCGCATCGCATCATTCTGCTTTGCCTCATTGTCCGAATATTCTCCTCAAGACCACGGGTCTTCTGGGGTCCATCTGCACTTTATCGCTGCTGATTTCCTTGAAGTTCCTTCGGAATTTTAAGTGGAATTTCGTAATATGGTCCAGTTCATGAGCTGTGGGCTGGTCTTATTTCTCTCACTCTCAGTCATTCGCATAAATTTTGGAATTAGTTCACTTTCATCCAGCGAGATGAACTTTAGCGCTTTCAGAAAAGCTCGATTCACTGCCTTATCAATCGGAAGTGAAGGCATCCTGTGAATCAAAACCGAACGGAGTGAGAGTTGAGTGAGAGTTGAGTGAGAGTTGAAGTGAGAACGAAGTGAGGACTTCACCAGAGGACAGGGTCTCTTGATCTAGCTAAGCTATGCAACGATTAGCCACCGATCTTACTATACACAAAAAGAGGGTCCCGCTGAATTTCTGAATGCTCATGCCTATGAAAGTAAAGGAGTCTCAAGCTTTTGAATTACACGGGATGGGTTTTTAGCAGACCATGAATCCGCCTCCATCGTTAGAAATCCATATGAACTAATCATATCAGACTCATCACTATTATCGTTGAAGGCTGGCCCTAAATTAGCAAATCCAATCTGTGATAAGTTCAGTCTACGGGCCTTCAATTGTTGAAGAAATAAGATGAGATCAACTATCTAGCACTAGATGTTCTACCACAGACCTTTCAATTCCATTGACATGATCACGACTCTGATTAGCCATGCACAGTTTTTGGACCCTGATAACCCCGAATACGAGGCGCCATTTCAGATCATACAGGCTTGGCAAAGCTTGGCATCAACCTAACCAGCTTTAGGGATAGATCTCATGATTGCTGAAGTCATATTTTAGATCCGATAAGCTTGTGTTGATGAAAATGTGTGTAGATAAGTAAGTATAGTAAATGCACGTCGTATAGGATATTTTGACGCACGATATACTTAATCCCGTAAAAAATGATATACATCGCAGATATTGGATACCTCTGGGCTTCTAACTACATGACTAAGAGGGGATTCTGTTTGTTTAGATCCCAAGGCGTATCCAGTAAGTCTCTCTAAGCCTGAAATTTGGGCGCATGGATATCCTGAGAATATAAAAGCATTCATTTGTCCCCAGGCAAGCCAACAATATCTTCATTCTCTCATTCTCTTGGTGAAGAACAGCATCAATCAGTAATCTACAATGTCCTCCCTATTCCCCCTCCCCATCGTGGCCTGCGTCCTAAACAACGAAGCCAGTAAATTCAACTTCTCAAACGCCAACGTCGAAGGCAAATTCCCTTCTTTCTTCAACGATAATGCCATCGATTTACTAACAAGTTAACAATACCAGTGATCCACTCAATACAAGCCCTCGAAACAGCAAAACAACGCAGGCAAACTTCCCAAGTCCCCCGATATTAACATTAGCGGCAAGGACAACCGCCCCATACGAGGCGTTATCTTCGGCCCTGGATTCGTCTTGGAAGAAGTCATGAGGCTACGCGAAAAATGCGCGGGTATTGCGCCGGAGCCTGTGATTTGGATCGTCAGTCAAGCCAAGCCGGTACCTCAGTCTACGTTTTGACTAGCTATACTGCAGATCATGGATAATTATTCTTCTGGAATTAAGCGGTCCTTGAGTGATTGGGTGGATGAGGGTGCGGAGTGTGATATGTTTGTTTTCGTGTGTTAGGTTCTTGTTCATCGGTCATGAGTAAGCAGATTCAGGATGAAGCCAAGGAGTTGGTGGTTCATAAGTAGCTGGTAACTATTCAAAGCTAAGGAAATATACACTTCATCACCTGAGAATCAATAGCGGGAGAAAACCATGAGACTTGATCTATATTGTACAACTTAAATACGACTATACATTCTATTGAACCCCATTCATTCGAGGCTTCTCCTCAACTTTCTTTTCCTTCCCCTTTAAAGTCGTGTATACGACCTTCTTGTCCCCGGCTCTGCCCAAGGTCAAAGCCCAAAGCAAAGCAACAATACCGGTAACCAGAATGGTAACATGCACCGCCCACCAAATGTGTTGCACTCCAGCAGGACACATCGTAATCTCGTAGTCCCATTCGCCGATGTCAGCATCAAACCACACAGAAAGGAGTCCGGCATTACCACCGAACTCGCCCATCATTGAACGAAGGGTAACCTCGCGGATAGAGGGTCCCTGAGAACCATTGTGCTCATTCTGTGTGTATCGTTTCGCAGCCCATTTCCAATTTTGAGATGCACCCGCTGAATCGTTTTCGTTCTCTGCTTTCTCTGCCTCTGCCTCCGCCTCTGTTTCGGTGACACGCTCGGCATAATGAACAACATCACACCCCGTATGATCATGACCAGTAAGAATAAGTCCCTTCCGTCCAACTCCACCCAAAAACGCATTCTCATCCCCGCTCATGCCAAAGATACCACGTAAAATACCCGTATCACTAACAAAATCACTGAGATGATTCTGCTCCCGTAGCCCACCGGCCAGATAACGTGGAACATCTTCGCCTTCATCGTCATCTTCATCATGAAAAGTGAAATAGGGACCATCAGTGCAGATACCATCTCCCTTATGCAGGGGCAGATGCGTAAGCAGCAATGTGAAAACAGACTTATCTTCCACGGGATAGAGACGGTGGCTAATCAGGTCGTTGAGGTAGACGTAGCTCTGGGATTGGAGCTCATTTGACAAAGCAGGTGTATCCATGATGAGGGTGTTCAGGTTGATAACGTGCAATGTAGGCGTAACCGAAACAGAATCCGTTTCTTTTGAGGTGTTATTCACTAGAGGCGGGTGCTGGAATCTGATATCCCAATTTGCTCGTCCGAATTCACGTTCGAAGCGTTCCATTCGTGCTTCGCTCACGTCGCCTGCGTACCCGATATCGTGGTTTCCGGCAACGTTTATAATGCGGCGTGGCCAGTCGGGGTTTGAGTCCGGACCTAGGGGCTCGAGGTGCTTATCCGATTTATCTTGGTCTGGGCTGTGGCTGGCGACAGCGCCTGTCCAGGTCATATCGTCGTCGACGCGTAATCCGTGCCTGAAAACGCGGTTCCAGTACCGCTGGCTCCGGTCTGAGAATTCCTCGTCTGAAATCCATTGGCTGCCTAGGAGATCGCCGAGGACGGTTGTGTGTGTAGGACGAGTCCACCAGAAAAGGGTGCGGTAGATGTGCGCAAGGTAGAAGTCGTTTCCAAGGAGGTCGATTCTTTTTTGCGTGGCGCTTAGCGAGCGGGGAATGTCTTCGTTTGCAATTTTCCAAAGGCCGGTTGTGATGTTTGAGACGACTTCGGTGTTTAGGAGGGAGAGTGGTAAGGGCGTAGTAGAATCGCCCATTGCTTCTTGGACAGCACGATAGTGTGTTCGTATACGTGGGATAAGTTCGTACTCCGGGAATGGGAGGGAGGTATCGCCTTCTAATTGGGGGTCTGCGAGGACGAGGAGTCTGAAGATAGCGGGTTGATTGTTCGAGGAGTCTGGGAGGAGATGCTGGAGGAGGGTATTCGTGACGGCATTTTGCTGCAACTTTTCGAGGACTGATGGGTTTTCAGTCCTTGTCACCTCAGCACGAGGGAGAGGAAATGCGCAGCCATTGAAGACGGGGTATAGATATAGGTAGATTGTTGCTGCGGTACTGAGGGGGAGCAGGATCGCGAGGATGCGGGCGAACAGCGAGCGGAGGGACATGAGGATTGTATAGGTATTAGAAAAGATGTTAGGAAATCATAAACAGCATATTGAATATAAAGAGTGTGAAGGTCTGGCCGGGTTGGAGAGGAACCTGGGAGGTTGAGACACTAAGGGGATAAACAGTGAAACCTCCGCGGCCGCGTTAGCTCACATGTTCTTACTGATGCGCAGTCGCATTTACCCACGGTTTGTGAGGGATCACGCGATAAGATGCCTGTTCCTTGTTGGAGTATCTAATAAATCCGTTTTCGTCCAGATTTGAGTTTTGTTTGTTTATTTTCAACGATTATTTCTGCTTTTAAGGTTATACTGTTAGGAAAGATTTCTCATCTAACATGGGCCGGGGAAAATATATACAATGGCTTAATATGCGGGTACACTTATTGAAAGCTATCGGATTACAGCATTCGAATGCTACTTTAAGGTCGTTGACAAACCTCAGAAGTCAAATTATAAAGCCATTAGGTTCCAATTTACTGGGATGATAGGATATCCACAGAACAGAACGTGTATAGAGAAACCGGGACTAAGCCACTATTGCGTCCTGCCACATCAAAAGCCAGGCCATTATACACTGCCCGCATAAAACCCCTTCATATCCACGTAACTGAAACAGAAATTGGCATGGGCCAAGAACAAACGGAACAGAAAGTCGGAGCGAGGGGTATATCACATCAAACGCCAAAATAGCAGAAGGGGGATAAATAGATGGCAAATACCACAAGATCAAAACACAAGAGATGGGGAACAAATCCAAGGGGAATAAAGGGTAGCAAAAAAGAAAAAAGAAAAAAATCAAGACGTAGATGGCAAGCAAATAGATGGAAATTGGTATATGGCCAGGACTGCAAATAGAGCAATATCATCAAGATTCAGGAACAGATCACTGCGAATCCATCTTCGCTAGGGGACTAGGAAGAAGGAAGGTTGGACCGGGGTTGATCTCTCCGAGAGGGTTCGATAGAGTGGAGTCATTAGTGTTGGAGTCGGTTTCATTTAGTTCGCCCTTGGCATCCACGTAGGAGTTACCAGCCGAGGACCCAGATTTGGTCAAGTTGAGACCCTCGATCCGCAGTCCGTCGTCTTCTTCCTCCTCTTCGACCAGTTTCTCGTTCTCTGGCAGGGGATTGTTCATGAGTGCCGGTGGTCTTTGGTTCATCAGGCGGGCTTGTTTAAGACTGATGGTTTTTTGCTTGTTGGTGGATGACACAACCTGATCCAGGTCACGCTCGATGGTTGCCTTCATCAAAGCGCCCATCCACAATCGACCCTCCTGGACGCTGTCGACTTGGAAATAGTGGGTTGTAGGCTTAGTAAACTGCACGGTGCGCGAGTTGCCCATCTTTGGGGGAACCAGCTTGAAGAAGAATGGGCCGCTCAAGTCTTTGCTTTTCAGCCCGGCGAGGGCATCGGGAGTGACTGCCTTGGCGCTGTTCTGATCCGTGGAGCTGGCGTTGGCGGGAAGCGCGGTAGAACCAGTGACCGCTGCGTGCAAAGTGATGATAGGATCATTGTCTGCCCGCAACACGCGGTGAGCCGTGATATCGATCAAACCTCTTTCCTCAGTGTCGTCTTCGCTATAATAGTAGGAAAGACGGCGACCCCGCAGAACGAATAGTCGAGGCTTCCAGGTCGTCATCAAGTTGGATGATCTCTTCTTCATCCACCCACTGTAGTCACAGCCATCCATCTGCTCCCGGGGCGGCTTCTTTTCCAAGCCACGGGTGTAGGCACTGGTATCCTTTTTGGACTTAACGGTTCGAGGTCGAACCACGAATCCTGCAGGCTCACCAGCCTTGCCCGAACCATCCGTGCTGTGTCGTTCCGAGCTCTTAGAGGTGGCCGAGGGGGTGGTGGATCCGGTACGACCAAAGCTGGGATCGAATTCTTTGGGGGAAACAGGTGATGGGACGTCTTTGTTGGCGGCATCCGAGATAGCGCGCATGCCTACAGCCCGTCGCATCTTAGGGCCGACATTCCTCAGAGGCTGAAAGTGCGATGAGCGTGAGGAAGTTTCAGAATCAGTACCCTTTTTCGTTACCAGAGGCCCGAAGCTTGCAAAAAAGCCAGGTTTAGTGTCAGACGACTGGGAAGTGCGACCACTCTGGGAAGAAGAATTACGCTGGCTCAGACTCCGCAGTCGCGATTTTGCCGGAGAGTCACTATAATTCTTCGCAGCATCGGAAATATTCTTATCGATTTCGCGAAGTGAATCAACGCTAGCAATCCGTGACTGACGCTTTGGGGGTTTCACCATGAATATGGGCTCATCTTGGTGGCTCGACTTCCGAGAATGGCTGTTGCTACCAGCGGTCGATGTCCGTTTCTGTAGGACACGTCGATTCCGGCGCGTATCAACTTCTGTACCGGAGAAATAGCCACGGTCCAAGTCATCAATGGCTTCAGGAGTGTTGGGTTCTGATCCAGCTGTCCCACGGAAAGCCCGATATCCCTCTGTCGGGGCACCAACCGCAGTTCCTGGGCGAGGGGGAGTGAGTAAGACCCTGATTGGGATCCTCCGTTGAGCGTCCAAGTTCGATCAAATGATGGCTTTTTGGGATGACCATGGAATTCAGAATAGCCGCGTTGGGTTGCGTCGATGGAAGAATGTCGCCGGCTGTGATTGAATTCACGAATGGACGCTGCGGACATTCTCCTCGAGTCATTCCCATACCGAGGAGGGGTCATGGGGGTGACTGGGGAGCTTCCGTTGCTAGCCAGTCTTGGATGTTGCGCAGGTCCCATAGATGACCGTGGGACATAGCCTGCACCGGTTTTCTCTGACACTGTCGGGATTCGAGGAAGGAAACCGCTTGTATGACCGGCACGAGACATTGAACGTTCTTCATGGGGACTGGGATATCCGGCAACGGAGCCTCGGGGTTGCGATATTTGCTGTTGAGGCTTGGACAATTTGACTTCCTCTTGGAGGGCTTTAATCTTGTGCCATGTCTTGAGTCGCTTTCCCATGACACCAAAGTCAAACTCCTTCATAAACACGAAATCCTGGTTCATTTCCAGGAGCACATCACCGGTGATCTCTTCATTTTCAAAGATATCACAGTGTTTAGATTCAACGCCAAGGCTTCGAAGGTGGTTGGCGGTCTCTGTTTGGTTCCACCTACGCACCTGTTCCTCGGTAAGTGTTGTACCCTCTTCCTCGTCGGTCTCATTTCCATTAATGTATGACAATCGATGGCTGATGTGGCTACTGTATTCGCTCCCAGAATCGTTGATGGTCTTGGCATCCTGCGTTGACACGCTGTGGCGGGGCGTATTCATATCGGTGATGTGTTCGTCAATCACACTCAAAGTTTCATTCATCACGGGACTTTCCTGGCCGTTTGCATGCTGTTCAGCGGATGGACGCAATGCGTTTTGGATATCGGCAGCTAGGCTTGAGTACGGTAGGGGAGACGAGGCAGACCGCTGCGATGGAGATTCCATCGGGGGCGCTCCAGGTACGCTGCTCTGCCGTGATGCCTGAGGGGTGGTCTGCTCGCTTCTCACAGCCGCATATGAGGTCTCTTTGGGCGTGGTCGGTTCGATCTGAGCGGGTGACTCGGTCTCTTCTGATGTGATCACCCCCTGGGATGACGGGTCGATACGAAGGGCGTTGTGGTATCTGGCGTACTCGTGTCGCTCGGCCCTTCTTGTAAATCCTGCTCGATGTGTTAGTCTCGGTCCGATGATGGCGATTTCCATGTGCGCGTACCTGCGGGGAAAAGGCCCTTGTGGTCAGTACCCGGGTATTCGCCGAGCCACCAACCATCTCCAAACTCTTCGTCCAGCTCCACCAGCTGGATAATATCGTTGCGGTGCATTGTCAATTCATCTTCGCCGCCCGTGTGAGCATCTGTATTGGGTTAGGCGCATTGTCCTTCAAACTGGCAGAGGGGAGGCGCAATGCGCGACGCTTTGCGCGCGCGGTCTCAACTTACGGACAACCACGAGATAATCGCCAGGATGAACATTTTGCGGTGGTGGCGGTGGCGCCAGCTCCGCGTCGGCCATTTTTGCAGTCCCTGGGGGCGTAATTCCTCCGGTCGCGCAGGTATTGAAGAGGCGAGCTCTGAGAGGGGGGATTGGAAGGACTCAGTCGCAGGACATAGGGGCCCGGCAGCCCTTTCGGGGATGAGCAATAAACAAGTCAACCGCCGGGCGAGTAATCTCACGAGAGAGAAATGTGAACTCGGACAGGGGAGAGAATGCAGAGGGGCCGGAATCTAGCGCGCCCGGCTCGGCTTAGGTCAGGTCAATGGTTCTCGTGGGGGTTCTGGTAAGCACGCACCTCGTAGTGCTTCGTGCGCGATCAACGGAGACCCAGCAGATCAGGATAACGTGAAATGGTGGCGTGTGCCAGATACGGATCTGTCATGCCACTGTCAAGTTCACGATTTGAAGAATCTGAGGATCTGAGGATCTGGGAATCTGCGAGGAGAATTCGAGAATATGTGGAATGGGGATTAATGGTCCACACACAAGAACCGAGCGACCCACTGCGATATCAGAAAATAAGGGAAGTTCTTAAGAGAAATGAAAAGGTAAAAAATGGGTCTTAGGCCAAGAGTGACGTGGTGTGGCCGTCAAGTGGTTCTGGGCGAGTCCACGGTTGACTCTCGGGAGAAATTGCAAAGTCGAGCGGCTGAAGGTTGTACGAGGATGTTCAGCCGAGTGGATGAGAAGAAAAGAATTGAATTGAATTGAAATCAAGGGTAGTCAAATCAAGGGTTTGAGGAAAAAGAAACGATGAACCCGTAAGTATGTATTGCATGGATGAATCCGGTCATTCCAACGTGATCAATATACTGTACAAACACTCCAAATCCTATCTAATCCGACTCTCCGAACACCAATGACATGGACTCCTTCGAACCCATAGAGAGTGGGACTTTCCCAGGTTATTTACTTTGAACCCCTTTGAGGGTTATCATGCTAGGCACTAACTACCTGTGTACGCGCGCGCCAACCCCAAGAGGGACATTTCTTTGTTCTTTGATTGCTTTTTTTGGTTTCTTTCATCTTTGCAAATTCCATTGAGATCCATCAAATATAACTCTAATTTCTTCCTCATCCTGCTATATGAACGCCGTTGTATATTTGCTTATTTGAAAAACGCAAACATTTTTTCCCCTAAAGCCCAGAGCAAACATTCCCTCAGATTCGCATCGAATGTCCTTAGACACTGACTTCCAAGCGTGTATGCCCTCGATGTAACTATGAAGCCGTCTACTCAACCATTGCCTCCCGATCACGTTGAAAAGTCCAACTCCACCGCGAGCCTCTTTTTAGGTGGTGTGCGGAGGAACTGGATGGCCGCATCCCGTCCAACTTCAAATACTTGTTGCGATGTCCCTCCACCAAAAGGCACTGCGTCGCCGGACCCCGAACTTCCGGAAGTTGCGCCCATGTCCCCCGTCACACCGGGGGCCATGCTGCCATCGGCGCCAGTTACTGCAGTGACAGCGGTCCCTGCCCCCAAGAAATCCGATCCTCCAACAACTGCGCTTCCATCTCCCGTACCAAGTGCAGACTCTCATCCAAGTCCGGCTATTAGCCACCCATCAACGGCTAGTCCCGCCGTCGCTGCTGCTCCACCGGTCGCGAATCCTCATCCACCCCCAACCCCAACATACGTCACGAATGAGGCTGGCCCTCGCCTGCCAAACCAACCTGGGATGACCCAAGTCTCACAAGATTCTCCAGGGACCCCAATCGCACGTTCAAGCCCCCAGAGAAGGGCAAATGCGCTGCCCCAGCCCATGCAGGCCAAGGCGACAGTCCCAAACGGTCGGAGCTCAGGCCCAGATCAGTTCACATGGAAGAGATGGCAAATTTGGGTAGAGCAAGTGAGGAGGAAAGCGTCGAATTCTCGGTCCGCCGTTGCCGCCCCTCGAGCAGAACTGCTGTACGACGCCTGCATGGCCAAAGACCTTTTTTATCTGGTGCTGCATCAGGTGTTCTGTTGCGTATCCTTGGGCGATACAGTGTTCTTGGACCTGCCCTCGCTCAGTTCAGAATGGTGTCAAAGGGGCTTTGGCCGGGTCGCGGAGCTGTTGGAGAATAACAATAAGCTTCCCAAGGGGCTCCTCGTTCTCTTTGCCCAGTTCCCGATCACGCCAGAGGACATGAAAGAACAAGGCTGGTACCAACGGACAGTGCAAGAGGTTGCTGATTTCCTCCCGCTGCTGGCATCGCGCTTCACGAGTTGCGATTGTCGGTTTTACATCGAGGTGGCCAAACGGCGCTTTCCGCCGTTGGTGCATGAGATGAAGCGAGAATTCCAACTCAATTCGCCCGTATTCATGAGTGTAATATTTGCTTCCATGGGTCGGCAACTATACGATGGCTCCAGTTTCTTGGCGTTGAATCAGCTGTTCAAGGAAAATCTGGCTCTCGAACGGACTGGCTTGGACAAGGATTCTCATCATCGGTTAATCGATGCTTACCGAAATATTCCAATGAAAGGCCTCCCACAACAAGCGACGTTGCCCATTCTCCAGGTTCCGGCTACAACTTCGGCCTCTCAATATCCTCAACCTGAAGTCACGCAACTCTCTAGAAACCAACCTTCATCAGCGAGCCTAAGACCAGCAAGTCCCAGCCAGGTCAGGCGTGAAATTGTTCAAGGGCCATCAAATAGATCACAAGTACCTCCGAATGCACAGGCCAGGCAATTCCTAGCTATTCAATCCCCAGCTATTCAACTCTCAGCTGCTCAGCACCCAGCTAGCCAACCCCCAGCTAGCCAACCCCCAGCTGGCCGATCTCCGGCCATGCAACCTTCAGCCAATCGACCTCCGCCGATAGTCACTGTCCCCTATGGCCATTCTCCGTATCAGTACCCTTCACAGCAGGTACAGCAGCAGCCCTTCACGCCAATGCCGCCAATGCCCCATTATCCACAAATGTCGCCAGCACAGCAAGGTCAAATGGTAAGCATGCCTCCACAGCCCGGCCATATACCTGGGTATGCTTGGCATCCTGCTCCCAACCCTCAGACACAAGCACAGCAACGGGAGTTTCTTCGGTCCTACGTACCTCCGTCAGCATATACAATTCCCAATTCAGCCCAGCAGAATGTGTCTTCCCAAGGAGGCGCTTCCGACGGCCACCACCGAGAGAATCAGGTGCCATTGCAAACTTATCAGACATATCTAAGAAACCAGCCGATGCCTTCTCCGCACCAAGTTCAGTCGCCAAATTCACGATCTCCTCAAACCCATTCTTCCTCAACCGCGTCCCTCTTGCCGCCTGTTGGATATCGTCTCCCACCGTCTGTTCCGCCAAACCCCATGCGTCTCGGGCTACACCAGGCCGATCTTCGTGACCCGATAAAGAAGTGCGTGAAGAAAGGGCCCGGGGGCGAAATGCGGGAAGCCGAGCTTTATCATTATGTGAGCCATTTTGCTCTGGATCCTTCTGCCATCGACCCCGAGGACTACAATTATGTTTGGAATTTCTCCGTGTCTGCCGATGATATGACGAGACGCCCACGCCCAGTAGAGACGTCTGCCAAGGAAGGCTTCCGTCGCATCCTCACATACCAATCCGGTTGCCGAACCTTTCGTCTGCGATGTATCGCACTCCCAGCTTCGGAGGACCCCAAACATGCAAAGACCCTGTGGCATACGGCATCTACAACTTGGCCTAGCGTGTTCTATATTCATCTCAACGGCAGGGAATTTACTCCCTGCCGGAAGGTTCACAATGGAAAGGATCTGCCTTTGGATATAACCTTGGATCTTCGCGAGGGTGAAAACAAGCTGCAAGTTGACCTTCTTCTTGGACCAGATGAATGTCAGAAAATACGGTACTACTTCGGTATTGAAACAATGGACGTCTCTCGGTTTGACTTGGTGCGTAGCCTCGTCCGAGCCCTCCCGGCTGAGATTGTGCGTGAAAAAATTCAAAAGCGTCTCAACCAGGCCACTGACGATGATGACGTGGCTGTTGTGACCAACAACCTGAGTATAAGTTTGATTGATCCTTTCACTGCACAGATCTGCCAGACGCCTGCCCGCTCCACTTACTGTGACCACCAGGAATGTTTCGATCTTGAAACCTTCATCAAGACTCGAAAATCTATCAGCGGGCCGACCCCGATGAACGATAATTGGAAATGTCCTATCTGTAACGCCGATGCTCGCCCACAGCTACTGGTCCTGGATCGATTCCTTGAGGATATTCGCATGCAGCTTATCCAGAGGGACCAATTGGAAGGTGCCCAGTCCATCCTAATCAAGCCGGATGGCACATGGTCCGTGAAGGCTACCAGGGATGAACAGGCATCTCGAGAGAAGACACCATGTTTGCCCTTGGCCAAGCGCAAAGCAGATGGTCTGAGAACACCACCAGGGAATGCAGCTTCGCGAATCAAACTTGAGGAACAACAGTCTCCTGAATATCAGCCTCCGGAGCGAGTGTACCTTGAACAACAACTTCCGGAACGAATCATTATTGAGATCGACTAACGTTCCCTATCTGTTTTACATGTCAGAATTTGTCTGTTTTGAGCATGATCCCATAGGCATGTTCAGTGCCTTCGCCACCTTCTTTCTCTGCCCCGTTTGTTTGCCCGCATTATAAGAGAGATACCCCCTTCTTTGTGTTTCAAAAGTGTGCTTCTATCCAGAGGGCATCTGGTTGGCGTTCGGTGTCTTTTGTTCTTATTGATATTTGTTTTACATAAGTTATGGCCTTTGTTCGGGCCGAACGGGATCGAGTATATACGTTAGCTTGCCTGACTTGGCCTAAGTAGTAAACCTAGACTCGTACAAATGGGTGAAGAATGGACTTCTTTTGTGTTTGCTACATTACTATTCATATAATTTTAGCCATTTAACATCAGGTCCTTATTAAAACTAGAAGCTCTAAAAACACATCATGTATGCTCATTCAGCGGATCTCTCCACGTCGACATTAAATTATACAGTAATATAGTTGGTATATAGCCGGAGAAGTTTCACTTCCTCACCCTCCTCACATGACTAACAAGGTTCTCAATAACACCTTCGAAAGCCTCCTTCTCACCAATAAGTCCATCCCTTCGCTTCAGCCAATACTCAAGGACCTCACTAGCCCGCAAGGTAACAGCCTCCAGCTCAGCAGCATGATCTTTAAGCTCGCTATCCGTTAACCCATTCAACGCAGCATCAGTAGTAGCACACAATCTCCGCACAGCTGAAAGATCCAACTGAGGCGGTGGCGCAGCACCACGTCTGGCTTTGGTACGAGGAGCCTGCGCAGCACCATCGGTTTCAGCCGAAGCTTCACCCTCGCCTCCCTTGCGGGGTTGGCTGCGTGAGCGTGTAGCAGGCGTATTGGAGCCCGAATCAAGGTCGATGGAGGGTAGGACGAGTTTCTTCTGTTTCGAGGCTGGAAGGATCTCGTCTAGATCTACCGGAACGCCTAGTGAGACGAGGAAAAGTCGGCGGATGCGGGATTTTACCCAATTTTGGGGTTGAAGCGGGGGTGGGGCTACTAGTTGGGACCAGAGGGAGAGTGAGCGCTCTGTGTTGAAGATGGCTGTTTGGTCGGAGATTGGTTCGACTTTTGGGAGGGTGGTGATGTCGGATGTTGGGAGGAGGTTGTCGAGGGTTCCTTGGAGGGAGGCTAGTAGTTCGGATGTAGATTTGTAGGCGGAGAAGTCTGCCAGGGGGGGCTAAGAGGTGTTAGTTAGGTTTTGTCGATATGGGGATGTAGACGTACGACTGTTGGTGCGGGTGGCTGTGGAGGAGTGGTTGTACCACTGGCCATTTCTGTGGGTTCTTGGAAGCCGTCGTCGAAGTCTCCGAAGTCGTCGTCTCCCATTTCTTCTGCCTCGTCGACAAATTCGTCGAAGTCGTCGCCAAAATCGTCGGCTTCGGCTTCTATGGCTTCTTCTTCAGCCTCTTCGGACCCATCTGCGGCGCCACCTTGGGACGTGGGTTCTGGGGCGTCTGGGACTATTTCCACTGTGTCGGGCTCTGCATCACTGGCTGAGCTTTGATGGGCCGTGGGACCTGATGATGATACTTCATCCAGGGGCAATGTGTCCACTTTGGAAACCCGCGTTTCAGGAATTGGTTGAGTTGTGGAATCATTGTCAGAGGGGGTATCATCCAGCGACGGAGCTTCATTACTCTCATGGTCGGGTGCTTTGGTCACTATGTCAGGCACTGCATCGGCCAGGCGCTTTTCATGCGCTTCGGTTCCTGGAACTTCACCATAGCTTGGCTCCTCAGGATCCACCTTTTCCACTACTGTATGTGGGATGGGTGAAGCTTCTGGGGTTATAGGTCGGTCCTGCGGCCCCGACGCAGCTTGGTCCTTGCTCTGTGTATCTTCTGGGATGACTTCGATTTCATCGGGGACGGCGTCTTGCGCTCGTTTCTCGTATGCTTCTGTACCGGGAATTTCGCCATGCTGGGCACTGTCGTCCACCCGCTCGACTCGAGTGGACGGGACAGGGGAAGTATTGCCAGATGGTGGGCTTTGTTTTAATTGTGCATGGCCTTCACTGGCATCTGAGAAGTGGTCATCGTCGCTGCTGGAAGCTGTAAAAATGGTAAAAAAAAATAGGTCAGTTTCTAGTAGTTTCATGACGTCCCAAGAGCCAACTAACCAATATCCTCAGCTCCTGGGTCCTCCAGCTCTGTGGTCTTGCTGGGAGGTTCGAGGTGCGTAGGCTGATCGGGTGATGCCTCCGACATTATTGTTGGTGGTGTTAGGGCTGGAGCATGGGAATCAGAGGGCGTAAAGAGAAATTCAGGAAATTAAGCATGCAAGTGAGTTGTGTAGCGTGGAGTGACGGCGTTCCCTGCAATCGATTCGAGTCCAGAACACATGTGCCTGAATGCCTTAGAATGCAGATTAGTGCCTTGGTTATCGGGCGGTAAAAGCTCATGGACCCAATTGTTTAGGCGTTAAGGCATCAAGGCATCAACGAGCGCGTAACTCAAACTCCTGCCGATGATTATTCTGAGCTTCAACCTCTCACCTCGTGCCCTTTCCTCACCTTTCCGTTAGGCTCAATTCCCATTGAATCAGTGCAATCGCATTATCCTACTTGGTTTTGTGATTCCTCTCCACAGGACCCCCCGACCTTCCATTGGTCGTTCCTTTTCTTCCACTTTTTCCAGAGCTCGCTCTAGTCCCTCGCCTGCGACAACACATCACCATGTTCGGCAACAATAACTCAGGCGCCAGCAAAAGCCTTTTCGGGTCTGCTGGTGGCGCTAGCAGTCCCTTTGGCTCCAACACGAATACTCCAAATTCCGGGTCCTCTGGTCCTAGTTTGTTCGGAAATGTAGGAGCTACACCCGCCGGAGGCGCATCTGCTTCACCCTTTGGAGGAAATTCCGGAGGAAATTCTGGCACCCAGCCCTCTCTTTTCGGAAGTGGTACTACAAACAACACCACCGGAAGCTCATTCGGTTCTAACACCGCGACCTCAGGCGGCACCTTCTCATTCGGTCAAGCTCAGAAACCCGCCAGTCAACCGTCCACCTTGTCGTTTGGTGGGAACTCGACTCCAGCAAAGACAGAAGCAGCCACACCCAATGCTACAGCTGGTGGGAACTTGTTTGGTGGAGGCGGTGGTGGTAGCATGTTCGGAAACTCGACTACGCCCGGTCCCTCGGGAGGATCTTTGTTTGGCAACAACTCGACCACTCCTGCCGGACCTCCTCCGGCATCCAAGGCGCCACTGTTCGGAGGCGGATTGAATACCGGCTCCTCGACAACCCCGACCTCCACCACACCTTTCTCTACCACTCCAGCTGCGACCCAGCCGCAGACATCTGGCAGCCTCTTTGGTACTGCGGCCTCTACATCGGACACTCCCAAGCCGGCGTTTGGGTCTACTCCTACTACCGGCGCCGCCAGCGGTGGTGGCCTATTCGGCACAAAGCCGGCTGGAACCTCAACTCCGACCACAGCTGCAGACAGCACCCCGAAGCCCAGTATGTTCGGAAGTACCACCCCAGCTACAGGCGCTGCACCGAGTACACAAGGATCCTCACTGTTCAAAATGCCCTCTGCTGGGGGTGACTCGGCCGCAAAGCCTGCATTCTCTCTTGGTGGTAATACTACAGCTAGCACAAGCGCACCTGCATCATCACTGGGAGCCCCTGCAACTTCGGCTGCTGCCCCCCAAAAGTCGCTCTTCCCTACCCTTGGGGGCACCACATCTTCTGCTGCCCCATCATCCACACCTGCTGCTGCTCCTACTACCGGACTGTTTGCTCCTAAGCCCTCCACATCGGCCGCCCAAGCGGCTGCGACCACCACATCTGCACCCGCCACCACTCCTGCTGCCGCGGCTCCTCTTGGGGGTTTGTTCGGTAAGCCAGCTGCTTCAACCCCGTCTACTCAGCCTGCCGCTGCCACTACAACGGCTGCTGCTGATAAGACCACTACCGCAACAGCAGCTCCGTCTACAACTGCTACTGCTGGTGCTTCAGCTAATACTGGTGTCACTGCTCTTGGGCAGTCAACCACAGGACCTGCTCCGCCAGCTCAGTCGCGGCTCAAGAACAAGACCATGGATGAAATCATTACTCGATGGGCCACAGATTTGACCAAATATCAAAAGGAGTTCCGTGAGCAGGCAGAGAAGGTTGCTGAGTGGGATCGGATGCTAGTGGAGAACGGAACCAAGGTGCAGAAGCTGTATGGCAGCACTGTTGATGCAGAGCGTGCCACTCAGGAGGTTGAGCGTCAACTGGCCTCCGTGGAAGGCCAGCAAGATGAGCTTAGCTCGTGGCTCGATCGTTACGAACGGGAGGTGGATGAGATGGTGTCAAAACAAGGATCCCCCGGCGAGAACATCTCAGGTCCGGATCAGGAGCGCGAGAGAACGTAAGTGTTCACTATCCCCGATGTGTGTACCATTAATCTAACTCAACCCTACAGATACAAACTGGCCGAGAAGCTCTCCGAGCGTCTGGACGAGATGGGCAAAGATCTGACCAGCATGATCGAAGAGGTGAACGGCGCCTCAGCAAGCCTATCCAAGACCAACCGAGCAGACGAGCCTGTATGTCAAACTTCTACCTATTGTTCTGGATCATTGCTGACCAATCTTATAGATCTCCCAAATTGTTCGCATTCTCAACTCGCATCTGTCTCAATTGCAGGTCATCGACCAAGGTACATCCGAGCTGCAGGCTAAAGTTGCCGCCGCTCAAAAGGCTGGCCAATCGATCTCTTCTCGGCTTGGCTACGGGTATGCTAGCCCCGGTATGGGTGGAGGTCATGCCGCGGATGATTTCTACCGCTCGTACATGGGACGGCGGTAGATGGTGATGGATGGACATTTTATGATTTAATTCGGGTTATCGAATATACCGTGACTCAATGGGAATGGATCTGGTTTTGCAGTTATACTTTCTGAGCATGACTTTTCACGTACTTTTTGTCTGCGGCCTGGCGGCATGGTATCCCTTAGCTGACGCAATCTTGGAATCTGGATTTCTTTGCTTCTGTATTTCTAGTTTAGATTTCATCCTGTCTTGATCTTTCCAAAGAGCGAGGGCCTGAGGAGCAAATTGCCATTATGGCTGGATATCTAGGCACCTGGCGGTTTTGTATCTAGATCCCAGTCCCAGAGTTGGGCTCTGGATTCAAGATAATATGTGGAGTTCGACATACAATCATATATACGTGTAGTCTCTACACCCGAATAGAGCATGGACCTTGAGATATCAAAGTTTCGGGGTAATCAACTATATCTTGAGTTCTATCTTTTGGAAATCAGGCGTGATTTGCGGCAATGCCTAGTGGTCAAACTACGAGTAGCTGTGAACATATTGCCAGGTATTTATCTATGAGAGCGGGCCTACAGTGAATTATAGTACTTTGTTCTGTAAAATGGAGGAAACTCCTGATATGCTCTCGCCTGTATGCTATATCACATGCTAATGGCAAAGAGGCCCCCACTGATCAATCCGATTGGAGCGGAGATAATTATGGTACAACAATGGTAGGTCTTGGATGGGGCCAGTTATACATATGGCTGCTTAGCGCTTCTGCTCCTGGGTCAGGTTGTCACTGGAAAGCAGTTAGTACAGTTCAGAACCAAACTTGTATAATAAAAGGGTATGGTGCATACATGTGGCCCTCGAGGTCATCAAGGTGTTTACGCTGATCAGAGATCTGCTTCTTCAGCTTGGCAAGCCTGTTCACCGCGTCAGTAAAATGAACCAAACACACAGGCAAGGCAACTTACTTCTCGAGCTCCTTCTCACGAATGTACATGCTTTCCTGGGCGGCTTCGCGCTTGGTGAATGCGTCACTACAGCACTGTCAGCAAGGGATGATGTCATCGGACAAGGCAGACGCCCTGCTGCGCCTCGTTGCTCATTTTGGTGCTCAGGGCACCGTGGAGAGCAAGGCGTGATCAGTTACTGCAGGGGAAAATGAGAAGCCACGTACCCAGAGGATGAACCGGCAGCAGAGCGGGGAGCACCAGTGTCGCCTTCGCCCATTCGAGGCACAGCAACCGAGAAGGATCGGTATTGGAGAGCCCGGGTAGCGGTGGCGGCAGGTCGGATGATGGATTGACGGAGCATGATGGATGGTTTGTGATGAGAAAGTAAGATATGAGGAAGAAGAAAGGAAATAGTCAAGGAACCCTGGAAGCTACAGTAAGCTTGGGTGGCATGACGACACATCAGGTGATTCCGGGGTGCATTAGATAATAGATTATGTCAGCTCCGGTAAATCTCTGCGATAAGTCAACGTGCTCTCATTCGGCTTTATGAGAGATCATGAGGGGTTCGTGGGAGATCATTCGTATTGTATACACGGGTGAAGTGACTACATGATCCCTCGGCTGATCGATAATTTCTTATATTCTTTCCATTCTTCCATCTTCCCTGCCGCGTACATCTAGACCAGCTGAGCCCCATAGTCCCATGGGATTAGACCAGGGAGATTAGGGCTGTTTCAGAGTGACTATAAGGCATACTCGACTATGTACCCAAGAACAATTGTGTTTCCAAAGTGAGGCGCGAAGTAGGGAACCACAAGGGCGATTGGTGGGCGCGGGATGGGGATGACGCTCAGTGGCCCACCGAACCACACACAGAAGACGAAGACGATGCTCAGCACGAACAATTCCTGAGGAGGGGAAAGGGAAAAGGTATATAGAAAATAATAGAAAATAAGCAAGATTCCAAGTGTCAAGCCATGTGAACCAGGCTCGAACTTTAGATAATCGATAGGCTGTTAAACTCCCCTGTAGCGTTAAATCCCAACGACACCGCCCTGTTGATTCCCTCCCCCTCTTCTCTCATTCTCTCCTCTTCCCTTCATCTTGGAACTTCCCCCTTTCCTCCGTATCCAACTTCCGTCCTATTTTTTCTCCTCTCAATCCAGGTGAGTGTTACTTGTGATAGCCAATTTCATACTTGGTGCCCCCCCCCCTTTTCCTAGTTCCCCCGCCCTGCAGCCAAACCACACACAACCATAAACCCACTCCCCTTCTAGAATGAGGAACAATCATTGAGTCGCCGAGGGGAAATCTATGGGAGGTGTTCCCTTCTTAGATCTTGCATGATCCAGAATCGCATGCCTCTTTGAATGGTCGCCCGTTCATCCTTACCTTGTTTACTTGGTGGGACGGCCGCGACCGCTACATTGTGATCCCAAACACCGCACATCCCGGGAAGCCCACTCATCCGGACCATCAACACATCCATCGTCATGATATCTGTATCAGGGAAATAGGAATGACAGGCTTCGACTGGCATGCCCTGAATGGAATCAAGTGGAATTAGCGTTGAGCCCCAAAATCGAGGGGAGGGTCCTGGCGCCCTTTGTCTACCCCTCCCGGTCGGCGATGATGTAGATGGCGTGCTTCCCACTTTCATCTCCAACAACACAAAAATACCTGCAAAAATCATCATTAGAATCATCATACTAATCAGATCTGATTAATTTAGAACTTTTCACCATGGGTCAAGAAAACGCCGTTTACCTCGCCAAGCTCGCTGAGCAGGCCGAGCGCTATGAAGGTTCGCCTCCCCATTTCCAACGTAAGAGAATGTGGTATTGACCGCGCCAAACAGAGATGGTTGAGAACATGAAGGACGTCGCCTCCGCCGATGTTGAGCTCACCGTTGAGGAGCGCAATCTCCTGTCTGTCGCCTACAAGAACGTCATTGGTGCCCGCCGTGCGTCCTGGAGAATCGTCACCTCGATCGAGCAGAAGGAGGAGTCCAAGGGCAATGAGTCCCAGGTTGCTTTGATCAAGGAGTACCGCCAGAAGATCGAGGCCGAGCTTGCCAAGATCTGTGATGACATCCTTGACGTCCTCGACAAACACCTTATCCCGTCCGCCGAGAGTGGCGAGTCTAAGGTCTTCTACCACAAGATGAAGGGTGACTACCACCGTTACCTTGCTGAGTTCGCCATTGGCGACCGCCGCAAGGGTGCTGCCGACCACTCCCTGGAGGCCTACAAGGCCGCCACTGAGATTGCCGGAACCGACCTTGCCCCTACCCACCCCATCCGTCTCGGCTTGGCCCTTAACTTCTCGGTCTTCTACTACGAAATCCTGAACTCCCCCGACCAGGCCTGCCACCTCGCCAAGCTGGCCTTCGATGATGCCATTGCCGGTTCGTTGCCTCGTTTCCATGAGCCATAAACCCTGTGACTAACTTAACCAACAGAGCTCGACACCCTGAGCGAGGAGAGCTACAAGGACTCCACTCTTATCATGCAGCTCCTCCGTGACAACCTCGTAAGTGAAACCCGAATTTCGCTATATGGAGTTACCCACTAACCATATTATAGACTCTCTGGACCTCTTCCGAGGCTGAGGGCTCTGCTGATGCCCCCGCCGAGAAGAAGGCTGAGGAGGCCCCCGCTGCCGAGGGTGAGAAGCCCGCCGAGTAAAGGGTGGAACTCTTAAAAAGATATTGATGATGGACTCGCGTCCTGGGACGGATGGGACGATTGAGAGAGTACTGTGACAGGTCTATCGGAGCAAGACCAAGTAGAACGTGAGGGGAGAAATCCGCAAGATGCGCTGATCTGAATCCTGGTGTTCTTCTGGTTCTCGGGCCTCACGGCTTGGAGATGAGGAAAACCGCAGATTTGATCCATGTGCAACTTGTGGGGAAATCCCTTCGAGTCTTCTACTTGTCTCTACACTCCCTGTTTTGGTCTGGTGTTGCTTTCCTGGAACCTTGTCCGCCTCCTCTTTTCGTTTCCTTCATTCTCCTTGTTATTTTGTCTACTTGCCTCTCCTATTTTATCCCCTCTGAAAGAGTCCCTTTTGCGCGCACTCTCCAAACACCCCACACATATACACACGGACAGAGAATTTTTTTAAATCAGCTCCTTATCAGGACCAATGAGGGCTTCGTACCGATCCCCCCGATCTGGCTTTTTTTTCTCTTCTTTTCTCCCTTCTCCTGGGTTTCTCATTCCCGTATTCTGTGCCGTGTGGCGTTTCATTCTCGCTAGATGTGTTAAAGATTTACTGAGGTAAATATACCTCTATTCCGTACTCGGAATACCCTGTATGGTCTTAGACTCATCAGTAGAACTATCCTGGCCCATTTCCTAGATTAAGATGGTGTTAGGACCTTGATTGCAAGGACTAGGTGTAGTCTGGTATATTCCTGGAGACATGCTCCCGTTTTGATACCTAGACTGCTATGTCTTATCTCAGGGTATCTAACTGGGAACGTATAAGGGACTTACATTAAATAATTATATCCTAATTAATACAATCGTTGGCCAGTCAAGCATTATCCATGATATGTACTACGTCATTTCTTTGTGAATACTACCCTACAAAAAGGGTCTACGTTCCATTCTGTACGCAGATGCATATCTCCATGCTTCCCCGGATAACAAAGAATATCCTTGTAAATAGAGACTTATTTTAGGGACCCACAGAAACTCTCAACCTTAGTCTGTATGACAGGCAGCAGGGATGTCTATGGGTAGGCAGAAACTGATGCCTAGGATGCATACGCAGTCCAATGGGGCTATAATCATCAACAATGAACACATGATAAACACATTTTGACTGGTATGTAAAAAGACTAGTCCACTGTACAATGAACAAAGAACGTGATCGACATAATTGAGGACTCGTAATCTTCCGTGACAAAAGTACGGTTGATAGTTCAATTGGAGACGTATCAAAATTGAGGATGGTCGGTCATACCAAGCCGATCAACCTCAAGTTTGGGTTTAATGAATTAATGGAAAAACTCATTGTAAGATATACATACACTAGTTCAATGAATGTCAAAGTAAGACGGTAGATGGCTATTAATAGTTAAATTCGATAGTGTATCAATAAGCTCCTTTAACCTTTCATTCTTGCGTTGTAAGATTGGCTGAAAATCTACATGTCAATACGGATCTACAAGGAATGAATCATTTGAACATTTTCCATATGAATAAACCACCCACCAGCTATGCAAGCTAGACAGAAGAGGGTATGGCGGAAAAATAAACCAGGGGGGACTTGGGGCACGTTCCTGGGTATGAAAAACAGAGCCGCAAAACAAAAATGCAAGTTAAGAGTCATTTCGGCAGTCCAGGTCAAAAAGATGTACAAGTGATCGTCTTTGACGATCAGATGAGAGAAGGTAAAAAGGCAAAGAGAAAAAACAAACAAACAAATGGACTGCTCCGAACAATGACCGATGATGCTTTCCAGTTTCCACCGTGGCCATGACCATGCATATGACGAAAACAATTTCCTATGCGGGCTCCGGTAAGAGTTCATTCAAAAAGAGTCTAGTCCCAGTCCCCGAAACGCCCGAGGTGCTATGCATCCGATGATAATAAAAGAAAAAATACAAGTAACATGTCCGCAAAGAACCGCCGTGGGAGTCAGAAAGGATGAAACGCCGGAAAGAAAATAAAAATGAAAATGTGGAAATGAAGCCCAGTGGTATCGTCAGGGCCAGGAGATCGTCCCACAAATTGACAGCCACATGAAATTGGCGGCACATCGAGAGCCGTTTGGACGATCCTAGATGAATCAAGGTTGCCAAGACCCAGTGGCGGGCCACTTGACGAGCCCCAAGTATGCGATGATGTCACTGGCAATCTAAGGCTCCCTTGGGTAAATAAGCAAACCCGGGGTGATGCTGATCGGTTCTGAATTAGCGGTCGATCCCTTTGCGAAGGAGAAGTGGAGACTGTGACGACAGGCGTGCGACGAAAGAAGTGTAAAGGTTGGCCACGTCGAACCGGTCGGGTGGCTGGGATGATGAAAGTGGTAAAAGTGGCGACAACCGTAGGCAAGGACATTCATCCTTTCGGGAAAGGATACACCGAGAGTCATCACGAGACTGGTATCTTTCCCATGGAGTCCCTTGTTCCCCTGCTCCTCCATGGATTTGCGGAAGTAAAACATGTCAATGGGTGTAACGTTGGACTCTTGATCGAAATGTGGCGTTGCAGACGGGAGAAGTGGGAGGAAAGTCGTAAATGGCGGAGAGAATCGATAAAAAAAAAAGTCGGTGTGGTGAACAAAGGGTTGCACATCCAACCCCTCAACGTGCGTAGAAATCCCGATTTCTCTGAGTTACTAGGTGGCAGCGACGGTCAATCTGCGACCCCTTCCTCACTCCTCCCACAAGGAGCTATTTCTGTGCTTTGCGTGCTTTCGTACTCCGAGTCATTTCACCCTTGGTCATATTCCGGGTAAGGCCGCCAATGTAATCTTGCAGGATCTTGTTGTCCTTCTCCAGCTTGTCATGATCCGACTTGACCGCGTCGATTCGTTCGGCAAGGGCTTGTAGTGATGATTGGAGAGCCTTGGCTTGTCTGTGAGGCTGGTTAGCATTTCCAAGATTTCCTTTATCTTCTTCTCTTTTCTCTTTCAACCACCGATACTAAGGGGTGTATCTGGATCAAAAGGGGGGAAAGAGACCACTCACTCTTGGAGAGTCTGTCGAGCCTCTTTGCCCAATCGCTCCAGATCAGCAGAATTCCGTCTAGGACTCATGGCACGGGCGTCGTCGGGAGGAAATTCCTCCTCTTCGATTTCAATTTCGGGATGATCACGGGGTACGAGTATCGATGCACTGGGTTTGCGGCTCGCCATTCGCGGACGTTCTGAGCGGCCGCGGCGTTCAGTCTCGGCGTCAGATATAGATGAAGATGAGGACAAAGATGACATGTGCATGCGGCCACCGTCGTTAGGTTGCGGCAAGGTATCCACGGGAGAGGCTTCAGTCATCTCTGTATCAGAGGCCATATGGGTGGTTGTTTGCAACGGACGCAAAAAATATGGGATTTAGCGAGTCCAGCGTGGCGGCTGTTCGGGTTCCTGTTTCTTTGTATTTTTCAAGGGGGAATTTTTTTTCAAGGTCGTCGATTTGTCGATTCCTTTTCGTGGCGGGTCGGGAAAACGAATCTTCGATTTCGAACGACCACGGTCTACCCCTAGCGATGTACCCCAGACGAGAAATCTGTGTTACGCTTGAGGTAGCTACCGGGGTCGAGTGGGAGAATGGGTTGAGGTTGATGGGGTGTGAAAATCGGGGAGACTACGAGAATGGGCGTGTTGAGGGGATTTTCGGTGTCGTGATGGATCCGTGTCAAAAGGTCGAAAGGTAGTTGCAGTTGAAGACGAAGTCGAAGTCGAAAGGGAGGAAGAGAAGTAAAGCAAAAGCAAAAGGGACGAGCTTCGGGAAGGTACACCAGATGGATGGGATTTCCGTCGTACGAGAGCGGTGGACGGTACGGACTATCTTAGCACCTTTTCAGTAGGTGGAGGGCCAAGTCCCTTGGTTGGATGCGACTGATCGTCCCCCCTTCTTCTGTTTTTTTTTTTTCTTTTTTTTTCCTTTACTCAATTTTACAGTACAGTAAATTCAGTAATTCACTTGAGTACTCACATGAGAATAACTAGATTGTGGGGGATGAGCATCGTTAGATATGTGTCATGATGTGCAACTCCGTATTATAGGGGAAGTGAATATCAATGTATTCCGGTGAAGGAATGAAAAAGAACCTGATTTTTGCTCCGGTTTAGGGCCCTTTACTTTTACCCTTTACTTTTACCCTTTTTTTTTTTTTCCCCCTTTAACCCTTACACCGCTTCCCTCTCCGGGGGTCCACTAAGGTTCCCTCTGACTGGGATAGGGCACGGATCCACTTTAGTCACACCGCCACCAATCATAGGGCAGAACGGGCAGAAAGTGTGTACGGGTATTGTTACCGAACTCTGATGAACACGTATTCCCCCTTAACAGCAATCGACGCAAAAGTACCTATATCTATAGGATACCGACTTCTCCGAAAACGGCATTGAACACGTGAAATTTGCATGAGAGAATCCTGGTCAGATCCCGTCAAGGATTAAACCCCATCAATGCAATGTCACCGGAATAAATTACTATGGGAAAAACGAATCTTTCAGGGGATGTACTGTCGATCGAGCCTCAACAAGCGGACCATGACGCCATATGACTGGTGCCCGTACCATACTGTACATCAAAACCAAGGTTTTTTTTTTTTTACTTCCGGTATGGTGGCAAACGGAAATCTCCTCCCTAAAAAGCCTCAAAGAATGTGATGTACAGATCTGTAAGATATCAGTTTGGGATTTGTGTACAGTCCTTCAATTTCCTGAGAACGACAGCCGATCTTACTGTACGACCGAGCCAAGACTTTCAAAACCTCTTGCCGCTCGGTTAGCCTTAGCCTAAACAACCAAACTATCATCTTCCGTGTGACATGTTACAAATGCTTTTTGCCAAAGTTCCCGAGATCAATATCATCGCATTGATTTCGTATACTATAGTAACGCAGTCATGGGGACTAATGCGTGCCCGGTAAACGCTTGGAGCCGATCCATTCCCATGGATTCCCTCTAATTTGATGGATTGCTAGCCGATTAAAAGGAGGTGAAACCAAGCAGGGTCACCACCGCCGATCCTGATGGTCAAATCATTCTCCACCCGAAGTTTCCAGAGAAAATCCTAATTCTCCACCTGTACATATTGCTTCGTTGGCCTTGGCAGGAACAGTCAAACCTCGGGGTTCTCCCGGAGTCACGAAAATACAGCCACCATGACCACCGACGAGAATACAGAGAATACAACTTCGGTTGAGTTCCTTGGGTCTCTTCGCCCTCTTAGCCCTGTTGAATCGGGATTGGAACAGGTACCGGACCCGAGAGTTCACCCATGGATCCCCCGTCCCGGCAGTGGCTTGGATTGGGAGAACGGTGGCTGCAGGCGAAAACCTCGAATCATAAATGCCGGCGCCACTCCATCAGCTGCACTTGGTCCGGGGCACAGCACGAGGTAATTGACATATGATCCATTTTAGAAAAAGATTGAATGTCCATGCATTGATTCAGTAACAGTTTTCTTAGTACGTATACTACTCCGTACCTATGATCCCAAGCTTAAAGTGGAACCAAAAAGAAGACCGGAAAATTGCTACACACTCCGTACTTTTTGTACGTATTTTCATTATACTTCAACAATACCTTGTACACTACAAAGGTGTACAGAGGGTACCCCTCCTTGACCAGTAGCTATCGTTCCTGAATCCCCGCCGTGAAGGGAGGGGGGGGAGGTGGGAAGAAACGCTCAGGCCTGTCGTCTGTGCGATGGTTCCACCATAATACACCAAACGTACTCTATGCGTCTTAAGCTGGGGGCAAGTGAGACACAAAACACTGCTTATTCTTGAAACCACGTAACCCCTAGAGAGAGCGGAGTGTACAACCGATAGCTTCCGTATTCTGGTACCGAACCCACGTCAAACTCCAAAAATCAATCATAAATCACTATAATATTCAAACCTACATATGTACCTGCACTCCGTACTAGGTATTCCACCCTGCCGATCTGCTCATCTTGCAACTTTTTTCCCGTCCCTTCCCCCCCACCACCAGTACGAACGTCAATTACGGAGGGGGCGTCAGGTAAGGCTAAGCACGCTAATCTCCACCCCTCCCAAGCTGCGGATTGCGCGCGTTCTTTAGGTTAGTGTGAGTGGGTTAGGACGTGGCTAACGATTTTTGGCTCCATTTCACTGGCCACGTTCACCCTTTGCCGCGGGATATTTCCTTCTGCAGGAGGGCCAATCAGCTAATCTTTATTTCTTTTTTTTCCTGGATCTTGATACCCAAGATACGCCACGAATTACACTTACGGCTAACGCAAAGCACGAGATTGGGGAACAGTATGATGTGGCAGTTCGTGATAATGAGATTTAAAATCGCTTGGCATAATATTCAATTAATTGATTCTCTTCAATAATCCCAGTCCATATGGCAATATCCGTGCTGGTGGGATTGTAGTCACGAGGGTATGGGGCTGTGCTGCCTGACAGTGGGTCGAACCATGCCGTTATTCATTTTAGTTCTCAGTTATCGTGCCCCTTAGCTAAAATTCGTGCATAGTATCTACTTGGTCTACAGTACGGTGTTCCTGACTATTGCGGCCCATGTCCGCTGGCATGCCCGGTTCAAGGTTCTCCTTGCGCGAGGCTGAGGAATCTATGTCATGGGTTAAGTGACTCCATCTGTACGCTTATCCCCATCTAGTACTTGGTAATCCTATAAGCTTACACTCATAATCGTATTCCAGATAAGCATACCATCACCATCTGACATAAACCCAAATTGAAAGTAACCATACGGATCTTGGAATTATACGAATCCATCCCCTACGAGGCTCCGTAACACAAAAAAACACTCAAGATCACTGTCCCACCGCAGATCCTCACGATCTCACAATCCTGTTTTTAGATCCGGATACTTGTTTTTATTTTTATAGCTTCTGTGGAGTATCTTCGGGATGTGGGAGCTTGGCTCCGCTGGTCGATCCAGGTTAGATTGAAGACTAGTGATGAACCGTGCACGAAATGGTTACGAGGTGCATGGCGGGGTCTTCGGAGTTAATTAATGGTCTTATAGATGGGGGCGTGGAGTTCGCAGGTAGAAAATGAGGCTTGAATAATGACTAGGATTAGGAGATGTGGTACAGTGCCGAAGTGAAACATGTGTTGAGGCGACAAGTGCGACATGTCTATCGCTTACGAGTGGTACGACTAACGGAGTAGAGATTGCCTATTTGGATGATTTAGCCGCTGTGGATCTACTGTCTTTGTACGTAGCACAATCCGTGGGTGCTATGTCATAGTCCGGGGGTATAGCTCGGAGTAACCATTTCAGTATCCACAAGGATGTATTATACGATAAACCGATAATGATGAGTAATGAAATGTATAGGTCACGCGCAAATCATGAGAGGGCATCGCTAGTTTGCCACTGGAACAAAGCCCGCAACACGGCAACACCGCCAGACTGTGTCTCAACCGTACGGCCACGACCGCGATCATTGAAGTCCCGTGGTACACCCGAAGCCTCGGCATCCACCCTGTTGAGGTAGTCCACTGCGCCCTCTGGGAGAGTACTGCTACCCGCCATTCCGTCGGCTAGGATAGATGAGAATGGCAGACCCCACCACATACCAAACTTGCCCTCGTCATCTCGAGTCATCAGTGCCGCACGGGCATTATGCTCGATCCATGCTCCGTAGGAACGGCATCGGTTCAAATGACGAGTGAAGATCTGCTCCCAGTTCTCATCTTCTATAGGCCGGCGCGTGTCACCCGCCAGGAACCGTTCTTCCTGTGGTCGTAGTGGGCGGCAGAATTCCGTTAGATGGTGGAAGAATATTCCCTTGAAGGTCTGCCCGTCCTGCGAGCAGGTGGCGTGTGAGTCGCACGCGTCTTCGAGGACACCACCACGCCCGAGTCCAGCCCACTTCGTTGATGTAGTCTTCGGCCAACCTGTAGCTTGAAGGACTTTGTGAATAATTTCGTGGCCATCGCGTAGGTAATCCTGTGAGCCCGTGGCGAGCCAGAGACCTCTGAGCCCACTGAGAACAACGCCCTGGTTGTATGTGAAGACCATTGTGTTGAGCACGTCGCATTTTCGTGTGCCTGGGTCCGAGGAGCTGCGCCAGCCTCTGATGTGGTAGCCGTCGGCGTAGAGGCCGTAGGTACCGGTCATGTTGGACTCCTTTAGCCATGTATACCCGTCGACTGCTGCTTTCAGGAATATGGGGTTATGCGGGGAGACCGGGTCTTGGGTGGTTATGAACGGGGCGTCGATGGGGTCGCCGGGGAAGTATAGATACATTGCAATACTTGCAGAGATATACAGCTCATTTGTGATAGCGTTTTTGTATGGCGTGAGGGAAGGATTCCAGATCATTCCACCATCGCAAAGAGTCTTGTCCCATCCTACAGAGGCCAGCTCGTAGAAGATGCGGGCTCGGTGTGCAGCCGAGTCGCGAAATTGAGTGCCATACCACGTAGAGCCAGATGATGCATTTGATGAGTTCGATGCGTTGGAAGGAGCATAGTGGAAATCGGTATGTAGGTCTTGGAATTTAATATTCTCCAGCCAATCCAGTACCACCCAGAGCATATCATCGTAGGCTTGATTCCGTAAACCAAAGGCATTCTCACCGAAGTAGAAGGTATTCAGATGGCTAAAGAATTGATTGACGGTATTCTCGAGCGCGAGAAAAGAGTAGTCGCGTGCTTGCTCTGCATCAACACCCGGGCCGTAAGAGGAAGTAAAGGAAGACAATGCCGCGCCAACATGCGTCCCAAGAACAGCAGCAGTCCAGTCAATACTACTAGGCCAAGTACCAAGCCACAAGCAGAAGTATTTATCCTGCATGACATTCAATGCGTCAAGCAGATTTTGTAATGTCTGAGCAGGAGCTTCCCCGCTCCACGAGATAACCGTCGCATCGTTTTCTCCGAGATCGGTCCCGCCCAATACATCTTCAAAGTACTCGAATGATCCTTGCTCTGCAGGCAAGGACTCCCCGAGGGGCCTTTGAGGTTGAGTTGCAAGCGCATTGGTCACAGACCACAGGGAAAGCAGGTATATCGCAAGGATAGAAAGAAATCGTGGCAGCCCGGCAGGGTTTTGGGAAGGGGGCCACGGAGTCATCCTGCCTGGTTGACGGGGAGAAGTGCGTTCCACAAAATACAGAGTACAGCCTCCTCTATAATGATATCAAAAAAGGCACCAGGTCACCCGCATCCAACAACCAGGACACCGTCAGCCTTCAATGCGGGGAAATGGGGAGAAAAGGGTTTGGCCCCAACGATGGCCGGGCTTAGTCACCCATGACCCACTTGCGTTCTGCATCTATAGCAGCTACGTAAAATATAGAGAATCGCTGGAATGCAGAGACGCTTAGGGCACGGAAATGCATACTGGGCTGCATCACGAGAAGCCCTGCATTGGTGTTCGTGTGCCACATGGTCGTGTGATGGTCGAAAGAGAGGGCTAGAGACGCCGAGCCGCAACGCTCGGACTGCGCGCTGTGGGGGAGGTCATCGTAGGTAGGAATTGACTCCTCACAATAAAAAACATGAATCTTCTTAGGATACATTGCATACAAGCAGGATCAACAAAAATTGAGACGCTCTTATCTATCATACGCCGATGTGACCCTGAATCTATTAGCGGGATGCCAGGAGTTGTCAAAGCTAGGACAGCGCGGCAGTTTAGCGAGTGAAAGATAACGTTTTCAAGTCTGGTTGAATCGGTTCTTTAATTGCGGAAAATAGTTGCGGCAAATGAGCTTCAAGACCCTTTTTACATCTCGATTATTGATCATTGCTATCTCGAAACATACTCTCCAATGGACAGCAATGCGCATAGTCTTGTAGACCCAAAATATGTATTGGCATTCTTCACCTCTGAGCCCAAGTCAGCATGGGAAATCAACTAGCCCAAGGCAAAATCGTCATACCTTCCGAGGTAATTTAATGAGGCGCCGACACATACCTCTCCATGGGTGTGCTTAGTCTCATAATTAACATCATGAAAATATACCAGAGCATCCAAGGAGAGAGAGTAGGCCGGCGAAGCAGGGACACCGATTGTTCGTCATCCATCAAGAGCGTCGTGGGGGGTATGCGGGGTCAAAGGGCGAGAAAGAAGCGCTGGAGAGAAAAACGACGAGACAGGGTAACCCAGGTATCAATAGAACGGAGACAAGTAGTCTCTCGTGAATAAATCATCTTTCATGAGTGATCAAGGCTTAGTTGATATCAGCTTCCGGGCTGCGACTTCGGCGGATCGGGCTGGGGCTACGGCTACGACCACGGCCACCACGAGCTCCCTTGCCCTGTCCCTTGGCTCCTCCCTTGCCACCCGGGGGTGGGCGAACGAATGCGTAGTCGACTTGAATGGTCTGATCGAGGAGCTTGGTATTGTTGAGGTTCTTGATAGCCTCAGTGGCTTCCGGGAGAGTCGAATATTCGATCAATGCGTATCCCTGTGAATCTATCAGCATACATATAGCTTCCTTGAGTACCGCTGCGATTCCCGCGATTTTTCGGCCTATCAAGGTCGGGGGAACTGATCGTCGCAGCGACAAGGGGAAGATTTAGCACTGTCATGACGTACCTTGACATAACCTGTCCGTCGGTCAAGGTTCAAGTTGAAGTTCTTGATCTCGCCATGCTCGGCAAAAAGCTCGGTAATATCCTCTTCTGAAGCTTCCTCGTGGATGTTGGACACAATGACAATCCATCCCTCGATACTGCGCACGGCCACGGCGCCGGACTGTGTGTGAGGCTCGAAACCACGGTTCTGCTCCTGCTCCGGCTCCTGCTGCTCGGGCACCTCCTCCTGGGCAACAGGAGGGTCCACTTCCATTTCGGTCGACATTGTGAGGGATTGAGATGACGCGATGAGAGGAGAAGGAGTGGTGTGGTGGATCAATGAGATAATGTGAACGCGGAAGGGGAAAAGCTCTGGCTGAGTTGCACTCCATTTTGGGTTTAGCGCCTCCCGCATTACTCCAGGGTTATCTACACTTACATTGTACAACACCTAAAATGTAGACACTGCACTACGCTATAGTTCCAAATAAATCAAGTGTATGCAGACTAATAAAGAGCTCTGGGTCTTGAATATTAGCTTAAGCACAAGGTGGTGATATCACCATTGGCCCTTATTAAACTCAGGTTGGGATCGGATGGGGTCGAAGCCATGTTTATACGTATGCAGACGCTGAGGCTAAAGTGAGGAAGCCTCGTGTGACTAAGGCTGAGGCTAATATGAAGATTGCCGAGCTGTCGGTGTATATGGGAAATGATGCTAACTTTAAGGCTAGAGAGTTTGCAGATCTTGGGAGGACTGTTTAGCATAATTAACATGCTTTGAATTCGGGGGAATTAAGGGTCTAGGGGCTCTGTTTAGGGTAATTTGTGTATGCTGAAGAAAAATAGGATGGATCGAGTAGGCTGCATTGCTGGGACTGATAATTCTCAAAGGTACTCAGGGAAACATTGTGGTAGATGGCGACTGTCTTTGACCTGGTGTTATGGCATATACTACGTACCTAAGGCTGAGACGATAATAGATTTGGATGAAACACGTTCCGAACAGAATGACGACCAGATTTTTAAAATTGTATGATGTTCTAATTTTTTTTTTTTTAATTTTTTGGCATTAGAAACTGCAGAGTGGAGATTTATCCCCATTTGTGTCAAAAAAAATCCCGATGAGATGGGTAAGAGGAAAGTGTGAACGGAGGAAAGCAGCGCAATTCGTTAAAAATACAGAATGTCGAGGGAATAAATTGGGAAGAAAATCGATTGGGTTGGAAAATTGTTTATTTTCGGTTGTTGTTGCGCATGCCCAGGATCTGGACCATACGGACAAAGATGTTGATGAAGTCCAGCTCCAGGCTGACACTCTCGTTGACAACATCACGCTTGATAAGACCACGCTGAGCCAAGCGGGCGTGGTGCAGGACCTTCTGGACGTCGTAGAGGGTGAAGCCACCGAAGACAGCCAATCCACCGTACAGCCAGATGCGCTCGGACCACATCAGGCTGCGGGCAGCAGTGGCGGGGAGAACCATGGGGGCGAGGCCAGAGATAGCAACGAGGACAACACCAGCAAGGAGTGGGCCACCGAGGTAGAGGTACTTCTCCTGCTTGGCGGTGGCACCGACAAAAGCAATTGAGCCCATCAGACCAACGGTGTAGATACCCGCACGAGCGAGCAAAGCAGGGTTATAGAACATCAGCGGGGAGAGAAGCGCAGCCTGGGTAAGGTTGAACAGGGTCCAGCAGCCGTACTTCATGACGTAGCTGATGATGAAATTAGTACGAAATTTGAAAATAGAGGCAAAATCCTCTCGGGCAAAGTGGGATGCGATACTTACTTATCCGGGGAAGTGTAGAAAGTGCCGTACATAGAACCAATGCTGCCAACCAGACCAACACCGAGGACAGCCCATGGGTTCATGGCCATGAGACGGTAGGACCAACCAGTAGTGTGCAGAGCGCGGGCAGCAATAGCGATAATTCCAAGACCAAGACCAGTGTGCATAAAAGTTTCATTCAAGAAGCTCCGTTCGTAATCGGGCATACCGCCATCCTCACGGGTTTCACGGTTGAAGATGAAGTTGGTAGCCACCACGGTACCACCGACAATGGCAGCGCCATACATCAGCTTCTGACCCATGCTGCCGCCCTGGGTGTTATAAGTCTGCTGCATGTAGGTGCGACGGAAGGCATTCTGGAAGGTCTGGCGGGACTTGTTGAAGACGGAGGAAGCACCGGGTTGAGGCTTGGTTGCCTGGGTGGGCTTTAATGGAGAGTTGTGAATGAAGCGCGCAGTGTTGGAAAGCTTGGGAGCTTGTCGAAGTGCCGATGAGACGGCGAACGGGCGCCGAAGAAAGAACGCCATGACGATGATGTCGATGATGAGACGGGATAGTTTGGGGGGAAGATCTCCAAATATATCCGGCGGGTGATATCAGTCTGATTACTCACGTTCCGGAAACCGGTAACTCTTAAGTCCGAAAGTTCCAGAATTATCACGTGCCAGGTGGGATGAGCTCTCATTTTCATAATCTGCCCCGCTAAGATAGGATATGTTACTTGTCTGAAATTATGACCATGGCGCTAGAGACGATCAATCTTCCTCACTTGCCTGCCGAGCTCCCGGTTTTTGTGGCACTTTACCGCAATGTGGAGAATGCAGAATTCTTGCGCCAGCAGCTGCTTGCTGGTAACACCGAATTTGAATATGCCTTGATTGATGCAAGCATGGTGTGTAAAATGCATACAGAATAAAGGTTCATGGAATTGAAGGACTCATGGTCTTCTACAGGTTCTATCACGAACACATGCTATCACAGCTATCTTCCGAGCAGTCAATGACTATTTGAACAACCGCCTCAAGTCCCGCAATGTACACTCGGAGATTGTCTTCTCCTTCCTTGCGGCCAACAATGTGAGCAGTATCTTGAACCGCTGCAATGCATCCGCATAGAACTGGAGCTAACTTACCCAGATCGCTGACTCATTCCGCAAATTTGGCATTGCCGACTCCACCAAGGACTTGTTGGTGGTGAAAGTCCCCGTGTCCCCGGAGATAACGCATGACTCCATTGCCACACACCTGGAAGCTTCCATCAAAGGGAATTCCGTAACCTTTGACGACCAAATTCTTTCTGAGATCTCGGATATTGCCAAGATCAAGAAGGCGTACAAGCTCGGAGCTTTGCCTACTCCTGGGCCGAAGCAGGCTAGCGGTACACCCGATGACGCTAAACGACGACTTGAGCTGTCAATTTTGGGTGCAATTGCTCTACGTGGATCATGAAGGACTTCTTCGTTAATGATACTTCTCCATCCTTTGCCGAGAAACCTCGCCGGCGCTCACAACTGGCTCTTCGGGGATAGGCTAGCCTTATCCGGGGACGGTTGATGATGCGAAGGCACACATTACTAGCTTTGTACGCAAAGCAAGAAAGAAGAGCGTTTATCATACGATAGACAGATATGATGCTCATTCTACACAATGGTGCTCCCTGCTCTTCAAAGCATAGACCATTGACTTTAGGCTGGTCTTGTGTTCCTCCGATTTGCCCAGCAAAATACGACCAAGGGGGGTTCGCGCATCCCTTAATTGAAGCGAATTATAAGGGTGAATACATAAGCTCGATGCTCGTATTTTGCTGAAATCAAGCCATTGTACTCACCTGTTTAGTTAGCTGTCTAGTGAAATGATTGATGAAGTTTATGAAATATATATTTCTGTCACCTTTGGACCCCAAGTGTTCCAAATATTCAGGCGTTCCCATGACGAGCCCCAAAAGGATTGATATTGCGACATCTGTAGGAGAAAACTGGTCATAGCAAAGATTGGGAATTCGGGTAATCAGATAAGCTGAAATCAGGTAGCAATGGCGGTATTCAAGCTTCAAGATACCTTGCGTTGCCCGGACCAACCTGCAATCGTCCCAGAACGGCAATTCTACAACTTTGCCAAGACGCGCCGATCTTCGTCATCATCCATCGCGAATTACTCCACTTTCGCGACAGACCACCAGACTGATCCGCGACCACTGCTCAACGTTGCAAATCATTGTGACACTGAAAGCAATGGTTTCTCAGAGCATGGGAAGCCTCAAACGACAGTGGACCTCATCTAATTATAAGCCGATCTCGCCTTGAGACGCGTGATCACTCATAACAATGGCAACCGCCGCAGATGCCATTGTTTTGTCTTCTTCTCCGGATCCTCCTATGCGCACGCCTAAGAATCCTTTGAGTGAAACCGAAATGCTTTTTGAGATATCGCCACTGGATCAAACGTCACTACCCGTACCGTCTCTCGCAGATGTTTTCCGCCCTCCTTCGCGATCTCGATTCTTCCCAGATCCTAGTGTGACCGACAAACCAGCCAAGGCAAAGCGTCAGCCGGCAAAGAAATCCGATACGACAGGTCCAGATGCGCCCAAAGCCCCCGCAAAATCGAGACAGATGGCAAAGAGGGCCACGAAGGAGCAGAACCCAGAATCAGCCGCACTGGAAGACCTCGAGACGGGTGATCTGGAATCAAGGGATAACACGGTGAAGAAGGCGGCACCTCCGAAAAAAGCTGGCGTGCGGACAACCAAGAAGGCCAAGGAGTCAGGAAATCTGAAATTGGCCGGCAAGGTCACCAAAGCGAGTAGTGAACCGAAAGCAAAGAAGGCGAGCAAAGCCAGCGAGAAATCGAACTCCAAGCCAACGACCAGGGATATCGAAGTTGGACAAACAAATGCATTGGATGGAAATGACAATCTGCAATTGCATGAGGCAATGGCTAGAAGACGTGACTGGACTCCCCCAAAAGAATCTGCTCGGGAACCTGTCCCTGCGGTAGACGAAGAAGCCGAGAGATGCAAAGCGGGGGGATTTGGGAAATTGTTGACCGATTATAATTATTCTGGGGTCACTCTCGATTCTCGCGATGCTCCTATGAATATAGATGGCGGAGGACCTACAAAACGCAGGCGAATTGAGGTATGTAACAAGCACTTGGTAATGCACATAACTTATATGGATACTAACTGAGCTTATTTAGTTGGTGGACCCTGGAGTTCAAGCGTTGATATCCGGCAATTCAGAGCAAAGTGATTCATCCTCTGACGCAAAATCCAAAAAGAAACCCAAAGCCCAGAAACGGTTCACGACGTTGACAGCCCGGATGACCGCCCAATATACCACGAATGAAACACCTGACGATGACTTGATGGAAGATGTTGTCCCAGATATTACCAAAGCGAAATCCCGACGGAAAGCCAAGCCAACGAACGAAGAACCCACTTTCACGGTTCTTTCGCCGGAAGCTGCCGTGAAGGCTTTGGATGCGCAAGACCTCGTCTTTGGAACATGCAGCCAGCTGGAAAGAGAGGATTCACCGCAAACATTGAGAGATATACAGCAAGCGATTCGCGAATCTGAGAGCCTTGCTTCGCCGGCAAGTGGATGGAGCCCGGGAAATGAGACACCCAGACGCTTGGGAGCTCGCCTGACAGGCACTAGGAATCTCTGGGGCGTTGCGGCTCGAGATTTGAATGGCTCTTTGGTCCAGGCAGCTAACTTGGATTCAATTGATTTGACGGATGTTTCTCAGACATCTCAAGAGAAGCAGGGCAAGTCTACTGGTCTTTCCGCAGTTCTTGATGATGATTGGTTTGATCTTGACTATGGGAGACGTGCTCCGAAAAGCATCACGACTTTACAGCAGAAACTCTCTGAGCCTGTTGTCGATACTACACAGCTGCCTGTCACAGAGATGTCCAGTGCAGAGGTGCCAGCTACAAAGCCCGCTACAAATGTGCCCGTTAAAAAGGTGCCAGCTACAAAGGTTGCTCCACCAGCTGCAAAGGAATCATCAGTGGCGAAAAACAGTCGGCAAGCTGATATCCAACCACCTTCTATGCCACATTACCCTGGCTTCACGGATGCCGAGCTTTCGAAGCAGGTTGCCATGTTTGGATTCAAGTCGATTAAAGGTCGCAAGAAGATGATTGATTTGCTTCAGAAATGCTGGGAGTCTAAGCATGGTACTTCGAGTAAACTTATTGAAGCTACAACAGAAGCTCAGAGCGCTCCTTCAGAAACAACTGTCAAAAGCGCCAGACCAAAACCAAAATCCAAAGCGAAGTCCAAGCCCAGCGCTGCCTCTATACCGGAATCAATCGACAAACCCACACAAGCAAAATCCCATGCTTTGACAAGCCCAAAAAAGACGCCAAAGAAAACAACAGGCACTGGTACTCCCCGATCTTCATATATAGATGTGGATGAAATCCAGGACTCCGAAGAAGAGTTATTCCTATCTCCCATCCGAGTTCAGCACCGATCCACCGAGATATCACCCACGAAACCAACCCAGAAGCACACCTTGGACATCGTGACCAAGGAAGCACCCCAATCCCCTACGAAACGAAAAACGACCTCCAAAACCTCACGCTCAAAAGTAACAGCTTCATCTGTCTCCACACTCAAGAATAGCAAAGCAAAATTATCCGTACGAAGGAGCTTGCCAGATATTTCTGCACAAATCACCAAGGCTGTGCGCTCACAGGCAACTCTTTCGCCACTTTATTCTTCAACCGGTAGTCGGAGTCGTCCCACATGGCACGAGAAGATCCTTATGTATGACCCCATTGTATTAGAAGACCTGACGACGTGGTTGAATGTTGAAGGACTCGGTCTTATTGACGAAGACCGAGAGGTTAGTTCAATGGATGTGAGGAAATGGTGTGAGAGTAACGGCATATGTTGCTGTTGGAAGCAAAATGCAAGCTGGTGATGCTACTGCATAACTTTACCATGTCAATACCTGAGTCCGAGATACTCATAGCACAAACGGATTTGACACAGTATCCTTAATGACGCTAAGGTTCAAATTTATTCATCCTCGGGCTTCATAGCATCGCAATTTAGAAAAACAGAACTCCGGACACGTCAACAGGCCATAGAGACCGCCTTCAAAGGCTGAGAAAGGCTCACACTTCGACCTAAGTAGCCACTTTAATGGAAGGAATCAGTACCAATCCCCTCCCAGGAGTCATTCAAGAATCTCAGTCCCTCTCTCCACCGAAGATTCTCACTTAGAAGAGCAGCATTCTCCTCCTCCAAGCAGTTAATCTTAGCAATGAATTCCGAGGTGTTCAACCCTATCTCCAGCTCAACAATCTTCTCCTCCAGCTCAGTGACTTTTTCCTCCAGCTCAGCAATTCGATCCCTCATCCTGCCCGCCTCACCAAGCTTGAACGTTTGGTTGGTAACGCGGTCAGTGACGAAGCAGTCAAGGTCATCTTGCAAACAAGGAAAACATGCTTGGCTATCATTCAGAACAAGGCAGCGTGTTTTCTTTATCTTGGGTGGGAAGTAGATGTTAGCGAGTTCTTCGAGGTGAAGATAAATATGGTAGGGCTATTCACCTTGCACCTATCACAGGCATGGCGGGACCGTTCCGATTTTACCTTCTTCCGTATCTGTTCACTCCTGACCTGCTCGGAATATTCTGGCTCCGGATCATCCTTGCGACGACGGGGTTTCTTTTGCTTGGGAGGTTGAGGTTCCTCTGCATTGACGATGGGAGCGGCCGGGGGTGCTTCCAACGTTTGCTCGGTCAGAGGATATCCTTCTTGCTTGAGATAGTAGATATTTGAGTCGATGTCATCGGCCATTTCTTTAGGCATTTGATAATCTATAAGCACGGCATGAGTGTTAGTCAGGAACGGTTCAGTCTTGGGAGGAGGGTTTGATTCTCGACGATAGCATTTGGGAGACTACCTGTGATGTTTAGCATAGTACTTGAGGGTGTGGATGACCTTTGTTGTTGAAAGCCAGTTTGGCTTCTGTTATAGTTGGTGGTTGTGGTTCAGCCAGGAAGTGGAAGAGGTTGAGTTGATGGTTAAATAGTCGCGTTAAGGCTGCAATGATGGAGCGAAAGATAGGCGAGGGTGAAGAGTAGAATGTCTGGGTAGCAGATCGACTCGCTGATGCTTTGAAGGAACTTTCTCAGAATATTCCATAATGTACACATTTGGGACCAAGATGATATGTCACCCAAGAAATCATAGATGGTCCATTAAAGAGGAGGATAGGCCTTTACATACTCTAGTGGTTCAGACACTTAGTTTCTTTATGGAGGAACAAGGGCATTGTTGTTCCTCAAGACAACGTCCAGGAAAAGGAAACGAAAAAGAAGGTATGATGAAGCTCATGTGGCTTCAATGCCACTACCTGTGGAATTCAGAAAAGCAATTCTTATTGCGATGCTCCCTCAATATTCAGATAAACAAAGAAATTTAAAACGGCAGGGTGTCAGTGTTAGTAGCAATGTCCTTGTTTTCAGACTCAAACCACAGCTATAACCTTGAAAAGCAAGATTAGAAGTAGTGAAATCGAGACTGCACCCTTTCGTAGCGAATGATGATCTCCAAGATAACTCAACCTTGAAGAGAGGATTTACCAATCGACACTGGCCAACTCGAATTCCCATTGATAGCGGTCCCTCTGATTTCAATATCTAGAGCCATAGAAGCCATATAGAATAACAAACTAGCAAATGCCATATTAGCTGTGGAAGAACCCGTCTAAAGTCCCATGCAAAATATCGAGGAAGGGGCTACTTGACAGGCACGCCTAGTTTCTATCCATGATAGATTTGCTTACTCACGTCTGCACAAATATAAAAAACCACATCTTTGCACTTCTCGTACCCCTCGGAAGATCTCTATAGATGCAGGTATATGGATGCGTGAATGTAACTCGATCATCCCGATCACTCATGAGTTTGATCATAACCACCAAGCAGAAATTAGGATTTCAGCCTAGTAACGAAAGTCATAAGCAAGTCGTGATGGGAGCGATGACTGCGTGACTAAGCCAGAAAGCCACAAAGTGACTCAGAGCAGATGGCCTTAACTTCTCTGGCTTGCCAGCGTTTAAATTTCTCTGTGACAATCTAAGATAAATGAAGTTGTGTGATTACTACAGATATTGTTCTCAGTCTCATACTATGTAGGTGTCACATTCATCAACCGAGTTGTAAGAAGCAGTGGGATAAGCTATCATCAACACATATTCTAATAACTCCTAGAACGTGGTGTCGTCTTTGGGCTTCTGCTTATTATCGGTAACATGTCAGCTGAAGGCTCCGCTGCGATCTCTCCGTCAACATCGGTCCAAGTGTCACTCTTCTCATATGGCCATGCCAACGGGCCAATTGTGCAACAGCATAGAGAAGCAAGATATCACAAAACTTTACATTACAATATTAGACATTTGCCAAATCCACCACGCCATCTCCGAGCCAAATCGACCGGCCTAAGCCGACGACTTCAGAAGGAGTTCCTCCACAATACAAACGTCGAGGAATTTTTGGTCAAAGTCCAAGGGGAGCTCCTCAACGCAGTCAAGCAGGAGTGTGGCCAACTGTTACATTCTATGGAGCAGAAGGAAATTGAACGAAGACCTTGTGAGACTGATGAGCGATCTGATACAAGTGCCCATTCAAGCGAAGAGGTCACGGACATCGATGTAGTCGTGACAATATGCTGCGAAGAGGGTCATCATCGGAGTGTTGCGTTTGTCGAGGAACTAGCCCGAAGGCTAGCTATGTTCAAACAAGGAGACGGGCTCTCTCAACGTTGGCTACTGAGCGTCGACGTCACACATCGTGATATCGAAGAGCTAGAAGATAACGGGCAGCCCCCTGATCAGCATAAGCGGCCAAATAAGGCTCAAGAAAAGTCCAGACAAATGGGACGACGTCAAAAAGTGGACAGGTACAAATCGCCTCTTGAAGATGACGATGGCGAGAGCTAGCTGCAACTTGCTAGTGGGGTTTTCCATAGGGAGGCTTGCCTATAACCTACAGGAAAGCTCACGAGGCATCGGAATGCCGAGGGCATGATCGAACTCGAATGAGGAAATAGCAGACCCATTCGTACAATCTCTACTGATATCAAGTATAATTATAATCGAACATCACATTAGTTGGGTTACTTTCTAGCCCATGTCTGAGCCAATACAATAATTGTAATTAAGACAAGCCCCTTCTGTACCGGATTTTCCAGGTACAAAGAGCGTATACCTCACTTAATCCAAGCAAACATGAAAGATAACGCTTCACTTGAGCTGCAAGGTAGGTAAGTAGGATCATTTTGAGAGTATGTTACGAGAACCTGAGTACTGAAACAAGAGATGGAAAGACAATCGATAAAACAGTAACATTATCTTCGTAAATGGCAATGAAAAACCGACCATATAACGGGTAATTAATCAAAACAAGAAGTCAATATGCGTTCAGTCTTGGAACTCCAGCCATGCTCGACCTTCAGAACCAAATGTGATCCCCAACCCCAACCCCGGAACAGCCTTAAGCCGGTGCCAATCTATACAGGTCAAAGCCAAAAGAATGAAAACGTCCCAGAAAGCCTGAACTCCCAATCACGAACGGCACGAGGTGGCACAAATGTATCAATATCAATAAAACCAATAATTAAAGGGAACACGAAGCCTATCGTGTCAAATGGTTGTGTACACCGACTGTCGATCATCGGAAATTCTTATCATTGGAGGCCACGATTTGGAAATTGATGCGTGGCTGGTATCGCATTGCGCCGCCGTCTTCAAGCCATGGAAGGAGGTTCTTGCATTGGCTGACATCGAATGACTCGAGTTGATGACAGCCTTCGGATACGGCTTCCACGCCTACACCGGTAACGCGGACACAGCCGCGTACGGATAGATGCTGTAGTGAAAGGAGGTGCAGGCCGATACTGCGGAGGGAGGGATCGGAAATTGCAGAGCCACAGAATGACATGTTCAGAGACTTCAATTGTGAGCATTGAAGGGCAAGAACTTCTGTTGCTGTATCGGATAGTGCGCAACAGAATGACTGGCAATCATGATTAGCTACTAGTTCATCGAGAACAGAAGATTAGATTTCATACCAAGTCCAATTCTTGTAGCTGTTTGGCAGCATTGGTTAGATGCACGATGGCATTGTCAGTCAAATAGGTGCAGTCCGCCAAGCAGAGTCGGCGCAGGTTGGTGAACCGGGCGTTCCCCCAATATTGGAAGCCCTGGTCTGTAATTGTAGTGCAGCGAGTCAAATCCATTTCTTCGATTCGACCTGCTGCGTGTGATGCAATATGATGCATTGAACGGTCCGTGACGTGTTTGCAGTACGACAGCGTAAGCTTCTTTAGTTGCGGGCAGCCGTAGACCAAACTGTCTTCCGTCTGGAAAGTTGGTTTGATAGAAGCACTTTTGCCCTCGGTAGGCTTTTGATTTCCAGGGATAACCCACCCGATAATTCGGGCCATGAGTGTATCCCCTACCTTTCGACAGTTGCTCAAATCTACGCTCTGAAGACTCGTAGCCTTGGCAGACATTTCGAGAATTGCTGAAGCTGTGACATCCCAGACGCTTTTCATCTTCCACGTCGTAGAGTTAGGTGCACACGTATTGACTAGTGCATTGAACCCTTCGTCGGTGATATGGAAGCAATTGTTGATGTTCACGGATCGGGGTCGGTCACCAACGAATGGACAAATAATCTTCACAAGCGCATCATCAGTGACTCTACGGTTGTATATGCTGAGGTCCAAATCCCGAACAAGCTCCGGTGACTTGTTCAGAATGCCACACCAATGAGATGACACTGCACGGAGTCGAAGTAGGTGATGGAATTCGAGGAACCCAAATATGTTCAGCAGAATGCTATCTGGAAAAATGCCGGGTGGGGCATCTTTCAAGGGACGTGCAGAATGGTGTGGTTTGGACAGTTCGGCTGTTTCTGGAAGTGCAAAGCTCGATGAAGTAGCAGATCGAGGCTCGGAATGAGATTGTCGTTGGTATTCCCCTGTCATTTCTTCTGGGGTTAACGGTGCCACCGAGCCGCGTCGGCTTCTGAGTCGAACCTTGTCTAAACCAAGGCTCAGATATGGATCTGGGTCGGATGGCCGTGCCAAAGGGTGCTCCTGGTCTTCGCCTGATGAGGATTGGAGTGGGCCATCGAGCTCAGTCTCAGTTAATGTCAATAGAGGCATGGACTTTCTCCGAGCTGAAGTTATTTTCACCCGATCATCGATATTCAAGTCACCCATTGGAGTGTGCTCCTCAGAGGCATCCGTCATGACTACATCGCCATCGGAAGCCGCCTGTAGCCTTTCTTGGGCGGTACGCTCCACCTGGTCTCGAATATCCTTAGGGCACATCTCCCAGAATTTGGAGAGCACGTCGCCACTCAGCATGAGGCATTCCACCGAAGTGACAGAGCGAACGGTTGCTGTCCTTCGCGGCGCTAGAGCCAAACTGACGACTTCTCCGAAGTACTGTCCCTGCTTGAGTCTAGCTTTGATTTCTACCCCGCCGTGATCGACTCCATTCGGCTTGCCATGGTGCTCATTGCTTGGCTCACGCTTTTCAGCCACAACCTCCACTTCACCACGAACGATGAAATAGAGCTCGCGGCCCTGCGAGTCTTGCTTAATTATGTCGGTGAATGGATGGAATGAGGCTGGTTGGGCATTCAAACCCAAGAAATGAAGAATATCTGCGGGTAACCCGGAGAAGAGCGGGAGTTCTTTCAGCAGCAGGCGGACGTTCACCAGTCCATTGGCCAATGCACTGGCTGCATCTCGTCGTCCTGGGCTAGGTGATTTCCGTTTTTTATAGACTGATTTTAAACTCAAGTCTTCATCTTCCGCAACAATGTGATCTTTAGAAAAGCTTTCGCGAAGTCGTTTCGAGCCTCTTCGTACTGGACTGGGGCTGGGTTCGTCGTCCACGACGGGAGCCGAAGTCTCCTTTTTCTTTTTCTCGAGGATCATCAATCGCTCTTGGGCTTCTTCCATGATCGCGCGCTCAACATCTGGAAAGCGCGGAAGAATGTTGCGAAAGTCCTCCTTGGAGAGCACGACCAGCATGCATCGAGTGCGGGCAATGATGGTCGCGGTGCGCGGCCGATCCATTAGCACTCCAATTTCTCCAAAGAAGGAACCTGGTTCCAACTCGGCATATATACTTTCACCATCACGCGATGTGACGGACACGGCACCGCGCACCAACCAGTAGATTGCTCTTGCATCGTCGCCCTCGGTCAAAATATAATCGTTCGGGGCGTGAAGCTGCGGGCGCAGGTGCTGGCCCACTTCGATCAAGAAGGATTCGGGCGTGGCCTGGAAGAGGGGGAAGGAGCGCAGACGATCGACAAGTTCGAGCGGCAACGCTTTAATGTGGGAGGAGGCCAAGGGCGAGGGGCGCACGGGTCGATTCGGGTTCATGACCGAATCGAAGGAATGGATGAGGGACAGGTTGTCGGACATAGGCGTGACAGCCTTAGTCGGACCTCCGCCCGACCTGCCATGGCGACGCATGCTCACAAAGACAAAATTTGAGTAGAGGATTCGTTCGGCGAGAGGTAATAGGGCTCTGAGCTAAGGAGAGAACGATGACGTCGACGAAAGCAGCGCAGATGTCGAGCCGACAGTCGGCATTCTTTCCACGCCCAAATTGGAATGGGCGCTAGCAGATAGACATCTGCAGACGTGGAAAGGAAGAAGTTGGGATAAATGGGAAAGATCAAAGGTTGACGGAGGACTTCTCTCTTCAGGCGAAGGTGGGGGGAATGAGCGACTCAGCGATGTCAAATGCGGTTGAGCTCCACCGATCATCTGGAAACCTTCGGAAACTCTATGGGAACCCGCTGTCGGATGCTCCACTCTTGCTGAGCTCCTGCTCAATTTATTTATATTTCATTACAGATTGGTTTTCCAAGGGAATCAATTCTGTTCGGATCGTCGCATTGTAAAGGTGCCTGCAGAGTTGATCCTACATATTGCCCCAGTAGTTCATCGGGAGAAAAAAGTATACTCTATCTGCATAAGGCACGGGTTTGGGACTCAATGCACTTCTCTTCCGATTTAATTTCTTTGATGGGATCTAGCATGGTAAAAGACAAAGAGGAATAAAAATAAAACAGAAAATATTTGATTTCTTGCCAAGTGCAGCCGTCACCCAAATCCGGAATTTTCAGATGGTAAGCCTCACCTTGAAACAGGGAGGAATGTTTCTGCAAGACTTGTCTTCTCTAGCTAGATGCCCTGATAGGTGCTTGCCTTCAGCCTTACTCCGCAATCTATGTACTTTTGATTGACAATAAGTCTTAGCTAATGGCATGTGCCCAGTGATGCAGGCATTCGGTCATATATGGTCACGTGCTCACGTAGCAAAGAGAGAACTGATTCCATGAAATAGTAAAGAGGGTATCAAACAGATGTACATCATACACGCGGAGAAGTGCATGGCATGGGATATGCCATATGGCCAATATCTTAGGTTGCCCAACAAAGAAATCCAATGTCGTCAAGGTGTCTTAAACCCTGGTCTGGGACACCGTGGAGCAGTGGCTTGAATATCCCCGAGCCTTGTCTGGTAACCTTGGCGATAGGATTGGTAGCAAAGATACTGCCAGTGGCTGGTGGAGCTCTAGTGGTGCTAGGCGAGTGGCTGATTGTGTCAATCAGAATAGGACATTCATGAGCGGAACAATGCCAGACCCCAATCAGATAGCACCCTCCTCTGGGTCGGATTGCCGTTTGCCAAGGAAAAAGTCCAAGTATTTGGGGCGATTCCCTTTCGCTGTTTCCAGAACATCTTGCAGTAAGCCGTAGGTCAAACTCAGCTTCAATCCGAATTTTGCGGTACGAGCAGCAGTATAAACGTCATGACGAGCTGTGGCACAGATATGGTTAATTTGAATAGTTCTATCAGAACAATCAGCTGAAGTCTTACCTAGTAAACTGTAAATACCGGAGAACGATAATCCGGCAGTGACTGTCGACAAAAAGTCTCTCTCCTCATGCCGAGCATAGTCCACTGTCTCCTCGAATAGAGAAAAGGCCAAAGCTCCAGCACCAAGCTTAGCTCCCATTTTCACCCCATCCTTCACACCACCGACAATGGAGATATAGTTTTTGGTCTTGTGATACTGGAACCAGCCAGTCGAGGTTGTGGGGAATCGGTGTGCGTTCTCTGCCCGGAACAGCAAACCAGCCTTTTTGCTGCCATGGACATACCCCAAAGCTAAACCGGGGAAAAATGCACACATGGTAGCGTACGGTATGCGCCTTTCAACATCTATACCCAGCCGTGGAGGCGCATCGGATTCGAAAAGCTTGTGCCAGTACACGAGCTTGAGGAAAAGTGAATTCTCCCGCTCGGACTCGACGGATGACGGTTGATGCTCCATTTTGGCTGAAAGAGACCAGGCAAGGGATGGCAATGTAGAGTGATGCGAACCGGCCTTCGTAGAGGACGTCGGATACAAAGCTTTCGGGGGTACTTTGAAGGAAGCGCAGTTCGGAGATGGAAGAGGTTCTCGATGTCGAAGGGTATTAGACCAACTTTGTGGTGGCGTGGTTGAACAGCTACCAAGTGGGTATGACGAAGAATAAAGTGGTAATTTTTGTACGAGGATTGACTTCCTGTCCTTCTATCGAACCACTTGGCGTGCTTGTTTCTCAATCGCGTGAATGGTGTCGGAGCAGAATTTCGGCGTTGCGGGAGTCAGCCTCCGCCTCCGTCACTACGCCAATTCCAACTACCTCTACAAGGGCTGTGACGCCACATCATACGAGGGACTGCGCTCGAAGTGAAGCTTAAGGCCGCAATGTAGATATTTTTTCTGTGCCTAATTTATCGTATTTCTCAAACTTTAGCTTCTAGCGTTGTATACTGGTGCTCGCAAGTTTCCGCCCTTGAAACTGACCGCCTGTCATTCACCGCCTGCACCAGCTTTTGGCAGAACTATTATGTCATCAGAGCAGCATACATCACGTGCCATCCTCCTATTAATCTCTCATCTCGCGCGATGACATACAATCACGTGACAATATTACAACTGAGCTCTACGCATCGCAAAAGATGGTATGCCTCAGCAGAACTATCACTGTTTAAATACCAAAAACACCGAAAAAGCTAACGTATGACTTCGAACAGCCACCCAAGCAAGCGAAAGCAGACCCACGGGCCTTGACCCTGCTCTTCAAGAAGCACAAAATCACTATCTTGCTCTCATCGCAAGCTCAGGAACCCCTCACAGCAGTCAAAGAGAAGCTGTTCCAAGTGCTGAAGTCCCGCGGTCTTCGTGAAATCAATGGAGACCCGATACCCGAGGATCCTGCACACATCGAGCTTGGGATTCCTGTCGACCGAAGCGATCTCGAGAAAGGGAAAGGATGGACCTGCCTCGTCAAGGATGCCGCCATAGAAGACGGAGTCGCTAAGAGCACAGGGAAGAACGGGAATACCGTGATATCGGCTGGTCTGGAGAATGGTCATTCAGTCGCTTTCCGATTCCGCGAGCCGGACGTGGAGAAGGAGGATGGGGATTGGGATGTGATCATCCCAACCTTCGACGATGAAGAGGAAGAACTCTGAGGAGTGAAACGATGTTGCTCTACGAAATTACAACACGATACGAACATTTGATGCTGGCAAAACAGAGAAATTGGAACCACGTACCCCTCAAGGCGTTTCTTAATTTGCGACACTATATGGATTATTATCCGAAGGCCGGGACATGTGGTTTGCGAACCTCCATCATGGCTCTATCCGTAACGCTACTATGATGTGCAGTGGAGGCGAGAACAAGAATAGTCCTATCTTATCTTCGATATGATTCGGTGAAAAAAGGAATTCGTATACCTGGAATATAACCTCCAAATTCCCCTTCTGTTTATTGCTCAATGCTGGCTAAGTTTGGCTCACCTCGTAGATCTGACTCAATTAAGAGCAGACTGTCGAAGAAGCCTCAATAGTATAGCTTCAAGTAGAACATTAAATAGAGCTTAGAACTACCAAGCTAGGTCAATAGGTACCATGTTGCAGTTTCTATTTGCCGAGGTAGGTACTCAAACAGGTACTCAGGAATTAAGTAAGAAAGAGAGTTCGGATCAGCTACTGTGGGGCTTGTAATACAATTGTATGCTGTCAATTTTGTACATTTCGTGGCGAGGGACTGCACTTTGGTCCAGTTTATGAGGGCTGGAAAGCATCGCAGCTGTCTCCACAGGTGGAGCTCAGGCAAAGAAACGCGTGGTCCAACAGGATGAAAGTGCGTGAGAAAAACATGAAACAACGATTTTCTTGCCAGAAACCGTGCTTTCTAAGTGGGAAATCTCCAAATGCCACGCGATCGAGAAGTCAATCGCCACTATCAAACCGTTGCCAGGAGCAACCAGGAGGGGACAACACATCCCTCCCGTCAACAAATGAAATCGCTCACAGGAGACTCTCGGAGAATACTGCATCCCATAACCCCATACACATTAGATCCACACATTCCTCACCCTTTCATCGTTAACTCTCGACACCCCCAACACCAGGCCTTGCCGAACGCAGGTCGCGATACGGCTTCGACATACCGGCCCCGCAGCAGCGTCGTGCAGGCGGCTTCTTCGACCCAATCTTCCAGCATGGCGACCACCGACGGCGCCTCTTCGATCACGGTCACGGTCCGCGTTCGGCCTTTTACCATTCGCGAAGCAGCTCAGATCACGAAAACCGATGACGGCCCTCTGTTCCTTGGTGATGGATCGCTGGCAGGCGTGCCCACACCGAAGCTCAACCAGAAAGGGATACGATCCATTGTCAAAGTCATTGACGATCGGTGTCTGTATGTGCCAATCTTCAGTTGTTGACGATCTATGAAATCTGTATCCAGACTGACACATTTCATCCGCTAGAGTGTTTGACCCTCCCGAGGATAATCCTGTCCAGAAATTCTCCCGGTCCGTCGTTCCCCAGGGCAAGCGTGTTAAGGATCAGACCTTTGCCTTCGATCGTATCTTCGACCAAAGTGCCTCGCAGGGTGAGGTGTATGAATCAACCACCCGTAGCCTACTCGATAGTGTCTTGGAAGGTTACAATGCCACGGTGTTTGCATACGGTGCGACAGGATGTGGAAAGACACATACCATCACCGGCACAGCTCAGCAACCTGGTATTATTTTCTTGACGATGCAGGAGCTATTCGAGCGGATCGAAGAAAGATCGGGTGAAAAATCGACTGAGATCTCGCTTTCGTATCTGGAAATCTACAACGAAACAATTCGTGATTTGCTTGTGCCCGGGGGAGCTAAGGGTGGCCTAATGTTGCGTGAGGACGTCAATCAAACAGTTTCAGTGCCCGGCCTATCGAGTCACCACCCACAAAATGTGCAGCAAGTCATGGATATGATTATGCGAGGTAATGAATGCCGTACCATGTCGCCAACGGAGGCCAACGCGACCTCATCCCGATCCCACGCTGTTCTTCAAATCAACGTTGCGCAAAAAGACCGAAACGCCGATGTCAACGAACCTCACACTATGGCCACACTAAGCATTATCGATCTTGCTGGTAGTGAGCGTGCCAGTGCTACAAAGAACCGAGGGGAGCGTCTACTCGAAGGTGCAAACATCAACAAGTCCCTGCTGGCTTTAGGAAGCTGCATCAATGCCCTTTGCGACCCCCGGAAGCGGAACCACATCCCCTATCGAAACTCGAAACTCACTCGATTACTCAAATTCGCTCTTGGTGGAAACTGCAAAACTGTCATGATTGTCTGTGTTAGTCCTTCCAGCCAGCATTTTGACGAGACACAAAATACTTTGCGTTACGCCAACCGTGCGAAGAACATCCAGACTAAGGTCACCCGGAACGTTTTCAATGTCAATCGCCATGTTAAGGACTTCTTGGTCAAGATTGACGAGCAGATGAAATTAATCAACGAACTCAAAGCCCAGCAGAAGGACTCGGAGAATCTGGCATTCACCAAGTTCAAGAAGCAGACAGAGAAGAAAGACGCTGTCATGCGCGAGGGTGTCGCTCGTATCCGCAATGCCTATGACCATTGCTTGCCGGAGCGACAGGAAAGGACCAACCACATGCTCAAGCTCAGACAGATCAGCCGCAGGATCGGTATTCTGTCTTCTTGGATCGCAGCATTTGACACCGCATGTGCATCACGCGAGGATGGCGAAGGAATCGCTAACCTGTATGCCATTCGCAAAACTGCCCAGGGTATTCTCCTCGAATTGGAAAGCAGCAGACACCATTACAACCAGCGATTGTCCAAGAGCACCTGGGATCGAGGCTTAAACTCGGCGGTCGAGAACGCGACCAAGCAGCTCCAGGAGTTTGACATCAGTGATGCTAGCGACTACGCCAACTTGGATAGAGAAGCCGAGCTTCTTAGATCCAATGCGGAGCGTGAGTCGCTGTCTGCAGTTGTTGAACAAGACAAAGCTGGTGAAGCTATTGCTGTGCAGCTGCTCCTCCAAGCGCAATTTGAAATGATGTCCTCTATCGAAGATATCATGCAACTGAACGCAACCGAAGCCATCCAGAAGGGACGTGTGATGCTCACCAAGATGCTCGAAGACTGCTCAAACTCAGTATCAAATCTTGTCAAGCCTGATGGTAGCTTACCTGCAATTCCTCAGAGTCCTGTGAAGGTCGCCAGCCCGCCAAAGCCCAAGAAGAGATTCAGCCTGGTGAGCATGCCACCACCGATGAAAACCCTCCAGCCTACGGTTCAAATCGCCCCGGCAGCTCCTCTTTCTCCGATCAAGGGCTCGCCGCGTCGCCGAAAGGCCGGTGTTGGTCGGAAGAACGTCACCTTTTCACCCAAAAAGACGCAATCTAAACCCACCAAGAGATCTGTTCGTTGGAAGGATGATGAGGAGGATGCTCCTCTGACTGAGTTCCAGAAGTCGCCTCAGAAGACTGAGTCTATAGACGGGGACAGCGGAGAAGATCCTTTTGAGCCTACTCTGCCGCGGGGTGCATCTCCCATTCCGCGAAACATTCCAAGGATCGTTAGTCCGTCAGGGATCGCTGCTCCTGCCGCACCATCAGATGAGCCGACCCTGAACATTCAAAAGAACGCCAGCCGATTCAAAGCTGGATTCCTGTCCAAGAGACCCGGAAGCTCCCCCTTGGCACCCCCACCAACTGCTTCTCTCCCTCTCACCGACCGCGAAAGCTCTCCACTTCGCGACATCGAAGGCAGCAGTTTCTTGAATCGCGCCCCAGTTGAGCGTCCCTCCCGCATTGCCGTTCGAAGCCCTAGCGGAAACTTTTCAAGCAGTCCTGTGCCTGACAGCAAGGACAACTGGAAGTCCGATAAGGAAGAGGCGATCAAGATTAACTCCGCCATGCGTCGCATCTCTAGCGGCCACTTTGGCCCTTCTGCCAACGCTTTGCGGGTCCACCGTCGTCGCAGTCCCAGCTCCAACACATATGGCAGCTCTCCTAGCGAGGGCAACATGTTCACCGCATCACAGGCTCGCCGCATGGTGAAGAGCGAGCGGGAGGTTGAGGCGAAGCCCCGGGTATTCAGTCCGCATACCTTACCGGTAATGAAGAACACCGGGCGTCGGACTACACTGGGAGGAGAAATCCGACCACGACATGCAAGTCTTTCAAGTAGAGATGCTTTGCGACTTACTGCTATGGCTACGCCATCGGTTGGTCGTCCCTCTGACTGGAGCTCCGGTGGACTGCGCTAGACGTTGATTTGATTCTTTTTGCACTGTTCCCATAATGATATGGCGTTGGCATGGCTTGGCGTAACAGATACCACATTTTCTTTTTTGTTTCCTGTTTTTCTACAGTGTCATGGCTGGATCTCACGGTTTTTTATTTTTTTTATTTTTTCCCTTTGTCACTTCTCTCTTTGTCGTTGACTACGTTTCATTATTGACGCAGTGCTGTCTTTTCGTTTCGCTTAACATATTATTTCTCGGAGTGTACATTAATGATGTTGCTTTTCAATTACCACGAACCAAGTTTTGTTGAGTATGCAGTTTCTATACTTGAAGGTTGTGTAAGAAACTATGACTGATAGCCCTACCTCGGGCCAAATTACCCGATCCAATACAATCCAAGCTGCTTTGTCAGAACAAGGATGACGCCACTTCATCGCAGCTTAAGTCAAGCTCATCTTGCTTATATTGACTACGACTCTACTACGACTCTTACTAAACCAAAAGTTTCCAGTTTTGTTTATATTCTGGAAGGAACCACAGTGATCGCGCCATCCGAAAAATTCTTCTTAGCTTGACCCGTCTCGAGCACGTCAACTTCTTTCCCCACTCCGGCACTTTTACCGTCCCCACAAGAGTTTCTGCAGATGACTTTCGCCCCGATCACCTCAACACTCTTCTCAAGACTCATCCGCCCATTCTCGATTAGCGCTCCAATCCTATCCCTCACACCAGAACAACAATCACGCAACATGTCCACCGAACAAGCTACCGTCGCAGCCGGCTGCTTCTGGGGTGTCGAGCACCTGTACCGCAAGAACTTTGGCAACGGCAAGGGCCTGCTAGATGCGCAAGTCGGATACTCCGGCGGAAGCACCTCTGATCCCTCATACCGTGCTGTATGCAGCGGTTCCACAGGCCGTAAGTCTTCCCGAATGAGCCGCAAGCGCATGCGACGATCCCGCAACATTTGGCGGAGTCGCGCGCGCGGGGCATGAATTTTGCATTTACTGATTTTTTCCCTGCGCAGATGCCGAAGCTCTTAAGGTCACTTTTGATCCCTCCATTGTTTCTTACCGCCAGCTCCTCGAATTCTTCTACCGTATGCACGACGCCTCGACTTTGAACCGGCAGGGTGGCGATATTGGTACACAGTACCGCAGCGTTATTTTCACACACAGTCCTGAGCAGCAGAAGATTGCTGAGGAGATCACCAAGAAGGTTAGCGAGCAGTGGTATAAAAAGCCTGTCTCGACTGAGGTTGTTCCTGCGGGTCAGTGGTGGAGTGCCGAGGAGTACCACCAGTTGTATTTGAACAAGAACCCGGCTGGCTATGAGTGCCCTGCACAGTATGTTTCTCATATCAGGTTTCTTTGAAGTTCGTCGTTTACTAACTATTTTCTGCAGCTTTGTGCGCGACTTCCCTCCTCTCTCGGATTGACTCGGTACTTCAAAGATATAAGGATATGAAGTTTTGAAGATAAAAATAATTTTGGCGTTTAGGACATATCAATTTATAATTTTTGCCCATGGATAGGGTGCTTAATAGGTATTCTTTGGTGCAAAATTAGGCCAGCCTCGGTTCAAGGTTCTGAGTCCACTTGATTACTCTGACAGGTCTTGGTAGTATTTTTAAGTTCAGGTGATATTTTAATGCCAAACAAATAGACCTCCTTAGGGCTACGTAGAACAGGAGCCGCCGGATATGCTCTGTTGAGGAGGTCAGAGATGGCATACCCTATCTCATCATCTTGTAAGTTGACGCTGCACACTGTCGCTTCTCCGGCTGAATCCGCAAATGTCGTTTTGCACTCGATGAGCATGCGACTGTAATTCCCAGCGAAGGGGGAGATAGAACCATCTTGTATAGCATAATAGGTAGATTTGACCTTGGCCAGTACTACGAACCTAATTATTGTTCGTGCAGGACTTATAAGGAGACCGGTGAATGAGTGCTTTTGCCTTGATGGCTCCTAACCTCGAGAACTCGAGATGAAAGATATTTCCTTATCACGCAGCCACTGGTTTGTAAATCGTGCGATCTCGGGGTGGATTAGTTTTTCTCGGCAGATATGATGCCCAGGTAACAGGGGAGCTTTGGAATCTGATACATAAGATGCTCAGTAGTGAAGTCGGGAATTCTAGAAAACATATCTAGTCACTATATTTGAACAACCCCCTGCCCACATTTGTTGGCATCCTGTTTAACAGAGCATGAGGTAGATGGTAGTGATCGTCATCGTCATCGTCGTCTTCAAATCCATCAAATCCATCATCATCGTCATATTCATATTCGTCTTCGATGTCACGTTCATAGTCATTCCAGGATAGCTCATTAGGATCGAAAGTGGCGCCCTTATCTGAAAACAGCTTAACAACGGCATCGTGACCCCTCTTTGCAGCCCACAGTAGCGGTGCTCTGCCATTTTCATCTTTAGAATCAAATTTGGCGCCCTTTTGAAGAAGCAACTTAACGACAGCATCGTGACCCCCTTTTGCGGCCCATAGTAGTGGCGTTTTGCCCCAGTGATCTACCTGGACACCCTTTCCTAGAAGCAGCTTAACGATACCATCATTTCCATGTTTTGCAGCCCAGTACAAGGGTGTTCTGCCAGCTCTATCTTGGACGTCAAAGTCAGCGCTCCTGTTCAGAAACAGCTCAACAATACTCTCATGATTAAGCTCTGAAGCCATAAGGACGACGCCATCATGTCCAAAAAATGCTGCCTCAAACAGTGGCGTTTCGCCAAGTCTACTTCTAGTACCTAAGTCGGCACCCGTTTCTAGAAGGAGCTTAACGACATTCTCATGTCCGTTCTCAGCAGCAAAAAATAGCAGGGTGCGACCGAAAATATTTTTAGAGTTCAAAGCTACTTGGTGCTCAAGAAGAATCTTTGATGCTTCACATAACCCAAACCAAGCCGCCAAGTGCAAACCTGTTATCATTCTTGATGCTCGTTCACTCCAGTGCGAGTCCGGGGGAAATTCAAGAACAGGAATAGGAGCCAGAGCCTGGTACGAGGCAGAGAACCCCACCTCATTCTTGAGTAAAGTTTGAATTAGGTAATTTGTGTATGTCTCAGCTTCACGAGCATGGTGCCCCCAGTTTTGTGCTGCGTATTTCAAAAGTGGATTTTGTTTCAATCGTGTCTTGTACTCCTCTCTAGTCGCACATTGACCTTTTTCAAATATGTCGAATGAGAGATAAGTAACACAGACGGTGGTCAATCTGAGCTCTGCATCAGGGAACCAGGCGGATTGTTTTCTTTCAAGGTAGTCTTGCGTCGTGTAGTGAACCAGACGGATCACCTGACTGTCTTCATCGACCACGACCAATCCAGCGCAACCCCTGCCACTCCTTATTTTTATGGGAGTCGGCGTAGTCACAGATACCGCGAATGACTAGGCAAGGAAATTGGTTCATCAGGCCAGCCGCTTCCATCTCAAAGCACAAAACTCCCTCTTCGGCAGCAAGTTTATCTCTGATCAAAGCGTTCTTCATCAATTGGTTTGCGGAAGCAAGCAAGCCATAGTGAATCACCACACTATCTTCGTCTTCCATACGCTCAGGTCGCAGTACTAAGTTAGCTAGATCATCCCCACAGATCACTACACAACTCTCTTCGGTTCCCGAGGGGTGAAGAAACTCGCTTCGGTATAGTCTGTCGCTACCTGGGTCTGGCCGTCTGTACTTCTTCCGCAATCTGGGCTTTTTCTCTAGAGCAAGGGTAACCGCTTCTTCAAGCTGGTTCCCTTCAATTTCGTGATCGCTCCGCAATCCGCTAACTACCGTACGTAAGGCCGTTGGTGGCTGGTTCAGGACGCCAGTTGGTTGGAAGGCATTGTTTTGTATCGTTTTGCCAAAGTCGTACGGAAACACCCTACCCTTCCCATCTCGAGGAGAGCTGACCATTATATCTCCCAGACGAATGTAATGCTTTGCGGATGGTGCGCCACCGCCGATGCCGACCATCAGGTCGACCCTGACATTAGGGAAGCTATGCAGCATGTCTCTTGCGACATTTGCGGCAGAAGATGTTCCATACTCGCCATAAGGTAAAACAGCGATGACCACCTTATGTCTTCCGATCTTTCCTACTGTATAGTCATTGTTGTCTGCGGGAGAAAGAGGCTCCGGTGGCTGATGCTTTTCATCAAGAAAAGCTTGTGCCGCAGTATACTCCGTACTGATGGCGCAGATCCAGCCGACGGTGCATTCCTTGGGGTCAGACATGACTGTGCCGTAGAGCCAGGTGAAAAGCAAGGCTTGTTATGATACAGATGCAATATACACGAAGGGTGACCCTGACCTCTGTTCAGCCCCCAAGGAAGTGAGTGCCCCGCAATCACAGGGCCTCACGACGGCTTAGCGCTCTCTCTTACCCTCACAATATCTATTGCACTTTCTTCCCCATTCATCCTGTAATGGATTATTCTGCCTACGTAGAGAAGTGCTACAATCGATGGAAAATCAAATAATCTTGTCCTTTGTCAGGTTATATAGGTTCTATGTTTGATAAGACGTGAGACGCGGGAAGCCGCTATATAATAATCTCATCCTATGCAGAAAAGCCCTTGAAGTTCTTCATAAAACGATTTTCACTGACTCAGTTTCCGAGCGGCTCGCATGAATACGAATTGATAAGGTAAGATGATACATTTGAACTTAATTATTGATTGTATTATTGTTTCTTCTCCCTGACCCGCAGTCAAAGCTGCTTCTTTGTCATTTCTGCGAGCTCATCAATCTTGGCAGGCGTGACAGGCTCGTGTAAGAACAACCTAATGATTCGCCTCATTTCGTCGGATCTGAAAGCGTCAGTGCCGTGAGGTCTGAACCCTTCATCCAAAGCTTTTTTGATCTCTTCCCTCCAGATGTCAGCATAGGTCTCTTTCCAATCAGCAATGAAAGCTTCGGCTTGGGCCCTCGTTCTAAATCTTTTGTGGCATGAACTCTTCACGTTGTCGACTTCTTTCTTAGCACCGTTTCCCCCACTTCATATTGTCAGCCTTTAAGAATGTAAGAATGTTTCAAGATGCATTATCAGGAAGTATTCACCGGTAGAATTCATAGATCTCAGGGGTACCCCCATTCGCAACCGCATAGAAACCCTTTCCGCCGATGGGGCCTGTCTTTTCTTCTTCACTCGTTATAATCTCTTTTGGTTCGGCCACACCCTTCTCTTTCATCCAACTCCGTGCTTCTTGGAGGGTAGCGTGGCCTGTGCATTTGTGATCATCATATCCTGTTATGCGGGGATGCGCGCGTCCCCTCCGACATAGGTTAGAGTAAGATGGATTTCGATAGCTGGCAAAGAGGAAGAGTACCATGATGAGAAAATTGTGGGCTTCTCGACACGCCCTCTAAGTACAGCGTAATATTCGCTCCTTTTGTGAGATTTCACCATAGTTTAGACTGCTCGGTATGAGACTCGATCGAACGATAGTTAAAGACTTGGATGTGCGTCGAAGAGGAGAATAGCAAGTTCGCTAGATTCTTTTAAACAAATGTGTTTCCACCCAAGTCTAGCCCAATTAAGGTCAGCTTTTAGGTGGCATGTGATGAGTTGCGAGGCTCTGACTCCATGATTCGGCCACGTAGATAGTGTCAGAGCTAATGCAGAGAATCCCTGAAAGTACATTAAAATAGGCGCCGCTAGAGATGAGTACGTATACAATCGGGGCCCCGCTTCTACCTATTCAGCAAAGGCCTAGCGGCCGAGCTGAATATAGTGTGCGCAAGTAGTCAGACAACGAAGTCATATGGCATTCTCTGCTTAGCTCTTTGCCATAATTATAGACAACTCACAGTCCATACAGTCATATATTAAGCTACTCACTGGAGGTCATGAGTAAACTATGAAAGGTCGAGCGCTATGCAAAACAGAGTTCGATAAAAAGTCAAAGATTATAAAAGTCAAACCTAATTTCCAAGGTTCAACAACACCTTTAACTTATTCGCCTCTTCCTTTCCATCACTACAGTCTGTTTTGGGTCACAAGTTTGGAGATGCTCTTGAGTTAGCGAGGAAGAGTCAAATATGGTAGCTGCTTCAGCTCTGTCCATGTTGGAACTAAATTTTCTCGAACCATATCTTTTCACCTCCCATTGCTCTCTCCCAGGCAATTCCCAATGTCCAAGGCTTCCCTTGAACGCTAAGTCGAAATTCAGCATCGTAGACCTCGGGGCAAAAAGCCCCAAAATCCTCGTTATGCGCCGAAACCATCAAGAAATGCTCCCCAGACACATGTTGGAATGTGATCTTCTCTGGCCAGGTCATATTCTTCCGGTCAGCATGCAAAATACCTTCGCAGTCCAAATATACGGTGATATCCTGGTAGCCGGGGTTAAAATACGTGCCGGCATACTCCTTCAATGGTAAAGTGAGCGGAAGAATAATTGATGGACGATAATTGATTTTATCCGCCACTCGCTTTTTTTCTTGCTGAATCAGTGACCAGTTCTTTTGATCCCAATCGAATCTTTGCGGCCCGGGGACCCCGAGCCGCTCGTCAAGAAGATGAAACGCGAGTAGCTGGGCGGCACAATTGGAGGTCTGTGATGTATTTGCCAGAGTGATAACGGCAAACTGGAGTTCAGGGACCAGAAGGAGTCGTGCGCCGAATGCATTCATGCCGCCAGTATGCTCAAAGATCTGAGCACCTCGGTAGACTGTAGTATTCCAGCCAAGTGCATACGCCCTGGGACCCGTGAAGGGGAGATCCTGTCCAGGTATCAGGGTCCGCGGCTGCCATAATTGATGTGCGGTCTCTGAGTTGCGGAAGATGTTTTTCTCGACGAACGTCTGCGGGCGGAGGAAAGCGCGCACCCACTTGGCATAGTCGAGGACATTGGTGATGACCGACCCTGCGCCGGAGACCTCCTCCAATGTCATCCAGTCTACTTTGCGGTAGCTGTCATCATTGATGGGGTCACCACCATAGCCGGAGTAGTAGTAGCCCTCGGCAAGTGTAACGGGGGCAGATTGCGCATCATTCAAAGAGAAGTAAGTGTTCGCCATTCCCAGTGGCTCCCAGAAGGAGCGAGCCAGGCAGTCGCCTAGCCAGCGGCCCGTCACGGTCTCGATAATATGCGAGGCCGTCACGTACATGAGATTGTTGTATTGAAACTTGGTACGGATCTTGGCTGTGAGCGGAAGATGAGCGAGCTGGTGAACGTTCTCGCGGACGCTGGTGCGAGAGCTAGCGTGGTCGTGAGACGGGAGTCCGGTCCGATGTGACAGGGCATCTTCCACGGTAATCTGGTCTCCGGCGCATTTATCTTGCAAAACAAAGTCCCCGGGGATGAGTTGGCAGATGGGCGTATCCCAGCGGACTTTCGTCACGGGGTCTTCCGTCAGTTTGGCTAGCATAGCGGCGGTAAAAGCTTTGGTCGTACTGCCCGCGTAGAATAGAGTTGAGGGGGTGACTGGTGTGGAAGGCATAACTGCGAGTCCATACCCCTGTATTAGTGAGCTACCAAGTTAACGACTGTAAGTTCTACAATGCGTGAGACGAAAGGTTCCAGGTCATTCATCAGATCTGGTCATAAAGGGAATCACGCACTTCTGCCCAGGTGTGGTCACCATCCACCACGGCGATAGCCATTCCAGGTACGTGCCATCGATTCAAAGTTTGTTGAACCAGGGTCGTAAAAGTCTCCTCCTTCAGTGTGCACGAATAAACTTTCTTTCTCATGGTTTTTGATTTCTTGTTTCTTACAGATATATGCGAGGGGGCAATTCGGTGTTTTTTGCGCAACTGCCTTATCACTGAGCAAACTGCGGGGTAGTTTGATGTCTAGATAAATGCGCTGTGCTAACAAAAAGCTCTGATTGCTCCCGCTCACATCAAAAAACAAATAACAGAATGACTAGAATAGGACGCGACGAGTGTTTTCGATTCACGCCTTGAGAGTCATTAATACTTTGTCAGGTTTTTTTACCTTTCACTTTTTTCCCAATTGAATGTCGGGTCTATCAGTTATGTACATTATAGATCAGACAGGTCATGACAAAAGGTATCTGGTATTAGGCAATTAAATACGGAGATGCAGGTTGTTCTTTTTTCATTGATGGGTGCTATGATTGGTTTTCGATGCATTGGATGAATGTCCCGAAAACGAAGAAGCTAAGGAGAGAGGTCTGCTCCTCGAATTTCTTGAAGGCCTTCTTAAGCGACACAATACCAAAGTCCATGTCCTCGTCACCAGTCGTCCTGAACAGGATATCAAAGAAAGGCTTGATCGGTTTTCTATGATCGATCTAACGGCCAACCTGGCTGAGGATGTGAAAACCTTCGTTACCTTATGCCTGACCAAAGCTCCTCTCAACCGATGGAAACCTGAGATCCAAAAGTTGATCTCTGATGAATTGCTGGAATCTAAAGAGCGGTAAGTACTATACCATTTTCAAATGTTCCAAAGCTTTATTGGAGAGTAAATGTTGATCTGTTTGAATGTATCCAACATCAGATGTTTTCGTTGGGCAGAGCTGCAAATCATGGCACTTGAGAGATACCGCAAGGAAAGCCAAATTAAAGAGGCTCTTAAGACAATCCCTCAGACGCTGGAGGACACTTATCGCAAAGTTCTAGACAACATTGATTCAGATGATGAGAAAACAGCACGCGACATTTTTGTTGTAATCTGTCTTTCATCCGTACTTTTTGATGCGCAGACGGTCGCCAGTATGGTGGAGCTGAGCTTCCCCGAAGACATTGTCAAGATCTGCACAACATCGTTGAAAACTATATTGAATGAAAATGTCCAGCTAGCCCATTTTTCAGTACAGGGGTTCCTCATTGTTCCAGAGGAAGGTCGTCAACATCATCCATGTCAATTTTCTATCACCGATGGCCATAGGAATCTCACTGGAAAATCCGTGGATATTCTTCTTCAGCAGATCGAGGTCTTGACCCAAGCTGGTGCAGAAAAAAACCTCCCGTTCTTATATGCGGCGAAACATTGGAACACCCATATGAATGCTGCAGGTGGCATTGATCAATTGTCTCCAGACTTACAAGCCAAGATCAACCGTCTCTTTACCGGATCCAATGTTTATATTATCTAACTAGCTAGCTCTAGACTAGGGGTTAGCAATGAGCTCTCGAAATATACCCAAATATCTAGGCGCGGCAGTAGGCACTGCCAAAGAGATGCACAGATATCTCTTAGTTTTCTCTAACGGACTCTCGAATGTCCTGGTATTCCAAATTAGGAATCTAGAAGCTCCATTTCTACCTAATCCAGGGTACCTTCCGGTTAAACAGGTGCTGATCTCTATATTTAAAGATAATACCCACCTGCTCCTCGTATGAGATATCGCCTAACATTTCCAAGCAATGATGACAAATTGTATGCATATTAATATGCCGCTTTGCGGGAAAAAAAAGGACCAACATATGGTGACAGATGACGCCGGGTCGTAAGGAATAAGTCTGATTTTCAATTTCTGGGTCTCCAATCCCGAACACGAGACACAAAGCCAAGAAATGCTTCCTTTCAGGCTAAAATTCCATTCAATAAAGTCATGAGTATTGTGGGATGGATTACAGTAGCGACCAGTATCGCCTTCCATGTTAGGAATAGAGAGATCATCTTTCAAACCCTAATCACATGACACGCTAACCCATATATAGATAGCGCGTAAAAACAACGTTCTATACTTAGCCAGGTAACAAATACCAGAAGCATAGAAAACCAGTATGGAAGATACAAGAGTCTAGAACTAGACGCCTAGACTGGAAGATTCGATACAAAATAAGCAAACATGGCAATCCTTGAACAGGCAATCTATTAACAATTCCCCTCTCCACTAGACGGCCTAGTAAGACTAGGCGTGATTTTGGCGCTGCGCCGGTTTTGAGCCTGTGACAGTTTCGAACCCGCGCTACTTCGACCCCGCGATTGTTCCGACCGGGTTTCTATCAGTGTACGTTAGAAGGTAGCTTGATTTCTCTCTCGAACCCGAAAACCATTCCCGCACGAAGTATATGGAAATCCAACGTAAGTGGCAAGGAGAGGTCCAAGACCTTGAAACAGTGGAGCTGAAATACATTCCAACTACTGAGCAAATCGCTGATGGGTTCACGAAGCCTCTTGCGCGAGAACTATTTGAACGGTTTTGCAGAGGGCTTGGCATTGAGTGATACGTCTCGGCTACGGATCTGGGCAGAGACCAAGCCGCACGGGTACCCTTTCCTTCTTTTCCCTTTAAAAGGTTTTTTGAAGGTTTTAAGGGACCCCTCACAACCGTGATGGGTGATTGCTGGCACCCTTGATAGTGATTGCCATCGAGTGGGAGTGTTGAGTATCACGGTGGCTGAAGCTTATGGCAGGGATTGGGAACAGATATATGAGGCATCTCACCTCTGTAAAAGGACACTCCTCAATTTAATCAATAAATATTAATCAGACAATCACTTATCTCAACAGGGCTTTTAATATTCTCTTTTCATGTCAGCATAATTCCTGAGAGCAGCAACCCATGGTTGTATTGTCGTGATCGCCTACTTAGGGCAAACCATACAAAATTCTCCATACATTATATATGTAGATTCAAGAGATGCCTCTCGGGTGGTAAACCGTCCTGAGGCGTTTCTCTAGTAAGTACGTAGCTCATGTTTGTGCTAAAATAACAAGTCTGACTTCAAATTTCTACACAAAACTCAGGACGAAGTACATATGTTCTTACGACTCCTATAGAGGTGACGTTGGCTCGCCTTCTTGATCTAAGAATTGAGTGAGGTCTAATCAATTCCAGATAATATCTGGTTCCACATTCCATGCTCCCAGGCACGCTATTGGTTGCTCCCAGAAGTAGTAATCAACGCTGTCAAGGATATACATGAAGCATACGGAACGGATGGAGATATGATCTGCGCGGGACCCACATGGTGTACATGGGTTCCCCTAAACGCGAGGAAGCTACCTTTCTTTGCTTCCTCGCGCTACGTTTTCTATCTAGAGTCAACTATAGTTGTTCTTAGTATTGATTGCTCATTCAGAGACGCTATCTATCTCTATGTATACGTGAGGCCCTCACAAGGAGCAACAAAGCTCCCGCGAATAAGCAATATTGTTCCCACAGACGCTCCTATCAATCCCAGAGACGGTTCACAAGGCCCCTGGGAACTGTGTTGCTCCTACAGCCTCAGGTTCGGCTCCTGGGACGGGCAAAGGGACGTGGTCCATCTGCAGCTACCAATTAGTAGGTCCAAGGCTCACAGATTTCCCACTAAATTCTATTTATCTCTTATACAACTAGGTAGTGATGATATAACAGCTATACTATTGGAAATAGCTATATTGCTGACCGTGACGGAAGTAAATTCTTTTACTAATTTTATTTTTATATTCCACTATTTCGATCAGCAATCTTCGCAGCAAGTACCTTTGAATATTTATGGAAACAGCAATGACTGTCCCACGCGACCAGTTCCGTAAACCAATCTTTCACGGCCCAAACGATGGCGGCGGCCCACTCGGGACAATCTTCACCTTCGGCTTCTCTACGTAGACTCCATCCTCTTTGGCCTGTAGGAGCCAGCTTGGCATCGCTGATGTTGCCTCCTCTGACACTGGTGCTTCGAGATCAAAAACCTCTTGCTCCTCTTCTTCCTCTTGCTCTTCTTGCTCCTCTGGCACTGGTGCTTCGAGATCAAAAACCTCTTGCTCCTCTTCTTCCTCTTGCTCTTCTTGCTCCTCTTGCACTGGTGCTTCGAGATCAAAAATCTCTTGCTCCTCTTCTTCCTTGTGCTCTTCTTGCTCCTCTGTTGCTAGCTCCATATCTTCCATGGCTCGTGCTATCATTCCTTTGATAGCTTCGACATCGATATATTCGACAGAGTGCGATAAAATGGTCTCAACTTTCAATCTTCTCATCATGTCCTGTTCAAATTCATAGCCGTGCTATCAGTACTGAGACGAAGCCCACATGATCTTCGACAACGTACTTTATCTGGTGGCCGGTAGGACCGTATGACAAATCCCTTGATCCATTCATCCTTGTCTTGATTCTATAGCGAAAGAATAAGCGGGTCTGTTTCTCGAGCAGTGGCAAATATATGACGAACTTACCCATGTCCACGCCACCTTTACAGTAGAGCCTTCTCCAAGGTAATCATTTTTAGCAATTTCTCGAGCAATGACGCTCGGTCTAATTCCATCCTGTGGAATAACGAAACGCCTTCTTCAATCACCGCGAGCTGGATAGATATCCTCGATTCTCTCACTATTCTCTTGGCGGGCTTTATCAACGAGGGCATGAGCAAGGGCTTTCTGTCGCATACACCAGCTGCAGCAGAGATTTTCATCGGGATCATCTCTAGGTAGGCAATCGTAGAATCTATCCGCCGGGGACAAGAAAAGACAGACACGATTTGCCGACGCACAATTTTCGCACGGCCTTTCAGGCAGAGAAGGAAGACGAAGTTGCTGGTCGATACATCTGAGACCATCTACCCAGTCACAGGCCCAGATAACTTCATTTATCGCTCCACGTCCATGGTTGAAAATAGCAACTCTCTGCTCGAATTCTAGTTCCATTGGTGAAGGCGTCGTGTTTGAGGCTACCGAAAATCCTGGGAATAACTCTTAGCCTCTTGTCAATCTCATTGTACTGTATATAAATTCGTCAGCTGAAGTACCGTACCCATAGCTCAGGAAGACTCTTAATCTCTTCTATTGTTGAACTTGATGTCCTACCGAGTGCGCAACCCTTGAAAACCTCATTGGCATTAGATATCTAGCTGAGTTCATTTCGTACGCGGAAGTTGTTGTTCTTTTGAGATTGAGGCAGAGTTCTCGATACCCTGAGTATCCGATTGGTGGGAATAGATTTATTTGCTACTGTTATGCATGCCAGTCACATCACCAACATTGGATATGCAGCTTACCAAGATGTGATTGGGAGGCTCACGGCGCGTGGCTTGCTTTCACAGGTGATGCCTATACAATACCCCTCACCAACAATACGTGGCTTGTCATGATAAGTCACAATGTTTGAAATTTATGCTCACTCCAGATTATTCCAGCCTCGGCGTGGTCAGCAAGTTAGCTGGCTTCTCGTTCAAGCAAAATAAAACGCCAGCCCAATTCTTCTGATCTACTAGGTGGCGGAGTCTTGGAATTTATTTCTCACGTCTTTTACCCCTTCACTTATGACTACCGATGACGACTCTCAGCCTCGTAGATGGCAAACAATAGGGTACCCAATATTTGCTGATTTTATAGCATCCGATGATGAACTCTTCTTGCTTCGACGCTTTGGAGCCCTGAATGCTCGTATCATCCTTGCTCTGCAAGATGAGGTCTGTCAGATCGAAGAAGAGTTGAAAAATCTCGATCATAAATATATGAACTGTTCTGATCCTGTGAACAACGGATCGTTCCGACAAGATATAAAGCAAGATCGGAAGGGCGTTCTAGCGAGATTGAGGCTCAAACTTAAAGAATATAGTTGGTACCCTAAGATCCACTCTATTTTGTCCACTGTGGCTAAATCTACAAGACGAGTTTGTTGTTCTGCATAGCGAGCTCAAACGCAGGTCACGTGCGGAGCCTCGACTGATTAAAAATATCCTCAACTGGCACGAAACTAATGAAGGCGCCATTCTTGATGTTGAAAAGAACTATATCCGAGAAGAAGAAGATCTTATTACTATCACTCCAAGCGCAAAAACTCCGCTCCACCGTGTTCTTGAGAAGACGCATTGGTTCAACACATCTCGATTTTTCAGACAACATAGACCTCGAAGCAAAGCTTTTTGCGATGATGAGACGATCTTTTTCCATTCCAAGAGAAAGATTGAGATATTTGACACCACAATTGTCTTACTTGTAGGCCTAGCTATGCTCCTGATTCCGATCTGGATTTTGGATCTTGTTGTTAAATCTTCTACCGCTCGACTCGGTGTCATCTCATTGTTTATCGCCCTCTTCCTGTTTGGTGTGCAGATGGTTACAGGAGCAAGGCCAGGAGAGACGCTGGCTGCTACTGCAGGGTATGCTTAAAGCAGGGTCATGGTAGTCCTTCAAATAAATGCTAACTTTTTATCAGGTATGCCGCGGTCTTAATGGTATTCCTTCAGGCAGCATCGTGAAGAAGCGTTTGAGACGAATCGGCTGGGATTTTTTTGGATAGCAGCAGGAAAAGGAACAACCAAAATACAAAATTCCAAAAAGCAGAGAAACAAATAACACTTCTACTGTCCTTGTGAAGGAGTTCATGTGCCTGGTTCCATCGAATCCACGCTATGAACGCCAAACAGTGGATCTAAATGGCCCCTCAGCTCATCCGCCCCGGGCCCTAACTCAGCGCGTAATTGATCTGGTAAACGGGAGTATTAGGAAATACGCGTAATTCAGAGTGGAGACTTGTCTGGCCAATAATATTCAATAAACACCCTACTTTTTTCACTATGTTTAACAAGAAAACGAATGAATGAACTCGGATAGTTTATGTTGGTAAAAATCTCGTAGTTGAGGGTTTTGTTCTTTGGCTTTCTGCCGGGTTTTCTTCTTTGTCCAGCCAGCCCGAGAAAGAGCACGTTGTACGCTGGATGACGAGGGTAATATGTTGAACTCGTCCTATAGGAACTTGGCCATCTCTTCGATATAAAGGCCGCGTATTTCAGCGAGGTGGTCACAAAGGGCGTCCAGTATCACAGGAATGATGCTTGGTGGTGAGCCGGGAGGGATTGTGGGAGGATTGGGACTGCCGAACAACCGCATGTTCTTGCGTATATTAGTGATAGAACGCTCGCTACACTTTGCCAGTTTGGCCATTTGTGATGCAGTCAGTCTGTTCTTGCAGATTATCATATTTACAGCCATCTTACGCTGCCAGGGGTTCGGTTTTCGCGCCATTTTGTAACCATTTAGGGGGTTAATTGTTGCTTGAATAGAGAGGGACGATTGTGTTGGGACGACACGACAGAAGTGGCTATTTTTGGATCAGTGATAGTACATACCAATACACCAATCGTCCGTCTTAAATTATACTGTATAACAATGGAACATGACTTAAGATATGGGAGTAACCAAATCTGGGAGAAACGGATTATGTAATTAGGGTTTGAAAGAGCATCTCTATTGTCTCCGACATAGAAGGTGAACCTAGGCGGGTCTATACTAACCTTACTAGTGCCTCTAAACTTTAAGCAAAGAGTTGAATTACCGAAAATGCGGTACATTTAGCGATAAGAGCTAGTTATACTATTTGGCCCTCATTAAACGTACCGAACTTTAATGCGGATTGATCCACTTTGCTCTCAGATGTCTCCGCTATGTTCCTCTCCTAAAGATGCGAACGAATTCGACGAACTTTGCCTTTCGCAAGGACGGGAAGCTCGGTGCTATAACTGTAAGTCACAATCCTTTCTAACCCAACGAAATCTAAATAACATTGGTCGTTTTCTTTCCCCCCCTCTGCAGGCTAGCAATGGCGACAGTCTTTGGGAAAACCCCGCGGGCCTGGGAATCCCCGAGGATCCAGATCGAACCTACCAGTTGTGGCTGGTTACGCAGCTGTGGAGGACCCCCACGGAGCAAAAGGAGGCATTCTCATGGTATCACATCTAATTTTGCTTGATGATGCATGCTTCAGAGATTACGTGTCATACTTTATAGGTGCCATTGGTTAGTGGCAGTCGACCTTCGGGATCACTTGCAAGGGGAATTCGAATTTGAGAGAAGTTTAGGAGCTAGACTTCACATGCGAGGCTCAGAATATCTTCACGTTGTTTTTCGTGTCCTCTCGCGCCACACAGTGTTCCGATTGCGGCGAGGTAAGATCAAATGGGGCAATGGGGTGATACAAGTTACCATTTATATGAATTGTTTATTTCATAAGTCCTCGAATGGTGGCAAGATTATCTTTTCACTGCTTTTGCAAATACTCTATTCATCCCATATCAAGCAATTTGGCTCTCCCTGTATGGTAATGTTTGCAAGAATTTGACCAAATTCCCCCGTTTGCACATCTCGTTCGAACACGACTACTCGATGGTTGGACTGCAGAGCCACAGCAACTCGGTCCCCGGCCTTGTTGAACACAAAGTTTCTAGGGAATCCCCCTCCAGATGGAACCCTCTTTCCGCGTACCAAGGTTCCGTTATTCATGGGCTCGAAAACCATAAGATTATCCCAATATTCTTCAACGGAGCTTGTAGGGTTCATGGAGGTGTGGTATGTTGGCGTGCTGTTGCGGTTAGATACAACGACAAATTGGTTGTCGGGCTGGCCGTCTTGTCAGTAAACGTGACATATTCTATGGAAATGTGAGAGAATGTGGTGACTGACTGATACCTGAATCTCGGCCGGACCATTTTCAGGGGGAACCGAAGCACCGCCATAAGTATTTGTCAAGGCGACTTGTTGGAATTCCATTCCACCTTCCGATTTGTATTTCACTCGGTATGACGTGAAAGCGCTGGTGATCTCTGCTATGAGGAAATAGTACAGCTCGGACACATCTGTCTTATTTGATATCCCATAAGGAGACCAAAAAGTACCATGGCGAGGGCCTGAGCCTGGGATCGTAGGTGATGAAGGTAACTCAGTCACAAAACCGCTATCTGAGTCTATCTCAAAGATTTGAATTTGATCTAAACCGAAAGCGTTGAGAACAAGATACTGCTCAGTTGGGTCGAGAAGAATCTGGTGTTCGTGTGGACCAGTTTGACGAGGACCAGGCCCAGGAGAATCCTGATAGAAAAATAGTTCTTGTAATGGGCTTAGGCCGCCTTGATCTGTGATGTTCCAAATCGTAAGGGCACTGCCATTGCTGTTGAAATATTCCATTGTCAACTCATTGCGATTCAAAATATCACGGAATGTTCATGTAGAGCACCCACTAATGAGAAATAGCCAAGACCTTTGATAGTGCTGTTTGGTAGATTACACCACCCGATGGACCGGATGGTATAGTTTTTCGCTCCATCAAAGAGAGCGCGCCCTGCTTCGAGACTTCGTACGAACTGACAGAGCCATTATCGCGCAGAATACCCTCATCGAAGCAGTAAAGCACGCGGTCAGTGCTATCAAAAGTCAACCATCCCGGGCTAGGGGCACAACCCGTATTGGAGTCTGTTATCTCCAAGGAGAATCGACCGTCGTAGTCAGTCACTCCAAGACTAACAACTTCACCCCCATATGAAGAGACGAAGAGGTTGGATCTGTTGCTGCTAGCAAAGCTTGTTGAGCAAAAAGCAAGGATCTTCCAAATTGCAGGACGCATTATGAATTTCGAAGAAGCAGCTGGGCAATTGAGTCCACGGATTCCGTTAAATCTTGTGCACTGGCACTGGAACCATGACTACCACAATTCATTCAGGACAAGGAGTTATATATGCGGATTTGCCCAAGTGCACTGTTTCCACATATGCCGCCTCCGGGGCCCCTTCCCCAGATTCAAGTTCCAATATGCGGGGAAGTATGCGCCAAGTTTCTGGGAAAGAATTGATTAACCCGTGCGTTATTGCATAAGGTCTTCTGACGCGTTACGCTCTTCACACGGCATTCAGATGTTAGCACGAAACAAGATGGCTGATGTAGCCGCCGCCCCACTCAGGAGCCATTTACCTGCAATAGCCGATCAGAGCGACCCCCGTGGACTTTTGAAGTTTACCACAACAATTCATGTGAGATATCTTCCACTTGTACCTATCGAACTACCGATATCCCCTTTCGATATGAGCTTTCAGATTTTCAACTCCGGTTTTCAAAAGATAACGGGGACAACTCCAAAATTGGAAATATGTCTCAACCATACCGCCTATCCATGGGCCCATGAAGCTGGGGTGTATATTCCGAAAGAAGATCAGATGTTTGTCACGAGCAATCGCATTCACGGAGCAGATGGCACCCAGAAAATTCAAATATCGAAGATATCGCTCAGAAATGACGGCACATGTTTGCGGGAAGAGATAGCACCAGATATTCCAATGGCCAATGGGGGTGTCAATTACAAAGACGGTGTTTTGTTCTGCAGCCAGGGAACGCAGGACCAACCTTCGAGTTTGATCTTCATGGAGAAGACTACTCCGTACAAGTGTACCGTCATTCTGGACAGCTTCTATGGTCGCCAGTTCAATTCAATCAACGATGTGGTCGTACATGGCGATGGCTCGATCTGGTTTACGGATCCTATCTATGGCTACGAGCAGAATTTTCGTCCTCTCCCTCAGCTGCCAAATCAAGTATATCGATATGACCCCGAGCTTCAGTCTGTGCGAACTGTCGCGGATGGTTTCGGAAGGCCAAATGGGATTTGTTTCTCTCCAGATGAGCGGGTTGTTTACATAACAGACACGGATTCTATTCATGGTGATGGCACTGTAAATCTCAATCGCCCTTCAACAATGTAAGCTTTCTGTCGGATCTCTTGCGATACTGCACTTTCTTTCTGCGCAATAAGATTTAACGAAAGATGTCTCGGTAGTTATGCTTTCGACGTTCACTTTTACAGTGAACAGCCCTTCCTTGTGAATCGCCGAGTTTTTGCTATGGCTGATACGGGTGTCCCAGATGGTATCAAGTGTGATCTTAATGGAAATGTGTACGCTGGATGTGGGGACGGCATAAATGTTTGGTCAGTCGGCGGAGTACTCATGGGAAAAATTCTTATTCCTGGTGGAGTTAGCAATTTCTGTTTTGAGCAACATGGTCGGATTCTGGCTATGAACGAACAACAGCTGTGGAGAGTGACTCTGACTCCCACTACTCGGGGGTCACTTCTGAAACTGTGAATTGTATCTTGTCCATAGTTTTATGTACTTTGAGTGCATACAAAAGAGCCCTGTTGAGTCGTGTCAGAGTTCTTCTTGAAAGTGTAGGTAAAAAGAAGGTTCGCAGTAGAGAATGCCTATATGATTGGAAAGAACTTGCAAGGGCTAGTCCGTTATAAGCTTGCTTGTATTTACACGAAGACAGATAATATGAGATGCAGCACTCTTATTCTATCTTGGAATTTATCAGAAAATAGCCATAGCGTTCGCAGTGCTCGCTGCACCACCTCGCAAAGCCAGTGGACGAGATGCCAGGAAAAATGAATATCTACCCTTGGCAAGACAAACACCGGCGAGAGATTCTGTATTCCAAAGCTCACCGATAGGACACCCTAGAGCCGCCAACAAATGTTCATGGAGCCATCCAAAGCCATCACCTGGAGGAGGAGTTGCTTCAAATGCAGGCTGGTCCCCAGCGACGGCTGCACTTAATTTTTCCAGAGCCAGGCGACAAAATCAGCCTCCTGTGCAAGGCCGATGAAGCGATGCGCACCCGGCTTGTTCTCAATGCAAAGATTCGCATGTCGTACCGTACAATCCATAGACTGATACCATGATAGCCATCCGGTGCGGAAGATAAGGATGTCACCTGGCTTTATGGTCGTTTTTTGAAATGCCAACACGTCCTTCACATCCTGGAGACTGATTTTGTCCCCTCCATTGACATCAAAAGTCTTCTCAGTGGACTTAGTCCAGTGGTAGTAGTCAATCAGAGCTCCTCGACCTGTGATCCCGCCGTTTTCCACCCATTCTGTTTCATATTGAGCCAAGCTGTGGGCAAGAAGATTTATCGGCGTGGATGCACATAGGCCTTGCTATCAGACTGGCATACTCGCTTAAGCTTGATAAAAGTGTCCTTGTGAACCATCCAGGAAGCGGAACCCCGAAAAGCTCTCGTGAAAAATTGGCGTGGGCAGGTAAGCTAACCTTCTTATTTTCCTTCAAGAGCGGATTCCATACTGACCTCCAGGTAGCATGCTACTTATCAGATAGGCAAATATCCGTCCGTATTGGCCGACCATTCGCATGCCGTGGGGTAGATCCAAGTATTGCTTATGGCAAGTATGGACTTCCGATCGTTGAGTCTCAGCCCCCAGGGAACAATGAGCATTTCAAAGTTTTCCAAGCGCCACTACAATTGACCCAAATATTTAAAAACGTGCACGAGGTCCTATACTGCAATCTCGGAGCTGGGACACCGATGATGTTGCTAAGGTATTATGCTGGTTATCTTGATGATTTCCGCGACGCCATTGCTACTTGGAACAGTATCTGGGGATCTATGACATGTGTTTCACCAAATCACAATCATAGTCAAATCAACACTAACGTTTCCCAGGCTCGTATAACGTGAAGATGCTTATGCAGCTCTCATACGAATATCTGAGGCTATATGCAAATGAGTTCGCCTTTCAGGCTGCTACGCTACGGACATTGGCACCCAATAGCCTAGCGCTTGACGACGAAGCTCGTCCAATTAAGAGTCTTGGCGGTTTACCCGAAGCTCGCTTCACGTTTGAGTCAATTGATGCGGCAAGATCATTATTGACTCTAGTCAACAATATTCCATTGGAGAAAAATCTCAGCATCTTCCCGATTCGCCTTCCCCTGTATGTACCATCCGGCTTTAAAAAATTCTCCTGCAGTCCCGAGCTGATGACCGTCCTCAGATACTGTGTCAATGCAGCAGTTTTTCTCTTCAAGGTACCTATTCTCTATCAACGCTCAAAGTGCCTTTGAGCAGATATTAATTGATTGAAGATCTGGAATATCAAAGTGATCTCAAACGCCGAACGAGCGAGTATCCGACAATTGATTGGTGATACAATTGAGTCTCTCCAAAAAGGAACGCAGCGCCCTTCGCAGCTCGGACTGAGGTACGCACTGTTACTCAAAATGCTATGGGAACGAGCAAACCATCGACCCGGCATGAGCGATGACAGTCTTGACTTTGAATGTCGGACAAAGTCTGCTACTCAATCTCAGGAGACACAGGAAGGGTTCTCGTGGCTTGACCTGGAGGCCATAGGTGACTTTGTATGGGGAGACTCGACTCTCAATGGCGGTATTGATCCCGGGAATGCGAATCAACAACCAGACCTGCTACGGGAAGACTTTGACTGGAACGACATGCATATGCTAGCTGGGAATGACTTCTCTTGGATATTTTGAATTCAACGTGCTTGACATTTGTGAAACTGAGTCATTGAGATTTACTCTAACCTTTTTGTACTTCCCGGGCTCGGACTGAAATATTCACTCTACATATTCCAAAGAGTGGCCTGGTCCATATTCATCCATTCTGGTCCATCATATGTATCGTAGGGAGGTGGGCAGGGCGGAATAGAGTCTTGGATGCTCTCGTGGGTGTACGGGTTGTGGTAGGTAGTCGGTTCGAGATCGGGCGAACTAGAAACAGGCCATAAATTAACAGAAGCTCGTCGTTATATCCTAGTAGGACAAACGCGTACTTGGCAAGAGGGCCCTTGAAGAGCCAGCTTTGGTCTTTGACCCATCCATCATGGTGGTTGCACTGGAATGCTATGTAAGCCCTTTTCACGAAACAAGTTGGACTTTCTTCTGATTTTACTCACCTTGATTGTCCTATACCAATGGAAATGCCAAATCTTCCATTCGTCTCCTTTCTTGATGAAATCAACTAAATCCTGAATTTTAACAACTTATGCCAGCCTAGCCGGTACTGGATATGAAAACGAACCTGCGTAGGCTCCAAAAAGCCAGATAGGCTCAGGCTCGCCCTCGCCATCTTTCGGCATCACAGCCTGGACAGAGGGTGATCGCCATGTACCCTTTGCGGTCTTACCATCGCTTGCAATTTGGACCATGCCGGTAGTCAGGAAAGCGAATAGAAGATTTCCCTTCAGGGCAGCAGATCCAAATTGTTCCGCGAACAGGGTTTGCAAGGCAGCTCTGCCTCGGTAGACGCCCCGGTCTCCAACCTCCACAGATACATCCGGCTCATCTAAGGCAAAGAATGACAAAGTCTTGTGCATGTTCTTTGCCAGGTGGTTGACAGTATGTCTATTGAATGGATGGCATCAGTATGTTTCTTTATCTACCAATTGACAAAACGCAGCTTTGGTCTCAAACATACCTCCCCATCAACATGTTAATGTCGCGCTCATCTTGGTTGCGTTGAACCTTAATTTCCAGCGCGCGAATGCGCTCTTCAAGTGAGACTGACATTTTCGACTGTTCGTTCGAAGTTTCGGGTCTGCGCTCGGGTTTCGCTGGAGGGGTGATGTAAAGTAAAGTATACGGAGTTCTTGTAAAGTCCTTTTATGTTGACTAGGTTAAATCATGCAGTCACTTCAGATCCCGACGAGGGGCAATGAGAAATTGAGTAATTGGATCAATAGTTCCGGTCACCGAGGCCGCCGGTAAAACGGCGGATCAAGGTACGACCGGCGGAAAGAAAGAAAGAGGGGACGGCAATGGCAGGGTATGGCAGCTCCGGCTTGGTTATCAGAGGAATGCGGGGCCCCACAATCATGTGGCAAAGTAAGCCTGGACCATTTCCATGAACTGGAGAAATGCGGGGGACGGGGGGAGGCAATAGCGCATTATGGAGACCCCTTGATAGGGTTGCCAATATAATGAAAAAGAAGTCGCTCGCTAGGCATTCCCTATCCAAGCCCAATTGACTTGCTTTCTGCGTCGAACACAAGAGTACGCACTTTGTCGGATTGATCGGCCCCTTTATTTTTTTTTTTTTTTCACATCTCTTTTCGGTCATTTTGACCAAAATTTCTCGCCGCAGCCAACATGACATATTTGTATGCAATTTTATGCGCAGTCTCTGCCTCCTTGGCAGGTCAGTGAATCGATCACAAAAGTGCCAATATGGCAACATTGGAAGGAATCTAACTTGCAAGCATATAGCGCTGTCATTGGGGCTCGATGTCGGCATGATCTCAAGCACGTACGTATTCTGAGCTCCGGATTCAATTGACTATTCTTTCGAGCCCTTGCTGAAACTCGCGAAACATAGTCTTGTTTAACCCCGATTATTGGAGTACTTTAACAATCCGTCTTCATCCTCAACAGGTGGAATCGTGGCAGCATTCAGTGCTGGCGCAACATTTGGAGCATTCGGCTGCTCCTTTTTAGGAGATCCATTAGGGCGTGTCTGGGCACTTCGCATCGGAGCAATAATTGCTGTTATTGGATGTGCACTTCAGGCTGCATCAGTCGATGTACTTACAACCTCTATCATTCATCATGATGAACGTTGCTCATTCTTCTCCTAGATCGCGATGCTTGTGGTTGGCCGCCTTATCAACGGATTTGGCGGTGGTTTGCTCACAGCCATCTTCCCTGTCTACGCATCAGAAGTAGCTCCTCCAAGCATTCGAGGAGCTTTTGGGGGACTTCAAATGGTATCAAAATTTCCCCTATTACCCATCTATTCGTACCCCTTCTCCCCGCTGACCTTTGATCAAGGTCATGATTGAAACTGCTATCTTTGTTGCCACTGCGACCGGATATGCGTTTGGCATACATTACTCCAATGACGCCCAGTGGTAAGTGGCTCCGTGACAACATACTCGAAGTTGATCAAACTGCTAAACTGAAAATCTGAAAAGGCGCGGTCCACTAGCTGTTCAAGCCCTTCCACTCCAACTTTTAATTCCCGTCACGTTCTTTCTTCCAGAGACCCCTCGTTGGCTCGTTCGGAAGGGAAAAGAGGAACAGGCGCTCCGTGTTTTGGGTCGTCTATATAACAGCGACATCACCGACCATGTCATTCGCATAGAATTCGGCGAGATCAAGCGTCACATTGAGGCTGAAGAAATTGCATATAATCCCAGCTGGAAAGAAATTGCCACGCGTCCAAGCTGGCGGCGGCGAGCTGTACTTTCGATGGCATTGCAATTCTTTCCCAAGTTACAGGTATCAATTGTGTTCAATACTATGCTGGTAAGTGGTTTGCATTCAGTGGAGCCCCAGGTAGCGAGGCTTATCTAGGATTATAGCGTCCATTTATACCAGTCTTGGCTTCAGCACAAGCCAATCTCTCCTGATCAACCTTCTATACGGAGCCTTTGGCCTTCTTTCAGCTGTGCTCTGGGGGTCCGTTCTTGATAAGTTCAAGCGAGTGAGGTTGTTAATTCTAGCAACGGTTTTTATGGCCGCGACACTGCTTGTGCAGTCCGTTCTATCGGCGGTCTACCAGGGAAAAGCCCACCCCAACGCAAATGCTTTAAGGGCAGAGGTTGCAATGTTTTTCCTCTTCCAGCTAGCTTTCGTGGCTGTTGGGTAAGTTGTATCCTCTCCTTCAAGTTCCAAAGCGGCTCATTAATAGGACTTTTGTGCTATAGAATGCTGGCGTGGTTGATCCCCCCGGAAATGTGTCCCATGGCAATCAGGTATACCTCTGCCACATTATGCGACATTAGAAACCAAGGCTAACTCATCCATAGGGCCAAGGTTAACTCAGTTTCAGTATCAGTCAACAACATCTCTGGCCTTATCGTTGCTCAAGTTGGCCCTATTGGACTTGGAGGAATAGGTTTCAAGTTCTTCTACGTTTTCGTAGCGTTGAACATCGTCGGGGTTGTGTTCTACCTGTTGTTCATTCCAGAGTAAGTTCGTTGATGTGTTGTTATAGTTGCTTGGGTGTTTCTGACTATGGATTTGTACAGGACATCTGGCCTTACTCTCGAAGAAATGGATGTGCAGTTCGGAGATCAAATTGTCGACTTCGATGAAGAGGACAGAAAGGGAACCCCCATATGCAGCGCGCAACATCAGGAATCTGCCTAGACTGTTGAATCGGTTAGAAAGGGAAATGAGGAACTCAAGTTCTTCATCTCTAAAGCATCCATGTCGGGTACCTGAAGTCTTTATCTGAGTTGAATACAACCGAGAAACAATCTATAGCCGAGCAACAGATTATGTATAACTGTCATTCTCCTCCAACTTCTTCAACTGAAACATTATACAGTAGAGATTCAAAATCTGCATAAAACATTTAATCAAAGAGACCAAGGTTTCAGTGCATGGACATGCAGGCAAACAGCTTCCAATATCGTTTTTGGGTCAGATATCGTCAGGCATCAACATTTGAACTTAAATGAGTGCAAGCGTGTGAATCCGAGCTCTCTCCATTATCCCTTAATATTACCTTTAAACACTGAAGCATATAATATCCATCTTATTACAAAATTCTATGGGCGAAAATTTTAGGATCCTGCTAATGTTCGACTGTTTGAATCGTTTCCCACCCCCTTTTGGTCTTCGAAGCCCAAACTTTGATCAAAGCTAATGTATTCTCAACAGGGGTTGATTGCTTAGCAGAAGCATGTCTAGTCATAATTCGTAGATATAAATTGCACAACAATGTATCCTTCTTCTGAATCGAAATGTTATAGCTTAGACAACCGCCTCCCTTCAACCCACCGCCCATTGACATTTCGCCCTCCAGCTAACCGAGTGGTAGCGATTCTATCTTTAATAGGAGCTAATAGCTCAGTACCACCTGGTACATTCCTGAGATATCCAGCAATCAAGTCTTGGCCTCGAGGGGATTTCAGGTATGTGATGAAGCGAGAAACCTCGGGGTTGAAGCCGATAGAAGCAGAGGTTTTATGGAGCGCATAGCAAGAGTTTATAAGCCGGTGGAAAGGATTAGTAGGTTCAAAGAAAACGGTCAAGTTTCCAGTCTTGCCCTGATTAACCTGGTAGAGAAATGTGGACCGGTCAATGAGAATGTAAGCACCCGATACAGCCGCCATTCTGATTGCTTCGTTTGGATATACCACGTAGACTTCGCATTCCAGGGCGACCGGTGACACCGACGCCAGATTTCCCGTTCCTTGCACATAGTTGCTGAGCCATCGCTTCTGGAATGGAACAAAAATTCTGCCAAGAAGATGCGCTCAAATGCATCTTCTATAGATCGCGCTTCTCGAATGTTCGCTGGGTCATGTTCCGGGCCAATCAGACAGAAATGGTCGTGGAAAATGCATCCTGCGTTCTGCGCCCAGCCTTCCAGGACGGAAATCTCCTCTTGTTCCCGCTCGTAGGTAAGGGCGAGATCAATGTGCCCGTTGAAAAGGGCGAGTTGCGTGTTTCGAGAATGATTGCAAACCCAAGCAATAGAACCGGGGGCGTGTCTGAGAGACAGGTAATCGTTTGCAAGGGCTTCAATTAACCCGATTCCGCCTAACCATCTGTCAGTATCACGTTTCCTTCAAATTACCCTTGGCGATTGCTGCCATGCAATGGGCCCTCCAGCTTACCCGCCCCGCCATTTCTGTTCGGAACTTGTTAGCCAAATTGCAGGGGAAAATTTCCAACTACGGAATATTGACATACCCAATCCTGAGAATCACTTCGCCTTGCCCAAATACTTCTACAGGCAATGTCTCTAGTGTGCCATCCTGCTGGATGCTTGTTTTGAGCTGCATCATGCCTAAAGCTCTTGACGATTGTGGGTGAGGATGTCACAGTAGATGAATTGACAATGGTGTGGTTTGAGCGGAGATTGAAATTTCACCACAGTGACACATTGGCGTATTGGAAGTGATTAGAAAGTCTAGTATTTTGTTTATGATCATAACACTTATAATCACACTCATAACGTAATGTTGTAGTTATCCAGGTACCGGCTATGTCAGGCTTGACCGACTTGCCCGGCTTTTGCAGGCAACTGATACCCACGGCTAGCCAAGAACAACAGAAACGCCTACCTGGTACATAAGACAAAGATGCGACTTATCTAGAGTAGCCATGGTCAAGGCATTGGAATTTCGTCATTTCATCATGTCATCCAATCCCGATCAAAACAGCGTTCAAGGGAGGCTGGCGCTGATAACTGGGGCATCTGGCGGGTAAGACTCACCATACATATAACCTTTGCAACAACATGGAGACTAACCTGCGGGAATCAAGCATTGGATCTGCCTGCGCACGTCAACTAGCAACTCAAGGTACTCATTTAGCTTTGACGTATACATCCAATGAGCAAAACATCCGGGACTTGGTGTCTTCACTCGCTCCAATTATCTCGCAAAAGGCGCTCCGCGTAACGACTCACCGAGTAAATCTGGAGCATCATAGCGAAATTGAAAACCTGTTCAAAGAAATACAAAAAGAACATCAGAGGCCCGTTGACATTTTGGTATCTAATGCTGGCTATGGAAAACGAATTCAAAATATCTGGTGAGTACCATTTTCTTTTGGGGCGAATAATCCAGACTTACGATCAATTCTAGGGATATTCCACTTGAGGAATTCAACCGCATGATCTCCGTGAACTTAACCGCGTCATTCCTGCTGGTCAAGGGCGTTGTGGGGGGGATGAAAGACCAAAATTGGGGGAGAATTATATTCATCTCCTCAGTTGCCGCCTACGGAGCGGGAATGAATGGCTGTCGTAAGTAGTACTTGAAGACTAATATTTGGAAGTTTCATACATAACTGATATTCGCTTGTAACAGATTACGCTTCCTCTAAAGCAGGCTTGATTGGAATGATGAAAAATCTTTCCGCTCGACTTGCTGAGTTCAACATTTCTGTCAATGATGTTGCCCCTGCTATGGTGGGCTCTACAGGGATGTTGTCTGATGAAAAGGCTTTTCCGGGGCTCACCGACTCAATTCCGCTGAGAAGATTATGCACACCGATTGAAGTCGCAAATGCCGTGATCATGTTTGCAACTACAGGCTTTGCTACTGGCCAGAGTCTAGTTGTAGGAGGCGGACTTCGCTGACTTCTGAGCCATTCGAAAGCACAGGTTTAAAGCCATGTTGCACATAGATCAATGGCTTTGATCTACATGTCCACTTCTAAAAGATCAGAAAACGAACGAATGTTTCACTTACTCGCAAGTTCAACACTGACTACGATTGCGTAGTTTTTGTGTTCATCCATGTCGATCTTGAATCATTTCCAAGGTTCTAGCTATCCATTACCGTTTCACTTCGCATATATTTCAGTCAAGCCCCTCAAGTTTCAAGGTTCCAAGGTCTCAGGTTCTTGACATTGAAGATTGTAACCGTCTTTTGAATCGTCTTTGATCACATTCCCTTTCCTTTGGATAAACGTGGCGCCGATGCGAGAAAATGAAAAATATTGTATTAAACCTATGGATCTTCTTAGGCGACTGAGCCTCATTTTAACATTCGAATTCCATGCTCACTTGCCTTGAGATTTCACGTTGGGAATTTGGCTAAATAAAGCAATACCCTAGCCGTCGAAGAGTTATAAGAGACTGGTTACTTAACAAAATATTAGTCCATTCTGCTTGGAAATAACGCGATACAATAAAAGCAAAAAGCGGAATTAATAACCAAAAATAAAGCACCGGATCACGAACAAACCATTTAGAGCTGTGTTGAGACATGCTGATAAGGGTTGGCTTAATATATCTAAATAGAGAAACCTTCCTAAGTTATTATTCTTGTATAAGATATGAGTCCGCGACGTCGAGCCTTGTTATCGGTGCTTGGTGGAGATCTTATTTTCAATTCATAAAGTTGCCGTTTAAGACTTCGAATCATCTCATTATTGCTCTGCTTCGGCCGCGCTAGCTTTTGGCGGCCTGATTCGCTCTGCTTCTTACCTCCATGGTAGGGTGACAAGATAGGCTTATCACTATCCGTGTTATCCTCGCTCTATTCCTGATCATGTCGACGCCTAGTATGCCGCCTTGGTCGTTCTTCCTTTACGAATCCACTAGTGCTCTTACTTTCGGATTTATCTATCTTATATAGTTTACGATAACTATTCTCTATTTCGTAGGCTTTTTAATATAGCACCCGATCACTATCTAGGGCTAAGCTAGAAGTAATCCAGCGTATAAATGCTCTTCCTTCTAAAGGGAGCACTCTATCCTTCTATTTTACTAGCGTTCTAGTCTCTAGTAGACATCGCCAAAACCTGAAAATGGGCCTAGAGTCAGGCCCAAAGCGGTTGATAGAAGATCTAACCTACTAATAACCAAGCCTGAATCCTAGGGTCATCTCTAACAATATGAATCCTTATGCACTGTATATGTAGATTCAACCCGCGGGTGAAATTATATGAACCACAATACACCCCCTCAAATGGAAAGTCGTCGATACTGTCATATAGCATACTCATCTCCCCACCATCTATCATCATTATCCACAGATCCCACAGCGCACGTGTCCAACATTTCATCCACCCGGGGAAAGTATCGTACTGATCCACATTCGGCCATGCTTGAAGAACCTTCATGCATCGCAATTCATGATCCACATCGTGGGGGCCTTCCTGTTCGACTTGCTCCGCGGATGTGCCTTGTAAAGTTTGCAGTGATTCTTCATCAATGATTATGCACATCCGGAACCTGTTCCAAGTGGATTGATAAATGCCTTGAGCATCCACCCTCGTCTCAAAATGAGTACGAATTGCCTCGATGGATGCCCCATTAAATCGTGGCTCTTCTATAATATTAGACCGGTATTTTGCGCGAACTTCCCTAGCTTTATGAGTGACCTAGCATAGTCCGTGACGAAATCTTCTTTAATACATGTCTCGATATACAGTATTTAACAGCATTTGGGAATGAAATATCGGACTCAGCAGAATAGGTGGTGCGATAGAGAACCTATCCTCAGTCCGGAATAATGTAAAGTCTGTTGCGAAGCTCATTCATCTTTGCAGGCGAGATGTTTGTTCGCGCGGCTGAATAATAGGGGTGAAAGGCAAAGAGGGAAAGTGAAAAGATCAAGATGCCAAGGCCTCCGGATGGCTAACCGAGTTTGCCAAGTTAGTTCCCTTCTACTAGTCATCACTACTGCGTCAAATTTTACCCTCTTAGTTTTGCCAATTCTTTCTTTTTCCCCTTACTTTTTACACCTCCGCATTGTACTATTAGATGTTCCAATTACCCAAAGGTGGTAACCGACCTTGACAACTTGCTTTCAACCCACGAAAACATGAGAGCATGAGAATTTGCCTAATCTCCTTGGGACACGTTTCTACTCGTCATTCATGGGGTCTACTCGTCATTCATGGGGTTTGTTCGCAGCACGGGAAGATCATGGACTCAATTCTGGAAGCTACTCGGAAACAGGGTCTTACGGGGAAGAATTTGACGAACAGACGATTCCGTGATACAATTTGTAAGCTCTGGGGTCATCTGGAGGTGATAGATAGCGGACTTTCACCTTTATAGGAGGCCCAGTTTAGCGACATGGTTCAGATTTGGAAGTACCTGCTCATTCTTGACTTCGAAGTTGACATGATCGGTTGGGCACAATCCCTCATCAACACACCACTGCATGCTCTCTTTCCAACCTCATGATGCTAGACTAGCGTAAAGATCAGGATAGAAGTAAATGCCAGTGCTGTCCACATCGGAATATCCCTAGCAGTACCCGTACCGGTATGAGTACTACTCGCCGCAGTCTGCGTCGCGCTACCAGTCTGACTTTGCCCATCTGTAGCTGTCGCAGCAGCAACAACATGGTCTGTCGAGACAGCAGTAACAACATGCAAATTCGATCTAAATGTCCAGGTAAATGTTGCTCCACTGACCGGTGCCGTCAAAGAACCGGTATTATAGAGCGTCTCGGTTCCATTCTTCGGAAAGCCGCCAAGCTTGTAATATGTGGTCGTTTCCCCCGCGTCCTCGGCTCCAAAGCCCAGCGCACCGGCGCAATCATACGCATCGAGGTAGTCGCCACATGTTTCGAAATCACCCATTGAGCTGTACCATGTGTCGGCCGCAAGGAGAGAGGGTTTCGTATTCGGACAGGTATCCCAGATGCTGTTAAAGTGGGTTAGTGCCTAGGTGGACAATAAAGGGAGGGGGATTCAACGCACGTGGACAGAATTGCACTTTCTGCACAGCAAATACACGCATCGGCGTATTCCGAAATGGCATCATTATCGGACATCTGATTGAGATTCGTCATGTTATTGGCGCAGGTGCTAATCTGGTCCCCGATCAGGATTTCTTTCTTGTACACCTTGCCAATATTACAGGAGCACCCGGAGACAGCATCGTCAGGTGGAGGCCAGAACGGAATTTCATCCAGATCAGTTATCGCGCACAAGTTGATGATATCTTCGACTGTGCTTTGGTATTCGCAGGAGTAAACCTATTTCTAGTTAGCTCCTGAAATTCCACTCGGTTAAATTTGGCGAAGAGCTCGAACCTGATTCCAGCAGCTCGAAGCGATGCAGTCAACCTGATTAAGCGCATTGACACACCCACAGGCGTTAATACAATCCATTCCTAAACTAGGACATTGCGTCTTCATGCAAGAGGCATTTCCATTGCAAGAGTTGTAACATTCATCACTGCCTCCAGCGCAATTGTTGTTGATGCAGCTACTCCAGCTGGCATCCGCCTTCTCGTAGCACTTTGAAAGGCCGCTTGCATCAGCGCAGATGGAAGTATCGTCAAAGTAGCCGACTGATTCCGCGGCTATCAATCCAGACGAAATCAGAAAAGAAAGAAGCAATCTGGATGTGAGAGACATCGTCGCATGAAAGTCAAAAACAGACAAAAGAAAGTGACCTACGCTCGCGGCGCCTGTGAGGCTAAAAGCCCTTTTAAGGGTCTATGGCTTGAAACCACGCCTGCTCGGGTCTAGCCGAAGGGGTCCAAGATCACATTGCTAGTGCTTACCCTGTCTTTTGCCCGGTCGAATGGGAGGGCGTGCGCTGCGGTGGCTGTGTCTTGGCGCTTGGCGAGCCTACATCTCCGGGGGGAAATCCGGGAAGTACGCTCGTTTAAAATTTCCAACACTGGGAGAATGAGAAAATGCCAAGATGAACAAAACAAACAAACTGTTATCTTGGCGGATGTCTTCCAAGTTTGTCGTTTTCATTATCAGTCAGCTGTAGACACCATATTGTTACGGACCCACTTAGTCCGCACCGCAGAGGAAGGACTACGGACCAACCAATTCGGGACAGAAAGGACCCAAGAACGAGATCACGTGCAAAGGAGGAACCACAAGGCAGAATCACGGACCGCCAAGGAATCTCCTGCGCTCAAGGACTGACATCACGTGACCGTGACTCCCGCGTCGACTCCCTACGGAGGCAAGTTCGACGTACAATGCATCTCTTCCATTCCGACCAAGCAATGTGACAGGGTTTAGTGGTATCTACCTTTGGGTTAGATCGTATGTGCAAGTTTATTTACTTCTTCACCTGACATAACCACCCTGATCAGCTCGAGTAACCCCTATTAATAGATATTACAATGGCACAACAAAGATAGAGTTCACGCCAGAGATCGGATCGACCACCAACACATCAGTATGCTCAAATCTCCAAGGTCAAACATTCACTACAGAATTTCAATCTTTCTTTGCTATCACCGAAAGAGGCCCTTACAATGTCGGCTCGAATCCAGTAAACGCGCTTTTGGCTCTATGGAACTCTGGCACAGCCTTTCCATCGCTTTTAAATATTTCCGATACGTCTCCATGGCCGTCATCTGCCCTTCAACGGTATCTCGAGTCTGCTCCGTGAGTCATTCATATATTACAACTTATAGGAAGCTCGGTGTCTAAATCCTTCTAGCTGGGTGATCTGTGCGAAAAATAACACGACTCAAAGTGACTCACCGTACGATTTCGTCAAATGATATATTCAACTTGACGTTATCGCCCGACACCAATGGAGCTCCATATAATATGACAGGGACTATTGAGAACGCAGACAAGATGCTAGATACGTTCGAAATGGACTTAGAGTCGTGTAATACTGCTATTGAAACTAAGCAGAATTCCATGTCGCTAGTTGATCGCGACTGCTCTAATAATGCTGGTTGGAAAGGGCTGGACATATCCAGTAGTTGACCTACAATTCGACAGCCGAACCGCAAATCTCAATCTAGATGGATGTGCCGCTGGCCTTCCATATCGGATTTCCTATACTGAGGGTGGCCAAAATGTACAATTTGGCCCGGATGAGGTACAGGGAAAGATAAAGATTTCCTACTTCGGGGTCATCGATCCCTACCACTCGGATATCCTGGTCAATACCAGCGCGACGCCAACCTGGCTCAGAACGGTGGGATTTGGAAACAATTCCATGAATATCGGCTACGAAAATGGTGGGGCTTTGGGCTGGTATTGTCGATCCTGTTGGCAGACCACTGCACTTAGCTGCGTTATTTCCTTGACTTTGATATATCTATAATTCCTACGAAAAAAGTTTATGTCCTATATCTACTATTAAGGAAGTATAATAGCTAGGCGAGTAGAGGAGAATGATAGTATTAGGTAGAATAATCTAAGAATAGGCATTTTTCCGACGATAACCCGGACTAAGGATTCGACAACCTCCTCGAATGATGTGTTGACGTCGTTTGTGCGAGGAAGAAAACTGCAGAGGGACACTTTAGCTAGAGTAGGGAATCAAACAAAACAAAAACAGTCAGAATCCACGTGTGTCACCCACCCTGATATCAGAGTGACTGGCTGGTATGTCGCTTAAGCATACTTGATCGATAGTTCGGTGGTAAGAATCCTTTCGGGCGGCGCTGACCACGCATGATGTTCAGCTGGCGATTGCGCTATGTCATTGAGGGTGGCTCTACATGTTTTGTACACGAACTTCTCTTGCTGGGCATATCTACCCAGCAATGTTAGCATTTCTCGATCGGTGGACATTAGCTAAGATTCTCTCAATCTCAGAGTTGAGATGGATATTATATGAAAATGAAACCCACATGTAACATAGATGATGGTAGCATAATAGACATCGGGTTGAGTGATTATCTGCACTAAGCTACATCCGGCTTGTGGGGGATGTCCATTTAACAACCGCCCCCACACTTTCAGACCCCTGCATCTCACATGACGCGCTATACTCTTACATTCTTACAAGGTTGCCTTCCTCATCACGATCCTCGCAATATTTGCCACGCAACTGACATGTTGTACCACGAGACAGCGCTTACGATCTAACCGATACATGCTTCGAGTCTCTCCCCGATTTTATCGCACTGGAGATCCTGGAAGCTAGTGCGACCACTATGCTAGGTACTGGAAAGCCTTTGCGGCTACGGTCCGCATGCACGGCGTGCTATGCTGCCAAGGTACGTCAGTTAGCGAGTAGAGCGGTAGATATACATGCGCGAACGACCTGACCGTGATTCATGTCTCCAGGTCCGCTGCAGCGGCGAGAAGCATGGCTGTGATCGATGTCGCCGAAACGGCTTTACCTGCGAATACCAAGTGTCGATGGTAGGACGTGCGCCGAAAAAACGACGGACGAAAGCGGATGACGAGATCCTACCCTTGCCTCAGGAATCACGAGTCACACCTAGCGCGAATTTATATCAATCGGCCCAGGAAAGCGGGTCTTTCTCCCAGCCAGAGGCCAGCATGTCCATGCTAGAGGGTCATTTACCCGCCTTGAATAATTCAATGGGGGGGTTCGCGATGGGGGATTATCCAGCCATATCTACTGAAGCAGAGATCAATAGTTACTTGCAGAATCTATTAAGTGAATACCCAGACCTGCCGCTGATTTCGCCTGGTGCGACCGATCCTTTTTGGCTGTCAACAGGAAACGTGGTGCTCGATCAACCTTCCGATATGCATAAGACCTCCAATTCTGATGGCGCATCTGCAACGACTGGCCCACGACAACCATCTGTGCCTAGCTCACACACGTCAGCAACGTCAGTTATGTCAAATAAAAACACACCGAGTTCCGTGGGCCCCTTGCAGACGGCGGAATCCGTGCGGTCCCGATTAGCGGAACATACTGATACAAGGATCCCGTCGATTTATCGTGATCAGTCTATGGTGTCGCAGTACCCGCATGCCGCCGCTCTGATGAGGATAATCGAGTACTTGGAAGAGCAGCTCCAGATCGCCCGAGTCCCGATCGATCAAGCGATGCGGCTGAACCGGCAGGCAATGACCAAGGTACGGGAAGTGAGCAACACCGACGAGTTTCGACGATGCCAGAGTTGTCCGCTTTTGGCGGCCACCGTCATGGATCTAGTCGTGGGGCTATATGAACTCGTGATCCTCTCCATCCAGCGGCCTCGTGGTGAGGGCGACGCCATTTCCTCGCCAGATCAGAACAATCTGCCCTTAGGACAAAGCCCACTTCAACAGGGAACAGGAACTGTAGAGATGACAAGTGACGGGTCGAGTCCCGGATCGGCCATCAGCGGCGTGTCAGAGCCCCCTCTTTTTCAGTTTGGATGTCTAGAGTTCGATCCGGATGAGCAGGTGATGTTCCGGGCTGCAATGGTACGGCGTGATTTGCGTCGGTGTGTCGAAACGATTCAGTTTTGCATTCAAGAAATCATCGAGCGACAGAAGCTGGCCACGAACTCGCGCGACAGTCCTATCAGTCGTGGAATATCTCAAGCGAGGGGGCCGTCCAGTAACGTGCACACCCAGTGGTACCAAGAGATGGCATATCGGGCCAAGGAGCTTCTGTCCGCCCTTCCTGCTCAGTGCGGCCATCATTGAAGAACAGATTGGATCTATCATTGTCAGACAAAGGTGGTGGGAAAAGGCAACAGTTTTAGACAGGAAAAGGATAATATTGCCACGAGTTTATATGACACCGAAAAACTCAATGATTGTCAAACTCTGAAGTGGAGATTTACCGGCGTGTAATAGCGTGTAATAGTATAGCTATATCACTATCATGCCAATCTTTGAGCTGGTAAAAAGGGTAAAATTACTATAATCACAGAATAAGAGAACCGAATAAAGAACATTAAGTCAAGATTACCAAGTCCAACGCTCAGGTATGTAAGGTGGTATCTCCTATCCAAATAAATTTTACTCGTGCGGGATGGGTATAACATCCTCCTGAATTAGTATTTTACATCTCAAGCCGCATGATGGTAACATCCCACTCCTAGGTAGAGTGCGTCCTTACAGCTATAGTAATGAGGGAATAATATGATGACTAGAATTTTCTTCGGCCTATTCACGGTTGTTGAGTAAGCATGTCGGCAATGCCCCATAGTAATTGGCGGACCGATACTAGCGCTCCGAAGGGCTGGGCTGCAGATCGGACGCCGAACAGTCGACTAGCAAGGACGCAGCATGGGGTCGTATTTATGCATAAATAAATCATCTGACTAGGGTCCCTTCATTCAGCGGAGGTATACATATATGTGGAAAGTCTTTTCTTTGATTCTTGCACAACTTTGCATTCTGACATTGTTTTTGTGATCCCCGCCGAGATGTGGTATGAGTACGTGGGCGAGATCATACCTATGAAGGTACTGCTTCTTGCCGGCCTTCTTGGAATTCTGGTACGCCAAATCACCACCTGCCTCGTGCCCCATGATCCTGCTTTCTCTCTATTTTTTTTTTCGCTTGTCATACTTTGTTTGGTTATTCCCCTCTTTGGTCCTTCGGAAAGCTCAGCGTCCGAGTAATGCTAAACGCACTCGTCCAAAAACGATCTAGATTACTTTTCTTGCTCTCTCTGCACGCGATGAATCATCCAAACATATAAAGAACGGCCAGTCCATGATCGAAACCGCTCCATTTGGGATGCCATTTGTCGGCCACGTATGGGCCTTTCTATGGAATCCTGATAGCTTCCTGCGGTACAGCCGGTATGTTACGGAAGGGCAGAAAGTCAAAGGCAAGAATTAAGGTTAATTTAACTACAGCGAGAGAGCTATGCACGGCATCTTCAATCTCAAGATGTTCGGCGTTGACACCCGCATAATTCACAATCCATCACTAATGAAATCCTTCTTTGCGCTGCCGGGCTCCGTCATTGAGCACAAGACCATGGGATCGAACATCATAACCAAAATCTTCAGCTTTCCATCAGCCGAAGTACCTCAGATGATAAACCATTTCGATGAGCTGATGAATACCTTTGTCACTCAGCTGATGAAAGGCCCAGGCTTCGAACGGTCGTGGAAAAGACTCTTGACCGACATTGAAGAAACAGTACCGTCAATTGTCAGGCCCCCTTCCGGTCCCGAGGATCTTCGGGGTTGGGAGCGATCCGCCAATGTCGAGGTTCAACCCGACGGGACTATCGAAGCCGATCTTTTCCCTCTCGTCCGGAACTGTGTGGGCTTGTTAAGCTCAACAGAGATGATGGGGCATGCTTTTGTCGATTCTCATCCTGATTTCCTGGAGGATGTTTGGCAGGTAGATGCAAATATAATGGGGTTTGTTTTTGGATACCCAGGCTGGCTGCCATCGATTGCGAAAGCGCGAAAATCCCGGGCCCGCATCGTGGAGAAGCTAATGGCGTGGCATGCGGACATGGAAGCCGTTGGGCCGGTGGCCAACTCGGATGCCGAGTCGGGGCCATTTTCGGACGTTAGCGACTTGATGAAACAACGACAAAAAATCTGGTCTGCCCGAGGATTCTCGATGCAAGCTCGTGCTGCCGTGGATCTGTCGATATTGTGGGCGTAAGTAATCTGCTTCTTGATCCCTCCTGTCTTGGGTGTTATTGTGTGAATGCTCATAAATGTGACGAGGGCAGACTCAATGCAAACTCCAACTCCACAGTTTACTGGATGTTGCGAAACATCTATGCTACCCCTGGCTTGTTAGAGAACATCCGTCAGGAGATTGCCCCCGCCTGTTTAATCAATGACAACGAGTTGCAGATCGACTGGAAGAGACTTCACAACAGTAGTCCTCTTTTCAAGTCTTGTTATTTCGAGTCTCTCCGCCTTGACTCGGCCCCTTGGTCATTCAAGCGCCTCCAAAAAGACTGTACTGTGCAGGAAATGGGGGAGGATGCGCGGTCACCCGAAGCAAAAGGCAAGCCAACAGTATTTCCCATGAAAAAGGGAGATGCCGTGCTTGTCCCTGCTGATCTGCATCATACCGATTCGCGATACTTTCGCAACCCATCTGAGTTCATACCAGAGCGTTTCTTCGTGGAAAAAGGCGACGGTCTTGTTCATTCGGACATCAAGACTATCAGGCCGTATGGTGGAGGAGCAACAATGTGCAAAGGGCGATTTTTAGCAGAGCGCGAAGTTTTGGCGTTTGTGGCTGCCATGCTCATTTGTTGGGATTTAGAACCTGTCAAGGGAAGCTCATGGGATATGGATGGGAGAACAAAGACAAGTGGTGTCTGCAGCCCGAAGGATAAGTTGAGAGTTAGTCTTAAAAGAAGAGTCACCTAGTGGGCTTTTCCTGAATTCTGCCCTAATCAAGACATAAATTTCCAAGAAGGTCTATTCAATTAATCGTTTGGATAAGTAAGTAGTACAATTTAGTTATACTGATTACTTAAGGATACTCCTTTCAGGTCATTTACCCTTCATCTACCTTCCAAGGTTCGTCTCTTGAGGATTCGAAGACAGGCCATGTGACTAACTTAGTTGATGAATCCAAATTTGGCAAATCCAATTCAGTCATTCGTGGCAAGTACACGGCGAAACTGCACAAGGCCACTTGTGACTCTGATCTACGGCAATCTTATGCAAACATTGATTTTCAAATGTTTTTTATCTTTCGTTCTGTGTAGATAACAATGGAAGACTGCGCACCCTAAAGATGTAGACTGATAAGGCAAAACTTGGTATTCAAGACATGCTAAAGCTTAGTTGAACGGGCCCAAAACAACTGCATCTCCCCACTCCGCGCACCAGGAACGGGCGATAGTCTATCTGCCAACACAAACTTTGACTCTCCACATCCAGCTTGTTTGAAAAGAGAGAATATCTGGTCCTTTGAAAAGCTGTCATGGGAGATGGTATGCGCTGCAGGATGCTTTGGGTTGATTGTCTCATCAACGTGGTGTTGGTGGTGGTGATGATGATGATGGTGATTGTTCTCTGAAGAGGTTTGGCCTGTCGCCATCACAGGTTGCTTCACAGTACCGTTCAGCGAATCACGCGTCGCCCAGTCGATGATTAGAAGAACACCGCCCGGTCGCAATCGTTCGGCTAGACGCTTAGTAGCCAAGTCGATATCCTCAACATGGTGCAATGCCATACAGATAGCCACTAGATCAAACCCATTGAGCTCGTCCTCACTCAGTGGAGGCGTCGTGGGTTTGACCGTGGGGGCCAAGAGGTCACCCTGGATGGCTATCATGCGCGACTCGTCAAGGCCTAGATCTGCTGCAGTCGCGCGATACTTGTCTAGCATGCCATCCGACAAGTCCACGCCAATGCATTTGGAGAAATGAGGGTGCAGGGACTTTGGAACGACTTGAGTCAGTATTATATACAATCTTTCCGATAAGCTTGATCCAGAACTTACCCGTGAAACAATGCCATTTCCGCAAGCATAATCCATCAACTTGGTCTGTCCAGAATTTTCGGCGTCAGAGGTTTGAATACCTATCCACTCCGCGTTACCCTTCAAGAATTCAGAAATCTGGGCCTGCAGATCGTGCACCCATTTGTCCTTGAAGACAAGCTTTGAGGCATCACTAGACCCAGTCCACAGTCAGCATTCCTGTCCTCATATGTAATAATAGTCTGACTCACTTCCAATAATCCTGGTTCTTATCTGCAAGCGTTTTGTCCATCGTCGATGTGGTAGGCAAGTTGAAGCTATCTGTGAGTGTGGTTCGATACCGAAGAAAGAAAGCGAATATAGCCACAAGTGCAGCTGCGTGATATCTCCAGGGGTGCATTGGTGAAAATAAATTGCAGCGGCTAGAACGAAGTATTTAGGTGATGCAATTGACCCGGAACCAGCTTAACTCTTGATTGATTACAAAACAGAACGGAGGCCAGAGGATGATCCACCATTCCGGAATGGTGCTCGGAGTGGGGCGCAGGGCAAAGACCTTATTGGCCGATAGCGACGGACCGAAGCAACGGGCCGATAGAGTAGCGGGACGCAGATCATCTTATTGTTTATTATTCAGCCAAGTCAAAGGACCGTGCCACAATTCAGATTTGTCAGGGCTTGTTGCAGAGTCCCGAAGGGCCCATTGCGCAAGCCTAATACCCCTTAAGGTCAAGGGGATCTGTACTTATTCCCTTCAGTTGATACAGGCTTACAGCTTCAGAATTTGCAACAGAAACCAGAGACCGGTTTTTATCATCATGGCAGACAACGCCTCCTCGGACCTGCCTGGCCCCGGCCGGCTAGCACTTACAATGTTTGCTCTTTTCATGGGCATGTTCACTGCCAACCTCGACTCGACGATTCTCGCCACCGCTATCCCTTATATCACCAACGAATTTCATAGTATCGACGATATTGGTTGGTACGGTTCGGCCACATTCTTGACATTTGCTGCCTTCCAAACGACCTGGGGGAAATTTTTCAAATACTTCAATCTAAAATGGTCCTACCTTTTCGCCTTGTTCATTTTTGAACTGGGTAGTCTTATTTGTGCTGTTGCTCCTAACAGTGTGGCTTTGATTGTCGGCCGCGCGATTGCTGGCATCGGAGGCGCAGGTCTCTGTACGGGTACCTTTGTCATCATTGGATATACCGTCACCCCGGAGCGTCAGCCTACTTTTATGGGTGTCATGGGGGCTACCTACGCTTTGGCATCGTTTGTCGGGCCTCTGGTGGGAGGAGCGTTCACCGAGAAAGTCACTTGGCGCTGGTGTTTCTACCTTAACTTACCTATTGGTGGTCTGGCTGCGTTCATTATTGTCTTCTTTTTCAAGACTCCCAAGGGAGCAAAGCCGATTGAAGCCACATGGAGGGAAAAGATTCTCCAATTAGATCCAAGTGGCTGTGTTCTCATTATCGGTGCCGTTGTCTGCTACCTCCTGGCTTTACAGTGGGGTGGTATGCAGAAGAACTGGTCCAACAGCAGCGTGATTGGCACTTTGATTGGATTTATCCTGATCTTCATCGCATTTGGCTTCAATGAATGGTGGCTTGGAGAGCGTGCCTCCATCGTGCCTCGCCTGTTGCGAAATCGCCGAATCTTTGCCAACTGCGCTGTCGTCTTCTTCAACTCTGGCGGATTCTTCATTCTGATCTATTATCTCCCTATCTACTTCCAATCCATCCGAAATGCGTCTCCCATTGGCTCCGGTGTGCGGAATCTACCCTTCCTCATCGGCGGAATCTTCTCCATGATTTCTGGTGTCATCGTCAGTGCTACCCAGAGATTTGTTCCGTTTATGGCAGTCAGCGCAGCTCTCAGCGCGGTCGGAGGAGGCCTTATCTATACAATCACCCAGGATACCTCGACTGGGAAGTGGGTCGGTTATCAGATTCTGGCTGGTGCGTCGACCGGATTTATTTCGCAAATTCCCATCATGGCGAACACGGCGTGTGTGGATATGGCCGACATGAGCACCGTCTCCGCGATGACACTCTTCTTCCAGCTCCTTGGCGGCTCATTCTCTGTTTCTGCTGCGCAATCTGTCTTCGGCAATACGCTTTTGCGTAGAATACAGGTTACTGCGCCTGAAATATCTCCATCCCTTGTTCTATCAACTGGTGCGTCCTCGCTGAGGGACAGCTTCCCGGCATCAGCAATGCCAGGGATTATGGCCGCATATATGGATGGAATCAAGGGTGCCTTTGCAGTCGCAACAGCCATGCTAGCCATTAGCTTCCCATTTGCTCTTCTACCCAAATGGGAGAAATTGAGACCAGAGACGCAGGCATTGAGTAGTCCGAATGTAGCTGATGAAAAAGCTCAAAGCCATTTGGACTCAGAAACTGACAGCAGGTCCAATGTTTAATATTAATAACTTATCTGTTACTATTTTGATTTGATCGCTTGTGATTGCGAGGGTGGCTGTCAGCATCTAGCAACCATCCAAGATTGACTTGAAAGACTTTTTGTGGATTAATGGATATCGAATACCAAGGCTTGTACGGAGGACTCTTCTCTATTGTTGAGAAGATACATGTTTTTTATTCTGTATTTGAAATTTCAGTTAGATCATTAATGCTGCCTATACCAAATTGAGATGCGTTTGACCCTATTTTGTTATGTCTGATACCAATCGATGTACGTGTCAAATTATTGTTCAAAATAGGTTTCTATTGAATTTTGTATTAGTGTCCACGCTCCGCGGAGAAAAAGAGAGATATATAAAAGGAGAGAATGAGCTTGTAAGGCCATACCCAGAAGGTTTTTGTTCTTCCAATCCCGTCGCTTAGAAGGTTTTCCATTCGAGTTGTTCAATACGCCATTTGATGGAATTTGAAAAAGGCCAGAGTTGTTGAAAGATAAGACAAGCTCGAAAATAATATCTCCGTATTCCAATATCTAAATCTCAATCTTCTCATCCGGCAGGTTAGGAACGCAAATCAGGTTCATCTGCGGATGGGTAATCCACGTCTCCTCATCACGCCCCCAACTCTTACCCACCAATTCTTTAGGTAGATGCAATTCCCACTTGTCAATCAACTCTAAAATCAAAGCACGAATGATTATATCTGCCACATAACGTCCCATGCATTGCCGTGGTCCAAACCCGAATCTCCAAAAGTTGTAGCGGGCGTCAGTGCTATTTACTGTCTGAAATCGATTAGGTCGATATTCCGTTGCATCAGGGCCCCAGAAGCCATTTCTGATGTTGAGCGAGTATGAATCAACCACGAAGTTGGTGCCAGCTGGAATGACGTACCCATCGATTATTCGGTCGGTGGGAGCTGATTGCGGTACCGAAAAGGCAGCCAGAGGTTTCAGACGCGAGGACTCGGAAATGCAAGCAGATAGAAAAGTGGTGGAGCTGAGAAGATATTGCTGCTCATTGTTCTCTCGGCGTGCTTGCTTAATCTCTTCTCGTAGCTGGCTCTGCACTTGCTGGTCAGATGCCAGAAAGACAAGGTTCCAAGACAGGCCCCCCATTGTCACGTCGAGATTGGCATACAGCGCCTCGTCCATAGTCTGATAAACATGCTCTTCGTCAACAACTCCCTTGTGGAGGGCATCGTACAGTTGGAATATTGGGGTTTCAGTCAGGGACAGATCACAGGCCCGTTGGTACGCCATATGATTGAACATCTTCCATTTGGCTTGAAATTCGCTTAGCGTCTGGTTGGCTTTTGTTGGCAAAAATCTGGAAATCTCGAAACGGCTGAGGCCCCCTTGGATGATGTGGGTGAATAGTCTTTCATGAATAGGGGCCAGGTATTGCAGTTCTTTTTCCATTTCTGGAGACAATCGACCATAGATTACGTCTGCGACAGTGAAGAAGGGAAGCATCTTGAGGTCATGAACTGGGTCGATGAAACCGTCGTTCAGTTTTCCTCTTCTTTCGAGGTTCCGAAAATAGTCTTTCACGCGGATTTGGATCAAGTCCACATGACTAGTGACATTAATGCGTGAAAAGGCCGTGCCACTCACAGCTCGCAGGTCCTTCCACTCCTGGCCACTGACAAGCCCCAGACATTTGCCTAGTACTCGACCCATGAGGTATCCCGAATTATTGTTGACAGCTTTGAAGTGCCTATCGGAATCTTTGAACACAACCTTGATATGTTCAGGCTTTGTCAAGACGCTGTTTCCTTGGTGAGTCAAATATGCCATGTAATAAGCTGAAGAAAGAAGAATGGAAGAAATGTGACAAACATTTCGGGCTTCATCCCAGACCAGATTCGATAAATGCTACCATATCGGCTTCCCCATTGCTCACTATTTTCGATGCCATCTAGGAACTTTCCTATGTCGCCTTGCCCATTCGGCCAGATAAATGGACAGGATGGAAGAGCTGTCCCTCTTTCCAGATGGCGAATTGGATATTTCTTTAGGAGAAGCCACTATTTGAATTTTAGCCTGATACTCTGATATGATCACGATCAGAAGGTGAAATACCTGAACCACGCCTGATATGGCACGATTGCAGATTTTACTGCCGGCTGCTAATCCCGAAACGATGAGGAAAATCCCGGCTATGATGATCAATAGTCCCATTGTATCACAATTACGGATCCAGTTAATAGTTGAAAAGGGTGCTTACTACCTTCACAAGTGAACGGAATCACTCAAATACAAAAGGATTTCGCCATATAGTTAAGGCACCCCTTTTTGGGGTGAACCGACAGGCTTCGGCATCCGAAATTCGGCCCGTCTGCATTTGGAGATGGATTGAATCCAGCAAATGTCAACAGGTCAGCTTAGTAGCCAATAAGGTACGAATGATGGTACGGGGCATTTTGCCGTGAATTGCAGATCAATTTTTATAAATGGCACTGTTCAAAAGAATTTGAAGGAACAAGCGGACGAAACTAGCAAGATTATCCATCTATACCTATGGAACACTGAATTCGTGGTGTGGGCCTTGCCGGGTTCAAGAAGGCTTCGAATTGGAATTTTCAATATAAACTTGGAAGGTCCAAATTTAGAATTCATTCATCAAGCTCACATTCCGCTGAGTAGCCTGAGCATAACCTATAGAGAAAGATGACGCATTCCAAAGACCAGTCACAGAACGGATTATGGTCGCAAAGGAAGCCACTGAATCGTGAACTTTATCCAATGAAAATTCTAGGGGGAATATCTCAAGGTAATAAGATGCAAATAATGTGCTTGTGGTGTGAAGTTTTAGAATGAGACGCCAGATTTTACAGCAAATGATCACTATAGGTGAAGTTTTAAATTAAAAGGCAGGAGTGCCATGTCTAAAAATCCTCTTTAATTTCAATACAAAGCCCCAGTGCTATTCATCATAGTCAAAGACCCATCCGACACGCTATCTCAGACCAATGGTCTCATATCAATCGCGCATGGCCACGCATTTCTCAGATGATAAATATTAGAAATTTCCCACCCGGTCCGCTTGGCAAGCCTCTGCCAGTCCGCCATTGTTCGCTCTAAGCCGTTGGCTGTGATCATCATATTCATATCAGCATACCGGGAAAGCCGCGAGCTACGCGTATAGCCCAATATGGATTCAAGAACCACTAGCCGACTCTCTGGCCCTAGTATAATCGCGTTCCGAATGTTTTCAAGAATTTTCACCGCCTCATCGTCTTTCCAATCATGCAGACACCACTTGAGCGTGTACACCTTACACGGGGGGATGTACGAAAAGAAGTCCCCTGCGATGAGGTTTGCCGCTGGGACACGTGGTCCCAGGTCGCAGAACTCCCCTTCTGGAGAATGAAAGGCGGGCTTGATATGTTCGATCACTGCAGGAAGATCATATACACCCCCGATCATTTGTTGGTGTTCCCGAAGCAGAAGTGCCACCAGCGCACCCCCACCACCGCCGATGTCGATCACTGTCTCATTCGCAACTTCATCCCACGGATAGTCTGCCAAAATTCCCGGTGCTTGAGCAGAAGCGCCAGCGCCAAGGGTTCGGTGCAGCTGTGGTAGCCAGCCCTGTCTCTGGAAGTAGGTGAACATGTTCTCATCGGTGTTGAAGTTTATCTGAGCGGGCCAGCGATTTTCTCCTTCTTTTAGAGAATCCGGAATGCCGCGTGCCATATCGTAGAATTGATTTCCGTAGAGAGTGACCCAGTTTCGCCACTGTGTCCAGTGATTGGACAACAGCAACGTCGAGGTATGATTATTGCTGAAGCGACCGGTTAATTCCTCGTAGCTGAATATGCCATTGCAACACAAGACGCGCAGAACTTGTTCAAGACGGTCTGCACGAGCACCGCAAGCTTTGGCGAGGTCTTCGATGGTCATGGGTCCGTTGGCCTCTAGTTTGTCTGCTATGTCGAGATTCACTGCGCCGAGTAGACATTTCGCATGAACGTAGCCTGTCATCCACCCTTGTCAGCATATATACTTCACACCAATTCAACGCTCTCGCGCCTGGGTCCTGATCATACCGAGGAAGTGGTCTGCGAGAATCAGGTGGCCCGGTTCGAGCAACTGCTCCACTTCATGAAGAAGGTCAATTGACTGATTGGCCAGTGCTACACTACTGGCATTGGGCAGAACTCCTGGCTCATGATTGTGGAGTGATTCATGCAGCTGTTGACGGATTTTGGCGCTTTTAAGAAGCTCTACTGTCTTCTCCAAGTGCGTATTCAACAACGACAAAGTCTCTTCCATTTTTTCCAAATGCAAAAATAGAGATAGCTGTTTCTTTTTTCAAGTACTGGGAGTGGCGCGTTTTAGGATGGTTAGATTCATCGAAGAAGTCGGGAAAGGCTCTAAATAAAATCATCCTCAAAGTCGCATCACTCGGTATCCGTAAACCAACAATTCATAATGTTGAGTATCTACGGAAGTGTGTGGCGGCTTGCTATCCGTCTCGGTGACCGATCATTTTCGGCATTGTTTCCAGTGTTGCTTCGGACCCCGGTGATAAGCCACCTGCTTTGGAGCCCGTTACCAATATTGAAAGTAAGCTCTAAGTAGAACTTGGAATTTCAAATTCAGTAGCCTTTGCTTTGCAAGGCTGTAGATAATGTAGCTCTATAGATGATGATACGGAACATTTCCTGGTAGACCCTGGTAGCTTTAGCCAAAACGACCTGAATCACATGAAAATATACACAAAGTTGCCGCGTCTCCTCTAAACGATAATTATTATTTAGCTTCTGTAATACGGCGGACATAGAACAGTTACCGCTCCTATTTATTTATAATACCATTGTTAAGTATCCAAGAGCTAGTTCAGTTGCATCACATGCTTCCATTCTACGAGACTAGCATGTATCCCGGTGTAGCAAGCATCGCTAGTGATATGATTTGTGAATTTTGGACACCTGGGCAGAACGATTAGCATGCGTGAAAGGTCCTCAAGAATACAGAAGGACTTGACTCGAGTTAATAGTATTTGCTAAGACTTTGATTGTCCGGATGTCACATTGGGAGCAAGCCGCTCGGATCCTGTAGTCGACCTTTCTACTGGAAATCGGTCTCTCCGTAAATAATGACATGGGGAAAGCTATGAAATTTCCTCAAATTTCTAAAAAAAAAAATAATAGCAATCTATAGAAGAAAGCACTCTGTATAAAGCAAACCGATTTAGACACGGCATTCAGTCAATGAACTATCACATCCCTGAGGCACAACCTTCATGCATTGCTAAGCTCTTCGAGTCTCATTCCAAAAACCCTCTTTGAGTCCAATTGACCGGGTGTTTCAGGAGTGATATCCATAGCTTCTTTCAACTTTGCTTTAATCTGCCCCCATTCGCTTCCACGTGAGAGTAGGTCCAGTGCAGTTCCGAACAAGGATTCTGTTCTGTTGATCTCCTGTTGCGAGAATAATGCATCATCGTACTCGATCCTTAGTATAAGGTCATCCTCCGAAATGGCGGAAATTTCAAACAGGAGTTTGAATTTGGAACCCTGTGCCCAAGTATATAATGGCTGGGTCCCATCCAAGGGAACCTTCAAAGAGCTCTGATGGCTGTGGAAGGTCACCATCACATCGAAAAGTGGATGATTGGGGAATTCAGTTGTGCTATCAAACCGGCGCCATAGCTGCGTCCAGGGTACGGGATGGGCCAGGACTGCTTGGCTGGACTGCCGGATGGCCTGCAGAAATGACATGGTTGACATTGATGCTTTGTCAGCCGGACTCTGCACGCGGATCCCGAGAGGCTCTAGGAACAAACCGATGGTTTCCATATCATCCATGGATGAGCGATTGAGATGCGGAGCCCCCAGAACAACATCAATTTCGTCTGAACCCGGCTGTAGAGCGAGTGCTACTGCAGCCAGAGACAATTGATGTGGTGTTATACCATTCCGACTTGTGAAAGCGCTAATATTCCGTGCCATGTCCCGCGGCATCCGCGTGACGTAACTAGTACCGTGATAGTTGACTCGATCTGAGGTAAACCTCGGAAGAAGAGGAAATTCAACGGGGTGGGTGTTATCGAGATATTCGGCCCAGAATTCAATGTTCTCTTGGGACCCCTCCTCAGACCAGACATGAGAGTCGATATAAGATGGATCAACATGGAATGCCGGTTTACCATCAGCAATACTTGCTACTTCGTCGAGCAGGAGCTGCATTGTTGTGAGATCACAGATTGTATGGGTTGCAGTAATCAAAATGACATCAGGCGAGGACAGGACTCGAACAGGATATTCTTTGTCGAGACGAAAGGGTCGATTGACTTCCTTCCACAGGTTGAGTGAGCGGACAAGCTGCACTTGAGGAGGATATTCAAACATCTCTCTGTGAAAGCATCCAGGGCGACGTTGGATATAGCGTGATCGTAGGATTTGATGTCTCGCCAGGACCTGATCCCAGGCCTTGATTAACTGCGTCCGCTTTTGGAGGCTTTCAACCTGATAGGCAAATGAGACGTTGAACGCTGAAGTTCCCCAGTCCAAGCCATACTTGGTGAGCCATTCTGTCTCCATGGGAGAAAGCTGGGTACAGCCAAATCTTTTTTTAATAACCTGCATAGAGAAGTCGTTCTTTTTAGTCTTGCCGGGCAGCCCGCTAAGTGATATCTTTTCGATCTCTTGAGCCAGATCACGCAACGTCGCTGCTTCGATCACCGTTCGAGGGGGCACAGAACAGTTGAATACAGCACTTAAGCGACTAGCCAAGCGCAATTGCAGAATGGAATGGCCACCAAGGTCGATAAAGCTAGAGTCCGGCGAGATTTTCACGGGGCTTCGGATCTCCAGCAGCTCGATCCAGATGCAGGAGACTTTTTGCTCACACACCGTCAAGCTTTCCGAGGTGATGGTTTTGCTGTCATCAATCATGGCTATGATCTGTCGGTAATCGCGCTTACCCGCCCCGGTCATCGGGAATTGGTCAACTGCAACAACACACTTTGGAATCATGTGCACTGGAAGAATGCTAGCCAGCCGAGGGCGTATGTCGGCCATACATAGAGTGCTGGGCTGCAACATAGCGACAAGATGGTCATCCCGGCGTGCTACTGCGGCGGCAGACACTCCTGGCAGTCTCGCTATGCGGGTTTCCAGGTCGTCAAGATCTAGACGAAACCCACGTAGTTTGATCTGCCTGTCGTTTCGACCAAGGCATACCAGATCTCCGGCCTCGTTCCAGTACCCTAGATCTCCAGTTGCATACATGCGTTCTCCAAGACCTGGACAGATACTGTCTTCAAAGAACCGCTCGCGCGTTGCGTCCGGTCGGTTCAGATAGCCATTGGACACTTGGACGCCCGCTAGGTATATTTCTCCAATCACACCAGGAAGGATGAGCAGTCGCTTTCGATTGAGCACATAAATTCGCGTCGTTGGATTCGGATTTCCAATGGTCACTGCCTTCCCGGGCATAAGTCTAGCGATGGTCGCACCGCAAGTAGCTTCGGTTGGCCCGTACATATTGAACATCTGCTTGTTTTCTGCCCACTGGTCGTTGACATATTGCGGCACGGGCTCACCTACAAGGTAAACCTTGAAGTTTCTAATCAGTATCGTGCAGCAGAGGATAGTCAAACGAGATATTGGGTACTCACATTTTTCAGTGTTGGGAAGTCCTCCGGTTTCAGAATCTTGGCGACAGATGGGGTTAGAATCGCCGAGTCCACTCGCTGTAGATGGTCAAAAGGACCTGCGGAGTCAGGAAGTACCAATGTAGCACCATAGCTAAGGGCAGAGAAGAGTTCGTGAATGGATCCGTCAAACGAGACTGACATCAGCTGGGCGATTTTCTTTCCAGGCCCGGCAAATAACCGCACTTCCAGGTCTCGCTGGAAAGCAACTAGGCCACGGTGAGTGCAGATGACGCCCTTTGGCTTACCCGTGGAGCCAGAAGTGAAGCACAGATAGGCTGCAGCGGCGGGTGTGGGAACTAATCGCGGAGATGACACTGAGGGTTCTTCTTGGACCTGGTTTAATTCCTCCGAGGCAAGGACTCTTTCTATTGTGATCATTTCCTCGCAAGCCTCGGGCTTGCAAACAAGACTGGACACATTTGGGACAAGGAAAATTCGACTGGTGGAAGATTCAAACATCGAAGACCGCAACTCTGGAGTCAGGTTCTGGTTCAAAGGACAATAGATCGCCTTTGCCTTCAAGATTCCATAGATAGCGACTATCCAGTTCATAGATTGATCTGCATGGACACACACGATCTCTCCCTCACGGATCTTGATGATGTCTTTAAGATACCGGGCCAGCCGGGTACTATTTTCATCCAGCTCTTGATAGCTCATAGAGAGTTCAGCATGTTCCAACGCAGTTCCCGTCAGATTGTTTTCTGTTGCATGCTCAAACAGGGTGACCAAGTCATCATGGATCGATGTTTCGGTCGTCAGCCCAGAATGGCAGTTCCCGTAGTCCATCAGCCGTTGGCGGAATGATGTTCCCATCAGATCTTCCAGACACATTCCAACGGTGTATGACGGCCAGCAAAGAGATCTAAGCGCATTCGAATACTGCTGGCCCAGAAGCTTGGCTTGTTCAGCGCTGTAATGAGTATTGAGGTAGTGGATGTGGATCTCTCCGTCCGGTGCCACCATGATACTCAACGGAATATCGCTATTGATCACTGTTCGGGTTTTCTGGTGGGGGCATGAGCCTACAAGCTCAGCGCTCATAACGCTTTCATATTGCATCGCGACGGCAGACGAGAAATCACGGCGGTAGCCGTGTTCAGGTATGGTCCAGTGAAAGGAAGCTAGTTCGAGAAGCTGCGAGAACACCTCAAGTAACAGTTGAGAACTCATAGTCTGGCTCTCCAGAGAGACATGCAGTGGCAGTGTATTGACCAACGGCCCTACTGTCTCATGAACGCCCGGCAGGTCAAGGTTCCGTCCTGACACGACGGTGCCGAAAGTCACTGTGTCCGAGTTACTGAGCTGGGACAGAACTAGCGCCCATGCTGCCATGTAAATCGAAGCGGTTGTAACCCCGAGCTCTTTGGCATAACTGTGGAGCCGTGTCTGAGGGGTATGTGGTGTGACACTGTGAAGAATCGAGCGACTTTTCCCACATATGCCGCTCGGCGGGGGTAAGAGAATGTCACCAGTAGCAGTGGGGAAACGCTGTTCTTGTTTCTCCCAGAATTCCCGCCCCTGAATCTTCATTGTCTGTTGAAGTTGCTGAAGATGGCCGGAAAGTAACGAGAATGAAGGCCCTGGTTGGACTGGAAGCCCTCGAGCGACGTTTTCGACCTTTTCCAGTAGAATCCCCATGGAAAATCCATCCACTAGAGCATGATGAACAGACCAAATGAGACATGCGACTTGTGGTTGAGCGCCAAGGGGTTCTTGAACCACCACTCTGAAGCGAAAGCCGACCTCAGTCAACGTAGGCATTTCCTCAAGGATGGACAGATATTCTTCCTTTGAACTGACGATGACCTCCTCCCACTCAAATACAGGCTTTTCCGTGTCGATAAGATAGCCTATACCGTCTTCCAATCTGAAGTTGGTCCGGAAGATTGGCTCCGCCTCCAGCACCGTCTTCCAGGCCTGCTTGAGAAGCGGTATCCGCTCTGGAACACATGGTTGCTGATGCTGAATGATGTTCGTTCCCGGTCGCGCTTCACTTCCATTGATGAAAGTCAGTTGCATATCCGTGACAGGGTATTTTCCTGGTTTTTGTATGTAACTGTGATTTCTGGAAGGTGTAATGCTCAAGGATGTTGATTGGCTGTTGATAGTATCATCGCTTGGCTGTAAAGAGGCTGCGTGGACGATATCGGTAATTGAGAAAGACCTCATAATATCTTGGACTGAGAGGATAATGCCCGACTTTTTGCATGCCTGCGATAAAGTCACCGCATCTATGGAGCTTCCACCCTGAGCCACAAAGCTGCAGGTGTGGCTGAGCTCTGTCGGATGGACATGGAGTAGACTTGAGATAAGTTGTAGCACAACTGCCTGTGTGGATATCATGATGACAAAACACTTTCTGCTAAACTTTTTAATTGTCACAAATATCCATTTGAGTCTATGGTACGCGAGGAAAGGGGTTTAATTGTGATATTATATCATACAATCAAAATGGGCCGAAAATCGGACGTCGCAGGCACACTGGGGAAGGCATCTGACCGTATACAAGAGTAAGAGAGAGCATTCGGCACCCGAAAGGATACCGTTGCCCGGAGTCCATGTGGCCATGTTTCAGATTCCCTCGTGGAAGGATCTGTCGGTGCCTATTTCCAGCTTTGATGTCTACTCGGGGACACATGGCATCCTATCGGTGCGATAAGCAAGCCGCTTACCCAGACTAAGCGGCAAATCTTGTAAAGTGGCCAATGGGGAGGCGCTCATGAGCATTTTGCCTCCACCAAAGTATATCCATATTACGTATGACAGGTAATAGAAGAAATATTGATGAGAAGAACACCCTGGAAATATACGCCCCTCTCTTGGGGCTCTATTTTCTCTCTTGATAGATCAAATAGTCGATTGAGCTGCGATGTTTGGAGAATCTTGCAAAGTCCATTGAAACAATTCGAAGGTCATTATTTCTATGAATACTTGAGTATACACTACAAAGAAGTGCTGGATAGTGTCTGATTCAGGTATTTCTATTACCTTTAAGGGTTGTATAGACTTGATCGTTCCTTTCGTGACAAATACCTTCAATCTGAGATCTATTGGTCTGCAAGGTTTTCCAGTTGATCAGCCCTGGGCTCACTGCTTGGATGCAATCGTCTCTATCCAGAACCCACCCTATCTCGCAATTTAACATTGGAAATACACTTCCATAAAACAGCCAGATACGGCGGGCCAGTGTAGGTACTCGCCTTTTCTTTACCTTTTCCTAGAACAAAAGAAAATGAGGAATCATGAAGTAAAATCTTGATATTTAATTACTGTAAACTTGTCAAGCAAGTGGACTCTACGGCCTAGTGACAATGTAATGCATTAATGAGCTCTTGAAACTTAGGCCAAGAAGTCTGTGCTGTGCTCTACGGAGCATCCAAGCGATCCTCTACCTTCCACAGCCGAATCCTTTCCACCGCTGTGAGAGCCGCTCCCTTGGCCAACTGGGCATAGTTCGTTTCGATATCCTTTGCCTCGGAGCTACCTGGCACCACGCTGTTCACGCGTAGCTCATACATGGCCGTCAAAAACAGTGACTCTTGTCCTTGCCCTGGGGCGCCCCCGTAAGATACCAACATTGTGCTCTTAGCACCGGTGTCCGTAGTGGTGGATTCAACCTGCGAAACTCACGCCAGTCAGAATTGCGACGGCAAGCGACCCAGCGAATTGTATGTGAGAAAAAGAAAAGAGGGCACCAGTACGAACATGAAGTCCTTCTGCGATGCGAACATCTTGATGCAGAATCGTTCCCCGTGAACTATGCACAGCCCCATCAGCAAGCGTTAGGCTCCGTTTGAACTCGGTAGCCGTTGGGTCCGCGTGCACTTCGGTGCTAGCGACATAGTCGGCGAAATCGTGGGGGTTGCGGCCGCCGCGGCGTAAGCCCTTCCAAAATTCCTCATAAGTGAGAATTGGGGTCATTCCCTCGCCATTCACGGGAACTGTGTAGGCGACATTGAAGGCGAAGGATGGCTCCGACATTTTTACCGATGGAAAATTAGAAGATGAAAGAGATGTGAATGGGAAACGAGACGAGGCTAGTGCTATAGCTCAAATAATTGGAGACACGGGGGGAATAAATACTACTCACACCCCAGGTTCTATGTTAGTGATTTTTCGATGGTTGCCATTCGGTGCCAATGCGGTGTCCGGAACGGCCCGTTATTTCTCAAACTGGCCCCATGTTTCGGCATGCCCATCGGCAACCTAGGGGTGAGCTGGCCCACGAAAATCACGGACCCAGGTCCCCACACCTAGAGGTTTGCCCTGGTGTCAAAAGCCCGTCTATGGGCATCCGCTTGTTATAGGGGGAAGAGGGTCCGGTATTCAAGATGGCTAGAGCAAAATTACATCACGTAGCCCCGGAGTATTACTTGTAATTTTCTGGTCAAATATCTTTAATTACGGGGGGTAGCAAACATCACCAAGAATACAGTATGATGTATCAAGAGTGACGCCCACTTGTGGTTCCCGAGGTCCGCAATCCCCCGCGCAAGTTATTTCATTTTGGAAGGTCGTTTCAGTACATTATGATTTTACTGAATAAGGTGATGAACCCCAGAATACTATCCTAGTGCTAAGTTCTAAAAACTACTTCTCTTTGGAAAATGCAAAAAATAGTGGTCAGAGCTGGTGCTTTGACAAATGATGTGAATCGATATATATCTCGAAAAAATTTTTCAATGCTAAACTTCCTTGAACATCCAAGGCCGAATCCAACGTGACTTATACCTCCACATACGAAATTTCTGACTGATGATTTATTTCTCCCCTACCCGGGCCATATTGGAGCGTATAGAGCCAGAAATCTTCCCTATAAACCACCGGAAAATAGCAGAAGCAAAAAGTTGTCACGACCCACCTATGACCTCTCGCGCTGTCCAAAAGGGCCGCCCATGCATGGCCCGTGCTGAAGTCTAGGTCTCATTCACAATATCTATGTCCGTGATTTCAGAAGAACTTCAGCAGTTGCATCCGGCAGAATTGCCAGTCCATAATGCTGCTGCTTAGGCTTCGGCTTGCCTTCTGGAAGTTTGATGTCATAATTACGGAGGAGATGCGCTACCACCACTTTCATTTGGCTACTGGCAAAGAAACGTCCCGGACAGGCCCAAATACCATGACCGAAGTTGATGTTGTCGGTCCCTGTGGTGACATGTTGGTATTTGAACTCGCTGCCGGGGATTTCGCGTAGTCGGGAGAACCGGAACGCATCGAATCGCGTGGGATCTGGGTATAACTCGGGGTCCATGTTGAGTGTGTGGGCCCGCACCATTATTCGCGTGCCTTGGGGTAGATGATGGCCCGTCGGAAGGCGGAGTCCATTGGGGTGGGTGACGATTCTGGGCATATTGGCTGTCAAAGTGGTCAGCATGCAAGGTGGAGAGAGTGATTGCAAGGCATTATGTAGGAAGCAACGGGGGCCCACATACCTAGTGAGGGAGGGCTATGGCGTTGGGATTCTCGCACAAAGCTGTCTAGTTTTTTAAGTCGCTGCAGACGGTCCTTATCAATAGTCTCTTGGTCACCAAGGACCTCGTCCAGCTCCTGTCGCAGCGGTTCGATGAATTCCGGATAACTCGCGAGGTCGAACATCAGATAGGTCAATGCATTTGAGAGATTGTAGATTGAGGCAAAGGTTGCCAGGAGCTGATCTCTCGCCAACTCACGTGGCGATGCTTTGGTTTCGTATCGCCCTTGGAACCAACGGATCATATCACCTCCCGGAGTATCGGTGTCCTTGCCCTTACCCTCTCCCCGTGCCGTCTTCTCCAGCAGCGGCGCCATTTTAGTCGATGTCATCTCACGCATGCGCATGAGTGCTTTGACCTCCGGCAGGAATGGAGCAACAATTGGCCGGACGAACTGATTTATTGTGCGCAAGACCAACCAGGCTTTGGTGACATTACCCGTGTAATTGACTGTCGCCTCCACCCATTCCTCGTCGTGACTTAACGGCACTCCGACAAAAGCGCGACCGGACATGAGGGAAGTAACCCGACACATGGCTGCGCGAGGCTTTAATGAAGTCCAGCTCTGGCAAGAACCAAGGCTGTCGTCGAGTGCGTGGCGCACCTCTGCATTAAATGAGGCTAGGACCGTCGGTGTGTTGCGAGTGAGGTCGTAGCGCATGGCAGCATCGAATTCCTCCGTTTTTGTGCCCATGTAGGTATATTCGCCGAGAAAGACATCATGATGGTGTTTCCTGAAGGGTTTGTTGTCATTAATCTCCATTCAAGTATTTAAGCTTTCCAGCAGTATTACTTACTTGATTGAGACATGCGTCTCTGGGAGACCTTTGATCAGATCGATGCTGGATCGGGGTAAAATGACCATCTCCATCCCCACGAGTGAAAGTACAAAGGGTGAATCGGGATGCTGACCTCTGACATTAGTAAAATGGAGTGTGAATCATAGTTCAGTTACAGACATACCTTTTTATGCGCTTCTTCGATGGTCTTGACGACTTCATCCTGAACTTCAAATACGGGAAGATTGAGTTTGGATGGCCGACTCCGCCGGAGAAACAAGACTGAAAGACAAACAAAGAGGGATGAAATAACGAAGAGGCCAACAGGAGCTGCTCGCATCCAAGACAGCCCTGGTTCCAATAGTAGGGCTGATAATTTCATGGCGATGAATGATTGATTTGTAAGTTTTGATTTAGAATAGAACTTTGCATTTATCGCCCTCTGATCACATTTCCATGGCAAGTGAGTTGCGGTCTATTATCATTGTCAATCTGATGATGGGACGCCTTCGCATCGGCCCGTTAGCGGACCATTATCGGCCCCGAGAGTCTACTCGGTATGCGAACGTTGTCTGAGATGACCCCATCTTGAGCTACTTCATCCTATGACCGCACTTAGAATTTGTGATAACAATAAAAAAATGAGAAGATCTTATCGACAAACTTGTGAAGTAGAATTCGAGTAGAAAAGTGTGCATCGGAAAATAAAGCATGTATTCGTATGGTAAACAGACTTACGTAGTCCGAAGTCTCTACTGGATAATTGGTCGGATCCCTTTCTTCAATTGGATTAGCCAAGTGTCCAGGTCAGCCTGCCATTCACTCACTGCTAAGTGTCGAGTTGACAGACTAGTATTTTCGTAGGATATTGAATATTCTCTACGGACATGAATTCTATAGCGAAATCTCATACGACGCACTGAACAATCTAGTAGCTGGTGCAGACAACCGACGATTTATCCAATCTACCTTCAAGACTTTATTTTCAGGTCAAGTAACATCTTCGTATTCAGTGTCCGTAGGTTGGTGCTGCTTCTAAGATCTCTTGAACTGCTGGTCGTGCTAGCATCCGCTCACTCCACGCCTCGATGTGGGGCCAGTCCTGAATTTTCACTCCCAAGAATGTAAACATCCATGGCATAGCAAACGGGAAATATGACAGGTCGGCTAAAGTGGGCCGATTCGGGAGGGCGATGTAATTCTGTCCGGGGAGCGCAAGTCTTTTTTCGAGGATATCCCACTGTTGGAGACAATTGCTATGCAATCTGCGTAGTGGGCAAGATATGTCAAACACAACTCTTGCCAGTATTTACTGATTGGATATTACGAGGAGACGTACTTTTCAATGGTCCGGGGTAACTGGATAGATTCTTTGCGACTAGGATATCCCCGGAGAAAATATAGCCAGTATTTGGCCGTTGCCCTGTTCGAATTGTTAGGATTCATTTCTCACTATGTTATCAATGGTGATCGATTTGGGTGTTTGCAGGACTGATAGCATTACCCCAAACCAGCCGTTTGGTAAGCTGTCCAGGACAGAACCTGGCCCTTTTCCCATGCGGTTTGTCCGGCCCATTGCCCGTCAGAGTCGTATTGATCCGCCAGATATTGGATGCAAGCTGTTCCTTCGAAGACAATCACATCCTGCTGCGTATTTGGATCACGGTCTTTGAGTGCGGGTACGTATCGCTCGGGGTGTATCTGGTAGTACCATTGCGATTTCGTATCGATCACGGAGAGGACGTGAGGAAGGCCGAGCTCCTTTGCCAGGATGATGGGCTTGATGTAGTTGATGTATGACGTCTCATCGGCTGCATTGAGTTAAGTTGCGAGGAGCGGGCAGTGATGAATGGTCATGGTGGCCCACCTTCAATGATGTATAGTATGACTCGCCCGTCGTATTCGACGTCCCCGTGGACGACCTCCCCACTGATTTGCGTCATGATGTATGAGCGTACGTAATTTCTGGACAGTAGTATCGTTTCATTGTCAACTGTTCAGATCCTCATGATTAAATATAATCATCACCCCCAATTGGCCGATATACACGGGCGCCTCAAGGGTCGCCGGTGATATGTCAGTTGATGGGGGAAGTCGGTGGAGCACAGTTCGGGGTCCGTGAGTGTGGAATGTCTCCGAACGGACCGAAGCTGAGATCGAACCAATGATAAGTCTCCGAGGTACCCACTCTTGGGTTCTTTATTTGGTCTTATGAATATACAAAAGAGTAGTTGCCAGGACATTTCCCCAGGGTATTCAATTCCAATCTTCTATCTAATTTTCATATTCACCATGGCAATCTTCGATGTCCTCATCATCGGCGGAGGCCCCGCCGGGTTGTCGGTCGCCACCGGCCTAGCGCGCCAGCTACACCGAGCTGTTGTATTCGACTCCGGGATTTATCGTAATGCCCTCGCAAGCCACATGCACAATGTCGCCTCGTGGGATCATAAATCGCCCGAGGAATTTCGCCAGGCTGCTAGGGAGCGCATTCAGCGTTACGACACGATCCAATTTGAGAATGCCGAGATCAAGAAGGTCGAACGCAATGCAGAGGGAAGCTTTACTGCTATTGACTCAAAAGAGCGGGTGTGGAAAGGAAAGAAGCTCGTGCTTGCCAATGGAGTCCGTGATATTTTTCCAGATATCGCGGGGTATGGAGAGTGCTGGGCACTAGGAATGTAAGCATCTTCAAATCCCTTGTCTTATTTTCGAACCGCCATTGCTGATATTACGCGGTACACTACAGTTTCCATTGTCTATTCTGTCACGGCTTTGAAGAAAGAGGCTGCGAAACCGCCGCAGTACTCGCGATTGGGGATATGGCCAACGTCATGCCGGCGATGCACGTCGCACGTATGGCCAGGCGATTCGCCACGACCGTGACCATCTATACACATGGGGCACAAGAACTCACACAGGCACTCGAGAAAGCCAGCGATGGTACGGGTATTAGAGTTGATAGCAGGCCTATCGCGCGCTTGGTTAAAGGACAGGGTAAATCAGATGTGGAGGTTGCATTTGAAGATGGCACGCAGAGAATGGAGGGGTTCCTGGTAATTATCCACCACACCAGACCACTAAAATGTCAACAAGTGAAGGGGGAACTGATCGACTATAGGTTCACAAGCCAAAGACGGAAATCAATGGTCCATTCGCGGAGCAACTAGGATTGCACCTCTCATCCGACGGCGACATCAAGACGACGGAGCCTTTCTATAGCACCTCTATTCCCGGGGTCTTTGCGGCAGGTGACTGTGCTGGGCCCATGAAGGCGGTAGTAACGGCCATGTCATCGGGGACATTGGTGGCTGGCGGACTGGCCGGGCAGTTGCAAGCGGAGCTATACTCAGGGGAACAGAAATAAACATAGGTCATTGTTCTTCCATGGATTCGCAGGCTAAGATAGGGAAAAGATCTGAAAATTTCGTTGTGGGCTTGTTGATTCTGATTTTAAACAGTAATCCTCAATTATAAATTTGATTGTATAATTGTTGGCTCGTTCACCTGGGCACTTGCATCTAATTCCCCTGACGGGTTCCTTGCCGGAATGTAAATGGATAATTCTCCGAGTTTTTCAATCTGCAAGGGCACCGAATCTTCTACATTGAATTTGAAATCAAATTGATTCATCGCAGGATTTTCTCGAAATGATTCGTTAAAGCTCTCTGGGCTCCATTCTATTATTAGGATCATACAAATTTCCACCATGTCGAAGTTTTTATATTGCAGTAGATGTCTTTTCGGTTGATAACTTCAATCACGCCATATATAATTCTAGCTAGAAGTTTATCAATCCCCTTTCCAGCCTTTGCAACCCCTGCTCAAGTATGTCATTCTTTAAAGCAAAGGTCAATCGGAACCACCCCTTGTCCCCCTCCCCGGTATGATAGACCTTTCCAGGTCCAACTAGCACTCCAACGTCTCTCATCCGACGAACCATGTCAGCTTCCTCCTCCCATGTTTTTGAATCAGGTACCAGTCGTGCAAATACAAAGAGCCCGGCCGATGCAGGAAAGTACTCAATACCGTGGCTCTTCAAAAACGCCGTTAGAACCTTGTATTGTTTTCCAAGGCGCTGGGAATTGAGGGCGAGTAAGTGTGGCAACTGAGGGGATGCGAGGATTGCTTTAGCGATAAGCGAGCTGACTGACGAGAAATTTAGGCTAGCCGAAATACCGAGATGAAGATTGAGAGGTTGATTCTCCTGGGACACGATGCAGCCCTTATTCCAAAGTCAGTGGTACTCCTAAGTCTTATCTGTTCTGACAGGGCATGTGCGTAGAGCTTCCAATACTTACTATTCGTAGTCCGTTGCAGCCGAAATCTTTGCTAATACTCCATACCGTATGTACCCGTGATAGATCTCCGCCTATAGCGGTCACGTCGAGTGACATTATTGGAGTGAAGGGAACTGGAGTCTGGGAGAAGTCATCACTGGAAAAGGTGGAGAGCGCGTAGACCTCGTCGGAAATAAAATGCAGATTGTGACGGGCACAGAACACGAGACAGCCTTCGAGGACCTCCTTGGGATAACATCTCCCTAAAGGATTGTGAGGGTTGGTGAGGACAATCGCTCGAACTGGGCGAGAAGCACTTTTGTACGCGTTTTCAAGTGCGGAGATCAACTCTAACGTAAACTGATCCTCCATTTGAGGAAGAGAGACGGTAATTGGAGTGACCTGAGCTCGGATATTAAAGTGAAAGTCGAATCCATCTGCCAGAATCAGCATCAAAGTCTCCTTTTCTTCTTTGTATTCTGTCATGAAACACTCACTCCAATATGGACCAGGCACTAAAACTGCATCTCCCGGCTCACAGATGCTATACATTAGATCATTGAGACATGCCGAAGCCCCGGCTGCAACTGAGATATGCGATGACTCTACCCTCTGGGCGGGCTGAAAATAATTATTGAAAAAGATAGCCAAGATCTTCAAAAGCTCGGGATCACCAAGAGGGCTTTTGGGGTATGATAGATTGCCCACCGCAAAGCCATGTTCAACAGCACTCTTGCAGGCTGAAATCATTTCATCACCAAGCACACCATTCTCACCCATCGACATATCAATTGGACTAGTGCCCGATTCATTGCGAGGGATGTCGAATTTTGAAAAGTCGAATGCGGGAAGGAGTTGGGCGACTGTCGCGCCAGCATGGGTGGAGAGCCCGGAAGATTGGTCCATGATTGACGAACGCAGATGGAAGGTAGGTAAAATGGTAAATGAGTTTTTTACACCAGTACAAAAGGGTTGAGCACTTTTGACTGATTTGCAGAGTGGCTGACATACTGAGAAACGGACCGATAGCATCGAGTCCGAGCCACATCTTGGATAAGACAATCCAAAGCTACGAAGATTTCGGTTACCAGCGGCCCAATGAAATTGAATATCTGTCTTCGCTGTTGAATCGGACCGTTATTGCGCGCCGCACACAGTCCGCAGGGGACAATCGCATGCATTTCAACCATAGTGGACGTCACAACTACGGATTAAAAGAACTCATCTCGATTAATCAAGGCCATGCTTTCAGGTCATTTTATCGCATGGTAGAGGTTGCCAAGGGTCCATTATCTCATATTGAATAGCTCTCAAAATGGCTGCCAGCGTCTGGTACTTCGGCTATGGATCAAACATGAAATCGTCTGTCATGATCAACCGTGGTATCATCCCTCTTTCTATCAAGGTCGGCGTGGTACCAACGCACATCCTCACCTTTGACATATTCGGCATTCCTTATACGGAGCCTTCGTTTGCCAGTATTGCCCTGCTGCCTTCATCATCAGAAAGATCGTCCATACCGCCAGTCCACGGAGTCTTGTATCAGCTCCGGCGAGAGGACTATCTCCAACTAGTCCGGTCGGAAGGTTCTGGAGTTGGTTACGATGAAATCAGCGTCGAAGCATACATCCTGGAGGTACAGTCCGATGGAGTGAGTCGTACAACCCAAAAACCTGTTATGGCACAGACTTTGAAAGCAAAATATCCATGGAGGCCAAATAGAGGACCAAGTGAACGGTATATGGTACGTGATGTCTATATGACCCAGTGCGAGTTTGGAAGTGGATCGGCTCCATTTCATTGCTGACTGCTATTGCTAGGGACTTCTTCTTGACGGATGCAAAGAACATAGCCTTCCGATCAGCTATCGGAAGTATCTCGAGTCTCTTCCCTTCTACCCAGCCCAGTCCGATAATACATCAAGGTTCCAGGCCGTGGGGGCCTTGCTTTTCCTGGCCGTTTGGAGACGGGTTATTCGAGTACTCGCAAAAACAACCAAAATTATCGTAAATGATCGTGGGCATTCTCCTTTGTGGCTGGGGAAGTTAATCGTGATGGTCTATTATCTCATGTGGCTTTGGCATGACCAGGTTCATGCGAGGATTTGGAACGCGGGGCATGGCAACGTGATCATTTATGAAGGACGAACGGCTTGGTAGTATATCATCAGCATGCCCTATTGGATTGAGATGATAGTATAGTCAGATTGATATTAAAATTGACCTAACCTATGAATCCGAATCGCTCCGTAATTTTCCAGCAAACTTGCTCGGACCGAATTACGGCCCCCGAAAATTTAACCTGCGACTTCATATGAACCCAAAAATGCCACCCCAAAGATAATCTAATCACTTATTCTAGTAGTAAAAAGCAGGTTGGGAGATGGAAGACTACCTTCAGAGAGCCCACAGCTTAATGGCCAAAACCCCCCTTATCGGTCTGTCGCTTCCGAAAACAGACAGTCTTCAGCACTAAGAATCAACCAGACGGCCACAATGATTTTCCCTTTATCATAAGAGGACTTTATCAGAATCACTTCGAAAGAGAGGGCTTTGATCTCGATACTTTGCCTATCGGACAGACAGACTTCATCCGGCTAAGAGAGGGTCATGTCGGTGGTCAATTCTGGAGTGCGTTTATTCCATGGTAGGAGTTTCCTTTCCGTGAAACCCTCTATATGGTTGATTTTATTAACACTACTGGGGATTTCTCTTCATAGTGCGAAGCCCGGAGGTGATGCTACACGCTCCGACCTCGTGGTCATCGAAACACTTCAGCAGATCGACCTCATCCATGCCATGATCGAGAAGTATCCACATATCCTCAGCCTAGCCCGCACAGCTGACGAGGTATGGGAAGTATTTCGATCCGGGCGAATCGCCAGTTTGATCGGGATCGAGGGATTGCATCAGATCGCCGACAGTGTAAGCGTCCTGAGAACGTATCATCGATTAGGAGTACGATATATCACGTTGACTCATAACTGCGACAATCGATATGCCACCTCGGTCAGTTGCAGTTTCGGGACCCCTCGCCAGATTCTGTCCTGGCCTTTAATTCTTAGATGAGATGAACGTCATTGGAATCTTGTACTTGGCTGATACTGTGTTTAGAGTTCCTCCAACCAGCAGACGGGCTTATCCGATGATGGGAAACGCATAATCAAGGAAATGAACAGGATTGGAATGTAGGAAATTTTTCCCATTCACAAAGGAGTTCCGCTGACAAGCTCTCTCATACAGGATGGTAGACTTGTCTCATACCAATGATGCCACCCAACGTGACGTTCTTCGGTTATCAGAAGCTCCCGTAATTTTCTCCCATTCCTCCTGGTGAGTCGACATTCGCAAGTTCTTCAGAAAAGTGAGACTAGCTAACTTCTCAGTGTGGGAGTGACACCGCACCCCCGAAATGCCTCGGATGAAGTTCTTGATCTGCTACAGCAGAACGGTGGAGTGATCATGGTCTGCTTCCTGCCCAACCTCGTTGCCCCGACACCGCTTCCAGGGGAAGAAAAGCAAACACCAAAGGTCTCTGATGTGGTGAATCATATCATCTACATAGGCGAGCGGATTGGATTTGCCCATGTGGGTATTGGGTCTGACTTCGATGGTATGCTGCACGGGCCGCAGGGTCTTGACGACGTATCACAATATCCAAATTTAGTCGCCGAGCTACTCCGCAGTGGACTGAGCGACGATGATGTGCAAGGTATCATGGGCCTCAATGCTCTGCGAGTCCTGCAAGCTGTTGAACAAATTACTCGAAGGATCTGCCGGTGCGAGGGTATCTCGATGCAGTGCGACGAAATTGATGCAATGTGGACACCACAGCAAGAGTCCCTGTTGAGACAGGCAGGGGCAAGCCGGGTCAGAGAACAAAATTGACCTTTAGGGTTATAGTTGGGGTATTTGAGGGGATGAACTTCCTGTTTCGTCATTGAGGCTTTCAATCCAAGTGCCCATGTCATGTATCTTTCTTATACGTACCTGAAACCATCCCAGCCTTTCTAGCTTTCGCCATCTAATCTGTGGACTTATAGTTGCGCGGTTGACTTCAAACACATTCATCATTTGGAAATCTGTGCTGCTTTTGATCTTTTGGCTAAAAATGGGGTTTCCAATCGGCGGAACATCATCACATTTCACAGTTGCTATCTGCGAAACGCCAAACGAGTAAAAGGTCATATTTATGTTTACAATTCTTGTACTTTAATGGGTACCGTCATTCGTTCTCTACCATGGAAATCAAATTCTCAATCCGTTGCTCCAGCTCCTGTAGCCATTTCTTCAACCTTTCCTGCATTGATCCCCGTCTCTGTGTAATTGCTCTGGACAGCCGACGAAGCATCTCGGTATTGAGGCAGAGCTCTTTAGACACGATCCGGGTCCTTAGGGCCTTCTGTTCTTCGGGGTCGATCAGGAAAGTCCCAAAACCTACACAGGGCATCTTATACTGGTCGTAAGGTTTTGACCGGACAATAATTTCGAACAGACTGACAATATGCTCCGCCGCTGCCGTGAGAATAACGGAGGAAGTAGAGCTCAATGTTGGTCCGTCACGCACTATGAGGTCATTGACCTTGTTGACAGCCTCTCGGTTTGTTGCTAACATCTCGTCTACCGCACGCTGACCCTCGCGCTGCCTAGCTTCGAGGTGGGCCACAAGTTCTGCACAGGATGCGATGCCGGAATCCGTCGGCTTATCTCCGCCGAGACGAGATTGGGGAACCAGGCCACCCGTTTGATCATGGGTCGACGCTCTGGTCGCGTTGTCTTGCCGCGACCACGATGGTGCAAGGTTGAGAGTGCTCTGAGGCAAGGCTATGAAGTCACGGAATAGACTTTCACAAGGCGATGCATGATGAATGGCCATCGAAGACAATGGGCGCTTTCCATCAGTTATTCCCGATAGGCATGTCCCTATAGGCGACTGGGATGCTTCTGGTGTTGCCAAAGACGGGAAGGCATCATGGACATCAGCCGCTGGGTCGATATTATCTAAAGAGAGGGTAACATCCGACATAGACGAGCCACTCCAGGCGAGAAAGTCATTATCATCGAGACAGGGTAGCACATTCCTCTCCGGTGACAGCTCGTTAGCGTCTGTCAGCCAGGCACTCATGGCGTCTATTGGACTTCCATGTTGGTCCAGATTATCGACAGACATCGGGCAGCTGGACGGGATCCGGCTTCGTCTTTTACGACGTCCGCGCGTCTTGCCGACCAGCGAGACCATGTAAATGCATTTTTGGTCAGAATCACGACATCGCACACACCCACTTCTTTCGCCGGTGCAGCGAACCTGTCAAGAAAACTAGGTTAGGTCCCGATGTGCGGGCACCTAGAACAGAACAATGCAGGGGACGCACCTTGGCGGCATGGCAATTGTTACAAGCACTTCGCAATCGGACCCCTTCCTCGGGTACAGGAGTATTACCCTTGTCTCCAGTCTTCTCAAATGTCATATTTGGCCAGTATGTCGCAATTGTGGCTGAGAAATGGGAAGCGAGGACAGCCCTTTTCTACTCAGCGGCATTATTCTCACGGATTAACAGGCTATCTACGGGCACTATAAAGAAGCGCCCCGCCCCCATTCCATTAGGTTGCAATGAACCCCTGTTTGCTAGAATGACATGACAACGAACGCGTGGATGAGTGGGTACGCATAAGGCGCGTGCGGGTGCGTGCGGGACTGGTCAGTTATCAATCAGCCTTACTACTACAAATTTTACTTAAGAGAGGCTAATGCGATACCTTTGAATTCCATCAGAAGAAATAAAGCTCGTTTACAGCTTCCTTGAGGCTTTAACCCTCCACGAGTACACAACATTTGACAACAGATTTTCTTCACTCACCAAATCCTGAGATGAGGATCTCCCTACCAAGGTACCCCTGAAGGATGCTGACGGCGCTAGATCAGCATTTCAAGGCGTCCTCCGAGCATCCGAGTGGCTGAGTCTGGTATTGATGGCTTAGATGTTAAAACGTCAATCGCCAGTGCAGAACAGGGTTTTGCAAGGGTCCGATTCTACTTCCAAATAAAGCTAGTCACCTCTGTTGCCGAATCAGAGTTGCAAAAATGGCCCCAGGTTATGTAATATGCTTTTTCTTCATCGGACTCCTGCTTTTTGGCATATCACAACTTACCTAAAACAGTTTGAGGTCTCTGTTGTTATAGAGTGCGGGGTATTGCAAGGGGTGGACCAAGGGTCCGGCGGACACCGACAAGGCTCGGAGCTAAGGGGCCGGCCCGGCCACCCCCGAGGTCCGAGCCTGAGACTAGTAAAAGTCTAACGTTGATTAACAAGGGACCAAACAGGCCCCCAACAACAGGAAAGAAAAGATCATGAATGATTGGGAGCTACGTCATTCTTCGTGTATTATCGCCGTTCGCACAATTTTGAGCAAATTCCAAGAGTGGTTGATTCATGTGATTGCTTATGTACAAACTACCTTTTTGCATTCGATCAAGGCCATTTTCTATCTGACTGTTTGTCTGGGAATGACCATATATTCGGTTTTTGAGGTGGCTAGGGTAAATAAAAAGCAAGCGACCAGACTAATAAGAACATGGACCAAATTCCAACGAACTGCGATTTGACGGATTCATTGGCCACAAGTCCTTCACATATTATAACAGACCGTCATGTCCTCCACATGCCTAGCTGTAGCCAAATCCCGCGTAGCACATTTAGTGTTGTCTGGATTAAATTCACGTCACAGCCGCTGGGGCTATACCGCTCTTCAAATCATGCAGATTCTGAAGCTCAAATTCCTCTCGCTCTGTCCCCCAGTTGATAACATATCGTTCTTGGCAAAGAGGAGTAGCGTAGCGAGTCTTTTCGTCTTTTGACCTGTTGCCGGGCGTTCGCGATGAGCTCCTGTGAATGCGCTGAACTCTCCGGTTCTTGCCACGGATTTTGTGTCTGAACTTCATCCACTTTAACGTATCAGTGGCGCTTTTGGCATTAAACGCGAAGAGAAGAAGCGGTCTAGACACATAGGCTGAAGTACAGACTAGATCTCTCTTAGCAAATTTGTTAATAACAACACTCTTTAGATCAATGGGAATTCCTAAACAATTGGAAACATCCACTTCTCTTGAAACTCCAGATTGTCATCCGAATGCGGGAAATCAGACACATTCAGCGCGAAAAAGGAAGTCAGGAATGAAAAATTAGGCTGTTCGCATACTGTGCTTGAGTTGCAAGACTCTAGCCCAGATAAAACACCAATATCGGGCGATGGTTCCTACAAAACCTGTCAATTGATTGGCCTCCGTGTTCTTGAACTAATCAACAGAAGACTAAATCGCTACCAGGAGTTCAATCACGCAGCGGGCTGTTTTTGAAAAAGAATTTGTCTCCCTCTATCTCCCGTAACGTCAACCTTTGAACCACTTGTGTCTCGTCACGCTGAAACACCATCTTGTATGTGTAAGCGTCTGATGAAGCGCCCTCATATTGCCTCTTACTCCCTCTTTCCTCTCCTTTCCCACTTCGACAGATTCAAATATTTTCTCTTCCCTCGGTATTTATGATAGACAATAATTGATTTTTTCTTAAACCTAAAGCATTCCATGCCACATTGACTACTAGCAACTGAGCGGATTGGAGGGGGTAAGAAATGACCTGTCTTTAGCCTGATCCTCTTAACTCAATTTTAGCCCGATGTCATTATTTGAACCTTATAATGCAGATTAGCGGGAAAACTCCTTTGGGCCTCTAATATCAACTTAGCATAAGAGTTTACTAAATTTGATTTAATAGTAACAGACTTAATATGGTGATCGCGCGAACCAAGGAGATTCTCACCCGACTTATCACCCCTAGTCGCGAAATGTTAAAGCGGCTCTAGCCATTTTTGTTATTTATTCTACACTATATGATCCAATTCCATTTATAGTCTGGTACATACGACCATAGGGTGTGGAGAACAGGGCTTCCCGTCCGCTCAGCCGTACTTAAGCCACACGCCGGTCAGTTAGTAGTATGGTGGGTGACCACATGCGAATCCTGACTGTTGTATGTTTTTTTGTTTCTTTTTCTTCATTACGAAAGCTCTCTTACTGCCTTACTCTTCACCCCGTTAAGCCCCCTTCATCTAATATGCTGGCTTCAACTTGTGCTTGTCCCCAATGACAAAGAGGGAGGGAAATATATTAGCCAGTCGGAAACCCTGGTCGACTCGCGCACCCCGGAACATATAATAAACTTATTATTACAAACATTTGAATCTTAGCAACCAACCATAAGAACTAGATTGGATTTCGATGCTAGATTCTATTATATGCTCTAAGGTGTCTGGCTCGCTAGTGAACTACGTTGAAGACATGACCGTAATCGACCCAAATCCGGTGAAGTCCGTGATCTCCAATACCTACATACATGGGGACGGTCTATCACAAGGTTATAGAAAGCCTGCGAGCCACAAAGGGACTCAAAAGCAAGGACACCAGCGATATAGCTAGACATGCTCAGTCTCCATATTTGAGGAATTTCTCTTATGCCCCCTGCAAGACTCATCTCGAGACTCGGGGAAACATTGACATCAATATGAAGGGCCTTGCGTACTTCGCAGTGATTGCCTCTGTGCAAGCTTCACACATTTTGTCCACCAATCCCTCCATCATCGGGCTACAGGTAGTCCCAACTGCAAGACATACACTGTGCAGGACGGAGATACTTGTGCAAGTATTGGCAAGTCGAGTGGAGTCACATGGGCGCAGCTGCTCTCATGGAACTCTGACATCAACAGCGAGTGCTCGTATGTACCCTCGGACTCATCTTGCATTGAAGATAGAATGCAGCTCATAGCATGATTTCTAGGAACCTCGGTGATCTCTCTGGCAAGGAAATCTGCGTCAGCAATCCCTCGGGAGACTATGCTATCCCCGCCACCCGTTCCTCAGTCTCAAGCAGTGCAACCGGCTCAGAGAGCATTGTCACCACCACAGTGTATTTCTCTTTGCAGGATCCGGGAAGGCGATGACTTATCATACTCAGAATCTCTTTTCTTTCTTCAAATGCAGGCTGACCCTCGAAGGATTTCATTCTGTGGAAGCCTACCCTTCGCTCGCGAAGAAGTCATCCCGTAGTAGTTCGTTGATTCCGCAGACAGCTCCAACAGCCAGTGGCAGTGCAGGCTCGAGCTCGAGCGTCGCTTCAGACACGTATAACTACCCTTGCACACTCCGAGCCAGCTCATCCAACTGTGCGAAGCTCTCCAAGCCTACCAGTACTAAGACAAGCGGGCCACGAAGTCCGTCTTCAGTTGCTGCGCCGTTGACAAGACTATCTATCATGCTCTGATCTAGAGCCCACCACGCCTCCTTTATATATGCTTTAAAATAGGTCCTATCACTCTTAGACCTTCCCATTTGGATAAGCTCTGGATGGAGCTGAAAATTTTTCAGTTTCAACCACCCCCAGACAGGTTCAACGGGGTTCAAATCAGGTGAGTGTGCGGGCCAATCTTCAACATAAATTCCATGCTCTTCAAACCAGTCTCTCGTCACTACGCGGTATGGATCCTCGCGTTATCTTGCTGAAAGACTCTACCAGGCTCATAGACCGGAAGGAGACCTTCCTCGAGCGCATATAGGTGTAAATTCGCCGTATATCCCCCTCGAGAAACCTCCCCGAGCTGGGCACGGGTCGTGCCGATAATATTCCCTTATGGCATAATGTAGCAGGGGATCCTTGATAGTCTAGCAGCTTGATTTTTCTTTTCTCATTTTATCTCTTTTTTTTTTTATCTCCTTTTAGCAGAGGGGCTGTCGATATTAATATTACGCGTCTAGCTGCGTAATATTGAACTTCTACGTGCGAATTGATTTATTAAAGTAAGGCCGCTCCGTGCCGGGTTACATTAGTACCAATCATGAGAGCAGGTCATAGTGCAGCTTATGCTGACATCCTGCATAATTATGTGCTGACCTATCGACTGATCACATGGTTGCTAGGAAGAGCTAAATCCATCGCACGACATCCCTTAGACAAATCTCATTGGTCCTTACCCCTCGCGATGATCAAGATCAGTTCCTGATCCAGTTCCACCTGTTTATATATGGTCTTCAGAGTTACCAATACCCCTCAAGCCTGATCCACGTGTCCCGCCCTATCCCGCCTCTTGTGCCTGACGGCATATTCCTTGAACATGCTAAACCCGCTATTCGCGTCATTTGTGTCAAGCTTTTAGAACCAATGACTCTTCACGGATACTTACCCGGGGAAGTGACCGAAGTTGGGATAGTCTCATCTGGTCACAACCCAGCACGATGTCCTGACAAATGCAAGTATTAGTGCGAGCGAACAAGGCCTATAAGTTTGGCCGCGATCGCCCGACTATGTCGATCTGCCTCGGCGTGTGACTTTATACCATAGGCCGCTTGTTACCAGGGTTACAAAAATGCCCTCAACTCGCCAAGTGCTCACCTTCCTCACGCTCGCCAGCCTCGCAGCTGCAGCGCCTGTCAAGGAGGCTGACCGGAAGCTGCGCAAGCGCGATACGCTCCCGGACTATGCCATCACTTACGCGCCCCTCTCCTACCTCTATAGTGGCGAAAAGTGGTTTCCGTCCGACATCACGACGCACTTGGCCAACGTCGAGCCCGAGGAAGACTATACCGCTATCGGGACTAACGGATCGGTCACGCTCGGCACGCTGGACTCCGTCTCTTCGGATGTCTATCTAACTGCTTCCGATGGCCCCATTCTGGACCCATTGGATGGCACCCCGGCCTGGCTCTCCTCGGAATACGGTATCCCCGACAGCGATGGCCTTAGTGCCGCTCCTGGACTTATCATTGCCGCGGAGAAGAACAGCACTATAACCGATGTGTTCTACTTCTATTTCTATTCGTATAACTACGGAGGAAAGTGAGTGTCCAGGCCCTTCCCAACTCTGCATACACATATGGTTTGCTAAACCGAGCCTCTCCGCAGGGTCCTGGATATCAACTTTGACGACCACGTTGGCGACTGGGAGCACGTGATGGTGAGCACATGAGCATTTGCCGCTCACACTTATAATCTTCCACGCGCTTCGATTGCATCTACCCTAACAAATTTCTCTGCAGATCCGCTTCGTCGATGAAAAGCCATACGCCATCTATTGCTCCCAGCATAGCGCCGGATCGGCCTATTATTGGGATGTGGTTGGCTTTTCGGGTGATCGCCCCATCACTTACGTTGCGTACGGCGGACACGCCAACTACGTGACCGCAGGTAGCCAAGACTACACTATCGCGCTGGGTATAATTTCCGACACAACAGACGCTGGGTACCTGTGGGATATGACGCTCAACTACCGGGGTTACTTGTACGACGTGGACGCGAACACCTTCACTGTCGCATCTGGAGCGGGAACAGGCGCTACTGAGGAGGCGGACGAGTCGGCCGATTGGCTGAACTGGCTGGGACGTTGGGGCGACGAGGAGTATCCAGACGGGCTTCTCGATGACATCGAGACTGGCCAGTACTGCATCTCGTCCGAGTGCCACTACACAAGCGGGCCGACTGGCCCCGTGGACAAGAACCTCGGCCGGACTACCATGTGCGAGGACGATGACGACTGTACCGTCTTCGATAGCATTGACGACCTGACGACACAGTCCTAGGTTGATAACCGTGTTTAGAGCAAGGTTAGACTGGATATAGCTACATTTACTTGGTATATACGGTTCACTCGACTGGCAATATTCTGGCAATAATTGATATACTCCCGGTGAGAATTATGACACCGTCCCAGCTCAAGAGCAACATGAAAGATCAGAACCTTGTACAATTATCAATATGGCAATCATTCATTTCTTTCGTAACAGTCAACTACTATCTGCATTTAATGGAGGTTCGGTACCAAAGCTATTATAATACCGTTATGGGTTTCTCTTGGTCTGTATCGCCCGATCATGAGGAATATATTGACTACAATAATTTATAATTTGGTGAGGCTATTCAAGGTTTTATCACCGATCGGCTCAGTGCCAGTTGAATCAATGCTAGTCGGTTCATTGCCTTCCTTGTCGTGCCGTCTTCATTGGCCATGCTTTGTGCCTAACGCTCTTTCCCTGCTTTCCAAAAGACTGCTTTGAGCTGACTCCACATATTCCGGACGGCGTGGGATCAGTGGCTTTCGAGTCTTCGCTGCGTCATTTGTGGGAGAGGCCTGGGTAATCCTCCAGTATCTTGACGCTCATCATGTCAGTATTGTGTTCAATGTCGCTATCGCGATCATTGGGAATGCTGTCCCTTTCTACTTCAACACAGCTGCAAGCCAACATAGGCTCATCGCCATTCGGCCGGATATTAGTGTTTCCGCTCCTTGAAATGTCTTCCTTCCCAGCGAGTTGCTGAATTGGTGAATTCTCATCAAATTGTCTCCAACCCCTCCATGATGTCAACTTCATTGCCCAAATTCGAAAAATCGGCTGTAATGTTGGTAAACAGGCGCAAATCACAGCCACGGATATTTCATTCTGAGACCACATAGCCATGCTGCCCCTTACCCACGATATGTCATGAGAGTGCTTGAGCCTGGTCAGAGAGGATATGCGAATAATGCTGGCGCCAATGACGCTAAATTGGACACAAAGGATGAGTTACCAATCTTTTGAAAGCTTGAAATGGGCAGGTCTTGCACTCACAATCCTCCGAGTAAGAAAATTCCACAGACAAGGAGCTTTTGAAATATTCGCATTTGCAACTTCCAAATTATTGGCATCGGAATCATGAGAATGAGGCCGTCGGACGCCACGTTCACCGCCGCATTTGCGATATAAAAGTGGGAGATGTTAAAGAGACTTTTCCCTCCATCTGGATCAACATACTTGTTCCAGCAATATGAAATTGGCTGGCAAGCGACTAATAACGCGACGAGACTTCCAACTCCCCAACTGATAACGATAAAGATGCATATCCACATGGCCCAGTTCATGTTGAAGATACGGCGGTAAAAGGCTATAATCGAGGACTTCACGAGAACCAAACAAGAGATATAGACGAAGCTATATGCCCAGGCAGTCTATCATTTCAAGTCAACAACATTTCAGCATCCCGTTAATAGGATAAACCAACCCTTTGAATTTTCACCAGATCACTCATTGCTCCAGCCCAGATATGCTTCCCAGCCCCATAATATTCAGCTAAATTTCTCAGCACCACCCACGACGATAAAAGCAGCAATGCACTTTACCTAAAATTGTCCATGCGAATGAAGCGACAACAAGGACCTATATGAAGTATTTCAGAATACCTGTGATTCAGTCGGACAAGGCCAAGATCCCACATACCTGAGCGGCGATTATTGTCCAATCATCGAGTCCCAATCCGACCTTCTTGGCCGCAAGTCTTATGTAGATGCGCAAAAAAACACTAATTGTCGAAAGGGCCACCATCGCACTAATGGTTCCTGTAATCGTGTGAACTTGGCTCTCTGATAGATCCATGCCTGCTGGGGGCGGGCCGAGAAGAGCCTCTACGCTAGCCATAGCTTATGATTAGATTTCCAATCAGAATCAAACGTTTAGCTAACAATGCATAGTAATCTTGGGCGTAGAAATGGAATTAAAAAAGAGTAAGACATAAGAAAACAGCAGTAACCGAAAACACTCGGTGGAGAATTCAAGGTCCACTTTAGTAAATTCAAGGCGTCCGACTCTGTCGCTCAAAGCGCAAGGGATTTCCTAGTAGGATAAGTCCTAGAGCTGAGTCTTCAGCTTTTCTGGCAACAATGTTGAATGATTATCCTTCACTAAGTAGGGGCGTGTACAACACTTCAAGGTCTCAAGATCCAATAGCCTTGCGCCAAGCGTGCTTGGGTGCACGGCTAGGCCCCCAGTACCGCGTCCTTGGATCGCCTCTGGCCTTGATCTCTACGAAGAGGAGTTTTACTCTATAATAGTATTTGGGGCTTGTTCATTGTTTGATGCAGGTGTTGTAATATTTGTCTACAAAGTCCATCCTCGCAATCTGCTATCTAGTTGGGAAAATTCTCTAAATGATCCATCGCCATCGTAGTGACTATGGTCGTCTCCAAGAGATGGCAGGATGAACCATATAATACGGTATGCTCCCAAGGATAAACTTCACATACTAGGAAGTGATTTCAATTCCCAAGTCCGATACATTGCCGTCAATGAGTTCTACTGTTCTATAAAAGAGATGAAATGAATGCAGTCGCAAGCGATCGGTTTTACTTATGGGAACGACGAGTTTTAATGAGAGTAGAAAGCGAGAATGGACGCAGTATAATGATATAAGAATGAATTGTATTGAGAGCGACAAGGAAGAAAGAAGAAGAGTCTATAAAAGTGAAGCTTAAATAGTCAGAGGAAGGCACTAGTCCCAGAATGGACGTCAACACTGGAGATCCGAAAAGTCCGCAGCGGGAGGTGTGAAGACCCTGATCAAGCAGCAAAGACGCCCCAAGACTTGGATTTTACCTGATTCATTATCTGCAAGCACGTCGTCCGCAGGCCTGCGCATGTGAGGACCTCTCCTCATTTGGTATCCCAGTTTTGATCTTGATACATATCCATCTTTGTGCCCATTCAATCCAACAGACAAGCAGAAGGTTCCAGTTGTTGAAAACGTTTCATGTGACCGATGTCCCATTTACGGGTTTCATAGTAACCTCGGAACCTGCTTTCTTGGTATATAATGGAGAAAATTCGCAAAAAGAAAGATCTTCAATTTTGACATTCTCCTAATATCGGTGACATCCAAAAGGACATCCCCACAACGGCTTCTTCTTTCTTTTGCAGTCACAGTCCAAGCTATTGAGTGACCCGCTGCCCTTTCCTATCATTTTGTCGAACCAATCCTCCATTTCTAGATTCCATCAGTAACCACAGGGACCAGATAGGGAGGCACTACCAACCTTCGTCTTCCTTGAGGGCTAGAATGCGATAACCCGGACAGTGAGCCACTAGACTCAAACGGGAAATCCATTCTTTGAACGAAATACTAGCTTCGCGAATATCAAAATCCACTCGACCGCTTTGTTCGGTTCCATTGTCGATATTTTTGAAATAATAATAATTGTCGTCACAGATGATATCTTCCAATGAGAGTGTTTCTAGAGATAGCTCGTTCTGTAAAGTGCCCAGAAGGCTAGACATACAAGTCACCTTTTCTTCGTTGCGTTTCCATGCCATTTGGGTTTCCCAGGTCGGACAGACTGAGCCTCGAGTATAATCAGGTGGAGAATATGGGTGATAAGTAGATAACCACTTTGCGCTTGGATATGCTTCTGTCGTCGACTCAGAGGATTCAGAAGTCGAGGAATGCTGTGGGAATTGGGGTGCACTTTCTGCCCATGCTGTTTCAGATGCTAGAAGGACTGGTAGGGGGGCTGGTCCATATTCTGGCGGGGCTACGGTCGGTGTGTACCATGGCGATGGTGAAAATGATGGCGGTGTTGGTTGAAATGATGGCGAGGTTGGTACATACGGCGATGTTGGTTCATATGACGGCGAGGTTGGTACATACGGCGATGTTGGTTCGTATAGTGGCGACGTTGGATGAAACCCTGACGAAGGGAGCTGAGATGCTGGCGATGTAAATTGAAACGTGGGTGTGTTAGAACGCCTCGAAGGTGGAATGGAAGAAAATCCAGCGCCATAAGGTGTGTTGGTAGACATCCACGGTATAGATCTTTCATTTTCTTGGTGGCCGGGGGACTCGCTGTGTTGCGACCCAGGATTTTCTGCAGCTCTCAACTCCTCGCTGCGTATTGTCACCCGTTGAAGTGTAAGAAGGACCAGAGTTTTCTTCACACTAAGCAATAGTGATTTCAAACAGTTGGAATAGATATCAAGCTCGTGAATATGAAGCTCTCGGAGTCTAATGAAGCTAATATCATGGAACATGTTTCCAACGTAGCTTTTTGCCGGATAGGCAGGCATATGATCTTGCGACAATGTCAGTCCTCCAAGTTGGGGTGCTAGCTTCGTGAAAATTTTCAGCCAAGCGGCCTCATTGAGATCAACACATAGATGAAGGTCCTCTAGGCCTTTTAAAGTAGACAGTAGAGAGTCAAATTGTTCTTCGGGGAGGGCAATTCCGGGGCCTATATCACCACAGAAATCAGAATCGCAGGTATACAGCTTTCGGGGTCTGCAGCTTGAGCCACATAACGCAAGAAAAAGCTTCGATATTGCCAAAGAGTTCAGTTTCCTTATCTGACTATCCTTATTAGTGTGGGTCAAGGACCCCAGGCTGTAAACATCGAAACGAAAATCAATCCGGCTCATCATCTGTCGCCTTCCCAGGAATGGAACTGTCTGCTGCCGTGGATCAAGCAAAAATTCCGTTTTGTAATGTGCGAGTCCTATTGTTTGGAGGTTCTTAAATCGATCCATGCATTCCCGGAGTCGAACACTGAGCGCTTCTGATTCCAGCAGGTTGGAATTATCTGCAAGCATGGCTTTATGGACAGCATACCGATTTTCCAGCTCATCGCCATTGACTTGTCGGCAGCTTTTTGATGATATAGACACCATGCCGAGAGGCTCTTCAGTACCGTCGAACACAGTGGGTATCATCCATAGCTCTTGGACGTGCTCGCGGAGACCATTTGACTTGGATAGTTCTTCCAGTTCGTGGAGACTTTCGCTAGTCACAATGAAACGGATTTTTCGGTAAAAGGTCTTCGCGAAATTCTCCAGTGAGCTTTTGTACAATGCGCGGCATGATAACCTCAGAGCGACCAATTGCTGGAAATCCAAATGGTTACATATCTTTGAGATCAATTCCACGGGAAGAGCTGCAATGAACATTCTAGCTGCGCGTGACGCGTTTCAAGGTTGAGAATAATAATAATGATAGGCTCGGTTTGTTATCCGCAGAAGTGGGTAGTAATCAGCCTCAGTCTCTAGGGCTCCGGGCTCCGGGTTCCCTTTGACGAAAAAGCGAAATCAAGATAAGAGTTCTGCGCTGAGAGACAAAGAGAAGAGTGAGATCGTGCAGCGGCAAGCCCCGATTATAGGAGACCCCGTGGACCTGGGCAGCGGAGAAAAACGCATTTGAGACCCACAGAAAATTAAAATACCTGTAATACCATATCAACAGCCCTGATACAGTCACATTGCAGAAGTATTTGCACCCTGGTACTTCGGGCTCCTTCGAACCCACCTATTAGTGATACTTTTCTGCGGGTAAAACCTCAAACTTCCTATCTCAGCTAATAGTGTGATCCGGGACCTACGCGTGGTCCAATTTCCAACGATGAAATTCCTACCGTTTCCCATTTCTCCAAGTCACCACCAACCACCACCATAAGATCTAAATACCAAGAGGATGAGGATTGAGTTGCTAAGGCTCTCAAAGCCTACTAAAATGGGAGATAAAGAAGGATTTCTAATGTATGACCAAGGATACAGTGAATGACCTTGCAAGAAGGAATGACTTTACTGATCTCGTTTCCCAGAAAATATGCCAAATTCTCGAGGAGAAGGCCGAGAGTACCTTCTTCTGGGTCGGGATAGCTCATAATGAATAGAGATCGGTGCATTCGAGGATAGTAGTCGAGAAGCTACAGGACAAATTGTATCGAAAGCTGCTCGATGCAGCAAAATGCGGCTCAGACGATTACCCACTGATCAAAAAGATTTATTGGACTGTTGCATTCGCATTGTGATCGCTGGAAATACTAGATGTATGTGCACTGAGTATCTTATTCGTATGAAGCGACATAGATTTGCGCTGGAGAGAACAAAGAATTTTTTCCACAATGATTTGACCATATATCTTTCGAATATGCATTTACTGCTCCTTTTGGAGATACCACTTCTTTTTGCGGAAATTTGGCCCCCTCGTGCTAGCTTCAATCTATGACAGGGAGCAGGAAGTTCGGATAAGCCAAGTGACCAGTCAAGAAGGATGAACATTTCAAAGCCACAAATTGGCTTGCTAGAGAGCTGGATACTTGTTGAACCCTAGGTGGGCCGATAATCTATGGTCCAACATTTTACTTGGGACTTGTCAAGTATAAATACCTCTTCAATTCCGTCTGAGGGATGACAGAATCCATCATCTCATTGTGTCTTCCTTTTTCTCCATATCCAATCTTAACGTTCGACTTCTAAACGGCGAGCAACATCATCATTTGCGAGCCCATCCAGCAAATTGATTTTGATGTAGGTTGCCATACACAAAGTTTCTACTTCCACACTTGCTAATAGGAGCCCAAACAGCTAGACAAGATGATATTTTTTGGACTGCTCCCTCTTCTTGCTATTGCTCCTGTCACTCTCGCCAGGCAGAGCCAGCAGCCCCAGACATTCCAAATGCGTCTCAATTGATCCATGCGCGTGCCAACTTGACCTACTGGCAGAACTGGGCATCGATCGGCGGTACCTACCTTACTGGCTTTGCTGATTTGGCTGGTGCAGTTGCAACTATCGTGTCCGCTAAATCAAGTGCTAAAAGCTGTGCCACTACCCTTGCTCAAGTCGATGCAAAGCGCGATGTGGAGGGGCCAATTGGAGTTGAAGCGATGGCGGTTAGCCTTGTTGCTGATGGATACAACCAAACTGGTGATTGGTTTTACCACACCAATGGAAATATAACTTTCGACGGTTTCTTCTCCAATGGCCAGGTGCGGATCCACGACCTCTATGTCGCGGGCAACTACACCGGTGCTCATATCTCATATGAAGACAATGTGATTGCTGCGGAAACAGATCTCTACAAGCGTACTACCTGGAGTCACAAGTCAGTCATCTTGGAATACCACTCCTACAAGGGTGTTTGCAAGACACGCTTGACTAAGGCTCAACTGAAGGAGGCGGCGGAGGTGCAGCTGCACACGATGTCCTCCAACCGTGACAAGTGCTCGTGCTGGACATACACCGGTGGGCATGGTTGGTACGGCGAGGTGAAGCTTATGGAAGTGTACGCTACTCGGCGTCGTGCTACAACACCGCCTGTAATGCCACTTAAAGTGGTATGAGCCCCTTGTGGTGTGGTGAATAAAAGAAGTCGGGTCCTTCTCATTTGCAAATGGGGCATACAGCCGGACGACGGCCGTGAAAAGAGCTTTGATCAGTATTTCAGGTTAAGCATGAGAGCTATTTCTGATTTCACCTGTTCGAATATAAGCCTGAAGGTGGTGCTTTCGTAGTCTAGCGAAGCTAAGGTATTTGGCTCCTTAGAATGACAATCTATGAGCTCATTTCTTTCTAGTATTGTATATCACATTCATCCGGGACATCTGGAATTTCACAAACACTTTCAAGTAAGGTCTATTCTAAACGGTCTAATCATGCTTGGTTTCCTCATTTATGGCGCGTATCTGGTGCTCTCCCGGAAATTACAATGATCAAAAATAGTCAATGGTTAGATGATTGGCAGCCAAGATACGTAAGATAATATGGTGCTGGTTGATACAGTCGCGCAGTCGTGCACCACCTGGCCGGCACCAAAGAGATCTTGAGCAGACTGGGCTCCTGCTCACATCTAGAGCACTGTGAAGTGTTTTGAACTCCCACGGCCGTCACCTAAATCACTGGTCTTTGTTCTGCCGGGCTTGATTCAACTATTCCCCCACCACGGAGAGGGGGAATGGCTGGATGCAGGCCCAGTGCCAGGAAAACGGTCAGGGGGATCATGGAATACGGCTCCACTTCATATTTCTTCCTTTCGCAGTCTCTATGTCAGGCATGATAAGACCTTTCTAGGAGCTTTCTAGTAGCTTTGCGACTTCCCCAAGAGAACGCATTGTCCCTGGTGAAGCGACATGAAAATGTGATTTCTCCCAGGCCCCTTACACGATGACGTATCGCCTGCATCTAAGCTACTAAAACTCTACAGAGCGCCTAAAAATGGTTCTAGAAAGCTACATCTGACTAAAGTAAAAATTATTTCATCATCATCATCATCATCACCATCATCATCCTCATAATTGAATGTGTGCAGCTCGCGAGAGTTGGCCATAATCGTTTTTAGGCTTGGATCGCCACTACCGTAACCACTTTCTCCCATGATTATTGGCTAGTATCTTACGTAGAGTGGGAGCCAAGGGATGTGTTGGCCGTAGTGCAAGCCACTTACGATGCGAATATCTAATAAAAGGACTGCTGGGGCTCTACCTTCCATTTCACGGAATTATGCCAACCGCGTACTGCAGCGAGAGCACATGGACTCCGTCCCCTCACCTCGAATGTAATTATACAGAATGACTTATCGATTTTTTTGAACTAATGATCAAAGCGTGCCGTGGCGGTGTAAAGCCTAATGGGCAAAATAATAACAGCCACACAAACTGTCAGCGTTACCCGCTGGACGAGGATCAGAGGTGAATAAAAGAAGCCTAAGGTGATATAGCTTGCTGCTACAAGAAAGGACAGAGAAAACAATATGTGCATTATCGACTGATGGAGGACAGACGAAGGAGAAGAGGAAGAAGCGCCATCCACTGAGGCTCAGGGCACCTGACTGCAGGCAGGCTCTGACACAAACTTATATGTAGTACTAGGTACCGGGAAAATGCCACGTGAGAGACCGTGGACCTAATGAATGCCACATACTCTGACCACTAGTGGTCAGAGCTTCTCACATTGGCTCTTGCAGTCGGGCTAAAGCCAAAAAAAAAAACCCCCCATTCTCTGGAATTACCAATGCTCTAGAGTGAAGCATTCCAGGGAAATGGCGCTTCTGAAGTAGTTTCGGACCGTATTGCAATGTTCAAAGCCATGCATCAGTTTTACTTTGATTGAACGCCGTTTTCAATTTGAAGCTCTACTTATACCTGCCATGATTTATCTGGACTTATAATTGGACGTCTTCAACATCCCTCATTCTTGTTTAGCGACCCTGCTTCTTGCGAGAGTCGAAAAACACGAAAAGGGATATGAAAAGGCTACCCAGCGCAAAGCCAACTAGCCAGGAAATCATGCCAATGATAGCAGCAAGGTTAGTCAGAGGAAGTAATATATTTTTTAAATCGTACAAAGCTACGGTAAATGTGACCGCTATACGTGACTAGTGACCAGTAGAATGACGAGCTGATTGAAGACTGGGAACCGGAAGCGCTTCTGGCCGGGGCACCAGCGGATTGAGAACCATGTGAGTTATTACCATTGACCTTGAATCGGATGGTTGTTTTCAGAATCCCGCCCGGGAACGATTTCCGCTTGCCCCCTGAGAGTACTGTTGACCAGGAATTCTTGTACTACGGTCGGTCAGCGAGGGAGTGGCCTCATTTGCTGGTTCTAGTCCTACATACGTATCGAAAAGAACTAAAGTGCGATCGTACTACCTTTTGGTTTTGGTAGGACCTATCTTTAATCTCAATGTTCTAATGAGCTAAGAAGTCCACACATACCTAATATCATTCGACGTTATATCATGTTAGGTACGCATTTTGCATTCACAGTATAGAGCGTGAGTAAAGGAGGGAGAACAGAAAAGAACACCTACAGCGACTCCCCTCAAGGGATCTTTACAAAGGCGCCTTATTCTGCACGGGTGCCGTAGCACTGGGTTGAATTTTCAGGAAGAATATTCAGGAGGCTGAAGAGATATCTAGGGCCCTAGACTGTCCTGAAGAAGACTGCGGCGTAGAGTAGCGAGCCGCCCATACCCGTACCGTGGGCGCTACGTAAGCACCAAAATACACTCACTGTTGTATGGTTTTGCTCTCCTTTTTAATACCAAGGGATGATTTGTTGAGACTAGCCACCTAAATACACCAGCCTTGTCTCCTATTTGCCCTGAAAAATTTTGCTTTGAAGCGGAAATGAATGATATTGAGGTTAAGACTGCATTCAGCGTGCAAGTTCAAAGATCCAAGTCAAAGCAGCTACCAGCTTAGTTATTAGTTTGTTGAATTTGAATTCTTGTTATTATGGTAGAAGATAGAAGATCTTTTTCTTTACAAACGAGTCTCTATCGAATAAATATTTGTAGCCCTGATCTATTCAAGTAGACTCATAGCAATTGTTTACAGATTTATATCAGAGCAATGACTGATCTCACTAGCACAGAAATGCCAAGGAGCTGACCTTAGCAGTGGCAACAGCACGCTAACCCAAAGCAGGTAAAGCCGTGACTAGCGCGAGGGTCCCAGCGTCACACAATTTCCCCCCAGATTTCCACAGATCCAGCTATTGAAGACTTTGCAGCTCCCTGCCGTGGCCCCTTACTGAGCATGACACATTCCACAGTAAACAAGTGTAAACAGATCTCCGAGAAAAAAAGCCACCGAGGTCACTTCCAAAAAAGCCACAACATTCCTTCCAGAAAAATAGCGGTGGTTGCTGCGAGGCGGGAAATAATGTACGGTATTTATCCGGTATGGGTTCCCCTGACCTCGTGCGATCATCCGAGCTTTCCTATCCTCCCGTCGGCGGGCATAAGGTTTGCTTGGTACTGGATCGACAGTTGCTCGTTCCTGCAGAAATGGGACTTGAATTTCCAAAGCAAGGTCTGTCCTTGGGTTCGTATTCTTGTTTTTGTTTTTCTTTGTCTTGGTCTTTTTTTTTTTTTTTTTTTTCTCATTTGTGTGACGACTGAATTTTTTAATCTTGGTGCCGAGCCTAAGAGCGCCACTTTATTACGGCCAAAAGTTGGCGCCTAGCTTCGGTTCTTTGGTTCTTTGATTTTGTCTTGGGGGCTTTGAGTAGGCAATGGGTCCCTAGGATTTAGTGGGGCCAACTCGGCTTGACTTGCTGCTCGAAATTGAGTCGAGAGTGCCGAATCATACGGTGTACTGATGTCAGGTCGCACAGGTCCCTGTGTCCCCTGTACTGTAATGAAATGCGAGATCCTGATTGATGCGTTTTCTTGATGGGTCATCTCATATGTAATTCCCCCCTTATCATCACAAACGCCTGGGGCAATATCCATGTCTCACATCGGTACCAAGACATCAAATCACAATCATGCGCTTAATCGGGTCCAAATGAAATTTTATGTCTCCTTGTCCATGGTCTTGCCTCTCTGCCTTGGATCTATGGCTACTGGCTAAAAATAAATAGGGAATTTGCATACGAGGCCTCATGCCACGATTAACATGATCCGGTAATTTACCCTGTATTTGGGGTATTCAAATACAGGGTGCGAGTCCCTTTCTCAGGGAAAAGTGGAGCCCAATGTCTTATCAAAGGGTCTTTTCTCCAGTTAAACCTGCCCAATCCGGTTTAGATCCGCCATTAATTCCAAGGATTGTTTATGTAGTTTCTTGGGTTGAACTCTACTGTAATATATGGGATGACTTCCCCGTTTTCTCTCCTCTTCAACCCAACGCCCACGACACACTCGTTTTCTAATTTCTAATTCCACAGTTCGCTCGTTTGTCTGTGGCCTTTTTTCACCAATTCCTCCCTTTTCTTGTACATTCCGTTGGCTTGATTATTTGATTCCCCCCACTCCCGTACATAATCTGACACAATGGTCCGTTTCGTGACTGCTCTCCTGGCCCTGTCGGCAACCGCTTTGGCGACCACCACGTGCAGCTCCAGCAGCCAGTGTCCCGAAGACAAGCCCTGCTGCTCCCGTGAGTGTTCCATCCCGACCAGCAAATGTGAAAAAACCACTGACCTTCTCAGAATATGGCGAGTGCGGCACCGGCGCATACTGCCTCGGTGGTTGCGACCCCCAGGCCTCCTACTCTATCGACGCATGCGCTCCCATGCCCGTTTGTGAGAGCAAGAGCTACACCTGGGACAACCTCGATAACTCCATCCTCAACACCAAGTACCTGGGCAATGCCAGCGCCGCCGATTGGACCTACAGCGGTTACCCCAAGATCGAGAACAACTCCCTTCTCATGACCATGCCCAAAGAGTCTGTCGGAACTCTTTTCGCCAACAACCACTACGTCTGGTACGGCAAGGTCTCCGGTCGGATTAAGTCCAGCCGTGGCAAGGGTGTCGTTACCGCTTTCATCCTGCTCTCCGATGTCAAGGACGAGATCGATTACGAGTGGGTCGGTGCCGACCTCACTGCCGT